TTTATTTACTCATCACTGACCTGTACTGATCTTCCCTAAAACATTTTGTCTCACTTTATTGTGACATTTTCTGTTGACAGAATGGTTAGTTTACAGGCAAAAAGCAATAACATTTATCAGTGTTAATTTTTTAAATTAATATTCTTACAAACTGATCCTGTCTTGGTTTTTGCTATGGAAGCCCAAAGTGGATTTACATTTAAACATTTTGCTTTTTTGTTGTATCCAGATAACAAAACTTTTTTTCTTAAAGAGGCTTCCCTTATCTTAAAAAATCAACTGACTTTCTCAAGTTTAAGTCAAATCCAATGAAAACAAACAAAAATTGCTGGTTATCCCAAAAATTTGACGACACAAAATGTATAGGTACATGTCCACTTAGGGCCTCCATACTTTATTGAAGTGATTTAATGTAATTAAAAAGGATTCAACCAGGGCCTCCATAGTTTATTGTCATTAAGTGGCAGAAAATTACAGAAACCTTCAAAAGAATAAGCATCTGATTTAAAAAAAAATAATAATAAAATACATTTTTACTGTAAACTTTTTATTGATTTTGAGTTATTGAAAGGAATATTGACACAACTGGTCAGCATATCCTTAGTGACTGGCAAGCATAACAATTTACGTGCATATTTGGACTTTTTAACTTTCTTTAAATCTTTTTAACACTTTTTTCCTGTTAGATATTCTGTAGTATTGATGTTGCTTGTTAAATAAAAAACATTTAATTTATTGTAAACATTTTATAAGCTGTCTATGCTTTTATTTTATTTGTTGTTTCATCTGTACCTTATTTTCACACTATAAGGCGCACTTAAAATCCTTTTGACTTGTCGGAGCACTGCAGCTGCCGTAGCCTTGCGTAGTTATTGAATGAGTTAAATAAAGTTTGACTTATCTGAATGTTTTGTTTGGCTTAATGCGCTTTATAATCCGGTGTGCTGTATGTATGAAAATAGACGCGAATAGACACATTCGTTGATGGTGCGCCTCATGATCGGGTGCGCCTTATAGTGCGAAAAAACACAGTATATATTGTATATTATATTGTATACAGTATAAGTGTTTTAACAATTAAGTGCATAAGATATAAATTGAACCACTCTGTTGTGTTAATTTTACAAGTTAAATTACCACCCTTTGTGTAGGTTAATGTGTGGGTTGGGCCACCTCAGTTAATAAAGTTTTGATCTGCCCCTGGTTTCAACCCTCTGTTTAAGATATCATGACAAACAACTGAATCATGTGAATGTCTGTTTTTTAACACACTATTTCATGGCTGTTGCCCACCTTAAACATCGCAGAACGGTAGATGTAGTCAGAAAAAAATGGTACTGGACCTTTAGACCTAATTTTTCAGACAGAAAATGTAATTGGCCCCTGAACAGAGAGTCTCATCTGGCTGAGTGTAAAGTAGACAGAATGCATCTTTGGATTCATGTATGCGTGTGGTCTCATAAACGGCATCTCTCCCCACTTCGTCTTCATTTTTACTCGCTTTCATTTTTCTCCTCTATTTACCAAAAAAGCCCTCTCTAAACTCATAAACTCCGTGTCTTTGGGGAGGAATCCATCCATCTTCCGGACACCAAATTGAATTGATCTCAGGGGCCCCTACCTCGCCTTCTCAATAGGGGCCATCTGCGCGCGCTTCCCTCTTTGAATAAACGTGAAAAAGTGACAGCACGTGCTGCTGCCTCCGCTGCTGCTTGTCTTCACACGACGACGCGCGTGCCTGCGAGGGTGCGTCGCGCCCCCATTCAGCTGTGTAATCTGATTTCACTGCTTTCACTGCTGATTGATTTACACATTCTTGCAAGGCGGTCTTTTGTTAACCTGTGGATGATACATCGATTAAAAATAGCTCCAATCAATCACTTCTTTTCGCTTAACTTTTTACTTTCATCCTGCTTTAATTAAATACAGAATTACGTCTGAATAGACAACCAAACAAGCAAGCAAGTACGTGACCTTAAAGTGGTGTAACTGTATTTTCCAACTGAAAAGGTGCGTTTGGTGTTTATAACCAAATACTGAGGGTGTATAACTCAGCAAACATTTATCTGTTTGCCAAGTAAACACTTATGTCTACTTTGGAGATTTAAGGACATGCAATAGCTGTATAACACCACAAGGTGGAGCACTAGTCATGGATTACACTGCCTGAAAGCTGCTGACACAAATTCATAACAGAGAAAATGAAGATATATAGATATTTATTTTAAAAACTTGACAGAAGTTATGCATTTTGATCAAATTTTAATGTAAAATACTGGAAATATACATCACACTTTATACCAGAATTGGTAATGACAGCATTATGTATACCAATATGCTAATCTAACTGTCAACAGATGCACCTTTTTCTCTTTACCTTTCAATAAATATGGCTATAAACAGCGATCGAGAGTGAATTAAACATCTATCATCTATCCTCCTCCCCCATCCTTGACACTGCATTGGTGTTAATTTAACTCTGCAGGGAGAGAGAGGGGTCATGTCCCAGTCATGACCTCCATTGTCTTCTATGGGGAGTGAGATATATCTAAGGGTGTGTGTATATGAGTGTGTTAGTGTGTGTTGGGGGAAAGGATGCGGTTCAAAGGAGAACAAAAATATTGATTCGTATACAGCCGTGTAATTGCTGGAGGCATCTGTTGCCTTGTGGCCATAACTTTCATGTATGTTCAGGGCCTGAATGAAGTGGTCTGGGACCCTCATTGTGTTCGGGCACAATGGAGAATGGATGGCAGCTGAATAAGAAAAATGTGAAATCAATTGTTAGGGATATATATTTGAATTGATTGTGTAACCTTTGTTTAACCAGATCTACTGATTAAGATTAAAGATGAGCCAGTCTTTCATTCCAATACTTGTAAGTTAGCCACTTTTATCGAGCCTTAAATCTGTGTCAGAGTGGTTTACATCTATTGTATTATTATTGATGTGATTTACAATTTGTCTACTTTTGGTTTCTAGTCTCGTTTTCTTGGTAATGGTGTCTTGTGGGTATATTTGGGCTGGGTATCAGGGCCATATATATGAGGGCCCCTTAGGTTAAAGAAGAGTACACTAGATTAAAACATCTTTGTGTTACTTTAAAGTTAACAGGCTGCTTAAATTATACATAGAAAGTGTACACAGGATGGAATCATAGGTTTGGTGTGAAAAAACAGATATCTCATTCAATACAAGAGTTTCTCTACACTACACTGTTGTATCATGACCCAACAAATTAAACCTACTGTAGGACAGCCATGTCTCCTTTTTGTGTTTTAAGAACTTAATCCTCAAAAGTAATGGTTTTACGAAAACGAGGAGTGAAGATATTCCCCTGTAAAAATCCAAATCTCTTCCTCAAGAGACACCTGGCCTATAAAGCATTCCCCTTTTCATGTCACTTGGATACCAACTGCCCTACAGCCCTTCCTGTAACATTTTAGGTGTGTTTAAAGTGAGTTATGGCTGTTTAATCATCAGGGGAAGAAGCTCCGTGTCAAATATCAAATATTTCTGTGCTTCCCTCTTTTTAAAGACTGAGGTTTATCTGAAGGAGAGGAGAAATTCTTGTTTACATTCCCTGTTAAGAAGCTGCTTCACTGCCTCGTTGGCTTCATTGTGTCTATTTCATCAACTGTGTCCATGTCTGATTGCTATCACTCCACTGTTTAGTGTTGTTGCTTTGAGTAAAGCAGCAATATCTCTGACAAGAGTTTGTCTTTTTCAGCTTCATGAGCTGTGACAACAACATTGTCTTTGTTACAGGCATCTAGAGAGCATTTTAAACACTTGCTCTTGTTCCCTGCATCTTAGACTGTTCATCAATCTGCCCTTGCAGACATCTGTTCAATGCCTTTGTGTTTTGCATTTGTATCACTGGTCTGGTAGTAATTTAATGTTGTATTGTTGGCCATGCAATAGGCCCTTTGTACGTAATGTCACGCAGTGTTATGTTTGTGTTTATCCATGATAGATCTCACTTGAAAATGAAACACATCTCAAAGAGATTACCTGCGTAAATGAATGTTTAAATAAATAGAATAAGTCAGTGTTATTGAGAATAAATGCTGATTCAATATGCTTCAAAACGTTTAATGCATAGTGTCAATATTTGTATTTATAAAGTTATATTGTTACTTAAGAACCTGTTACTTTCTCTTAAAGTTATCTTGATCTTATTTATACAGGTAGCCTATTATGAAAAAGAAAAGTGAGATTTAATGTTAATTATTATCTTGTCTTAAAATCTCTTTTTTTCCTGTTAGATATTCTGTAGTATTGATGTTGTCTGTTATATAAACAACATTTAACTTATTGTAAACCTTTTGTAAGCTGTCTATGCTTTTATTTTTGCATGCCTGTTGTTTCATCCGTATATATTGTTTGTGTTTGAACAATTAAGTGCGTAAAATACAAATTTAACCACTCTGTTGTGTTAATTTTACAAGTTCAAATTATTAATTGTGTAAATTATGCAATATAATCTCATCCCACCTTCCTATAACAGTCAAATGTATCACTTATTGTCGAAGTTTTAAATTGCGAAGGTCAGTTTAAATAGCTCTAAATGGCCTTGTCTGACACCTACCTTCTTGCATTGATCACAGGTATTAAATATTACAGTATTATAGCTGTTAATTCTTTCGCTTATTGACTTCTTTTGCGTTTTTAGTTCATAAAGAATCATTTCTATTATTTTCAGTCTGTTTCATAACTGCTTAAAAACTCCTCAAAGGAGCTTTAAGTATGCAACTGTATTTGCCAGCTTCTTTGGGTTTGATGCTTTTAGGTACATTTAATGATGAGGATGCCAGACCCCCTTCTTGAACCACACATTTTAAACATTTACTGAATTAAAAATACCAGAGTAACAACACATGGCTGTGAAGTATCACTTGTTTTTGGTGTTTTCCAACATTGGCAGGGACAGACTTGGGGCTCTCCGTGTTGACGACACTCCCCTAGCGCCATGCTCCCGTACTACACCCCCACACACTGACAAGCACTGCCCCCTGTGAAATTCCTGACTGCAAGGGTGATTCCTACGGTTACCAAGGGCTGCCTCCTACTGTAGCCTACCGTGTGCTCTGGGGCAAACTATTTTATAACCTCTGGATAAATGATCAACTCCTCGGAATGATATCTCCGCCGATAAAGGGTGAGTTATGGTTTAATATGCAGGAGATAGTGTCGCTTATATGTATTCTGCAGATGTTAGTGTGCGGGCTCAGTAGAGTGGGAAGCTGACAGGCTATATGTCCTGTCTTGGCTCGTTAAGCCTGCAAAAATGTACATTACCGTGTCTGGGTGTTTATGAACACAAAACTAAGGCTGTTGATCAGCCAAATGTGCGTTTTTTAAGACAAGACTTGGGAACACGCCCTTGCTGTCTTGCCTACCTGTATGAAAGGGATTGCTTTCAACTTCAAACTGCGGACACAAACCGACACAGGGAAAGTAAACGGGGATTGTTAATTTTTCCTCACAGTTTCGAGTTCATTGTGTTGTTGTTTCTGTTAGAAATGCGTCTCCAAAAACGCCTCTCTCAACCAGAGAGTCACAGAGCCACAGTGAGAAAAGTCAACTATGTTTCATACGGTTGACTTGGTCCGCATTACCTCGGCTGGTGCACCGCAGCTCAGCTGTAGATTGTAACCTGCGGCGGCAGAGTTCTCGCGGATGGATACCTTGCAGCAGTCCCAACCACTTAAAACAACCAGAAAAATAGATAAAACGCTATTCTTATTCGTTTTGGTGTTTCATGTAGCCACACACATATGCCACCGATGAGGGAGAGTAAGAGGGGGGGTTTCCGAGGCCACGGTGAAACCAGGGAGTTTCCTGCCTGTAGGTCCGCCAGCCTGTCGGGTCACAGGTAGGGGTTGGGCGGGTAAACCTGTCCTGGAGCTCCACCAAACAGGGGTGACCACCGGTAAAGTTAGCCGTTTGTTCAGGATCAGCCAGTCTTTATTTTTGCTTTTGAAAAATACAATATTTAGATTTTCTATTAAATGCCACGAAACAGGGCCCATGTAGCTGCTTTTTTGATTAAACATACTATAGGATGTTAAAAAAGGTATCATAAAATAGTAACCGCCATTTTATATGGGTTAAAATTCCTAAGCAGGTGCTTCTATAGCACGTGCTCAGAATGGTGACCGTTAACTGATTTGAATTTGAATTATGTTTAATATAAGGACAAAAACCCTACATAACCTCATTACCAACATATGTCAAGTTATTGTGTGAATATTTGGCCAATTATTAATTCCTATAATGATTAAACTGGTTATAATCTTCACAATCAATCATTTAGGTTGCCTAGTGTGTCAATGTAAGCACACAGCAAAGGCCTTCAACATGATTGAAATTCCCAACTTATAACACAGCATAATACATTCATGCTATATTCCTTGTCCCTCCTTTGACGTCTTTTTTTGGCAGAGCTCGATATAAAAAATTCAGGCAGTGCACAAGATAAAAATGTCCCTTTTTTGTTTGATACTGTTAAAGTACTCTTGCAACTTTACTGGTAGCCCATCTACTCCTCTCCCATTAAAAAAGAAAAAAAGAGACTGAAATCTTTCACTTTATCTTCAGTCTGTGTTGCAAGAAGCTGCTGGGCAACATACTCTGACATTGTTTGAGCCCAGTTTGACATAAATAATGACAACAACTGCTCCCTCCTATCATAAATAATGCAGGACCCTTGGTATCATAAAACCAGAAATGCTCTGGAAGTTTGAGGGTTGCACTCCTATCACATTTCTGATATTCTTCTTCACTTTCATTCCTCAGAAGATTGGTTTTGTTTTTTTGGAGACAGCTGAAGAGGAATACGGTGACTTCTATTTCAGAGCTGTCACAACATGTATGTTGAAAGCAGTAAAAACATACAGGGTTCTCAGTCTTTGTTAGTCTTCTAACTTCTAGTAGAAGTCAGAAAAGTTAATCTCCTGAACGTCAACATGTCAGTGTTGCTTTTTCCCTGTTCTGCCTGTTAACTCTGGGATTTCCTGACTAGATACAAGCTTGTTCTTGTGTTGTTCAACTTCAGCAGAGGCATGATTGGATTATTTAGTATGGCATGAGATTAAACGGTGATATCCCTGGGGGCATGACAAGAGACAGCGCTATCACTGTCATAAAATATGGAATTTAATCCCACATCAGAGGAGACAGAGGTGCTGTAGAGTCAGGGGTGAGTATTGAAACCAGAGTAAACAGAATTTAGATTCGTTAAGTGTGGTTCACAGGTATTTTATGTTAACATTATTGTGCTATTATGCCACTTGATGAATATGAGCTATACTATATCTAGTACAAAATCCTCAAATGTTTCCTTATTCACATATCAGAGTCCAGAGCAGGATTAGATGTGCTTTCGGCCTTGCACAAAAACAGGTCTGGTCATCTTTTCATTGTTTGTTACAATTTTAGGGGACTAATTTCACAAGTAATGAGTTCTGAATGTATTGAGTTGAGATGCACAAGTATGTCAGTTGAATATTGGTGTTGACTGATATTGGCCCTTTGGCAAAACATCGGCCATTGTCAAATAATGTGACAAGAATAAATGTCAGCGGCCAATGTGTAGCTGTTGTCTCACATCAGTTCTTTGGCCATTAGTTAAATTGTCATCATAGACACCAGAATCCAAGTGGACCCTGATTATCCCAACCAGTCCATCCTTAATATTGGTGCTGGATGAGAATTGGGGGTTTATTCCAGCAACAGGTGGGTCTGGTATCGGATGACTGGAAGTTTGGCATATATTTCCAAAATGGTGAACGCAATATTGAGAAAGTGTGCTTTTCAAGTACAGAACCTGCCTGAAAACCCTCAGATTTTAAGGTTTCTTCAATATTAAAGCCATGCTGTTACAGTTTTCTTAACAGCTGTGATTGGTTAATAAAGAGCACTTGTTAAAAGAGAATTCGGCATGCTTTGACAGCACCAGCCTATCAAACCAACGGTGGAGCAGGAGACTGAAAGTGTAAGTCTTGTGTGTGATTCAAGACAATGCCATTAACAGCTTTGTCACGAGGAATCCACCTTTTGTGAGCTCATGACTAACAAATAGATAACCCCACTCCAGCTCGTGCAGCCATCAACAGCTGGTTTACTGACTGACTGCTCAGGATCTGCTCTTTGTTGTTGCCTAGTAACAGAAGCACAAATATGCAACAGGTAAAGGCTAAACGTGAGATATAAGGCTCTGAGTCTCTTTCAGTTGGACGTGCCATACCTCTAATTCAGAGCAGATAGAAACTGATAGCCCGCTGTTAACAGCCGCTTTATTCAATAACAAACACGTATGATAAATAACCAGTCGCTATGCCTTCTCTTTTTTCTTTATGCGTCTCCATGGAGGGTTTAAATCCGGTGACACTCAGGAATGTAGATTGAATTCCTCTGAATTAATGACCCTCATTGGCTCAGTCATCGACAGCAACACAGCCAGCATGTGACCCCACCAGACTTCCACTTTGGCTTGTTTTAACGTTCTCTCGTGTCCCGGCACGTCTTGTGACTCCCGCCGTGACAGAGCTATACGCTAGCTCCGGAGCTAATGTGAAGTCATTACTTTGCATGAGCTGTTTCGTCTCTGATTTAGGCGCGATGCAGAGGCATGAAGGTGTCACGATGAGGACGAGTGTACAGAGGCAGGTGATGTTTTTCTGGAGCAGAGAAGTTTGACAGATTATGTGAAAAGTCTGTTCAAATCTCACAGACTGTTTTTCTAGAATATGCTAATTATGTGTTAATCCCTAATTATGCATGTAAACCCATCATCTCATGTTAGGGAGCTTTTCCACTGAGTAAACACAGGTCATATACACCATTAGCTCTTAATACACATGAGCTTTTAATGGCATCTTTGCTCAAACTGGCCCTACTCCAAGACCACGTGTCGTCTACAAATTCAGCGCTGATGATTTCAATCAGCGGGGCGAACATTTGTGTCTTTTTTTTTCACCATGATTTGGTGGGCTAAATACTTTTTCAAAGCGGAGATTTTCTACAGCAGATCAGTGTAAAATCTCCAGCGCAGGGTTTTTGATTTCAGGATTAATCACTGCTGAGTGTGAATGAGCTACAGGAGGCTTTCATTTGTATTCTGTATCAAAAGGAGTTCTGGATGAATAGCCTGCATGAAAGGAGCGTTTGAATGAAAACATAATGGATCATCTTATCTGCTTCATTAGATGCTTAATTTGCCGCTTCACAGGGAAAGTGGAAGCACTCGTTCTGCCTTGCTTGACTCAATAAGTGTGTCTTTAGTGCAGCCATTTTTAGAAGTTCAGGTTAGGTTGCAAGGCGGCGCCTCATTGGTTCGGTTATTGCAGAAAGTTACTTCACTGGACATTGGTGCACCTGCTTCTTTGGTGTGTTCAGGAGTTCATGAGTATGTTGCAGGGTCACTAAGTCCAGTAGGTTCTGAGTAAGCTGTGAACTTCTCAGGAGTTTCCCTTAACAGCTCCAGAAAGGTCAGCCTCATAAATTACACTTAATCAGCTCAAGCTGCAGCTGTGTGAGTTCAGAGCATCGACACTCTAAACAACCCCAAACCTTGTTTACCGGTTCTTTCCTTTTCCAGCAAACGAGGAGACGTCTGATGAGAACACCACCGCTTAATGCAGGAAAGAAACAGATAAGATGTGTCATGTTGCGTTGTTTGCATTATAACTCTTGCAAATGAGACGCTTTTCCAGGAAATGTTATCAGGCGTCCAAACCACAGAGATTTTCTTAAGAAAAAGGACATACCGTGCATTTTTATGAGCGAACTAGAGCATGTTTTCTTCGCATGCAAATGTGAACAACAATGTTTGAGATCTTGTGTTACATACTGGCACAACCAGGCTGTCATATTGTCAGTGTCTCTGTGTTGTCACTTGAACTGTTGATTACAGAGTCTCTCAGATGCTGACGCTCCTACAGGTTGTGACGCGGAGGCTGCAGCCGTGCAGCGCTGATTTGTTTGCAGCAGCTGACAGCAGATGTCTCGTGGCTCTGCTGTAACTTTGCTGGAGCTCTGTGCGCACAGATGAAAGTCTTTTTCTTGAGCTGTTTGTGCAAGGTTGTTTGTTTGCATTCCCAGTCAAGGCTTCTGGATATTTACTCTGTTGTTGTTTTCCTGAATCTATGCCCAGGTTGTTACACCTGTTTGCTTGTGAGTATCAGTTTTTGCCTTCATAGTTTATTTCCAGAAGTCTCTTTTTATCCCAAGTGTTATGCTTTAATGAAAACACCAGGTGCTGGGTTAGCTAAAGGAATTCGGGATGAAACTGGCAAACACAAGTTTCCCTGAGCAATGATTTATGTTCACAAAAGGAGAAAACAGGAGCCTACAGTGATGCTATGATCATTTTGCTCTTCTGCCTCACTCGCTCCTTGCCGTCAGTGCTTGCCAGGACAAACAGACAAGCCGGCAGCTCATCAGGAGGGGGTTTGGATTACTGTGAAGAATCTACTCTAGCTCCCCTCCCTTTCAGAGCAGCGGGGATTCCTGTTACCGCTCTTCTGGACTCTCCCGGCAAACTTGAAGTGGTTCCGCTCACCCATTTACTCTGGCACGGCAACGACAGAAACCACATGTGAGAACGACCGCATATCCTGTTTCACTCCGATTCAGACCTCAGAGCCCTGGCTGCGGTGCTGGTGACTGTGTGCAGGGACCGTACTGTATGGTAAGCGTAGCGTGAAGTATCTGGAATAGTCTGAGAGGATGTTTGGAGGTTAGATTTTGCGAGAAAAGGCTCAGACACAGGAAGTAATTGATCCGCCTTTAACCTTGGTGCTCTCCTGATGTGTAGTGCCACTCCTCTTGTTTGACCTGATTAATCCCCCAATTACCCACGTGCCTTTGCTTTGAGAGGATTTCAAAAGGTGATTGTATCCGGCTTGCTTTGTGGCCACCTGCAGATTTCTTTAGTAGAGCATCACCAATGCCAGATTACTGTCATCCTGGTGTAGATCTACAGAGGTTGGATATTCTTGTTCTGTACCTTCTAGAAATTACAGTAAAATCTGTTGTCTGAGTCGCACAAGTATAAAAAATTTAGTCTATTTTTATGGGGCTTGAAGAGTGAAAAAGGCTTGAATTATATTACAGAGGGACCTCTGTTGTGTTCAGTAATGTGCTATTTTTATGCAGATGTGTAGCTCTTTCTGGTAGGGGTGGCTGTGATTCAGGGGTAGAAGGTCAAGGGTTTGATCCCAGGTCCTGCTATTCATATATGAATGCATGATGACCAAATGGGCTAGGGTTGCAGAGGGGAAACATTTCCAGAAACTTTTCATGGGAAGTTAAGCTGGGGAATTTGGGAAAGATTCCAAATTGGAAACTGTCCATGGGAATAATGGGAATTAATGGGTCTTCAAAATGTTTGACAATTGATGTATAAATTATTGTATGGTTACAGAAAACCATCTTGCAGGAGTCAGAAGAAACAGCATCACATTCGAGGTAGCTACCACCACCATGATAGCCAAGATTATGCTACAAGATACAAAACCCAATTCCATTTAAGTTGGGAAATTGTGATAAACTTAAATAAAAACAGAATACAATGATTTGCAAATCCTTTTCAACCGAGATTCAATTGAACACACTACAAAGACAAGATATTTAATGTTCAAACTCATAAACTTAATTTTTTTTGCAAATAATAATTAACTTTAGAAATTGATGGCAGCAACACGTGACAAAGAAGTTGGGAAAGGTGGCAAAAAATACTGAGAAATTTGAGGAATGCTCATCAAACACCTATTTGGAACATCCCACAGGTGAGCAGGCTAATTGGGAACAGGTGGGTGCCATGATTGGGTATAAAAGCAGCTTCCCCAAAAATTCTCAGTCATTCACAAGCAAGGATGGGACAATGTTCACCACTTATTATGCATTATGAAGCATAAAATATGACAACGGAGACCCCGGACTGTTGAACAACTAAAGCATCAGGCAAAAATGAGAAAGAATTCCACCTTCAAAGCTTCAACAATTAGTCTCTTCAGTTCCCAAATGTTTATTGAGTGTTGTTAAAAGGAAAAATGATGTAACACAGTGGTAAACATGCCCCTGTCCCAACTACTTTGGCATGTTGCAGCCATGAAATTCTGAGTTAATTATTATTTACAAAAAAAAAGAAATAAAGTTCATGAGTTTGAACATTATATATCTTGTCTTTGTAGTGTATTCGATTGAATATTGGTTGAAAAGGATTTGAAAATCATTGTATTCTGTTTTTATTTAAGTTTATCACAATTTTCCAATTTACTTCAATGGAACTGGGTTTTGTATGTTCCCCAACTATATTTAAGTTCCCTGTTGAGGGCCAACCTTCAATTTTGTGAATTTCAGATATATTCCTGTTAATTATCACAGAAAGTTTCCAACTTTAAAGTTCTTGAAATTTTGCAACCCTAAGCTAGTGCATGCATGAAAGTTGTTCATGACAACACTCTCTGTAAGAAGGCCCTGTCTCAGTTCAAGTTTGGTGTAGAGGTAAGGCAGCTGGCTATGAGACTTGGGAGAACCAGTTATGGTAGGATTTGTCACCATGTTAGGATGATTCAGACATTTAAAAACAGTTTGCAGAGCGAGCAAGTATGCCGTTGCGCAACCTTCAAAGCATTTCCAAGACTCTGTGACAATCACACAGGCATGCATCAACACACTTACACATGCGGCAGAGTCACACACAGATGTGCCGACACTACACTCCTCCTCAGAACTGGGTCAAACTAGATGTTTTGTGCCACAGAGTATTTTTGGACGTGGTGATTTGTGTTTCCCTCTAAGTGGCAGATAAGAATTGCAGCTCAGGCTCTAAAGCTGGCTCTTTTTCCTGGAGTTGTGAATGCAGTAAAGCGGGGCCGTCCTGTGAGGGAGTCAGCCTGCTCGGTTTCTCACCACCTTTAAGGCGACTGGAGTCATAAATCAGCTGTAAATCTTTGTGTTTGTGCTTCGAGGCTGGCCTGGGAGTTTCAGTGCAGGTTTCGATCGGGAGGCGGGTTGCAGACTGTCAGGACAAAGTGCTGGTATGAGGGAAAAGATAGTGGAGGGGTTTAAACACTTAAGAAGAGAGTCAATGATTTAAACCATCAGACAAGAAGACCCCGAGAAGACTCCCTTTTTGACACAGTTACCCCTGCAGTCCTGTTTTTTAGCCACATTATTCTACGAAGAGCCTTGCAGGTCAAACTGTACATGCTCAGAGTTGAAAACTTTCGCCTAGAGTCAAATTATCAGTCGGGGTCTCCTCCTCTCCAAAAAACAGGATAGTAAACCGGGTAAAAATCCAAAATGCGGCCACTGAAAACTAGTTTTTTAACACTAGAATGTGAGGAGGGGCTGTGAGCTGAGCTGCATCTTAGTAATCACCATATTGAGTTAAGGACGGAGACCGGATAAGCTGAAGAAGTATGCTCTGCTACCTATAATGTAGTTGAAACAAGTCTAGAAATCTATGCAGTTTGACAGTTTGACGCTCTACACCATGAGTACAGAGCTGCGAGCTGAGCTGCCGCTTACTCCAACAAAACAACTACAACTCCTCTTGTTTTAATGCTAAATACTAGAGATAGACTTATTAACTAGTTGATATAAAAGGCAAATAGACGTATAGGGCAACGTATCGGCATTGGCCAACACAAAGCCGTTTTCTTTTCCCAAAATTTGACCGTCTTTTTGGAAATCATGAGCCCTGCCCTTAAGTCGCGAGGGACCCAATTGGTAGTCATCAGCATACAGTTCAATGTAAAATGTGATCATACTGAATACTTGCTCACCAACACTTTTACCCCTTGGTGTTGTTCAATAGATCCCTCTGTTTAATATCAGCTCAGATTTAATATGAGCTATTTCTGTCCTCCACTCCACAGGGTCCACGGTGGCTAAATGCCAAGCGTAGGCGTGCTGGCTCAAAGAGCACGTGCTCAGGGAGGTTAGCGTTGTCTGAGCCGAAATGAGATTTAGGGCTTTTTGAGTTAACTACCTGAGTATTTCACACTCCACATCTTTCATCTCGCCCAGAGGTGTTTGAGATGACTGTGAATGTGTGAGTGTGATACCTGGGTGTGTAAACAGCGAGCCTTAAGCTATCCATGAGTCATTTTTCTCCATCTTCTTCTTCCCTTTGTGCAGGTACTGGAGTCTATCTCTTTGAGCCAAATTGATCTCATTCATACACATCTGTGCGCACTTACTCACACCTACTGATCAGTGAATCAAGCGCACTCATGATCATCCACTTCTTCTCTTCAGTGATGAGTTTAAATCCACCACCTGTTTAGAGACGGTTCTGTGGGTGTAGACCATCTTTGGAGTTGCTTCTGCATCTGTGTGTTGATTCTCAGACGGGGGAAGAATGCAGCCTGATTTCCCAGGAAATGACGTGATGCAGCTCGAATTAAAGGCTGCAATTCCACTGTAATAACCTCTGATATGAATTGATGCAATCACAGCATCATTAAGTGGTTTAAATAAGGATAATTCCCCAGCTGGAGGAGCTTAAACTGTTGCATTTAGTGTAAAGTATGCATCTACAGTTGTTTTGTGCATTCATGTATGGTGATGGTTTGTTGAAAAACAGATTTTACATTTGAGTTAATCAGTGATTTATAAATGTAGATGCCAGTCTAAACCCATATTTGGTCATAACTCTTTTTATAAGGGTAAAATTCAAGGAGTGAATCATGATACAATATTACGTAACATACAATAAACAATATTATGTAACGTGTCATAACATGACCCATAAATCGACCCTAATTTAGTCACAGCTTTTTAATGAGGGTGAGACTCACAGTATGACTCATGATACAAGACAAGACAGTTTGTCACTTCACGTGACATTAAGTTATGACACATCAGGTTACTGTACCTGACATTACCTAACCTTAGTCCTGTTAGCATCCTGTTAACTTTGCATTACTTTACTCCAATTTACTTATTCGTTATGTTACCTCACACAACTAAACTTTATCTTACGTAACGAATCAATACAACTTAAAGCAACATAAATTTGTGTTACTCTACCTTACTTAACTCAATGTATCTTTCCATAACTAAAAGTCCTACTCCAATTGTTTTTTTACTACTTAAAGTGTTCTCATTGGTCTGTAAACTGTGATTAAGTCTTTAGCCAAAATCATGTTACCTGTTTCGTTTTCAAGGGATTTACTTCTGCAGAGCTCCAGTAGATCATTAGCAAATCACATCTGAGTCGTGCATGGAGACAGCGCTGCTCTGCACAACTCTCCTCGAGATAGCTTGCAGCCTAACATTGCTGGTGTAATAGAAGAAACAGGTAACGTAGGAGCTATTCAGCTCTCGGACACTATTGTCTTTAGGGGCATGATAAAAGCTAATATCATATTAGCTTTCTTATGAGCATTATAACCCGCTAACACAGACGCTTGTTCCGCCATCGTCCTCTCTATTTCTCTGAGCCTGACCTGCATAGCCGGGCTCCGAGGGCGGAGCTTGGATTTGTGACATAGGAAATCTCACTGTATCTGATCCTGCCGTTTGGCTCTGTGAGAGATTCACTGCGATTTGAATGCAGAAATATGAATATGTAGACAACAAGAAAAACAGGATTTTCATCGGAGTGGGTCTTTAATGTGTCTTTTTATTGAGTTACTTTGCATTACTCTTTATTACATCACTACATTACATTACATAGATTTACTTCACATCATGTAACTTATTAACTTAATTCATTTACATTGTTCCTTTACTTTGCAACTTAACATCACTACACTTAATCTCCTGTTAGGAAACAGTGTGTAACTTATGTAACATTACTTTTTGTTATGTTACTCTCCAGAAACATTACGTTACTTTCCTTGATGCAACTTTCCATTACTTGACTTGACATTAATGTAACTTTACAGCAAGTTACACTATATATTATGTTTCATGACTTTGAGTTTCTCTGCACTGTGTCATATTAGGTTACGTAACACAACTTTACGTACTCTACTTTACATTATAAGTTGTTACTCTCTGTGATGTGTCCTTTCATAATGCAACTTCATTATTTTGTGTTACATTACATTCTGTTGTTCCGTTTTACTGTACTAAGTGTGTATTAGGTGTTTCATATCATTATAGCAAGTACAATTATTAAAAGGACTTTAAAATGAACCGTTTATGCTTGCATTTTCAATGTTTTTTGTAAAAGTGGTTTGAAATGATAGGGTGCATTAAGTCTTCTTGACTGTTTCCATGCAGCTCGGGTTTGTATCTAATCTGATAATGACTCCAGTTATAAATCAATAAATGAGAATTAAAAAAGATGAGATATTTTGTGTATGACTAATCAGTTAATCATCTTATTGATCTAAAAACATGCCTTTGTATATCAAGATTATGATGAGATTATAATAAAAGTCATCAAGCGCTCCTTGGGTTATGTAGAAATGTTAGTATTGGCATCACGTAACTTCCCCATTGTTAAATAAATTGTGTCCAAGCTACAAGCAAGAAGTCATTATGCTGTTATTTATTTCATCCTGCGCTGGTTTTGTATTAATAAATAATGAGCGTTTGTTATTATGCTGCTTCAGAGGACTCTTATTCTGAAAAGTTATGACTTGTCGGTAAGATAAGGACATGATGGTTCTGTGAATTTCGGCGTCTTTCACCTGACACTCACTCCTAAACTTTCAACCCTTCCCTCTCTTTGAGCCTATCCTGTGAGAGAGCAGCTCTTATCTGCCTTCCTCTCAGAGCTCGTCAACGTCAGGCTTGAAGAGTTTGCATCTGAACTGTTGTCAGCCGTGTGGGAATGAGAGCAAATTGCAGCTTCACGCTCACTCTGTTTCTTTTATCTGCGGTGTCACCTCTCGAGAGCTGTCTGTAACACATTGTTGTCAGAGCAGGTTTCGAAGCTAAAATATACAAATTGTCATGCAGCTGTTGATGAACGTTGATTTTTGCAGAAAGAGTGCGAACAAATGCTTCATTATGAATTAAAGATGTGATGAAAAAAGCTGTGACTTAATTACAGGCACGGTCCAAAAAGCGGTCAAACGTGGGCAGCTCTCCCAGACGTTTCAACACTCTGAATTCAAATTTCCTGTCTGTCTCCTCTCGCCAGGTTGATGTTTCCTCACCGGGCGCCCCCAGGGTCGCTTTCAAGCCTGACTGCCGACAGCTCGCCACCCCTGTCAGCCTCCTGAGCGAGCAAATTGAGCGCCCCTGGCTCGACATCACCGAGCACTGCGTCTGCCAGCGGTCCAGCCGAGCAGCCTCCGTGTTGCCCCGAGCCCAGCCTGCCTGGGCAGGACTGCGTCACCATGGATACCGAGTCCACCTACTCTGGGTATTCTTACTACTCGGGACGCTCCCGGGGATCCCACAGGCATGGGTAAGACCACATCTTTTATTGTCATTAAATGTGTTTCGTTCTGCCTTCACCTCGAGGGGACTGCTATTAAAGGAGTCAGTTTTATGTCCCAGACTAAAGCTCAGGGTTCTGGGACACGAGGGCCTCTTTTACTGTTCTCTTCAACAAATCTGAGCCCAGATACCAATCATCAGTTGGAGAAAGAAAGCCTGGGTTTCGTCTTTCCCTCTGACTCTTCATATACTTTATTATCCCAGCATCCTTAAGGATATACAGTCTCTACGACTAGCCTGTGGGTCAATCCAGATGAAACATTTAAGGTGTCTGGATCCAGAAAAGAAAGGGGAAACTTTTCTAACCTCCCTTCCAAAGGTCCTTGCTCCAGGGACATAACTTTCTAAGACTTACCCCCAATTTCCACCGCACCTGGAAGGCTTCGAATAGATACGAATAGATCGTAGCTAATCGTAACGATTCAAGTTAATGTGTCAATTTCTACCGGCTTGTTTCCATTCCGCAGCAGATCGTAACAGTTATATTCATTCCGGACGCCGGAGCTTGCCGGATAAATTCAGCACAGATTCGTCCGTGCTGAAAAGGAAGTCGGGCACAGATGCAAAATAAAACATCCGGCGTCTTTTCATGATAAAACACACACTTGTTTCAGGCGGATTGTATTTCACACCATGCAAACAGGCGGAGACGAACAAGTGAAAGGCTTTTAGGCAGCATTTCACCTCAGGGACACCATGGATGAGTAGATGCTGATTTTAGAAGTCTAGAGGTGGATTTCCTCCTCTGGAAGGACACAATCTACTGCTTATATGGTTAGTCTCAGTGGCGTAGAGATAACTCGTTATCGTGCGATTGCACGTGAATCTGCGGGTTCTTGTGATTACCACTGTCCATCAATCAGCGGATCCGGTAGGAATTGGCGGACGGCGAAATGATGGGTCTTGCAGCACTAAAAGCTCCTGGAACTCAAAGGACTCGTTACTTTTGGTGCAAATGTGTCAATAGCTACTGAATTGGTTCTCAGGATCCAAAGAGCATGGGTACTTCAGGGTGGGTTTTGCAGTACCAAAAGCTCCTGTAACAGATGTTATGATCAAACCAAATATGATCTCATTGATTTCCCAGCCATACCAGCCAGGGAGAGAGTAAAAGCAAACCAGGAACCATATGCTATGATATTTCGTTAAGAACTTTTTGGAAGACTCCAGTTATATCACTAATTTGGCAATACCACTAGGTATTGAGAAAAACATTACTTTCCAAACCCTTTCTTAGAGTTCTTGCTGTGGTGGTAGTTCTATCTAAAAGTACCAAAGGATGGGTCTTGCAGCGCTAGAGCCTCAAGAAACTAAAAGTTCCGGTTACTTTTGGTGGAAATGTTCAACATTAGTCGCTGAATTTGCCGTGATGTCCTGGCATCCAAAACTGAAATGTTTACCTTTTTCTGTGGTGCTACTTGGATCTATGTTATCAGGTTTTTTAAGCCAAACTGCAACTGAGGGGTTGTTTATGTATAGAGGCCTGTCTTTTGAGGCTTGTTGCCAAAAAGTGAACTATTATTTAGTGTTTTTTCTAATGGTTAATGAGAAAAGTGTCTTGCTGGTCTGCTTGGGGGCTTTTGCTGTGAGGCCTTTAATATCTGACACAAATATGCGGTTTTCATGGTTGTAAATCAAATATGTGATCAAGGCTTGATATTGAATTTTTAGTTTTGGTATGAAATTTGATTTTTTTATTGCTGCATTTATACTGCCTCAGCCCAACCCCAGTCCTCTCTGATCTCCTCCCCTCTGTCCTGGCGTGTGTGGAGCCCTCAGCTCGTGTAGGAGCATTAGTCTGTCAGCAGAGTAATGGCTGTGGTTGACAGGCCTCAGGAAGGCAGCAGGAGACAGGTGCCGGAGAGGCCTGGCTGACTGATGGCTCGGCGGACACGATGAGAGCCTGAGAGGAGATGAGTGGAGAGAAACTGGAGAGGAGGCTCTGCTTTCACAACAGCCCCTCCCTTGTTACTGTCAGCCCCCTCACTGCGCTACGCCATATATCTCAAGCGCCACACCCACTTTTTGCAGCCACCTGTTGCTGCTTCAGGGACTTTCTGGACACTCATTCCCCCTCACACTCCATCCTTCTAACTTTTTATCTCCCTCTTTCATACCCTTGTTTTTTGCTCCCATGTGCCCGCAGTGATTTCAACACAGCAGCTGCCTCTTTCTGCTTGGTTCTTGACCTCCTCCCCCCCTCCGCCCTCACCCTCTTTAATGGATTCCTGGCTGCTCTCTGAGGATGGGAAGGCGCAGGCGTATCACTTTTTCCCCCTCTTGCTCGCTCACATTCCCCCTGGGCAGGAATGTGCCCTTGTAGCTCAAAGTTACATGGAGCAAAAGTGGTCTGACTTCATTGGGAATCAAAGTGAGTAAAGGGGGAGAGGTGGTGCTTTGGAAATGATTAGAGGTGGTGGCTGCGGGAGCTCTTGTTTCCTTCTTCTGCTCTGTTTCCGAAGCTTTTTAAGTGAGTGACAGCAAATTGGAAAGCAACGTATGTGCATCCCCGCCAAGCGCCTTTTCCGCTCCTTTGCTCCTGCCGTGGCTGTGCCAAAAGCCACCGGCTGGCCTCTAATTTGATATTCAAACAAAAAAATAAAAAACTGTTGCCTTTGAAAGCCATGCCATCGCCATCTGAAGGTAATCTTTTTACGCTGAGGCAGTTCTGGATCGCTGTTGTCTAATTACACTGACGCTGGGAACAGATGCAGGCACAGGGGAAGGTTTTCCGCTGCTTGTGTGCGCGCGCGCCCATGCAAATAATCACACAGTAACATCATCATGCTGTCGTGTATTTGTATGTTTGCATATTTGCGAGGCAGTCTTACACCCAATTTGTCAGATTATAATAGAAGAATGGGATTGGCTCAGGTTTTCATAACCAGATGGAGATGGGTTTTGGAGTTGTTTCCTCTCAAATCTGGCTTTTTGTCTTCAACTGGTGTCCAAGTAACTTCCCCTGACTCTCCGGTGATTGCAGCTCTGTCTACAGACGCTACCAAGACACAAAAGACGCCAATGATACTGATTTCTCTTACTGCATGTTTTCGATTTCTTTCCTAGCTCAATAAGCAGAGATACAGAACAATACCCGTGAGGGATGTCTTTGTTTCAGGGACTTTTGCATCCAACTAGAGCTTCACAATTAATTACGAGGGAAAGACGTCGATCTAATTTCATGCCTTGGTTGTAATATTCCACAAAATAAATGAAAATACTTTGCCGTAGTTGATCACCAGACTTTCACCAGACCCCCTTTCAGTGAGTGTGGAAAATTAATATCGCAGCACTCGACTCCACTTTTTCTGTGGAAGTTCCCCCCTAAGCCCTGCTCCTTGACTCTTGTCAATTTATGATGTTAAATTGTGGTAAAATTGCAAATCTCACATTAGCAGCTGCTCATGTGGAAAATGAGTTCTTTTGATTGGTCGAACTCCAATTACAGGGCAGCGTGCAGCATCCACATGAGACTAAGTGAGTAATCCAGACTAATTCATTCACAATTAAAACACCATTTCAAGGCTCCCAATACCCCACCTAAAGGAGACTTTATATTGATTGTGCGCAAGTTGATTGTTAAATTTTTTTTATGTTTACAGATGTAATTAGTCTGAATGCTGTGATTAAAAAATGTGGCGCTAATGAGAATCAATCACAGATTCCTGGAAACGGCGTGTGATAATCCAGGACTTCTGGAAACCCGAGTTAATGAAGGTCAGATGTAAGAAAATGGAAATACACCACCTGTGGGAGCTTTCAGACTCATGAACCTGACTCCACAGCTACAGGGACATATGAGCCATAGTGAAGGTATTTGGCTGTTAAGCTTAATTAGAAATGCTTATCATTCCATACCATACGATACCATAATCAATTATCTGAATGAAGATAATCCTGAGGGGCAGCCGGACCACAGGACCGCTTATCAGACCAGAGCCCCTTCAAGTGGGATTGCACGTGCTAAACAGCTGACTGTATTAAACTCACAGAAGTTCAGAGCTTTACTTTGGGACCTGTTCAGCTTAATATTTGTTTTTTAAAGAGAGGAAATGTAATCAAATTCAAACACTTTCTTTCTCGCTCTATAATGTGTTTATGGGTTTAAAATGACCACACTGAGTGTGCGCATGGTCATTTTTTATTTGGCTTCTTAGCTCGATGAATTTGGCCGAGGCCGAGCTGTCCACTGGTGACTCGGCTCAGATGGCTGCACCGACACAAAGATCAGTGTCACAGAGGTGTATGAGGCGCCAAAGAGAGAGCAAATTGGTCCACAGACAGCTTGGCGTGCCTTGCTAGTTGGCTCCACTTCCTCAATAACCGTCCCTCTATTGCTCTTTTTCCTCTCTGTGTGAGGCGGAGAAAGCGATCATGGCCACGCTCATCCTCAGGTGTTAGAGGGAAACGAAGCAACCGCAGTCTAATTGGCAAGGCTGTGCCCCGGCTCGCCAGGCGACGGTCTCATCCCCTCCTCCTCCCCCCTCATATCCTATCCTCACTGTTCCAAAAAGCCATCCTGGTTTCAAGGATCCTCGCTAGAAGTCAAATTCCATTAATCAAATCATAGCGCAGCACACTGCTGGAATACCAACGAGCCGGCTGCATGTTAATGAGCCAGAAAGGGGGATGTGGGGAGGAGGGGGAAGGTGTGCATGTGAGTTGGAAGCGGGGTTTCCACACGGTGCAATCACCCCAGAAGCTCGCTGAAGGGGGAATGAGAAAAATGGGCTGGGGGAGGGGAGGGGCTGCAGACAGAGGCCAATCTGTTCAAACTGAGGCTGCTCATGGTCTGCTCGCCCTGTGTTTTCTGTCTGTGTGCACCTACAATAGAACTGGACCACAGTTTGGGTCCCTTTCCGTCTGCTTTAGAACCTTATAATACATCACACTTTACAATGACACACATTTAGAAATTGTTTGCTGAAATAGTTAGCAGATGATTCAAATTTAAGTCTTTGTGACTCCTCAAACAGGTTTTGTTTGAAACTTTTAACTTCATTTAATGCACCCCAAAACCTCCAGCTGTGGAACATGGCAGCACCACAGTATGAATACATGCTCAAGTGGACTTATATTTGTGTTTTCCAGCTATAGAGAGAGATATTAGAGAGATATTTTTTATTCGATCAAATATACATAAAGTACAATTTTAGACAAGAAATTCACCTATTTTTGGAGCTCAAAAAGGAGAAGGTAGAAGCTATTTAGCGTATTTGTACCCACCCTCATTTCTTCCTATCTGTTGACCTTTTACATGTCTCTAGAATTTTAGGATTTCTTAAGTCGCCAAAAAGTAACCAAAGTTCCAAAGTCTAACATGAATATGTAACAAATTATTAATACTGAGACAAAGACCTTATATAGATACATATATACACCCATACCTATATACACGTATATACACACAAATATGCACTTCATTTATATACCTATAAAACTTCAAATCTCTCATTTGTACCATTTGTACCATATAGGTTTAACTAACTTACTTGCTTCATTAATTACTTGCAAACTTGTGCACAATATTTACTTACTTGTCTACTTACTTACTAACTTGGTCACTCCCTAACTGTGTTATTTGTAAACGTGTTCACTTGTTTGGTTACTTTCTCACTTTGTTTTTATGTTTGCTTGCTCACTTTCTGACTTGCTTGTTTCTTTACTGACTAACTGCTGCTGCCATGTTAGCTTAGGTGGCCTGTGCTTGCCTAACAACAACCAAAAGTCAGAATAATAATATATGATAACAGCTAGTCCCCAGATTCTCTGATAAAATCTCCATCCTTAGCAACAGTCTGTTCTCCATGGCAACAGTTTGCTATAGAATAGAATAGAAGAATAGAATATTCCTTTAATGATCCCCCATGGGGGAAATTTTTTTGTCACAGCAGCATCACAGACAAGACAAAAAGTGCAAAAATGCAGTTATAACAATAGGGGCCCTAATATTAAGAACTTAAATAAATGTAATAATTAAGAAAAAAATTAGAAAAGGGAGAAGAAAAAATAAAGCTTTCTACAATATACACAATTTAAATGCCATAAAAAAAGTGGTGGTGTAAAATCAGTTTTGTTACTGTTCATTGTAAAGTCTTATTGCAGAGGGGAGGAATGATCTGCGGTAGCGCTCCGTCCTGCAGGGTGGGAGTCTCAGTCTGCTGCTGAAGGAGCTGCCTAAAGCCCCCACAGTCTGGTGCAGTGGGTGAGAGGGATTGTCCATGATGGATACAAGCTTTGTTAACATCCTCCTCTCACCCACCTCCTCCAGGGAGTCCAAAGAGCAGTCCAGGACAGAACCGGCCCTCCTGACCAGGAATAACAGACAGCCACTGGTCAGAATCAAGAGAGTAACAAACTTATGCTGTGTTCAACTTACCTCGGAAGTCAGAAGTCCGAGCTGGGAAAGACGTCACACCGGAGTTACCAGCATTTGAGTTACCAAGTGGGAAAAAAGCAAAATCGGAGGCGGAAACAAAATGGCTACATATACAAAAGCGCTTGCCTTGTCCGAATATAAGCAAGGACAAGGCAAGCGCTAAAATAACTTTCGTTTTTCGCTCTTTTCCGACTTGGTCTCTGAAACACTGGTAACTCGGGTGTGCCATCATTCCCAGCTCGGACTTCTGACTTCAGAGGTAACTCGAAAACGCAGCATAAGTTTGTTAATTTCTTGATTCTGACCAATGGCTGTCTGTTATTTCTTGATAGCAAACTGTTGCCATGGAGAACAGACTGTTGCTAAGGATGCAGATTTTATCAGAGAATCTTGGGACAAGCTGTTATTATATCAATTTAAGCAGTGATTTGATTGTCTGTTTGTTGACAGTGGCCTTTCCCTTCCCCTCTCTTTCCACTCACAGTGTCTTATCACTCCGCCGCTGACTTTAAAGAGGGACCTCTGCTTTATGAGTCCTGCCGCTCCTCCCAGTCTCCTCTCCTCCATCTCTCCTCCTCATTTATAATGCTAATCAGTGACAACCTCTGAGCTATGAGCACTCCCCCTAGACTAACAGCTGCTGCAGAGATGATGATAGCTGTAATAATGTTTAACGGAACAATGATGGCCGCTGTAATACATTTAAAGGCTTACATCAACCTCCTAATCTCCTGGATTTAGCAGATAAGAAAACGTCACTCAGTCTGTCAGGGAGGAGAAGCCGCCTCAGGCTGTGTGTGGAAAGTTCTCTTTTCTTACAGCGTTTGGATTTGAAACATCAGCTGCTGTTGTTATTTCTTTTTATAGGAAATTGTGTCCACATTGGAAAGGAAGTACAGGAATAAAAGCGGAAAGCAGAGTGGTTAACACCCCTTAATCAAAACATTCAGGTCCAGTGAAACTCTATTAGACTGGAGCATTTCCTCCACTGTTAATCATACTGGCTCCTCCATTACCCCTGCAGGCAGGATATCCTGCACATTATGGTTATGAATTGTTATTGTGTGAGAGAGTGGTGCTAAAGGGTCACTTGAGTTTTGTGTTTGACATTTATAATTTAAGGGAAGGAGCACCAGATCTCACTGTACGGCTCAACACTTATTCAAGGATTTTTAATCAAGACCCTGGACCCTGTCAGACTGGTGCCACTATCTCTGAAGTGGAAATCACTGCATGGGCACAGCCTTATATATATCCTAGGAGGCCACACTTGAACTGGATGGAGAATAAAGCTTACATTTGCTGATGCAGCTTTGAAGAGAGAGTAAGAGCGTCCTGTGCTGGAGTGTCTTAATGGAAGGAGCTCCATGGAAATGAAATTTGTTGCGCATCTATTGTGATGACTCTGAAACAAAAGGAGTGATTACTGTGGAACAACATGCTCAGAGACAGGAAAATGAATTAGCATTAAGAGGACAACAGCATCTGAGACCTCCTTTGTTGCAGCTTAAATAGACGGTTTAAAGATGATTTCATTCACCTGATGTCCATCATGTTTAACCAGTTATATCTATACAGCATCCTCAGCCTTTTCCTCAACCTAAACTCGAAGTGTACTTTGTACTCTTACCACATCTACTCTGTCTAAAACCTCAGTGGCTGGAGGGGGAGGGAGACAGATGAGAGATTAACGGAGCTTTTCTGTAGTAATAGAGCTGCAGAGTGGGCACGGTGCCATGTGGCGATGCCGCTGCCGGGCGGAGGATGCAGAGACCCGCCGAGCGTTCACGCTCTGTACAGGATTAGAGCTGTAAGTACAGTGGGTCAGTGCTGCTAATGGAGCTCATATGCTGGAGTGATGGAGGGATGGAGTGAGAAAGGAGGCATGTATATGGGGCAGAGTTCATTTGAGCTCTATGCTGGTTCAGTCCTTAAAAATCAGACTTAGACGTACACAACAAGCAGTTTTATCCCCCCCCTCTCACACACAGAGCTGCTGGGCTCTTATCTGACTCTAACAGCAGCCTGTTGTTGTCACTGCTCTCTTTGTATGTTCTGTATATGTTACTCTGCATATTTCTGCATGCCTCTGTCTGTGTTGTTGTCTGCTAAGCTCTTTTGCTTTTAAATAGGGCAAACCAAAGTGAGTTAAAAGTCAAAGACCTAGTTCGCACTCGCTATCTCGGGTTCATTTTGAAGAAGACGTGGTTCATTTATGCAAAAATAGATGAAAATGGAATCATTTGGGGGCAAGAAGTTTACTCGTTTGCCCCGACTTCACCTCAGACTTATTGTTCTTTATTTAAATTGTTATTTTTGCTTGTGTCTTTGTTTGACAGAGAGCGAAGCCGAGACCGCCACAAATCCCGCAGCAAAGACAGCCGCTCAGAAAAGTCTGTCACAATAAACACGCCGCCTGCAGAGCCGCTGCTGGGCGACTCGTCTGTCCGGGGTGAGCAGGTCCAGGTAGGGCTGAACGCAGAACCACTAACACTTCAACACAATGCTGCATCACTAAAACCAATCCATACACCTACATCCACCCACCTTCACTGAACGGTTTGAGCTGCAGGCTGCTATATGGATGCTTTTAACACAAGATAAGAGGACTCTGTAAAAAGGATTTGGAGCAAAGGAGATTTATCAAGTCACGATTGGAAATGAATGGGAATGATAATCAGCCCGGGCTGGGACAGGCCATCTGGTATATGAGGGCAAAAACCAGGAAGGGCTAGACCACTTTGGGTAAAATCTAGGATGTGATTTTTAATGAAATCTGTCACTGCAAACATCTGAAACAGGATATCAATCAAACAGGTTGTTTCTTCCATCAGTTCCACTGCAGGGAGTGTGGTAATCGATGATACTTTATAATGCAAGCTTTGGAGGTGCATTCAGTGACCCCCGCCTAAGTGGATCAGACCATGTGAAAACAGCAGCTTAGCAGTTTGTAACTCAGTGAAAATTCAGGCAGTACCTCAGAAATGAGGCAGACTTTGATGCCAGTCAATGCCTGATCAAAAAATGGATTATGTGATGGAGTATTTGATACATCAGAGATATAAGGTAGGACTCTGCTCAGTTCCATCTGTCACTTTTACAACCTGAATAACAACTTCATACATGCTCAACATAAAGGTCATGTATGGGCATTCATGTTCTTGCCAAGTAGATAATCCTCTCACTCATTTTGATTTCATTAAACAAACAGGCGTGTGATTATGTTTCCTGGAGTGAGATAAAAGGAAGAAAGAAAAGAGCAGATATCAGCGTGTCTAGCTGGGCAGGTTGGCATGTCAGGACACGAATATCCTAATAGCACTCGAGGGAAACACAAGGTCTGGGTCCAAAAAACTCTAAGAGTGAAAATGAGTAATAGCCAATTTGTCAGCTCAAGTTTTGGGTGGTATTGTTGAGCAACAACTCAAGATAAATGCAAAGAGTTTACTCTGTGAAGGTCAACCAGACGCAGAAAGTGAGAGTTTTAAAATAACTTTAAGGCATCGTGACTGATGACCAAGTCATGCGTGTGTTACTCATACTGGAAACAGCAGCAAGTAAAGTTGTGGTTTGCTGCAGGGGTGTTGAGAGCTTTTCTAGTTTTTTAAAGGATTAGTCTAATTGCTGGTGTATTGTTTGAAATCGTAAGTACTTGTCCTTAACTCTTTAATGATGATGGTACGGGTAATTAAAGTGTTTTGTGGTATTTCCCATACTTGTTCGGACAGTGACTACTTCTGTCCTGAGTATTTCAATTCCTTCATTTGCTCAAAATTGCACACTGATCTTTATTTATGCATGTTTGCCCAAACATTCACTCTTTTTATGTCATAAACAAGTAACTTCCATTCATATTGGATCATATCTGAAGACCATTTATCAATAGCACTACAGAACATGGTTACATCTTGAGGCCTGACCAATACCAGATTTTAAGCACGACACTGTACAGATTTAAAAGTGGAAAATTTAACGCTGATGATGGCTGATAAAGTAAGTACAGTATAGGCAAGAAAGGGAGTTTTTGGTGTTTGGAGCATTTATTCAGCCCAATTTCAAGGTGCCGATATAAAGGAAATCTGAGGCTGATATAACTAAAAGGAATACTGATATTTTGTCATGATATAATCAGTGAAAGAGTGCACACTTATCTGTAAAAATTTACAACAATACTGATACAGCTGCCAATATCGGCCTGATATTGTCAGCATACTAATATCTATTAGCCATAATATCACTGACATGATGCAAAAGATATACAGTCTATCAGCTTTTACAGTCTTTGCAATCGATACCGATATCATGTCTGATATTGGTAGAAAATAAGTCAATTTCAAACATGGCCGATATCAGATACCTTTATCAACTCAAGTACCTTCTAACGGTGGTTGTCTTATTACATGGAATATTGATATTATGATCAATGAAGGAAGTGACATGTCTGCAAAAATGTACAACAATACTGATACAGCTGCCAATATCGGCCTGATATTTTCACCATACTTATATCTATGAGCCATTATATGACTGACATAAAGCAAAAGCTTATTACGTGTGCTGATATTTAGATGACAAATATTGGCCAGCTAATATATCTGTCAGTTTGGACAAGCCCAGATGCTTTTAAAAATCAGGGAGGAAGCTGTCAGGACATCTTCATGAGTAGTTATCTGTCATTTCAGTGTGTGAAATCTGCCAGATTCATCTTTCAGCGTGCTTTGAAAGCAGGAATTTCAACACTTGCTCCTGGCAAGAGTCAAGCGCATGTGATGAAAAGAGAAATGCAGATCCAGCCTCGGCTTACCCAGGAATGACCTGCTGGTCTAGCCAAACAACTGTCAGGCACTGTGGCCTTCATCAAGTGCTCAGCTTAGCCTGCTGGAGGGAAAAGATGACAAATACGAACTCTTTCAGACACTCGGAACATTCACCAGCGTTTACTGACCTACTTGGAGCTAGCTTTCCCTCGTGGCAAGACTCGTTAACAGCGGCCCGTATATGTGTGACTGTGTTTTTTAGTCTGCAGAGTGTGTCTAATTTTAACACATGACAGGATTTGCCACAGAGCAAAGCTATCCTCAGTATTTTGCTCTTCATGACTTATTCATGCCGTGGCCTGCAGTGGTGTCGCTGACAGGGCGGGGAGTGTTTGGCTTTAGTTTGAGTAATCAGGGCCACCAAATCTACAGAGAGAGAGGCTCAGCACAAATCCATGTGTGTCTGTGTGTGCGCTCTGGTCCACCGCCTCACATATGCCCCTGTTTGTGAGCGTTTTGTGTCTGCATGCGTCAGAGTCCAAGTGTGCAGCGCGGCGCTCATTACTTCACTGCTGGGATTTCATCAGAGTCTTGGCTGACAGAGCAGCTCACCGCTCCAGGCAGGGATGTCCTCAAAATCAAGCACAAAAAAGTTTCTCATGGCTGCGATTCCTCTGTGATGCCTCACCCCGGGATTGATAAACGACATGCGAATGTGTCAAAAAACACGACGGGAGATTCAAGATTATCACCAAACCAGCCAGAGAAATGTTCGGAGGATTTGCCTTCTGCTGGGAGAGAGTGTTTGTGTGTGTAAACTTCTTCCCTTGGCAGCGAGAATTCACAAGAGTCTGAAGACATATTAAAGAAACTGGGAGCAACATTTGTAGGATTAGGTCGACATTTCGGGAAAATCATTCAGCCTTTTGTGTCTAAACTGAATGTCAGGCTGGATTTGGAAGCTGGTTAGCTAAGCTTTGCTCAGCATCAAGGCAGGGAGCGAACACATACCAGCAAGCTCCTCTCAAGATCTTTACTTACATTAGCTGCTGACAGGTGGAGAGCCAAGCGAGAAGGCGCCTTCTGTTTCCAGTCTCTATACTAAGATAGGCTTACCAGCTACATATTTGATCAAGATAAGTGTTTGCACCAGCGCTGAGTGATTAATCAAATTTCGATTTCAACCACAGTTTTTGCCCCCCGCAGTCACAATAACAAGGTAATCAACATTAAATGATTACTGTGCCTCCTGCCGTGTTGGGCTCATTTTGTCCTACATGACGCATCTCTCTACCCCTTCCCCAAAAAACACCAAAAGCTGCTAGGAGTAGCATACATTTCCCACAGTTCCCAAATTACACATGAAGACCATGCTTCCAGTCGCTTACATGTAAACAATACTTGCACTTAGAGATCTCGCAGTCTGCTTTTAAAGCTACCATGTGGAACTTTTGGTCTGTGTTGGTTTTGCTGATGGGCTTATTTACATTTAAAGGTCATACAGAGTAGGGCTGCACGGTTTAGTGTTTGAGTATCGTCATCACGATGTACTTGTGCGTGGTAGTCACATTGCAGAGCCTGTAGGAGGCGAATAAACTCACCTAATTTCAAGGGTAGCTGACTGAGATACACTGCATGTGACTCTGCATGTGCTGTGCAGCGATCCACCAATCACATTCGTTCTTTCCTCAGTTGCCAATCAGACTACCCTGCCAGCCGTCAATCAAATACAGAGAGGAGGAAACCACGCCCCTGAACATGGAGTGAGTCACTGGCGCTGCCGATGACGTGCTGAGAAACGCATACCCGCTGAGAATTACTTTCAGAAATTACTTGTCACTGTTTAGCCCAACAAATAAGAATTGTATGGGTTTTAAATTGTACATTTGTACTCTACTATAAGCACAAGGTGCATGCAATTCTCGGCGGGCATGCGTTTCTCGGCACAACACCGGTAACAACAACAACGATTGCAAAATGAGCAACGAACAAAAGGAAACCACCGAAAATGAAGACTTGTTTCTAAAGAGAAAAGGAAAGTCAGTTATCTGGAATTATTTTGGTTACAAGAAGGATGATGTCGACCAAAACACGTATTCTGTGTTCATCTGTTGCCACAATAATGTCCCAGCACAATAAAAGCAAGCGAAAAAAATCTCTGAGACAGACAGAAGCAATTCTACTAACATCCACAAAAAGATCAGTGTGGGTCAATTGTCCACAAAAAGATCAGTGTGGGTCAATTGTCCACAAAAAGATCAGTGTGGGTCAATTGTCCACAAGACTTCAGCAGTGCAGCATAGCAAAAAGTGCTATTCGGGTCATCTGGTGAAAATTCCTGTATTCTTTAATATCGCAATATATATCACAGGGTTGAAAAAAATTGCAATCGTTTTCTGATATCGTGCAGCCTTAATACAGAGGCATCAGTATCAGTTTTTAGCTTATTTCTCAAACAGTTGAAAGTTCCTTACAGTGCCTTTAAACTGTTGGAGCACAGATTGGAGCAAAGCCGAGTGCCTTTGTGTGTATGACCTGCTGCAGATGGGTCGGCTGCTCCAGGTAATTTAGCGAATTTAAGCAGCGAAATTTGGTTATTATCAGTACTTAACTTTGTCATCATTTTAGCATTACTGAGGGAACACGAAGGACACGACTCCTGCTGCAGGGCACTGTTGAAATGTTCCTCATGTAACCCCACATCACAATACGTGACCCATACCGTCAAGACAGCTACTATTAGTTTGGTATTAATGTACTTTTTCACTACTGTTGAGTTACTGATTGTGGCAGAGCTCAGAAGAGGCAGGTTTTTAAGTGTTTTTGTTGCGCAGCTCTCAACAGATTAAGTTGATTTAATAAGAAGGGAGATTCCAGTCTGGGCTCTTTGGCTCAGTCCCCTTTGCCAGCCCACTTATCTTTGGAAACAGATCCAGACTCCACTCTGTTTTATAGCCTATATAGTATCTTAAACAGGGTTGCAACATGCACGTCTCTCTGTGTTACCTCAGATTGCTTGATATGTTTGAAGAGAACTATGCAGCAGGTTGCTCTAATTTCAGGGAGCAGGCCAAAGCTCCAGGCTGTATGCTAATATGTCATTGTGACAGATTCACTTAAGGTGCTCGTTCAGTATTAAAGATCGGTTAGAGTTGTGTGTGTGGATGCTTCTTCTGCCGCTGTACTTTCCCAGCGGGTTTTAGGACAATGGAAGAGAGTATAGCCTGGTCCAAGCCTCCTATAGGTGAACCCGCACTACATCAAACGAGTAATTAGGTCAATTTACCCTGCTGTTATTGTTATAAGAAACTCAATATTGGAGTGGATAGCGAGAGGAGGATTTTGGGAGCTCAGGTCAATGTAGCATGGCAGCTTTGCGGCTTAGGCGCGCAATGTGGAGTGGCATTGTTCGAGGTGTCAAACAGGAGAAATGTGATATGTTTAAAACCGTGAAGCATTCTTTGTGAATTAACACCTTCATAGCGGCGAGAAAGTGGTGTCGGGTTTATTTTTACAGCGTTAACATGCAGTTTGGATAAGAAAGCCTTGTGTGATTTGTGCCGTAAGTGGATGGATCAGCAAGTTGAAGACACAAGTGTTTGATCTTGGCCTCCCCTGCTAATGAAGGAGAATGTGAAAGATAATTTGGCTCAAATACACATAAGCCTTTTTGATTAGACTGGCTGGCATTTGATTGCACAACCTTTAAAACACTCCTCTACATTTAAACAGAACAAAACCATTTGTTGCAATACAAAACCTATTAAACGATACTATACTTTAGGGTACAGTATAATACAATGGAATACAATATGTCATGTCATCATCCTGTATTTTTCAGGATGATACAGGTTGATACAGTAAAAAATAACAGGATGCAATATGATATGTTATACTACAATACAACATGTGTCAATATGATACATTAGTATAAGTTACAATTACATTACATTACATACAACATGTTAGAAATATGATACAAGTTGATACAGTTTGTTACAAACTGATGCAATGAGGTCTGTCACTGCATCGCTATCTGTTGCATAATGGTTCCATATGATATACTACAGTAAGATATGATGTGACACGATACAGTATTTCACCGTCATATATGGTAAAATTCATTACATCACAATCTGATCCAACATACTATATGGCAGAATATGACATGATACATTATGATAGAATGAGTCACAATGTAATGTGATATTACATTATCATATACTACCATAAAATAGGACATGATACATTATGATATAATACACTTTAATGATGTTAACATTGACTTAACAGCAAGACTATCCCCAATACTAAAATATCAGTAATTTGCACAAGCAGTAAGATAATTACAAAGCAAAAGCATTTGTAGTGATTATATGGCAAACTTGCTGATACAGTATTTTAGAGTAAGGATATTGGAAACAGATACTGATGCCAAAACTGGTAGTGAATTTGCTCGCATTTTTGCGAATATCATAGTTAAGAGTTTTAGTAGTGGAGGCCGATACTGATGCGGATATCAATGGTGAATCTACTTACATTTTTGCCACTACCATATATAAGAGAATGATTATTAGCAGCCGATACTGACCCTGGTAATGGTAGTGAATATGCTTGCATTTTTGCTAGTACCGTATTGAAAAGTATTCAAGGCTGATACAGATGCCAATACCAGTTATCTATATTTTTTCCATATTTTAACAAAATAGTATTAGAGGCTGATACTGATCTAGGTGACATTAGTGAATTTCCTTACCTTTTTTGCTGGCATCATATTTAACAGAAGAATATTGATGCTGAAACTGATGCCGATACTTACTGTGAAATTAGTGGTATCGCAGTTTCAGGCTGGAGTATTGGTGGCCAACAACTGATACCAGTACAGGTTTTGAAGTCAGTTCTGTACTTGCAGTGAGATATCACAATTCATCCAGTCATAACAGCTGACTGGTATTGGTATTGATATCAGTATCAGTCCAGTTTTTGTCATGTGCTCTCTACTTCTGCCTGAATTTTGTTGTGTTTAATCAGTATTTACAGCTCACAGCATGCTGGTTCAGTTGTAACATCAAAGATAACGAGTGTCGTGATTTCACTCTAATATTTGCCAAATTAAACAAATGCTCTTCTTGCCAGTTCTCATAGGAAGTCTGCCAACAGCCCGCAACCTCCCGCTGTTTCACCCTCTACTCACCCTCTCTGCAGCTCAATTCATTTAACCTAATATAATCCAGCTGCTTTGTGGTTTCAGCTGTGCACTTACTTAAGCTGGACCCCCTGTACAGTACCAGCGGCGCCACTCCTGGCATTTCTCTGCCAACCACAGAACAGGTAGCTTCACCAGCCACAGACTCAGAGGGGCGCACAGGCAGACATGCCGGTCTCTTGGAAGAAGCTGGGGACTTGTGTTCATATGTGGGATTTCTGTCCTATGGTGAGTGCTTCCTGGCTAAGTCTCCTGTGAGACAGAATCCCTGCAGAGCTTCACAGTTATCCCGCTGCTTGTGTGAGTTTGACTTAGCTTGTCTTTTACTACGTGCTACCACCAGACTGTACGCTCAGTGGGTGGGCAAAGCAGGAGGGAGAAAGTGAGATATTCCTAACACTTTACTCTGAAGGTGATTTTTAGTGACTTTTGAGGCTTTTATTCTGGAGCTGAAAGTACAGAGACAGGAGCCCGAGCGAGAGAGGGGAGGATGGGGGATGACATATAACAAGTGGACAAAAACAAGGGCCAGGATAGCAGTTATTTGAGGATTGTAAGGTCAGCTAGAGATGACTTTGTGGCTAAGTATTAAAAAGAAAGATGACAACAGCAGGAGAAAACAGTTTCCCTGTGATTGTCTGATTTGTCCAAGTGGCATTTTTTATTTATAAAGTGATGAGAATCAAATTGGCATCACTGCATATCTCTTAAAGTAGAATGTACAAGAGACCAACCTGCTATAAAATCCACTCACTCTGTTAGACTGGTAGCTTTTCAGTCTTAAAGATAAGGTAGGCAGGAATCCGTGAAAGAAGCATCTTTTTTTGTGGTGTATATACAAAAAAGCTTTTAATATCAGTCAATAGCTAGTAGTTATTAATGACATTTGGCACTATAACAATATTGTTGTGTTCCGCTATGTCTGTGTAGTCAACATTTTCAACTTTTTGAGTGGCCCGCTCTTTCTGACTGTAAACAAAGCCATTCACCACCTCCCCCAACCTGATTGGTTATGAGGCGGACGCCACTCCCTTGTGTTGTGAGGCACACTCCACAAATAACGTTCAAGAGCCCAAACAAAGTTAGCTTGCTACAACATCGGACAGTAGAAACCAACCAGAAAGTGTGGAAAACACACACAATAAAACAAAGTAAATACCGGAGACTCTGGCGGAGTAACGGGTGCTTAAAATGGAGGTAGACCAGAGAAGTACTAAGAAGCCGGGTCAACATCAGCATAAACGATGGGGGACGCATCAGGATCTTATGGACCCTGTAACCTAGTTGTAAAAGTCCTGCAAACATTGTGTTTGCTGGTAGTCTGTTGGCATCTACAGTAGCACCAATGCTTTTTACTTTCAAGTTGACTGGGCCCCATTTGTAATTATCTGAAGTATTTATCTGCATTATATCTGAATTTAATTGGAACGATACAAGCGAGCAGGAGCGTCTATTTGTGGGCGGGGCTTTCTGGAGCAGAGAGGGAGGGGAGAGGAGGAGCTGAGGGGAAAACTGGTTGGGAGGGGTAGTGTTTACATTCAAGATTTCTCCCAAAAACTGGCACTTCCTCAGATCCTGCCTACCCCACCTTTAAAGTGAGTTTGTTTTTGTGAAATCCATGAATTTTCTCTTCCATAGAGAAGTTAAGTTAGATTGTCTGGATCCAACCTCCCAAATAATCGCCATTCTGTACCTTTAGTACAAAGTATAACATTTTCAACCTTAAAAATTGGCCATTGAGTTCAACACTCAGTGCTAGCTTTATTTGAACAACTAGGCTCTGCACTTATACTTGATTTTCTGACTAATAAAAATGACTACCCATGATTTGACAGCTGATCTACACACATTTATTCAGCTTTTACAACCCTTTTTAAAAACTCTTTAATTCTTTGAAATCCTTTCCTGAGATATACACACACATATATACACACACACATGCAGCGTCACAGTGGCAGCTCGGCCACACCACGGTGCTCACTGGGTCAGAAAGAATGGACGGAGAGTGGTGCTGAGGCAAGAGACGAGCGCAGAATGAGGAGGAGAATGAGAGAGGATGCCTTCAGGGAAAGACGGATAAAGGGAGAGAGGGAGGGAGGAAGAAGAGAGAGAGAGAGGAAGAGTGAGGAGGAGGAGGAGGAGGGCAGGATTGCTCCTAATTGGTGTCTCCTTGTTTATTTATTGCACTCCTGTGCATCACTCTACCCACTTCTTTGCCTCTCTATCAATCTATCCATGCATTTGTCAATCCCATCCATCCCTGCTGATGCCAGGACATCCCATTTGATCCTCTCATCGACCCCCTCCTCCCTCCATCCCTCCTCTTCCTCTTTCCTCCTCTCTGCACTCCCTCACTCCATAAAACCTCGTACATTATGTGGCAAGTGTGCGCATGGTCCCATACAATGCCCTCCTGAGGCATGATTGGAGAGATTTCTATATAAAGACGGATAAAGCGAAGGCCGGGCTCCAGATCAGGAGGAAGTCAGGGAGTTCACACAGACACACGCACACGAACAGTACGAGACAGGGATGACGTTTGTGCAAGCGGGACCGAGCTAAAGTTCGCCGGGTTTTAATTTTGGGATGCAGTCGCCGATGGTGATGGAGGCGGGAGAGGCAGTCTTGCAGGTGCTGGAGGTTTGCGAGAGTGTGGAGGAGAAGAAGGAAGTGATTGTCACCACTATAGACCAAGACTCGATTACCAACTCACTTCCAGGAGCCAGCTCCGGAGCAGGGACTAAAACAAGCCAGGTAGGACGGGGGCAATGTCAACTGGTGGACTTACTTGCTTGACTGCTGAAATTTGAAAGAAGAAGCTTTAGACATTTGTTCAGAATAAAATTACATGTTCTTCCTTACGGGGGGGATAATGTATGGTGAGCAGGTGGTTATGCAAATCAGAATCTGGATTTTCATAACCATCCATTCATTGTACGTTTATTGTTTTTTTTCACAAGCTAAGGGATCATTAGCTGTAGCTCTCTTATTCCAGGAGATAACTCAAAATTTTCATGTCCAGATTAAATTATATTAACCCAACTGGGCATTTGACCTTATAAAGGGCTTAACAAGTCTTTTGTTTGATTCTTTTCCTGTTAAAATTGTCATGGCTGAAGTGCAGTCATGTGTGGTCCCAGAAATTTTTCAGTTTTGGCTGCATCCATGAATACAAACAGACGATTTTTCACACATAGACCTAGCCTAGACTTTTATTCCTGACAGCTCCCCAAGGGTGTAATATCTGCTGTAAGTCCAGGTGATTAAAATTTTCCAGTGAGTTCAGCAAAATATGTGACAAGCCCTGAATCTATAGTTGAAGCAGTTTAATGTTAATTGCTGAATTAGAGGTTCTTTACCACCTTTTTGTAAATTTCCCTCATGTAATCCAACTCAATTTACTCTTTAACCAAGTGCTACTCGACTGTCAGTCTCCCATTGTCTCACAGTCTCTGCTTTATCCAGCGAATTAGCCGAAGGATCTTAAAGTGCTTCCACTCCTTGTCATGACAAGTTCTTGGCAGACTCTTTCACTGTCCACGGCTTGAACAAAGCTGGTTTTAAATGGCTGTGAAGAGCTCCTTCTGAATGCATGTTGCTATATTCTTCAGACACGCACTCACCTCGCCACCCAGGAGTAAGTTGAGTGCTCTTGTTCCCAGCGCTGAGCGAGGGGCTTTGTTTGCAGCCCACTCACCACTAGACAACAGGAAAAAAAACAGGCTTTTAGTGGACTTTTGATTTATGCTGAGGGACAATGGCTGTTATTTATACTCAGGTGGAGAGAGAAAGCTGAAAATACTCTGTTGAAAGCTTTGTTAATGCACGCTGGCTGGCTTAGCATGCTAGGGCTGACTAGAGTGAGCGCTAAATATACCTGAGTACACACGCTAACACGCACTCCAGCTAAATGTAGTGGTGGTATTTCCCAAAAGCCCATGTGAGTAATTGTAGTCGTAAATTATTTTTGCAGGTTAGTTTTGTTTATCGGGTTTCAAGAAAATGAATTCTTATTTCAAATAAAGGTCCTTGCACACCAGGAGCATTTTTTTCGTGCGATTATTTCGGACGTCAGTAATTTTTTTCCGAACCCGTATCCTGTCAATACAAGCGTTAACATCAGCAACGTTTTCCTGTCCTGCGATATTGCGGCATTTATTTTTTTGCATCACGGTCAATTTTTCTAAAGTTACGCATATTGTGTGTCCACTTCTGACCAATCAGATTGCGCATTGTTGCGACGTCAGATTCACGGTGTATCCAACATGGCCGACCAGCTGATTGTTTATGTGTCGGAGAACAGAGTGCTTTTTGATAAAAAAACACAAATATTACAAAGATAACGACCTGAAGGACAACTTGTGGAGAGTCATAGCGTCGGATTTCTCATATGACGATGGTTTGTGTGCTTTAACAGTTTGCTAAACGTCTTTGTTTTAACTTTCATCTGTGCTAAGTAACTTTAGCTCATAAGCTAACCTGTTCAGATACAACATACCATATGTATTTTCACTGTCTCAAACTCAATCACGTTGCTGTCACAGCACCATTAGGTCTCTGTTGTTACCTTACGTTTATGGATTATAGTTTAATGTGCTTATCTGGTTCTGGCCCCGACTCAGTACATGCTATCATGACAGACAGTCATCTCAACACTAGTGTCTAATCAGAACTGAAAAACAGTCAGTCTGCTGTTGTGTCAGTCTTCTCGCTTCCACCCGGGACGCATCTTTTTTTCCCCCCAGAAAGTCACAAAATCACATTGCGCTTGATGTGTATAGTCAGGCGCGTCAAAATTCGCCTCTGAATATTTTGTAATTTTGCGTCGTATATTTGCATCGTTCCTGGTGTGTGAGGACCTTAAGTCTGACACACCCCAAAACTTCTAAACCCGAGCCTGAACAACCAAGGAGGCCTATTCCCAGAAATCACATTGCTTCACCGACAGTTTAATGTCCCTCAACCCACTTTTTATCACAGAATCAGGCGAGAAACTGACACCTTTCACTGACGCTTTCAAGTTTTTACTCTGAATAACAGAAAGTTAGCTTGGAGACAATAGCATTTTTGCTAGCTTTTGGTTCAGTGGTTTCCTGAAACAACTTGAGCTTCACGATGAAGTTATACTGTACTCTTGGTTAGGTACATATCTAACTAATTCTGTAAATTTGCAGTCTTAAATCTATCTTGATGTCTACTTTCTTGCTCTAAACACTAGTATGACTCTGCTCTCCTATGAATTTAGTAAGAACACGTCATGTTGAATGTTTCCATTCGTCAGCCCCGTCTCTTCGTCTCTTCCCTGTGCTGAGGAGCTGCTTGTAAAACCTTGTCTCGGCTGAATAAATCACTGCAGACAGAGGACAAGAGTAGACCTGACAGGTGTTTAGTTGCGGTGCGTACACCCATGACGTGTATGTGGTTGTGAGGGGAGGATGTAGTGGTAATCATCTCTGGCCCTTGAACTTCTCTCCCTCCTTTCCTCCCTCTCTGGATCAATTCTTCTCCTCTCTTCTCTCTAATTGGCTGCCTTGTTATCAGACATTTCTGTCACCCTCTTCCTTTTTCCTTCTTTGTTCTCTGCGTCTTCCCTGTTCCTCCTTGTTTCACCCACTTTCATTTGATGAATGGGACCAGGCCTCCTGTAGAGGCTGCTGGTACTGAACCAGATCAGCCTGTGGTGATTGGTTAATCCCCTGAGCAAATGTGGGTCAGTGGTGCCTATATTTAGTCCTGTAGGCAAAGGGAAAACCCAGGTACAGTAGTAAGGAGCCAGCAACAACAATGTGGCGGATTATGATTAGACCCAGGAGGGCTGGTTCTGCTACATCGAGCATTGTGGCCATGATGCTTAAAAAAACCATCTTCAGTTTTGCTTCATTTTCAATTCCTCAAAAACTCAAGGTCATATCCTTGTTTTGAACCTTTTGATGTTTTTGTAAGTAGTTTAATAGAATTATTGTGTGACTTCTGTGATGATTGGTCAAAAGTTTAGGTGATATTTTGCATAAACACAACATATGGAGTCTACTTGTGGGAAGAGGGTCCTGTGGACAGGGCCATCTGTGTTCATCTCATCCACCTGACTTTGACAGTCAGATATATAAAAAATGTATTGTGAATATTTAATGGGGGATTCACAAAAACAAGGTTGTTTCTTTAGCTGCTTGGCTGCTAAAGAAACCCCCTCGCGCAAACTTTAAGGCGTGAGAATTTACAGTGTAAAAGTTGTCGGACTTGTTGCCAATGGTCTTGTTTGCTTTTGTATATCATGAAAAAGCATCAATTTGACTTTCAGTGTGTTTTGTAACAACGAAAAAACTCAGAACAGGAGCTTTAAGGTGGTTTAACGGGTTCATAACCTTAACTACTGCACAGAGTTACTTAAAAAACACTCCTCTAAATTTTCAGTCTCTCTGTCTGAAACAATGATGAGCATGTAAGGTAAAAGAAGATGATAAAGTTCCTGAGCCCTGAAGCGGTGTGTGTGTGTGTGTGTGTGTGTGTGTGTGTGTGTGTGACTCATGAAACAAGGCCGTTGAGTGCTGATGAGTGTAGGCATGTGGAGCTGTGATTCATGTCTCCCCTGAGCATTCTCAAGGTACACCATGGTCAGGGAGACACTCTTCCTTACAACTAATGCTTATTGATTTCCTTTCTCTCTCTCTCACACACACACTTACACACACACACAGAGTATCTTGTCTTCTTGAGCCAGACGGCGGCCAGACAGGATTACACTTAAGAATCTGTCAATAGTTGAGTGGGAAGGATAAACACTACCGCACTTCCCAAGAACCAGGTGTGTTTTATTTACTCATCCAGACAATAAAAAGTTTTAAAGCAGAGTTAACCATTTTAACAGTGGCATTTCTATTATATCTTGTTATATTTGTTTGGGGGGAGTGGTGATGTTATTTTGGATAATGAGAGAAATAAGTCAACGTTCTGAGAAAACCGCATAAATTTCACATAATCACAGGAAAATGCAGACAATAAAATGTTTGCATGTATGTCCATTCAGGGCCTCTGTATACCTGTACTCAGTCATGTGAATTAATTAACCAACAATATGAATTGTTACATTCAAAAAGTTGACCAAACTGGGTTTTAAAACATTCAGCTATTGCATGGCAACAGCGGCGAAGGCTTCCAGAGCGCTGGGATAACCAATCACATTCAAGCAAAGAGTCTCTGGGCTGTAAATCATGAAAGGACAATATTGTGCCTGAATATGAGCAAAACACTCCTGATTTCATGTTTCCCATCGTGTTGTTCAAGAGTTTCTGTTGATATTTGCTAGCTACACCACAAGTTAGCCACAACTTTTAAGATACAGGGAACTAAATTCGGAGCAAAATGTAAAATCTCAAATGAGTTTTATGTATAAAAATAAAGTTTAAAAAACTGTTGACTGTTTCTGACACTTATTGGCGAAACACAGTTAGAGTAACAAAAAGATAAAGTGCTAGCTAGCTAACCCGCTGGAAAAAGCTAACCGGAGCAGACATTAAAGGGATATTCTGGCGTAAAATTAATTTAGGGTCAAACACACCAAAACACTGAGTTAGACACCCCCTCGAGAGATAAATGTTGCCGACTTTTACCAACTTTAGTAACGATCATTTCTTCATGGAGATGCAATCAGACCGAGACGCTAAGGCAGAAGAACCACCACATCTGCTGTGCAAAATGATCAATATGGTGATTATTACTTCAAGGAAATGATCGTAAATGTTCCTCCTTGAGCTGCGTCACCCTGCAGCAGTCCATAATGGACTGGCCTAAGGTCTCGCTACAAACAAGCGGCTGCTGGAAGAGAGTGGGTGAGTTGTGTTTAGTCTCTTTGCCAAAGAAATTGGGACCTTATATGTACTGTTGATGAAGTTAGTTGCTGTTCTGAGCATTATTTGTGGCTATAGAGTGGCTTTTTGGTTGAGGTTTGTTTATGGCTCCTCAGACACTCTTGCTATCGTGCGGTCGTTACTAAAGTTGGTATAACTAGAGAAGCAAGCGGTCTGCAACATTCATCTCTCAAGGAGGTGTCTAACACGGTGTTACACTGTGTTTGACCCCAAATTAATTTACGCCGGAATATCCCTTGAAGCTTGCAGCAATTTTTGTAGCGATACCGATTGTTGACAAATTCAACATTTTGATGAATCCATCATGCTAGGCTGACAATTGTCACTGTTTACTATTGTTTCCACTGAGTAAGCGTAAGATAGTAAACCTTGTTTGTTCAGTATTTTGATCACAACCATTAAAAATGTGTTATTTATAAACCCTCAAAATCCATGAGGATGTATAAACATGCAGAAATAAGTGATTCGCAGATACTCACTCCTTACCACTGGTATGTTAGGTCCCCACACAGACAGAGTCATGCCTCCCCACGCTGACCTCTTGAACCCGGGTCATGCATTCCACCCCCTGGTTCACTGCTCATGAGATCACGCAGTTGTGATGTCAGGCTATTTTTAAAGCCGTGCAGACAGTCAGTGAGTATTTATGACCAAACTGTGAGGTCAAAAGTCAGATAAAACTTGGGTTTAAGCACCGTTGTTATCAAAGAGGTTATCTATGAAAACTTGAACAAAAACTGTTGGCATATTTCCTTAGATGATGATGCTGCAATGGATAGAAAATAATGCAAATGGCTGTGAGAATTGTCTTTAACTTCACGCTCATGAGCACCAAAAAAAATATATTTCATTATGATTTTTTCCCTTTGACACCAACACTCATGTGGGATAGTTTGTTGCTGTGGCCATCAGCGTGATCAGACTTTGGAGACGTTTCTTTTTCTGGTTAAAATGGGCATTTGACTATGCACAACAGTTAGCATAATTTGTTTATATTAAAAGCCTTGAGGCTATGAAGCGTAATATAACAGACACTAATACAGTGTCTTGATATTTGTGTCTAGTCAATAATCAAAGTTGATATTATGATTTCACCACTTGCAAAACAAATCCCCAAATATGTATGATCCCCAATGGAACATGGGTTCAGCCATTAAATAAAGCGGTAGATTTTTAGCAGTGCTGAATTCCTTCAATACATAGATAAGATGATTTTTCACTTATTTTACACAAACACGACAAAATTTTTTAAAGACTGTTTTCTTCTAATGGTCTTTTAAGGAGATCTCTTTAATACAAAACAAACATGGAATATCACTAACTCTATTTTCTATTTAAAAAAAAAAAGATGAAAAAATGTTCCTCCGCTTTTCCCCCTTATGTTACATTTGGTTTGTAGATTTTCTATGTTAAGCCTTGGAGTTGATTCATTAGCTTCTCTCTTGTTTTAAAGCTTACCTGAGCAATACCGCTACAAGCTAGTCCTCCCATTGTTCTGCCTTATCTTTTATTCTGCTGTTTGAACCCCTGAGGGCAGTGGGAAATCCTCCGTCCCAGCACACCATCATCCTCCACCTTCTCCTCCCAACCCCCTCAGTCTAAAGTAATCATAATGCATCTCCTTCACTGCAAGGGTGAGGCTAATGTCACTGATACAACCTTTAAAACAGGCCTCCATACAGCTGGACTGCACTTTTCTGAGTATGTCTTCACTTAAGTCCTCTTGTAGCTGGTGGCAGTTTATTATCTGACCTTTTTTGTCCCTCTGCTGGCAGAGCAGCACTCAGACACTCACAGGCCCACGTTAGCAGCTTGTTATGATTGCAGCATAAAGAGTCCTTATCTTTCTGGTTCTTACACCGACACTGCTGACCTTCATTATCTACGGATGCAGCCAGACCCAGACGTCAGCATGTAGCCCAGTTGGCAGCTCGCTCTGTTTACTTTTTCCACTTCCCATCTTTATTTTTTTCTTTCCCACGTGTTTGGAAGGAACCTCCCTTGCCTTTTTGGAGTTGCAGTTTCTGCCCGTTTCTATCTGATGGCACAGCTCCTGGTGGAAATCCACTTAGATGCACTACCATGAGATAGCATAGTTTTCCAGGAGCATGGCTCAGATAAAAGCTTTCTCTCATAATATTTTCAATCCTCTGATCCCATCTCTTTCATTTCCCCCTTGAGCTATGTGGCTATATTGAGCTCAAACTGCATTCAGCTGCTGTTTTTTTTCTACTTTGTGTTTCTCTAGACCTGCTGAAATCCCTGGTAACATCCCAATTTCCTTAATTACACAGTTTCTCTGCGCTGAATCCACTCCACATGAAGTAGTATATGAAGCTTTTTAGAACAATGAAATCATCTCTGACATTTGTAACATCTGTGGCTTAGTTTTTGTGATGTTCTTGTTAGTGTTTTAACCTTATTTGCTGTTTTTGATACTTTGGAGTTTGTCTAAATGGTATAAATAGTTCTCTTAATGGTTTCCTTTTCCATGTTTTCAGGATGACAACTGGGGCGAAACCACCACAGCCATCACCGGCACATCAGAGCACAGCCTCTCTCAGGAGGACATTGTCCGCATCACCAAGGATCTGGAGGACAGCGTGGGCTTGGACTGCCGCCGTTACTTCACCCTGACCCTCGCCGTCATCCTGGGCCTGCTGGTTTTCCTGACGCCGCTGGCCTTCCTCGTCCTCCCCCACCTCCTCTGGCCGGAGAAGCTACAAGGCTGCGGCACGGCCTGCGAGGGCCTCTTCATATCCGTGGCCTTCAAGCTGCTTATACTGCTGCTGGCTGTGTGGGCGCTGTTCTTCAGGCCGCCGAGGGCCGGCTTACCGAGGGTGTTTGTATTTCGGGCGCTGCTGGCTGTGTTGGTGGTGCTCTTCGTGCTCTCTTATTGGCTGTTCTACGGAGTCAGGATACTTGACTCACAGGTGAGCTTTAGGAAAGGTTGCTGGCGTGAAATATAATAGCTCCAACTTAAATCATGCACACACAGGAGACTGGAATAAATCAAACAGCTGTAGGAGGGGGTTCATATTTGCATAAACATTCATTTTTAATGCCTCCAGAGCTAAAATAACCACAAACATCCAAAACACAGATATTTGGTTTCCCTGTTGAGTTGTTTGCTGTTTGACTCAATTTGAACTCCCTGTTGGACCCTCATTTAGAGGGATTGCTCACACACACACACACACACACACACACACACACACAGAAAAAGGAGTTCCCACCCTGTGAAAGTATCTAAATATTCATATGCTCTCCATCTTGTCTTACATGTGAATTATCTCATTTTTTAGCCTCTGGGGCTTCTTTATGCAGTCGATAGTTTACTGTACTCTTTGTTTCCAGGATGAGAACTACCAAGGCATCGTGCAGTACGCTGTGTCCCTGGTGGACGCTCTGCTTTTCATCCACTACTTGGCTATTGTCCTGTTGGAGCTCCGGCAGCTCCAGACGTGCTTCTCTGTGTGCGTCACGCGCTCAACGGACGGGGAGACCAGGCACTACAACCTGGGACAGCTCAGGTGAGACGCACCTTTTGTCAAATTTTGATTTGAGATGTGCTTAGAGGAGATTTTTAGGAGTTTTGTGCTGAAAATAAAATGCGCTAATTGTGCAATTAAAGTCGGAAATGTTGTTAAATTCTCCCCTGTTGTTGCTCCACTTGGAAATTAAGGCTAAAAAGACTCACAGGTGCATGTTTTAATGCAAATTGACCATACTGAGACATTTCTAATGACTGCAGCGACACTAACAGGGGCTGTTAGACTTGAGGTGAAATACCCAGATGACCTTAAAGATCAGGATTAAAAGGACAAGACATGAGGTGAAGAGAGATATGCAGATGTGAGTGATCAGAGGAGAGGTGGAGAAAAGATGACATGTGGGTGAGATGAAGGCAGAGGAGAAGAGGGAAACTGGGACATCTTAAAAGAGAGAGAGAGAGAGAGAGAGAGAGAGAGAGAGACTGGGAAAGAAAGGAGGAAGTCACAAATAAGAGGAAGGAGTAATTACAGGAGCAACGACGAGGAGGAGTGAAAGAGCAGCGGTGGACTGAATGTTAAACCAGAGGAGGGAGGAAATAAAGAAACAAGGAGGCGAGCTGGAAAAGTGGCTGACAGGGAGAGGAAAACTGTGCCAGGAGAAGAAAGGAAGGGCGGGGAAGACTTCAGAGAGGAAACTCCTCAGAAAAGAGCTGCAGACAGAGGGGTGGGGTGCAGAGGGAAGACCCTGGAGACCTAACACTCCAAGAAGAGGAGGGGGTGAGAGAAGAGAAGAGAGGAGGAGGGATTAATAGTTAATGGGAGGGTAGTGTTGGAGAATCCTAAAATGTATGTGGGAATGGAAGAGAAGGAAGGCGTGTGTGTGTGTGTGTTTGTGTGTGTTTGTGTGGAGGAAACAGCCCAGACTAGACCAACCAGGTTTTTATAACCTCAACGTCTCTGAGGAAAAACAGGATGAGCCCATTTTTAACCAAACACAGCAGCAGGTATCAATACACAGCCCCCAGAAAAGATGCTCATAAGCCTGCAGGTGGATCATAAAAGCTGATGGATTTAAAGACAGACAGGGACCTCACTTTATGACAGGATGGATGAAACATAAACCTACTGTATAGCTTGCATTTTGCCATAATTGTACTCCAGGATCTCACAAGTGGCACTGTGGTGTTTCTGTGTCTGTAGATCTTTTTCCAAAGTCTCCCTGTATCAGGACAAGAAACTTTGTCCTGTATCATAAAAAAGTTTAATCAGTGTAGCTGGAGTGTTTCATACACTCAGATTAAAAACAGTCCTGCACTTAACCCCCCTTTTGTATGCTATCATTTTGACACTATTGATTTTTTCTGTAATACTCAGTTGTTTATTCAGAGGGATTAGCTTTCCCAGTAGAGTCTTTGTTTTCTGCCAAATACTTTCAGAGCTCCCTGATGACTGAGGCATTTTTAAGCAAATGGAGGTGTATAAATAAATGTGATAAACAGTCAGTGCTTTGATACGAGTGTATCTGATTTCACAGAAAACAGGCATGATGTCAGTAATGCAAAATACGGTCACTTACATTGAAGTTTAAATCATCAAAGATACAAACCAATACAAGACAAGGATGATCTCTTATCGTCTTAGGCAGCACCGCACTGAAACCAGACATGGCTCTGTAGTGGAAATCACTGCATTGGCTCAAAATGACACAATACTTAGGGTTGTGTATTGGCAGCCATATCTAGACTGTACTCGATTGTTTCTTACACTTATGAGTTAAAAAACACTGAAATATATTGTGTCTTTTTTCTCCTTTTTCATAGTTTGTCGCATCTTTTTTTCTAAACATTAACTTTATAAACAAGAACACACATTCTAAACACAAATATGAGTCCGCAGTCCAGCAAAAACATACAAACAAGCCAAACTTACACCAAATAAATAAATAAATAAATAAATAATAAATAAAATAAAAAATAATAATAATAATACACCCTAGGAAGTCTATACTCGATTGTTTCTTACACCAAGTGTCTAAGTCAAAAATCTGTCATAATTTTTACATTGACCTGTTTTTGTTTGTTTTGTTTGTTTGTTTGTTTGTTTGTTTGTTTGTTTTTGGAGGGGGGGTTTCTTTGGAAGTTTTGTCTGTATACTGTTGGTATACTGGCTCTTTTTTTGTTCATTTTGCATAAATATTTATATAAAACTGAATATAATCCAAAAAAACAAAACAAAACAAAATAAAACTTAGGGTTGTATAACTATTCATGCAGAACAAACTGGAATTGTAAGGTGTAAAGATTTTTCATTGGTGGAGATAGGACTGTGGAGTGTGTGTGTGTGTGTGTGTGTGTGATGGAGTGGTCAGTGTGTTCGCCTTCTGCCTTGGGGGCGTCGTCCTTTGTAAGCGGTGCCATTCATCCCGCTTGGTCGGCAGCAGGCCTGGCCTTACTCTGTTGTCCGTCTGTGACTGTAAACACACGGCTAATTAGTGCTCCCTGTAGACCGGAGTACGGCATCTGGTCAGCCTGACACACAAACACTGATGCTAACGTGTGTGTGTGTGAAGGATAATTGTATCATATAGATGCAAATGACAGAATCATGCAGATGTAACCACAAACATGAGCAAATATCAGATCAGAGATCTCTCAGCGGCTGCTGCTCACATTCCTGTTTCATTCCTATCTTTTCGTCTTATCATAATGGAGATGCAGCCCGGGGCCCCGAAGGCTCTGACGTCTCTTGTCTGTCTGCTCGGCCTTTGATGCCAAACTGAGGGCCAGAGGAAGCTTTTTTCGGCCTCCTTGTCGGACCAGAAAGGCTGAATATGGATGCATTCCTGACAGAGTTGTTGGAAATGAGGGTGGGGGTTAAACACATTCACAGCTGGAGACTTCCCAGTTTACATTCCCTCTCTGGTTCCCCTCTCAGATCAGTCACTAGAAGCAACATTAGAGGCCTGCAATGTTGTCTGTAGTCAAGCGGCGTAGTTAATAAGGTTTTCTGTTTTGTTTGCTCGGCTTAATAATTGATCGAAGTCAGGAAGCTAGAGGAGCTCTGACTCAGCCTAATTGATCACTGAACAATAGTCCTTTGTATTGGAGATTTCGATGCTTAAGACAAGAGATGTTTGTCCAGGTTATATTCCTTTGGGAGGTGTGATCACACTCCTACCTGCCCCTCCGACAGAAACAAGAACTCCCTTCTTTCTGCCTCGCTGTTGAAACAAAAGCCCACAATGTGTGTGCTTTCAGGAGCCCTCTATCCCATGAGTGATTAATTGACACTTTAATAAAGTAGTTGGCTTCATTTGCATGCTGTTATTGAACCTAAATACCACTAGGGTCAGGGGTCTTGCCACGATCCTCCCCTGGGATAATAGAGAGCGCGTGCTGCTGGCTAGCATGCATTGTGGTTCATGTATATTGAGTTAGTGTTCCACGTGGCAGTGAGGGCTTCCACACTAAAACCCACTTCCACACAAGCAAACACTCTTATTTTATTTTTTTAGCTTATAAAGAGCAACATTGGTGCCCATGTAGAGTCTTCTTTGACCTCAATTCTGCTAGCTCTGTACCGTTAGCGACTGGCTAGGTAGTGTTAGCTAGTTTTTTTGTGCTGATTACAACAACATAGAAGAAAAACTGAAAAAAAAGTGATGAAAGTTTAGCTTTTTTCAAGATTTCTGGGCGTTGAACAGAAATGATAACCAAGGTTGCTAGCCTTCTAGCTTGGTGTTACCAAGAGTCTAATTATCTATATCTCATGTAACGAGTGATCTTTAGTTAGCTTATGATGTTTTATGTAGATTAAGAAGCAATTTTGTGTTAATCTAATGGTTTACTTAAAGCTCCTCTGAGGAATTTCTGACATGTCTCAGCTTTGGCGCCCTCTGTGGACACAACAGTCTTGTTCCTTACATGTTCAGTTTGTATCTTCTGTCAAAAAAATCTCCTCCTGCTGATTTTCAATAATCAAATATTTCTTTTTTTTGGTGGATTATGATATTAAAAAATGTGAATCATGTCGTAATGGTTCAGTTTAATTCTGTTTTGTTAACGTCAAAAAATTCCCCAGAGGAGCTTTAAGTAACTTAACCCTATCTGTCACACAGAATTTCAACATTAGCCAGTCATGTTGAACCAAGTACATCCTGAGTGTGTTAAATTGAATTGTTGGTTGAATAACAGGTGAAAACACTCCACTCATGTACAGTCTGATTAACTGTGGTGTGTTATGAAAGGCGAGTGGTGGCACGTTCGTTCACCCGCACTTTGCAGGATCAGGATGTGGTTTAAGGGTGCTGGTGGAGCTCACATCAGACCCTGAATGCTTTTACTTCAGACCTCTTTTCCTTGATCCTCCCTCAGTGACTTCCTTCTGTTACTGCTTGAGCCACTTAGCATAAGAGTTCCCACAAAAACCTTCATTTGAGTATTAGTTTTAACTTGGTGATGTCTTGTTTCTAGTTTCACTTTCCCTTATTTTACCCTTCAAAAACTTTCGTCTGTGCTTTTGCCCCCCCTTTAGTAGATTTCAGTTTCTGTTTTCCAGAAAGACAAGAAGGATTTCTTTAGTAGTAGCGACTTTTCAAAGAAAGCTAAGCAGGTCTTTGGGCTAATTCTTCCCTCTGTTTCTGCCCTCTCCTGCTCTCTTTGTTGGTTTTTTGTATTCAGAGAGAAGTGTAGAATTACTGCAGGGATTTCCTTGTGTTCAATGTCACAAGTGTGGAAAAAAAAATCCTTTCTCACATTCCTGTCTCTTTTCCTGGAGCTCAGACTCTCACAGCGGAGTTAAGCTTACCTGTATTTTACCTGAAGTATTCCCCTCTGTTCACACTTTCCTTTAATATCTTCTCCTCTCCAGTATTCAGCGAGCAGCTCTGGCCATCTTAGAGAATTACTACAGCGACTTCCCAGTCCACAACCCTGCGCTGCTTTCGGCCTCAAAGTCCAGAGCAGCCAAACACCTGGCCGGCCTCAAGGTCTACAACGTGGATGGTGAGTTCCCAGCAGCCCGTGCTGAGGGTGAGTGGGACTGTCTTCTAACTGCATGTTGTTTCTTTGGTGTTTCTGTCCGGTGCGGTCTCTAAAGGTCTACTTTTCCTTCCTCAAGCAAGAATTCTCCGGCAAAATATGACCAGGATGATAGTAAAAATTTCAACCTGAGCAGTTATTAATAGGGCCCGACCGATTTATCAGCGAGCCGATTAAATTGGCCAATTTCAGCCCGTTTGAGACTAATCGGTAATCGGCCAAAACTCACAGATTTTCACCGATATTTTCAGAAATAAAATGCGAAGAATAAGATTCGGTGTCACTTCGAAAATGTCCCGCCATTTGAAAAGTTCCCCGACTTATCCTGTAGATGGCGCAGCGACCTCATGACAATCTTCATCCACTAACTACCTCACAGCACAGCAGAGTGACGGAGCTGAAGCAGGCAGCTCAAGGACACACAGAGGAGAGTGGTCCGCCTCAACGGTAAATAAACTAGTTTGTGAAATACACAATAAGTCAACAAGTTTCAGTTCAACCCACTTCGCGATGTTCCCCGATGGTCACGCCGAGTTAACGGTGAAGCACCATGTAATATGCAAGCTAAAGTTAGTTAGCCTTCTGCTATTAGCCTTGCTACACTGTTAAAATAAACAACTGTACACATTACGTGATCAAGCTTCTTCTCTTACTGAGGCAGCTGCATGTCTCCAGGTGAGACCGAACTGGAAAAGAGTAACGTGAGTTAAGACGCGGAGACACCGATCCGCGGGGTGGTAGTTGAAAACGCTTCCCTGGTCCGAGTTTGATTAGTTGGTCTTCCTGTCGGCGTAAAGAGCAGTAGCCTACAGTATGTATATATTTTTTTATAACTTTATAAAAAAAAATTTAAAATCGGCCAATTAATCGGTAATCAGATTTTTTTACCCCCTAATAATCAGCATCAGTATCAGCATCTGCCCCAAAAAATCCATATCGGTCGGGCCTTAGTTATTAAGTAGCAGAAGATGTTAAGATTGAGCTACACATCTGCATAAAATCTCCACATTGCTGAACACAGTGGAAGTCTTCACATAAAATCACAGTTTATACTTCTTTCTTAGATATAAAGGAACTCAGTCTGTGAGCGTGTTATAACAGGAAAGTATTTGTTTTTATTAGTAGCTGTTGAGTGAGCACATGCATCAACACACGTGGTTATTCGACACTTGCTTTAATTTCACTCTGGGACCTTTTTAGCCTTCAGGAAATGCTCCGCTCGATTGTTAATTCCCTCCTCTCCTCATGTGTCTCTCAACTCTGTCGCTAAGATGTCTTTAGAGCTAAACTGAAAGCCTACCTGTTGGACAGTAAGTAACTTCAACGCTGCTTTTAATGAAGCCCCCCCCCTCACAGACTGCCTGTGTTCACTCCACAAAAGCTATCCTGAAATCTCCAGGCCTGTCAGGCGTCCTCGAAGCTTAAACGAAAGCCTCCTTTTCACCCAGTGTAACACACACTCTTCAACAGCAGATCCACTCACTCTCACCCACTCCTCTTCACTCCTCTCGGCATGCCACAGGTTGATGAAAAAAGTTGGCCAGTCCTCACGACAGCTGACGGAATGTAACACAAACCCTCTATTAAATTATCACTCTCCCTTAAGTGTACTCAAGCTTCACTTAAGTGCTCTGACTTGACTCCCACTTGGTTTCTTTGTTATTTTTTCTGCTGCCATTTCTTTCCCGTCTTCGTCCACCCTTGCTGAAAAGTTAGCGGAGACAGCGGCGGAGATGGCTGATAAATCAATAGCTATTACTCTGCCGGTCCTGTCATTTCTCTCTGGTGTCTCATCCGCCTTCGTTCTCATCCTGCAGCAGCGGCAGCAGCAGCTGCTCGGGGACCTCTCCTTCTCTCTTCGTCTCTCTTATTGCGAGCTCTCACTTCGCTCTCTTTTGCCCTGCAGCCGCACAGACATTGTAATAAATAAGCTGAATCCAGGCACAGACAATAATCTACCCTTGATTAAAGATAAGTGAAGCCCTGCACACAAAGCGGCTGTAACACTCAATTACAGTGTGTTGAAATGGGTTTAGGTGCTCTTATGATGCCGTAGATGCTATCCGGTGGGTATCTTGTTTTCACAGCGCTAGATATTGAGGTTAGGAGATGAACCTCTGCAGATAAAAAAGTGATTTCTAAACAGAAATCCTCCAAAGTCTAAAATATATATTTTAAAAAAGATAAAAAACTTACAATGCTCTAGCCCTCTCTTTAAGTTCCAATCTTGCAGAAACAAGATAATTATCTTATGCAAACAAGTTCTAGCGAGCAATCTTGTTAAGACTGTTTATTTGTTCACAGAAACATATATTGTCCACTTTGAGGAAGAATCTTTATTTTACTGATGCAAGCTAAAATCTTGCACACACTTTATATCAAATCTTGGCAAACCTTATTTAATCTTGGGTGCACATTACATCAACTTTGTACCAACTGTCTTTCACCACAAGGGAACAAGAAATCATATAGTCATTTATCTTGTCCAGATAGTTCTTTTCTTTTGTACACAAGATTTTTTTACTTTACAAACTAGTCGTTATCTTGTGTGAACAAGATGATTATTCTGTGCAGAGCAGGAATTCGTTTCAAGGGAAAAAGAATTCCTGTACAGAGAAAAAAAATATTGTTTTGTTGGTGCAAGCTATCACCTTGTGCATTGCAAAAATCCTCTTTTCTTTTCAGAGAAGTTATCTTGTTTGCACAAGATAGCAACCTTTACTAGTCTGTTAGATTTGTGAGATTGAGAAGTCTTTGTAGGGAAAACTTTTGTCTGGTCAAAAACATTTTTACGGTGTGCACAACACAACTATCTTGTGCAGACCAGTTATCTTGTCGAAACAAAATAACTATCTTGTGGGCACAGCATAAATATCTTGTGAGGACCATCTATTCATGAAAGGGAACCAGAAGGAAAAATATATTTTGTTGGATTAAGTTAACACCTTTTGCATGCCAAAAATCTTTTATTTTATTTTATTTTTGCAAACAAGCTATTATCTTGTTTTCACAAGATAACTTCCTTTTGTGGACCATTATGTTTGGTTGAACTGAGAGATGTATCATGGGGAAACTTTTTATCTTGTCAGAAAGAGATTGTGAAAACAGAACTTTCTTGCGCAGACCACACATAATCTTGTGGAAACTAGATAATCCTTTTGTGTGAACAAGATATTGTGTGGCTGTTGTGTCTTTAATGCCTTGTGCCATAAATGTACTTTTGGTTTAAAGTTTTTGAACAAGATCTTAAGCATCTGGGCCCAGGATGAAAAACTTAGCTGCAGCAGATAGCTTTTGCGCTCAAGATAATCACTTTTTTGCTAAAGATTTTGTCACTTTTCTCTTTATTTTGATTGAATTCGTAAGTGTTTCAAATCAGCATGCTAATATAACTCTTGCATTAACTCCTGCTAACACCGAACAAAGTTTTTAGCTCATTATTTCCCACCCTTAACTCTGATCCCAGTGCAGTGACGGGCTGAACACTCCCTCCTCTTCATCCATGAATTATTCTGTCCATGCTCCATCCCTGCCCGCATTGATAATTCAGCAGATCTGCCTTCTTTTAACCTGCATTAACACTCGGCTGGGTTCATCTGCAGCCTCCCATCCTAATTCCAAAAATCTCACCGTTTTTGAAGTCGCTCAAGACGCTCCTTTAATTAGAGTCCAAGTGGTTGAAAAAAAGGAGCTGTTTGGATGTCTTTAGCAGTATGAGAGTAAGTGATGTTTTTAGGATTCACCAGTGGAATAATAAAAGATAACGAGTTTGTGCGGCTGTAACTCGTGGTCCTAGGGGGGTTTTGATAGAGGAAGTGGGCCACCTTTAATGTGCATCAATAATCCTCACCTCCCCTCTAAAAGCACATTACCCTCTATGTCATCATCAGACTTCTTTGTTCCTTTACCTTTGTTTCTCTAAAGTAATTCAGACACTCTCATACATGTATGAAAAGTATCCTGTCTTATAATCCGTCTGTGCAGGTCCTGGGAACAATGCAACAGCAGGGATGGCGCACTCCCAGTCCAGAGCTATGATCGCAGCTGCTGCACACCGCAGAGACGCCAGTCACAACGAGCTGTACTACGAGGAGGCGGGGCATGAGAGGCGTGTTCGCAAACGCAAAGCACGGTAATATATGCAGCTAACTTATTTAAGTTCTTAAGTTCAAAAGTTCTTGATTGAGAGATGGAGGAACTACTTCGCAAAAAGTAGTTGGACTCAGTGGAGGATGTGGTGGAGAGATCTACACTGTGTTTAGCGTTTGACTGACGAAATGCTCATGAATTTTGCAACTCTGTTCGTTGTCCACCACTAACGTTTTTGTCTAGTCTCATCTCGTCAACGTAAACGCACATTGGTCTCGTCACATTTTAGTCATATAAGACTTATGTTTAGCTCGTCAATGTCACGTCTTAGTCGTGGAAAACAACACTGATTCTCAAGAACATGGATCACCCACTTCACAACATCTTGATGGACCAAAGGGCCAATGGTGGTGGACGGCTCCTCTCTCTTCAGATTCAGAAGATCTTTTGTACCAACAGCCATCAGACTTTATAACTCTTATGTAAATAGTAGATAACTTTTAGAGACATATTATATGAGACAACAGACGATTGAATTTCTCTTCGGGGAGTAATAAAGTTCTTTCTCTTCTTCTTCAATCTAAGCTTTGTTTTTCATGTCTTTTTCAGCCTGGTGGTGGCAGTGGAGGAGGCGTTCACACATATCAAGCGCATGCAGGAGGAGGAGCAAAAGAAAGCTCCAGGGGACGTGATGGACCCAAGAGAGGCTGCTCAGGCCATCTTCCCCTCCATGGCGCGAGCCCTGCAGAAGTACCTGAGGACCACCAAGCAGCAGCATTGTCACAGCATGGAGAGCATCCAGCAGCACCTGGCCTTCTGCATCACCAACAACATGACGCCCAAGGTTGGAAACCCCAGAAACAGAAATATTTTATCAAGAGTTTGCACATTTAGACTGAAGGCAAAACTGTGTGTGTTCATTTACGGCATATTCTCTTCTTCAGGCGTTCCTGGAGAGCTACCTGACCCCGGGCCCCACCCTGCAGTACAGCCGAGACCACTGGCTCGCCCGTCATTGGACGCTCATCAGCGAGGCGTCCGTCACCAGCGGCCTGAGAGACGGCTCCATCTTCCTGCTCAAGTGTGTGGACTTCAGCCTGGTGGTGACCTGCAAGAAGATTCCGTACATCCAAATGTCTGAGGAATACATCGACCCGAAATCACACAAGTTTGTTCTGCGGTTACAGTCAGAAACCTCCGTGTAGGACTTTAAACGTTGATTTTTTTACTCCTCACACTGCTTTGTTGCTCTCAAATGTTTTCATTTTGGGTTTGCAGATTTTATTTCTACGTTTTTTTTTTTTTATATTATATAGGAATCTATATACAACACACGTTTGAATATAATGATCTGTTTATTTTTGTTTTGGATTGAAACAAGAAAAAGACTTTGGGCAGTTTTCTAGGATTTCTTGGAGACTGCTGCGTGCACATACATGTTGCCATGTCTTCTGCAACATTTGCAAGTACTGGGATGTTCCCTTGGATGCAAACAGATTGTTCCCAAACCAAATTTCATGCATTTGATGAAAAGAAACAAAACTTTTATCGGACTTTGCATCAAATGCTCTTTTAATACCGTCTGTAAATTTGAAGAAAATGCCTAAAAGGATGATGTCTAACAGCAGATAAAGGATCTGAAGCAAGTTTCCTGTTACAACTATCTCCTCATCACCACTTCAGGTCATCTGTGGGGCTCTTTACACTTTTTTCTTCACAGTCAAGATATCCACGCTCCAGCCTGCCTCAGGCCGGACACAGCAGCACAAAAGCCCCCCCTGAGAGCTAATCCAAGCAGCCAAAGTCGGACGCCGTGACCTGTCTCGCCGGGCGATCCCTCCTCCAGGTGCAATGGAGCAAAATCCCAAATATTTCCACCCCAGTTGGAAACAACACACACATGCCGGATTAAACACAGGCCTGAACCCTGGATGAACCGGATCATGGGAGACGCTCAGAGGTGGACACATGCCCTCAAACGCCCGTCCTGCTTCATCGGTTCAGTGACCTTCTCAGGGGCTTTCTTGTCGGCAGCATCTGCGCGGCATGATGGGAAGGAGGAGGCACATCAGGAATAAAAAGTACTACTGATAACTTCTGAGGGTGAGGCAGGAAATACAGGAAATGCTGTAAATTCTCATAGAGGATGATGATCGACAGTGAAAGTGGAAGAAGGTCAGTCACTATCAAAGACCAGCATACAAAAAAACATGAATTCTGCGACAGAGCCATCTGTGCTGCGAGTGCTTTACATTGATTACCAACGTGTCCCTCCTGGAGGATTATATAAGGAATGGGTGGATATGCAAATTGTAATTGAAGTCCTGAAACAGACGTCATGTAACTCACCAAAATCATTTCCTTTACATTGAAAAATTTGATCTGCAGTTCTGCAACGCCAAACAGGAACTAGTACCGTATTTTTCGCACTATAAGGCGCACTTTGAATCCTTTAGGCTGCAGCTACCGTAGCCTCGCAGAGTTATTGACTGAGTTCAATAAAGTTTGACTTATCTGTTTTGTTTGGCTTAATGCGCTTTATAATCCGGTGCGCCTTATGTATGAAAATAGACACTTTCATTGATGGTGCGCCTTATAGTGTGGAAAATACGGTAGGTGTAGTTTTGACATTAAGATCCATGCAAGGGGGGTCATGCCAAACCAGGTCTGACATTTCTTTTTCCAAGAGAAGACCACCTCATCTTTCAAGAGCTTCATTATTCAGCCTCAAACTGCAGCGTCTTAATGGAAACTACAGTAAATCCAATACTTTTTCTGCCTTGAAAAACCACGAGCCGTCCATTTAACCACATCCTGGTTCTTTGTGTTGACTCTTCTGACCGGTCATTGTCTGTTTTTCAAACTTTTAGAGCCACGGAAATATTCCACCCCGTCTTTTCTCTGTGGTTTTCACCGCTCACACTTGACTCGCCAAAAATTAACATTGCTTCTGTTATTGCAGCTTTTAAAAACCTGCAAATTCAGACTTTGAAGTCTGCAGAAATCTCTGAGAAAGCCTGTAAAACCCTGGAGGGACTGGCTAACCGATGTCAAAACCACCACTTCACCACCACCATCAGTCTGCCTTTTCTCTCTCTGATGTGATTTTACAGCCAAAGACAAGATTGCGAGACCTTTTTGAATTTATTTGACAGAAAGAAGTGCGGAAAAACAGGAATAATAGGATTTACGCTTCAGTATTTAAACTAGAATCATCAGGCTGGGGGACTTTTTTAGAGAGTTCACAGTATTTAAATCCTCACAGGGTTTGCTCGCCTCTCTAGAATACATAACAGACGTTAATAAATCAGCTCAGTGTTTATCGAAGGTGAGAGCTGCAGCAGGGTGGAACCTCCTTCCCAACTGGACCGTCTGGTTTGCCTTCACCTTGTTTTCTGTTGTCTGACAAACACGCACGCAGAGAGTCCCTGGAGATCCGCCACTTCACCGGAGGATTAAAGAGGATTTCTTAACTTTGCTTTCACCAAATAAATCAGCCAGAGGCACTAAAGTTACACCGCGAGATCAATGCCTGGCTTTATATTTCACTTGTGTGTCCTTGTTTAAAGAAATTAGATAAATTTGTCCAGTTTGGAGCATTTCCTGAGCTGATTTGTAACTCACCCATGAGGAAAGTGTGTCAGACTTCATGAAACCGTCTCTACCTGTTAGCAGAGCTGTCCCCTACTGCCCCCTGGCTGCTAAAGCTCATATTGTTACTAGTTTGCCTAAAGTTTTTCATTTAAAATGGAAATATACTGCTCGTTTTTGCAAAAAGAGCATTTTTACACTGTAAAAAAATGTAACAGTGAAATCACTTAAAAAAAAAAAAAAAACACACTCCAGGATCTTCTCTCTGAAACACCTGCTGGTCACTTTTCTACCTGCTGACAGATGAACTCTGTATGACCCCCCCGCTGTGACTGTGCCTCCTGATTTAACACTGTATCTATTTATGTAAACAAGCATGTTTGTATGTAAGTATGTATGAATGTATGTTCGCCATTCCAGCTCACATGACCAGCCTTCTCCCCTCCGCCACCATCTGTCACGCCGTTGCCAGGTCTCAGTCCTCTCTTCAGGTTCGTTTAGGGTCGGACAGTTTCGATGCGGGACGTGTTTCAGTTTCACAGCATAAACATTTGTAAAAAAAAGAAAATAAACATTTTTATGAACGTTTGTACAAGGTTGTGTGGGACTGACTTTGATCGGAAACGTCTCAAGAAAACTGCACTTAAGTTTTAACTCATAGATTAAAAAAAGCGGGTGCAGCAATGGCACTTCTAGGCCTCCGTAGAAACCTTAATTTCTCCATCACAGCTCCAGGTGTTTGTTGTCACCTGCTGACACCCTCCTCTGTCTTTCCCCATTACACATGAGGCCCCCCGCTGCGTGACACGCCACTTTTTCGCCACTATTCTGGTGCCTTTTCGTTGTCATGCAGCTAAACAGTAATTGGCTCGGCGTCAGCCTGTCAGGGCGGCGCAGCCGGGGTTTGTGGGTAAATGAATGTCAGTGTCGGTGTCCGGTGAAAACAAACAACCTCATCCCTGCACGAGCTCGGGATACGAGCCGGCCTGTCGGAACTGATCTGTCCCCGGCTTAATCCACCCTCCCATCTCGGCCTGGACCAGGACGAGGAGGATGGAGAAGGAAACGAGGTGAATTTGCATCTAAATAGGATGTTTTTCTTCCCATCCTATCTGTTTGGTAATGAGTTGTGCGCATGAGGGCACGAGGGGGAATCTTTCTATCTTATGGTATGATCAGAAAACTACACATTAACACATCTTCCTGTCTTTCCTTTGTTCCTTCATGCTATTTTCAGCCTCACACTCTCTTTCTCGCTGTCTTCCTTCCTCTCCTGGGATTAAGGAAGAGTGTATGTGTGAAATCAAACCTCCTCTCCTTCTCTTATTCATGTAAAACACCATCATACTTGACACTAACAGGATTATGTAACCTGAAGGCCCTGTAAAACATCCCAACACTTGCACTTTGACACTTTTCTCCCCCCTCGGGATAAAACCGTGAAACGCCTCCTTGCCTCAGGTCACGTTTAAGTGCACATTACAGACCTGGATGTTCTCATCTCTCAGCTAAAGCATGACTTATGTGTAAATCCCACAGCATGCTCCAAACATCCTGTTTACACACTGCATCACATCCTCCTCCAGGGGGGATCGCCATCGCTCTCGCATGGCCTTGCATTATTAATTCATGTCTCCTCATGTAGTCAGTCCAACCCGATGGGCAGTGTTCCCCGCCTCACCCACAACCTCCCCCCCTCCGACCTCACCGTCCAGGTCCCCTCGCCCATTAGGAGGCTTAACGATGCTAAATTATTCACTGATGTTTGAATAATTCAAGGTGAAGTAGCTCGTTGGCTGAGGGGGGAAATGTGCCAATCTGTTGTTTTGAGCACCAGTCTGGACCTTCCTAATGAATGAAGTGTGTAGTTTTCAACACACTCACACACTTCTCCCACATTAAGGGCACACACATGGTCCTTGTGAGCTTTTATTACTTTTGTTTCACATTAAATAAGTTTTTTTTTTCTTTTACAACAAGTTTTATTTATTTACATGTACCACGCTGAAGTTTGTCCAATGAGGGTCTTAAAAAACGAAAAGAAAAGAAATAAAAATACACATTAAAGATGGGGTAGGCAGGATCTGAGGAAGTGCCAGTTTTTGGGAGAAATCTTGAATGTAAACTCTACCCCTCCCAACCAGTTTTCCCCTCAGCTCCTCCTCTCCCCTCCCTCTCTACTCCAGCAAGCCCCACCCACAAATAGACGCTGCTGCTCGCTCATGTTGTCGCTCATAATGAAATTCAGATATAATGCAGATAATTACAAATGGGGCCCAGTCAATGTGAAGGTAAACAGCATTGGTGCTACTATAGATGCCAACAGACTACCAGAAAACACAGTTTGCAGGACTTCTACAACTAGGATAAAGTGACATAGTCCAGGACCCGAGGTAAACAGTTTAGCAGTGCTACAACATGCAGCAGGTCCCGCTTGACAAGAAACACTTCTGTTACACTTGGCTTACTTTGTTAAAGCGGTTTACCTGTCCAGCAGAAAGGTTACAGGGTCCGTAAGATCTAGAAGCATCCTCCATCATTGTTGACCCGGCTTCTTAGCTCTTGTCTGGTCTACCTCCTTTTTAAGCGCCCGTTACACCGCCAGAGTCTCCGGTATTTAGTTGGTTTTCTTGCTTGTGTTGGCAGTCATGGCTAAAGGAGGATTCAGACAATTTTCTGTACTTTCTGGTTGTTTTCTACTCTCTGATATTGTAGCACGCTAACTTTGTTTGGACTCCTGAACGACACGAGGGAGCAGCATCTGCCTCACAACCAAACAGGTTGGAGGAGGTGGAGAACGGCTTTGTTTACAGTCAGACAGACCAGAGAGAACGAAACACAGTGATATTATTATATTACCAAATGTGAACAATAACTTATAGCTATTGACTGATATTAAAAGCTTTTTTGTTTATACACCACAAAAAAGATGCTCCTGCCTACCCCACCTTTAACAAATAGGTTTAACTTTAAAGCTAAATCTTCAAATATGGAGTATGTCAAGTCATTAACAGACACGTAATCTAATAGTAGCCTGTAGTAGCTGAAAATGTTGTGCTTGCTGTTATTTTACTGTTTTATTCCCGTTAATTCAAACTGTGTGTAGAAACGATTACGCTAACCATTCAGCACCAAACAACTGGCAGTCTGAGTCTGGACAGAAAACAGCCCTCAACCCTTCAGATCAGTCTTCACTGTCCTCTTCCTCTTCCCCGTCTTGATGTTCGTAGCTGTCTTCTGTGACGTAGCTATCAGGGATTTCGTGGTCATCAGCAGACTCGTCATCGTCCTCAGTGTTCACCCTGCCGGACAGAACATCTTCAATCCAGTCCTCTAGCTCCTCGGCGGTGGGCAGGTCCTCGTCGTTGGACATGTCGAGCCACACACTGTCTGCCTAAACCACAAAGCAAGTCAAGGTAAGCGTTAAAATCAGAACTTTATGTCGGCGCTTAACTTGCAGAAAAAGAACCTACATCTGTGACGTTAACCACGCCGATCTGAGGTCTGAACAGGTCCAGCTTGAAGGTTTTTTCCCAGTAAGTCGTCAGCTGGAAAGAGATAACTCAATTAGCCAATAATTTTCCAATTCATGTTTCTCATCTTGCTAGAAATGCTAAGCTAACGACAAGTCGGTACCAGCGGGAAGTCATCAGGATCTATCCATACGATGCTCAGCTCAGGGTTGTTGGTGTTGTCTCTGGCCACGTCTTTCAGGATCTCTAGAAACTCGTAGCCATCTGATGAGGATACAGAAGAGGAACATAAGCTCACAATCAAGTGCTTAATTAATTAATGAAAAGTAAAAAATTTCTAAAAATAGGAGGAAAAGGGCGAAGACCTGGATCCTCCTCCTCTGCAAACGCAACTATATGTATTCCATCCATGTCGTCCTCCTACAAATTGAAAACAGAGACCAACAAAACGCCAAATGTAATTTTAAACATTTTTTACAGTGTAAAGTTATCTCCAGAGCCAAGTCTTTGGGGTTAAAAGAAAGTACAGCTCACCCATGTTTCAAACATATTCTCTGCACGCAGTTTCCTCAAAGTGGCTCTAAAGAAAGAACGTTTTCACATATTTTCAACCAGGTTTTTACAGTGTTAAAATACATCATTTAATATCATAAATTCAGTATCAACCTTCTGTGTTGGTTGACAAACTCGACAATGTCCATCTCCGATAGCGGTCTGCCAGGGATGATGGCCGGCTCCTCCATGAACGGCTCGTAAAAGTTCACCTCATTCATCTTGAGAGAGAGATGTTTGGCTACCTGAACACACAACAGATTAGGATTAGATTTAAGGATCAGTATGTGGAGCGAACTATAGTGTTTGTATTATTCAATAAAGCTGACATAACATAGAAAATATATAGAAAAATTAAAGAGAAGATAAAGTGGGGAATGGGCTGACCTGTAAACCTAGAAAATAAAATCAATTATCTCTAAAATAGTAAAATATTGTAACCCTGATGATTAAGATTTCTCCTCTGAGTACAATAAGACTTACAGATTTATCAAATGTAGCGAAGAACTTGATGTAAGGTTGAAAACGTTCAGAGGCCTCCTGAAAAGCTCTGTAGTCTGTAAAAATGAGAGACGGAAAAAAGTCAAACCAGAAAAGACCAAAAAGTAAAAACAGATTTTAAGTGAAAATCTGAATTATTTACATTCTGGTCACATTTTCTCGCCTAAAACTGTGGTATGATCCAGTCTTCATTCAATATCCTTTCATGGTTGAATTCTCCTCGCCAAAGTAACAAAGTCTCGCTTAATTCAGTTTTATAAGACTGTAACCTGCTCTCGCTCGCTCTGCTCTCAACAAGGTCACAACCGCGGGGCGCCCAATCTCTGGACAGAAATAAGCTCCATAATGAAACTTCATGCTACCATCATATTGGACCAGATCGCATCTTTCCTGTCTCTCTTTTTCCCTCCTTTTGTTGAGGGGAACTATAATTGCAGTTTGACCTATTAGACGGAGAACTAGAAGCTATTTAAAGGCTCTCATGAGACAAAGTGAGAGTCTGGAATCAGGTTTCCTTTTTACAGCCAGTTACATGGTGATATACTGCAGCTCCATTAACCTTTTAATCCCATTAGCATCTGAGGAGCACAGCGAGGGCCCAAAGAAACAACGTGGGTTTAGTGTTTAGCTTGTAAAACGCTCCAAAACTGAAATAAAAGAGGCATTTATAGACATGCTAACATGTACGTTTGGAGGTAAACTCACATATATCTTCGCCTTTGAAGTAGCCAATAAGTCGGATGTCTTCCTCCATCCTCTCAAAGGCTCGCAGCTCCATGGCGTTATTGATGATTTCCACGGGGTCCTCCAGTACCTAGGGGGCGATGTAAAACAGAAAATTTCATCGGAAAGATTCACTGAGTAGCTGCAAAACCAAGGGGCTGAAAAACTTTTCTTAACTAATCGAATTTTTCACACTATAAGGTGCACCTGCTTATAAGGCGCACAATCAATGAAAAGCATCTATTTGCGTCTATTTTCATACATAAATCGCACCAGATTATAAAGCGCACCATCAATGAACGCGTCTATTTGCGTCTATTTTTATACATAAATCGCACCAGATTATAAAGCGCACCGGATTATATGGCGCACCATCAATGAAAGCGTCTATTTGCGTCTATTTTCATACATAAATCGCACCGGATTATAAAGCGCACCGGATTATATGGCGCACCATCAATGAACGCGTCTATTTGCGTCTATTTTCATACATAAATCGCACCAGATTATAAAGCGCACCGGATTATATGGCGCACCATCGATGAAAGCGTCTATTTGCGTCTATTTTCATACATAAATCGCACCGGATTATAAAGCGCACCGGATTATATGGCGCACCATCAATGAACGCGTCTATTTGCGTCTATTTTCATACATAAATCGCACCAGATTATAAAGCGCACCGGATTATATGGCGCACCATCAATGAAAGCGTCTATTTGCGTCTATTTTCATACATAAATCGCACCAGATTATAAAGCGCACCGGATTATATGGCGCACCATCAATGAAAGCGTCTATTTGCATCTATTTTCATACATCGGGCGCACCAGATTATCAAGCGCACCGGATTATGATGCGCACCATCAATGAAAGCGTCTATTTTCATACATAAAGCGCACTGGATTAAAAGGCGCAGCGTCGATTCGCGTCTATTTTCATACATAAAGCGCACCTGATTATAAGGCGCACCATCAATAAACACGTCTATTTTCATACATAAGGCGCACCTGATTAAAAAGCGCACCATCAATGAACGCGTTTATTTATACATAAGGCACACCGGATTATAAGGCGCACCGGAATATATAGCGCATTTAACCAAACAAAACAGTCAATAACTCCGCGAGGCTACGGTAGCTGCAGTGCTCCGACAAGCCAAAAAGGATTTTAAGTGCGCCTTATAGTGCGAAAACTACAGTAATCAAACTGATCTTACATCTAAGAGGAACTCCACCAGTGTGTCCGAGGACAGCTCCCCGTCAAACTCGATGACTCTGTCGTCCTTGAAGATGTACAAGCTGCCCACCTCCTCCAGACCTGATTAAAGAGCAGGAGTGCAAGGTATGACTTTATGAATGCTAATCCCAAGGTTTAACATTAAGCAAGGACACTATAATTAATATTCATGCACAAGATGAAAGCAAAATTAACACAGAGAATTACATAAAAACAAAGGTGAGCTTAAGTCATACCCAGCTTTTTCGCCACTTTGGAGTCCTTCTGGGAGTCCACCATCCCAAAACCGATATCTTTGTCTTCCAGGACCTGAGCTGTGAGCTTGACGTTTACAGACAAATTAGTCAGGACACAGAAAATATAACTGCACACTTCAGTTAAGTCTTCAAAGAATCAAGCTTAACAGATTTATGAATGTGCCACCACTTAAAAACATGATCAATTTGTAGAATACTTAAATGATAGTTGTTCAAGTACATAATAAAATTTAAAAAGATTGTAATTTGTGTGTGCCCATATACACTTTGGCCACCTCGACCCTGGTTGGGCCACCCCACCCCAGCCAAAAAGCTTGGGCACGCCCCTGTGTACAGACAAAACTGGATGTTTTGAAAGCCTCTTTGCTTTTAATACTTTTTTTCTCGCTAAATATTTGATATCCAGGCGGCTTCAGGGACAAAGTCTAATTTTTGTATCATAAATTGTTCCAGTTAAATTAGGTCCGTGTTTTTTTTTTGTTTGTTTTTTTTCGCAATTTGACCATGAACTGACACAAGGTGACACATGAAAAGCATTTAATCTGTTTCTGAAGCTGAATTTTTTTTCCCTTTTTTGATGCAAATTTCGACCTTCTGACAAATTTTAAAAAACCTTTAAAATTCAAATCAAGCAGCCCAAGAGGTGAATACTCAATTTCGATTGGCTGTAAGTCAAACTTGTTTCAGGAGATAATACTCCCCGTTAATCTTTCCTTACGTTTTTCTTAAATCCAGTTTGTTAAATCGAGCCTCAGTGGATTTGCACTCTGCGTTTAGCTTGGCACTTTTACTCTGTATATTTATGCTGGCATCCACAGCTGCTGCTGTCTTCATCAATACATCTTTTGATAACCAAAATCTGTGTGTGGAGAGCCCCCTGTGGAGTTTTCCTGTCCGACTGGAGAGAGTGAGTCAGAACCACTCGCCTTCCAGCTTTTGAGAAAGTGAAACAGATTTAGAAATATCTCCACACAGCTGAGACTTGTTTTTTTTTTCTTTTAGAGTGAACACGTCTCTGCTTTCAAACAGTGAATGAAAAATGGAATAAATCTGGCGGGTGTTGATAAATTCAAAATGTGAAACATTGGTCAACTTTTCACACTGTTTGCTCGGAAATAAGAAGGAAACATGCAGGAGTACATCCACTTATTTCTAGTTCAAAGACGGAGAGTTTTGGGAACACGCTATAATTAACAAAACGACCTAGAAACAATCCCAGGGTGTGTTTGAGCCACAGAGGAGGGGATATAATGGGATTAAATCAGTGCCTGTGAGTTTGGAGAGAATGCAGGTTAGATGTTGACTCTGACCATCAGAAAGTGGAAATAATGAACATCAACTTCACATAATGGCTAAGCATGTCAGGAAGTCAGGGGGGTATGAGGCATTCAGTGTCTGCTTTTCCCACCAGGTGAGCTCGCTGACTATCCGATGACTTGTTTTGACAGGCAGTGAGGCTCGCCTGAAGGGGATCGGTAGCTTATTAAGACATTTTTGTGCTATCACTGACATCAGATATGTCTGTTCATCATGACAAATAATATACTTAAAGAGGTCAGACTTGGAAAGGTACAGTTCTGATGTTAACATTAATACTTGATTTTTGGGGTTAGACACCATAATCAAGCAAAAGTTAGATAGAAAGTTAATTAAGGATTGACAATCATGATATGAAACAAGTGCATAATCAAGTAATAAAAAAAGTTCTGATCTGTTAACATGGAGAACCTTTACAAAAGCTCCAAATCTTTTGATCTTGTTTGTGGGGAAACTGAAATATTGTCCATCATTTACAGGGTAAAGCTGACAGTTTAAACACTGTATAATAGATATATTTGGGCTTTACCTTGTTTATTGGACAAGAAAATGACTTGAAAATATATAAAATGACCTTTTATCACAGTTCTCAAAAATAGACTTCTAGATAATGACGAAAAGTGTAGCAAAACAGTTATTAATAGAAACTGAACACTTTTTAAGGCGTTTAGGCTTCTATAAAACGAACTATAGCGCATATAGGCTGAACTTGGGGGACAGAGCCTTCTCCGCTGCTGCCCCCACCCTCTAGAATTCACTCCCCAAACCCATCCGAGACTGTACAGACCCCCATACTTTTAAACCACTCCTAAAAACACACCTTTTTAAATTGTCTTTTAACCTGTGAACTGTTCTTTTATTGTCTCATATTGTGTCTTTTTTAATCTGTTACATCGTTGGTTTTATTTCTCAAAATTTTCTGTATTTTAAATTGTATTTTTTTTTTTTTTCTTCTTTTTCTTTGTAAGGCGCCTTTGAGCACCTGTAAAAGTGCGTTATGAATCAAATTTATTATTATTATTATTTGTATTTATGCAACTGGTTTATTTATACTTAATTAATTTCTATGGCTCAACATTTCTTAATTGATACTAAACTCTGAAAATTAACATTCTGGCAAAAATTTGCATGATAAGAACCAAGTTTAACAACAGAAACCCAGATTAAGACAGTTTACTAAATGAGGATTTTAATTTTAAAGTTTTCCCATGTCCCATCGGTTTACATGGAGGAGGCAGTCAGTAAAAGAAGCTTCAAAATGCTTGGCCTCACTTTTGAGAAGCTGACATTTCCCAACTTCTTTTCTGTTTATAGTTAAAATTACTGTAAATTATGGGGGTTGGGGGCTAAAATTACATTGAAAGCTCCTTTGAGGAGATATTGATGATGATAAAATGGACTGAAATTTATACTGGTGCATTTTTATGACAAAAAAGTAAAATAGACCACCAGCATATTACTATTTTTATAATGTAGTTTGCACCTATTGCACAGGGTTTATAAACATACATTTAAAGCTTAATACTGCTGGCTGATTTATGATAAACTTATCTGGAATAAAACTATAAATATATGAACTATAAACCATCAATAAAACAGTTTATGGGTTATCACTGTGGCAGCCTTTGATGAGGACTTAAAACCTTATCAATTATCTGTTAAAATTAAAAACTCTTACGTGATGTACTTGCAAATGTAAAACTCCACTCCAGTCTCAAAATGTGCAGACTTTAGACTGAGACTTAGACTGAGACTTTCTTTATTTGTCATTGCACAGAATAAAACAAAGCAGTGATTCCTCTCTGCAACAAAATGGCGTTGCTTGGCTTCCATATCACAGCATGATGCTGTTGTATTTAATATACAGAAACAATAAAAACAATAAAGACTAAGGGTAAAATAACAGCATGGTAAGTGATGTTGCACTTTCTGGAGGTAGAGTGGTAGTGGATTAAAAAACAAATAAATAAAAGTGTATGTAAAAAGGCATCTGTTCTGATTTACACATAATAAATCAATACATTTACTGGCTCTCTGATCCCCTTGTCTCTTCTCTACTTCTTCCTTACCTCCAGCACCAGCTCGGTCATCTGGAATCTCTTCTGCAGGCCCTTGTTTGCAGGCAGAGGTTCATGGTAGAACAGACACAGCAGGTCGTACCTCTTCAGAGCCTTCTTGTAGTTGCGCTCGTTGATGTCCAGCACTCTGTCCTTTCCATCAAAGTTAGGGAACTCTAGACCTTCCTCGGCAGTGCAGAAGAGAAAAAAGTGAAGGCATAGGCCAGAGAGGAGAGAAAGACGGATGTGTAGCATTGTCCTTTTTTAGTTGTTGAGTTTTTCAGTGAACCTTTCAAGCCCCGGTTTGACAAAAACAATGGATATTGCACAAAAAGATTACAATTCAAGATTCTTCATTTCCCTTTTTGCTCCTCTCTTTACTGTCATCTCCTCCACCTGTTTTCTGTCTCCTCCTCTTCCTATCACTCAGTCTGACAGCCCCAACTCTCCCCTGAGCCTCTCTTTCTTTCTTTCTTTCTCGCTCACTCACTCACTCACCTCAACAATCCATTTGCAGGTCAATCATCCACGTGATGCTCATTCATGCCCTTGAAATAAATCCTGAAATTAGAGCAGAGAAGCTGAGGGGATTTCATCAGGCGTCTAATCAGCATTGACATTATCTATATCAGTGGGAAATGACTGGGCATCGGCTATACGCATTTGAAAATGGAATCATATTCTATGAGTTGAATGAAGAATTGATTGATTTATTCAGTCTGACAGGACGTGAGTGTGAATGTAAACAGGCAGGTTTTGTGAGAAGTGTCCCTCAACCTCTAAACATTACGGTAACCTATCAAGGAAATTCACCGTGCGCATTACCGTAATGGCTGAATCAGGCAGAAGCAGCAGATCGCCGCCTCGTTTCTCCAGTCAAAGCTGGAGGATAGAGGATAGGGGAGAGAATGGGGCGCTTCTGCTCGTGGAGTGTTTTGATATTAATTCAAGTTTGTGGTTTTTGTTCAGTTGAAGCCTCAGGTAATGTGTTTTTTTAACAAATGCGCAATTTAAAGTCACTTTAAAGCTGCAGTAGGACGTTTTCTCGGTAACTTTAGGCGTTGGAGTCCTGTAGTTTGCGAGCTAACGGCTAACTCAGTCGGTGTTTCGGTGTGAAATGTGACCGTGTAAAAAGGCGGTTTTTGGCGTCTGTGGTTGTCATAGACACCGATTGAGAACTCAGTCACAAATGTTTTACTTTTGTTATGAAAGACATTTGTAAAGGGCAAGTTTTAAATTGTGTTGAAATGATACAAAAGGCTACATTCATTAGAACTTTTGGGGGTTTGGACGAGTTTTGTAACCACGGCAACAAGATACCTACTCGTCTTAAAGTCAACAGTTAACACGGTCACTATTTAAACCGAAACACCCAGCTAACTTAGTCAAATTCTGTCTTTTTGAGCACAGCGGTTGAACTATCGCCTACAAGAGCACAGCTGAAAAGTTTTATCAGTATAAATTTGTTAATGAAAATGTTGGTTAGCACCGATAAGAGCTCAGCAAGCGATTTAAGGTCCTTATCAGTACGTTTCAGCCCCTTTCTAACCCACCAGCCCCACTTGGTTTCCCACTTTTCTTTTCAAAGTAAAGGTACCAGCTTTATGAACCCTGACTGGTGCAAAGTGAAGTCTTTCGTGACACATTTATACCATACATTATTCTTTAGGTAAAGAGTGGAACAAATATGGAGACAAGATAGCTGCTGCTCTGAAGAGTTACACTCCATGCAACTCTGTCCACTGCAGCTGCCATCTCAGGTGGGTGTGACTCAAGTTTGGCTTGTATATTTCTCCATTTGATGATATAGGTTTAAATCTAACATGTCTGCTCCTGCCTCAGTGTCCTACACCAGGACCTGCAGCCCTTCAAAGGCGGGATTTCCGAGGATGTCATGGCTGCGACTGTCCAGAGAGGAATAGGCACCCACTACCAGATCATCGGACACAAGTTATACAGAGAACACAACTGCATGTTTCCAGCCAGGTAATAAGAGAAAGTTCCTTATGTGGTTATTGTGAATGTTAGATTCTGTTTTAGAAGTTTAGACCAAACTTATTGTTCTGTTTCCAGGTGTAGCGGGGTGGAGCACTTCATCCTGGAGCTGATTGACAGATTACCCGACATGGAGATGGTGGTAAACGTGAGGGATTACCCACAAGTCTCGAACTGGATGCAGCAGACTCTGCCCGCCTTCTCTTTCAGTAAGGTTGGACTCTTTGAACTGGTTTTCCGCACAATTGAGAACACACAAATATTTATGAAATTGAATAATATGTGTTTTTTTAACTGGGTTTGATTAGACGTTAGATCACCTGGATATCATGTATCCGGCATGGACGTTTTGGGAGGGCGGACCTGCTGTGTGGCCGATATACCCAACTGGGCTGGGACGATGGGACTTGATGAGGGATGATCTGAACAAGTAAGAATTTGCAGAAGAGGTGCATCTTGGAAAAAAAGTGTTTTCTTTGCAGATGAAATGTACGTTTTCAATATTTCTAATACACATCATGTGTTGTAGGTCTGCATCTCAGTGGCCGTGGAAGAAGAAGGAATCAAAAGGATTCTTCAGAGGCTCCAGGTCAGTCTGTCAGGGACTCCTCCCACCTGCAAACAACCCCAAAATTCTTTCTATATCTAGTTTCTTCTAGTTTCTTAACCCATTAAGACCTGAACCCTGTCTAAGACACGCCTCTGAAATCCTGAGGGCAATTTTAAGAAGAGCCCCCAGATCCTGAGGTTTTCTGAAGTGTTGAGGTTTACAAAAAAGCTGATATCTCGGCCTCTGTAGGAGATAGAAACAAAATTCAAAAAGTCTTTAAGAGCTTACACATGTGGCTTTCAAGAAAACTCTCTTTTATTTTTCAGAACTTTCATCACATTATTGAAAACCTTGAACAAACAAACTCAAATGATATAAAGCGGCTCTGCACTGGAGCATAACAAACTATTTGCTTTCTGTAAAACAAGTGGCAGTCATGATAAAGTGTCCATTCAACACATGTGTAAATATAATATACAAAAAGCAGCACTAAAAACTACAAAATGAATAAATAAATATGTGTCTGACAGTGTGTTCATCTCCGTGCTCACCCAAAGTCATGCAACACTCACAGACAACGTCGATAGTGTGAGATAAAGCGTCAATATGAAGAGGTTGTTCACACTGCTGGATGCTTCTCCTCCGAAGCTGCTCTCTGTCTCCGTCATTGTTTACTCATGAAGCACGTAGCAAGATCCGAGCATGAATCCAAGCGCTTTATTAGCTTATCAGAAGCAGACAAAATGATGATTTGATTCGCCACGACTCCAGAAATGATTTAAAAACTACAGAATGTCACAAAATGACGTATCTTCACTCCCGGCTTGAAGAGTAGAAATGCGCAGCAGCACCGCCAGCTTTGAAGGTTGAAATGCGTACATGCTTCTCCCAGCTTGAAGGGTTGAAATACCTACATGCACCCGGCTTTCTGAGTAGAAATGTGCAGCCGTGCTCCCGGCTTGGAAGGTTGAAATGCGTGCATACTGTCCCGGTTTAAATGGGTTAAATTCTCTGTGTTTTTTTTCCAACAGAACAAGCCCAGAACGCGACCCTCTGATTCTTCTATCAAGGGAGGATCCAGACCTGGTGGATGCAGAGTACACAAAGAACCAGGCCTGGAAGTCTGAGAAGGTCAGTTGTGATACAGTTTGACACTTAAGGTTCAATCAAATCCTTTTTAAAGTTTTTCTTGTATGTTGCATCCAAACAGAAAAAAAGTCAATCTGTGTCTTTCAATTCTAGGACACACTCGGGAGACCACCAGCCAAAGAAATCCCCCTGGCAGATCACTGCAAATACAAGTAAACTGAAGCAAGAACAAAACAAAGCACATATGAGTTTTGAGTCTTTTTAAAAGCCCCTCCTTTTAACTTGCTGGATTCTTGCAGGTATTTATTCAACTTTCGGGGTGTCGCAGCCAGTTTCCGCTTCAAACACCTCTTCCTCTGCGGCTCCCTGGTGTTTCACGTGGGCGATGAATGGCAGGAGTTTTTCTACCCTCAACTCAAGCCGTGGGTTCACTACATCCCAGTCAAGCAGGATCTGTCTGACGTCAGGTACCAGATCTCTCAGTAACCAAATAAAGATCATACATTATGAGTAAACAGCAGTGTTAATAAGTGTTTTCATGTGTTTCTTCAGGGAGCTGCTGCAGTTTGTCAAAGAGAATGACGCCGTAGCAAAAGAGATCGCGACCAAAGGTATGGAGTTCATCCTCAACCACCTGCGGATGCAAGATGTCTCCTGCTACTGGGAAAAGCTCCTCACTGAGTTCAGCAGTCTCCTCACCTACAAACCCAAAAGGAAAGACAACTACAACCAGGTGATCCACAGACCCAGCAAGACAGAGCTTTAGAAGGGGGACTCTGCAGGACCAGGACAGCTGTGAATGAAGGGAAACTCAACACGGTGAATGTACAACCAGCACAAAGACATCTGATCGCCTCATGAGACTCAACAGAAAGGGAGTTACAGTTACAGGGCAGGTAGTTTAGTGTAGCAGAGATAGGTTTAGTCTAGTTTGTGGATGGGGACAGGTCTTTTTTATACCAAACTTTAAACTCTGACATCTTTGTAGGTCAGGCAGTTCATCTTGCATACTTACCTCCAGCATTAAAAGCCAACTTTTTAAGTATACTCTTGTAGTCAGGGGTGAAAACAGACACCATCTCGCCAAATCCCTCCAGATATATCAGAGAGAAAACCGTTATGTGTTGGTTTATGACCAATAATCTAATTCTCGAAGTCTCAGTTTCACTGTGAATGTTAAGTCAAACAAGCTCATGTTCTCATGATATACCTGCGCGGGTTCCAAGTTTGCCAAACTAACAGCTGAATGATGCAGATTTGTAAAAAAAAAAAAATGAAAGCGTCTATCACCTCTGTCACTACCTCCCTTAATAAACCCCTGTGGTCCAAATCAGGGGGTCCCAGTTTCACTGTGAATAGTAGATCACACAGAGACCTCTTTCTGGTTTACCTCAGCAGAAGTTTCTTGCAATAATCGGGTCGGTGTCAATTTTGCCAAAATAACGACTTCGTGATGCAGATTGTTAAAAAGCACATTTGATGTGTCTGTCCTGAAGAGGAAAAGAAACATCTTTTGAATAACAATATGCCAAGATTGGGAAATAAAAACCCTGATCGGTGTCAAGTTGAAGTTTTTGATCTAGAATGGATCGTTAGCAGCTCTTGTTTAAAAATATGAATAGATAGATGTCAGATTGCTGTCAGTAGGGAACAGGGAAGTCAATACGGCGGATTTCTTCCTGCCTGCCTTTGCTCTCCTGTTTTTTTTCTGCTTACTTTTTAAAACCTGTTTATCGGTCGATACGACTCGGATTACAAATTCATCGCCAATGTTTGTTCCTACACTAAAATCCAGGCCTGATCTCCGGTTTCTACAACACTGTGTAGAATCTGTGCTCGAGGGCCTTTGGTGCTGAGAGAAAAGAAAATAACCATGATGATAAAATTCCAGTTTAACATAAAACCTACACAGCATGTAAGTCTAACCATGCTGCCCTCTACTGGACAATTGAAGAAACTCCAATTTCTAACCAACATTAATATTAACATACTACATTTTTGTTTATTTCAACTGTCATCTAAATAACAGCATTTTAAAAAGTTTTGCCATAAGTTCAACAACTTTAAAACATAAATGAATTGTGTTTTTAAGTTTGACACTTAGTGCCAACTGTGAGCAATAATGACATTCGAGTATTAAACTCATCACTACCAAGAAAAGCTCGTCTTTATTGTTATTTTTAAGATAAATCTGCCCTGCTGTAGAGAGCTGATGTAAACCTGGTGCAGGGAAATGTTGAATATGTTGTAATATTCACATTGTAATGCAAAGAAAGAACCAAACTTACTGATGGAAGGTTGTTTATTTGCATGGATATGTTGTGATTTTTGGTGAATGTGGTACGTTGCTGGGATTTGACCAAAAAGCTGTGAACATCTGCAGCATTTTTTATATCGAATAAAGGGTTTGAGTCATGAAACATCCTGAGACTTTGTTGTTTTTTTTCTGAATACATGATCTTATTGGTGCTTTTGTGCAAATATGACACTTTTTTTTTATGTAATCTTGACACGCACACACGCATGCATTCAGTCAACTTGTGTAAACAATAGCTGTAATTATATGGCACTATTCAAAAGAGATGCAAAGTACTTTACAACATAATAACTGAATAGAAATAGAGATGATGAATGGAATAATTACAATCACGGTACAATCAAGGTTGACAGAGTATATAGCAGCAAGTCATTAATACAGTAAGGGGAATTCATGTTAATGTTACTCAACTTACAGTTTAGTGATTGCAGGGTTTCAGCAGGATTTCTACCATAGAGATTCTATGCACTGCTCTAATATCCAACAAACATCATTTACATTTTTATACTTTGTCATTTGGAAATTATTCTAAATTCGTCTAGGATTTCATGCTAGAAACAAATGCTAGTAATGCTGCTGTTGTCTGCCTCAACTCAACTTCATTTGTAAAGCACTTTAAAACAACCACAGCTGAACAAAGTGCTGTACATAAATAGACAAAACAACACAGACATAAAAACAATCAAAAAACAATTAAAACAATGGATAAAATAAAAGCAGATATTAAAAAGTAAAATATAGTTTCAATGTTTTTAAAAACGAATTTAAAAGCATAGAAACAAATAAATAAAAACAAACACTAAAACAGGAGGGTCTCATCAATGGATATCAGTTATTATTTTGGGTTTTAATTTTCCAAAACAATCAATGTAATTAAAGACTAAACTCAAACCATGTCATAAGTTATTAAAATAAGTTGAAAATAAATACGTTTAAATAAGTAAAAATCACAGTGTATTTTTATGTCAATTTGTTGTGTTATATAATATAATGATTTAAAGTATCATTGTTGAAACATTTTGATAATATCCGCTTCAGTCCTCCACAGACAGGCGGCGCTGTTTTCATATCTGATCCCTGTAACTGCATCACTTCTCCCCGTAGTCAAAGGTCAAACAGCCGGTGGGGTTCAGGTGGGGATTGTCACCGTGGAGAAACAGCAGAAGGACATTAAGAAAAACACCAATGTAGAGTTTGTGTATCTTTAATTTACATTAAAGGTGTCTTTATTTCTCACAGAAGAAGCGGTGACTGTTGACGAATCCTCGCTGGTAAGCTGCTCTCCACTGAAATACATGAGGCTAAGCGCTAACAGTGAGAGACCCATTATCGGACAGACTGAGGAATTGACGTTTTTATTAATTTTTATTTTAGAATTGCAAATGCATTAATAAAAGACAACTAGGATTAAAGTTTTGTACGACTACAGTTTGGAGTATATAAGAGAAATGGTGAAAAATGAGCGAAAAGGAGTGACCTGAACTCCAAAGTCAGACTGACATGGTTCAGGTGCGTCAAACTGCCGTTATTGACGCGAAGATAACTGTTTACGTCCCGTTTTTACCCAATAGTATTTAAATATATTGCCATTTACAAACATTTCCGTGAAAATAACACCTTTACTGGCTTATTTTGGTTGAAGGTGAAGCCTCTCTCTTTCTACTGATTCATCTCAACCCCACCAGGTACAAACGGTCAATGTCCTCAACATGATGGGAAGCAAATAACCGATATTATAAAGCTGTGAACTTTAAGTTACTATGGAATTAAATATATTTTGTGTCTGTCTTTGCTCAATTTAAAAAAATAAACACAGCTCAATAACTGATTTGTAAAAGTGTGTTGGAGATGGTTAAGTGTCAGTTTTTACAACCTTTATTCTGCTGACTCTTGACAGTCAAATCTTTTACTAACTCGTACTGTTTAATATGTGAATTGTAAAAACAGAGCTGTAACATCAGCTACTGTGCTGAAGATTTGTATCGATAAATAAAGACCCCTTTGGAGATGTTTTACTGAGCCAAACATTGATATTATAAATACTGTGAAAGTGTTCTGTCAAATGTTTTTACTGTATAAGTTGCTCTATTGTTAGCTTTAGTATCTAATAGTACCTGGCTAGCTATCATAATTAATTAGGAATATTTCATTGTCATGCATAGGGGAGAGTGGGGTAAGATGAGCCATTTTTCATATTTACGGATCACTACATCAAGTCAATCATAGTTTTGTCTCTAACTAGTGTATCTCTCTCCTACCACATGATCAATTTCTTTTACCATTTCCAAGCAACAGGGAGTGGCTCAACTTAACCTCCAGCTCAACTCTCCCCTACCACATATCAAGGCAATGGTTAAGCATATACAGCATCATTATTTATTGAATATGGATAACATGGAGTGTGAGGTTTTAAGGGAATCATCTGTTAAACACACAAACCTATACTATTCTTTACTTCGTACTACATTCCGTGATATGGGTGGTCAGTGCTGTGTTTATTTGCTGATCTTTGCCGCACTAACTCTGTGAAGTTATTCATTATTTAGTATTCTTTGTCCGTAGCTCTAGTGTCACCACTTTGAAGTCAAATCAGATATCTTTTCCTGAAAGTCTGTCCATGTTTCCAGTGTGTTTTGATCCGGCTGGATCATTAAACATCTGCTGAGCTGGACAGCCTGTGTTTCCCTGCCAGGTTTCACTTGCCTTTAGGCGGTTTAATTTGAGGATGGAGCTTAAGTTGAGGAAGAGAGTACAACATCCAAACCCTCAGCCATGTGTTTCTGCCTCTCTGCAGCAGCCCTGATGCCAGCTGAAGCATGATGCATCCAGAGAAGCCCAGAACGGCCCTCACCCTGCAGAGACGACTGGCAGATTCAGCCCCTCGGGGCGCTCCGAGCACCGGCCTTCTGCAGGGCCTCATCCAGAGCGCCAGGCCTCTTTCCTTCTGCTTCCTGCTCCCTAGGGTCCATGCAGCTGATGTGGCTGCTGTCCAGCCTGCACAGATGCCCTCTTCCTCTTCCTCCTCCACCATTGGTGCTGCTGCTACACCCTACCCCTCTCCCAGTACTATGCCAAGCAATGTGGGCAAGCCAGAGTTCCCAGACACAGGATGGGAACGCATCAAGGACCTCTTTGAAAAAGAGTTAGTATCCTTGTTCTCCCTCATTTCTCTATTTTTTATTATTTAACTATTGTCTGTGAGGGTTCCCAGTCATCAAGATCCCAGTACTCCTGATCCTTAAGGACAGCTGGCTTTGGTTCTTGCTTGTCTGAAAGCAATGATACATGGAGATAAAATAAACAAGGATTTGTCAAATTCTTGTTATTCTGCTGTTTAAAAACCTCCTTGATCCAAAAGTTTTGATAGACAGAGCAAAAGCTTTGAATCTAGATTCTTTTCTTTTTCACTCACCTCTCCACCACTAGAGGGAGCCATTGTAGAAGAAGCAGATCCTCCAAATAGACCACAAGACATTTCTCAGTGCCTCTTCTTTTTGACATGGGAAATTACAGTATCTATGCTGGAGGCAATGAAAACAAGGTGACCCTTTTCTGTCAAAGCACAGAGGCAGACAGGGATTGATAGATAGAAGAGGACGGTGGCTGTTCCTCATGTTCCCATGCTCATGTTTTTATGTTTTTGCTCTCTTCTCCCTGTAGTGCTGAACAGAAGTACCCCGAGGAGCTGACCAGTGTGATAAAAAGCAGCTTTGTCGCTGGCCTGGCAGGCATGATCTACGGAGGTCTGCCAGCTGCTCGCCATGCCAGGCAGAGGTACATCCAATCCAGTCAGGCGGAAATCTACACGAGCAGAGTGGACGCAGTGGTAAGGGAGATATATATATACAGATAAGATATGTGCGATCTAGATTCAGATTTTAAAGGGGTACTCCAGCATAAAATTATTTTAGCGGCAACACACCGTAACACCGAGTTAGACACCCCCATCGAGAGATGCTTCTCTAGTTATACCAACTTTAGTAACAACCACTGGATAGCAATACACAGCAGTCTGAGGAGCCATAAACAAACCTCAACCAAAATGTAACTCTATAGTCACAAATAATGCTCAGAACAGCACCTAACTTCATCAACAGTACATGAAGACATGTAGGGTCCTAGCCACAGCACTAGCCACCAAACTTCTTTTTAGCTTTTACTGATTTCTTTAGCAAAGAGACTAAACACAACTCAACCAATCAATCAATCAATCACTTTATTTATAAAGCACTTTTCATACATAAACTTGTATCACAAAGTGTTGTACACAAGAAGGGTAGGATCAGGGAATACAAAATAAAATACAAAATAAAATACAAACTGCAAAACCCCACCCTCCAAGCCCTCATTTAATACAGACCCCACCCACCCACCCACACACACACACACACACACTCTCACAACCACCGGGACACCAAGTCAGGGCTCAACAGGAAGCCACAGAGGACCAAGAAAATGCTATCTTAAACACTGGAGCTGAAGCTAAACTGATAAAACCATGACAAGATATAAAAAATAAAGTGAAATAAAACAACAATAATAATAAAAAGAATAAGAATAACAAAAACAACAACAATAATAATAATTGAAAATAATTTAAAAAATAAAAATATATAATAAAATTGTTTTAAAATCAAACAATAAAAAAATAAAAAAATAGTATTAAAATATAAGATAATAATTTTAGGACTAAAGTGGAGTAAAATACATAAGATAAAAAGAGTAGACTAAAAGAGAGGCTAGAAGAATAAAACAAAAATCAGCTGAAAGCCAAACTAAAAAGGAAGGTCTTGAGTTTGCCTTTAAAAATATGAACTGTAGGTGTCGCTCTCAGGTCTTCAGGGAGACTTCCACAGATGGGGGCCATAATAATAAAATGATGCCTCACCGTATGTTTTGGTTCTACTCACCTAATCTCTTCCAGCAGCCGCTTGTTTGTGCGGAGACCTCAGATGAGTCCCTGACCGACTGCAGCGGGGTGACGCAGCTCAAGGAAGAACATTTATGATCATTTCTTTATCATTTCCTTGAAGTAATAATCATCATATTATCATTTTGCACTGCAGACACGGTAGTTCTTCTGCCTTAGCGTCTCAGTCTGATCGCATTTCCATGAAGAAACAATCATAAATGTTCTTCCTTGAGGTGTGTCACCCCAACAAGCGGCTGCAGGAAGAGAGTAGGTGAGTTATGTTTAGTCTCTTTGCCAAAGAAATCAGGCAAAGTTGAAAAGATGTTTGGTGGCTAGTACTATGGCTGGGACCCTATATGTACTGTTGATGAAGTTAGGTGCTGTTCTGAGCATTATTTGTGGCTATAGAGTAGCGTTTTGGTCAAGGTTTGTTCATCGCTCCTCAGACCGCTGTGTATTGCTATCATGCGATCGTTACTCAAGTTGGTATAACTAGAAGAAGCAAGCAGTCGGTAACATTTATCTCTCGACGGGGTGTCTAACTCGATGTTACAGTGTGTTTGACCCTAAATTAATTTTACGCCGGAATATCCCTTTAATGGCTGACTGAATCTCTTTATGCATATTCTACATACCGAAAAGCAGAATCTGGATTGTTCCTGTAATCCAGCATGAAGTCGGCCTTCCGCTCGAGTCAGGATAACTTTGGATCATAGTTATCCTAAACCTACTCAAAGGTTTTAAAAGACTCAAACTTGAAGCTGTATCTGCACAAAAGCGAGGATTAAGTGGCGCTTATCTCACCTCTAATCGGCTCTCCTTTGGAACAGCCTAATTGTGAAGATATGATCCTATCTGATCGCTTTAATCCAATCAGATCACTGCTGAGCAACTGTCTTATGATCGTGTCTCCCTTCTTTTTCATCAGCGCTCGGCTCATAACGCAGCCATCAGAGGTTTTGTCAGATACGGGTGGAGATGGGGCTGGAGAGTGGCTGCTTTCGTCACCTTGTTCAAGTAAGCAAACGCCTGAATCACACCCGAGAGTTTCATCAGGTTTTGATTGAAGACATCAAATGTCGTTGGACTTGTTTTGCATATAAACCCTCAGCTGTCTCTCCCGCTCATTTGTCTTCTGTCCCCTGCAGCTCAGTCAGCACAGGCCTCTCTGTGTACAGAGACAAGTACGCCCTCAGCCATTACGCTGCAGCTGGAGGTGAGTCACGGGGACTTCGACCTGGCCCAATCAAATATTTAAACCTTTATTTTTAACCCTGGGTCAGCTGATTGAGTTTTTCCACTTGACTTTGTTATGATTTGTTGGCCAGATTCCCATCAGGGAGTTGGTCTGGAGTCTTTGTGCTTAATGTTCAGAACCTAAATCGAAAATTGTGACTCCATGCTAAAAGGATCCCCGACAAGTACAGATCCTGTTTCTGGATTGGTGTTTGTAATCTTCTACTCTTGTGAGATAATAGATTTTTGGCATTCTTGGCTCTGAGCTGGCCTCTCAGCTGGTTGAAAATTTAAAAACGGACATGTTGGAACTCCTCTAGTCCTTGTGTAACCTCATTACGCACTGTTCCAGCACAAGCAGAGAGCACTGAGCGCTAAAAGATGAATGTCTCTGTGTGCAGCTGTGACCGGGGGCCTCTTCAGACTGAACCTGGGCCTGGGAGGGCTGGTGGCAGGGACAATCATCGGGGCAGTGCTGGGGTAAGCTTCCACAAACGTCCCATCACATCAGTCGCTCGCTCCATCAGTCCAACGAGTCGTTTTTGTTCACTCTTACTACTCCCAGTTTTACCTTAAAGTGTCGAAATCCTCCAGAATCGGAGTCGCTCGCTCATGCTGATGTGTGTCCTCATTCGTGCCCTCGTGCTCCGGAGCGGTGAGCACTCTGGCAGCCAGCTGTGTCCCTCCTAGCAACCCTCTGCCGCCCAGCTGAACCCCCACCCCCACTCTCACTCTGTATTCAGCGCCAGAGGGACTCATGTGCGCTGCAGAGGGCCGTGTTCTGGGCGCTAGAGCAAGGAGGCAAGCCAAGGCAGCAGCTGCCTCGCCGCATCTCTACCACCTCTGTTATTCCAGCCTCTCATCTCCATGTACCATGGTCTGATCTGGACTCACGCTCCACTCTCTGCCCCACTTCGCTCTCATTCCTGTGGCCGCTTCCAGCCAAGAGGTTTGGATTTGATGGTGTAATGGAGATTGAGTGTGAGGTTTTTTGGTGGTGAAACAGACCAGAGGGGCTGGTTTGGAGCGTCTCTGAAAGCATCATCGTCATGTTGGCTCAGTCCTGGTCTCATCTTCCTGCACCACCTCCTCTTCTTCTCTTTCCCTCCTCACTCTCCGCCTCAGGGACCAGCCACCTGGGGGTATGTGATGTGAGCAAACAGCCCCGGCCTGGGCTCTGCCAGGTGCAGTCAGGGCAGGAGAGGACACAATGGAAGCAAGCAGTAAAGCGAAAGCACACCATGCTCTAGATTACGCTTTTATCCGAGGTGTAACTCAGGGGTTTTCTTTTTGGGTGGGGCTGCAAGGCCTGAAAGAGTTCTCGCATCAGACAGCTGAGACATTTTTGACACTAATTTGTTCGAATAGCACCACAGCTTTGAAGATTTGTACAACTAGAGTTGCTGCTTGGCACAAATTTTGTGTTTTGTAACTTTTGTTACAAAACATGTTACACAAGCAGAAAATATTTGTGTAACCCCTCACAACATCACTTTTCCTCCGTGTGAAGTTTCTGGCACACAGTTTGACGCTATAGTCTTGTGCATTAACTTTATTTCAAACAGCTGATGTTTCAGCTCTGGGTGGGAGGGTTGTTAAAATACAACCAGCTGCCTCTGCATCACAGAGCTTGTTACAAAACAGATTGTGAAATACGAATCGTTTTATAATAAACTCCTGACCCGTGTTTCCCCAGAGGTCGTACCAGTGCCTTCCAAAATTCATGTACATCTGTGCGTGTGCTTACAACTCTCTTTTTTCTACAAACACAGCCATCACAAACCACGAGGTGTGCTGCCTAAAGCGTTAAAACAAACATAATCGATCAAATCTTTGGTGTTTTGTTTTACTTGTTTATTCACAGGATTCCCACCGGTGCATTGATCATCAGCATGCAGTCCTTGGCTGGAGAAACTGTCCGAGAAAGGAGGAAGAGGGAGCGCAGGGAATTCTATGAGCTCAGACTTGCAGAATGGTGAGATAAGGGGGGGATTTTTCCACCAAAATATAACCAAACTAAATCAAATCATCATCCAGCTCTACTCAGAATTTGACTGTTTTTTATTCTCTGTCCTCCTGTCACACAAAAGGACGGCCCGTCTGCAGTTAACAGATGATTTGATTGGAGATCTCAACGTCAGCTCTCAGGCGGAAGCGACAAATAAAGACATGCAAAGGATCCAGGAGCTGCTGAGTTCACCGAAGAACGAGGACTCGACCCAGGGCCCAAGCGGACAGTGACAGACTAGATTGGAGGTTAAAGGTGGGACTTCACACCGCTTTGTGGATAAATGGGCCTCTTCTTCACCTGGACTCCACACCTTCTGTCTAACTAAGGGGGAGCACTTCACATCATGAAAGGACACTGTTGCTCCACAAACTCCTGTCTTAGTGAGGACCAATCAGAGATTCAGACACTGACAGCGCTGATGTTTTGGCAGACTTAAGCTGTATGTTCAGTGGTTGGTAAAGGTTGCTTAGGGGCATCAATTAAAGGCTTAAAAAACTCTGTGGATAATTGTCCCAACCAGGATAGATGGTACAGTTTGGTGTCACATAAGGACAAGAATGACTCGTACTTTACTTTTGCTGCCAAACTTTAGATTGACAGCCGATTCCCTCCCTTTTAGAAGGCAATGAGGTGAAGTTTTATCGCGTTTGACTCATCGATTAAGTGAAAATAAAAAAGTTTAATTAAAGATCGAAGGGTCATACATCAACTACGGCTTAACTTTGAAGACTGTCTTCAAAATCTACAGTTACAAAAGCCACAGTCAAAAAGTTACGTCAAAAACACAGTGAACTTAAAAAAAAGGCAAATTAATGAAGTTGTATATCTTTAAAGCACCTGTAAGGAACTTTTAACTGGTAATAAAACATTTCAAAATTTACTCCAATGTGTCATGATAACCAATAAAACTAAACCAGGCTATGTGTCTGATGGTTTTCCCAATCTTTGACATCTTAGCTCTGCGAAACCAAAAAAAAAAGCCCTGGAGGAGGCAGACTGGCATGAGAAGTGGGAGTGGTTTTGCATGCATGCCCTTACAAATCACTCTTACACGGCAACACAGCAGGTCATTGGGATCACCTTGCAGGAGCTCCGTTTACCCAGTAGGTGGGGTGCAGAAACAGTGCAAACGGCTCTTTTGCTTCAATGTTGAAGAGTTGAAGGGAAGAAGCGGATCACTACAAAGTGGCTTTTCAAGTCCGGGCTGTATTTGTAAAATTTCTGTCTTTTGCTAACCGTGACTTTCACACCTAATTCTGCCAGATGTCAACTCACGCCTGCATGAAATGCCTCTTTTCTGCTCCTCCTCATCTGTATTATGGGTAGTGTGCTTTTAACTGTGCCTCCTAGGCTTCTCGACAACTAGGTCAAACATGGCCTTGGTCCCTGGTGTAAACAAGATGTGGCACAGACACAGCTGGGGCCCAGAGTGTCACTGTCACTGCTGACATACAGAGGGACAGCCAGTGGAAACTGAGTGTAGAGGCCTCTGCAGGTACGTTTCTAACAGCAGAAACTAGCATTTATTTATTGAAGTGAGTTTAACCTACGAGGATTAGATCTGACAGCTGGTGGAGGTAGGTGTAGCATAATGGAGCACAGTTGGTTTTGGCTGTGTCCCAGCTTTGCAGGATGTTTCCTATTGAAACTCCAGGGGGAAGAAGATTAAAGTCAAACTGAATTGAAGAATTTAAGGTGGAAAATTGGAGCAGGTTCGACTTATGTTACATGAGTTAAAGGCTGATGGTGTAACGGTGGCATAAGTTTGGCATCCCTCTGACTTCAAAACCTTGAATGAAGACTGAACTTTTTTAATTTGAGCATCATTAAACTATCGACAAATTCAGCCTTTTGAACTTGGACAGAGTCTCTAATGAAAGTGGGCCTCCCTTGCAACTACAATCACTTTCAATCTTCAATCTTGGTGGTATATCTCCACCATCCTCTCTTGACTCATGGTGGAGGGATGACTGGAGCAGCTTCAACATTTAGGCTCTCAGTTCCCTCTGTTGGTGGTTTTGTGGAGATGCAAATCTGGCCAAAGTAAAACTAGTATTTTCATAATTTGGCTTGACTCTGTATCAGTAGATGGGGCAATTTGTGGTAAAGTGATAACCCAACATGACACATCCTTGTCCCACCTTATTTTGAAAGGGAGTATTTATTTACTACAATTTTGTTTGTTTTTTGTAACTCTTCTTAATTTTCACATCTTTTCAAGGGGATAAATATAGGGGGAAAACACTTATTAATTCTTTATACTCATAATATTGACTATTTTTGCATGAAATATAATGTGATATTTTAAAAACAATCACATTTTTAGACAGACCTTAGATATGACATCCTACTAACTAAGTATAAATACCTAGTCTATATGTTTGTGGTGTAGTCACTCAAAGTTTTCCAGCAAGGACAAGTAACACTATCTCTAATACAGTTTTTTTCTAATACTCATGCGTCTGTCCCTGTAAACCCGTCTGCACCATCATGTCTGCAGATATTGTGACATGGTGGCACTCCGGTAATTGAGCTGGAATTCGTCCGCCTCCACACTGTGAGTGTGCGACTGCAGCATACCAGCGATTTCTGCTCATGTTCTGTCCCGAAAATGAACTACTGGTTTGTTTTGGACAATTATCTGGTTAGGACCCGGCACCGCGCCAGAGCCCCCGAAGAAAGGCGCAGAAAACAATGGTGCGGGTCGTTGGTACGTTCACGTGCTGCTCGTAAATGTGGGTTCATTGAGTGCAGCGTTAGGCTCGACGATGAAAACGGGTAACATGCTGGCAGTATCCGTTTTGCATTTTTTTTAGTCCTTTTGAATATCAATAAATAATTGGATTGTTTGATAAAATGCGCTTTAAAGCCGCTGCATCTTTATGAAAAATAATTTGAAGTGATTTTTTTTTTATTAGTGGCCGAGAACCGCCACTGCCACAAATAAAAAAGAATGGAAAAAAAAATACAACTGCTAATACAAAAGAATGAAAATAAAGAAAACACAGCAGAGGTTACTGATGCAAAAAAAAAAAACGAAACTGAAGCCCACTGCAAATAAAAAAAGAAACAGTGCAGATTAAAAGAAAAAACAAAAAACACAATGGAAGTTAATGATGCAATATAAAAAGGAAGCCTGCTGCAAATGAAAAAAAAAAGAAACGGTGCAGATAAAAAAAAAAATTTAATTAATTAATAAAAAAAAACAATGGAAGTCAATGACGCAACAAAAAAGCGGTAATGCAAAAAAAAAGTTACTGCGAAAATAAAAGGATGCAAATAAAAAAAGTTTATGAAGCGAAATTAAACAATAACCTTTCCACTTCTTTGCTTATCTTCTCACCGTCATCTTCTGTGATTTCATCGTAAAAAAAACGATGCATTATCATTAGTGGTCCCCAGCAGCTCACTTCCTTTGTGGCTTTTTTTATTTGCATCCTTTTATTTTCACAGTAAGAAAGTTTGTTTTTTTTCCATTGCAACCTTTTTTTTGTGTCGTAAACTTCCATTGTGGCTTTTTTTATCTGCCCCGTTTCTTTTTTTAATTGCAGCAGGCTTTTGTTTCTTTTATTTTGCATCAGTAACTCCCACTGTGACTTCTTTTTTTTTTTTTTTTTTGCATTTTTTTTTTGTGTGTCGTTAACTTCCATTGTGGCTTTTTTATCTGCACCATTTCTTTTTTTAATTGCAGAGGGCTTCTGTTTCTTTTTTTTTTTTTTGCACCAGTAACTTCTGTTGTGACTTCTTTTTTTTTGCATTTTTTTTTTTTATTTGCAGCAGTGGTGGTTCTCAGCCACCGTAGTTTTTTTTTACTCATGAACCTATAACTTAAGGTGTTTCATCACAAACACTTATTGAGATGTTTTGAATTATGGCACACACATGATTTTGTATTTTTTTTTTTGCAATAAATGGATAATTAACACTAAAAATAGACCATGTGTCTGTCCATCTTTAATTTGCTTTAAATGACATTAAATCTTCTCAGAAATCATAAAAGTGAGTGATATGGAATGAATTACAAACCAGATGGGGCAGGAGAGATGAGAAAACGCGCCCTCTGAATTCTTGGAAACGCCCCTGCGTCACATGTGTTTTTACACACCTGCTCGCGGTCATTAAATAGGAACGAATTATGTCCCCTTTGGCTTTCCATAACTCTGTAGGCTTTTGAAAACAAAACCAGCTGAAAACAACTCGGCGCCGAAATAGCCATAATAACGGTGTTATCTCTGGAGTCTGGACTTTACATGATGTAAGTTAACTCATCACATGGTGAATGAGCAGATATATATGAAAAGTTGTAACTCCGGTTTTGGCCGAGGCTCAACGACAGACCCGACCGGCTGCCGCTGACCATGGAGATTAACATGAAAGGAGACAGACAGAATCCGTTGGCGTCTGCCAACCTGTTTTCAAGGGTCTTTATGTGGTAAGTGGCAGCATATCGCAGCGGGGTGTTGATAAGTGGGAACAAATCGATCCAGATACAAACACGCTGCATGTCTGCATGTTGCGCATTAGTCCACTTATTAAACAATGAATACATTTACTACAAGACTGTTCCCAAATAAATAGTTAAATCATCGCTTTTTTATGCATGACTTCTTGAATTGCAACAACAACTGGAGTGCCAGTTCCTCTGATACTCCAGTGTGAAGTGTGTGCGCATTGGCTTTCCAAACAAGGAAATGGTGATTCCTCGATTTCACTTTTGGATTCAGTCTCCTATCCACCCAGTCCAGTGCGCAACTCTTCAATCATGTAATTTGAGCCAAAAAATATCCCCACATCGCAGATTTGTCTTGCCCCTTAATCCGACAGTGCCAGGGACGCACAGACGCCAGGTACAACATGTGCTGTTGGACACTCCAACACTTGGGATTGCCTCCTGACATGCCTCTGCAAAGACAGAGCCAGATAATCCTTTTAATAGTTGCAATTGGAAGTTAGATTTATGTGTGTTTAGATGACCCTGATATATCAAACTCTTGATCTAAATATAGAAGTTGCATCAAGCTTGAGTGTTTATATTGAGTCTTATGTGGGCCATGAGAGATGTGAGCCTCAGTGTCAAGTTTGATGCTTTAAATGCACTCTGTGATACTTGAATCTCATTAAGATCTTGGAATAACATTTAAAGCTTGCCTTGGTCCTTTACAGTTAAATAAACACATTTTTTTCATACATTATTCCTTCACTGTCCTCAAGGAGTTAATGTTTTTCCTCCTGGACTAATCAAGACTGTGACGAAGATCAAAGTGTGATCCAATGAGAGATTCTGTTAATGATTCCCCTCCATTGTAGGCCATCGGGTCACAATCAGCATGAGCTCTTACAGTCACAATCAGGTCTCACGTGTTCATGTCAGGAGAACCCCTCTGCTTCTTCAGTGTTACCTGCAACCTGCTGTGTTTTCACCCAAATTCAATTCATGACCCAGTGACATGAATCCCATGTTTTGGCAAGATTAGCGCACTTGTTTTTAGTTTTGGTTTTTTGGCACTTGTTTCAGGGCAAAAATTTCACACCAGACCAGAAAGGTGGAATCCGGCTGAAGATAAAAATAGCTCTTAACCCATTTGCAAGATAATGAAGGAAAAACCCCAATTTATTGGGCTATAACTGCTCTACCATCCCGCTACAGAACCGTTTTTTTATGAGCTCTGTAATGTTGAAGCTAATTTTTGTAGATGCAGAGAATAACTTTACCAGCAGGAAGAATGGGAAATCAAAATCTTGTGACCTAAACCTTTGTTTCCTGAGGAGGGAAAAGCGTCACGGCAGATAAAGGTTGAGGTCAGCTGAAGAAAATATCTATACTCCTGCCTTTTTTTTTCCTGACAGCTTTTTTCATGGATAAAAAGGTCGCTGGGTTCTGAGAGAGTGTGAAGATTTTACTCTGGAAAAGTCAATGCTGTGCTTTTTTAAAATACCCCCACTTTCTTGTTTTTTCCATGAAAGCATATCAACAAAAATAACCTGATAGAAATCTGTAACCTGACAGTGTACATCCTCGAACCTTAAAGCTCCTGTAAGCAGTTTTTGACTGTCTATAAAAACAACCTGAAATTTATAGCAATGCCTTTGCATGACCCATGAATGAATGTTTTGCTAATGTTTTCCTTTTTGAATTAAAAGGTTATTAACATGAATTTCAGTCTCCTCACAGGAGCTTTAATGTGAATATTTTGTGTAGAAACTGTAAAAAAAGGCTGTTTGCATTGTTCCTAGTTAAAAAGACCAAGCTGATTTTTCTTTTGTAACATGAAATGTGACATTCAAAGAACGGTGACATAAGACACCCTTTTACCCAGAAGTTACTCAACATAACCCAAAGAAGCTCATATGTAAAAGAGTCACGGCAGATAAAGGTTGAGGTCAGCTGAAGAAAATATCTATACTCCTGCCTTTTTTTTTCCTGACAGCTTTTTTCATGGATAAAAAGGTCGCTGGGTTCTGAGAGAGTGTGAAGATTTTACTCTGGAAAAGTCAATGCTGTGCTTTTTTAAAATACCCCCACTTTCTTGTTTTTTCCATGAAAGCATATCAACAAAAATAACCTGATAGAAATCTGTAACCTGATACTGTACATCCTCGAACCTTAAAGCTCCTGTAAGCAGTTTTTGACTGTCTATAAAAACAACCTGAAATTTATAGCAATGCCTTTGCATGACCCATGAATGAATGTTTTGCCAATATTTTCCTTTTTGAATTAAAAGGTTATTAACATGAATTTCAGTCTCCTCACAGGAGCTTTAATGTGAATATTTTGTGTAGAAACTGTAAAAAAAGGCTGTTTGCATTGTTCCTAGTTAAAAAGACCAAGCTGATTTTTCTTTTGTAACATGAAATGTGACATTCAAAGAGCGGTGACATAAGACGCCCTTTTACCCAGAAGTTACTCAACATAACCCAAAGAAGCTCATATGTAAATGTTCGGGCACTGAAATTACTTTGACAAACTTAAAGACCCCAGAACAGAATCCTTATAATGTTTAACTGAGCTGAGAGATGCGTCATTTACAACCTGCAATGTAAAACACTCACAAATAATATCACACTTACAGTAACAGTTACAGTAGCACCTGTAAGGTGACCACGATGATGCCTATTTGCTAAGTGTGTGAGTAAAACATTAAAGTACTTTTAAGCATTAAGCCAAACCGGTTCCTTACTAACCAAACTACAGCCTTTCAAATAAACCACCTCCAAACTGAATGGTACCAGCCCTGATTCCTGAGGAGACACAAAAACCCTCAAAAGTTTGACAGAGAAGCCCCCCTCTTAGAAGTTATTATCTTGTCACACTCGCGCAAATCTTCATGGAACTTACATTATTTATTACCGACCATGGTTCGAGGAAATAGAAGATTCAAGAAACGGTTGAAGATTACACCATGATGAACCGCAAGGCTCTGAAACTTTGATCAAGCCAATTTCATCAAAATGCCAAAGCACTAACAGTTTAAGGCTTCAAAGCTGTTTTTGTAGCATTAGAGTTTACACTTAATGTGCCCATCTCATAACCCTTAACCCTGCCAAGCTGGTTTAAATGTTCCTTTGAGGCTTGCATCTGAAAGAGGACAAAGACAAGATACTCTCACAAACCCAATGTGCACAATTGCAGGGAGAGATACCTATACATGCACAAACTGAGACGAATAAACCTTATAACTGGGGAAGGAAACCTCAGGAAAGAGTCGAAATTGAGCAAAATTAATCTGATTTGCTGAACAAAGTCTGACAGAAAAAAAAAAAACGGGGGGGGAGAAAATGGAGCCTAGGAGATGTTCTGTTACATTACTCAAATTATCAGCTGAACTTCTGCACATCAGATTGATGATATATTGTATAATGAAATAATTAAGTAAGCAGGAATGCGACCTGTTGATCCACGCCATGAACTGCCTGGACATAAGTCATGCTCTATATTCACTAGATACAGGTTTAACAAAGAGGCAGCAAAGGCGTTCAGCACTGTCGTACCTCATTACCAGGATGAAAATACTTAATCCAGGAATCATATTACTTTTCTGATAAACTCTGATTCCTAGAAGATGTACCATTTCTCCTGAGTCTTGTGCCAAAATGATAACTAATTCGAAGGCTAATCAGTTCAAGTCCCTGCACTAAAAAACACTTAACATTACCAAACAAGCTAGAAGAGGCAGCACAGTCCAGGACAAGTTATGATAAAATGAAATAACTGATGTGCTGGACAGTGTCTGATCAGTATGAATTATTTCTAATTGAATTAATTTGTTTGTTTCAGCTGGTTAGGTCCAATCCTCCGGCTTGGCTACAATAAGAGACTGGAGGTAAACGACATGTACAGCATCCTTCAAGAAGATAAGTCTGAAAAACTGGGAGAGGAATTACAGAGGTACTGAATCACTCCAATGCTTTGTTAATGCATGCTCCCTGGGTCCTAACAAACACTCTGATTTTCAGTCATGTTACACATTCATTCACACATACATGCACAGGTTCAACTGAGGCCTTCGGAGCTAAAACAGTCCCTCACTGATGAGGCACTGAACCAGGAAGTACCAGGGATCAGTGAAAGCAAATTCGAAACGATATCACTTGGCTCTGAAAGTTTGTGCTAGATGAGTTAAAGGGATATTCTGGCGTCAAATTACGTTAGGGTTAAACACACTGTAACACATAGTTAGACACTCCCTCAAGAGATGAATGTTGCCGACCGCTTGCTTCTCTAGTTATACCAACTTTAGTAACGACCGCACAATAGCAATACACAGCGGTCTGAGGAGCCATAAACAAACCTCAACCAAAACGCCGCTCTATAGCCACAAATAATGCTCAGAACAGCACCAGCCACAGCACTCGCCACCAAACATCTTTTTAACTTTGCCTAATTTCTTTAGCAAAGAGACTAAACACAACTCACCTACTCTCTTCCAGCAGCTGCTTGTTTGTAGCGAGACCTTGGGCCAGTCCATCGATTGCAGCGGGGTGACGCAGCTCAAGGAAGAACATTTATGATTGTTTCTTCATGGAAATACAATCAGACCGAGACGCTAAGGCAGAAGAACCGTGTCTGCGTGCAAAATGATTAATATGGTGATTAATACTTCAAGGAAATGATAAAGAAATGATCATAAATGTTCTTCCTTGAGCTGCATCACCCCGCAGCAGTAATGGACTCACTTAAGGTCTCTGTACAAACAAGCGGCTGCTGGAAAAGAGTAGGTGAGTTGTGTTTGGTCTCTTTGCTAAAGAAATCAGGGAGAGTTAAAAAAAAGTTTGGTGGCTAGTGCTGTGCCTGCTGTTGTCCTGAGCATTATTTGTGGCTATAGAGTGGTGTTTTGGTTGAGGTTTGTTTATGGCTCCTGAGACCGATGTGTATTTCTATCCCGCAGTCGTTACTAAAGTTGGTGTAACTAGAGAAGCAAGCAGTCAGCAAAATTTATCTCTCCAGGGGGTGTGTGACTCGGTGTTATGGTGTGTTTGACACTAAATGAATTTTACGCCGGAATATCCCTTTAAGATAGGGACCGTCATCAAGCATCCAAAATCTGGAGGAGATTTGATAGTTAGTACTATGTTACCCCACAAGGTGGTGCTGTCATGATAGCTGAAAAATCTGCATATAGAAGTGTTCAGTGGGGGACCTTGATCGTGAATATGAAGTTTTAAACTGATTGAATGTTGTATGAAGGAGTTGAAGCCAGGTTTGATGTGTGTGTGTGTGTTAACTTTAGGGTGCGGTTAGGCTGCCAAACAGAGACGGAACAAATCGAAAGTTCTTTAGGGTTTCAATCGGGTTCTCACACAGGCTCATTTGCTTAACCCAGTTGTTCTTGCCCAGTGGCAGGGGTGACAAAGTTCAATTGTTTAGTCAAAGCACACATTCTTGGCACTCACTGCTGCAGACGGATAACGCCCCATGAGCTGCAGCCTTGGAGTAACTGTGATTCAGTCGTCATGCCGTCAGAGTCTGGCCCTTGTCAAAGTTGATCACAGTCTTATGCTTGCTCAGCGTTCCTGCCTCCTTTACATCAACTCTAAGGATATTCACTTCACATTTCAGTTGTTAATATGGTACAGCTCATGGATTTGAGTTGTTTTTAGTCTTTTTTTGTGACTGTTACAGATTTCACTCTGAAAGCAAAAAAAACCCACAGATATCTAGAGCAAGATTTGACATCAGAGCGTCTCTAAAGGAGCTAATTGCATGTTTTATGTTTCAGATTTTGGGACAGTGAAGTCCGAAAAGCTACCAAAGAACTCCAAAAACCACAGCTTGCCAGAGCCCTCCTAAAGTGTTATTGGAAATCCTACTCAGGAGCGGGGTTGTTTGTGTTACCACTGGTATGTTCACCTTCTTGTGTTTTCCAAGAAATGTTAAGTAGCCAGTCGAAGCCAACCTGATCTAATCGGTTTTTGATTTGACCCACATTCTGTTTGATTAACACGTTTTCCCCGGTCATTTTTGATCATAAAGGAAGCGATTAAAGTCATCCAGCCCTTCCTGCTGTGGAAAATAATCCAGTACTTTGAGAACTATGACCCTGATGACCAAACAAGTCTGTATATGGTGTACGGCTACGCTGCTGCAATGTCCGTCTCCGCCTTTGGACTCACCTTCCTCCAGCACCTGTACTACTACCACGTCCAGAGGACAGGCATGAAGATCAGAGTGGCTTTGTGTCACATGATCTACAAGAAGGTTAGTAGGTGTTTGCAGCCCAGATGCTGATTCTCTTTTAGAGTTTTTGTTGTACTAACCAGACAGGGGCGTATATCTTGGCAGGCTCTCAGCCTCAGCAACGAATCATTGGGGAGAACAACCACAGGGCAGATCGTCAACCTTCTATCCAATGATGTCAATCGTTTCGATGAGGTAAGAAAATCGTCAAACTGTAAGTTCCGAGTTTTTTGTTCATGTCAAACTTTTCGTCAACACCTACTGTGCTCACGGTCAAACTGTCTGTGCAGATTCCAATCAACCTGCACTATCTGTGGGTGGGCCCTCTTCAAGCTGTGGTGATCATCGTATACCTTTGGTACGAGATCGGCCCCTCATGCCTGGCTGGTATGACAGCCATCGTCCTCATGCTGCCTTTGCAGACCTGGTTTGGGAAGCTCTTCGGGATCTTCAGGTAAGGAACAAGACAAGGAAACAGACGAGACAATCCATTTGTTTGAGGCAAAAAAAACAACAAATCAACCTTATTGTCATTTTGCAGGAGCAAGACAGCAGTGCTTACTGACAACAGAATCCGTATCATGAACGAAGTGGTGTCGGGCATCAGGATCATCAAGATGTACGCATGGGAGAAACCCTTCTCTGCTCTGGTGACTGAGGTCAGACGGTAAGGATGAAAGACTCAGAGGCAGCTGATGTGTGTGTTTCCTCTGTTCAAATGCACATTCGTTGTCAGGATCTATTTCACTCGCTCTCTGATATTCCCTTAGGATCTGGCAGGTAAAGGATGGTCTAGGGATTACAAAATGGAAACATGGTGTTGATCAGAGGAGAGCAGAAGTCTGTTCAGTTTCACTTTTCTCAGATTGGGCAGATGTAATGGCGACTTTCTTATTCCTTTTTGGACATAGATTCCTCTTACAGATTGGATTTCAACAATGTTTGAACACTGTTATAAGGCGCTAATGCCTTACTCTGCTCGGCCGGCCTCAACAGAGTTGTAATTTACTGTGTATTTGGTTCCACCGTTGTAACTGGTTACACAACTCGACTGAAACGAAGCCAGTGCCACGCCACAAATTCCTCATATATTCTCACACCGTGGAAAAATGAACCAGTTGATTTATTGGTGGCAGGTCAGATCCTTAGGCAGCATTTGATAGAAAATGAACAACCCTAGTTCCATTTAGAAGTACAGGTGCTGTGTAATTTCTAGTCGTTTAATCCCGTGTTTTATTAGAAATACTGCAAGGATGATTTCAAAAATGGTGAAACTAACTAGTTGTACTGTTTAAAGAAATATTTGCTCAGTTTAATTTGAAAAAAAATGGGGAAGGGAGAAGAAAACACCGACAAGCTTGTGCGCTTAAAATTAAAAATAGATTTGACTGCTTAAGGCGGCGGGATTCGATTCTTTAGTCAGGAGATGCTGTTTAAGCATGTGGAGGACAAGACAAAGACTCAGAGAGGCTTTGATACATGTGGTAGGGAAGTATTTTAAGCAGAAGAGAGTCAGGGAATATGAGGGGTAGACAGCAGGAGAAGACATGAAGCACAGGGTTGTGGCTGGAGACCGGACCAGCAACTGCTACAACAAAGACTAGAGCCTCTCTAGACATAGTCATGGACACCCTCGCATTTCTCAGTTTTAGTATTTCTTGTTTTCCTTTTAAAACCTGGGTCTGTCCTAGGTCCGCTGTTGTTTTCACCGTACGTGGCACCACTGGGTTGTTACTTTTTATTGTTTTCGTTCAACACTGTATAACATCTTCCTCCAAATCACGTAGCCCTTTCTAGGAAAATCAGTGCAATGGAAACTTCTCTGAAAGAGTCAGTAAGTCATTTCAGCGTGGTCAGACAAAGAGTTAACCTTTAAAGATATTAACCTTTTACCACTTTTACAGCCTCAAGAGACTGGCGAGTGTTGTGTAAATAAACAACAGATGAAGGGAGGATGGGGTTTTATTACTTTATCTTTGACAGTTGAGAGCTAAGGACTTCATCTTTATCTCCTGAACAAACCAGAACACAATGAATCTTCTTCACTGGCTGTTAACTGTGTGGACTTTGTCAGGAGTTGCCTGAGAACACTTTGTGGTATGTACTGTGAAAGAAGGTCAAGGAGATTTAGATTACACTCAGCAGAACATGTATGTTTACGGATGCCTTTGCACTCTCAGGGACACACGCTTACATTTTTACACACACACATAGGAGTTGGAGGAAACTCAGAGCTCAGGGCTGATTTTGTTCAATCAAATGTGATTTTAACTTTTTGTAGCAATTAAACATGTTTAGTGTTTTTAATTTTGCAACACTAAGTAAAATTAGCAGAGAAAGTATATGGTAGGTTTGGTGGATAAGTAGAGCAAAGCTGTGAAAACAGATGCTAAATTCAAGGGAAGTGTTGTCAAGGGATTGGATTTGAAGGTTATTTCAAGCGAATTACAGAGTTAACTACAAGTCCAACTGACCAGCTAGATAGAAATCTCATTTGAGACCTGGTATGAAACCCTGATTGGTACGTTTGGCTAAAAAGGAGATGTGAACAATTATATTAGTCGCAATAATAACGTTTACTTCTGAAAGACTGAATGCTCTCAGCTGGTGGAAGCAGGTTAAGAAGTATCTCCTAACTTTTCATTTTTAATACTTTACAATTTATGTTACAATTTATGTCATGTATTAAATGATGAATAATAATTAAAGTTCATAATTGGAATTCCAATTAAGTCCTTGCACCACGTTGGTGCTGTTTAAAGTAGAGAAGGTGTCTGCCTCCCAAAACCTGACTGGGAGATGATTACAAAGGAGAGGGGCCCATAATGAAGGCTCTACCTCCGATACTACTTGTAGATCACAGATAAAACCCTAACTGACAGTAGACCTCAGTATGATATTGTGTAAGGACATATTGATGTCCATAAGTCTGGGGTTTTGGTCCAGTTATTTTTAGTTTGGGCGTGTGCTTTTATAACCAGCTGGGAGTAGTCTTGGTCCATTATTATGATTGAACATAATGCTTTTTATGAAACAGTATGAAAGATGACAGCTTTACTGTCCACAGGTATTGAGTTTCGAAATTTAATGAGGCCACTCTCTGCATGTATGTTGACTTAAGCCAGTACAGCATTGAACCACATCTGGTTCTGGGATTGAGGAGACCCTATTGTTGAACAAATTTAAAGACCTGCGATTGGATTTCCAGGCGTGGGGAACCCTTAACCTCTATAAACCCTGCTTGTACAACATTAGGTGAAAGATATATCTAATGTTGTACTGTAACCCCCTGTCCTTCTGCGATAAAAAGTCCCAGCTTTGTTGGAGCTTGAGTAGAGGTCTGTGGACATGTCCAGAATTTCACCCCTTGCTTAAGAATAACTCCTATCATAATGTGGAGAGAGCATACCAGAACAGAGCCAGCCTTGTTTACCAGTTTCAGTTTCTTCCTGCCCGCAGACATGATGCTGCTGCTCAATACTTTAGCCATGCAGGCAGATATGCTAGTTAAGCTAGTAGCATGATGGGTGCAGTCTCTCTAATCATAGAGCTGAGTGTCATCTGTATAACAGTCAAAGTCTACACCATGTCCATGCAGGATTTGACTTGGGGAGAGCATTCATAAAGTGAATAAAAGGGGACCCAGCATAGATCCCTGGGGTACCCCACATAAGAGAATAGCACAATAGGAGGAGTGATGCAACCTTTTGGAGAAAACACACAAGGCGGTCGGATTCGATTCTTTAGTCAGGAGATGCTGTTTAAGCATGTGGAGGACAAGACAAAGACTGCTTTGTCTACAGGGACACCAAAGTTAACATACAAAGTTCTCAGAGAGGCTTTGATACATGTGGTAGGGAAGTATTTTAAGCAGAAGAGAGTCAGGGAATATGAGGGGTAGACAGCAGGAGAAGACATGAAGCATAGGGTTGTGGCTGGAGACCGGACCAGCAACTGCTACAACAAAGACTAGAGCCTCTCTAGACATAGTCATGGACACCCTCGCATTTCTCAGTTTTAGTATTTCTTGTTTTCCTTTTAAAACCTAGGTCTGTCCTAGGTCCGCTGTTGTTTTCACCGTACGTGGCACCACTGGGTTGTTACTTTTTATTGTTTTCGTTCAACACTATATAACATCTTCCTCCAAATCATGTAGCCCTTTCTAGGAAAATCAGTGCAATGGAAACTTCTCTGAAAGAGTCAGTAAGTCATTTCAGTGTGGTCAGACAAAGAGTTAACCTTTAAAGATATTAACCTTTTACCACTTTTACAGCCTCAAGAGACCGGCGAGTGTTGTGTAAATAAACAACAGATGAAGGGAGGATGGGGTTTTATTACTTTATCTTTGACAGTTGAGAGCTAAGGACTTCATCTTCATCTTCTGAACAAACCAGAACACAATGAATCTTCCTCACTGGCTGTTAACTGTGTGGACTTTGTCAGGAGTTGCCTGAGAACACTTTGTGGTATGCACTTTTGGAGAAAACAACATTTTCCTCGTTGCTCACCAACAGCATCTCAAACAAACATGCTCATGACAATAATTCGATTCTTACTTAGTGCATCTAAACTGCGACAAAGACAGCGGTCTAGTTAAATCCCCCTATCAAGCTGTAACCATAGCTTGACTTAACTGTACAAGCTGTGATCGGCAACCCCCAGTCTGCTCTGATTTTGTGCGTGATAATGCAAAGGTAGACACTGATTTGACATTAGCAGGTGCAACCCAATCCGGATGGTTTATTATGCTGCTTCACCAGCAACAGCAGTCATAAATGTACACCGGGGCCAAGAATGGGCAATAAGACCCGAGTGATGTCAAGTCTGTTCCCTTCAACTAAGTTTTCAAATGGTGCCTCAAAGGGGGTTTCTGTATCTTGCCCACTTAGTATCAAGGATAAACTGAATACTTAATGGGTTTATTGTAATCCTTATCACACATAAAGGTCTTAATGAATAAGGTTATATCGGATGAGATTTTCCCACCCAATAGCTTCAGTTCTGACGTCGTACGGTCTCACTCTCGTAAACACGTTACTCCAAAAAAGATTGGATGGGATGGCTTTGAGTTTGACCCTTTGGACTCAAAGAGGAACTTAACAGATTTAACTGATCAAATGAAAAGGTCATGTGTTTCTTGTTCTTTGAAAGGTAGCGTCCCGGCCAAGCCAGTAGGGGGATTTGGTTCATCTCAGTTCTCAGAATCTGCCCCTTTTGTACCGGATTGTTCTTGTACTGTGGCAAAGGTCAGCTTTCTCACATAGTGTGAAGTTGGGAAATAGTGTCTCTACCTGAACTTACCTGCTCATTGGTTCCTGGAAATACGGCTTCCAGTCATCATCCTTCATTTCCAGGAATGCAAATTGTTCTGTGGGAATCAGCGGTGGATTTAAACTGCTGTTTGACTTGTTGGCAAAGACACAAAGCCTTTAGACAGCAAGTTCTTCTGGATGCCCAGCTGAACATTAAGCTTTGAGTTTTAAGCATGCATAAAGGATTAACTGACTTGCATTAGTAGTTAACGTTGTAGACAGTTTCCTCTCTGATTGGACCTTTGAGGACTTAAGTATGACAGCAAAGAAAGTTATCCCTCTATCTTGATCTATTAAAAAAAGTCGGCAATAGGACTGTAATTCTTTTCAATTATTCTGTAGTTTGGACTCATTTAAGAAGAAGAGACATGGTTTATAGATAATGCTCTGAGGCTGGAAGGTAATGACAAAAACCTAAGATTTGGAGTCTTTCAGCTGCTGAAACATCCAACTCTTGATTTTAGTCAGACAGGACACCATGTGTGGTGCCAGGTTTAAAAGGGGGATAGAACTGAGTGTCATCTGTATAGCAGCCAAAGTCTTCACCATGCTCTTGCAGGATTTGGCCTATGGAGAGCTTTTATAAAGTAAATAAAAGGGGACCCAACATAGACCCCTGGGGTACCCCCAAATAGGAGGAATCATGCAACCTCTTGGAGAAAAAAGTTGCTAATCTCCTTTTTTATTATGTTTTTTTCTTTTTCCAGCAAAGAAATCAGCCAGATTTTGAAAAGCTCCTACCTACGAGGACTCAACATGGCCACTTTCTTTGCTAGCAGCAAAGTCATCGTCTTCTCTACCTTCACGGTTTACGTTCTCTTGGGCAACACCATCACCGCGAGTGTTGTGTTTGTCACCGTGTCACTCTACGGCACGATCAAGCTCACTGTCACCCTGTTTTTCCCACTGGCTGTGGAGAAGCTGTCAGAGACTGTGGTCAGCATCTGCAGGATCAAGGTAACAGCAGCTCTGTTTGTTAGTTTACGTATAACCACCAACTTTACCCTCAGGTAAAATTTTTGCATTAACAACTCTGAAAACATCTGAGAAAGTCAGAACGCTGCCGAGGATTTCATCTTGGGGAGGGGCGCCATCAGTGCTGAGTAAAAAACACGTTTTTGAGCGTCTTATGAAACCAACCAGACAACATCTTTTTCAAGGAAGACCTTACAAGTTTCAGCAAGACAATGCCAAACCACATTCTGCAGTTTTAATAACAGCATGGCTCTATAGTGGAAAAAGTCTAAATCCTACATGCCTGCATGCTGGGTCTACGGCGCAGTTTCTGCCAAGAACATGAAGTTCTGGAGAGCAGATCTTGAGATACCAAGGTCAGAGACTGTGGAGAGGGAGAGGTAGAGGTAGTCCTGTGCTTCTAGAGGCATGGGGTCCCACAGGGATCTGTCCTTAGTCAACTGTTGTTTACACTGTGCTGGCACCACTGGATTAGATACTGTGTTCTTTTACGCCAGTGGTTCTCAAGTCCGGTCCTCGAGCCCCCCCCGTCCTGCATGTTTTGGATGTTTCCCTGCTCCAACACACCTGATTCAAATGATCAGCTCGTTATTAAGCCATTACAGAGCTTGATAACGAGCTGATCATATGAATCAGGTGTGTTGAAGCAGGGAAACATCCAAAACATGCAGGACGAGGGGGCTTGAGGACTGGATTTGAGAACCACTGTTTTACGCTGATGATTTACAGTTCTATATGCCAATTTTCCTAGAGACCTGTCTTGCTGTCTTCAAACTTCCTGCTTGTCAACTCAGCCAAGACATTTAATCATTAACTGTTTCCGTAATTTACATTTAACGCAACATCCCAACTGTTATGGAAATGAGGTTTGTGTTGGTCGAAATCCAAGACATTTATTACCACAGAAATCTGACTCTCAGAAGAGAGTCACATAACTTCAAATTCAACGTGCACACTTTACATCACAGACTCATGTATGATCACGCCAACTGGGTGGAGACAGACAAAGTGGGTAAGAGCAGCTGAGAGAAACAAGGTTAGCATCTAGTTTATATAATAAACCTCACCAAACCTGTTGTGAAACTTCATGTGCTTGAAAAGGAAAATGGTTTGCTTTATGAAAAATTAAATAAAAAAGGAAAGGAATAGCAAGTCAGTGTTTTGTGATTTTAGAAGTAATGGTTCCAGTCAAAGTGGTCTGAAGATATTTTCATATATTAACATTTTTACATAGAAGGAGGGAAAGAAAACTGCCTGCTTGGCAAAAGCAGAACATGACCTGAGATTTTAGCTTGGAGGTACCATGTAAGGAACTGTACTTGTCCCTGCAGAAGTGACTGCAGAAATACATGCAATAGTCGATTTAAGGTGTGAAGACTTGTCTATTATTAACCCCCCTCTCAGACTTTCCTCCTCCTGGAAGAGGTGAAGAGAAGAAACTTGGAGTTACCTCTGGAGGAAAAAAAAGAGGCGTTCGTTGAGATTGAGAAGCTGACCTGCTACTGGGATAAAGTAAGAATTAAAACCTTGAAGTGATCATTTGCTTCAGGGCTTATTTGTAAATTCTTAGACCGAAACAGACCAGTTTTTGATTTCTGTGTTTTAATCACACATCTTGTTAAACTAAAGTACTGTTTCATTGCTCCCCAAACTTTGTTTTTATCCACTCTCTGTCAGAGTTTGGACGCTCCCTCTTTGCAGAATGTCTCCATCACACTAAAATCACATCAGCTCCTCACTATCATCGGCCCCGTTGGAGCGGGAAAGGTCAGTACGCCTGAGTGCTAATGCCTGTTAGCACTTTAAGCTTCTGTCTGAATGCAAACCATCTTAAACAAACTTCAACCACTGATACAGGAAAAATTTCTGACTCCATCATGTACTGTGTACACACATTGCTTAAATGAACAACCCTGTTCCTGAACAGTCATCCCTGTTGAGCGCCATCCTGGGGGAGCTGCAAGCCGACACAGGGACGCTGAAGGTCAGAGGTCGGCTGACATATGCTGCCCAGCAGCCCTGGGTGTTCCCTGGAACTATTCGTAGTAACATCCTGTTTGGGAAAGAGCTCAACCAGAAGAAATATGAGAGGGTTATCGATGCCTGTGCGTTAAAGAAGGTGAGTCAAACAAAGTCCGATCTTTGGGAGGCTGTAAACTCTGAGATTTACTGAGGTTTCTTAAAAGTTCTTATTTGTTTCTTTTAATTACAAAAAAAACTAAAAGTGTGAAAAGTAAAAACATCCAGATGCATGAATAAATTAACATAACTGCAGACATTTCACAGAAATATGACAAAAAAAGGCAAACCTCTAAACCCGTTGGCTGTTGTCTTATAAAAGTATACTCTTTGAATGATTGAATGGTTTGTGGTCGACAGATATCAGTTTTTCAGGGACGATACAGATCATAGTTAATGAGACTGATAACCAACATTTCAAACTGATATCTGCTCACAGTAAAAACAAAAAAACTTCTCATATAAAAGAGAATTTGTAATATTATAAACTCCAACACACAGCTGTGCTTAAGAGTCCTTTGTAATTTTTTGTGTTTTTGTTATTGCAGCCTTGATCGCACTTTAGAAATCTTAACAGAGTCCAAACAGCCCTATTTCAGTCACAGACTTCAGACTTTTTTTCCCCACATCTGCAGTCTAAGCTTGATTTAACTGGACTTGACTCACTTGATAATGCACTTATATGGTGTGTTTGAAGTTAATCTCCACTGTGTTTGAGAGCAGGACATGGAGCTGCTCCCAGACGGAGACCTGACGCTGATCGGGGACAGAGGGGCGACACTCAGTGGGGGACAGAAAGCGCGGGTCAACCTGGCTAGGTGAGAGAAAAGCGAAAAAACACCACGAAGTGCATATTTTTGTTGTGTAGATGCAGCAATATTTACATTATTCAACGCATGCAAATTGTAATTTCAGGGCTGTGTATCAGGATGCAGACATCTACCTCCTGGACGATCCTCTGAGCGCTGTGGACGCAGAAGTTGGAAAACATCTTTATGAAAAGTGAGTGAGGTTGTAAAGTGTCACGAGACTCAGATATTTATGGACTTGTTTTAAAAGATAAAAGAGGGCCTCAAGGGAGATCAGACTCAGACTCAGACTCAGACTTTTTATTGTTGCTGTATGAGGCATACAACAAAATTAAAAAAGACACAGAAAATACAGAATCACAGAAATTAAATCAGACTTTAAAAGCAGCCTCACCCTGGGTGGAGATGCCTGAGTAAAACTTTCAGATTGTATCTTTCATCTCAGTATTGGGAGTACTCTGGCGCTGACGTGACATATGAGCTGCAGCCGTCTGATCATTTACTTTTTTAGACTCTTTCATCTAAAAACAGATGCCTGTTTATGTTCCTCTGTGTTTTCTCTGAATTCAAACCCTCCCGTTCATGCTAGGGTCTGCTGTTGCGTGTTAAGAGTTCTTGTTCCAGCTGAGCATGTGAAATCCTGCTTTTTGTGCAGTCTATTGTGCCCTGCATTTAAAATGTTCCACTTATTCCTGAAAGACGCGAGCAGAGCACTGACTCTTGATTCACACAGGTTTTTATGTGTCTTTGCGTTTATGTGTCAGGTGTATCTGCGGTCTGCTGAAAAACAAGATTCGAATCGTTGTCACCCACCAGCTTCAGCACCTGAGGACAACAGACCAGATTTTGGTCCTCAAGGAGGTGAGTGCCCCCACTCACAAGCCTTCACCTTGTCTGTATCTCTATGGGGTTCAGGCCAGATGAAGTAGCTAGCCAGTCACACAGGTTTTTCTTCCTATGTGTCTCCAGGGTCACATCATGGCTCAGGGCACGTACAGCGAGCTGCAGAGTTCCGGTGTGGACTTTGTGTCTCTGCTGAAGAGCGACGAGGAGCAGGAACACAACTCTCGGTCAGCTGACACCGACAGACTGTCGTTACGGAGCCACAGCTCTCTCACTTCCTACAACAGCCTCCTGCCAGCTGACAGCAACAAGAAGGACCAGATTTCTGTAGGTACATTTTCAAAATAAAATCTCATCCTCCTGCCTATCAAGTCTTTATTTTATGACAATTTTTGATGAAGCCCTCTTATCTTATAATCAAAATAATGTTTAGCACTTATCAAAACAGACGATATAAAATACAGATAGTAGCTGGATATAAGAAGGATAAATGAAACGATAAAAACAGAATAAATGAAATAAATTGAGGCTGCTGTCAAAGTAACTCTGACGTTTCTTAAATTTGTTTTTGCATGAAGTGAGGGAAAACAAAAGGAGGACTGAATTTTGAGGTTTTGTGGTGTTACTGTGCTCTACAGACAGATACAGCTTTGTGTCATCAACATAACAATTAAATGAAATATTGTGTATCTGTATTGTGTGACCAAACCGCAGTATGTAGTTAGAAAACAAAAGTGGACCCAAAGTTGTTCCCTGAGGTACACCACAGCGGTTCAGAGGATTTATTATGTATGAAGGTGTTGATCAGCGGTGATTTGATTTGCAGATTGAAGCCGTCGCCGCCCTGGCAGAGGAGACCAGAGTTGATGGAAACGTTGGCGGACATGTTTATCGTAAATATTTCACTGCAGGCTGTAACATTCTGGTGCTGTTTGTGATTTTTCTGCTCAGTATCACGGCTGAGGTAAGGCCTAGAAATGTCCCACTGCTCACTCTCTTATATACTATATCAATGTATAAACACTGGATAAAGACATTAAAGAAAAAAGGAAAAGGTCCTTTCTTTCAACTCCGTTATGGTGTGCTTACTTTTGTTTATTTTCATCCTGCAGTATTTGACATTTCAACTCCCAGTTTCTTTCCTTTTCCTTTTTCCTTTTATTCCCCGATTCCTTTTTTTCAAGGCTTGACCTCTGTCCTCATTCTCAAATTCCCTCCAGTTTTTTTCCTCCCTCTCTTTCTCTCTCTCCTTTTAAATAGCTGTCTCGACCACCAATCTGTAAAACTGTATTTTTGTTCGAGTAAAAAGGACATTGCCTGTGAGAATTTTATGACTGGATCATATGTAATCTTGACATATAAAAGTCTAATCGTCAGGTTGGAATAATTTATGTCTCAGATGCAGCTGAAACATTTTTTTAGTAAAATGTGCAGCAAAACACTGATTTGATGATTTACTAATTTATTACTTGATGTTTTTTGTAACTTTCAAATCTAGGCGACATATATCGTGCAGGACTGGTGGCTAGTTTATTGGTAAGTGTCCAAAACACGGGGCTGTGTTTTACTGAGGTGTCAGCATGTCATCACTTTGATATTTACACATTTAAAGGGGTATTCCGGTGTAAAATCAGGTTAAAATTACTGTTGATGAAGTTTGGTGCTGTTCTGAGCATTATTTGTGGCTACAGAGTGGTGTTTTGGTTGAGTGTGTGGCTCTCTGTAAGAAAAATGTTTTAAAGCGTCTGTGAGGAACATTGAGTTTGTGTAAGGACTGTCCAAAATCTCATTCTATTTTGTCCCTTTTGGAACACCATAGTTAACTCACTGCAGTGTAGTCAGGGAGCAATGGGGGTGAACGTGGTTTCGTCGGTTAAAGTTTTTTTTCTCAACTGATTCTTGCTGCTGGGGGTCCCCTCTTAAGGAGTCAAGAGGGTGCCCAGTGAAATCCCTGGAGCATTTTTTGTTATTAACCCCTTAATGCCCAAAACACTAAAAATTCACCCAAAATAAACTTCTACGGTATTTTTGCATAAAATGCCATAAAACCCTATTTTGTGTATTTTTTTGTTTTTGTTTTGGGAATTTAAGGGTTAATGACTAAAAGATGGTTGGCCTCAAAGGATTAATATGCATTCATCCAAAAGGAAACATGACCAGTTCCACTATTAGAATTTGTAGAAAGCAGATCTAATGCATTTGATTTGATTTCTGTGCATGTACAATATCACAGTTTAAAGATTATGTTGTTCTGGGCAGGAAGGGGTTAATATTAAAAAATGCATACATATAAAATCTAATGCACTGTAAACATCTATTTACATGGATACACACTGTAGAAAGCAAATTTTATGCATTTAGATCAGGTATTTTGCATGAAATACCATAGAAGTCTATTTTGGGTGAATTTTTAGTGTTTTGGGCATTAAGGGGTTAATAACAAAAAATGCTCCAGGGATTTCACTGGGCACCCTCTTGAATCCTCAAGAGGGGACCCCCAGCAGCAAGAATCAGTTGAGAAAAAAACTTTAACCGACAAAACCACGTTCAGCCAAAAATCACCCTTTGGCTCCCGGACTAGTGTCTTCCTGCTTCCTGTTGTTGTTTTGATGCAGAATAACAACACCACTGCACTTCTGAAAGGCACATTTTCACTTTGAAAACTCCCAGATGACTTATTTGACGAATTAAAAAGTGGAAAAAAAGTGAGATGTTATTTAAAGTTCAATTTAGCATCTCTGAGCTAAACATACAGGCGCAGCTAATTTCATCACATAACCCAGCAGGGCGCTATTTTAAAGGCCAGTCAGTGTTGAGGTAGACTCAGGTCTCCTGGGTTGGCATGTTGTGACCAGTCTTTTAGCTGTAGGGTTTGGTTTTGGACCACACTGGCATGGCATGTTGGAATTCAGTGAGTAATTACGATTGGTATATCACATTTGAAAGCCCTAGTTTGTGTTGACTTTGGTGCCTCATGTGCACCACATAGTAATATTTGTATCTGGATTGAGCAGGGTTGAGTTGAGACGGTTAAAAAGTCCTCACAGGAGCTTTAAATTGTCTGAACATCCATTTTTGTCTTTGGCTCCACTCCAGAACTCGGGGTTCAATGGGTTTGTGTAAATTAAGATGGTAGTTTTTCATTAATCCTGCTGACAGGCAGGGAGACAGCAACAAAAACATGGTCGTCTTGGCTGAGGTATTAATAATTGACCTCTCTGCTGCGTGACTGATGTGTTTTATCTTGTTATATCACAGGGCAAAAGAAGAGGCTTTGAACAACACACCAATTGTTAGCATCAGAAACGAAGTTAATGCTACTCACTCATACCAGGAGTCTAAGCTCACATTTTACCTCAGCATTTATTCAGGTATCCGTGAATGCACTATTTACCCCCCACACATATTTAAAGCACTCATGTCTATTCCTGTCATGTAAAATGAAGCAGAAGTGTCTCTGCTGTTTCAGGTCTGACTGCAGCTGCTGTGCTCTTCGGCTTCGCCCGGAGTTTGGTGATCTTCCACGTGCTGGTGAGAGCGGCTCAGACCCTGCACAACTGCATGTTCAACGCCATCATCCGCACGTCTGTCCGCTTCTTTGACGTCAACCCAATAGGTGAGTTCAGTCTGAGCCTTTTTGAGTCATTTAGGATCTGTGCAGGTTAATTTTGATGATAAACAGGTTTTGTTTTCTGCCTCGTAGGAAGAATTCTCAACAGGTTTTCCAAAGACATCAGCCTGATGGACTCTACATTACCCATCACCTTTGTCGACTTCTATCAAGTAAGACAGAATTACTGATGTGGCTCTGGATTGGTTCATTCCCTTTCTATCAAACAGAGTGTCTTCCTTTGGTGCTCCTCTCTCACATGGGATCCCTCAGGGCTCCATATTCGGTCCCCTTTTATTCACTGTATGGGGCAAACCTCCCCCAGGCGTGGTTTCCCTTTATGCAGATGACACTCGGCTCTACCTGAGAGTCCTTTTTTAATTCTATTTTTGCCATACATATGACACTTCCCATTGTTTTCCATTTTGTGTCTTGTAGTTAATTTTGCAGAATATTGGTGTTGTCGTGGTGGCGGCCTCGGTCATCCCCCTCATCCTCATCCCCGTTTTACCTCTGCTCCTCTTCTTCCTCTACCTGAGACGATACTACCTCAGCACATCCAGAGATATCAAACGTCTGGAGTCTACGAGTATGTTGCACTAACAGACTAAAGCTGAGTGATAGAGTTAAAAGAGGATAAGTTCTCATCGCCTGTTTGTCATCTCTGCTGCAGCTCGGAGTCCAGTGTACTCCCACCTGTCCTCGTCTCTTCAGGGTCTGTGGACAATCCGAGCCCTCAAGGCTGGAGACAGGCTGAAGAAAGCCTTTGACGCACATCAGGACAGGCACTCAGGTTTTCCTTTACTGTACACATTTTTATTATCATTTTGAACATTTTTACGCTCCATATTATTCCTGTCACTCTCATGCTTTGTATGGTTGGATTGCTGCAGCTTTTTTGCGTGATTTTTAGTGTTAATTTTCTAAATGGAGGTGTTTACTTCTCGTGTCAGAGGCCTGGTTTTTGTTCCTGATGACCTCCCGCTGGTTCGCCCTCCGCCTTGACAGCATCTGCTCCGTGTTTATCACTTTTGCATCGTTTGGTTGCGTCTTTCTCAGAGATGGTGAGGATTCAGAGAAGCACACAGAAAAAAAACATGGAAGTTTAACCATATTTATAAAACAGGCTGATATAAAGTCTTAAAATAAGCTTGTCTTATGTTATTTTGTCCTCTCTAGCACACCGTAGTTGAACTGCTGCATAGTCTTCCTGCTAAGGAGTTAAAACATGACACTGCGTGATTGAATCAAACATTTCTCTCTTTTTCAAAGCAAAGCATTCTGGGTATTTGTGTTTTTAGGGCTGGATGCTGGTGAAGTGGGCTTAGTGCTGACTTATGCTGTGACACTAGTGGGGAACTTCCAGTGGACGATGAGGCAGAGCGCCGAGACGGAGAACATGGTGAGAACCTCATCATAACACGAAAAGATGTTTACTTTCTTTTATTGTTAGATTTTAAGACTGTTTTATTTATTTAAGTTTTTAACGCTTTATCACCTTTATTATGTTTTATTATGGTTTTATCATTTTAGTCCTAGATCCAGTGTTTCCTCATCTTTTTTAACTCAAGATAGCATTTCCTCAGTCATCTGTGGCGAGTTGAAGAGTCCTCACCTGCTATTTTGCATATGCATGTGTGTGTGTGAGTGTGTGAGTGCTCTATGTGTTGTTGTTTTGTATTTCTATTTATTTTATTTCTTTGTTTTTAATATCCTGCTTGAATGGAAAGCACTTTGAGCTACACTATATGTATGAAAAGTGCTTTAAAAACAAGTTTGATTGATTGATTGAAGATTTATCAACCCTTCCCAGGTCATAAGAGCAGGAAAAGCTGCTCTGCTCACTCTCGTTTAAAGTGTAGAAATATCTCAGAGTAGATCAGCATCAAGGTCTAGATCTGGTCTGCCAGTGGGTGACTTGAGATGCACCAACTGTTGCCCGTTTCAGATGACGTCAGTGGAGAGAGTGGTGGAGTACACAGAACTGGAGAGTGAAGCACCCTGGGAAACCCAAAAGAGACCTCCCCCTGATTGGCCCAGCAAAGGCCTGATAACATTCGACAAGGTCAACTTCTCCTACAGCAGCGACGGACCGACAGTCCTCAAAGACATCAGCGCCACCTTCCAGCCCACTGAGAAGGTGAGACTGCAGAGTCGGAAAACGACGACAGTTCACTTTCTAAACAGTATACAAACATTGGGTTTGTTCCTCTCCGGGGTCAGGTGGGGATTGTGGGTAGGACGGGCGCAGGGAAAAGCTCCCTGGTGTCGGCTCTGTTCAGACTCTCCGAGCCTCAGGGGAAGATCTACATCGACGGCATCTTGACATCTGAGATCGGCCTCCATGACCTTCGCCAGACGATGTCCATCATCCCCCAGGTAAACATGAACCAACCTCTTTTCGTAGCTGAGATTTAAATGGTTGAGATTTTTCATATTTGTCAATTAAAAATGTAAAACAATGAAAATATTTGAGTTTTCTTTTATTTTGAAAAGGTGAGTACTTCCTATTCCACAACATTCAGATTCTCTAATCTTGCAACGCTCATTTTTCAAAACGTTTTCCTATGGTCCAACTCTAGTTTGGGGCAATTAGGTGTAAATATTTGGTAAAATTGAATGTTTTCCACTTTTTTTTAAGTTGATTTCTCCCGTTTCAAAAGCCCAGTGTGGACACGTGTCCGTATTGGCCCCCTCCCTTTCTTGTTTTTAATGCCACCACTTCATGTTGTTTTTATCAGTTTTTCACAGCGTCCCAACTGTTTTGAATCAGGGTGTTTATTCATTCCTTTGTTTTTCAGGACCCCGTGTTGTTCACCGACACTGTGAGGAAAAACCTTGACCCTTTCGACCAGCAAACCGACGACGACCTGTGGAGAGCTCTGGAGGAGGCAAGTGTCCGTCCTGTGAGTTTATAACACACACTCAGGTGCAGGTCTCCCCCTGACCGGTCTCTTTACTCCCTGCAGGTGCAGCTGAAGTCCATGGTGGAGGAGCTGCCCACTAGGCTAGAGACGGTCCTGGCTGAGTCGGGGTCTAACTTCAGCGTGGGTCAGAGACAGCTGGTGTGTTTGGCCAGAGCCATCCTGAGGAAAAACCGCATCCTCATCATCGACGAGGCCACGGCGAATGTGGACCCGAGGTTAATATGACAGCAAACCTAGATACTTTTTGACTTTACCAGAGATTTCTTTTAAATTTTGTCACCACTGTCTCTGCAGGACGGATGAGCTGATCCAGAAAACCATACGAGAGAAGTTCAGAGACTGTACGGTGCTGACAATCGCTCATCGACTCAACACTATCATAGACAACGACAGGATATTGGTGAGGCTGTCCTTCATTTTGGCTCAATCGACGTTATGAGACATTTAACACTGTTGTGCTGATTTCTACAGAGTCCTGAATGTTTTTCTTCTTCTTAGGTGCTGGACAACGGTACCATCCAGGAGTTAGACAGTCCCTTTAAGCTGCTGCAAAACAAAGAAGGTGCTCTTTACAAGTTGGTGCAACAAACAGGTGCAGCTGAGGCTGCAGCTCTGCTGGAGTCAGCCCGAAAGGTAAGGAGTGAAAGTTCTCACTTCTGGGGAGCTGCTGTGCCACCCTTGTTTTTATACAGTCTATGGATGATGGAGTCAAAAGCACTGACTGCATCCGTCTTTTCTATTTTCAAAGGGATCACAGCAGTCCCAGGACCAGGACAGGGATGTGAAAGCTGCTTTTCTTCCAGATGTAAGTAGCATCTGAGAACCACTGCGCTAACCGAACACTCATGAACAAGAAGATGATTGACAAAGGAAAGGCTGTAGAGTTCAGACCACCAGCCAAAATCACTGTCACAGTGTAGTAAGCATCTAGATCCTCTGTGTAAAGACAAAGACATGATTCCAGATCTGTAGAAGAAAACTGCCTGTTTAGTCAGTTATTTTCTATGTCCAAATGCCACTTGAAGGTTTTTTTTTTATAAGTGTCACATACAACACCTATACCCAAAATGTAGGGACCATAAACTGTATATACTATCGACAACTTGGTTCTGCCTTCTGCCAGTACATGGATTTGAAGCCGAAAAGACGGTAATTTTTTTTCCACTTCCTGAAACCAACATTGCGCAGTAGGGAGAGTCGCAGAGAGTCGCTGTGGTGACGCTTGGCTCAAACAGATTGTGTGAGCAACAATCTTCGTTCGCCCATAGGCTGTATCAGGTGTCAATCATAGAAAACATGAACCCCCTAATAACTAAAAAAAAAAGAGGACTTGAGCACAAACCAGTCTTACTGTAGCTACATGTCAACATCGCAAGCAGGGAGGAGAAAAAATAAGCTCTGCTGGAGGAGGCGGGATTTATGACCAATACTGCAGCCCGCCAACAGAGGGTGCTGTTCTCAGGGGTGGCTTCACCCAGCGAAGAGGCAGACGGCGTCCATTCTATATACAGTCTATGGTAGAGACGCTCTGTAAAATGTTGAATAAAAACAAGTTTTGATGGTTTTCAACTTAGAGGTTAATTTGAAACAGGTCAGTAAGGCCGAGTCCTTCATTTGCTGAAGAAAACACTGAGACAAATACAAAACTGTGTTAAAAACAGACATGACTCTGCAGTGGAAGTCACCGCATGAGCTCAACATCACTAAAAAAAAAAAAAAAAAATTTGTCAATGCAAGAACAAAAGTGCTTCAAACTGAATGATTTTAACGTTTAAAGTTTTCTTTGCTAAATTTTCACCTAATTATAGTGTTTAAATTGTTTTCAAACCATCAAATCCTGTTTTTATCAACCTTTTATGCCACGTCTGAACTTTATGGAGTTGGGGTTGTATTGTTTTTGTCGCCAAAAGCTGTGAAACCAACTGAAGTGCTCTTATTCTTCTTTAACTGTCATACAAAATGTCAGGATGTGCTTTTCGTTCTTGTACTGCCCCTTTCATATAAAGTAATTCACTTAAACATTTGGATTTTGCTTCATCTTTTATCAGGATTACACAGTAGCTGGGAATAGAAACCACTGGAACAGATCCACGCTGCCTCGTTCAGATAATTCCTCTTTCTTTTTGATTCAAGAGACTTCGAGTCGGTGGTTGTCTTAGGTGTTTATGAAGATTTCAACAAGTTTGATAGTCGTGACACATTTCCAACAGTAAATACGACAGTTACAAGAGAACATAACAACAGATGTAGCAGCCGGGTTCACTTAACCATCTGACCCTCACAGTGTGGTGAAGAGGAGCGGTATAAAAAGGAAACTTTACAAATAAAAATAGTTTCTTTTACAATCAGTACTCATCAGAAAAGTTTCAAACAAACGTAAAAAAAAACAGACTTTTACTGAGATTGTAGAAACTGCTGCTGCTAATGTGTGGTTTCTTACATTTGGTTATCATTCCGCCTGTGCATTCATGCTACTGTATTTACAAAAAACAAAGGCAACTTTGGGTAAAGACACGCCGCCGTCATTGGTTAAATTAACACTATACAGTCTTCTGCAAACGTGACATAAGGCACTGACAGTTTAAGGATTAGGCGGCCGTGTAAAGCGATTTATAAAGGCATCACCAGTGCGAGCAGCAATTAGTTCAGGTGCGATAAATAGAAAGCTGAGAAAATAAATAGTGATTGAGAACAGTTTTTACAGTAGTGATTTCCATGCTTTCTTAGCTTCGAAGAAATATCAGCTTGGTGTGTGTTCGGCTCAGCCGTCGGAGGCTCTCGTGAGCCTCTGTAGCTCCTCAGCCTCCTCGCCAGCTGTCGTGGAGGGAGCCCTTTCTTTTTACCAGGCCCTGAGCGCCTTCATCGGAGGCTGAGGGAGCGGGGAAGGTGGTGCACGGTGCGAGCCCAGGCACTTTCTGAGGTCTTGTGGTGAAGCAGCAAATCGGTGCCTCCCTGAGCATCTCACAGAGCCGTCTCGAAGATAACCAAGTTACCGTCCGAGGTTTCTGCATGGCCGTTTGAAATGACTGGACGGCTTCTGGTGTTGTAAGCCTGAAGGGAAAATAAAAAAAAAAACACATGATCAGACACAAGAAGCTCGTCCCGCTGTGATTGTGGATGAAATCAGCTGTTCTGAAGGATTGAACTCACCTGTTTAGCTGCCTGTAGCAGAGCTGCTGCCTCCTGCTTACCAGTCTGCTGGACCATTTTATAGAAGATTCCCTCTGTGTCTTGGAGCAGGGTGTACGGCTCATCGTAGGCGTGGATTCTCCCTGCATCCAGAACCTGGAGACAGAGTTTGAGTTATTCCAAAGAATCTGCCTTTTGACTGCAAAGTTACAAGACTTGTTAAGTTACAGGACACATTAAGTTACTCTTTACGTTACAAGACCCGTGAAGTTACTGGTTAAAGAGATATTCTCTCGTAAAATTAATTTAGGGTCAAACACACCGTAACGCCGAGTTAGACACCCCGTTGAGAGATGAATGTTGCCGACCGCTTGCTTCTTCTAGTTATACCAACTTTAGTAGCAACTGCACGATAGCAATACAGAGAGCCACGCACTCAACCAAAACGCCACTCTATAGCCACAAATAATGCTCAGAACAGCACCTAACTTCATCAACAGTACATATAGGGTCCCAGCCAAAGTACTAACCACCAAACATCTTTTTAACTTTGCCTGATTTCTTTAGCAAAGAGACTAACCACAACTCACCTACTCTCTTCCAGCAGCCGCTTGTTTGTATGGAGACCTCCAGGGTGAGTCCATCGACTGCTGCGGGGTGACGCAGCTCAAGGAAGAACATTTATGATCATTTCTTTATCATTTCCTTAAAGTAATAATCATCGTATTAATCATTTTGCACTTCAGACGCGGTAGTTCTTCTGCCTTAGCGTCTCGGTCTGATTGCATTTCCATGAAGAAATTATCATAAATGTTCTTCCTTGATCTGCATCACCCCGCTGCAGTCGATGGACTCACCCGGAGGTCTCCATACAAACAAGCTGCTGCTGGAAGAGAGTAGGTGAGTTGTGTTCAGTCTCTTTGCTAAAGAAATCAGGCAAAGTTAAAAAGATGTTTGGTGGCTATAAAGGGACCCTATATGTCCTGTTGATGAAGTTAGGTGCTGTTCTGAGCATTATTTGTGGCTATAGAGTGGCGTTTTGGTTGAGCACGTGGCTCCTCAGACTGCTCTGTATTGCTATCTTGCGGTCGTTACTAAAGTTGGTATAACTAGAGAAGTAAGCGGTTGGCAACATTCATCTCTCGATGGGGTGTCTAACTCGGTGTTACTGTGTGTTTGAACCTGAATTAATTTTACGCTGGAATATCCCTTTAAGTTACGGGCCTCATTAAGTTCAAGGACTCATGTAGTTACAGGACTCTGTTTGTGCTGCTAACAGCATTTTACAGATTCCCCTCTATTATCCTTGACGACACTCTCAGCTTTTTTATATTCAGACTGCTGACAGTGAGAGCTGTGTGTTATCCAAAGGTATAACAGTGTGGAATCTTTTCAAGCGCTGTGAGTAACTCAAATCAGATTCCTTTCATTGGTGAGGAGGCTCAGACTCGCTGCTTAATCTTATCAGGATGAGTTCTTGTGACACTTGTTGGAATTAACTCAGCCTTAAACATGAAGCGTTCACATAAAAGCAGAAATTAAATCCTTTTTTCATGTTGCTTAAATGTATAACACAAAAGTGATCATCATGGTTGTTTAATTTCTGATTGTTTAGAGTCTTTTAAATTACAACAAAATTTAAACTTTTCATGATTTTCTGATTTATTTAGATATCCCTGTAGTTTCTCACTTGACTGCAAAGCGAATTTTAAACCACAAGAGGGCAGCAAAGCAGCATTTTTTGTATTTGCACACTGGAGTCATTCAGCAGCAGGAATCAAAATTGCCAAAAGAGGGCACTATTACTCCACAGACGGCACTTTTGAGTAAGATTAAATGTTGATTATGAGGCCATCATGATTTGCCTTCAAAATGACCAAAAGGTTATATTCAGTACAACAGACAGACTCACCAGTATCCTGTCACTGTCGATGATGGTGTTGAGGCGATGGGCGATTGTCAGCACAGTACAGTCTCTGAACTTGTCTCGTATTGTTTTCTGGATCAGTTCGTCCGTCCTGCACAAGTGAAAAAGAAGTTTTATTGATTTTTTTTTTGTCTTTGTTACATGAAAATATAAAGATTTGATTTAAAGCAAGTCTTTGTCCTGTTTCTTGAAACTCAAACCTGAGAGGACTGAGTAGTGTCAGTGTACCTGGGGTCCACGTTCGCCGTGGCCTCGTCGATGATGAGGATGCGGTTTTTCCTCAGGATGGCTCTGGCCAAACACACCAGCTGTCTCTGACCCACGCTGAAGTTGGACCCCGACTCAGCTAGGACCGTCTCCAGCTTACCGGGCAGCTCCTCCACCACGGACTTCAGCTGCACCTGCAGGGAGAATCAACATCATCAGGACTTGTCACGTCTTCGACCGTGTGTGATTGTGAGCGAGTCTAAGGGTTTGACTGACCTCCTGCAGGGCGTTCCACAGCTCTTCATCATTGTGGTAGTTAAAGGGGTCCAAGTTCTTCCTCATGGAGCCTGTGAACAGCACGGGGTCCTAAAGAACGGCATAGATGTCGGACTGAGTACTTGGGTCTTTAATTTACATAACAAAGAGCGAACTACTTCTAACTGTCCTGGACTATCTCACCACCTGACACCGGCCTTAAACGACCCTTTTAGATCCTCTAAGGTACGTTTTTAATAGATTTATTATCCTTGTTTAAAACAGCTTTTATCCTAGTAGATGTGGAAAAAAATACTTCCTTTCAAGATTTAGATCAGGAAGCTTTCCAGCAACAACCAAGACACAATGTCAGGGTTGTACTGGACTCCGCTGCAGGTAAAGAAGTGGAGCCGGCAGCTCCAATAACCTTCATCGAGGATCTCTCATGATGTGAATTAAGCTTATTCTGAAGAAAACACGTATTAGGAGTTGTTTATACTTCCGCTTCCGTCTGCCTTTTTAGCCTGACACTAACAATCCAGTTACATAATATCAGAAAAACATCATTAGAGGGGAAATCCTGCGTGAGATTTCGGCGCAGAACAAAGAGAGATTTGTTTCAAAAGGACCGAAATTCAGCGGGGACTGATTTTTACTAAGTCTTTAATTCCCTCTTTTGTCCGGAGCTACACTCACCAGTAGGTCTACTTTTGATTGTTTTTACCCACAATGCCAGGCGGTTTCTTTGTCCTCACCTGGGGGATGATGGACATCTTCTGGCGCAGGTCATGGAGGCCGATCTCAGACGACAGAACGCCGTCGATGTAGATCTTCCCCTGAGGCTCTGCCAGCCGGAAAAGAGCCGACACCAGGGAGCTTTTCCCCGCGCCTGTCCTACCCACAATCCCCACCTTGACCCCAGAGGGGAACACGTCAGCTCAGGTTGACCGTCATGTGATGTAAATAGCGATTGGTTCAAAGATAGCCGACCTTCTCCTGTGGGCGAAACATGGCCTTCAGGTTCTTCAGCACCAACGGTCCGTCTCCGCTGTACGAGAAGCTGACCTGGTCGAATGTTACCAGACCTTTGCTGGGCCAGTCGGGGGGAGGGCGCTTTTGGGTTTCCCAGGGTGCTTCACTCTCCAGTTCGGTGTACTCCACCACTCTCTCCACGGATGTCATCTGAGGACAAAAGACGTGTCCCGTTAAGATTCAATCAAAAATAATCAAACGGAGTGAAATGTTCTGCTCACACTGACAAAGAATTCATCTCACCATGTTCTCCACCTCTGCGCTCTGCCTGACGCCCCACTGGAACATTCCCATCAGGGTGACGGAGTAAGTCAGAGCCAGACCCACCGAACCAGCATCCAGCTCTAAAAGAAGAAGATTTTTTTATCCCTGCATCTCCAAGATTCAACAATCTCTGACAAAAGCGTGAAAGGATTGATCTTCTCACGGTTTCTGAGCAGCAAGCAGCCAAAGGTGGTGATGGTGACGAAGATGGAGCACAGGCCGTCAAGGCGGAGAGCGAACCATCTGGAGGTGGTGAGGAACAGGAACCAGGCCTCTGTTTAGGATGAGCGAATGCGTTAGGATACATCCGAACGTGATCTCGATGAGCTAAGAATCTCAAAGTGCAGAGGAGAACCTGAGTGTAAATCCTGATGGGCGTCGAAGGTTGTCTGAAACCTGTCCTCGGCTCTGAAGGCTCTGATCGTCCACAGACCCTGAAGAGAAGACGACAGGTGGGAGAAGACCGGACTTCGAGCTGCGGGAGAAGGACGACATTCCCACACATGGGTCATTTAATCAGCTTGTAAAGTCGACATGGTACGGATCAAGTCGCGCTGTCGCACTGCGGAACACTCACTGGTGGATTCGAGGCGTTTGATGTCTCTGGAGGTTTGTAGGAAGTAGCGGCGCAGATAGAGGAAGATGATAAGAAGTGGGACGACGGGGATGAGGATCCAGGGAATGATAGAGACGGACACGGCGATCACCCCGAGAATCTGCAGGAAGACCTGATCACAAAAAAACACCTGTTAGAGAAATCTGATCGTTTCACGGTTGTTTTGGTTTCAATTAAACGCTTGATTTGTGATCATGGGTGTGGATTCTCCCTGCATCCAGAACCTGGAGACAGAGTTTGAGTTACTCCAGAGAATCTGCCTTTTGATTGCCAAGTTACAAGACTTGTGAAGTTACTGGTTAAAGGGATATTCCAGCGAAAAATTAATTGAGGGTCAAACACAGCGTAACACCGAGTTAGACACCCCATCGAGAGATGAATGTTACTGACCACTTGCTTCTCTGTTTATACCAACTTTAGTAACAACCACACGATAGCAATACAGAGAGCGACACGCGCAACCAAAACGCCACTCTATAGCCACAAATAATGCTCAGAACAGCACCTAACTTCATCAACAGTACATTTAGCACTAGCCACCAACATCTTTTTAACTTTGCCCAATTCCTTTGGCAAGAAGACTAAACACAACTCACTTACTCTCTTCCAGCAGCTGTTTGTTTGTACGGAGACCTTGGGCGAGTCCATTGTCTGCAGCGGGGTGACGCAGCTCAAGGAAGAACATTTATGATAATTTCTTCATGAAAATGCAATCAGATCGAGACGTTAAGGCAGAAGAACTACTGCATCTGCAGTGCAAAATGATTAATATGATGATTATTACTTCAAGGAAATGATAAAGAAATGATCATAAATGTTCTTCCTTGAGCTGTGTCACCCCGCTGCAGACAATGAACTCACCCAAGGTCTCCGTACTAACAAGCGGCTGCTGAAAGAGAGTAGGTGAGTTGTTTTCAGTCTCCTTGCTAAAGAAATCAGGGAAAGCTAAAAAGATGTTTGGTGGCTAGTACTGTGGCTGGGACCCTATATGTTAGCCTGGCTGAGCCATCCTGTTGCGTGAATCACTTGCTGTTCCTTCACACAACAGTCTGGACTTTGGCCCATAGAGAGCGTGTATTCCCAACCGGGCCAAGCAGTGACCGTGTTTCCACTGTTCCCCGGACAACAGGGAAAGGCAGCCCCTGATTGGTCCATGTGTAGATAGTGACGTCTAACACATGCTGCGGGACTTTTCAAAGCACTGTTCATTCAGAAAGCCGATAATTCTGCAGTTGAACTTTGCAAAAGCGGCAGAAATCGTTTATATCCGATGTCTTCTGCGGATCTAAACGAGCAATCAGTCGGCAACATTCATCTCTCGACGGGGTGTCTAACTCAGTGTTACGGTGTGTTTGACCCTAAATTAATTATACACCAGAATATCCCTTTAACGGTAACATATTCATGGTCTCTGTAGGTTTCAACAAGTCAATTTTAAGACTTTTTATTGAGATTTCTGACTTCCTTAGAAACATAAAGCTTTATAATCAAATATGATGAGACCTGTGTTGCCTTTTCTTTCAAAATGGTGGCTGTAAATATTGAGATATTTTCTACAAATCAGATACACGAGCGCTGGTTTTATCAGGTAAAGAAAAGAGGATATTCGTAGGAAGATTCCAGGATCACAAACTGCTCTGTAAAAGAGTATTTTGTGTGAGTCTTGAAGCCGTGCTGACACTTAATCTTGAGTTGCCCCTCTTGGTTGTGTCCAACAGTGTCTTAATGTGATTAGTCATTACTGATGGAGCTTTACATAGCAGCCTCTGCCACCAGCGTATGAGTGTGTGACTGTGACATGTCCTGTAAATTCTGGGTTGATTTGGGATGATCTCCTCACCTGAATAAAGTCCACAAATGTCCAGGGCATGTTTGAATCCAGCTGGCCGACATCTTTGGAAAACCTGTTCAGGACTCTTCCTGAGGTGAGACAACAGAGGAAACTCTTACAGCGGGTTTTAAAACGATGAAATTTCAGCTTATTATCTGGAAGTAGTGTCCAGATGTTTGCTTACCGATGGGGTTGATGTCAAAGAAGCGCACGGGCGTCCTCAGTATGGCGTCAAACATGCGGTTGTGCAGAACCTGCGTACACCTGACCAGAACGTGGAACAGCAGCAAATTCCTGATGAAGCCAAAGATGATGGTGGCTATCGTCAGACCTGCGGAAACAAGCAGCAGAGAGAACGTCTCCTTCAGACCGCTGAAACACGCCGCAGCATAGATGCCTTTTTGGTTTTTGGATTACCTCCATAAATGCCGAGGTAGAAGTTTAAATCCAGCTGCTTGGTGAAGTTGTGTGCGGTGGTGCTGTTATCTCCAGTGGTGCTGTTGGCAGTGAGGTTCTCCTGTTCGTCAGCCCTGACGTTAGAAAAGGAAAAAGACGTGAGAAACACATCGATCAATTTACTGAACATGTGTGATTTTAGCTTTTTTAAACACTCACCAGTACGCCAGCCACCAGTCCTGCATGATGTATGCTACCTTTAAGAGAAAAAAAGCAGTCAGATCAGCCTCGCATGTTTCTCTTAAAGGTCTAGGAATCCAGGATAGGATCTTCCTTTACCTGAGCCAGGATGTTCACCACAAACACGGTGAGCAGGAACAGGATACTGGCTCCGGCTCTCAGGTATTTCAAGTACAGACCGATTCCGATCGTCCCATGAGCGCGACTCTCTTCTGCAACCGTCTGTACCGTCTCCTCCTGCATGAGTGACAACTGATCAGCAAATAATCTTCTGAGTTATTTTGACACCCAGAGGAGCCGCTCAGAGCTGTTTGAGGTTATCATCGCTCAGAATAAATCAGTATAATCCATGTATTGACCTGAGAAAGTTAAGTGTCTCTGATTTATGTTTAAAACTAGAAAAGCACTTGGAGAGCAAAGACCTCCGCCAAGCAGCTCGTGTCCCCCCTTAAACAAGAAATGCCCTGACCAGGATTCAAACCCATAACCTTCTGGTTGTGAGGCAACAATACTAACCACTACACCACTGTACCACCTATCTACACCACTGTGCCGCCCATTGGTTATCTTTTAGCATTGAAAATTCCAACAACATCCTTATTTTTGTGTGTTCTGGATCACAGTATCCTGAATTTTGTCCGGATCAACACCAAAATTTAATGGGACTTAAATCCTCCTGGGGCTGAGACGCACCTCTGGTGAAAATTTCAGGTCAATCCGTCTGTTACTTTCTCCGTAAAAAAGTGAATTATCCCTTTAGTGCCCAGATTGCTCATACCTGCAGTGTCTTATATTCTCCACTTGGTGGCAGCAACAAACTATGTAAGGCGTTTGCTCCACTTGTAAACACTCACTATAGTCAGATTTCTGCTTTAACTTGCAGAAAGATTCATGTTTAACATTCAGACAGACAACCTGAGCGTGTGAATGATTCACGAACCGGTAAGTAGTCTCCATCTTTGACCGAGTGCATGGAGGACGTCTGCGAGAGCACCGAGTTCTGGGACAGGGTTCTGTGCCTGATTTGGGTGTCCTGAGGTGGGGGTTGCTGCTGCTCCTCCTCCTCCTCTTTCTTCAGCAAAGAGGTGAAGTCCACTCCAGACTGCTGCAGCTCTGTATACGTCCCTTTCGCCACCATGTGACCCTGACATGAAAAAAACAACAACACACAGACAGGATTTTCTGTGTTAATATTTCTTATACATTATAGAGAATCAGCAGGGATCAGAACTGATCCTTCAGGAGCAACAAACTCAAAGAATTTCGGACAAAAATGTTTGAAATATCACGCCGTTTCTTCGGGGATTCTCCGGAGTTCGCGTGAGCTTACTCCAACAATGCCTCTGCTATTGTAACGCCTGAGGCAGCTACAGGAATGCAGCAGCTGTCAAATTATATACATTCTCCATTAAAAGAAGGAGCTGAATCTCTCTATCTCTTTGCAGAAACAGTGCAGCTCACGCTCAGTCAGAGAAAAAACGTCTGCATGTTATTTTTACAGTATTTCTCTTCACTGAACCTCACTCACAGAGTTACAAATACGTCTGTTCACTAGAGCTCTTCTTGCCTCTGGCGCTTCATGTTCCACGGTGAAACAACAGTCTCCTGCAGTCAAGAGTAAAGTTTAAGTTCAAGGGGACTGACCTCTTTCAGGACCAGGATCTGGTCTGCTGCCTTCAGGTACTGCAGCTGGTGGGTGACCAGGATACGAGGTTTGTTCCTCAGCAGGCCGCAGATACACCTGATACAGGAAAAGAAAACACAGTCAGCTTAAAGATACACTGACACTCCTAAAAATAGTTTTTAACACTTTAATACTGTTGAAATGTTGAGAGTAGTTCACAAGAGCGGGAGAGAATAAAGAATTTACTTCATGGTAAAAAAACCTAAAACTTCCACTGTGGTTCTGCTTTGTTAAATATAAATACATTACAATACATTTTCTTTGTGAAATATATTTCTGTGATGTTTTATAACCATACAATTCAAATTCTTATCTCTTTTATGGACTTTTTCAGTTTTCAGCAGCTTGTCTACATTTGTATTTCTCTTAACGCACAGTAGTTCATTTAACTTTTTCTCTTTTTACTTTTTATTTCTTAACATCTTTTGTTTTTCAAGATGTACAAAACCCAAATTCCAGCTTACTTGTATTTTTTTTTTTATTCATTTACTTATTTATTTTTTTAATTTTTTGTTATAGCTCCAGAATTTGTTATTTAAACAAAAAAAAAGGAATATCCAGGTGTTTCCGGTGTATATCTGTATAAAACTAATAAAAATATTGTTGAATAAATATAAATACATTATGTGACAAAAATGAACATTTATGTTTATGTGGTACATGTTATGTTATGTCATGCTGTGTGTTGTCTCATATAACAAATAATATATTATACATAATATTTTACAATAAAAATTACTGTTGTAATAAATTTAATTCTAAACATTTATTTTAAACATTTTTATTGTTTTTGTTGTTATAAGTATCATCATACATTTATAACTCTATCCCTTAAAATTCCACAATGAAATACATCTACACAAGGGCATGGCCACCGGGGCTAGCCCTGGAATCTGATTGGCTGGCCCCACCCACTAGAGCTGTCACTCATTTGGTACACCTGGAACAGCAGAACTTGAATGCTAGACCAAACCAAGACAAACTACCGGAATGATAAAGCAGAAAACGAGGGTAAATAAGCAGTTGTTTCCAATGTGCTGTCTTAAATGTTTTACAAATGTTCAGATTAAGTTGATCAGTAAGTTGTACGTATATATGGTAGCACTAGCGAGTTAGCGTAAGCGCTTTAGCATGCCAGCTTAATATAATGGCTTGCAGCTAATGGGAAAAATGAGCGTAGTAAAGGTAGGGAATTCAGAAAACGTTACAGCGACCAAAAGCTGGGCTGGGTAAATGTTTCAGAAGACTGTTTTAGGGGAAGCTGTTCCATTGGTGGATAATATAATTTCATGTGATAGCTAGCCTGAAACTTTCTCACTTGAAAACAGTGTAAATAAGTCATATGTCTCTAACACGGATGTACATATAATGTTAAAGTACTCCTCCACACTAAGCTCTCAGCTCTGGATGTTTGATGAAGAACTGCTCAGACGAAGAAAAACCAGACTGTAGCTCCTGATCTGTTCTCTCAGAGCAGTGATCAGCTGATGAGCTTTGGACCCTGGAGGACTTTTCCTCAGACTTTCCAAAGTGCCTCTGGCAGTGGTTTTGTAGACCCACAATGATGAACTTTGTCTTTCCTCTCTTTGACGTAAAACTGATAGAAAGTGTAATTTATTCATTTCTGTTCAAAACAGAGACACAGTACGGTCTCACGCAGGGCCGTGTGAAACAGAAACAAGTTTTCAAGAGTAAAAAGCACTTGATATATTCACGGTGACCTTGTGTTTTTGTTTCTTGTCTTGTTTTTGTCTGTGGGGCTGTAGAGTGAAACAGGAAACACGCAGCCTGATTCAATTGTCCGTCTGACGTGAGCTACGCCGCACCTCTTCCAGACAAAGTTTTTGTGACTTTTTCTGCTTTTGTGACAGAGTATTTAGACTATAACACTATAGTTTAAAAACACTGATGTAACACTGGCTGCTGTGAGCATCATTTACTGTAAAATCTACACGGTAGAGCAGCAACAGCATTAAATGAAGTAACTTATGTCTCTCCTTTCTGATTCCTGCCTCAGTTTTGTCGCTCTAAACCACCCTGACTCGACAAACTGGATGTTCTGTACAAAGTGAATCCAGGTGCGGAGCACCTATGTACACTTCAGAAACAACTTACTGCTCAAAGAGGTGTCGCCCGACCTCGGCATCCACGGCGCTCAGAGGATCATCCAGGAGGTAGATGTCTGCATCCTGGTACACAGCCCTGATGAAGCACACACACGTTTAGCATTTAGCTGCATCATATGTAAATGTAGAGCCATTTTTTTCTACAGCATGTATTTACTCCTGACTTACCTTGCAAGGTTGACTCGAGCTTTCTGGCCTCCGCTGAGCGTGGCTCCTCTGTCCCCGATCAGCGTCAGGTCTCCTTCTGGGAGCAGCTCCATGTCCTGCACACAGAAGACACAACAGGCTTTAAATGGACCGATAAAAATCTGACATATCTATTTCACTGCAGTGTATTTTTGCCATTTTTTGAAGGAGCAGAAGGTGGAGAGAGGAGAGCAGGGAAAGGGTATCAATATCAAAATGATCTCTCAGAGCTGTTTTTGTCATTTAACTGATGTTTCAATACGAAGAAAAGTAAGACACTCGTCACATGGACTTCACTGCAGATCACAGTCTTGCTCTTTCTCCCTGAGGCTGCAGTGAAGGGTAAAGAGGCAGAAAGTCAGAGACAGTCAGTGCTGACCCTGAACGTGTCCAAGCAGGCAAAAAAAAACATTATGCAAGACTTCAGCAGGTTGACTAACTTGAGGGTCTTCTAGCTACGAAAACAAAACCTCCATACTAAATGTAACTTGTCCTTCTACATGTGCTAGCCTCTCAATGTGAGAACAGAGTATTTAAAAGGCATTAATATGAATTTAAATCTGTTTTCTATAAATATCACACATTGTCACTGTGAATTTTCAAGGTGTAAAAGGTCTATGTCTAAGCAGCTGCTAGTTCAACTTCAGGCGTCGACCTTTCACTTTGAGTCAAGTTTCTTCTCGTCAAAGTTTCTATTTTTCTTAATCTGTGTGGCGGCAAAAATCCCCAAAAACCGCAGAATAAGTACAACAGCTCAGCTGTAAATAAAACAGGTTCCTCCAGATGTTAGCAAACATCTAATTAGCTGTAACCCATTTAGTAAAATTAGCCTCTCCTTTTAAATCAAATAACTACATGAGCTCAGATTGAGAGGAACCTGTGTGTACACTGAATGAGTCAGCACATTACTGTCGTTATGTGACACACTGTATAACCCGATGTACTTCATTTATAGAGTAAAAATAAGTCACGCATTAAATGGGGAAAAAGAGCGAGTGTCTGCGCAATGACTGATGAAAGGTGTCTGTGTCTGTCGTTTGGGTTTTTAAAGGCTCATTCTGCCTTTTTTTAACAGGAGAAAGTCACAAGGGCTAAATGTAACTCATTTACTGTCAGTAACCTTTTCTCCAGTCGGGTAAGAGACACTGGCAGCTCAGTGCACACGTGGGTCAACCTTGTGTATAAATACCTGTCACCTGAGAGAGCATATCCTCAACTTGAAGATAGAGTTGGGTTGTTAAAGTTAGGAACGAGTGGTTTCTTACAGCTTTAGTGAAGTGAAGTCAGGGTCAGGGATTTACGGCCAAGAGAATAAGCAGTAATTGCACCTTTTTGAGCAATTTTCGCCCACTTTCTGTTTATTTTTAGACACACATCGTTACCCAGAAACCTAGAGTCGTTTTTGTTTACAGATTAGGGTTCTGGGAAAGCTCAAACATGCTCAAACTCCCCGCTCTAGCTCATGCCGGCTTCCTTCTGCATCACTGAAAAGACTCTGGTTTTAAATCTTCAATATTACATCACAGCTGGGGCGTGTTCACGACTTGTAGGGGAGATAAGGAGACCTGAGCAGGAAACCTGATATGGCTTGTTGTGCAGTCTGTGTGTGAGAGTGTGTGTGTGTGTGAGTGTGTGTATTGGTTTAGGTCCTGTGTTGTGGGCTGCCGTCTGGCTCGGTGTGACCGTCGGCCAATCACAGGAGACAGACGTCACCGTGTTATGCAACATCAAAGTGTTCTTAATGAAATACTGTCTTGGGCTACGTCAGGGATAGATATTTAATCTAACTAATGTAAAATAGGGGGCGCCAGCGTGAATCCTCGGATTGGCTCCCCTGAGAGGTGCAGATATTCAAGATTAAGCAGGGATCAAATTGGTTTAGTTTGCCTCCAGATCAGCTTCTTCCACCCTCTGTGCTGTCGGTTCTGCTCGAGGTAACTACCTGTTCAAAAGGACGTTTTTCCTCTCTACTGCTGCCAAAAGCCTCTTCATACTGGGCTCCCATGAATAATATCACAAAAAGCCCCTTCCATATTGTGATCCTGCCCCAGTCTAACCAGAGTCTGACCACTGTTCAAATCAAACTCGCAGACTTTTCCGAAAGAAAACAAAATGCGCGGGCGAGTCTCTTTGATTGAAATAGAAAATAAGCCAAAACCTCAACAACTGTCATCACATTTTGATTAATATGTCGCTCAGCTCTGATTGGTGCAGGACACTTCTGTCATCAGCTCCCTCCAGCCGAGCCACGTGCTCTTCAGACCAGAGAGAGAAGCAGAAGCACAGGGATGTCAAACAAAGACTGTTCGTACATGCCGACCTTTCTGCTCCACTCAGAGGCACCAGGAGAAACACTGAAGGTTAAAAGCCTCGTTGGTACGTGAGTGTTAAAAACAGCTGGTTCAGGTTGTGCCCTGCACCCAGCAGCTGTCTGTCCAGCAGACTCAGGAAACATGATCTCATACTCAGGAGGCCACCTAACGGTTACAGCGTCGATGTTACTGTTTCACATTATCCACATGGGTACACCATCATGACCTGAAGCGCTGCTTTTCACTCTCAGGGTTCACTGAGTTACTGTGTGCGAACTCTAAACCAAAAACAAAATCCTATTCTATTATTCATAACACCTCTTTCATCCAGCCCATCCTGTCTGACAAACTTTAAATCCGCCTCTTGACCTTCTAAACACAAAACGAGCCGAGCCTTCCTTTAAACGTGGCGTGCCGCTAAATAAAAACGCCTCTCACCCTCTTCAGCGCGCAGGCTCGGATGACTCGTTCGTACTTCTGCTGGTCCATATCTTTGCCAAACAGGATGTTGCTGCGGATGGTTCCAGGGAACACCCAGGGCTGCTGGGCGGCATAGGTGAGCTGACCTCTGACCTTGAGCACCCCCTTTTCATCTGGCAGCTCTCCCAGGATGGAGCTCAGCAAGGACGACTAAAGAGAGAAAAAAACTTAAACATGAGCTCATCGAAGTAGTTAAAACTGCACACAAACTTTTAGAGCGATCATAAATTTATAACTACATGAGTGAATAATTCACCTTTCCAGCTCCGACTGGTCCGATGACGGCTAACAGCTGATTTGAGTTCAGACTGAAGGTGATGTTCTGCAGAGACGGAGCATCCAGAGTCTGCAGGAGGAAGAAAACGCATGTAAATATTAAAATAGTAAAACTCTGGAGGCAGGAGCCAGACAGATATGAGATTTGGAGGCACAGATTTCAAAAGACAATATCATATTTTACAGATATTGTAGCCTGTGTACTGTTCCATATGTTACATTTTTGTCTGAATCGCCACGACTACAGCTTGCCAACATAAAAAAAACAAGAATATTGTGGAAAAGTCCAGTTTCTTGTCAGTTATTTTAGTCCTGAAAAGAGCTTGAATCAGCCTCACATTTCCCTCCTCTCTCCTCGATCCTCTCTCCTCTACGCAGCAATAAGAATTTGGGATAAGTCAGACCTAGAAATTTAGGCAGGTTTCTTCATTGAGTTCATATTATTCAAGGATTTTAGGGTGCAGGGCAAGTGTGCTCGCACTTTAACTCTAATAAAAGACATCAGAAAAACATGTCAGTCAGGTGTCTTTGTAAATAGGAAGGCTAAAATCATGATTTGTCGTGAAAATACAAGTATAAGTGCAGCCCTACCTACCATTTTAACCGTAACATTTTAACTATTTTCGTGTTACACTCATTATATTCTACTATGATGCATTATCCAGTTTTTACTGTTTACTACTTTGATCTACTACCTCATCTACTGTACAAACTACGTTGTTTACGTTTCTGTCGTGCAGTTAAAGTGAGGCTTTAAAACCACTAAAAGGTTCAAGTTGTTTACCTTTGTTGTCATGTGCCTCAGGATGCTAACCTATGTTTTTTTAAGTTAACTTGTAGGACCTGTTAAACTCCTGGGAAGTAGCAGCAGATTGATGGATGTTTGGAAATGACGCTGGAAATTACAGTCATATCTGCAGCATATCTGCCTCTAAAGACGGATTTAGATGTGGAAATTTATGCATTTACAGTAAACAACCGTAAATGCATTTAATGTGCGAAGCAGTGTCTATGATGGGGGTTAATGAAGATTCCTTGGTGGGTTTTATCATGTGGGTTACCAAAGAGCGATTACTAGGATAAATGTAAGGTATCAGACCTTGTCCCAGTAGCAGGTCAGGTCCTGAATCTCCACCGAGGCGTCTTTCTTCTCATTCTGTGGCAGCGCCGCTCTGCCTTTAGCGATCTCCTCCAACAGCAGGAACTCCTAGAAGGTGAGACAGACAGTAGAGTCATATAAAGAGTCATATAACAGTAAAATCAGCACTAGGATTGCCTCGATAGAAGTTACGTAACAAACACACTTAAGTTATAAAGGTGTTTCCAGCAGCTTCACGCCAAAGTGATTCAAACATTACGTAACGTTTTACAACCGACACCTAAGCAGATTTTTATTACATTATAAGGCTGACCATAACTTTACAAGAGACTACAAATAGAGAGAGGTGTCAGCAACACAGAGCTGGACCTTTAAGCTGCTGCACTAAAAGAGATTAAAAATCTGCCCAGACTGCGGTGTCAGCCAAAATTCCATGTGCAGGGGAACACTCAAGTCTGCTGTTACACAGATTTCAAAAGAAAGCAAGGCCGCAGCAAGAGCATGTTATTCCAGTTTATCAAATTTAAGTCATCAGGGGCTCATTTGAATGGAAAATTAGTTTCTGCAGATGATCTTATGACCTTAAAATTACACTCTTGTGAGGGGAAAGTTGCACCAGAGAGTAACAGCAACAGAGCGTTGCTGCTATTTCAATGTGGTGATGTTGGTGTCGTTACTGTACCTCCACTGAGGAGCAACACCTTGTCAAATATGCTCCGTTAAATAGTCAGATTTCAAATCAGCGTACCTGAATCCTGCGGATGCTAACTCTGCACTCGAACAGCTTCTCAATAGCGCTTGGGAAGAAGAGCGTGACGGTGAGGCGCACCGCCGTGTACAGCGACACTGTCACGAACACGCGGCTGGCTGAGATGGGGTTCCCCAGTAGGACGTAGAGGGTGAAGGTGACAAAGACGATGATCTTGCTGGCGCAGAAGAAGGACGCCATGTTGAGACCTCGCAGGTAGGAGCTCTTCATGATCTTGGAGATCTCCTTCCTGTGACAACAGAGACACTTGGTCAGGGCCTCAAACCAGGATGGGTGTTACATAATAGGATCCTGGAAGTCTTTGTGATATTACAGAGGGTTAACGGGAATAAAGCCTTCATTAGCGGCGCAAGAATTCTCTGCTTTAATATTTGAATTAAACCCTTCAGCGATCTGGATCAAGAGTTTTAGCGCTGACAGTAGAGCAAAGCAAAGGGTCTGGGACCTTTTGGTACAAAGGATTATGTTCCTGCTTCCCTTTCTAATTTTGGTGGTAGATATGGGGACTTTACCAACTACTTACAAGGGTCAAGTATGCTGTAAGTCTGCCTCAGAAGCAGATCAGTCACTCCGCAGATTTAGATGTAAAATTAGCCGACAATAAAGCCTGTGTTACTCATACGAGGATGATGCAGTGTGTCATCCAATCACTCAGACCCATGTTAACAGCAGGTGTAAACAGGGACTCTACACTCGCCCTTAAACACTCAAAAGCGCATCCTGGATCCCATTTCAGCAGCCTCAGCCGCCCTTGTCACTTTGCAGTACGTCACAGTGTTTGAGTGACAAATTGAAAGTCAGAACTCGTTTCAGGTCACCTGCTCTTAACCGGGCGTCTTCTTTCGTTCACTGTGATGAACCAGTTAGACTTGAATGATTCAACTTGATTATTAAAGTGAGTACAACATGAACACTTGCAGTAAACAAATGAAAAACTTTTGCCTGTTTTTACCAGCTGACTTTGATGTTTATTTATCCTCCTGTTTAACAGAAAACTGCTGACTCCTTTCAACTCTCTCTCTCTCTTGTTTAATTTTTTACCTTCTGACATCAGAGACCAGAGCAGAGAAGGGTTTCTCCCAGGCGTACATCTTGATAATCCTAATTCCAGACACCACCTCGTTCATTGTGCGGATCCGGCTGTCAGTCAGAACAGCTGTCTTGCTCCTGCAAACAAAAGATCATGGTTTGGGTGAGTTGTAAATGTGATGTTTTTACTCTTATGTCATTATCTATTAAATGAGTTTTAACGCTGTGCAACATGTTTCACCCCTGCGTGATCTGATGGAACTTGCAATATCATTATTAATTTCAAAGACAGGAGAGCAAACATGTGCGAAGTTCTGATTCCTGAGCATCATGTCATATCTGCACGATTAAAAAAAACCCTCTCTGGTAAGCCCACACTGACTTAACTTCCACTCATGACACACAGCATGGTACCCCTCTTACTCCCACATTCTGCTGTCACTCACCAGCCGTGTGATACTCAAGAGAGCCTGGGAACTGGGTCAGAGAGAGGGACTAATCTTTTCCTCTTCTCCAAACTTACAAATCCGGTCAGATCTCGATCCCGGTGACTGTGTCTGAACTTTTTCCTAACCTGACATTCTCACCCAAAGGGAGATGGTTGTAACTGATCCTCCTTTCGGCAGCTGAAACAACTATTTCCAAAAGCTCGACTACAACCGTCACACATGACGAGACAGGATCTTGAGAAACTGTGTTCTTAGATTTTCAAGAAAAGAAAGTTTTTGGTGATTTAAACTAATAAAAGGACCAAAAAAAACAAAAACAAAATCCTAATCTATGATTGGATATTTGCCTTTTGATGTATTAGACTTGTGTTACAATCAACTGTTAAGGCTGCTGAAAACGCTACGTGAACTTTTCTTTGCAATATCCTGTAGCCTATATTTTCAGCTGTGACTGAACAATTACTTATTTTTGAGTTTATAAAGATTCAAGCTAAGAAATATTGCTTGTATATTTCCAGTTGGGACCTTTCATCCCAAGTTTAAGTTTAATGACATTAAAAAAAGAAAGACTAGTCTCTGTTTTGGAAAGTGTGGCAGGCGTAGTAACAGTAGCTAAGAGGTGCAGGGGCTGGAGGAATCTACTGGAGAAGTCTCAGCTGGAACGCCATCTCTGGATTTGTGTTTGTGCACGTCTTTTGGAGCATTTGTTACCTGAATTTAGAGAAAAGCCTCCCAAACATGGTCTGCATCGGCATCAGGAACATTAGGACCACCATGCCTGCCAGACACGACGCACCAATCTCCAACCACAGCAGTCCCACGACCGCCGCCGCCTGTAGAGGCCCCACCCACAGGAAGTGCAGGAAGATGGTCACCTGTCGAAAAGGGGTCACTGGTGTTACTGTTGATGCTCTAAACTCCACTAAGTCTGCTCTGTGCAGGTTTTACAGCAAAGGTAAAGTCACTCCACAGGCAGCGTGAGAGCATGACGTGGACTAATTCATGGCTCATTGCCTGGAAACTGAAATACCCTGAAGAAGCAGTGTTTTCACAGCAGGCTTTCACCCACAGATTAAAACGAAACCCAACTCTCCACAGAGACGGGCTGAGTTTGGAGCAACAAAGACTCGGGGCTTAAATCAAGCCTGAACCTCGAGGAGATACCCGCCTGTGTTTTCAGTGAAGTCAGGGAAACGCTAACGTGAGAGCCAGCCTAACCACATACACTAAATCATATCACGCCCATTACAACAATGTGTCTCCTCTACCTGTAATCATGCGAGGAACATGAGCGCCTTTGGGTGATGACCTGAAACATTAAGCTGAACTCTTCCCAGATTACATAATTAGACTACACTCCCTTTTTAGCAAACAGAGGCTGTGATCCAGGTTGTAGTCTGCGCCAATTCTCAGTCATACAGGTGAAAGTTTTTGACTGGTGTTTTGGCAAAGAGGCTCATCTGCATAGAAAGAGGTTCAAATTAGCCAACTGAGTGCATTTTCAAACCCAATCAATTTTTCAGGTCTACCCTCACTTTGTACCAAAATGTGAATACTGTACCTCTTGGAAATCCAGAATTTGACTTAGGGCCTCTAATACAAGCCTGCCTCATATAAAGGCCTCCTTCCTTTGGCGGTACAACCAAAATACACGACCTGGATTATAGGATATAAGTTTTCACCTACATCATCGAATCTGTTGACATCATTGGAGAGGAGGTTGACAATCTGGCCTGTGGTGGTCTTGCCCATTGCGGAGCTGCTGAGACACAAAGCCTGAGAAGAGATAGACAAAGAAGAGGTCAACAAATCCCTGTTAATCAGGGGTACATGTTGAGAAAGTTACAAAAACACCACAATAGATAAGTTTGTCATCCATTGCTAATTCTAACTTCGGGGCCGTTTTCTGTCAAACTCCTCTATAAGTAATCATCATGACAGATCTTGCCAGTAAAAAGAATTACAGCATCACTTCCAAACGATTAAGCAGACCCTTGTTTTCCCCGTTACTGACCTTCTTGTAGATCATGTGACACATGGCCACTCTAATCTTCATGCCCGTCCTCTGGACATGATAGAAGTAGAGGTGATGCAGCAGCGCCAGGCCGATGGTGCAGATGGACATGGCGGCAGCGTAGCCCAAGGCGTCGTACAGAGCTTGTGTGTTGTCTGGATCATAGTTCTCGAAATATTGGACCATTTTCCCCAAAACGACCGGCTGGATGACTTTAATCACCTCCTGATGTGCAGAGCAAGATACGGAGAGGGATGAGTATCATGTTGCTCTGATTACAATAACAGAAGACAAGAGTATTCTCATGAGTGATTAAAAAAACGCAACACGCTCTGATCAAATCTGTTGAATGGAAAAAGGTTAAATGATCTCCAGCGAGTAAAGTCGATTGATCTGCTTCTTCAAAACTAGACCTGATAGATAGACAGATACCAATAACACTGCCAATATTAGAAATTACTCTAATACTACCTTAAATGTAGGATTAGATCTCAGCAATAAATGCCTGCTGTAAGATCAGACTCTCAAAAAGAACTACTATAGACATCGATATCAGAAATTACAGTAATACCTCACATATTGTATTGGAAATATAACTACAGATACCAATGCTGATATCTAGGATTGGATTTCTGTATCATTGGATGCACCTGGGTTTTTTAACAGGCTCCTAACAGTCTGGAGAGGGTTAAAAACAGTAATTACATTAACTAAAGCAGCTTTATATTTTAATTCTGTGTCTGTAGAAGTCTGTTGTGCAGGAACAAGCAGGAGATCTGTGTAGAAATCATTTAGTTTTTTTCATTATATATTATTTATGTCATTTTTTTTATATCAATGACTTTCAAACTACATTAAAAAAACAAAAAGTTTTCCGTTATTCCCTCCCTGATGTCAACACACTTACTTCAATGAGTGTGAAAAACCCCAACACTGCGTATGATTTCCAGTAGCACTTAATGATGGCCGTGGACAGGCTTGGTGTCCGCATCTCTTTAGCCCCCTTCTGGAGCTCATGATCCCAGTATCTGTCACAGAAAGATGTTTGGGTTATTCCATGCACTTGCTGACGTGTAACAAGAGGTTAAACCTCACATCCAGATGAGTCAGAACTCGCCTGGGAGGTGGGAATCACATAATTGCAAGATCAGACACAGGCCTGCCTTTGGCTTAATGGGCAGAGCTTTATCAGATAGGCAATCGGTCCGGTCGAAGGCAAGTTCGGACCTGCTGTGATCATTTTTATATCCACTGACATCACTCTTGGTTGCTAAAAACAGCAGCAGGGAAGCTGCAGTGGTGTTACCTATGAGGCGTAAGATTTCATTCATGTTCTGTAACTTATAATCCTCCAAAAATTAAAGCTTACTTCTTGAGCATGAGAAAAAACCTGACTTATGAGGCAGTGTCTACTGTGTGTGTTAGTTTGTGAAGTGGTGTGTTGCTCCACTTGTCCTCCCTTCCTCAATTTGACAGATGTGTTATTTTACTTTCAAGTTCTCCATCGATGTCACAGTAACATCTGTTGTCCTGACTGGAGCTGATTTCATTCTGTATTTTCCTGACCTCTCAAACAATCCATTAAAAAATCTGTGTGAGTGATTCATTTCAATGTGATGAGTCAGGTCATCTTGCAGGACTTTCCGACTTCCCTGCACGCTCTGTGTTGAAATCTTGAGGTGAGTGGTTTCACTTTTGACTCAGAGGAAACAACAGCGTTTGCAAACCTCACACATGCAGGACACGTGAAATTCATTGATAAAACGTGAATGTATGACAAGATTACCAGCATTTTTCATTAAACGTCAAGGTTTTTTGCTCTCAACACGTGATGTTGTCTTTGGAGTTTTTCTTTAATAAAATAACAGATTTAAATGATTGTCTGTCAAATGAAAGACAGTCCATTCAGACTATAAACTAAGACAAAGCCACCACTCTCTGAGCAGCTGATATACTTTTGACCTTTACGAAATTTTTATATCATCGTGATTTCACGAGGGCTTAACGTAAAGATCTTTATCACCACGTGTCTGCGGCTTTCTTCCCCTTTCTTCAACAGAACAATTCTGTGTTTGCACTGTGACAAACATTCAGATAAAGACTCGTGACTGATAGGCATGGGGCGCCTTCAGAGCTGGATTTCAAGCTCAAAGTTGGCCTGTGATGATTAGAGATTTAATGCTAATTACACATCTGTCATAAAATTTGTTGCGGCTATTTGTAGGATAAGTAGCAACCTTGAAGTTTGTGAAAAACTGAAAGGCTCTCTGTGTGTAATCTTGGTGAAAAAATAAGAATTAATGTTAAAAAAAAAAAAAAAGTGTAATTCAAAATGTCCGCCATGCCATCAAGGACCATTATTTAAGACCTCATTACCGCCTCGACAATAAACCAATCAGAGTTCAGGTCACCTATCATCAATATCCCGGTCACGGATCACTTCCCTTTCCTTCCTCCCTTCAAACGGGAGCGCGGTATGGCGTGAGACTAGACATCGTTGAACGCTGGTGTATAGGATCCATGAAAAAATGCCGAATGGTGAGTTTAACCGAAGCTATTCTACCCGTTTTTGTTATTTTAACAATCACGTAGCTCCGCACAAATGGCGACGAGCGCAGTCGACCAAAATTGCCAATTTAAGGCCTGGCGTCTGTGTACGCAAGACGCTGTTTTCTGTTAGATTTCCGGTTCAATCTATTAGTAAAGGTTGATTTTGTGGTTATTTTTGTTGCCGATTTCTCACTTTCTCGTTGTAAAGTTAATTTACTATGGTTATTTTGTATTATTTTTTCATTTTAGGTAAATGTGAATCAATATTATTGAATTATTTAAACATCCTATGGAGTTCATGTACTGTTGTTCAAGGACTTGTTTCTTTTTTTCTATGACCCTTAGGTCTGTTTTTTTTGTTACCCTTTTTCTACAACCGAACCAAGATGATGAACAAACAGGAGCTGAACCACCACCTTGTTCAACTTAAGTGGTAGGACAAAAGATTGGATTACTTGGAGATTGACGATTACTTAATTTCATATCAAAGATTTACATAAAATAAACTCTTGGACTGTGGAAGAACACATGGATTTATTCATTTTTATGTTTGTTCCCTCCTCCTTTGTCTAAGTTTTGGATTATTCATTGAATTGAAAGAGCACCTGTTTTCCTTGTTCCCTGTTCTAATTATTTCATTACATTATTTAAACCTTACTTTGTTGTATTGTTTCATTGATATTTTCACATCCTGGGCTCCAATTTAAGTATTCACGGTGTCTTTAGTCAATTTCCATTCAAAATCATGTAGGAATAACAATTTTTCTCACATCTTACATGTGGGATTTAAATTTGCACACCATCAAACAGGCTGAAAGTCTGATTTTACACCAGTTTGACAGTCGATCAATGCATCTTTTTCAGCCTTTAGATTCATTTGTGTAAGTGTCTAAGGAGAGAGGAGAGTGCTTGAACATTTACTCGCCAGTCATTTACCACTTTTAAAAGATAAACATCACAACTTGAAGTTTGTGATTACGCTGGAAATATGTCACTTGATAGTTTACAGGGATTTTCATTTTAACGCCTACAACGCAGCCTGATTCTTTTTGAATTTCTCTTTACGGAAAAGAAAACATTAACAGCCACATTTTCAGGTTAATTTATGGTCTCTGAGATTGGCTGATTATTGACAACAGTGCAAAACATTTTAACTAAGTGAGTCTGAGTTATCTCACCTGCAGGGGTCAAAAGTTGGGTCAGGGGGTACATTTCAAAAGTTAATGAGGAAGCTGAGATTGAGATTGTGAGCTGTATTGGAGCTGCTTGTTATCTTAAGAGCCGTGTGACATCTCTATCTGTGAAATAGCCCCACATATATGACATCTGAGTATTTGAGCACGAGTCAGGCACTGCAGAAACTTACAGACTGTCTCAATAACTGGCAATTGATGGTGATTTAATATAGCGCTAGTATATGTGAGAGATAATGTGTAAACAGCCAAAATGACTTTACTGCTACGTTGTTTACAACCTTGTTCAATACTGTATAGCAGTTTATCTTTATGAGCTCCCGTTTAGATTAACCTCCCACGTGTACAAGTGACGTTTACATACAAAGGCAAGGAAAGAGGAGGCAGCTGCATGGAGCAAGTTGACTTGTTTGCCTCCTCCTGCTCCTCTCTCTGCTTGCCTCTCTCTACATGTGGCTGCCTATGTACAACATACTGGTTTGAGCTGCTCTGCTGTTTCCCTACATGTTTCACACCTTGCTCTGTAAAGTGGTTAATCAATGAGATGCAAGGTTCGGTTTGAGTGGCTGTTCAGCGAGGGTGTGATGTGAATTCCAGTAAGCTTATTAAAGAATCTGTAGCACAGCTCTGTACAGACATTTGTGGCGTTTTTGGAGAACGCAGTATTTTCTCCCTCTGTTTTGGCGTTACATTCTCATGCGAACAGATCTGTATGACAGTGACAACAAAGGATTTGGAAAACTGTTTTGTCTGTATTCATGGAGACAAGCTGAAAAGGGGATTTTGGCGGATACTGATGTGATTACTTTAACTTGTGTATGTACACATACGCCATATCATGTCTTATTATATCAACACAACTCACTTTCACTGGACACACCTGCTCTTTTTCAGCTTTTGAGCTGTAGAAACGGAAGGTTAAAGTTAAACAGGAACCGATTCTCTTTTACGACAAGAGGGAATGTGATGTAAACCAGTTTAAGATTGAGTTTTCAACTCGTAAAATCTTGATAAGAATCTTGGACAGCTCCTACGTCTGATAATGGACTTGGATAAAAGTCTCAAAAGTAAGCAGATGTTTTTACAGATACGTCTACCTTTGCAGATGCTGTCCCAGGTTCTGCGAGCGGTCCTCAGTGAGCACTTCAAACATGTCATCTTCCTCCAGCCTGCGTTTAGATCCGGTGGTGAACAACGGATTGAGCCACCTGGAGGGGGGGACATGATGAAGGGAGTGAAGAGGGGGTGTCAGTCACATAATCACCAACAGTTCACTTCCTGGTGATTTTAAAAAAGGGTTATAAAGCTCATTTTCAGACTTTATGGTTACGTTCACACTGCAGGTTATGATGCACAATTGGGATTTTTTGTTAAATCTTTTTGTGCGGTCGTTCACATTAAAATAACGAATGCGACATCTAATGTGAACGGAATGCGTCCGTGAAGTGACCCGCATGCGCACAAAGCACAAATTGCTTTCTGCTCCTGTTTGTGTTGTCGAACAATGGTGAAAGTTTGTCGCATATTGATGACATTAGATGAGCGCGACCTGAGTGTCCACGCTGCAGTCACATCGGATACATATCCGATTTATATCCACATACAAAAGAGGCCTGGGTCGGATTTGAAAAATCAGAAATGCACTGTTCACACTTACATGAAAAACTCAGATATGTGTCACATATGGTTAAAAAATCGGAATTGACCTGCAGTGTGAACACAGCCTGTGTCGCCCTTCTGATAGATTTGTTGTAACTTCTCTTCTTGTCAGATTTGTGTCTGGGAAAACCCTCAGTTCAAGCACTTTAGAAGCCTCCTCCTCTGTTGCCATGCAACAAAGTTGTCATCATTAAGGTTACTGGTGTTCCTCGATTCAAAACAATGAATTATTTAGTAAAGCTGTATGGTTTGCTCCCCAGATCTGACCAGACGTTCCCTTGATTGTGCAGACACAGGTAGTGATTTGTGCGTGTTTTTGTGTGATTTTGGAAACGACCTGTCCCGGTACGCCTCTACTCTACTTCTTAACTCTTTTGTTTTACAATTTGAAACTTTACCCAAGTCCATGAAGTAGATATTTCATCCAGGACTGTTTATTTCTGCTTGTTATCACCTTTGACATTAAGTTGGCTCAAGTAATTATCTCTTGATGAAGAGAAAAAAACTCAAATGTACTGATAGTATGTCTACTTTGGGCTTCCATACATATGTAATGCTCACAGTACACAATGTACATTGTGTATTTGATTAGGAGATAGCACACGTGTCAAATTTAGACTTAAGTAACTACAGCAGATGATTCAACAGGAAACTGTCATTACATAAACTCTCCAGAAGCTTTCCAGTGAGGAGACAAATCTTTATTTGTCCAGCATCCACTTGAAACAAGTAAAACAACTTATTTTAACCATCTGTGGCCCACTTGTAAACATAGTCAGAGTTTCTTCAACTCTTCCCTCTCGTTTCTACTTTGTTCACCTCTACCTGTTTAAGGTTTAATGCCACTGTAGGGTTGAAATTAACACCAGGAAACTCAACTGTTGCCACACTTACAGCCCACTTGTTCAAATCCCCCGCGATCGGTTTGCTTTAGCTTTACCGGCCGCTTTACCATCCGGGAAGTTTAGTCGACTTACCAGAAAAATATCTTGGACAAAAGGCTCGCCGTCGCTGCCGGGTTGGTCTTGGCACTCTTGATTTCCCCCATGGCAGCCCGCACTCACACCGCAGTTTCTTCCCAACTTTGCCCCCCTCTCAGTCACTGATCCTCCGGGCTATGTGGCGTGTCTTCCAGGTTCACGCATGATACATGGTGGTCGGAACCCCCAAGGTGTGTTACGTCCTCCGCGAGGCACGCGAGCTAGCGGTACCGTAAGAGATCAAAGACAGTACTTTCGATGGCCCCGCCTCTGCTGACCTCTGATTAGATGACATATATGGGCGCTCCATGCTATTGGCTGTTCAGTATGCACTGCGTTCAGGCGATTGGCTGAGAATCTGACAACGCAGGCAATTCAATGAGCACTCTGCATGGAGTAGTTGTAGTCATGTACACTTTAACTTATATGAGGGAAAGCAATAAATTAATGGTCAATTTTACAGTGCCTTTTCACTCACACTGCTCAGTATCTCGTTAAATCCTGTGCAGATAAAGTAATACAATAAATACAACAACTATGAGCACAACTATTTGTAAAAGTCTACTTCATAACCAACAGAAAACGCAAAAATGCTGAAAATAATCACGTGAAGGTTTGAGAAACACCTAAAATTAAAAAAATGTTTCTGCCAAAAACAGCAAAGCAAGTTTAAACAGAAACTTATAGACAGGGTTGGCTCTAGGGGTGCCCACATGGTGACTCAGAACCATAGACCGTGATACATGGTTGTATTCAACCCCCCTAAAGTTATGTGAGGCTGTGTAAAGGTCCTTTCACACCGGGACCGTTTTTTTCGTGCGAATATTTCGGACATCAATATATTTTTTTACCCTGTATCCTGTCAATACAAGCGTTCACATCAGCGACGTTTTCCCGTCCTTTATTTTTTCGTATCACGGTTGATTTTTCTAAAATTTTGCATACTGTGTGTCCACTTCTGACCAATCAGATTGCGTGTTGTTGTGATGTCAGATTCACTGGTATATCCAACATGGCCGACCGGCTGATTGTTTACGTGTCGGAGTACAGAGTGCTTTTTGATAAAAGACACAAATATTACAAAGATAACGACCTGAAGGATGGTTTGTGTGCTTTAACAGTTTGCTAAACGTCTTTGTTTTAACTTTCATCTGTGCTAAGTAACTTTAGCTCGTAAGCTAACCTGTTCAGATACAACATACCATACGTATTTTCACTGTCTCAAACTCAATCGCGTTGCTGTCACAGCACCATTAGGTCTCAGTTGTTACCTTACGTTTATGGATTATAGTTTAATCTGCTTATCTGGTACTGGCCCTGACTCAGTACATGCTATCATGACAGACAAACATTTCAACACTAGAGTCTAATCAGAACTGAAAAACAGTCAGTCTGCTGTTGTGTCAGTCTTCTCGCTTCCACCCGGGACACGTCTTTTTTTCCCCCCGGAAAGTCGCAAAATCGCATCAGGCTAGATGTGTATAGTCAGGTGCGTCAGAATTCGCCTCCGTATATTTCGTAATTTTGCGTCGTATGTTTGTGTCAGTCCTGGTGTGTAAGGACCTTTTAATGAAATTCAAGCCACATGCACACATATAATGATGCTGCTAAATTAGATTTGAATGTCAAGCGACACAGTCATTTTACGAGAAGGTGAGACAATATTTTGTTAATTAACTTCGCTAATAATCACAATCGGCTTTCAAAGGTGTTAGCATCAGTTTTTAATGATATTCAAAATTATGTTTTATCTGCATTACCAGCCCTTTAAATGAAAACTTCTGGCAAGAAAATATTGCCTCAGTAAATAATTGTTTGTATAACGCTTTTATTTTGATATTTTTCACAGTTTTCAGTGTGGTTTTATTTCCTGTACTGTAAAAAAATCCCTTTTATTATATTTCTTAATACGTAAATGTGATGTTGTTCATCCATATGTGTATGGATATACCCGTTGCCAGCTCTGCTCAATCAGCCCCCCCTGTTTTGGTCCATCCAGTCCAAAAAGTCTAGCTCCGTCCCTGCTGATAGAATATATTGTTTAGTTTTTTTTGTTTGTTTTTTTTTTCGTTTTTTTAAATCTAAATCTGTGGCAAAAAGTGATATAGTTCAATGATCTACTCCAGTTTTTTAAGATTACGATTAAGTATCAAACTTTCTAAAAGTTCACTTATTAAAACATTTATTTTAGATATTTTTTGTCATTTAAGCTCTTTTTGATTGTGGAAGTTTTCATTTTGCATTTCTCTCTTTTGTTTATCTGTTTTCTCTGGAACAAAAGGCACATTTCCAAGAAGTTACTCTCTTCATAGGAAAAAGTTTTTTTTTTCTCTTTTAGACAAACTTCCTCTCCTGTGTGGTCTTTGACCTCCATTGTGTCAGAGTTACTCAGCAAAAATTCCACTGATACCCTCTGTCTCTCCGTCTGCTGTTTTGCTCCACGCACAGTCACACACAGTTTTTTGTGCAGTCACAAAGTTTGGTTGACTTTATCTCATGACTGCAAAGTGTGTCACACATGATAAGAGGAAATGTAGTGAGTGCATCCTAATATGTGTGACCTGAATTGAACAATGTAGGACATTTCCTTATTATTTTCAAACACGGAAGTAAATAACAACATAAATTTCCCAATCAAGCTTATAAATCGCTACTTTATCAGTTTCTCACACTCAATAACTTTCTGATCCCATACACCAACAAAAGAGAAACGTGAAGAACTCCCACGCAGAGGATATCCTATAAATAAAGAGCAGGCTGTGGGTAACAGACGCCCTCAAAAACACTCCAGGTGCTTCCCACTCTCAAGTAAAAGGAAATAAAATAATGAGATAAAACATCTCCCTTTAAATAAACAATCTCCTTTGTAACCCCAATTCCCATCACTCTGCTTTTTTATTGTTCAGGACAACTTCAGAGAAATGCTAAGGTGAACTATTGCCCTTACACTGACAGTATGTCGTGATAACAGACTGAAGCGACCCTGGCCCTATCACTTCCTGCTTTATTCTCCCGTTGATGTTTAGCTAGCACCGACTGGGAAGAAGGCTGAAGGAGAAAAGCCAGCAGGCGATTATTAAGCAGCTGAACGTGGCCCAATAACATTTATTTGCTTAGGAACAACAATCTGTTCCCATGCTACCCCAGCTGAGAGACAGGCCTGGTTTTCCTTCTCATGTTGCCAGGTCCTTTGAGCTCTTTGGTTAAAACAAAGCAAGAAATCCCTACTTTATTTCAGAGTAGTTACTTCACAAGGCTAATGCAGGATGTTCTATTGTTCTGCTGCAGAATAAGTAAAGGATTATTAGTCGCCCTGTGTGCAGTTCAATTGGACCAGTTTCATCAGCCGCACTTACAGTAGGCTAAATTAAAACAGCTGACATGTTGAATTTCATTTTAGCATTGAAAAGAAATATAACAGATAAAATAAATGCGAAAATATAACTGAGGTTAGTGATAACTTTGCTTACTTTCTTTATGTTTATCCTAGTTTTGCAGGTCGAGTCTAAGACGTCGAGCTTGGGGCATGTTAGTAAACAAATATTTGAGTTTTCCATGAACACCAAATATGACTGAGGCTGGTGAGGTTGTGTTCACTATCCAGAAGCAAAAAAGGGAATTTTGCCAAAATTAAAGGGTCAGTACAAGATATAAATGGGTTATCCTGTGCCATGTTGAGACAAATTAATTATCTTGTAAGCGCAATATATGTATCATTTAGGCACAGGTAAAAAAAAATAGCTCCTTGGTTCCAATTTTCACTTTTTAACCTTTGTAGGATCTCAGTAAAAATAATTGATATACAAATGATTGATTTCATCCCCAGAGGAGCACAAATATCTGAGCAAACATTAACTAAGTTTCTTAGTAAGTCATCCATTTTCAAAGCTTTGAAAGCATTACACCCAAATATACAAGCGCCAATCTTATGGTGACACTAATGGAAACGTCAGATCGCCAAAGGTAAATAGAGTAATTATCTGGAAACCAGGAAATTTGGAACAATGTGACAATACATCAACAAGCTGTACAGTTATTACCTGTTGTTGGTGAAAACATGTTCTGACGGTGTTGCATGAAGATAATATGGCTTAACACTCAGTCTGCATCCTCTGGGGACTTCATAAGACCTAATCCAGTTAACAGACCTGAACTATAATGGCTTGGAGTACCTTGGCTGCCTACTGTTATAATGACAACAATGAATCAGAGAAAATGTGTAAAAAAAGGAAAGATGATCACTTTATTTTAACAGTTCCTTATAAACCTGGATTGTGAGTTATCTATTGAGTACTATAGAGTTGTCATGTTAGTATAATACCACCTGATTTAGTTCTAACACATAGTTGTGCATTCAGCATTAAGCAGTGATCACCGTCCCCCTGAGATGATCACGAATCACCTCATGTCCACGTTAATAAAAACAAGCAGTGTCATAGCAAATGGAAAAGAGACGGTCATCTTTTTCTCATATTAAGGTCTACATGGGATGTCATCAACAGGTCACTGCTGATAACAACCTGTTCCTGTCGCTTCTCTTTCATTAGCAGGTGTATAGGATTAGGGTCCCCTTTGAGACTGCACAGCAACAGCGGCCTTGGAAACACTGCATCGAGGCCTCGACTCTCTGGAGATTTGGGTAACAATGCTCTCAGACCCTCTCGCTGTCGTTTACAGATATTTTAACTCATGGGGTCAGTTTCCAATCCCCTGTCTTTGAAATCATGCAAGTGAACTCCAAAAGCCAATTTTGCTTTGTCATTTCAGAGTTTCGAGGTATGAGTAAAACTTTCATCATTTACCAGCATGAGCTTTCCCCTAAATCTTACACTGCTTTACAACAGCAGTTTAACTTTCTGTTATGATTACCCTGACTCATCCTCCTGTCCCCCTTTCCCCCTCCCCCTGCAAAACTCAAAGTTCAACCCTCAAACAACACTGTGATAGTTACTTAACCTATGTGAACCAAGACAGGAAACAAGCACTAAATCCCACAACCCGGCCAAAGGGGTATTTATTACTTTGGCTTCCCCAGGTAATCTCGCTGTTACCCAAAATTACAGTAACGGATTGAATCATGTCGTTTAATAGTAAATCAGATTATGTCTGTGTAATCTACATGCTCCTAAAACAACAAAAGGCTCCAGCACAGAACAAAACATGACAACCACAGTGATAAGATTACTGCTCAGGAGAACAGCAGCCTTATGAAACAATGTTTGTCTGCAGTCTGCAATAGATATAAAAAAACGAGATGATACAAGCCAGAGTAAACATGAAACTTGGCTAATGCAAGAAAAGATTAAGCTCAACATAAGAAAACACATGCTTAGTTACAATAAACAAGCTGCTGTAATGTCAGAGAGCATGTTACAGGACTTTATGTAACTTTTACTGAACAATATCCTCTGCTGTCACAAGGGACAGTTACAGGACAGTGTAAAATGTCATGATAGGATAAAGTAACACATTTAAAAAGGGTCATAAAGTCAGCAAAACGCCAGTGACCCAGCAGTGTCTGACTCAGGGTTGCAAATGTTTGTGAAACTCTACAGTGATACACACAAATAACTTCATTATGCAAACAAAACAAGACAACAAAAGCTTTTTTAAATTAAATATTTACCAGGCATTATTTCATCTTTCATGTTTGCTAACAGTAGTGAGGACAAGCTAGCAACAGCTTCACTAACAACCAGATGAAAATCCTCAATCCTCATAAAATGAAAATTGATCATTTCTATTAAAGAGAATTTTACACTAGAGCCTGTGAATAAACATGAAGAGCTTCAACTCCATAACTAGAGAAATGTGGAAATACTGAGTGCTGAAAGCCGAGAAAGCAATGTTAAACCGCCAATAAAAAATGGAGGACGGTATGAAAGGAAAAACTGTTGGAAAGGTGGAGTAGAAGAAGAAGAAATTGTATGAATGGAAGAATTGTTGAATAGCTGAAGGTAAATTAGTTGAATGAATGTACAAATTGTATAATAGCCTAAGTGAAAAACGTATATGACTTATGTAAATAAACAGAACTGATAATGATAATTGAATTTGAAAAACAAATGCCTTAAAAATAATGTGTAACAATGTTCCCATTAAATGTACAAATCATATGGTACAAATACTAAAACAGATTTCTGCAGCATCCAACCATAGTAACTTGAGAATGCAGAACAGCACCATCTGTTGCCGTGCTTCAGTTACTGCCCTACATACGAATGTAGAAAGTATGAAACAGCTGAAGTTAAAGTAATTGTATAAAAGTAGAAGGTAAAGAAAAGTAGAAGTAGAAGAATAAGAAGTTATCATGTTAAAAGAGTTAAAGACACGAACTGACACAACAAAGTAAATTTTGGGGGTATATTTTCTACTGACAGCAACAACAACAATGTTAACAACAACAATAACAATAACAACTACAAGAATAATAACAACTACAACAACAATAATAATAACAACAACAATAATAACAACAATAACAACTACAAGAATAATAACAATAACAACAACACCAATAATAACAACAATAACAGCAATAAAAAACAATAATAATAATAATAATAATAATAATAACAAATAAACATGAGAATAACAAAGTTGTTGCAACACTCCCTCTTTGGCCACTAGATGGAGCCATACAACTGCTAGACAATAAACTATATCAGACCAGTGTGAAATCATGCTCTCTTTCTTTGCACTTCCACTTATTCAGTGTTGGAAATAGAATTTAAAGTTTAAATACTCAATGAATTAAAAATCTGTGAGAACCGAAACAAAAGCAGTTACTCCGAAAACACGTTATTTACTCTTTCAATCAATCGACAGCCCACAGCTTCCCATCTCAGTTCCTCTTCTTGTGTTTCTTTCCTGTCAGAGACTTTTCAGATCCTTTCAATTAAAGACTTCCTCCTCCTGCAGATCTCCTTGCAGACCCCATGCATGCAGTGTGGAGTGATGACTCGTGTGTGCACCCCTGCACCCTCCCACCACCACACACACACACACAAAACACAACATACAACTACCTATTGTGCTTTAGTGGGGAATATGCAAGTAAAAGTCAAATGCTTGAATGAGCAGGTGAAGGAGAAGCTAAATTCACTCTGACGCACTTGTCTTGGGTCGGCACTCCCATCAAGATCTCGATTCCGTCTCAGTTTGGACCTCCAGATTATAGAAAAAATGGGCAACATGGCAACAGAGATTGTTGCCTTTCTCCTCACCATTGCAGGTTGGATTCTGGTGTCATCCACTCTGCCCACAGACTACTGGAAGGTGTCCTCTGTGGACGGGACGGTCATCACCACAGCTACGTTCTGGTCCAATTTATGGAAAACATGCGTGACTGATTCAACTGGAGTATCCAACTGCAAAGACTTTCCTTCGATGCTGGCTCTGGATGGTGAGTTTTAAGAAGACCATGCTGTGATTTTGTCCTTATGGGTTTAAACTGTTTTATCTTTCTACCCTCATTGAATGCAATTTCTCTTGTGAGGGAAGCACTGACTGTAATATTTCTCCATATCCTAATTGGGGGTGCAATTTCTATGCTATACTTTATTTACTATACTATATTTCCAGTTCCACTAAAATCTCTGTTTCTGTTCATGAAACCATAGCAGCTTATTCTAAGTGTCTTATTTCTAAGGTAAAGGTTATAAATGTTATTTCTACAAAGGTGCATGTCCGGCTGCATTCATTGGCTTCTGCATAGGTATGGAGCTTTGGCGTATGTTAGGGCATACATTCAGCTCACAAGTATGAATCAGTCTAAGGAAATGTGTAATTAAACTGTGAAGCCCAAAAATCCGGAGTGTCCCCTAGAGGCAGGCTGCAGTAAAGGTCACAAGGCTTGCTTACTAATTTTTAATTAAATTGCTCAGTACAAGGTAAATAGATTTTCTCCCTTGTTAATTTTGTCATTGCAGTTAAATAAACGTTAAACTTTAATTGGTAAATTTATGTACGTTTACTTTCATTTCTTAAACCTCTTTTCGCAGAGATCCAATTGATATTTTTATCCTTCAAGCTCGTCCCTGGTCTTCTCACCTGACAGAATTTAGCTAAATCTCCAGCTGTTTGGGCTTTTTTTCAGAAAAGTATCTGGACTTCGGTGTCCTGAATTTGTCTTTTGTTGGAAACTGTAAGGTAATCATTCGTGAAAGCGGCTTTAGTGAAATCTGGAACAGTATCACGCATGTGGGCCTTTTAAACGTTCACAAAATTAGACCTTTGGGTAGAAAAATAAAATCACCTCCCTTCGGCTAAACAAATGCAAGGACTTGACATAACTGCATATCCAAGCCAGAGGGACTGTTGGTGATGGTAAGAAAGCACTAACCTCTCTTCTCCATTTCTCGTGAAGCCTATATCCAGGTGTGTCGGGGTCTGATGATCTCCTCTGTGTGTCTGGGTTTCTTTGGTGCCATCCTCGCCTTGGTCGGAATGAAATGCACGAAAATAGGAGGCTCGGAGACCACCAAGGCTCGTTTGACCGTCCTTTCTGGCGTCCACTTCATACTCAGCGGTAAAACGATGCTTGATCCAAGTCTGGATTTAACTGCATTACATAATCATCTCAAAGGAACCGGCTATGTAATAATTGGTATATTTCCCCTTTTTAGGCCTTTGCTGCATGACTGCATGCTCCATATACGCACACAGGATCACAACTAACTTCTTCGACCCCCTCTTTGTCGCCCAGAAGTAGGTATTCAGATTAATTCAGAGTAAACTTGATTTAACACCTGTCACACATACTTTCTGTTTTTCATTTTTAACACTCAGGTTTGAGCTCGGAGCGGCTCTCTTTATCGGCTGGGCTGGATCCGTGCTGTGTATCCTCGGAGGACTGGTCTTCTGCCTCTCCCTGTCTGAAGGCTTCAGTATAAGGCAGGTTTGCTTGACTCTGAATTAGACAATCAAAATAATTACTTTAACTGTACTTAGAGTTGGAATAGGCCAGTAATCTCTCTCAACATCTTGTCTCATAATCGCTGAACCTACAAGGCAAATTGTACAACCATTATTTTGATTCGGTATGTGGAGGCTGATGGCTGAATGTTTCCTTTGTTACAAAAATAAGGACTCTTAAGAAAGAGGGAATGTCACCTTGACGAAGTGCTCTTAAAGGGAAGTTTTGTTAAAGGAAACAAACTTTTTATTTCAGCGAAGTCCTTACTCATGATTTGGCTGTGCTCAGTCCTTTTTGGCATATTGCTGGTTGTAGAAAAAGCTTTAGAGGGAAAAAAAGAACATATTCAGCAATAATTAACAGGAATTTATTTGAAACAGGGGTGTTTCAAATAAATGAATTCTTATCGTGAACTACTAGTGCCACAATAAAAATACAATAATGTGTTAGACACATGCCTTTGAAAAATGTTATCAAACTATTTTGTCTGTTTGAACAGGCTCTTTGTTGCTTTATCACTTACAAGCGCTTACCCATACCTCAGATACTTTTTCTAAACTCTTAACACAGACTCACACCTACAAAACGCACTTGGCCAAATGGATAATTTTCTTCTCAAAAACACATTTTGTTAAATATACAGTACAGGCCAAAAGTTTGGACACACCTTCTCATTCAATGCATTCTCTTTATTCTCATTACTATTTAGTAATAGTAGATTCTCACTGAGGGCATCAAAATTACGAATGAACACGTGGAATCATGTGCTTAAGAAAAAAGTGTGAAATAACTGAAAACATGTTTTATATTTTAGATTCCTCAAAGTAGCCACCCTTTGCTTTTTTGAGAGCGCTGCAAACTTTTGCTTTTCTCTTAATGAGCTTCATGAGGTAGTCACCTGGAATGGTTTTTACTTCACAGGAGTGCCTCGTCAGGGTTACTTCGTGATTGACAGTCAGTCACTAAGTTCTTCTGTCATCAAGAGCAAAGGGTGGCTATTTTAAAGAAACTAGAATATAAAACATGCTTTCATTTATTTCACACTTTTTTTATAAGTACAAAATTCCACATGAGTTCATTCATAGTTTTGATGCCTTCAGTGATAATCTACAATGTAAATAGTGATATAAAAAAATAAAGAAATTGAATGAGAAGGTGTGTCCAAACTTTTGGCCTGTACTGTATACTAACTCTTTATTTCAAAATAGAACACATCTATCTCTGCACATACTAACTTCAACAAAACACTGGAAATCTGACTCAAAATGAAATTATTCTGTCGTAGAAAAACACTTTTTTTCACTTCATAAAGTACATGCAGTCAATCAAAGTACACCAGGGTTAAAAAAACTGGCTATTTCTGACATTACAAAAACTGCAGAGACTTTTATGTTTCAGTTTTACAGGTATTTGCATACAAAACATGTAATCCACCATTTTTACACTAAATTTCTTGGTTGGGAACTGTATGTCCATATGTAATGTTCACATACGAAAGCATTCCAGTAAAAAGCAAATCTTTTTTTTTCCTTTATTGTTAACTACAGGAGGTACAGTAGAAATACCGTTTACGATATGATAGAACAGAAAAAGTTTTACAGTGCTCCTGCGAGTCTCCCTGGACCCCTTGCTCTTCCTCTTCCTCATCCAGACATTACAGTGTCTGTCTTTTTCTGTCACTCCTCAAAGTCCTCCTTTTAAACTCTGCCACTGAGTCTAAGCCAGACTGGAATCAGCTGTGGTTGGCACCAATATACCCAACATAAATCAGCTGTGTGTCAATTATTCAATTGATCGTTTATTATCAACTGAGATTTATTTGTTTTTGAACTGATATCATTGCAGAGGCAGAGGTTTTTATACTCTATCTAAGGTTTGGAATATTGTTGTTGCTATTGTGGGATGTTTGGTGTTAACATTCGTAAATAATACAAAAACAATCTATAGTTTTGTTGGGGGGTATAGTTTGTCTGTTAAGAAAATGTGTTCACTGACTGAATATTGTGTGAAAACAACATGAAATGTGTGAACAGTATGGCCACAGAAGACCAATGCTGTGCTAATTGTGTTTACAGTTTTAAAAATGTGACAACTGGTTGGACAAACGCTTGTTTGCAACTGAAAAAAAGATGTAATAACAAAAGAAACATTGATGTTAAAAAGAAACATACTATAATGCTGTGCAACTACGTGTTTTATCAACAGAGGTGGTAGTGGTTCCTTTCCTGTTAAATAGAGCAAAGACAGTAACAAGCAATTTAAAACAACTACATAGAAATGTTAAGTGTAGTCATTTTTTAACACCAGCTAAAACTCCTTTCATTAGCTTTAATTTTTGCTCATTATTGTTGTTTCAGGGCTGAATACACTTACAGAGGATCTGCATCATTTGCGCCAACCCGCACCAAACTCAGCAAGACAGCGAACAGCCTCCCTAAAGAGCAAGTGGAGCCATCGAGACAGTTTGGAAGGAATGCTTACGTGTAAATTTGGACTGTTTGTCGATGTCAAAGGGTTTTTTTTTTTAAGGGAATAAATCCTGGATTTGTAATGTTCAAACAAAAGATAAATCACATGTGCCTGAGATCTATGAAAAACGAGTTCAGAAAGTGTAATGAATACAGGGTATGTTCCAGTTTTGACTATTAACAGTTAAATTAATCTTAAAATATAGTGATTTTTTTGTATCATATCTGTCAGTGGCCTGTGTGAAAGAGTTTTTTTTTTTTCTGTCTTTTAAGGCAGGAAATTTGATTTGGCAGAAAACACTGCTCAAACTCCTGGGTCACCTTCAACAAGCTGGCCTTTCTTGCCTGTCTCACATACACATGGTGCTTAAATAACCATGAAGTCAAACACACTGAGATCAATATTTGAAGCAGTTGAGTAAATTACATCTTTTTGTATATTCAGTGGCTGTAAATTGAAATTTGTGTTTTTTCCATTAAAACAACATCTTTTAAAGCAGTTTTCATGCCGCAATTTTAATGTGCTTTGAAACTTAGCTGCCTTTTTCATAATGCTATCAACATGACGAAACTAAAAGTCACAAAAGTATTTTATCCAAGTATATCCAAGAATCTTAAGCCTCCTCTATCTTTCTTGCTCTACACTGATCTTGCCTCTGAGGGTCACAAGGCCAAATCTGACCCCTGCAGAGCTGGAGGCCCGGCCGGAGGTTTCCCCTCCTATCAGGCATCAATCTCCACCTCTGTATTATTATCAATAGGCACCCCAGGCTATGTTACGCAAAACCTCCTGGCCCAGAGGTTTGATACTCGAACCTGCTGGCAGAGAGCGGCCGCCCTGTGCTTCCTGGTGCACTGCATCCATAAACAAGAGTCAGGTGTCCTGGATTCTGCTGTGTTATAATGGTTGTATTGTTTTGTCGAGACACAAGGCTGTTAAAACGGCACTTAAAATGCATCTATCTCATGTTTTCAGTCATTAAACTTTATCGATAGATAATCTGTTTCATTGGTTTTAAGATGCACTCAGTGTTTTCATAAAGTTACGAATACAGGCAGGCCAGATGAGCACCAAGACTATGCTGTTGTCTTATGTACTGAAGCTGGCTTCTGCAGTGTGCGCTAAAAACAGGCTAAATGGTCCTCCTTCTTTTCAAAGCGTCCATGATTTCGTTGGCACTGAAGTCAAATCTTGGTGATAGTAACAGAATTTAGGATAAAACATGGGATAACAAGAGGAGTAGGTTGGTAGGATCTGTCCTCTGGTGACCATCCTATGACTCTGCATCGGGGTTTTGTATTTTGTTTTTCTCTGGTCAGCTATGTCTAGCATGTGTGTCGTGAGTTTATCAGCTATCTTGTATCCAAATTAGGTGTGCCATCTCACGCTCCGGATTGGCTGCTGTGTATTCTTTGTTCTGTACTCATCCTGTTTTTGTGTCGTCTAGACGAATTACTCATTTGCTAAAATCCTGAAAGTTTTTCATGGGGCTGTATGAGAGGTGGGTGAAATGGGTCCACTTTCATGTTGTGTCCTGGCCCCCCCTAGATGGGTCATAACACAATGAAAAAAGATTATTTATTAAAGAGTTGTAGCACAAAGTTGCTTCCGTTCTCTCCACTATGTGCTGCATTTGAGCCACTAGAGGGCAGTATTAATGCACGTTTAACAGCAGACAATTTAAGTTTTTATAGGGTACTGTGTGTATATTAACTGCAACACCACAGGTCATACAGCATCCCTTTGCTAGTTTTTATTCTTTTAGTGCAATACTAATTAGTTAAAGCTAATTAAACCTGACCTCACCTCATACATGAAGACTACCCACCATTTCCAATAACTCCCTTCCCCTGCCAATAACTTAGTCATAAGCCGAGAGCTCATTCATCCCTGACCAACATTCATCACTCCCCCTAATGCTCATTAACCCAGATTTAACTCTCATTATAACAGCAGAAAGATGTTATAGTGTAATTATGAGACCCACGGCACAGCGAGGGCCACATGCACTGATTAATAACTGGAAGCTTAAAGCCTGAGGATAAAGCTGGGGTCACCGCAACAGTTTTATAACAGATTTCATGGACGTTTAGAGGTCATAGACGCATAAATGTTCATTAAGTCTGTCATGATGAGGTTGATTTTTACAACCCCTATCGCAGTGAAAGATTTCATTGCTTTTTTGGACATGTGGATACTCTGGTTTTGTTTTTGTTCTTATTTTGTTGTGATAAGTGAGATTGATGTGCTTCTAAGTGAGGCACTTATTTTATTTTATTCTTAACTGTTGTTTTGTGTGTTTTTTTTATATACATTTTTTTAACCATGTCCATAAATAAATAAAGATAAAGAAAGATAAATCTTGTATTTAATTGAAGAGTTAAAGATATATCAGACACTTAATCTGAAGAAATCCCTGTACGAAGAAGGCAAGGCCAACACTTTTACCACTGTGATCTTCAAACTCTCGAATAACACTGCATTCAAAACATCTGACTCTGTAGTTGAAATCACAACATGAGCTCAGAACTAAATCCCCAAACTATTTTTTGTAAAGTCAGATGTTGAGAAACAGAGTTTATTGCTCCAACTATATAATACGTAAAGCAAAGCAGATATGACTCTGTAGTGGAAATCCCTGCTCGGGTTAAAAACAGCCTCCAAAAACTACTTTTTGTGCAGATTGATTTTTTGCTTCTTTTCATTAAACAGGTTAAAACTGCACCATGAATAGAGGGACACAGTTCTTGCCTTATCTTTACTTCAAGTGCAGGGAAACGGACATAACTCTGTAGTGGAAATCAACGCAATATTCCTACAAGACCCATCACTTGTGACAAATCTGAACATTTGACCTTTTTGTTTTCTTTTAATAACATTGGGATAAGTTGAGTTATTGAAGATATAATTGGTTTGGTTTGGATTTACAGTTTATATGGACCACAGCTGCTTTTAATTGCATGATGGGAAATTGAGTATTTTGTGGGGGTTTTTAGAGTTATGCCTAAAAATAAGGGCCAGATTTTGGTCCATTCCTTTTTAATCCGTCATGTGCAAATTCACCGATTTTATGGATTCTAAAAACAGATTCTTGTTTGTTTGTTTGTTTTTTTTACACTGAAACAGTCTAACGAAGGTATGGTGTTTCTTTTGTAACTGGAGATGAATGCTGAGGTGAGCACTTTTAGCCCAGATTCGACGGTGACTCATGGGAACCTGAGCAGTCGTCGACTCTCACCTGCATGTACCCTCCTCACATCTGAAAATCTGCAGCACAGCCCTGATTTGTACCTGTGATGCACTCATCCTCTTCTTTCTCTGGCAGTAGCAGCTTTATACGAGGCTGACTTTGACATCTGATGAACTGGGATGAAAAGCTGGCGTTTGCGATGGAGGTTTCTGCATGATTAAGGGACGAAACAAAGAAGACAGGCATCAAAGTTGGAGCTTAGTTGGAACTGAAACTGTAGATTGGTGATAAACGTACAAAAAGCCTCGAGATGAAGATCCGTGTGGTTCAGATTTGGGGTTTCCTCATGACTGTTTTTGGCTGGATTTTCATCGCTTGCACCATGGCCATGGAGGGCTGGAAGATCACCTCCATCGGGGGCATGGGTGGCTCCTCCATCATCAAAGTGGCCTGGTACTGGTCCAGCTTGTGGAGGAGCTGTTTTACCGACTCAACTGCTGTCAGCAACTGTTACGACTTCCCCGTACTTTGGTCTGTGGAGGGTAAGAAACAAATTTTCCACCTCATCTTTAAACTCCAGCATCTTATGCTTTGAAATTAAAGTCTATTTGTATGATTTTAGGCTCCATCCAGATAGTTCGAGGCCTGCTGATGGGCGGTCTCTCCCTTGGCATGCTGGGTTTTGTCCTCAGTCTGTTGGGGATGGAGTGCACCTTCATTGGGGGGAAAGATCAGTCAAAGTACAAGAAGATTTACGCAGGTGGATGGTGCCACATAATCGCTGGTATGGTCTGGTTGATAGTTGGAGGATACTTCATGAATGCATGTACAAATATGTGAAAATCAGGTCTTGTGTGGCCACTGAATGTTGTTTTTTCTGTCCCTTGACATCATTTCAGGTTTGCTCGCAGCATCTGGATATGCTGTTTATGCGCAGTACGTCTCAGTGGAATACTTCAACCCTGACTTTGACGGATTAAAGTAAGTTGAGCAGCTCAAAAGAACCCATTTCTGCAAACATGCCACCTTTACACTCAGTTTCCTTTATTAACACCACCAGGTACGATCTCGGTACCCCGCTCTTTCTCGGCTGGGTGGGCTCATCGTTTCATTCGGCTGGCGGTTGCTTCTATTTGTGGTCCGTATGTACGCCGCTCTGTGGAGGAGAAGTCACGTGAGTACATACATAACTTGTAGCAGGAGAAGTGGATACATAACTCCAGTCTCCACTTCCCCTATAAATACCAAAGTCCCACGTGCTCTAGCAAAGTGTGCAGGGTTTGTTAATGCTGAGGAGGTTAAAGGTTAAAGAGTGCAGACAGTGGGCGGATAGATGGATTGCTTTACTAGAATGTGATTAGACTCATTTGTGTTTGTAAAGATTGGCGGCGCATCTCAAGTGAAGCCAAAATACCCTCAAAATAGGAGTTTACTTCTGATGCAGTTGATGTTACGTATAAAGAGCCAGAGTCTCCTAGTAGAAACTGAAATGATGTGTCTCTTTCGCAGAGTAATCGCCATCCCACCACAACCAGATCCTGAGCAAAACAAGTCCACCACAGCTCTGTCCACCGTGTCCGGGATCACCTCAAAGACCAAGCTGTCCTCTGTCTCCGAGCTGTCGTCCCGGTCTGAGCGCTCAGACATCTCCGACATTTCCTCTAGATCGGGGCGCACATCCAAATCTGGACGCACGGCCAAATCAGGACGGTCAACGAAGACGGGGCGCACCGCCAGATCGGCAGGGTCAAGGTCTGGGTCGGGGTCAGAATCTGGACGTTCTTCGCGGTCTAGCGTGTCAACTTTGTCGGGGTCGGGGAGCAGCGGCGGCAGCAGCAGGACGGTGTCGTCGTTGTCGTCGAGGAGTTCGAGGAGTGAGAGGACACCATTCATCAAGAACTCTTATATTTGAATAATCCACCATGCTAACACTTGTTTATAAATGTAAAGGACCTTTTTTAATGTGACGTGTCTGAACTAGCCTCTAAAACACAAAAAACAATTCTACAATACAAGATATTTTTATATAAACACCTCCATTCTGATCAAACTGTCCTTCTCTGTGTCTTTATGAAACAAATAAAACTCATCCAGACTAATGAGGTCTGGTTGACAGTAAACACAGTCTGCTTTGTTGTCATTTGCACCTTCACATACTCACTAGAGCAGCTGCTGTAGGAGGACAAGAGATCTACAGATTCACTCCACTCCTGTGGCTTTTCTTCTCTTTAACTACAGAGAATAATTTAAGACATCCAGCCTATCAGCTCACTTTTTTTTTGTTTAGCAATCTGTAGTTAGCTAGCCAGGACCCTTCAGACTGAGAGGATGTGGAGGGGACGTGCTCAGATCCTGGGCTTTGTGCTCTGCACTCTGGGCTGGGGCTTTGTGGGCTGTTCGCTTGCTATGGATCACTGGAGGTAAGAAAGGAAGAGTAGGAGTCGTTATAGAAAAGTGGCTCAGTTAGAGGATGGTAACTGAAATAACCATCATTGAGAAAAGTGCAGCGAATTTGGCTCTTTTGTCAACCTGATCATAGCCTTGAGCCAATGAATGATGTAAATCAAAACCTATTAAAGCTCCTGTGAGAAGTTTTTGATAGATTTCAAAACAGACGAAAATTAACATGATGTTCAAAAGCAAACGAAACCACTCATGACAGTATTCACAGTTTCTATAATTAAATATTTAATTTTTGTAACTGCTGTGAAGGGGTACTTTTGAGGGAAAAACACAAAACAATAGGGCTGGAGACGATTAAAGCGGACATCTATCAAATTAAAGAAAACAGACTAGAAGCTTTGGCAGTGTTACAGGAACCATTGTGTGACAATCATCTATATATGTAAATTTTGTAAAGGAGCTCTATTTGGTAATCTTCTATTTGGTAATCTTCTATATTCTGTCTCTGGAGGGTGGCCCAGCTTGGAGGTCAAGGCGGCTCCTCTGTTGTGGTGATAACTTTGTTCTGGTCTGACCTGTGGAGGGACTGCTATATGGACTCGACGGCTGTGATGAACTGTGTGGACTTTGGGGTTCTGTGGGCGGTCAAACGTGAGCACAAACTCAACTAACCTGCGACTGTGTCACACGGTGTTGATGAAATCACTGTGTGTTTTTTTGTTTTTAGCGTACATCCAAGCAGTCAGGGGGCTGCTCCTGATTGGCTTGTGCCTCGGCCTGATCGCCACAGTGCTCACGTTTTTTGGTATGGAGTGCACACGCCTCGAGAGCAACCAGAGAAGTAAGGACCGGATCTTAATAACGGCGTCTGTTTTCCATCTGATCGGCTGTGAGTATACTTGTTTACATGAACAGGACCTTAGCTGTGGTGGGAGCAGCTCCTTCTAACTGGTTCTCCTTGTTTTATTTCCCATGCGTCATGGGCTTCTCCCACATGCAGGTGTATCAGACATGGCTGGTTACTGTTTATATACAAACAGAGTGGTTGCAGCTTTTTTACATGCCAAAGCAGATCCAACAAAACTGAGGTAATGTGTGGTCTTTTAGTTACCCGCATTAGTTCTTTGTGCGACCTAAACCATTCTAACTAAGATGTGTTTTAACGATTAACTCTGCAGCTATGAAATTGGACCGCCCCTTTATCTCGGCATGGTTGCAAGTTTCCTGATTTTCCTTGGCTGTATCGTTCACTGCACAACTACATGCAGAGCCACCGACCCAGAAAGGTTCGTTTGTACATTTTTTTCTGACTAATACACAATTCTGTAAAAACTATTGATTCAAAGTCAAAGAAGTCACATTGTGGACTCCTAAATACTCACAAATACCCACAAATGTTCATCACGACAACGTTTTTCCTCAGCAAACATCCTGTGGTTCCCTTCCTCTCTGGAAAAGGAGAAGAAAAGGACATTTTTAGAGGGTATAAACACATCTCTCTACCTTCAAAAATGTCACATGGCTTCAGACACATCCCTTCCTACAAGATGGCCTCTGTCATAACAGTGTGACACTGAAAACTCACGTGGATTGGGCACTTTAGGGTTCTGTACAAGATCCGAGAGACAAAAAATTATATATACTTCACATTTTAATATTTGTTCTTATCTATTTTCGCATAACTAAAAAAGTCATATGCATGCAACTAAACCAGAGCCTAAATGGTGGCAACTACTTATTCAAATGTGCACTTTAAAAATGTCAAAAAGTCAAAATAAAAGTCTTTTAAATAAGCTTTTTCTGTGAAAAGTGGTGTTGAAAACTTTTACCTCAATAGTTAATATTTTAGCTTTGAATATTTAACACTTTCTTGTGTAAAAAGTACAGAAAATAACTTCTTTACTGGGTTAAAAGAAGGTGGAATGTTGTTTTCACATTATTGGTAATTAGTCCAAAACCCCCAACATGCTAAAAATACTCCTGTGTTTAAAGTAGAATTAAAGAATGATCTAATGCTGATTTATTTAACATGGAGGAAGTAAAGGCAAACATAGGGGCTGATTGAAAAGGCCCAGCAAGACGTAATCCTTCACCATGGTGGATGCTGATCAGGCAAAACCATCTAAAAGATAAGATGAGAACTTAGCCACTCATCCATACTGCTGCTCTGACAACAACACATCAGCAATGACTTAGTCAGAGAGCTCAGACGAGTTTCCCTGTGGAGAAAAGTTGTTCAAACTCGGATTAAACTTTCTACACTGAGCAGATTTTGATCGTTATATTGTGAGGAGAAGCTTTCGCCATGAAGTACAGGACGGTGGTGATGTACATGGAGATCGGCTGCTTCGTGTCCTGCCTGTGCGGGTGGATCTTGGTGTGTTCCACTCTTCCCACAGAGTACTGGACCTTCTCAGAGGTGGGGAGCATCGTGCTGACCACCTCCAACTACTACTCCAATCTGTGGAGGGACTGCATCTCTGACACCACGGGGGTCTCCGACTGCAAGGATTACCCCTCCATGCTGGCCCTGCCTGGTAGGAAACTCTGAAAACTTTATTTACTGAGCTCAGAGTGTGAACTGTAGAAATTAAGGGACTGTGTGTAAAGTATTTCGATGGTGATATAGTATTAGATCTCCCACTGAAAGAATACTCTCAAGTGCTGTCTGATTAGGCTTAAATTACAGCTTCTGTGAGGAGTTTTTTGACATGTATAAAAAAGACTAAAACTCATTTAGAGGCTTTTTTATGAGCCATAGACGTAAACAAGATTGATCATTCTTATGTCATAATTTTCTGTTCAAATCGGAGTGAAGGGGTAGCTGTCAGCTGAGTGGCCACAGAAAAGGCCCTGTTTCTACAATTTTCACCTAAATTAACAATGAATTATACATTTCACTGTCATGAGGCAGCAGGGTGAGATATTTTTATGAAATGTCACTTCTAAAGCATGTGAAATAGAAGATAAGCAGAGACTGCTTTGTCCACAGAGGGGCACCAAATTCACAAAAACCAAAAGTTCCCAACAGGAGCTTTAGGTTCTTGATAAAACAGCAAGAGAGTGTTTGACCAGGCAACGCTAGGGATCGAACTTATGACGGTCCCTAATCGCACAAAAATAGAGGATTTTTTTTGAGTGAGCCTTGAAAGAGAACAAGAATAATAAAATAAAGGTGTTGCTTCTTTTTAGGAACTTGATTTGTAAATTTTCACGCGAGGAAACTGGAAAAATAGGGAACAGTTTTTTAGAAAAAAGTTAAAACATGCACACAGTCCCTTAACATTTTTGGCTCAAGTTCTAGTTTTACTGAAACAAACACTCTTTATCCTCAAGTCAAATCTGTGAATAAAGCAGGGTTGAATCTGAAACTCTCATTTTGTTGATGTTAAGTTTTTTTGGCTTCATTTAAGCTCCTCTTTTATTTTTCTAAGCGTTCCTCCATGCCTGCAGAGCGCTCGCTGTCTGCGCAGTCATCACTGGCTTCTTTGGTGGTGTCCTCACGCTTGTAGGGATGAAATGCACCAAAATAGGTGGATCAGAGGTCGCCAATGCAAGGGTGACCTTTGCAGGCGGTCTGACCTACCTGGTTTCAGGTAAAAACAAATCATGTTAAAATCTTTAAGAGATTATTGTGGATTGAGGGTGTTCAACTTTGAGTCTGTTTTCAGGATTCTGTGGAATGATCACGTACTCCTGGTGGGCAAACAAAGTCATTACAGAATTTTTGGATCCAAACTTCAGGGCACAGAAGTGAGTATCTTTTTAAAAAGCTATAAAAATATTAGTAAATAGTAAATATATATAGTAAATATATAAGTCCCTGATGTGAAGAAATGGACGAAGTCAAACAAACACTCATGAAATACTTCAATATTTACGGCTAGATTTGAAATTGGAGCTGCAGTTTTTGTTGGCTGGGGAGGCTCCATACTTCTCCTGTCTGGAGGAACTGTGCTGACTTACTTCTCAGGAAAAGAAGGTCTACCAACAAGGTAAAGTATGATGGCCCTGATGGTCAAAAGGGCAAACATAAAAATAATACAGAGAAAAAAAATATTTTACTAAAGATCAGAGGAATTTAACTATATAATTTTTAATTTTTTCTTAATTATTACATTTATTTAAGTTCTTAATATTAGGATCTTTATTTTTATAACTGCATTTTTGCACTCTTTGTCTGTGATGCTGCTATCAATAAAGGAATATTCTATTCTATTCTATATAAAGAGTGTTACAACCATAGACTGTATATACTATGGACAACTTGGTTCCGCCTTCCATTTTTTTTTACAAATGTTTTTGTATGTGATGAAATGTTTCTGGTAACTTGTGACATATCCTTTGTGTTTCATGAAATAGTTATCATATAATGTACCAATTCACCTGTATCAACAGTTCTACATCAATGCCCCGAAGACCGCGCACATATGCCACCGCCCGGACCAGACGGACATACATGCTTCCAGCCTCATCCTCCAGAGTGACCCTGGTGCCCCCGCTGTTCTATGAAGGCCGGAAAAGCCAAGCAACGAGGGCGACAACGAAGACTGGTCGCACTTTCAGCAGGGACAGCTTTGTCTAGACTTTGTGCTGAAGAAGCACCTCAAGAAGACATTTCCAATCAAGATTGACAGATTTAAAATCTTACAACACTAATAACACTCAACATTTTTAAGATTGTATTTTTGTACGACGAATTTCTCTGTTAAGCTGACAAACTGAAACTCCATAATCACATGTGAAGTTGAGGTTAAACATGATTCACTCTATTGTAAAGGTTTGTTTTCTTCCTGTTTGACTTTTGTATGATCTCTCCAACTGAACTTCTTCAAAGTTGCCACAAGAGGGCAAATCTTCCAAAAACAGCCATTTTGTTACCTTGTTTCTCCCTCAGGTCGAATTTTATCTGCTTTATGATGTTAAGTTTTGTTCCTGATTTAAGTCGTAGTAAAGTTTAGAGTCTGAACTTTGAGTCTGAGTGTTTAGAGAACTGTCGTGATTAAAAGTGAAAATTTGAGACACTTTGATTGTTTACCCAAAAGCTTTTGGGCATCATTAGTCAGCAGTTAATTTAAGATACTTCAGATTGGTTCAGGACTACTCTAATATAGTAGTCCCTCATGGTGTTCTCCTTGGTCAAAGATTAAAAATCCTTATCCATATACACATTCTGACTTTTAAAGACTAGCTTAGAGAAAAGAGAGGCAAAAGTCTTTTGGGAAGATAAGTGATCATGTGATCCCTGTGGTTCAGGGGTTTGTTCATCTGCCTGGCACTCCTGAGGTTGTTGGCCTGAAAATGATCCACCTCTGGGTAGATTTTAAAGTTCTGTGTCTAGTAAACACACTGAAGCAGGAGACAAACAGGCTCTTCCTATGCGTCTACATAGCTCAGAGGGTAAAGAGACTGACTGGGACTCCTGAGGTCTTGGGTTCAAGCCTTACCTTATCTAGGTCAAGGTGACATTTAAAGTCTAGTGTCTAGAAAGTAAAGTGAGGTAGGAAAGAACTAGAATTCTCCTCTGTGTCCAGATAGCACAGAGGATAAGAAGACTGACTGGGACTCTTGAGACTGTTGGTTCAAGCCTCACCTTATCCAGGTCTAGGTGAAATTTAAAATCTAGTATCTAGAAAGGAGAGTGAAATAGAAAAAACCCAGAATTACCTCGTGCGTCAACGTAGCTCAGAGGATAAAGAGACTGACTCAGACTCCTGAGGTTGTGGGTTCAATCCTTACCTCATCCAGGTCTAGTTGAGTTTTAAAGTCTTGTGTTGACAAAGGAGAGTTAAATAGGAAAAACCCGGAATTCTTCACCATGTCCACATAGTTCAGAGGATAAGAAGACTGACTGGCACTCCTGAGGTTGTGGGTTCAAGCCCAACCTTATTCAGCTCTAGGTGAAATTTAAAGTCTAGTGTCTAGAAAAGAGAGTTAAATAGGAAAAACCCGGAATTCTTCACCATGTCCACATAGCTCAGAGGATAAGAAGACTGACTGGCACTCCTGAGATTGTGGGTTCAAGCCCAACCTTATTCAGCTCTAGGTGAAATTTAAAGTCTAGTGTCTAGGAAAAGAGAGTTAAATAGGAAAAACCCGGAATTCTTCACCATGTCCACATAGCTCAGAGGATAAGAAGACTGACTGGCACTCCTGAGATTGTGGGTTCGACTCTCACCTTACCCACAACTTTTTGAATGTCTTTTAGCCAAGGTAAGAAGATAAAAGCGGGCATTCCGCATGCCCTATTGTGGATCCTATCTAATGGCCCTGCATGGAAGTCTATTGGCACCCAATGGGGCCTGGTTTGATACCAACTCGTGGCTGGAGAGTATTAGTAACGATCAGAATTGGCCATCATTAGAAGTGATCATCACTTCTTCAGGAGTCTATACCGATTACGGTATAGAAGGAAATTTTCATCATTTCATTACTTTGAACTACCCCGTCACTAGCGGGAATCGAACCAGGGTCCACACATTGGGAGCCAATTGACTACCTTACAACGCTACAAGATAGGATCCACACTTGGGTATGAGCTGCGCGCGCTTTTACCTTGGTACTTTGGCTCCTGGACTTTAAAATTCACCTAGACCTGGAAAAGGTCAGGATCGAACCAACATCCTCAGGAGTCCCAGTGAGTCTCCTTATCCTCTGAGCTATGTGGACACACAGGAAAATCCTGTTTGTTTACTATTTAAGTCTCCTTTCTAGACATTAGACTTTAAATTTCACCTTGACCTGGATAAGGTCAGGATTGTACTCACAACCTCAAGAGACCCCTCAGATGACGAAACCCCTGAAAAACAAGGACCACATGATTCTCATATCCCCAAAAGCCCTTTCGCTGTCTTTTCTCTAAGCTAGCCTTTAAAAGTTGGAGTATGGATATGGATGAGGATTTGACTCTTTGACTGCAGGAGTTCCAGCCAGTCTCCTTAACTTCTGAGCCACATGGACACACAAGAGGATCCTGTTTGTGAAAGGTTTTCACTCTCCTCTCCTCTCTTTATAATATGATACAAATATCATTGTATAGTATGGGTTAGGTATAGGATTTTTATCATACTATACTGTCATTTATATCATACTATAATATTTTTTTTTACCATACTTAACTATGATTTTTTATCATGCTATACTATGACATTTTTACATTGTACTGTATACTGTCATTTTAATATCATACTAACTATACTGACATTTTTATCATGCTATACTACTATATTATTTATCACAGTTTACTATGACTTTGTATCATACTATACTATGACATTTTCTTATTATACTACACTATGACATTTATCATACCTTACTATGATTTTTTATCATACTATAATGACATTTTTATATCGTACTAAACAATGAAATTTTTATCATACTACACTTTGACATTTTTGTATCATACTATGCTATGACCTGACAGAGAAACTTCTCCCCACTTTTAAGGTGGACAGCTGTCAATCATCCCTTTCAGTCTATGCTCTCAACAGAGCGAGCAACACTGCCGCCCAGTGGATGGGAGAGGCAGTGTTCTCCACACATGAATATCCTCAACTTGTGTGTGTCTTGAAAACTGTGTTTGTCTCAAAAATAAACACACATACTGGTTGATCCACAAAACACATTTTTCAACAAATTACAAGTAAAATTGAAGATTTACAAGTCATGATAAATACACACACACAAATTAAAAAGAAAGTGAAAATCATGGAAACATATTTGTGGATCTGAAAATAACACTGGGAAATTGTGTATATATATTTGTGTGTAATTTTGAGACAAATCTCTCCCTGTATCTTGTCACTGACTGATCAGAGACGGAAAGTGAAGCTGTGGAGATAAATGGAGACTCCTCTTTTTTCATTAATAAAAAAATGGTTAAATGTTGAAGATTAATTACTGGAGACACCTAACGACTTATGAAAGAGGTAGTTCCACCTAAAGAGGGGTCTCTATATTTTTATAGTAGTGCAGGTGCATACAAGACTTCAAAAAAGAACGTCAGAGGTCTCAAACGGCCCTTTCTTATTGGCTTCATTTCTGTCTATAAATATGTTTTAAAATGATAATTATTCTGGAGTCAAGCTGTTATTGCATCATTACTTCTACTGAAGAAATCTTGTCCTATGTTCCTCTGTACAATTCCAAAAAAGATAAAAGTGAAAATTCTTGCAAGAAAACATGTAAAAGAAATTCGTTTTATTGCTGGTATAAATATTTCCTATACAAAATCACATTTCATCACTCAGTTTAATACATGAAGGAGTTTGTGTTAAAAGTACCTGAATTACAATTAAGTGAATATATAAAACACTGACATGGTCTAAGGCAAACAGAGATTTGGCAAAAGATTAAATATGGGACTAAAATTAAAAAGTGTGATTCCTAACTGATTTGTTAGACGTCTTCTACTTATTTCCCTTTGTGACGTATTGCTCTGAGAGTTTCATGGAGTCTTTAAAAATATAAAAACAGGCCATTTGGTGTCAGGTGTGAGTACCAGAGGAGGTGACTCAGGTGGTCAGACTGTCTGTGCTCCAAACGTCACCTGATCAGCTGTAGCGTTTATTGTGTTTATTGCTAATCTCCTCCGAGTCGCTGAGGTCGCTTAGTGAGCACAGGCTGCTCTTCAGAGTGCTGCCTGTTCCAGCTTCAGTCAGACCTGCAGAGGATAAAGCAGCTATGTTTAATTCACACGCAGAACAAATGAAGACGTCTCCAACACTGAGAGAAAAACAGGGGGAGTAACTGACCTGATTTGGGGGCCTTTCCTGTGGAGGTCCCCCACACGCTGGTGCTGGATGATTCCAGGCTCTTCCTACCCTGAGCTGGTTTGGGAACTTCCTGTTTGTCTTCTAAGGAGGACACCAGCCAATCACTGCTCTCCTCCAGATCTGTGTACTGTCCCCAAACACACAGAAACATTAAGTCGAAAGCTTTTCACCATCAGTGAAGTTTACCCAAATTTACAGACGTCTCACCATCAGCTCCTGAACCTCGTCCCTCCTCTCTGGTAAGATGCTGACGCCCCCTGCTGGCTTCTTCCCTCCTCTGTCGGCGAACTGCTTCTCCACTTTTTTGGCCAGGTCGCTGATTTTGTTTTCTTAAGGAGACACAGATTTCTTCTTACACACTGGCGGTGATGAACTGACTAAAACATTCGCAGCTGAGAGCTCAAGAGAAGACCCTCACCCCTCCCGTAGCTTTTCTTCTCCACATTCCCGTTCTGGTCTTTGTGACTCTGAAGCCGTCCTGGGTTGATCTCCTGCAGCTCGCTCACATCCGACCAATCGTCATCGTCCTCCTCATCGTCACTCTCTATCTTCGTGATGGCTGTCTTTGTCACGCTCACCGCTGTCTCTCTGCTGGTCAGAGTCTGCCGGGACTGGACAGGACTGGCTTTGCTGGCTCTGATTTGGACCGGACTGGCCTGGTTTCGTCTGGGCTGCGGTGATTTCCTGCTCTGGAGTTTTTGAGGTTGTTCCTCCTCCATTTCTGTGTCTTCTTCTGAATCCTCATCAGAGCTGAAAGGGGGAGTCCTGAAGAAAGACAGAATCAGTTTGTTTACATATGTTGGGTTGCTCTGAAAGGCAGGTGTGACTGCGTCGCTTTCACCTGCTGTGTTTGATTTGATTTGATTTGATTAAGATCCCCATTAGCTGTTACACTAGGTAGCAGCTACTCTTCCTGGGGTCCATTAAAAACAATAAAATGAACAATTACATCAATTAAAAATATTAATAGTCATAATAATGAAAAAGAGAAAAAAGTCATAACAACAAAACACTAACAAAATCAATACAAAACCATAATACCAATAACAACAAAATAACACTTATAACAAGTCAGATATAACAACCCTGTAAAACTTAAAAATATCCATGGACAGGGAGGAAATCAAAACTGATCATAATCATTGCCGATCAAGGCATTGATTTTCAAGATATTTTTTAAAACTGTGTGTGATTTTAATACTTCTGGCAATGTCATGTAACATGTTCCAAGAAAAATGGCTCTGTATAAAACTGTGTTTTGCATGAAGCATGATTTTGGAAAAGGTAAAACAAATACGTTGACGTGTATTCCTCAGCCATTCAAAGTAACTGGCAGCGTTTTTCTCTGTAGTTATTAGCTCTTTCTACAGGTAATCAAACCTGAATCATGCACAACTGTTATTGATCATCATTTCCCCAGTCAGTTAAGTTAGAGTGACCGTATTCTGACTTCCCAAAAAGGACATGACTACATGGAGGCGGGGTCACGGAGTCGCACGAAGTTAGTTTTGAGAGTTTTTTACGCGCTTCTAACTCAGTAAGTCCACGTGACACAAAATCGAAACTTACGTACAAAACGCAGATATTTTAAGTTTTTTATAAACTTCCCCGGACAAAGCCAGATAGCCTGGACACCCCCCAAAAAAGAGGACATGTCCCGGTAAAAGAGGACGTATGGTCACCCTAGTTAAGTACAATCCTGACGAAATGAATCTCAAAGAATTACATCCCTAAAAAAAGTGTCTCCAAATCTTTTTTAGTTTGTGTTTCCCTCACTTGGGAGTGAAGCTCCTCAGATTGGTCTTGGTGTTGGGTGTGGATGTCTGAGGATGGGTGGTGGTCCTGGTCCTTGGTGCTGGCTGAGGGGTCTTGGGCTGTTTCACTGCAGGTCCACTTTGCACCTTGGTTGCTCTGGAGGGCAGGCTGCTGGATCGAGGACGGATCTGCACCACTGGGATGGAGAAAAACACCGATCACGTGAATAGAATGAGCGGATCATTCACTGACAGTATGACCAAACTGTAACAGGTTAATGCTGCTGCAAACGAGCTTTATAGATTACACAGAGGACTGCATGTAAACACAGTTAAAACCAATTAGACACTCACAGTGAGAAGTACAGAGTGATACACAAGGCAGAGTGCAACTGAGAGAAATAATCTCAGAGGCTAAGAAGCTTGACGATGACTCACCCTGGACTGACTGTCTGGTTCTAGTTTGTGACTCGAGAGCGGGGTCGCTGCTTCTCCTCTGACCGCCTAACTTATCCTCCATGGTGCTCTCTATCTCCTCTCGTTGGCTCCAGAAGTCCGGTTTCCCTTTTGCATAGTCCTCTCGATTCGAATGCATCTTGGCCAAGAGGGAGGTCAGCTCTTTGTTCTTCAGACCGCCCTGATCCTGGAAAAAATGGCAAGAGATTATGAGCATTGGTACAAAATGATTCTAGAAAAGGGAGCTTTTAACACATGAACTTACAGGTTTGATGCCCAGGCTCTCGAGCCTCCGATTAACAGCCTCCTCCATGTTCGGTCGCATTTCTTTGCTTATGCTGGTGTTCCTCCTCAGGACACTGGAGGCTGCTCCTCTCTGTTTCTTCTCTGGCACTGGCTCAGTCTTCCTCTCCACGGGCTTCCTCTCAGAGAAGCTGCTCGAGTCTGCAAGAGAAGAAGTCTCACTCTATCAGAAAATTAAAGAACAACCAGTTAAATAAAAACAAAACAAAAAAAAAAAAACTGAGCATGCGTTTGCAAGTCTAACAGCAAGCTCTATGCCGAAGGTTGAGTGGAGTTGATGATGTGACTGCGGCGGAGCAGACAGAAGAGGAGAACGTCTACGAGATTATTCGCCACAAAACAGACATGATGGCAGATGGACGTAACGATGAACAGAGCGTGTCACAGAATATCACAGACCATGACCTTGCTTTCTAGAAAGCATTCACTTTCTTAGTTCATGCACTTCATGGAGAACCACGACTGATATTTTGTTCAGCCAAAATTATTGGGCTGATAATCTGTGATATGAAGGTATTGGTTGAAATGATTACCGACATGGAAAGATAGGGGTAAAAATATTACTGGCAAATATGAGTTCATGCAAATCATGAGGAGAGCTGACTAAAATATTATTCTGCCTGATTTATCGGGCCGATACAGGTAGATACAGGATGAAAGGGATGTTTTCCTGTATGTGGGTGAGGAAAAATGCCTATTCTGTGTAGCCCTGACTGATAAATCGTTTAGCCTAATTTGACTGATAAAGAGGTTAAAGAATGGGTTTCTAAATATTGGCAAATGTGAGTATATATACATGTATACCTGACTGATATTGGTCTCTAAAATATCCCATATCAGTCGGGTTCTATTGTCATGATATTGGATGATCTCAGTCTGATTGAAACAGACTGATGCATGCGTGCAGAAGCATGCAGTCGAGCGGCCCTGTTCTCTTCTAATCTCTTTTACCTTTCTCCTCTTCTGACAGCTCCTGAATAGGATCCAACTTAAGAGCAGTGACTGGCTCCTCTAGTTGAACAGCACACAAGTGACAAAGGTCATTTAAAGTGGGGTAAATTGTGTTAAAAGAGGTGGTGGTGGAGGTTGTGTGGGTACTATTGTATTAACCGCGCAGTGAACCTTGATGTAGGAAAGTGCGTGCCTGATTTTTTTTTTTTACATGATTGCAGCCACCTTACTTACCCAGTATGACTCTCTTTGGTTTCGGCTCTGGAGCTGGTGCAGTGACAATGACTGAAAAAAAGCAAAGAATGGGGTAAATGTGAAAGCTTTGGATAATACAGACCCTGATAAAGAAACCGAGGTCTTGTGATCACTTGCACGAGTCACTTGCAGTTTGTTGCATTCAAAAAATTAAAAAAAACTTTTTCTGAATCAAAAAAAGAAATCATCTCAGAATTACTCAATAATTTCTGGATCGATGCAACAATTATACAGTTAAATCATTTCTCTCATGAGCAAAAATATTTTCTCAATTTTCTAAAATAACTCTAAAGTTAAATCAGAAAAACTGGAAAGCCTCTTTGTCATTCCAGCGCCCACTTTCCTTTTACAGTCTTAAATGAATGAGTCTTTTCAAACAAACCAGTAGCCTTCAAGTTAATAGTATGCTTCTGGTTTCTTCAAATATTCATACACAATATAGTAGAAGCGTTTTCTGAAACAAACATAATAAGGAGATCCATACCTGGTACTTCTACTACTTTGGTTGGTGGATTTGAAGAGATGTTCCTTATCTGTAAGTTGAAAAAAAAAACTTTATCAACCCTTTTCATTCAAAAAAAGATAACAATTAAGCAAAAACTTCTCTCTTGTCCATCCAGAGTTCTATTTCTTAAGATTCGCCATGGCTACGCCTCGATTAAAAGTATGTTTAATAGCAAAACTAGCCATCTTAAATGTGAGTTTTCATCTTTTATAAGGAGGGCCATTCCTTTACTGAATTCAGACTCGTTACCTAATGTGTATGCATCTGCAACTAACAGAGAGCAGGGCAGCATGTATTCAGTACAACTGAGTGTAAACTCTTGATGTTTTCTCTCCCAAACTTCTAACAGATCTGTTAAAAAGTCACTATTTACATTTTATTTATTCAATTATGTCAGATTTCAAACACGACTTTGGATAGAAATCATGTCAGAAAACATACCGTGAGCTTTCAGCACTTAATCTTGTTTTCTCACTTTGCCCCACCATGCTCCCTGTCGAATGTACGGTTTCATTGTATCACAATACAGCCCAATCTCAGCCGGTGCAGCAAATACAGGAAATCCTGAACAAGGGCTAACCCTCCGCCTGGCTTCCTCTCTCGACATAATCACTCGAGGCGGAGCCGGCTGCACGAGTGTGAATCCGTACTAACCTGCTCCCTCTGAGCTCGGATGGTCTGCTCCTTCTCCTGCAGCCGCCTGTTCATGTCCTGCTGCAGCTTCTGGCTCCGCTCCTGCTGCTCGGACACGGACAGCTGCGTTCTGTTCAGCTCGTTCATCAACTGGAACACGGCGGGAGGAGGATACACTTTCAGGCTGTCTGATTTCTCAAATATCAACTCTTAGAAATCCTTGATGGCGAATAAACTATTGGGACTACTTGAGCTTACCTGGTTCTTTTCAGACTCATGTTGAGCTTTGATTTCCTGCAGCCTGGCTTCCCATTTTTTATCCTAGAGGAGAGTCTTTGTTAGTGTTAAATATTTTAAACATTAAAGCGTACGACCCCAGGTGTTTTTTGGACAACTTTTTCAAAGTTCTGTTATCCCTGTCCAAACTTTTTTTTAAACATGCTGCTGATATCAAATTTAAAATGCTGTATCTGATATAAAACATTAACATTTTCAATTTTCAGAAATATGATATGATGTCTTTGCATTAGTTTTAATTATTTATCGTTAGCCAACTAGCAAAATCTGTTTTAGTCAACATTTTATTTGGACTCAGGGTTGTAAGTCTGTCCTCCATACTGACCTGTTTCTTCAGTTGATGCTCCAGCTTTTGAATGGCCAGTGCTTGCATCTCTTTGTAGTTGTCTACTTCTCTCTCCGGCTGTGAGTGGACAGGGCTGGCTGCTTTTTCCTGCCTGGCTGTGAGATTCTGATTTGCTTCCTACGAATAAAAATACAAATGACAGACAGAAAAGGATATTAACGGGGGGAAAAAACACACTGGAACACAATAAAGAAGCTTATCTTTGTCTTCATACATTTAGAGCCTGAATGTTGCGGGTGTAGAGGAACTCCATCTCCCTGCGCATGCCGTCCCTGCTGTCTTCTATCTTTCTGTCCATGCGTGCCATCTCCTCAGACTTAAAGCGGTCGAGCTCTCTGAGGAGGTCTTTTTGCAGGGACTGCTGCTCTTTCTCCTAAAATCAGAATTTTAAGAGGAGTTAGTCACAGCAAAACCACAAGAACTTTCATGAAGTTGGATTTAGAGCACTGCATTTACTCATAAACTACTGGCAAATCTGCTAATCATCTTTATTTCTATCATAAACAAGCACGGAGGAGAGGAGATGCGGGGTGGAAGACAAGAGAGTGTCATCTTGTGAGGAAACTACTTCATTAGTAATTAGAAAGAGTTTTGGATGCACCTCACCTTACTTGTTTAGTTTGACCCCCAAAACAAAGGATGCTTGGATTATATAAAGTGTAAGTAAAATCCCCAGTTTGCCATCCAACCAAAAACAGTTCCAGTAAATCACCAGTTTAAGTACCAAAACGAAGTCAGAAACTGCTTCAGCCACATCAAAGCAGTCTTCGTTTGTCCTACCTGAGCTGTTTTGGCCTGCAGTGTCTGCTGCTGCTGTGCGATCTAAGGACCTTTAGTCACAGCAAAACCACAAGAGCTTTCATGAAATCAGATTCAGAGCACTGCATTTACTCATAAACTACTGGATTTCTTTTCACTGTCTGAACGCAGCTCTGAAGGACAAGAAAACAGAAGAAGCACAAATGACTAATTCATCCCACAGTAGATGTAACACCTGCACCTTACTTGTTTAGTTTGACCCCCAAACCAAAGGATGTTTGGATTATGTAAAGTGTAAGTAAAATCCCCAGTTTGCCATCCAACCAAAAACAGTTCCAGTAAATCACCAGTTTAAGTACCAAAACGAAGTCAGAAAGTGCTTCAGCCACATCAAAGCAGTCTTCGTTTGTCCTACCTGAGCTGTTTTGGCCTGCAGTGTCTGCTGCTGCTGTGCGATCTGCTCCTTCATCTAACCTTCAACTATTAAACACATTTCCTCTTTCTCTCTCTGTCTGTCCCTCCTTTTTACTGCTCTGTGAACTTTCTGACTGGTATACTTACGGTTCTCATACTCGTCGGGGTGGCGGCGCTGCATGTGATTCTGGAGGAAGGAGGAGTTGAGGAAGGACTTGTCACATTCTGGACACTACAAAGAACAAACACAATGAAAGTATTAACATATTATCGTGTGACGTTTTCAAGAAGAAGAGAATGATATTTTTTGAGTACCAGCAACCTTTTTGCATGAACTTCCTACTTGTTTCTGCTTTTGAATGTTTTTTGTCCAAACTTTTTTTTTTTACTATGTGTGGTATTTTGAACACTGAAAACACTAAAAAAAAAACATTAAGTAAAAAGCAAAATTATCTTTATTTTTCATTTTCCCATTATTTCTCAATTGTGCAAGTAATTTTTAAATCACAAGAATTTAAAAACTATTTTTTTTACATTAATTTAAATTGATGTAGTCATGGCGCTGCTCTGTGGCGACATGCAGTGAGTGGTGTCATGTGAGTGGTGTCGTGTTTTGTTCTGTTCAAATGTGCTGTCCTGCGTAAAACTTTTAGACCTGACACAAACTTTTTTTTGGACCATGGCCTCCACAACTTGGATTGTTTTTGCTGCTTGTTTTGTCCTGTTTGGTGGACTGTCTGAATCACGGAATGCCTCACCAAGAACAGGTCCAGGCGGTCGTTTGTACCACAGGTGATTTTACAACTAAATAAACTAAAATAGATTGTGGGCAGCTTTACTCTCTATTTTTAGATACTGGTGCAGCTGGTCTGAGCACAGATACATTATTTAAAGACTATTTATTGAAATATTTTTTTGAATTGACAAAGTACAATACAGTTGTTTTTTTATATTGTCTTTTTTGAGTTGTTTTGTTTTGTTTTATATGGGACAGTGTATGGAACTGTGTATGTGTGCTGTCTTTGTGCATTGTTTTTAACTTACTGCAAATGATCTTCCTCACGGGGACAATAAATTCAACTTACCTACGTACCTACCTACTTACCTACCAATTGTTTCAGCTTTTGACAGTCATTACACAAAATGACAAGTGTAACCTGTTACAGTGTATTGGTGTATCATGTTTACGAACAGCTGAATGTCTACTATGAAACAGGGAAAGTTGTTTCTTAGTTTCTGATTACTCTCTGAACACAATCATCCTCCGACTTCAGTGTTACAAAACAGACAGATAGCATGAATGATGCTGATTTGTTCCCTGCGGCAGGCGTCGACACACTCCAGTTCTCTGACACTGAGCAGATAGAATAGATGCTGCTTCTACCCTACACACACACACACACATCACACGCAACATTAAATAAACCCTGTTGCTTGCTGTGGCCTTGACTTCATTCAATGTTAAACCTAATGTTACTGATATCTCCTCACACCATATGGTGGCAGATACAAAGGCAGCTGTGACAGGGTGAAGTGTGATAACACAATTACAACAATTAACTCTAAAAAATATAGAGTTAAATTACATTAGAGCCGTGTATTTAAGAGGCGATTTGGAGTCGATCTACGAGAAGAAACAAATTTCAAAGGTCCCCGGAGGAGCCGTGCACATGGTTCTTCTATCAATTATTGAGCCGCCTCTGTTAGCCGAGCTTCAAGCGCACACCTAGCAACCACATGCTGTCATGACACACTACAGCTGTTGCCTTGGAAACCGCCTGGCCAGGTCAACTGCAGCCTTGAAAAGCAGGGGGAGATTTTTGATTTGTGCCGTAAATAACCTCATGGTGGGCTATTTGTTCCGACAAGAAAAGAAGCAAACAGGTCCAAAAGAGAAACAAAAACAGTATCGAATATGAAGAAAAAACACATAAATTAATACTTTTAAAGATAAAAGTGCCCTTTAAGGATGTGTGTTCATGAAGGTGGGGGAGGTTGGAGTCATCTTGATCTCAGCATTTGTCACCCTTTTGTAAGTAGATTACAAAAAAACCTAATAGCCGCCAAATTGCACCATCTGTCACATTGCACTAAATCCTTTTCTTCCACTCTGAGAATAAAGCTTATTATAACCATACTACGAAAAGGCAGGCAGGTTTTTTCAAGTGTACAACAACCATTTTGGAACTATAAATGAAGGTCTGTTTTTTTTTCTCTGTGTGAAATGCACAAAGCCGAAGCTGTGAATAGATTTTGTGAACAATGAGAGAAAAGGGGGCCAAAGAAGGAGGAGGAGGAGGAGGTGAAATGTGCGAAATGCAAATTCTAACCCCCCTCGGAGTGACCATTTAGCATCCCAGCAGTACCTTGTGGCTGCTGATGATCCTTGGCGCGAGCAGGGACTGCTGCGTGCGGATAACCTTCTTCCTCTGCTTCAGCTCTGCAGTCAGCGCCTTCACCTTCTCCTCCTGCTTCTTCTGCTGAGCCAGCAGCTGCTCGCGCTCCCCACCAGCCGCTGCCAGCCTCTCCTCTGCCGCATGCAGGCTTAGAGTGAGAAACTCCTGGCAGTGGAGGAGCCACTCCACCGTGAGCTGAGCCAGGCGCAGGAGCTTGACGAGAGCCGGGTCCACAGGGCTCTGGCAACGCTGGCATCGCTCGCCTTCTAAGGTGCAGAAGGTGACAGTGCTGATGTGGTCCTGCAGAGCGTCGACATCCAGCTGGCTCACCACAAGGTCGACATCCACGGCGTTGATGCGCCGCCAGTCCACGCTTTCCCTGCGAGGTCGGAATTTGAAAGGGAGGATGGTGGAGGCTGCACTGGACGGAGTCATGCCTGGTGCAGATTGGCCGTTTGCAGAGTGCTGGCTGAGCGGTGAATTGAGGAGGGATGGGATCCCTGCTGATGAATGGGTCCCTTGGGTGTCACTGGTGTAGGGGTAGTAGACTCCGTTGTGGAATGGCTGAAAACAAAAGAGATGCAAAACCTTCATTTTAAGGCACATATAAAGCAAATCAAGCAACATGAGAGGAGTGAAAGAAAGACAGCCACTAGCATTTCCTTTAGCAGTAGCAGACAGGTCTCCATCTACCTATAATGATGCTGTCCTGACGCAGCCGTGTCCTCCTTACCATCTTCGACCGATTTTGCCTTTACAGGAGAGACAGAAAGAAACCGAAGCCCCCCTGTTGTCGTCTCTCTCCGGTTCCGCCCCCCTCATACAGCAGCGCAGCTCAACACGACAACGCCGGGGCTTTGCGTCCGCCGCGTTCCCATGGAGACAGAGACTCTTGTCCCTAAGGAGAGAGGTGTTATCATAACAGTGCAGGTAATCACCAAATGTTGCCCTACAGTGAGTACAAGACGAGCATGTCTCTCTGGGGGACGTCAAAAAAGCTTTTTAAAACACATGTAACCCTTTATTGGCGCGTAAACCTACATGTGAAACAACATAACTTACCTGTGAATAACCGCGAGGGGTTTTCAGTTAGCTTTAACGGTTACCCTGAGTGCGGCTAATCTCCTGGCATCACGTTTCCGACACATTCCTTCGTGTTTGGGCAGGTTTTATTGTTTTAATCACCATACCTACATCTACCTGAGCCCAAACACACATGCACGTGTTTGAACTCGTCTTAGCAACAGAGGAGATGCCCTTCCATTGACTAAAAGCGCAATACGGCCATTTTTTCTTTATAAATTCAGCTTTTATGGAGGCGTGAGGTGAGCTAACGGACACGTTAAAGTGAACGTAAAAGAGCAAAACATGAAGCAGTTTTAAAATCTGTTTTCCATCACAAACGGCTGTGTTTGCAAGACATCTAGTTTTGTGTTGAAAATGAACGTAAAAACACTAACCTCAGGGTCTTTTCAGTGAATTGAGAGCCCAAAATAAAGTTTTCTTTCGACGGTACCCCAGGCGGTTTGAGGGTGACGTAGCAGCTGGTCTCCACATTCCTAAATCCCTGCAATCAAAAGAATGGCCTTCAAGTTACAGGAAGTAAGCAACTAAACTTCCGGTGATTCCTTTCAAAATATAACGTAGGTAACTTACGCTGTAACTTTAAAACTCATCAAAAACTTTAATCTTCGTCCCTGCTTGCAGATGGTAAAACTAAACTTTTCAAAACTGTAAATAAGTGTTATAATCAGGGGTGGATCCAGGAGGTAGCAAAGGGAGGCCATGCCCCTACCCAGAGCCAGCCAAAGGCATAAGCCAACTAGGCGCCAATAGGGGGCCCCTTAGGATCCTTACACGCCGGGGCGACACGAATATAGATCGCGAAATTACGAAATATCAGGAAGCCCGATGCGATTTTGCAACTTTCCGGGGGGGAAAGAGGCATCCCAAGGAAGACTTTTCGGGGGGAAGGTCCTGCCTCCTTCGCCTCTGATTGGCTGTCATGATAGCATGTACTAAGTCGGGGCCAGTACTAGATCAGCACATGAAACTATGGTAACAACCATTAGCTTACATTAGCACAAATGAAAGTTAAAAACAATGACGTTTAGCAAACTGTTAAAGCACACAAACTAGCGTCATATGAGAGACCAGTCACTATGACTCTCCACAAGTTGTCCTTCAGGTCGTTATCTTTGTTTTGTTTGTGTCTTTTATCAAAAAGCACTCTGTTCTACAACATGTAAACAATCAACCAGTCAGCCATGTTGGATATACCAGTGAATCAGACGTTGCAACAACACGAAATCTGATTGGTCAGAAGAAGACACACAGTATGCGAAACTTTGGAAAAATCAACCATGATCTGAAAAATTAAATGCCGCAATATCGCAGAACAGGAAAATGTCCCTGATGTGAACACTTGTATTGACAGGATACGGGTTCGAAAAAAATATTGACGTCCAAAATAATTGCACAACAAATACGCTCCCGGTGTGAAAGGACCTTAAGTGAACCTAGCGCCAATAGGGGGCCCCCAAGAGCAATCCAAAGAAGAAAAAAAAATATTTTTTTTTATTTTTTGCATGAATGAGTGATGCTTTCTGTATGATCAAATATATTATTGTAAAAATAAAATAAAGTAAGAACATATTAGTGCTGCTGCTGATGTAAGTCTATGATTCTTCGTGCTGATATGCTGAAGCTCTGCAACTGTTATGTGCCTCCTGCTGTGCAATGTGCATCGAGCATCCAAAGTGCAGGTAGTTGTGGGGCAAAACAATGTGGCAAAAAAAACCATATCCTTCAGGAGCAGAGAAAAAAAAGAGGAAGAAAGGGGAAGAAGAGAAAAAAATGCCAAGATAAAGGTATGTTTGCATGTCATGGAATGTTAAGAGATTTGTGAAAGTGTGTGAATGATCAACAATCAATGTTATTGGCAGAAATAGAGGGCCCCAAAATCTAATTTTGCTCAGGGCCCCATTGAGGCTTGTGCCGGCTCTGCCCCCACCCCAAGTCTGTCCCCATCCCTTAATCATAAACCATTGGTTATCTGGCTTCACAAAAGCAGGATTAATATGAAAATCTCCTATTAAAGATGTTTTATGCGATTATTAAACTTATAAGAACTTATTTTATTTAGTCTGCGAAGAGACCGATCTATTGCACTCTGTAAATATAACCACAAACATTTGTGTTTTTATTCAGTTTTAATACTGAGTAGCCTCTACATGGCCAAACCTTTACTTTAAAGACAGACTTCTACACTTCCGGTGCCGTCGTTAGAAACATTGACGCTCTGTGCAGGAGGATAGGGGGAAGGGAGAAGCAGACCGCTGAGCCTTAAAATGGGGAGTCAGGAAAACAGGGTTGGAGAAGTCTCATTTTTGTTGAGGGCTTTTCCTAGTAAATTGAAAGAAACCGGATGCAGTTACAGGGTTAAATGCGTGAAAGAGATTAAAAATTTAGTGGAGTAAAGTTCAGGGCAAAGCAAATGAAGATTTTAAAAAGTTGGAGATGTTTGAATCTTGAGCTCCCCCCTGTGGTTGAAATATTCAATAAGCACAAGTGTGCCTGTCCTTAAAACCATGTCAAAACAACGTCAAGTCAATGCTCAGATGTCAACTATACAACTGTTGAATGTCAATTTCCTTTTAATATAAAAAAATACGTTGTGAAATAATTAACCATGCTTTATTTACAACCAGGATAACGGTTGTAACATGCATTCATAGCTCATTTAAATAATAATCCAAATAATAAAAATATCAATAACTTCTTTAGTTTTTAGTTTGATTTATATGATATACTTTTTGCCATAAAGGCTTTACTATTTTTTTTTTGGGTGGGTGGGGTTGGGGGGTGGTTGTGGGGGGGTATTTCTTGTCAACCTTGCTCAGTTTGTTGTCATCATCACATCCTAAAATATACAACTAAAGATAATTAGTTAACTTAGCAACTCTTTCTATTGGCTGTCACATTTTTTATATGGTACAATGCTGCCATCTGCTGAATTTTTTGTCAAGTTTTTGGTCTACATTCCCCCCTGCTTTTATATCTGGTTATTCATTATAATTACTATAATTATAATTATAATTATAATTATAATTATAATTATAATTGTAATTGTAATTATAATTATTAACACTGCTTTGTTTTCTGTTAAAGTCTTAAAATTCATGAAAAAACACAAACATTTGTGACCATCTTGGGGATATTAGGCAACTCAACACAAGATAATGAAAATGGACAACTGTAATTACTATTTATTTCAATCACACAAGTAAGGTGAAGGGATTCAATTAAATATGGAAAGTTATTACAACTGTTAAGTGAATTCACATTTGACTGATATGACCACAAATAAGTTTAGAGGAGCATATTTAATTTTGGCTATAAATCGTATTGAACTATTTTAGTGATTTATTTCATATTTCGTGCCGTATTGAATTACCTAAAGTCGTTGTTAATGTGGTGAAAGTGACATTATTTGTCCAGCAGATGGTGAGCGCACACAAAGTTCTTGCTAAAAAAATACATATTTATTTTTTTAAAATTAAAAACGGAAATGTTTTTCATGCAACTGTGGCAAATAAAAGTACTACCTAAGAAAATAACTAGAAAAAATAAAATAAAAAATCTTAATCATTACTTAGTGTTAACTTTTTTCTACATTTTTAAACGGAACTTGACATCAGGACTACATTTCCCAGAAGCCAACGCGGGACGAGAGCAGACGTTTGTCAAAATTCAACGCTGCAGATGAGGCTCACGAGGTATGGATCATCTACTCATTTTGTGTACCGTTAAAACACCATTATGCTTCATTGAGATCAAAACTATCTTTTTGCTTATTGAATATGTTCCTAAGTACTTGATTTTTAAGATAATACTGCTGAAGCATGCTAACAAAGACTACGAGAATGCATTGTTTTTGCTCTTCAGAAACTAGCTCGTTAGCTATTACTGCATACCTGTACTGTAAATTATGGGCTGATTAAGTGATTTTTACGCATGTTTGAATCGTTGACACTCTAAAATATACAAAAAAAAAAAAACAAAGTACGTGCAGGTTTAACGGAACCCTGAGGAGAGCTTTGAGTGTTTGGTATGCTGTCATGTGGAGCTCTTGAACGCTCCCACTCTGTTACCCAATGGCCGGCTTTTGTAACTTGTTTGTATTGCCTTTAAAAGTCTCACCACGTAGTTCAGGCCACGTTATCCATTCCCAGAACAAACTGTGTCTGCTTGCGAGTTTATTAAGCTCTACATTGGTGACCAGAGAACACTTGAGGAGGTTTTTTTCTGTTTGCTTTAATACAAGTTTTGTGACTGATCAGATATCCAGTATCTGAAATTGTGAGAATACTCACTAAGATCAATCACCAAATGATTCAATATTCAAAAATGTAATAAGTATGTCAATATGTACTCTCAATACTTGGTTTGATGTCCTTTGATTATGTGTCACTGGAGCCCCAGTTTGCATTAGTAGTGGCCTTTATTGTGGGTCTCTCATCTTCCTCTTGACATTGCCCCATAGCTTCTTTATTGGGTTCGTCATGACCTGGCTCAGGTGGTCACAACAAATAGAAGAAAGGAAGACACACTCCATGTATAAACTCCCAAACAACCCCTTATTAATTCAAATTGATCTGAATTAGAATCTGTAAGATATGAGGTGTGTAAATCTGTATTGTGTAAGGTGTGCATGGGTGGAAGTAGGTGTATGTGTGCGACGGTGATGTAAAGAGAAAACAAACTACAGCTAAACCAAGCCAAAGCCAAACCGAACCAAACTTAGTCAAGACAAACCAAGTAGAACCAAAAAGAGCCAAGTCAAACCAAATCAAACAAAGCCAAGTCAAACCAAACTTAGTCAAGACAAGCCAAACCAAACCAAATCAGCCAAAGCCAAACCAAACCAAACTTAGTCAAGACAAGCCAAACCAAACCAAATCAACCAAAGCCAAACCAACCAAACTTAGTCAAGACAAGCCAAGCCAAACCAAGTACATGTAAAGGCAGTCCGGAGAAACAAAAAAGGGAATTGCAAGTAACTGTTGGAGCTTAAATACTCCCAGCACTCAGGGCCCAGGTGTGCATAGTTGCTCTGATTAGGGTGCAGAGAAGCCAACCAGACACACTTCCTACAGCAGCATGACCCTATAGGGCAGGGGTGGGCAATCATGTGCCATGGAGAGCTGAGAGGCTGCAGGTTTTCTTTCCAACCCAAAACTCCACCAGGTGATTTCACTGATTAGTCCCTGCTCTCTGCTTGGAGGGAAGGTAATCAGTGAAACCACCTGGTGGAGTTTTGGGTTGGAAAGAAAACCTGCAGCCTCTCGGCCCTCCATGGCACATGATTGCCCACCCCTGCTATAGGGGCATCACAGGTTAATGTTAGGCAAGTTGACTGCACAGTTCAGCTCAAACCATGGTTAGCAAATCATGTGGTTGTAGTTTTGGTGCTGAATCCTGCTGAAAAAGGAAATCAGTGTTGCCATAAAGTAGCAGTAGGAGTAGTGCTGGTGCTGTGGGCAGGTGATAAGTACGACTTGAAATTGAAACCAGCATCCCAGTGAATCCTGTCAGTGAACAGACACATGAATCTGTTAATAGGTGACTTTGGACTTGATGAATAGTGGACCAGCCAGGAGTCTTTCCTATGATTATGACTGCTTGTTCTGAACTCTACTTCATATGTTGTTTTGATGATACTCTTATTTATACTTGGATGCAGCTGTGCTTAAAAGACAAATAAGCTTCAGACTGAACAGCTGTGGAAATGTAGTCCACTCTGCTCATTTCAAGTGTGTTTTAGTCTGTCACATATTTGCCCCCAAAGCACATAACACACATCCATGCTTGAATGTCAGCTGCACAGTGTCAATACAGTCCAACTAACTGACAACATTGTTATCGTTTCAGGTTAACAATGACACCTGTGCCTGCCGCTGGATAGCCTTCTGTTGGAAAATGAATGGAGCGAAGGTCAACATTTTCTCTTACATGCAAATGGAAGCATGTAGCAATTTAACTAACCTGTCGTCGCCTTGTTAGGTGATCCATTCTTAACATTTCAGAGTGTGTGTGACACGGAGAGGCAGAGGAGTTGAGAGGAGAGCACAGTCAGATTGAAGAAGTCTTTAACCCGTTTTGAGTTGAAATCCTACAGGGCATTAAGTCAAAACAAATCCTCACATGTTGAACTGACAGAGCAAAAAAAAAACAACAACAAAGTTACACTCTGCATCCGAGAGTGGTCCACAAACAAGCCGACACAATGGTAGAAGATGATGCTGCACAAAGTGGGGAGGAGAAGATGGACTTGAAGGTACCTGCGTGTGAAGACAGCGCACCACTTGAAGAGGGGGACGCAGTTATGGTTCCGTCTCCCTCTGAAGAGCCCCTAGAGGAAGCCAAGGAAGCTAAGGAGCCCAGAAAGTGGAAGTGGGCCGTGATATTCTTGTGTTTCTATGGTTTTATGGCATCGATAAAGCCCGGGGAGCCCTTTATTACACCATATCTGCTCAGCCCTGAGAAGAACTTCACAAGGGAGCAGGTTAGTAAGCATCCTCAGAGGGAAGTATGTCTTTCTAAATAAATTAACCACATATGAAATTATGAAAGTTAGTCATAAAAGCATATGTGGATATAGAAACCTGTAAGCATTTCTCCTGCACTCATAACACAGCAGAAGTTAAGGTGCCTCAGGGGGATTTCGCTGCTCCACCGTACTGTGGACAAAGTTCACATTCCTCCTAAGTGGGTCAGTGTAATAGGCTTGTGGAGGTTTCTAAACGTCAAAAAATTTCTTACAGGAGCTTTAAAGACACATTATTTAAAAGGAAACCTGTTTTAAATCAATATTTTTTTGTGTCATGTTGACCTGCTTTATAACGTGATATATTGTTATCTACAGCTCTGTGATGGATGTAATTAATCAATCATTACACCATCAAGGTCAATTGTTGAACAGTTTAGAGAGATAAGTTCATGGTCATATGTTGAAAGACTTTTACCGGTAGCCAAATGCTGAATGTGCAAGACTGGGGGAGAGCAGGACTTGAAAACAAAACATTACCCCACATTTTATCCTGATAAGTTCATCCCCGAATTGTTCGACTTATTTGTTTGCATCAAGGTTCTCTGTCATACATTATCATCTGCGCTAACAGGACGTTTTATTGCATCAGTGGGAACATGGTACCAAGATTATAAATGTGTAAAGTGCATACATTAAGTTCTGTTTGGTCTTTCTTGTATCCTTCAGGTGACCAATGAGATCACCCCTGTGCTGACCTACTCCTACATGGCCGTGCTAGTGCCGGCCTTCCTCCTGACTGATCTCCTGCGCTACAAGCCGGTCCTGATCATCCAGGGCATCAGCCAGGTGATCATCTGGCTCATCCTGCTCCTGGGCAGCAGCCTCCTGCAGATGCAGTTCATGGAGTTCTTCTACGGCATCACCATGGCGTGCCGCGTGGCCTACTCCTCCTACATCTTCTCCCTGGTCAGCCCAGCCCTCTACCAGCGCGTGGCCGGGTACTCGCGCTCCTCCGTGCTCCTCGGGGTGTTCACCAGCTCGGCTCTGGGACAGATGTGTCTGTCTCTCGGCAACATCTCCTACTACACCCTCAACGCCATCTCGTTGGGCTTCGTTAGCTTCGGTCTGCTGCTCTCGATGTGCCTGCCATGGCCCAAACGCTCTCTGTTTTTTAACCGGAGTCAGGAGCAGAAGGCATTGGCTGCTAAAAAATCCGAATTGGACAGAATGAATCCGAAAGAGAGCAGCACGCCAACCTCGCCGGCTTCCCCATGCTCATCATCGCGCTGGAGTGACTCGATCTTGGTGCAGATGCTGTTGGAGTTGAGGAACGTTGTGAGGTTGCCCAACCTGAGGCTTTGGTCGCTGTGGTGGATCTTCAACTCTACAGGGTACTACCTGGTGCTGTTCTACGTTCACATCCTTTGGAATAAAGTGAACTCCGCCAATGAGGACAAGCACGTCTACAACGGGGCAGTGGAGGCGTTATCGACCCTGCTGAGTGAGATATTTTCTTCTTCTGCTGCCACAGGGTGTTCAAATCGAAGCCGTGCTTTACCTACAGTGCTCTTGCATCGGTTTAGTTTCAGTCTCACAGTCCTCACATGCTTGTCCTTAACTCACTGTGCAACTGAAGCCTCAGGTCTATTTTTACATGCAAATAATGGAGGCGACTCCTCATAGAGTACCAACAACAAAACATCAGAAAGCCTTGAAAATGTGGGTTTTTGTCTCGTTGAAAGTGTCTTTCCTGCACAGTGTTGCATTTTGCAGAAATCCCGATCAAGTGTAAATAAAACTGGATCAAACCCTCAGTATTAAACCTTTTTACAGGTCATGATCAGCAAAAAGTGCTAAAGTACTAAAAACTCAATGGCAAAGTTGATTGATTCCAGAGATGGAGGTTTAGGGAAAAAGGATCTGATTTGATGACGAAAATATGCCAAGAATTTGATGTGTCAGTGCCTCTTTGTCAGCTGTTGTCCAGAGGTCGAGCGACTAATCTTCCATTTTTATTGTGTGAGGTGATTACGTCAGTGTTGGACCTTTAAACGGCTGTAAAGCAAAGTTAGCAGTTTGTTTAAATAACCCTTGGGGCATGTGAGCAGTAAAAGTTACGTCCTAATAAAATCTGACAGTTGCTGAAACGATGACATAAAAGACTGATTGAAGACCCCTGATAAGTGATGATTGTCCATTTTTGAAACTTGAATCTGAATCAGCACTTGTGTCTCTCTGCAGGTGCTTTGACATCCTTCGCTGCGGGTTTTGTGAAAATCCGGTGGAACGTCTGGTCTGAGCTGGTCATCGGCGTCATCACGGCTGTGCAGGCCGGTCTGCTGCTCCTCATGCGCACCACAGACAACATCTGGCTCTGCTACGTCGCCTACATCCTCTTCAGAGGCTTCTACCAGTTTCTGGTGCCCATTGCAACGTGAGTGCCAAACAAACATTTACCTTTAACTGTCTCGTCTGCGTGGTTCCTGCTGATCATCTTATCATCTCTACAGTTACCAGATCGCCTCGTCACTCACCAAGGAGCTTTGTGCCTTAGTGTTTGGCATCAACACATTCCTGGGGACCATCTTGAAGAGCATCATCAACCTGGTATTTATCGACAAGAGAGGCCTGGGGCTGGACGTGCAGTCTCAGGTAAACCAGTCATTAGATCATTCAGAAACTAGAAAAGCATTCAGAGAGCGCAGACCTCCACCAAGCAGCTCATGTCCCCCCTTATATTGTGATTCACACCAAAACTTTTACTGTTACGTGTCTTCTATTAACGTTTATTTGTGTTTAAACTGGTATGTTCACTGTTCATAATGTTCCTAAAACAAGGAATGCCCTGACCCAGATTCGAACCCAGGACCTTCTTACTGTGAGGTGACAGTGCTAACCACTACACCACTACACCACCTATCTGCACCACTGTGCCGCCCATTGGTTATCTTTCAGCATTAAAAATTCCAACGACACCCTTATTTTTGTGTGTTCCGGATCACCACCAAAATTTAATGGAATCCTCCTGGGGCTGAGACGCACCTCTGGTGAAAATTTCAGGTCAATCCGTCTGTTACTTTCTCCGTAAAGTTGCTAACAGACAAACAAACAAACCAACAAACAAACCAACGCTATCGAAAACATAACCTCCTCGGCAGAGGTAATAACTGAGGCAAAGACAGTGTATAAACATGGCCACTATGCCTCCACCTCCTCCTGTTGGACAATTGATTTGCCACAAGACAATAACTCCAAAGCACAAGAAAAAAGCTTGAGTGTACAATAGGGCTGAACGATAAACTGCATTTGCAATTACATCCCGATATGATGAAATGCGATTTACTAACCACAAAGGCTGCGATTTTGACTGGTCACGTGACTTGCGAGCGGGTAGAGAGAGAAGTCAACACTGCACTCTATCAATCAATCAATCAATCAATCAATCAATCAATCAATCAATCAGTCTTTATTTATATAGCACTTTATATAAATAACATGTAACACAAAGTGCTTTACACAGAAAAAGGAATAAAAGAGACAAAGAATACCCAAATTTACCCAAGATTAAAAGAATACCCAAATACCTCTATGGCAGTATGGCCTTATTCCACTACAGAAGCTGATATTGCAGGAAGTTTAGTACCAAAGAGGGGCAGCATGGCAGTTGTGTGGATTTTTTTTGGGCTAAAAAAGATGCCGCTGCGCAACGTGTGCAGAACCTGTTGTGTTACTGTTGCTACATCAGGAGGCAACAAAGCCACGTACAATAGCTGAATGGCTAAACCCCTAGCGACCACCGCTTCAACTTCAAACTACATCTGCATAACGATGGAAAATGCATCCAATAAATAGACCCGACTCCAACGTTTTGGACGCCGATTACAACTCGCCATCGGTACATAGATTGGTATCATGACGTATATAAGGGCGGGTGATAGTGTGTGAGCAGAGAGCCTGTTTGTGTGTGTGAAATGATAATTGCCAGAAAGAAAAATGTATGAATAATTAATCTGATATTGTTTACTATGATACAGATTGATTTATTGTTTTTGTTGGTTGAAAAATACATTGAAGGAAAAAAAAATTGCTTATAAATTATTTTCCAAGATTGTTCAGCCCTGGTATACAAGATGATGATCTAGTGGGAACATGTTATCATGTAACCGCAAAATAACGACTTAGGTGCACAAGATGGGAACTCACTCGCAAGATTGTTGTATTCTCTGAGCAAGATGATCAGGATTTCATGTACAAAATAATGTGTTCCAACAAGATGTTTTCAAAGTTGTAGTACCTGATTGACGTCTGTTGTTCCTCCACAGTTCCTGGTGTATTTTATTTACTTCACCATCCTCACCACGGTCTATCTCGTCTGCGCCGCTGTGGTCATCATCCGCCACTACAGAAACCAGCCCAGGGAAGGAGGCGGGGCCAACGAAGAGGCCACACCCACAGAACTCTGCCCCGTGGCTTCCAATTCAGAGGCGGAGTGTTTGTCAAACGGCAAAAGTGCCAAAGTTTAACAACAAAAGGGATTTTTTTCTCACCTTCAGTGGATCCTTGAGCTCTCCATACTCTGCTGGATTAAGATTTCGTGCTCTTGGATGATGCTGGAGATTACTCTCAACTATTAAAGTGCCTCATTAGTTACCTAAAGCTGCTGCACTACAGATGGACAGGCTGCAGGCGCCTTTGTAGAGGTGGTCAATCAAAATTATGTCCTGCATCCTACAGCCTGACACTCCTCTTGTACCTGATTATGCAGCTCTATGATTATATCTATAAGTGCCATTTGAGGGTAGGCGTGGACCACATTATTGGCAAACTTTCCAGTATTAATAATCACATCACAATGCCAGAGTCGAGCAAAACGGGTACATTCTTTCTGATCATATTTCAAGCTGTTTACTGCAGATGGTATTCAGTGTGATTGTATTCTCACTGCAGTGCTGCTTTTTTTGTGTAAAAGCAGCAGCTTTATAGTAAGTGAAATCAGCCAGAATGTGCAATCATTGATGAAACTTGATTATTTCACTCAAGTATACACTAATTTGATCATTTTTTTAACTCAATTTGGTTGTTACAAGTGTGCTATTTTAATGTAAGTGTTGAATGAACGGCCTGAAAGCAACAATCTCTAGCACTGCTGCTAATTCATGAGGGCGGCTGTGGTGCTGTTCTGCCAAGCAACCACAAAAAAAGGCCCCAACTCTTTAGTGTCTTGTTTTGGTGTACATAGGAACACAGTGTTACTCATCGTGACCACAGTGGACACATTCAGTAGGTTTTTTAAAAAACCAGACGTTTGATTTTCACCCTGATTTTTTTCTACAGCTGACTTTTGTGTTGGACTAAACTTACATTAAGAGTGTATAGTTATTTTTGTAAATTGAAATTGAAATAATGGCTGATAAAGAAGTAGCTGTGAACTTGTCTGAATGCTGTATAAAAGGAGAACACTGACTTTAATCAGATGTTTATTTTTTATTCACAAATAAAATGAGTTTGGTGGTTAAAGCGCTGTGATCACTTGTCTTTGTCTGAGCATAAACTATCAATGGTTTCTTAAAGCTACTGTCAGGGCAAAAATGTATGGTAAGAAAACATCTTAATCGAACAGATGTGTCAGTCATTGTTTAAAATGCAAAGAGGAGCTGTCAATCATCTGCTCTGATGCCTAACCTAAAACAATATTCAGGTTGTCGGTCTAGATGCTTGTAATCTTATTTTCTTTTGAAGATCACACAAAAGCATCAGTATTAACTTCAACCCTCTTTTGGCTTCATTGTTAATTATTTAATGTCTCTATATGAGATGCACCTGTTTCTACACCATCAACCTGTATTTGTTGTATGATTGCACCATCCTTGTACAGTTCAGCACTGTCGTCCCCAGTTTTCTCCAGCTCCTTTTAAAAGAATATTTTCATGCCCCAGACTTTGTGTTCCTCAGACGTGGTTTTGTTTAGTCAGCTGCAGTTGTTGCTCACAGCATGAACTCCGCCGGCCCATTGTGTTTTGTTTTCCGGCGCTGTATGTCTAAAGGAGGTCAGACTTTCCATCTTGACTGTTTCCACAGCTGATAAACCTCTTAAGATGTAAATGAAACAGCCTGGACTTCTCATGTTTTTATACTGTAATATTTAACAGTTTGTCTGTAAATGTATATCTAGTTGCTCTTTAACCCTGATGTTTCTCTGTGAGCAGTGACTCAGCAGTTTTATCAGACGGTCTGTCAGTGTATCTATACTTCTATATGTTGATATGTTGAGCCTGAATCATCTGACATTAAATTGACTTTTTAATTATTTTTCTCAGTTGTGTCACACAAAGTGAAATTTGGATTTCGTGGCTACACTAATTAAAGAATCATGAATTTACCTGTCTACATTGGACACAACTGTTTTTTGTAAATCCCTTATAGCCTTGCAGTTCACTCAAGTTTAATTACCCAATACCTATACGCTTCACTCAATGACAGTGAAATGTGTTGACTTGCTGCCCTCTAGTGGCCAAATCTTTACTCTCCATTTGAGTTGTCACAAAGAAAGAGCAGGTTCATTCCATGTCAATTCAACCAAGAATCTCCACTCACGTCACAGACTTTGATGAAATTTGGTGGAGTGATTGGCCTTCAGGAGAAACTGTCAGAGCTCAAATATTTTTGTCCAAAGCCATCTAATTAGTGAGATAGGGGCTAATGAATTTTTGGCTAATTAGCATGACGTGTTACAAAAGTGTTCATATCTCTGGAACTATGGCACCTACAGAGCTGATTCAGGTGTCATTTTAAAGCTCTCTTCAAGTTCTATCTTTAACATTTTTTCCCAAATTGGACCAGAAAATAATGATAAAAGACCAAAAACTTAAATTGGAAATAGCAAAAAACGCGCGTCCTTCAATTTTCTTCATATTCACACTAAAGAAAGACTATCATGTCCACTAGCATCCCTGCAAGTTTCAGGATGGGCATTCCATAACTTATTGAGTAATCAGTCTAAATATGTGGTACGTTAGGTCGAAAATCGCCATATTTGGCACATTATACAGTCCTGTCCTCAACTGGAGTCAGCCCCACTTGCCTGCTTGTGTAAAAAATTACTTCCTCATAGTGCAAAATGCTTCTTTGGAGTTTTTTTCATTTGTATGTTATCCCATATTTATATGAAAAATAGCTAGAATAGCTTATTTTTGCTGTTTTCCATTGCATTTCATTTCTATTTGCACCTATATCCAAAATATGAAGGATCTTCGCTTTATGGGAGAATCATTTGGACATACCTGCATGTCCTGGATCCTAGGGTTGACAAATAACTTCTACCTATGCACCCTGAAATTTTGTTGCTGGTTTCCCTGTTAAGTATTCCAGGCTATTTATCCTGAGCCCTTTCAACGTTTCATTAAAGACACACAAAAAAGATTTCATTAGAGGCTGTTTTTATTCATTTTAGTAGATACTACAGCCAATATAGACCCTATTTATATGTTTTTAACACAGCAAATACCCACATTGAATACACCAAAAATGGAGAGTGCACAAATTAGTGTCATTTTATGTGGAAAATTGAGTCTCTTTTTCAGAATTGTTAGGTTTTCCAAAAGAAAAAATGACTGATATGTAAAGTTGAGCTTCAAAAAACACCCTCACAGTAAAAGGCTTGATACTTTTGGCTATTGAGGACAAAAAAACTAAAAATACAAATCCCCCAAAGAATAAAACGTGCTAAAAATAGTGTCAGAAAGCCACAAGAACAAGTTTCCACTTGAGGGTTTAAAGCTACATGCAGGATACAAATTCAGTTACGCAGTAATGGGTAAAACAATAAAATCACACATGTAATAACTGATTGACTTTCTTTGAGCTTCAAACCATTCAGGAAGTTCAAAGACCCGCAACAAACACGTGGATCTGTTGCTGAGGAGTCGGCAGTAAAGTCCTGCACAATGACCTGATTGTTGGCCGAGCTGGCGAACGCACGCACGCCAGACAATGGCGTCCCTTTTCTCTCCCCTCTGTTATTCTGTTATCAGTCCAGTTCCTGCCCACCCCGTCCAGGATGCTGGAATCCTTAGCACACAGGCTTTGAATCACAAACTCCTCTCCGCTGACGGGGGTTTAACGAGCTCAAGGTAACAGGTACAGAGAGGGAAAGACACATTGGAGGGTTTCCTGGTATTGTCTGAAGTGTGAGGCCCCTCGCTGCCACTTTAGGAACAAGAACATATGAGACTGTCTTCAAGTCAAGTCCAAAAGCTTCTGTTAAAGTCAGTGTAGGTGCCATATGCAGAAGTGGTTAGGTTTGTGTGTGTTGACATCAACTGTCTGGGCTGCACCTTTCATGCACGTCACGAGGGGGTGTGGTCAAGGCGCGATGATTGAATGATTGAATGAATGGACATATAGTCACCTGGGTGCTGCGGCGGCTGCATGGAGAGGGGGTGAGTAGGGAGAGCGTATTTTTTGTTGACCGCTTGATTTAAACATCAAACTAAGCCCATAGATCATCTTGCCTTGCCTTGCCTTGCCTTGCCTTGCCCTGTCTGTCTGTTTGTGCGGCGTTGGAAATAAATGTGAACTCAATCGGAAAACACGGAAATGGCTTGTGGTTTGTGTAGCGAGTCACCAATGCGGAAGCTCCCTCACTTAGCCTCTCAGTGACTTTGTTTTCGTTCCTAGTCACTATATTTTGTCAACAAAAAAGGAGTACCAACACCCGAACGGCATATACGGACGCGATCACGCCACACGGTGTCTAACTGCAACGCCAGACTGATCGCAACGTGGACTTCAGACCGGTAGGACTGTATCACTCGCATCCATTCATTCTGTGTATGTTGGACGGAACGCAGTTTGATTGCAGCGCATACAGCGCATCCATTGGGGAGCGCTGCGCGTGTGTGAAAGTCCGCTGAGACAGCCTGTCCTGCTCGTTGAGAGTAAATACCTGTGGTGTTTTCCGATGTTAATTGATGTGAAACAATCTGTGGAAAAATAAAACTATGCTGGGTGTATTGTGGATTCACTGCGCGAACCACTGAACTGCCGAATCTCAAAAGGACAATATGAGTGAAGCCATGGAACAAGTGGAAAACAATGAAACTGTGGTTGCTAAAAGGAATGTGAAACTTACTGCAAAAGCATTGGCATATAAAGTGGTAAATCTACAAAATGAACGTAAAACACATGTGAATAAAATAAAAGGCTTAATACCTGCAATGAAAGAGCTGATGAAACGAAAGGAAAATGTACAGGAAGTGAAATCTCAGTTGCAAACTATTACTCAGCTCCTTGATACTGCTATCAACCTGCATCAAACAATAATTCCACTGTTACCCGAGGATGAAAAACTTAAACAGAATGATTGGTTCTCCAGTATTGAACGTTACAGCAGTACATTCAAGGATGATGTGATTCAGTGGTTGGATGAGAATGAACATGTTCTAAATATCGTGGATAATGATGAGGCCGCAGCAACAAAGCACGTGTGTGACCCTCAAATAGATGATGCTTTACAGGCAGCAGCACAGGACACAGGCCCCATCACACCTTATGAAGGTCTACAGGATGACGTGAACCCAAGTGATAGCATATCAAATGTGCAAAGCAAACGATCTGCAAAAAGTGCTGTGAGTGGAAAAAGCTCTGGGAGTGGTAAAAGGTCCAACGTATCAGGAACTTCTTCTGCTCGCATCAAGGCAGAAGCTGATTTAGCTGCACTGATGGCACGGCAAAAACTTTTACAGGACAGACATGCACTGGAAGAGGAGGAGCAGCAAATACGGAAACGCAAGGAAAAGCTCAAGTTGGATGAAGAGATTGCTGCACACTTGGCTAAAGTGAGCGTTCTAAGGGCTGCAAGCATATCTGGTTCGAAAAGTATTACAACAGACAGGTCCAATGCAATGAGTTCCTACGTTAAAAATGAACAAGAAACAACAAAGTTCAATGTCAATGCCACTCCTTTCATTCCTCTGAGGCTGGAAACATCTAAACAGCAATCGAAAATCATGGACAGTGACCCTGTGACAAGGCCTAAATCAGATGGATCGACCCATGCTGTTCACTTTCAGCCTCCCACTTTGAAGAGCCACTTACCTGATTTTAATCCTCTGCTCAATGCTCATAATGATCACTTACATCATGGAATCAGTCTTAATGTTGGGGATTCAGCAAGTCATGGGGAGCAAAACAATGTTCTTGACATCATGAAAAGACAGAATGAAATTACAACACTACTGATACAACAGCAGCAACATGCGCTCTTGCCTAAAAGAGACATCCAGGTGTTTGATGGTGACCCACTGCAGTTCCATACGTTCCTGAGAGCCTTTGAAAACTGTATTGAAAGCAAGTCCAACAGTCATAGTGATTGCCTGTACTTCCTCGAGCAATACACTAGAGGTCGTCCAAGAGATCTTGTGAGAAGCTGCCAGCATATGGACCCAAACAGGGGCTATGCTCAAGCTAAAATCCTATTACAAGAACATTTTGGGGATGAACAGAGGGTTGCTGCTGCTTATATGGACAAGGCGTTGTCATGGGCTCCAATAAAATCAGAGGACGTTAAAGCTCTCCAAGATTATAGCCTATTTCTCAGAGGCTGCGCAAATGCGATGAACGAAGTGCAGTATATGTTTGAGATGAATATGCCTGCTAACATGCTGACAATAATAAAAAAACTGCCTTACAAGCTGAGGGATCGATGGAGGACAACTGCTTGTGAAATACAAGAAAGACGTAACCAAAGGGCTACATTCAATGATATTGTCCATTTCATCGAAAGGCAAGCAAGGATTCTAACAGACCCAGTATTTGGAGACATTCAAGACTCATCACCAGCAGTAAACAGAGGCATGAATCGAACCAGCTTAAAACCTAGATCTCGGCCAAAGGGAAGTAGTTTCGCTACAACAGTGACTACTGTACAGCACAATTACACAGCAACAAAAGGAAGGAGGCCAGACACAACCTCATCAGCCAAGAAAGTCTGTCTGTTTTGTGAGGGTGGGCACATGTTGGAGTATTGCTCTCGAATGGAGAAGATGACTCACACTGAAAAGATCACCTTTTTAAGGGAAAAGGGAATATGCTTCGGCTGTTTGTGTATAGGACACATCAGCAAGGACTGTCGAAAGCGTCTATCATGTAAAGTGTGTAGTTTGAAACACCCCACAATGCTTCACATCCATTCAAAGGAAAAGGACCCAGTGACAGAAGAAGAACCAGGCGCCGCAGTGGGCTGTGCTCTGGTATCTAATGGGTTGACTGGGGCTGGTGGCCATGAGTGCAAGCTTCCTATAGTTCCTGTATTGGTTAAATCCAAGAAAGGTAATCATGTAGTGGCTACTTATGCCTTCTTGGATCAAGGTAGCACGGCTGTTTTCTGCACAGTAAACCTCATGAACAAGCTCAACCTCTCAGGAAAAAGGACAAGAATCCTTTTGCGGACAATGGGTCAGGAAAAGGTCGTTAACAGCTGTGTGGTCACGGGACTGGAGGTGGCCGGTTTGGACGGAGAGACATACTGTGATTTGCCCAACACCTATACACAGGAGTGCATGCCGGTGCATAGAGGAAATATTCCATGTCAAAAGGATCTCGAGAGGTGGGCATACTTGAGAGATGTTCACTTACCTGATATCGACTCCGAAGTTGAGCTGTTGATTGGAACAAACGTACCAAGGGCACTGGAACCATTACAAGTCATCCGTAGTGTGGACAATGGACCGTATGCCATCAAGACTATTTTGGGTTGGACTGTTAATGGGCCACTGGGGGGAAACAGTGGTGATGGAATGGATGTTGCGACCGTTAACAGAATTTCAGTCCTGAACTTGGAGGAGCTCTGGCAGCAGCAGTTCAGAACAGATTTCCCAGAATGTGGCTACGATGAGCAACCTGGCCAGTCAAGAGAGGACCAAAAGTTCATGAAGTTGGTCCAGGATTCAGCCAAGCTTGTAGATGGTCATTACCAGATTGCATTGCCCCTGCGAAGCTCCGTGACCATGCCAAATAACAAGAAGGTTGCCGAGCAGCGTGCTCTAAACCTGAAGAGGAGGTTCAAAAGGGACTCGTTATTTCATCAGCAGTACACTGATTTCATGAATGATATGGTCACCAAGGGATACGCAGAGCAAGTACCTTCAGATGAGCTGGCACGTACTGATGGAAGATTGTGGTATATCCCACACCATGGTGTGTATCACCCACAAAAGGGAAAAATCCGTGTGGTTTTTGACTGTGCTGCCACTTTCCAGTCGGCATCTCTCAACGCTCAACTGCTGCAAGGGCCAGATCTCACTAGCTCGCTGATTGGCGTCCTGGCCAGATTCCGGAAAGAACCGGTAGTGATCATGGCAGACATAGAGTCCATGTTTCACCAAGTAAAGGTGCCAAGGGAAGATGCTGATCTACTGAGGTTTCTCTGGTGGCCCAACGGTGACTGCACCCAAGACCTGGTAGACTTTAGAATGATGGTACATCTTTTTGGTGCAACGTCCTCACCAAGTTGTGCTAACTTTGCATTGAGGAAATGTGCTAAGGACAATGAAGAACAGTTCTGCCGAGAGACCATTGAGAGGATTCTGCACTGCTTTTATGTGGACGATTGTCTGGTATCGACGGCCAGTGAGGAAGAAGCAGTGGCACTGTATCATGACCTGGTCTCTGTATGTGCCAAAGGAGGCTTTAAGTTGACCAAATGGATGAGCAATAGCCGTGCAGTGATGGCAGCAATTCCAGGGGACCAAAGAGCTAAGGGCATGAAGGACCTGGATTTGGACCATGACCTGCTACCAGTGGAGAGGGTGCTCGGGGTGCAATGGTGCATCCAGTCTGATGTCTTCAAGTTTAGAATCCTGGTGCAGGACAGGCCCCTGACAAGGAGGGGGATCCTCTCTGTCATCAGTTCAGTATATGATCCTCTAGGAATCCTTGAGTCCCATTGTTCTTTCTGCCAAGATCATCCTGCAGGAGCTGTGTAGGCAAAGACTCGGTTGGGATGACCCTATACCACCATCAGCTGCACAGGAATGGACGAGCTGGTTAGAGCAGCTCCATCAGTTAGAGCACTTCCAGGTTTCGCGGTGCCTTAAACCCCCAGACTTTGGTGAGGTCACTGTGGCGCAACTGCACCATTTTACAGATGCAAGTAATAATGGTTATGGTGTAGTGACCTACCTTCTCCTGCGGAATGCATGTTCCCAGATGCACGGCAGCTTTGTCATGGGAAAGTCCAGGGTGTCTCCTTTGAAGCCAGTCTCAATACCCCGCATGGAGCTCACAGCTGCTACAATGGCAAGCCGTCTGGACACCTTTTGGAAAAAGGAGTTGCACATCTCATTAATAGAGTCAACGTTTTGGACTGACAGCACCTCTGTGCTGAAGTACATCAGGAATGAGACTTCCAGGTTCCGTACCTTTGTCGCCAACAGGGTAGCAGAAATACTCAAAGTGTCAGATCCATCGCAGTGGAAGTATGTAAACACCCTAAGCAATCCTGCAGATGTGGCCTCCAGGGGACTGAGGGTTGACATGTTCCTGAGGAACAAGGCGTGGTTGTCAGGACCTGCATATCTCCTGCAACCTGAGCGAGACTGGCCTGTGAGTCCAGATTGCTTGGGCGAACTCCTGCTGAACGATCCAGAAGTCAAGACCAGTGTGGCAGTGAATGCAGTGCAGGCCTCAGAGGATGTGGATGCAACCACTCAACTAATCCATCATTTTTCCTCTTGGACCCATCTGAGAAGGGCTGTGGCTTGGTTTCTCAGGCTAAAAAACATGCTGCGGGGTCTCAGCCAGAAGAGGACTGACTCTGCGTCCACTCAGTCGGAGTCAGGGAAACAACAAAGACCGTCCTCGGAGCTTGGAAAAGGAGGGTTCAAAGACCTGGCACCGAGAGGTTTCCTCACGGTAGACGAGTTGCAGGTAGCTGAAAAGGAAATCATCAGGTTTTGTCAGAGGAAGAGGTTTCCTGATGAACTCTCTAGTTTGCAGAAGGGCGAAAGTGTGAAAAGGAGAAGTCACATCTTCAAACTCGCTCCTGTGTTGGAGGATGGTATCCTGAGGGTTGGTGGTCGGTTGAGCCGAGCAGCCTTACCTGAAGACGCAAAACACCCTGCCATTCTGACCAAAGAGCTCCACATTTCAGACGTTCTCCTGAGACACATACATCAACAAGTTGGTCATGGAGGACGCAACTACATGTTGTCCAAACTACGTGAAAGATACTGGATTCCTGGGGTCAGCACAGCCATAAGGAGAATTTTGTCAAAGTGTGTTGTCTGCCGCAGGTTGCAAGCTGCCCCAGGGTGTCAGCTGATGGCTGATCTTCCTGTTGACAGGGTCTGCCCAGACAAACCTCCATTCACCAGAGTCGGTGTGGACTACTTTGGACCATTCGAGGTTAAGAGCCGGAGGAGCATTGTAAAGAGATATGGAGTCATGTTCACCTGTTTGGCAATACGGGCTGTTCATATCGAAGTGGCTCCTTCGCTGGATACAGACGCCTTTATTAATGCACTACGACGATTCATGGCAAGACGTGGCCAAGTCCAAGAAATTCGATCAGACAATGGAACGAACTTTATTGGAGGAGAGCGTGAGCTGAGAGAGGCTATCAGAGGTTGGAATCAAGCTCAGATAAATGGTGTTCTTCTTCAGAAGGAGGTGAAATGGATTTTTAACCCCCCAGCTGGATCGCACCATGGTGGTGCCTGGGAAAGGTTGATCAGATCAGTGCGCAAGGTCTTGAACTCCATCTTGAAAGTTCAAAATCTGGATGAGGAGGGATTACACACTGTCCTCTGTGAGGTGGAAGCAGTCATTAACGGCCGTCCAATTACTAAGGCCTCAACCGACCCTAATGACCTCGAAGCTCTGACGCCTAACCATCTCTTGCTGTTGAAAACCTCTCCTTCCCTGCCACCTGGGCAGTTTCAAAGAGACGACATCTACGCTCATCGACGCTGGAGGCAGGTCCAGTACATGTCTGATTTATTTTGGAAGCGATGGACTAAGGAGTATTTGCCACAGTTGCAGGAACGTCAGAAGTGGACTGGTATCAAGCGCAACTTTGTAGAAGGGGACGTTGTGCTTATTGTGGATGAAACAGCACCACGGAACTCGTGGGTCATGGGAAGGGTTATCCAAACCTTCCCAGACAGAAGAGGATTTGTGCGACGGCTGCAGATCAAGACCAAGACCAGCTCCTTGGAAAGGCCCATAACCAAAGTCTGTCTTCTGCAGGAATCGGATGCCTGACTCTTCCGTTCTGGAAGGATAGTTTGATTGACTTTACTGACCGACAGCACGACATGACTTTCCTCCGTGAAGCTGTGTGTCTGAACTTTTGAACTTTTGAACTTGGCTAGACTTGACTTGTGTTCCAGGAAGAAGAGCACATTGATGAACTGTATTGATGGACTATTACAAGAACATTGGTGGATTTCGTGGTTCATTTATTTGTCATAGTGTAATTATTATAATGGTAATAATTAGGGGCTGGGTTGTAGGTGCCATATGCAGAAGTGGTTAGGTTTGTGTGTGTTGACATCAACTGTCTGGGCTGCACCTTTCATGCACGTCACGAGGGGGTGTGGTCAAGGCGCGATGATTGAATGATTGAATGAATGGACATATAGTCACCTGGGTGCTGCGGCGGCTGCATGGAGAGGGGGTGAGTAGGGAGAGCGTATTTTTTGTTGACCGCTTGATTTAAACATCAAACTAAGCCCATAGATCATCTTGCCTTGCCTTGCCTTGCCTTGCCTTGCCCTGTCTGTCTGTTTGTGCGGCGTTGGAAATAAATGTGAACTCAATCGGAAAACACGGAAATGGCTTGTGGTTTGTGTAGCGAGTCACCAATGCGGAAGCTCCCTCACTTAGCCTCTCAGTGACTTTGTTTTCGTTCCTAGTCACTATAGTCAGTATGTTTACTACAGTCTGCCCTTTTTTCTCCTTCGCTTTCCACTTCAATATTTCCCTCTTTAGTGTCTTTATAAGTTGTGTTCTTTTAATATGCTCTCATTTCTGTATTTTTTTCACTTTTTTGGCTTTTAAACTGTCCATGTGAGGGAGAAGTGACAGTTTTTCTCTTATATCCATATAAACATGGACGCACAAGTCCTTTATCTACATTCCATATTTGTTTCCGGCTCACTCTGATCTTCTTGGGACTTCTTTTTCCCACACCACAGGTCCTGACTCTGCATTCTTTGGCTGCTTATGCCATTGGTGTTTCCTCTGATGGAGAACACATGCAAAAAAAAGAAGAATCACATGTTACTAAAATGGCAAAAAATCTACATTTAGTGTCATTTTGGATGCAAATTACCATCTGTCTGTCCCTTCTCTTGGCGAGAGGTGGTGCCGTTGGATTCAGCAGCATCTCTTGCTGTAAAGAAATTAAAATCAAAGATGATTTTGATCATTTTATCTTAAAAAAAAAGAAAGAAACAGAATTGGTTTAAACTTACGTGGCCTCTCCTGCTTCCTCCAAAAGTCTGAAAAGAAAGCACAGAAACAGTCTAGTATTTGATTATTAAGGCAAACATAAGGAATCAGAAGTTAAGAAATGACTGACCTGCTTCCCATGGCATGGATGCTGCAGAGGCAGAAATACAATAAATATAATTAAGAGAGTCAGTGTAAACATTTGCTGTGGGTTAAAGGAAGAATTTTGGAGTCTTAAGGTCCTTACACACCAGGCGCGAATTCGCCAGGCAAATTATTCGCCTTTTTTTAAAACAGCATAAAGTCAATGCAAGCTTCCACACCGGCTGCGATTTTTCCGCGGGGCGAAAAGCGTCTTTTATTTTTTCGCACTTGTGTCGAATTTTTCAGAGAGTCGCAGGCAAATATCTGGACCTGCTAGACCTCTGGCCAATCAAAAGTCATGTTGTTGATGACGTCACAGACCCATGCGGCTGCAGTTCACACGACACACACCACCACTGGCACCAAGAGCAACGATGGGAGAGAGTAGCTGTGTCCGAATTTCCAAGTAGTAGTCGAAGTAGTAGTCGAAGTAGTATCTAGCATGTCCGAATTGGCCACCGGAGCGAGTAGCATGCTACTTCAGATACTACTTCAGATACTAGACACGCCCACATTGTAGGTTGGTCGCGGTGCATCCTACGGGCATGCTACTGACCCAAAATGCACTGCGGGCTTCTTCTTCGTCCTCTTAAAAGTTGTAGAAGCGCATGTGATGCTAGCGCCACCAGCATAGATGCGACGCGAACGCCGGCTGGCCACAGCAGCGCGCACCATGGCGGTTTCATGTAACTTCACACTCTGTCCTAAAAAATGTGCGGTTGTATCTCTTTGTCATGTCATGGTGTCATATTTGCCCGAGTAATCATTTTATGAGCAAATATGTGGCGACATCATGGAAGTAAAGCTCACTTATTCCATCAGTAAACTGCACAGCTGCAGTACTACAGCCAGGCCAGCAGATGAGGGGCTTCAGTTACCACTGTCTGCACGGGCGCAGTACCTACTCTCTGCCTGCGGGGGCCGTCTTTCCCCACCGCTCATCTAGTGTGTCCGAATTGGGCCAACGTGTTTAGTATGTAGGAGTAGGATCTAGCAGTAGTATGTAGCAGTAGCATGTAGTATCCGAGCGGGCAATTCGGACGCAGCAAGTGTGTACCACAGAGTGGTCGCCCGGTGTGTATAAGCGAAAGCGATTTTTCGAACTGGCGAATATTTTTTTAATGACAAAGAAATATTTGCTTTGTTTTTGCAATTATGTAAAGAACTTTTAATATTATGCTTCAGCCAGTCCTCATCGAGACAATCTTAAGCCCTCTACTTTTTGCATGTCCCCTTTTAGAAAAGCCATAAGGATGAGATGAGAACAGCAATGTTTTCACCAAGTAGAATGTCTACAGCTGATAAAATGTGGCTACTTCATGGTTTCAAACTCTTACCTTTCTGGTAGAACCACATCCCTGTAAAACAAAAGGAAAGATGAAAATTTGGCGCACTTTTTACACAGGAATGATCTTGTAATACACGGCGTATTTAACTTATTCATAATGGATAGAAAATTGTGTTTTTATCCCTCACCTGCTTTCCACCTGTGAATGAAAACCACCAGAAGCACAGCAGTCAGCAGGCAGATGAAGACGGTGACTCCTGTTGAGATTTTCAGACCTCCTGGCGAGATGTCCTGACCTCCTGCAGTTTCTGTACTTTTAGTTACTACAAAAACAGCAGCAACAAGTGCAGCAACGTTATGGAGAGAGTTTTCTTTTTGTTTTTTTATATTACAGATTGATTTCTTACCTGGTGAGAAGAATGGATTAAAGACAGGTTCGCTGATCTCCCGACTAACGGGATTCTCCAGCTCGCAGCTGAAATCGCTAACATGCACATGGTCATCCTACGAGCAGAATAACACAGTAGTGGTAACATACATTTATTTTCTGAATAACAAATGTCCCCTACTGATGCAAAAATGTATTCTCTTTGTGGAGCAATTCTCCATTTCTCTGCCCCCTTTATAAACCAAATTGGTGATTCAGTCAAAACTGTAAAATGCATTACAGCCAAAGAAGAAGGAGAAAGATGGAGAGACTGAAACACACACCAACCCTTATTATCATATTACAAACTCAAACATTACCTTTGTAATGTGTTTGGTCTTCTCTGTGCCCCCAGAGTTCCACTTGTAGGTGAACGGTTGAGCTCCTGTGGTGTTTCCATCACAGATGAAAAAACAGCCTGCCCCTCCTGTGTCACAGGCTTTTATAACAGTAGGTTTAGGAACTGGATCTGTTATTTATTATGGAAGAAAATGCGGAAACAGACTGTTATAGATGTTAAAGGGATATTCCGGCGTAAAATTAAGTTAGGGTCAAACACACAGTAACACTGAGTTAGACAACCCCTCAAGAGATGAATGTTGCCAACCGCTTGCTTCTCTAGTTATACCAACTTTAGTAACGACCGCAGATAGCAGTACACAACGGTCTGAGGATCCACACACAAACCTCAACCAAAACGCCACTCTATAGCCACAAATAATGCTCAGAACAGCACCTAACTTCATCAACAGGACATATAGGGTCCCAGCCACCACACTGGCCACCAAACATCCTTTTAACTTTGCCTAATTTCTCCAGCAAAGAGACTAAACACAACTCACCTACTCTCTTCCAGCAGCCGCTTGTTTGTAGCGAGACCTCAGGCCAGTCCATTACGGACTGCTGTGGGGTGACGCAGCTCAAGGAAGAACATTTCTTCATAGAAATGCAATCAGACCGAGACACTAAGGCGAAAGAACTACCGCGTCTGCAGTGCAAAATGATCAATATGATGATAATTACTTCAAAGAAATGATAAAGAAATGATCATAAATGTTCTTCCTTGAGCTGCGTCACCCCGCTGTAGTCCATAATGGACTGGCCTGAGGTTTAGTCTCTTTGCTAAAGAAATTAGGCAAAGTTAAAAAGATGTTTGGTGGCTAGTGCTGTGGCTGGGACCCTATATGTACTGTTGATGAAGTTAGGTGCTGTTCTGAGCATTATTTGTGGCTATAGAGTGGCGTTTTGGTTGAGGTTTGTTTATGGCTCCCCAGACTGCTGTGTATTGCCATTGTGCGGTCGTTACTAAAGTTGGTAAAACTATAGAAGCAAGCAGTCGGCAACATCCATCTCTCAAGGGGGTGTCTAACTCTGTTTTACTGTGTTTGGCCCTAAATTCATTTCACGCCGAAATATCCCTTTAAATCCCAGATTCACATGTTCTTGTTGTAATATCGTGACTGCGTGTGATTCTTTACTCACAAAGGATTGTAAGATTTGTTGAACCCGCACTGTTGCCGTTGATTTCTACGCTGTACAATCCCTCATCTCCTGCTTTTAGTCCCCAGATTTTCAGCTCTCCAGTGTCGACGCTCAGATTGCCTCGTTCTTTCAACACACAAAAAGAAATAACTCCTCAACAGGGAAAGTTTAAAGCAGCTTTTTGTTACTAAAAGTCTGAATAGAGGTAACAGCTAAAAATTGCATCATAACCTTTTCTGTTGGTTTACCTTCAAACTGGCGATAAAAATCAACAGCACCCCCTTCAAAAAGGGCAGCCATGTTTCCACGATGTTTCCAGATGATTTTGGTGATAGGCCCAGAGCTTGAATCTGGTTTCAGGACAACTTCGTCTCCAAACTTCGCATACAGTGGTAACCCTAAAGAGGAGAGAGAAAGTCAGTGTGAAAAACCAAGTTTCATACATTTATACTTTGTGATGTTTAAATCATATTTTTCTCCTCCAATCAGTCCCTACAAATAAAGGAGCTTATTCTTTATTCCTTTCACCTTGGGTACTGACTTATGTAGGGGTGGCGTGAACCACATGTTTGGATGCAGACATGCAAATTAAAAGGCATTTATTGACCCTTCCAGTCTCAATTTCTCATAATTACTGTCTATTAAAACTTAAATTATAGATTTTATTTTGGTCATAATACATAATAAACAGAAAAGAACAAGGCAGGTAAGACATATATATATATATGTGTATATATATATATATATATATATTTACGGTTTACATGGTTGTTTGACCGAAAAGGTTTAGGGCTGAAGCCGAAGCTTATTTTGCCCACCTTTACCACACCGCTGTATAACTATGGAAAGAACATGATACAAAAGTCGAACTAAAGACAACAATCCAGATAGAGAATAACAAAGGGAGTCACTTTTTTTTCTCTCTCTTCCCTTCTCCTTTTCCCTTGTCCCTTTCCTTTCCCCCTTAACTTTCTTTCAGTCTCTCTCTTACTATTCCCTTTATATCTTTTTTTATATATTTTTTTATTTTTCCCTTTTTTCCTCCTTTCCCTTTTCTCCCTTTTTCCTTCCAATTTTCCTCCTTTTTCTTTATTCTTCTCCTCCTTTATAAGTCCGCTAAGAATAGTACTAAGAAAAAATAAAAAACATAAATAGATTACGAAAACAAAACAAACAAAAATAATAAATTAATTGATTAATTAATTAATTGATTGATTAATTAATTAATTAATTAAAAAAAAAACTAGCATATCGAAAAAGCATTTATAGATCGAAGTTTATTAAATGCCAAAAAATGTATTGCATTACCATGGAAAAAGACCCATCAACCAAGTACCAGTCGATGGTTAAAACAAATGTTGTCAAGCCGAACAGCATATACTTGAAGGTATATGGAAGCCCCTTATTGAATATGTCAAAACCAAACTGATGACTAACTACTGTGGGTATGGAAATCTCCAAAACTGTGATTGTTAATGTCTTTTCTTTTTTACTGTTATAGTTATTATCATTATTACTATCATTATTGTATTTATTTATTTTAAAAATTATTTTCTCTCTCTTCTGTTACTTTTTGAATGCCCATAGCCTTTATCATTACCATTGTGTCACAATCTATTATATTTGGTTTATAATCTATCCTATAACAAGAGAAGCATATTGTTTGTTTTGTGTTTTTATTGTGATTGTTTTGTTTTGTTTTGCGATGTGCTTTTGCTATACTTGGCAGCTAATCTATGAGAAAGGACATGCAGCCAGGGCTAGGCCATACATGTCGTGATTGTTTGTACTGTGATCGTCTTATGCTGCTGCAAAACTCAAATAAAGATATTGTGGTTAAAAAAAAGGCAAATCATACAGATACCAAATTCCTGTGTATCATATATTATAAATAGACATTTAATGTGTCAAATTAAAAAGCAAAGGAAGCTACAACCTTGCCTGTTGCCAAAATAGTCTGTGTTTGCAGACATCTCACCTCAGACAAGACATATAGCCAATTATATTACATTATTTTTATTTTTTTTTCTGGGGTAGGCATTCAGTTGTAGAGGGGCCTGGCCACCTGAGTCAACCATTCTTGATCCGCCCCTGCATTCAATATTTTTCTTTTCTTTTAAACATTTTCTTTGACCCTTCCTTCTAATTCATGATATTTTATTGTATTCTAGTTGTATAATGTAGAGTTCAAAGTATAATTTTCACAGTTTTTGGCATTTTTCCATGGTCTGCACATATACTACTAACTATGCTTAGAATTTTTGAGTTCTTAGTCATTCTATCTATACCGCAACTTAGACCTCATTACTACCTATCTACATTGCTCTGTATTCATTTCTACCGTCTTTTGCTCTCATTTTGCAGTCTTAGCACACTTTGTTATTCTTCACGGTTGCCATTAGCAAATGTTTCTGTAGTTTTTTCCACATGTTGGTTAAAACTGGGTGGGGCCGTGAACTTGTGAAGCTGCGACTCAGCATGAACGTTAACAAATGCAAAACCCACACATAAACCACTGTAGGCTTGTGTGAAAAACGAGTAAACTAGATTAAACCAAAACCACCAAACTCACCGGGGTCTGCAGACACAGCAGCCGACCAAGCCCACACCAACCCGGCCAGGATCACGGATGTCACAGACGGCCACATCTCTTCAACTTACACGGTCAAAAACGACGGAAAACGCACTTTTATCTGTTCTGAAACATGGCGAGAATTAACCTATACCAATACCCAACGATAAAGCCTAACCCATAACCTTGGCATGATGGTATCAGGAGAGAGGCAGAAAGTGAAAGTTAACATGCTCAACAGTGTCTCCGCCTCCTGACAAGACAACTTGTAAAAAACAACCAGGACACTTCCTTTATGCGCATAATACGTAAAAATATAAAACATATATCGTATAAGCAAAATGTTTACCAAATTAACCCAAAAAGCAAATTACACCATATTAACGACCCTAACTAAAATAAATAACGTCTTTATGAGCTAATGCAAATCATTACTTTGAAAAGTGCTACTTTCTCGCCATCTAGTGGTCAGAGCATAGTACTGCATGCACATAAAATCAAAATATGACATTGCAAGGTGAAACTCAATGGACTACACTGAATAAATACTGCACATTTAAAGGCACTAATCTGATCCATTTAACCTTCCTGCTGAGTTAGGTTTTACTACACACTCACTGTGTTAAAAGTCGGTTTTGACCCGTGTCTAAATTAGCTGTAAATTACACTAAAAACAATTCTCTATCATCCAATTTGATTCTCATCTCTAGGTTACCTTGTTAGGCTTCATTATCCATGAAGATATTGCTTATAATATTTTTGTTGTGGGCCTTTCTTTGTCAGTATACCCCTCATACAGACATCTATACTGAATTGATCTCATATGTGACATGCCTGGCGTGGTTTTTTGTGCAGGGAAATACATGGCAAAATGAGAATTTACTAAATCTAACATGACTGGAAGAGGATCTGGAACAGGACAGTGCATTTAGGATTTTAGTTTTTGCTCTTATCATTAGATATTGATCTAACCGGGTCAACAGCGACCCTGACACAACAAGTGCCATAATAATAATAATAATAATAATAATGATTACATTTATTTATATAGCACCTTACAACATCCGGAAAGATGAACAAAGTGCTTTACACAGTCTAATACACAAATACAGGAAAAAAAATACATGGCAGGTGACAAATGTCACAGGATATCATAACAATAAAAGGTTAGAAAACACAGAAACAATCAAATAGAAAATGGCAAATCACACTAGATATTAAAAGCCTGTTTATATAGGTGAGTTTTAAGATGTGTTTTAAAAAGTGCCAGGTCATTAATAATTAGTAGTTCAGGAGGTAGAGAGATCCATAATTTCAGGGCTGCAATTGAGAAGGCACAATTCCCCCACCGTTTAAAATTTGAGAAAGGTTTCTCCAACAGGGGTTGTTCTGAGGACCGGAGGGCTCTACAGTGTCATTTAGTGTTCTGCAGTCAGACAGATATACTGGAGCAAGACCATGGATAGCTTTTAAAACAAACATTAAAAGGGAGAGAAGAGAGAAGAAGAGAATAAGAAGACCAGCAGTTCTTGGATTTTGTCTCCCAGTCTGCTAAACTTGTCAATAGTCATTATTGTATTGGATTACCTTTAAAGGAAAGGGAAACATGCATGCCCGACAACAGAATTGTGGCTGAACAACGGACATTGAACTTAAAAAGGAGATTCAGGAGAGATTCTGCCTTTCATTTGGATTACAGTAACTTTATGTCAGATATACTATCCAATGGTTATGCAGAGATAGTGCCCAGGAGTGTCCTGAATTGTATTGATGGCAGAAAATGGTATCGACCACATCATGGTGTCTTACATCCACACACAAAAAAGCTTCGACACCCAAAAGGCGGCTGTCCCTTATTTCAATCTCTTGGAGATGGCAACCTTAATCTGCAGACAGTTTGAGCTGTCTGGAGCTCGCTTATCAGGAGCACAAGGGGCATGGTTGTGGGCTCTGATGGTGTCATCCCCAGAGTCCTCAAAATCTAACCCCACCCCCATGTCAATGAAAGGCCAGAATGCTTTGTTAATGCAGAAAAAGTTTAGTGAATACGGAAGTATCTTGTAAAAGCAAAAAAAGTCCTGTAAATGCAAAAATTTGTTCACCCCTGAACAAATTATTATGTAGGTACTGCATCAAATCTACTCAGTTAAGTGCTGGTAGCATCTCGAAATCATCTTCTGACCATACAGTGTGTTCATATGGGTCGAGTCCAGCAATGTCCGCAATTTTGCTTCGGTAATGCTCTCTTTCTTCATTGTTCAGCTTGGCCCTGTACGGTATATTGAGTCCATGTTTTGCTCTCTCCATTCCGTTCTCTGTTACTGTGTAGTCAGCTATTAAATATTTGTTTTTTAAAACCTAACGTCATCCTCATTTTATTCATTGCAATGTGCTGAGTGTCGTTATGTCTGTCAAAATAACTCAACAGCATGTTGAAAGTGGGACCTGAAAGCTAACCCCCAACTCTACATCAGCTGATGCATTACATTTTAACACAGTCGGCAAAACAAGTCAGAGTCTAACGTCAATTTTACATCTGTGTACCGTTATTTTTTGGGATCAGCACGAAAGCTTTGTCTTCGTTGTGGAGGTTTGGTCTACTTCCTGGCTTCATGCATTCGTGTAATAGTACTAATTGATAGGGATGTCCCAATCCAATTTTGATATCGAATCAAATCAACAAAAAGACGAATATCGGGTTATATCAGCCTGCATCTAAAATCTCTGATATCAGCACTGCGATACAAGCAGTCCATTCCAAACTTGGCTCCAGCACCTGTATCTAGCAGTGCCCAGATTCAGCATGCAGAGCCCACGTAGTCACAACAACGGTGTGTACTGAGGTACTAACGAAGTAGCAGGGAGTAGGAGTGATGTCGGCCTTGTGGTAGTATTTGTTGTTTAAGTATGAAAAAGATGTTGCAGCCCAGTGCAAAACATGTCACACACAAATTTGAGCCAATATCAAATCAATATAAATGTTGGCCAATACTGAAGGCTACAACATCAGTATCGTATCGGAAGTAAAAAAAGTTTTATCAGGACACACCTACTGATTGATTTAGTGGCCCTGGACCAAATCTGGTCCAAAGGAACCCTCAAAGTGGCTCCTACCTCACCAGAATACAGAATTTCATGCTATTCCTATCTTTGTCTAGAGACGTGACTTTCAGACCGCCTTTTAGTCCAGCTTTTTTGTAAATGTTGTCCTCTTAAAGGCACAAAAATACAGTTTGACCCTTCTTGGACCACAGGGAATCCATGTTCCTCATTTCTTGGAGTGTTTATGGAGGCAATGTTTCCCAGGAATCACATAAAGGAAACTCCAAAGTACAGAGTACGAGACGGCAGTAGCTCAGGAGGTAGAGCGGTGGTCCAATAACCGGAGGGGTTGGCGGTTCGTAACCCCCCTATCTCGAGACTGTCCATTGTGTCCTTGGGCAACACACTAAACCCACCTTGCTCCCAGTGTGTGTCCTCCACTGGTGTATGATTGTATGTGTTGTGTGGTGGTCAGAGAGGTCGTTGGCGCAAACTGGCAACCACGTTTCCATCAGTCTGCCCCAGGGCAGCTGTAACTACTAAGGTAGTTTACCACCACCAGGGTGTGACTGTGTGAGCGAATGAAGTATGTATCTAATGTAAAGCACTTTGAGGGTCTCTGATAAAGCACTATATGAAATCTGTTACGGCTGTGTGTTTGTTTTGCATGTGTTTTTCCCCTTTTGTCTCTCCATAGCTGCCCAGGTGAAATCACTTGAGTGCCAATCAGACTCACCTGGTGCTGGAAGTCTAAAAGCCCAGAGCTGCCTGCAGTCTGGAGAGGCATTTGGTGGGGAACTGCTGCCCTGCTGCCTCTCATTTGTGTTGTGGGTGCTTTGTGTTTAGTTTGCAATTTTGTTGTTTTTTCACAATAAATCACGTGTTAAACTTTTGAAGGTGTTTTGTTACTTTGATGGGTAAAAAGTTGAGGATTGTTGTTCGCCCCATAGGGCCGCCTTCAGGTGGGGCGTAACAAATGGGGGCTTGTCCAGGATCGAACATCCATGAGGTTCTTTGAAGTCGTTTTTTTTTCCTTTCGTAACTAGTGACCATAGTTTGGGTTTTTAGTCTTCTGTTTCTGTCACGATCATTAGTAGTTGCTTTTATTTGTAACTTCTGAGCACCCTGATTATTTAGTCGCCGGGCAGGGAAGAGCTTGCCACTTTTTTATTTTGCCTTTCTTATTTTTGGTGGTAATCCTGAGGAGGGGGCACACTTAAGTGATGCCTCGAGCTCGGCAGGCCACTGAAGACTAGTTAGGTAAGTCAGACATCTTGTCAAGTAGGTAGGGGTTGGGGTGACTCATTTTGCTCTTAAAATTGTTTTGTACTACTGTTGTACGGTACTGTTTTTGTGTGTGTTTCAGAAGGCTACCCATTTTTTGCTTGGTCACTCTGTGCGATTACAATTAGGAACTTGTGTTGTGTGACCATTTGTTGGTGGTAACTGCTCTCCACATTTGGTGGGTCACGTGTGAGTTGCATCTTAGGTGTAAGGTGGCAACAGTTGTGTAGTGGTGACTACTGTGTGACCATTTTGTGTAGTGGTTTGCAGTCCACATTTGGTGGGTCACTTGTGTGTTACTGCTTCGTATACCTAATTGTATGTTCCGTTTGTTTGGCTTGTTGCTTACCTTATCACAGTAATTCGTGTGTCTTTTGAAGACTTGTGTCCATTTGTGTTGTGGTGGCAGTCACCTTTTGTTGGATCTTTGTGTGCTGTGTGTGACTGACAGCAGTGTTCTAGTTCTACTACTTTTGTTGATCCGTTTGTGTGTGTGACTGCTCACTCCCTTTAGTGTTGAATATCTGTTACTGTGTGTGGTATTGGCAAATTTAATGTTTTGCTCTTTGTGTTTGTGTTAACCTCATGATAGTAGCCATTTTGCTTTGTGGGAGTGGCACCCACTTAATTGGCTGCTTTTGTGATGGATGCGCTTGAATTTGGTTGCAGCATCTTCCTTGGCCCTAATTTAAGATTGTGTTCCTCACGACCCATTTTGCACCTTTTTGTCAGCAGTGATTGTCTCCAGTTTTGGTAAATAGTGAAGGGTTTTTTTAAGCTTGTGCAGTGGTGTGTGTTTTGTAACACACAGCCTTGGTGAGCAACACCCATTTAGTTAGTTTCTTGTGTTAATATAGTTGACACAATGCACTTGAATTCAATGAATAAATGTTTGTATTATTTTGGATTTATGGTGTGCAATTGTGGTGTTTATTTTTGCAGTACAAATGATTTATTCATTGTTTTAAGGGTGGGGGTGTTACGGCTGTGTGTTTTTTTTTGTTTTGCATGTGTTTTTCCCCTTTTGTCTCTCCATAGCTGCCCAGGTGAAATCACTTGAGTGCCAATCAGACTCACCTGGTGCTGGGAGTCTAAAAGCCCAGAGCTGCCTGCAGTCTGGAGAGGCATTTGGTGGGGAACTGCTGCCCTGCTGCCTCTCATTTGTTTTGTGGGTGCTTTGTGTTTAGTTTGCAATTTTGTTGTTTTTTCACAATAAATCACGTGTTAAACTTTTGAAGGTGTTTTGTTAATTTGATGGGTAAAAAGTTGAGGATTGTTGTTCGCCCCATAGGGCCGCCTTCAGGTGGGGCGTAACAAATCTGATGCATCATTATTATTAAGTTGGTCTGCAGAATCCAAACCTTTTTTTTTAATGGCTATCGACATGACATCGGAGTGTTAGATGGAGGCAGAACAAAGCAAAACTGTATTGATACAGTAACCGTTACCACAGGGTAGCAGGAGCCTTGAAATATTGACTTGCTGTGCTGTTGGGTAGCAGGATGCTAATAGAAATGTCTCAAAACAGAGAACTATTCAAGCCGCTAACAAACCTTCATATCGTCAAAGCTTAACTTGTTGACAGTCATTAGCATTGGCTGTTTTTTGGTGTTTGACTGTGTAATCTCCTCCCTTTGGGTCTTCATTACATCCCGATCTATAGATAAGATGAGCATCCACCAGCCCACTGTGCCACAGCAGGGTTTCCACTGATGAGAAACTCCTTGCCAATCGATCTGCAAGCTTCCGCTTTGAGAACCTGATCAGCACAATCGGCCTTTTTAGTGTTGCTCTCTCCTGTTTGGAGCCATTGCATTGTTTTTTCTTGGTTTTGATTCAGAGTTGAAGGAATAATCGTTTCGTATACAATTAGAAAATTGATGAAGGATCAATTTAAACCAAATTTAAAGCATCAATATATTGAGTCATCGGGCCACAACAATTAAAACAGCAGTATAAATTAAATTTTATTATTTTTTTTTGAAATGATAAAAAGATTATGCATTATTTGGACAATTTTAAGCATAGTTTTGTTGACAAATTGTGTCAGAAAGCAAAGTTTCCATCTTTGTACTGGCTTATACATCCTGTCATTACTCCTCTTTGTTTACGTCCAGAGGCTCAACCTGCAGCCACAGACCTCCCACCGCTCGCAGGACAAGCTGAGGGAGTCGACGGACTCCTCCAGCGCTGGTCTCCAGTTCAGGATTCACTCCTACAGCCAGACGAAATCTGAGCAGAGTCAATGCTATGACGACTCGCAGCTCTGCCAGGGCAAATTTCTGACCGATGCAGTTCCTGTTGACACACAGACACAGATTCATGTCTTTAATGGTGCTTGTTAAAGTTTCTGTCAGGTTTTATTTGCTATAGATGTTAGAGAGGAGTGAGGGTGCATCACCTGGGGCCTGAGGAGAAAGGGATGAAGGCATGGGAGGCTCGCTTTTCTGTGTTTGTGGGGTCAAATCGGAAAGGATCAAACTCCTAAAAGAGAGCAAATCTGGTGAATCAAAGTTAAACCAAAGTGAAAAAAAAAAACTAAATTTTTAAGCATCTTACATGTGGGTTCGTCCATACAGCAGGGTTGTGGTGTGTCCCATAAATGCTAACTAAACATATGGCACCTTACGAAGACAGAAAACAACATTTTGAGAACAGTTTAACACTAATAAGAAAGTCTCCTATTGATTTGCAGACTTAAAATATATTAAAAAAAAATACAGGAGCAGAGACAAAAAATGTAAAACAATGTTAAAACAGTGTCTCACCCTTTGGTACAATGCAATCCTCTGGCAGCATCATGTCCTGCGTGTATTTCCTGGTCACAGCCTGCACAGGAGAGTGCAGCCGGAGAGACTCTCTGATGCACATGGTGGTGAAGGGAAGATTGGACAGATCCTCCCTGAACAAAATCAAACACATGCACATTCACGCTTAAATACTCCTCATTTCAAATCTCAATTGCACGCTATACTAAAGGGACTGAGATCCCTTTTTTTCAGGAAAAGAGAGAGATGGAAGAAAACTGACTGTTAAATCTGCAGTGATTTTGTACATATGTGTGTTTCCTGACCACTCTATTTCTTCTTCTTCTCGTCCTTGCATCAGCTCCATCACCTCCTGTCTGCACTTCTCCTGGTAATGCTCATGGCGTGCAAGATTATACAACGTCCAACAGATTGCACTGGCTGTAGTGTCATGGCCTGGAAACAACAGCATGAGGCTTGCATAACTCTTATTTATCCAAACCTTAGTAGAACAGTAGTATAGACAGTATAAGGTAAGAAATAATATATTTTTGCTGAAAATGTTGAGTTTGATCAAAGTTAAACATGCTTTATCTTCATTCATCATGCAAATGTTACCAGATACTAGCTAATTTTGTGATAAATTACACTTTTTTACATTCTGCTTATTTTCTGACAGTATTTTTTTGCTATCAAGGAATGCTAAACTCTTCCCACCTGCAAACATGAAGGTGTTAGCCTCGGCCTGTATCTCCTCATCTGTTAGCCCCTGTCCGTCCTCATCCTATAACAAACGCATATCATATTATTATTAGTATTATTTTACATTTTCACACTTTAGAATCTCTGCCTCATAGTTTTCCCCCTTTTTTAACCTCTGTCATGAGTATGATGTCTACAAAGTCCTTCCTTCTCTGTTGGGATGAGTGTGTTTGTGTTTCCCTCTGCTGGTCAATCAGAGCACGGCGTTTCTGGACCACATCTCTGGTAAAACTGCAAACATCATGTGATTTAAAACAACATAGCTACCACAGAAGCCCATTATACTTCTTTATTACATGGCTGTGTTGGATACATATCCACATTTCATGTCAAAGGTGTGCTATTCCTTAATAACAGACTGTTGCTATGAAGAATGGACCGTTGCTAAGGACAGCTTTGATCACAGACTTTGGCAGAGTCAAGCTTTTACAATCAAAAAACTTAATTCTGTGTTGTGATTTACCTGTGCACTATGTTCAAAGCCTTTTTGAAGCGTTTTCCCTGCTTTGTTTTCCAGTAAATCCAATCCCAGTGGTGTAAAACGTTTTGGCGGCGATCTATTACGAGGTCACTCAGCTCCACGATGGCGGATACGTACTCACTGGTGGACCTGCAGACAGAAATGTTGGTTTACATAAACGTAAGAATATATTCACTAAAATAGTATAGAGTGTTGGCTCACCGCTGACAGTTGCTGTCGTAACTGAAGGCACACTTTAATAAACTGTCCAGGGTCATTAGGGTGACATGGTTGAACATCTCCATGTTAGTGCAGCCTTCTGCCACTAGGTGATGCCATTTATCCTGAAAGACAAACAATATGAATTGTATTGTATTAAATCGACAGATGTTAACGAATATTTGACTTTACTATTTTTTGGTGGATGATAACTAGGGGTGGGAGGAAAAATCGATTCACATTAGTATCGTGATTTTTTGTTTTACAATTTTTAAATTGATTTTTATGTTGTTGTGATATGTACTTTTTGGGGAAATATGGTTCCTGTTATAGTCAGTAGACAGTCATAATCATTCAACTGTTTCACTGGTGTTAAAAATGCAGACTGTACATCTATATTGTCAAATCACAATTTAAATCGAATTGACATCCAAAAAATCGTAGAAGAATCGAATCGTGACAAAAGCAGATCATCCCAGCCCTAATAGTAACCATAAAATAAATAAATAAAATAAACATTTCAGCAGTTTTTAAGACAGAAATGACCGGAAAGGTTGAATGGGGGTGAGCAAAAAAAAGTTATCCGCAAAAGTCAACACCAGATTTGCTCGCATGGTTTGTAATTACAGTTACTTCAACATAGTGTGTAATGCTGATTTCACACAATAAAGTGTGTCTGTTGGCAAAAGCATGTGTCTTACATGCATTGTGTTGGCTGAAGTGTTAAATGTTCTGATGTAGTTCTTCAAAATATCGAAATGAAAAGCTGGAGTGAGCAGACGTCTCCTACGATGCCACTCTTCACCGTTGCTTATCAACAGACTCTGCCCTAGGATGTAGGAAAGAGAGGGTTTGGTGTTGAAGTAGGCAAAACTGAAATTATTGATCAAAAATTCATCTTTTGTGTAGTTCGTGATTTACTTACTGAAATAGTTCTTAAAATTGATTTTAAAAAAACATGCAAAAATGCTCTTTCACCCACCTAGCCATGGACGCAGTTGATCATAAATAAGCTCATCCTTCACTGTGATGTTTGCTAGATGGAAGGAAAAGAACTGATGAGAGGAAAAACTGCTTTACAGATAGTATATATATGCAAAAATGTCAAATTTATGTTTCCCCACCAGATGCCATGAGCAGAGGTTTGACATAGTCTGGATGGAAGAGCCTGACCAGGTGATAGAAAGGGCCGATGAACCAGCTGCAGGAGTGTTTATATGTCTGTACCAGCTCGTCCACCTGCAGGAGGCCTTCCTCTGTGCTCTGCATCTGAGGTATGCATCAATATATGTCACTTTGACTGGCTGGATTTGATTAACTCTCCAAATTCTCAGGCAGTTTTTCATAAGAAATTCAAGCAAAGAGGATTATTTTGTAATCCTGACTTGTTGCAACACTGCAGCACATACTGAAAAGCCAATAGCATGACTGGAGAACTGATAAATAAGACTCTAAATGTATTTAAGTTTTGTTTCTGTTTGTGTCCTACCTGTCCGAGATGTCCCAAAAGCCAGGAGTGTGTCGGTGGCCTGCTGAAGCAGGACAGTCTGTATGTGTACCAGGCATGTCGCACCAAAAGCCTCGCCGTCAAAACTGCAATCACAATTCCTAGTCCTGCGCAGACCACCAAAGGAACCCAGCACAGGCCCGTCCACAAAACCTGAGAGAGGACAGACATCCTGGGACAAAAACGGAGGGTGACAGACATCCAAAGAAGTCTAGATTACATGACACTAACTCTGCTCTGCCACTGTGAGAAGTTGCTGGTGTTGAAATAGGTACAAACCACAGTGTGCTTCCTTTTTTTGCAAAGATTTCCTAAGAAAACAACTGACATTTATTGGCGACACAACTTCCTGTATTTGAAAGAATAACCCTTGATTTCCTTTAACTTCAACTGACACCATGTTACAATGATGGAGGCTCATTTGTGTTTTAGGTTACTTTGTTTTTAACTGTTATTTCTTTCCTTCTCTGTTTGCTGAGAAGATGGATGGGAACTTTTTGGAATAACATGGTTTTATTCATTCATTTAACTTGAGCTGGACTTGACCTTTAGGCAACCTGATGTTATATTTTCGATTAACTGTATAATTGTGTAGTAGCCCTTTAATGCCTGACACCACAAATTATGGCCAGAAAATTCAAATTTCCTTAAAAATCAAAATGTCCTTAAAATTTAGCAAATATATTTATTCATCTCGTTTGATACATGCTTGATAGATGCTTTTGGAAACTGATAAACTACAAGAGCACATTTTTATCATTTATCGGACTGTATTCAAATGTTTTTTCAGTAATTTGTTGATCATATTGATTTGATAGAAGTATATAAAAGTATGTATCAAATATGATAAAAAAGGTATTAAAAAGTATAGTGTGTTTCTTTGTTGTAGTTATCACAGCCTTGCTGTTTTTGTACTTTTCTTCTTGTGTCTTGGGCCCAGAATTTACTTTCGTATCATGGTATTTCTTACCCTGCAAAATTTGTATATATTTGTGTATGTGTATGTGTATGTGTTATATTTCCTTTTTAAAGTCTAAATATGTTGACAATATGTTGGTACTGTTTTCATACAACCACTCTTATTGTGAAAGTCAATTGCACAAACATTTGATGGCTGCTAAAAAGTTTTGCCAAACAACAAAAACATTTTATTAAAAAGCAAACAAAAAAAAAGCGAAAAAGTAAAAAATAAAAAAATAAAAATAAATAAAACCAAAACAAAAAACACATTGATTCATTAATCAGAAGTCAGAATAATCAACATCCGGGATTGACGAGCTGCTCCTGAAGGCTGCACCGATTGGCTCGTGGCGCACCAGCGTTTGCTTACGAACTGTGGCTAAAGTGAAACTTGTAACGATAAAACTGCGAAACTGTTCGTGTTTGCTGACTTTTATTTGAAACCTGATAGTATCAGGTAAGTTTAATTCGACGTAATTGTACGTAATACGGCTGTAAGAAAAACTTGAAGCAAATTAGCTTGAAGCGATCGTTTCAGACGCCATTTTAGGTTTTTCCCCCCATCTCCTGCAAGGCTGCTGTTCCCGCTACGTAGCTAATTTACATAATTCAAGTTTAGTTAATACGACATTTAACCCGCTTTAATTTCCCTTTTTCTTTAAACAACTTACATTTCATGTATCAAACTTAATAGAATTCAAAGCTGTCAACAGAAATAAAAGGGAGTAATGAAACAATTTCCTGTGTAAGTATGAAGTAGAATCAGAACGGGTTTTATTGCCATTGTCGATGAACAGGATTCACAGACTAGGAATTTGTAGCTCTAGATATTAATATTAAACTGTGACAAACCCTCATGAATTCAGATAATCTTGATAATTATTCATTTTATGTGTGTGTTTGTGTTAGGTTTTCAGCTAAAAAATGGATGAGACGTCAGAAGAGAACACCAGGGTTGCAAACCAACAGGCACCTCCACCTGCCTGCAGCTCCCCACTACCACCTCCACCTGTTGGCAGCTCCCCACTGCCACCTCCACCTGTTTGCAGCTCCCCACTGCCACCCCCTGATTGCAGCTCCCCACTGCCACCCCCTGATTGCAGCTCCACACTGCCACCTCCACCTGTTTGCAGCTCCCCACTGCCACCCCCTGATTGCAGCTCCCCACTGCCACCCCCTGATTGCAGCTCCACACTGCCACCTCCACCTGTTTGCAGCTCCACACTGCCACCTCCACCTGTTTGCAGCTCCCCACTGCCACCCCCTGATTGCAGCTCCACACTGCCACCCCCTGATTGCAGCTCTCCACTGCCACCTCCACCTGTTTGCAGCTCCCCACTGCCACCTCCACCTGCCTGCAGCTCCCCACTGCCACCTCCACCTACCTGCAGCTCCCCATTGCCACCTCCACCTGTTTGCAGCTCCCCACTGCCACCCCCTGATTGCAGCTCCACCCTGCCATCTCCACCTGCCTGCAGCTCCCCACTGCCACCTCCACCTGCCTGCAGCTCCCCACTGCCACCTCCACCTGTTTGCAGCTCCCCACTGCCACCTCCACCTGCCCGCAGCTCCCCACTGCCACCTCCACCTGTTTGCCCTGATTGCAGCTCCACCCTGCCATCTCCACCTGCCTGCATCTCCCCACTGCCACCTTCACCTGCCTGCAGCTCCCCACTGCCACCTCCACCTGTTTGCAGCTCCCCACTGCCACCTCCACCTGCCCGCAGCTCCCCACTGCCACCTCCACCTGTTTGCCCTGATTGCAGCTGCACCCTGCCGCCTCCACCTGCCTCTAGTTCCCCACTGCCACCTCCATCTGATTGCAGCTCCCCACTGCCACCCCCTGTTTGCAGCTCCACCCTGCTACCCCCTGCAGGGCAGGACCACCCTTCCCAGAACCCTCAACCTACGAGTTCTTCATCTCTTTTCCCTGAGGACCTCTTCGGTCCCATCCAGACGTCCAACACTCCGGTCCCTCTCGCAGGCACCTTTCTGAGCAGCTCCCCTGAGTCCCAGAGAGATGTGGTCAAACAGGGTTATCTTGGGAAGCTGGAGCGCGACCACAGGAGATATTTTGTCCTGAGAAGAGGGAGTCACAGTGGGCTGAGCCGACTTGAGTGGTACAAGAGTGAGGAGATGTTCACCGCTGCTGAGAAGTCTTCTCGGAGAGCTGCACTGTTTGGCTCAGACATAGAGGGGTATGTTTCTCTGACTTTAACCAAACGCAGTATAGTATAGAGATTATGAGTGAATTGTGTTTAATTAATTCCTGCTTCACAGCTTGGTTTTCCTGAGGTGCTGTAATGGCCTGAGCCGGGTTCGCAGCTCCAGAAAAGGCCACACAGTGATGCTGTACACCAAGGATCAGACTATAGTGCTGGTGATGGAGGATCAGAGGGAGCAGGAGGAATGGTACCAGGCTATAAAGAAGCTGATCGAGGAGGATCGGAGGGATGACGACGAACATGGAGAAGGGTATAGTGCAGAGGATGGCGGGTACTCCACTCTTACCCCTGCTGCTTTCTACAAAGAGGTCAGACATAACTTTGACACCAATGACTTGAATGACTATGACTATGTGGTTCTCTTTCAATGAAACTTCTTTGGTTAGTCATGATACAACAGTTTCATAACAACTTGGTGTTCCTGTGATATTGGAGTTGTAATCAGCAGACGTGTTTTTTCATGTATCCATCAAAATTCGACAATGTAACTGCAGATTTTATCTTAACTGATTTACTTCCAAATGCTCTGGTTCACGGTGAGTGTTGTTCTACTTGCTCCTTTAACCTCCATATATAAGGTTTGGCGTGTTACCATAAAGCCTCGGGGTCTGGGTGTTTGCAAGTCCCTGGTGGGTGAAAACCGGCTCTGTCTCACTGCGTCAGCCCTCATCCTGATTAGAGTTGGCGTCAGCAGCAATTTGCCTTCGGTTTCCATACCGCTGCTTACTGTTCGGCGCTTTGGCCACTTGGAAGGCTTGTTCTTCATGGAGCTTGGGAGGTCGGCACCGACCGGTGCTGGAGAGATCTGGATGGAGACTAAAGACCGAGGTAAGTAAGAAAAGAAATATTTGATGGTTTTACTCATTAATTTTACTGTGACCTCTGGCTTTCATTTGGTCTGGATAGGAACCTCAGCAGTGGCCCAGCGCATTCATGAAGTCATCCGTGAGACAGTAAGTGAGCTACGGGCTGAGTTCATGCGGTCCTCGATCTCCAAGAACAACCAACACTACCTGACCTTAAAGCGTAGACCGAGACACCAAGACAGACCAGTGAATGTGAGACCGTTTGGTTCTTCCTGGGTCCTTCCTCCCAGAAGCCCTGAAGTTCAACCAAAAAGCTGCCTTAAGACCAAAAAAGGGGTCAAAACTGAACCTGAATCCGCTTCGAGATCCACACCTGAGACCAGTGGCTACATGGAAATGAAGATTGCACATCCTTTCCGTGCAAACACACCAAATAGCGGTGTTACAGCTGGGAGAGAGGGCCGGGAGCCACGTGAAGAAGAAGAGGAGGAGGCGGTGTACATGATGATGTCGCCACAGGTGAGCTCCAGCTCCCGTAAGCGGCCTCAGGGTGATTACATGCCAATGTGGAGCCCACAGAAACACAACCTGCCTGCTGGCGCTTCCCTTCAGGCATCATGCAGCAGGTGAGCTGGTTACAGAATTACCGTAAATTCTCTAATAGCTTAAGAAAGCTCATTAAACATTATATTTCCAAGCCAAGCAAATGCAGCCTTTCCTACTTGTTTGATTTTTTTCTTGCTAAATTTGATATAAACCTTAAACAGATATGAGAATATAGGAGGAGGTGACACACATTCCTTTTACTCTAAAAGAAACTTAAAAATATAATTTCTTCTCCTTATGTAGCTTCATCTCTGATGGCTACTCTCCAGAGCGCAATCCACCAAACTGGCCAACCTCAGTCCAACCACGTGAAACAGAATCAGAAGCTGGCCAATCGCAGAGGAGCATCAGCATCCCCCGTCAGCAGATCTCAGCTGAGCAGAAATCAGCTGAGCAAGACCAGCTCCCAGCTCAGAGCAGGGTTACCTCAGCGCCTGTGAGGTATCAGAGCAGGAGTGACACAATCGTTCCTTTTACTGTAAGTGGGCAAAGCTACTCCAGATCGGTCCAGGTTCAGCCAAATCCAGGAACAGAGAAGTCTGTTCGATTCGCACCAGATCAATCCACTGGAAGATCTCGACTGGCTCGTTGTCTGCCTTGCTGCTTTAGGGCTGAGGATTGATCCTGAATGTTTATTTTATTGAGTTTGTCGAGTGAATATTTAAACTGAAATGGTTCCAGTCTGACACTCACCGACACCTGCTGTTAAGAGTTTAATAGAGTTCAATGTCTTCAGTTCAGAACAGTGATGTATGTTAAAGAAAGTGGTTCCAGTGTGACTTTCACCAACGCCTGCTGTAAGAGTTTAATGTCTTCAGTTCCGAATGAAGATGCATGTTAAAGAAAATGGTTCCAGTGTGACTTTCACCGATGTCTGCTGTTAGAGTGTAATGTCTTTAATTCAGAACAATGATGTATGTTAAAGAAAAACTGTGACAATTGTCGATAATTTCAGTTTATTTTTGTACGAAATTTCACTTTTTTATGTTTGGTGCTGAAAATAATCAAGCCTGTAAGTTTTTTCACTGTCAAATGGTACAATTAAAAAAAATATGTTCGATGGTTCAAATTTCTTTGTTTTTATTAAAAGAATTGACTGAGTGACATAGACGGGTTATACATGCTTGACTTAAAATTGGTGGTTGAAATCATACAAAAAAAAAAAAGGTGATAATGTCTCCCTGAGAGCGGTTTTTCAGGAGTGGATTCCCTTCCACAGGGGCCACAATCTTGCGCTGTGATTTATAAAAAAAAGTACCAGTCAGATCAGTTCAAGTAAATGCACAGCTTTAAAAAAGGATGAACAATACAGCACACTGAATTAAAAGCTGTTTGCTACTTTACAACCTCCTCCGGCGGTCAGTTCTTCCAGGTGTAGCTGTAATTGTTCATGTTGATGTGGGTCAGAGCAGTCTTGCCCAAGCTAGGGGGCTGCTTTAGCTGCTGGACGGAGGTGGGGTGGAGACCACAGCTGCTCAGATCTACTGACCCACCAGCGCACTGTAACACAAAAAAAGAAAGAGTCAGTGGGATGAATCAAATAATCAAAGCAAGTCGCTGTAAGCTAGTGTGCAAATATTCAACCAAAACTAGTAATTCACTTAAAAGCACTCGGCGGCTCTACCTGTTGCTTGTTGCCGTGTGTGTTCATGACGGCGGTTGGTGCGTGGGTGTATAGAGTGGCTGAGAAGTTTCCTTTCTGGGCGGGTCTGAGGAGGGTTGTGACGGCGTGTAGGGAGGAGGGAAGGATGGGTCCTGAAGGAGGGAGGGAACAAAAACAAAAACTTTAGATTTAAATCAGAAAATTATTTTAAAAGAAGCAGATAATTGAAGCCTGATTATGTGTGATGTGTACCTGTGATCTCCAGACTGCTGATGCTCTGGTATGTTGTACCAACCTGGCTCTTCACATTCACACTTCGAGCCTGGAAACAAACACACACTTGAACAAACGCAGAGATTTGCGGCTGACCGTTTCAGGACTGATATTGTTCATGACTCTGTACCTTCAGCGTCTGCATCGCAGCCCCTCTAAAGGCAACGGGAGCCAGCAACGTAGGGGGCAACCCGGCCTGGGACCCTGCTGTCGCCACCAGACTCTTACAGTTGATGAGGAAGTTGATCAGGGAGAAGGTGTGTGAGCCCTCCACACACACCACAGACTCTGGTTTGTGGTCCAGGGAGACTGTGTGGCCCTCTTTACGACTAAATAAAGAGTCAAGGAAATTCATACCAAAGACTCACGCTTAAATGAAACACAGCTAACTGTAGAGTCCAGAGGGGAGGATACAGTTGGATCATGATGCTGCCCGGCTTCTTGATTTTGTCCTGGACCCCAATCTCCTCCAGCCAGGAGAAGCTGCCGTCATCGTCCTCATCTTCGTTGTCGTATCTGCAGCTCTCTCCTTCCCCACCTCCCTGACAGCTGTCGCCTTCTTTCAGCTCAGAACACCTGCAAATTAAAAGCATCAACACCATCCTTCAATTAAGCAACTGGAAGGCAAGTAATTCTGATAGTCGAGCCATAAATCCCCCCAAACATTTACACTCATAAGTCAATGTCATGTGCCAGTGGCCTACCAAAGTGCTTTACAGTAACGAGGCAGTAGCAATAAAAGCAAGTCATACACAGCAAACAGCAACAACAAAAGACATGTAACATATAAATATAAATAAAAACAAATATATAACCAATACAAGTATCATACTCCGTCAAAAGCTAAGGTGAACAAGTCCGTCTTCAGTTGAGTTTTAAAAGCAGAGAGACTATTTGCAGTACGCACACTTAGGGGTAGTGCATTCCACAAAGTGGGAGCTGCAAACGCTCGCTCCCCTCTGGATTTTAAAAACGAACGAGGCACGTCTAAGACGACTCGGTCAGCAGACCTAAGAGCTCTGGAGGGTTGGTGTAGCTCAGTGGTTCTCAAGTCCAGTCCTCGAGCCCCCCCGTCCTGCATGTTTTGGATGTTTCCCTGCTCCAACACACCTGATTCAAATGATTAGCTCGTTATTACAGAGCTTGATAACGAGCTGATCATTTGAATCAGGTGTGCTGGAGCAGGGAAACATCCAAAACATGCAGGACAGGGGGGCTCGAGGACTGGACTTGAGAACCACTGGTGTAGCTTAACAAGGTCAGCCAGGTACTCCGGGGCCAGCCCATTCAGAGATTTAAAAACAAATAAAAGAATCTTAAAAACGATCCTGTACTGGAGTTATGTGCTCGTGCTTCTTGGTGCCAGAAAGGAGGCGAGCTCAGCCTGGTCAATTCCGAAGTAAAGAGAATTGCAGTAATCCAAGCGAGAAGTAATAAAAGAATGGATTACTGTTTCCAGGTCTCTTTGGTTGAGATATGGTTTAATCTTTGCCAAAAGCCTCAGCTGGAAGAAGCTGGACTTGACCACAGCACTGACCTGCTTGTCCAGTTTGAAGGCACCATCAATAATAAACCCAAGATTCCTGGCATGGGATTTTACGTACGGTGCTAATGGATCGAAGGAGCTGGCAAGGACCTGAACCAGGTCTGGACGGCAGAACAGGATAACCTCTGTTTTGTTTTCATTTAGTTTTAGCAAGTTTAGGTCCATCCATGTTTTAACGTCTTTCATGCAGTTAAACACAGCCTGGAGCGAGTCTTTAGTAGGTGCCTTCACCGGCAAATACACCTGTACATCATCTGCAAAACAATGAAAGGGGATACCGTGCTTCCTAAAAATGGACCCCAGCGGTAGCATATAGAGGGAGAACAGTAAAGGGCCCAGGACTGACCCCTGGGGAACACCGCATGTCAGAGGGGCAACGGAGAAGGAAAACTGTCCCATGCGAACAGAGAAGGATCTCCCAGAGAGGTAAGATTTGAACCAGCTCAGGGCAGTCCCTTTTATGCCTACACAGTGTTCCAGGCGAGATAGGAGGATTGAATGATCCACTGTATCAAATGCCGCTGTTAGGTCTAGGAGAATTAAAACGACACAGTTTCCAGAGTCGAGATTTAACAAAAGATCATTAAAAACCTTTAAAAGAACAGTTTCAGTGCTGTGAAGCGACTTAAAACCAGACCGAAACAATTCAGAAACATTGGCCCTCTGTAAAAACTCTTGGAGTTGGTTAAAAACAACTTTCTCTAAAACCTTGGAAATAAAAGGAAGTTTAGAAATAGGCCTAAAATTAGATCAAATCAAGGGATCCAGATAAGTGAAGAGTGAAGACAGAGGAAAAGCAAAACACTCTTACTCTTGTGCTTTCTCCATCTGCTCGTCTCCAACCTTTTGGTGCGCTGTCAGGTTCTGCTCCCTGCTCTTCCTCCGCTCGTCCACTAGGGGGAGACTGAACTCTATCCCTAAACAGACATGCAAAAGAAGCCTCAAATTTCTCAACAAGTAAAAATATCCAGCTTTTTCAACTCCTATTGGAATTATCTACAAAATGGGAGGAAGTGATTCTCGTTAGGACTCACCCTCAGCCTTCATGGCCTCTCTGAGACCTCTGGTTGTTGGAGAGATTAAAGCTGTGATGGAGCCGGAGCCCCCAAGACTTGCAGCCCTGAACAACACTGTAAACTGGCACAACAGAGGAGACGACATAAGAGGCATTGAAGTTGCAGCGATGAAGTGGTTATGTGATTGAGCAAATTTTTAAAATTCGCTACCTGATAGGAGCAGAGGTAGAAGTAAGGGCACAGTCTGGCCTTCAACAAACCGTAGAGAGATGACAGACTGACTGACCTGCAGAGGACAGAGAGAAAACACGGTTATAAGCAGAACAGCTCCAGAAATTATACCGTGGCTGCTGCTGATGTTTCCAGCCTCACCATTCACTCATCAGACTCTTCTGCAGAGCTGCATCCTGAGCCCATGGTGTGCTCTTCCCATTAAAGCTCCTCTCAGCATTGATTCTTGGGAACAGAGACAGCCAAGGCAGGGAGGGGTGCTGCCAGTAGACCAGACTCTGCTGGAAGGCACAGCGGAGCTCGGAGCAGGACCTGGGATCCTGCAGGGAATGACACAAAAAGTTAGTAACTTGAAAACATGGAGATAATAATCGCTCTCCTGTTATTCAAACGCTACCTGTATACTGTGTGGGAGAGTGCTATAGTGAGCTCTGCAGTGCTGGCTCAGCCCCACAGCTTCCTCCTGGGCTTTAGGGTGCTCTGCCCATGACAAGGGGAGCGGGGAGGTGAAGAGAACGCGGGTCTTCAGGCTCCAGTCAGTCGGGTACTGGGTGCAGACGGGGGGAGCGATAGAGGCGGGAGTGATGGACTGGGGACTCTGGGAAGAGAGACAGTAGAGGACATTATCAATGGGGAACAGGAGTGCTAAAGGGCAAAAAAGCACTGTAAAAAAATCAAACCTTCAGTAGTGGCGCCTTCACATCTTCCTCCTCCTCCTCTTCAAACAGGGAGTCATCTTCAGAGAAAGTGAGACTCTTCTGTAAAAAGAGACAGATGATTCACTGCTATGTTCTACCTCAAAGCAAAATACAGGTTTATTCAGAGTCAAACATCAAAAAATTAGGAATTAGATTTAGTAACTTGATCCCAAAAGATAATCATTTGCATACGACAAAATAAAGCCTGAAAGATGTGCAATTAGTCATTATCCTATACCCATAGTATTAATGAGTTCCCCGAAGACAGACACACTGTGGTGCACGTTTCTGCTCACATTTATGTTTTATTATTGATACAACAAGAAGAAAAATCCCTTTAGCACCTTAAGGACTCTGTATCAGGTGTCCTTTTGTGTTAATGTACCCTGTATCGCGATATTGTTCTGCAGTCTGGCCCATGTGGACAACATCATCGTCAAGTTCGCTGACGACACCACAGTGGTCGGACTGATCTCAGAGGGAAATGAGGCAGCCCACAGAGAGGAGGTCCAAAGGCTGACCACCTGGTGTTCAGACAACTACTTGGCACTGAACACCAGGAAAACAAAGGAGGTCATCGTGGACCTCAGAAGGAACAGGACTAATCGGCCCCCCTCTACATCAACGGCGAGTGTGTGGAAAGGGTCCACACATTTAGGTTCCTGGAAATCCAGATCTGCAATGACCTCTCCTGATCAGCCAACATCACTGCCATCATAAGGAAGGCCCAGCAGCAGCTGCACTTCCTGAGAGTCCTCAGGAGGAACTAGCTCAGTGGTTCTCAAATCCAGTCCTCGAGCCACCCCATCCTGCATGTTTTGGATGTTTCCCTGCTCCATCACACCTGATTCAAATGATCAGCTCGTTAGTAAGCCATCTCAGAGTTTGATAACGAGCTGATCATTTGAATCAGGTGTGTTGGAGCAGGGAAACATCCAAAACATGCAGGACGGGGGGGCTCGAGGACTGGATTTGAGAACCACTGAACTAGCTGGACAGGGAGCTGCTGCCGGCCTTCTACTGCTCATCCATTGAGAGCCTGCCGACATACTGCATCACCACATGGTACGAGAGCTGCACCGAGGCAGACAGAGGGAGGCTCCAGAGGACAGTCAAAACAGCACAGAGGATCACTGGCTGCCCATCTACTCCACCCGGTGCCTCAGCAGAGCTCAAAACATCATCCAGGACCCTTCACATCCCGGTGCCCAGCTGTTTGACCTGCTGCCCTCTGGGAGGCGCTACAGGTGCATCAAAGCAAGGACTAACAGACTCCAAAACAGCCTCTTCCCTCGAGCCATCATCTTAAACTCCCATAAACCTACTCCAGCCCTCAAGATGAGGGAACAAGTGCAATATTACCAATATTACTGCTGCTGTGTTGATTATTATATTCTGAACCTGTGTCATACATGTCCATATACATATAAAAATGTATATATATTTCAACACACATATGTATTTAGTTTTAGTATTTATCTTTCTATTTTATTCTTATACATACGTTTTGTTTTACTTCTGTAGAATTCTTGTCTTGTATATATAGTACCTTCTTTCTACGACTATTTGTACTTTTACTACCTTATTTTTACTTGTCAATTGCACTGGAAAGGAGAAGCTCTCCAATCTCGTTGTACTTTTAGAATGATGACAATAAAGGGCATTCTGATTCTGATATTCTGTATAAACGCACCCATCGAACGCCTCTCGTCCAATCAGATTGATCAGGTATCAGCTGTACAATGTAGATGGTGGTTAGTTACTCAAACAGACCTTGCTGGAAACATCTCGCCTCTCCTTCTGCTCGACTTCGGTCAACCTGGCGCTGAAAGGTAAAGCTCCTCGATCCTGTTTCTGTGTTTCCTCCTCTCCCTCCCTTTCCGTCAGTTTATTTATCTGACTCACAGCTTCTGCGTTTCCATCATCGTTGTAAATAATCAGTTTCTTCTTCGGGCTGAAGGTGTTTTCGATATTTGCAAACGGGTTCCTGCGTTTTAGTCCTCCTCCAGAGCGACTCTGAGGGCTGAGAAGAGGTCCAGGGGAAAAGGGCCGAACGCAAGCCGGGGATGACTCGCTTTGTCTGGGGCTGCTTGTGGAGCCTTGGCCGCTCGGGCTGGAGAAGACACTGGCGTCGCTTCGGGTTCTTTTCCGTCTCATTCGCATGATTTCAGCCGGTCGTTTGAAATTTGGTGAATAGCCTGCCTGTTCAGACATCTTGACGAGGAAAAACGAATTAAAAATAGACGATTTGTAACGAAAAAGAGGCGATTAAAACACTTTCTACGCTGGTGTTGTTGCTATTGCGCCTTCCGCACTTTACAAATTTGGCGCTCAGCGTGTTGACGTAGGACGTTTTGCGCATGTTGCATTTGCTTACGTGGGAAAATTGAGTTTCTACACTTGAAATATGGTGAGAGAAACAGTTTTCACCTAGATAACTTAGACTAGATCACATCTATTCAAAGGCTCAAACGGGTTTTCACGTCTCTTTTGAGTTTAGAAGTTGATTTCCTGTGTTTTTTAAGTAACACAAGCGAGGTATACATAATAATCCACGACTATGAGTTTTCCCACTACTCTTAAACATCTCATGCATTGAAAGTTTAAACCATAAAACGGGTTGAAACGCATTTTACTTTCGCTTCTTTTTAAACGATGTTAAACAAAATTATCAATAAAATACGATTTTAAAATATCAAAAACATGTATATTAACGCAAACAGGTTTGATTCACCTTTGACAGCGTTGTTAAATTTTACAGATACACTATGGCTGTGTCCGAAATGGATCCCTAACCCCTATATAGGTGACTACATGGGAGCTAGCGCCTTTTTGAGGGGTGTCCGAAACCTCAGTGATCAATTCCAGGGCCCAATACAGGTGACTCAATATTTCCCATAAAGCATTGCAAAATGTAGTGACCATCCGATGGGAGAGGGACACAACCATAGACATAATAAAAGGGTTTCTGTTATAGGACTTGCCACATAGTCCGATTTCCGAATAGTTGCCCTGGTCCATCAAGCTCGGTCAGAATTGCACGCCTCACCTCGAATATTGGGGAGTAGTTACGGTGTCTAAACAAGCCAGCTTCTTTCAAGCAGGTCTTCAGCGTTCGAACGCTCATGCCAATGCCGTGAATAGTTGACAACATGTCGACTATAACGTCATATGTGTGTCCTGCATGAAAATATTGTTGGATAATTTCGAGCAAACTTTCGCTTTCGGCGTCCATGTTCGTGTTTACTTTCCCGTTCCGACATCCAGCAGGTGGCAGTAGTACTCCACCCCCCGCGGAGTAAACTGCTATTAAACTACAACGAAGAAGAAGAAGACCGACGATGCTGTCCTGTTTTGGGATTTGCGGTTGCGTTTTCTTTTTTGTGTTTGCATTTGTGATTTGCGGATGTGTTTTCTTTTTTTGTGTTTGCATTTGTGATTTGCGGTTGCGTTTTCTTTTTTTGTGTTTGCATTTGTGATTTGCGGTTGCGTTTTCTTTTTTTGTGTTTGCATTTGTGATTTGCTGTCGTGTTTTGTGATTTGGAGTTGCGTTTTGTGATTTGTAGTTGCGTTTTCTCTTTTGTGTTTGTGTTTTGATTTGCTGTCGTGTTTTCTCTTTTGCGGTTGTGTTTTGCACTTCCAGGCCACCGTACAAACTATTTCGAGAGGGACACAACTGCAGCGCAAGATGGCGGACCCAAAAGATGAACTTCCGCAATGAACTTCTGCAATGAACTTCTGCATTACCTCCGATTGGCGGACCCAAAAGAATTACCTTCCGGCGGATGGGCTTTCTCGTTGGCGGACTTCCGGCGACGAAATATTTCGCCAAAAGTTTGTTTTTTGGTCACATCCATGCGGTACGTTTCTAACGGAATTAATTCTTCCAGCTAAATAAAGAAACAACATGTGGGAAGGTTATTCCAATGATCGATTTTTTTTGTCAGAAGGGACTTCCGGTAGTCGGATTTAGTCGCCGGAAGCTTTTTTTTTTTTTTTTTCGCTCCGTTCATTCCGTAAGAATCGAATAGAATTTATTATTGAGCTAAAAATCAAAATAAAACGTTTATGTATTAATTATGACTACTGTTTTGTTCTGATTTAATTCTGAATTTTACAGTAATATGTATATATAGACTGATGTCCTCATATTCTGATAATTTGTCAGAATAGGTATAAATGTATATAGAAGTTATCATCTTACTCAAATTCTTATGTAAGAGTTTGCTACAAGTATGGACTGTTTTAACCTCTTGTTACACATCATATAAGAGTGTTTTCTAACTTCTCTCTCCAATAGCTTTATTACACAGCACATGAATGTTTCTTAACTTCTCTGTGACCTTGTTTCTCCTATTAGCAGGTGTGTGTGTGTGATGTATCCTCCACTGTGAATCTATTAGGACCTCGTTTAATGTCAACAATGTTGCCCTGACCCTCACATATTTTCTGTTGTTCATAATTAGGTTTTACGAGAGTGCTTACGTTGCTGCACATATTTTTCCCCCCATCCTTTAGTAACATTGTGTAACCAGGGACATAATTTATGAAATGGTGTGCTTCCTGGTGAGCCTCTTCAGGATTGCTTGACTGTGAAAATCCAAGTATACAATAATTGTAGAGACACAAGTCACATGATCTGTTTAAGGTTCAGAAGAGCCATTTAGCAAAAACAATTGAATTGCGATATCATTACAGACTGTGTAAAGAAATAGGAAATTGTCATACAACTGCTTCAAAGATTTCTTTAATATTTTCCAAAAAATAAATTGTGAACAGTAAAAAAAATATATAATATATACATAATTTAGAGCGTTGCCGTCGGTGTGGTGGGGGGCTTAAAATATGTTGCCACAGGCCATCATCTGCTCTGCTCTGAACCGGGTGATGCCATGCTCCTGAAGTGCTTTGATCAAAAGCTGAAAAACAGTCAAATAATGTGAACAATTGAAGTTATGCAGTATGGGTTAATTGTTGTTTTTGAGCTTTCCAAATGAATAAGAACAACCTCTTAACAATATCATCAATTTTCAAAGCAAGCTATATAGTTTGATCTACTCACCTCTGGGAGCATGACGTCAAAGACAAAATCAAGCAGGTGAATCTCGCCTCTTTTGATTTTTTCCGATATGGTTGTTGCCTCCTCAATAAACCGCAGGAGCTCGAACATCTATTGAAGAAAAACACAGAAAGTAAACAGCTTTCAAATGTAACACCTCTGAGAGTAAAAATACTCATGATGGATGGCATTTTTACTTACGCGCTGCTCACTCCAACTTAGTGACCTTATCTTTAGATGCTGCTTTAGCCGGAGTGAGGTGGCGGGATTCCTCCAAAGAATCATCCTGTTGGAGCGGATCTTTCCAGAGAGTAGATCATCGTGTAATGTCTGAAACCAAAGAGCAAGAGACAAAAATGTAATCAGCTGAAAAAGAAACGGTGGCTTTAACAACTGATAGTGCATTCAAAAGCAACCTTGATCTGTGTCTTAGAAAAGACAGCATGAATTCCTCCACTGTCAACAGCATCCTTGATCCTGCAGAGAAATAAGAAAAAGAGCAAGCCCTCATTTTTTCATCCTTTGAGCCTCGTATTTTTGACTGATACTATGTTTCCTTGATAAATTATGTTATACCGAGGATGCTCAATAGAGTCCTCGCAGCCGCAGTCAAACGGCTCCATGTCAATCCCGGCACAATCCTGATGCAGCCAGCCCCTGCACGTCTTGCACTGGACCCATTTTATCAATTTTACCTCAGGGTAAAGCAATCTGATCAAATGAGAGACAAACATAATATTAAACAAACACGCAGTCCAATTGATTATACCTCTACAGCACATTTGAATGTATAAATAATTTTCCCGCATGATTCGTGCATTTAAACTAGATGTAAAAGTGGTCACTTCATGGAAAATCACTGAATAGGCCCCGATAATTGCATTTATTAAATTGAGTCTGCAACACACCTCTCTCCTGTGACATCCGATGCCGTCTGCGTCATGGTTTCCTTGACAAGTCAATTTGAAAAGTAACATCAATTACCAAATACATCGAGACAATGTTGATCCATACAACTGTGTGCATTTTGAAGGACTCCCACTGAGATAATACTGTTTTTAGAAGGCAATTTTCTAACCTCTATGTCCTGCTGCTCTGCCTTCCTCTTTAGACTGAAGACCGGAGTATGCTTTCCAGCAATGAGCTCTTGACATTCTTTGGTCCAGTGGGCGAAGATTTTCCCACAACTGTAATGACAATTTATCTTTAAGTACAATATATTGATTGTCTTCCAGTTAATTAGGGCATCTAGTTTACTTAAACTGTCTACCTGTTCAAAGAATTGTTCTCCAGGAGCAACAGGCACCACCATCGCCGCAAAACAGGCATGTCATGCTGAAATTGTTGTTTGTATTTCATTTTAGTGCACAATACAAAATACAACCTTGAGGATGACACTGCGTGTTGAAAAGTACTTACAACTGAGTGGTCAAACTGTGACTCCATAACGATGTACATGGCAGACTTAAAAAAAAAAAGATTATGAGACAACATGTGAGATAACTTTAAAAAAGTCCATGTTGGAAAGTTATTCTAGATACAATATTTGTGCATTACAGCTCGTTATGACCTACCATCAACATGAATATGCCACAGTCTGAGCCGAAGTCCTGGCTGGGGAAGCCCTGATTTAACAAAAGCAAACGTTAATCATCTTGTCACATACACTTTGTAGGAGCCAGATTGGGGTTTTGCAGTTTATTGTTATGTATTTTTTGTGCCAGCAGATGGTGCTATTGTGCCTGTCTATTTAATGGGTGGGTTGATTAGGACAGGTGCGCACACCTGGGAAGCCGAACAGTTTTTTTGACCGTGTGAAGTGGTCTTGTGTCTTTGTCTTACATAAAATGATGAATGAGTAAATAAATCAAAACAACAGAAAATATGGACGGTGTGACATGTGACATTATTCCACCTGCGGGCACGCGTCAACTCAAGCAAAAAGGTGTTCACCACAAGTAACAGCATTGGAAAGCTGTTATACACTTTTCAACTGTAATATAGAGCATGCACAAATACCTCTAAATCTCTGCCCGTTTTCTCAGTCCATTGCCCAGGACATATCTTCTGCGCAATGTTCCTGTTAATTTGAGAGCGTCACTTAGATTTCCCATGATGGAAACAATGGAATGCAGGGTTAGGGTTAGTTTGAGTGGGTCGGAGGTGAGATTGAATGAATGCGGACGGCTTGCTTCTTTTCAAACTTCCTGAAAGTTCTTCTTCTTCTGTAAATTTTGCTGCAAGAAAGTTAAGGTGCATACCGCCACCTACTGTTCTGGCATCGCAAAGCCTATCGGAGGTAATTGCGGAAGTTCATCTTTTGGGTCCGCCAGTCGGAGGTAATGTGGAAGTTCATTGCGGTAGTTCATCTTTTGGGTCCGCCATCTTGCGCTGCAGTTGGGTACTCTTGACTATTTCACCGCTCTGTTCCTGCACAACCGGTGACGTCACAACTGCCACAAACTCGAGATGGCGCTGTGTGCATGTCGGAAATACACTCTTGAAAGCGGTTTTCCCATTAAACAGCTGATTTCTTACACAAAAAAATATTTCAGACTCTTTCCTAATTGATTTTTTTTACCATGTGACGATGCCAATGTGGTGTGTTTCATGTCCTCTTTAAATCTCCTACCAGTTTGGTCAATTTGCAATTAAGTTGTAACAGCACCCTCTGCTGTCCAAAAACACTTAAAGCGTCTAGTGTTGTACTTAAACTTGAGATACTTTTCTAAACTCTTAACACAGACTCTCACCTACAAAACACAATCGGCCAAATGGATAGTTTTCTTCTCAAAAATATATTTTGTTAAATATATACAAACTCTTCATTTCAAAACAGAACACATCTTTCTCTGCACACACTAACTTCACCAAAACACTGGAAATCTGACTCAAAATGAAGTTATTCTGTCACAGAATAACACTTGTTTTCACTTCACACGGTACATGCAGTCAATCAAAGAATACCAGGTTTCAAAATAGAAAAGAAAAGAATCTACGTGTTTTACTCGTCAATTTGAGTTTTGCTAGATATGTGATTGAAATATCGGAAAAAAATAAACAAATTTAGGTGAAAAGTAATATAACAGACATATAGCAATTGTTAGCTGTGTTTTGACAAAGATATATCCTTTAACTTGAAAAGTTTACAAAAATTAACGTGAAAAGAGACCGTCTTGATGTCGGTATTTTCCTCTGCTTTGTTTTTACCGAATGTTTATCTTTACTTCACCGGATATCCGCTTGTCATGTGCCTCAGAGCCACGCCCACGGCCTACTGACATCTCCAAAGTGATGTCGAGCAATTAAGCCAATGTGTAAGGTATGTCGGCGGTCGGTGCCCTCAAAAACCGGCAACACAACAGATCTGTTCAGTCATTTGAAGAAATACTTACCGAGTAGTTATGGGGAAAGCATGAAAATGTGAGCGGAGTCTGTACAGCCTGTCACCGCTGACGGCAAGAGTAGCATTAGCAGTTTAGCTACAACTAGCGGTGCAGGAACCAGACCAAACCAGCAACCAATTGTATCATGTAATGTTTACATCTTAAGGCTTTCTTTATTATTCATGAGGGGGCGATTTGTTTATCTTGGGTCTTGCATACCTGCAAAAACACTCAGGTCTGTAAACATTTTTTTTCTATAACTATATATATATATAAATAAATATACAGTTGAAACCAGAAGTTTACATACACTATATAAAAAGGTACATAACCTTTTTTTTCTCACCGTCTTCCATTAAATCAGATTAAACTTTTTCCTGTTTTTGCTCAATTAGGATTACCAAAATTATTTTTATTTGCTAAATGCCAGAATAATGAAAGAGAGAATTTTTTAGACAATTTTTTATTACTTTCTCGAGAATCAAAAGTTTACATACATTTCATTAGTATTTGGTAGCTGCCTTTTAATTGTATGACTTGGGTCAAGTGTTTTGGATATGCTTCCATTTTAAATAATCATAATAATCATTTTTATCGTTTAAACAATTAGTTGAATGTCATCAGCCAGGGTTGAGGCTAACGTTTGTAATTTTATGTGGATAAAATTGTCCAATAATCGATCATATCAGTTTTGTTCCTGTGGCTATACTGCTCTGAAATCCTTTAAATGATTTTAACTCATCAGCATTTGATATAAAAGCTAAAACTTGTAAACAAAAGAGAAAAATAATATTTTCAACCATCCTTCATTTGCTCTTATTAATTGTAAGTATTATTTGTAACTGTTGATAAGGGTCTTTGCTTAGAATAATCAATAAAAACATCAGATTTGGTACTTTTTCAAACTTTAATGTGAAGTAGTTGATCACAATTTCTCAGACAGCAAACAAATTATATCAAAACTGACCACCAGGGGGTGTCCTTTCTTGGTCCTGAACTCCAGATCCTGAAGTCCTCTATTCCTTGTGTCTGATCCTCAGGTGTCTGCAGGAGAACCGGAGACTTGGCACTTGGCGGGACCTGCAGAGGACAGCCTGGGTGAGTTGTGATGTTGGCTCTGTGCTTCAGGGTCTTCGGTCCCTGATAGTACTGCGGATGTTTCAGCAGCTGTAGAGTTCGTTTTTTAATGCCAATAGATGTGCTGAATTACTAATGTCAACACTTTTAATTTAATTTACATGGCATGTGTATTTATGCCCATTGTATGATACAAGTGCATCTCAGTGAATCAGAATATCATGAAAAAGTTCAACATTTTCTTCCACTTATTTAAAGAAAATGAAAATCACTATTTATTTATTTATTTATTTTTTGACGTTTTCAGATCAGCTCAAACATTTTTAGGTTCGTTTTTTCATAACTATGGTCTGAATTTTATATTTTCTTGACTCATTACTCATTTATTTAAATGTTTGAAGCATTTTTTTTTTCAGTTTTTAATTTTGGCCTACAGCCTGTATTAATAAATAACATTATTAATATATGAAATTTATTCTTAATTATTCATCTAATTTGGACTTGAACCAGCAAAATGTGAATAGATAGTACTTTCAGATAGTACGCTTAGTTTTAAATGTCCTCATTATATTTCTCTTCAATTATTGTTCTCATTTGGACTTATTTAAAGTAAAAATTAAACATATTTCAGACTCATTGTAAAAGCACTAAATTGTTAATTTTTTCATGTTCCAGTTCTAATTATTTTGGCCAAAATCTTTTATTTTGAAATAAAGACAAACTACTTATCAGATTTATTTTTAATTACTTATCTAATGACAAGATTTCCTCTGGAAAAAGGAGCTTTTTCATGATGTTTTGATTCTAGTTTTCTGACATGCACTTAGTATTGTCTTAAGTTAAAATTATCAGTATTTATCTGAAAAAAAAATGAAAATGTTTTTATTCTAAACTTTACTTCAAAGCTTCAGCAAACCTGTTGAACACTGAGATCTGATCTATCTCTGTACACCTGAGCTGCCTTTAACAAGTCCACTATGTCAAAAACAAAAGTTATAATCTGAGCTGTAACTACAAACTCTGTCCTTGTACATCTGCATTATAAAAACACAGCAGTAGCTGAATGTTACAGTAAAAACGAACACTACAGCTGCTGAAAGCATCAACAACAATATCAGGGACCTTGAAGACCCTGAAGGGGCTGAGCCAACAACACAACCACCAGAGTGACTTATTGGTCGACATAAATACTATTATTTGAAACCAATTTTAGGTCTTTTGGTCACATGACATGGAAGCTGTTGAAGGAAAGTTTCAAAATTTGGTCTTAGATTTAACCAAAATATTTTTGGAGGACAAATTTAAGAAAAAAAGAGGTGTGACTTATCGTTCGACCTTAGTACTATTATTTCAACTGAAAACAGTAAGTCAATTAGTCAATTCGCACATATCTATTTTTAGTCGCAAATACGAGTGTCAAATCTTGGTCGGGGGGACCTACAATTTTATTAGAAATAAAAAAAAACACAACCACACTGTGGATCCAAGTTTATACATTAAAAAAAAGATTGTGACTGTGTCTCTTTATTGTAATCAGACCCCCCAGGCCCCCTGTTCCCTCCCTCTCCTGTGTCTCCCTCAGGTTGAAGTTCAACTGCTCTATGATGCTTAGTTTTGTTCCTGATTTTAGTGGTAGGAAAGTTTAGTCTGATTTTATTATTTCACTTTTCACTGAGTGTTTAAAGACTTCAGTCTTAAGACTTGAAATATATATGCTCTGAATGGGAATGCAAAACAATACTTCAGTGCACCAACATTTCCATTCAAAAGCAAAGATTTAAAGTCTAAAGATAATTTCAACTAGAAAATAATTAAATCTGAACTACAGACACTGGCCTTTAAAATTCACCTAGACCTGGATCAGGATCAGGATCAAACTTAGATTGAAGTTTAAAGTCTAGGAGCCAAAGTGCCAAGATAAAAGGACGCGCAACTCCTACCCAAGTGTGGATCGTATCTTGTAGCATGTGTGTTAGTCAATTGGCTCCCAATGTGTGGACCCCGGTTCGATTCCAGCTAGTGACGGGGTAGTTCAAAGTAATGAAATGATGAAAATTTCCTTCTATACCGTAATCGGTATAGACTCCTGAAGAAGTGATGGTTCACTTCTAATGATGGCTAATTCTGATCGTTACTAATACTCTCCAGCCACGAGTTGGTATCAAACCAGGCCCCATTGGGTGCCAATAGACTTCCATGCAGTGCCATTAGATAGGATCCACACTAGGGCATGCGGAATGCCCGCTTTTATCTTCTTACTTTGGCTAATGGACTTTAAAATATAACAAGAATTGGGTAAGGTGAGAATCGAACCCACGACCTCAAGAGTCTCAGTCAGTCTTCTTACCCTCTGAGCCATGTAGACACACAGGGTAATTCCGGGTTTTTCCTATTTGACTCTCAATTCTAGACACTAGGCCTTAAATTTTAAGATCAAGCTGGATAAGGTAGGGATTGAACCCACAACCTTAGGAGTCCCAATCCATCTTCTTACCCTCTGAGCCATGTAGACACACAGGGTAATTCCGGGTTTTTTCTATTTGACTCTCAATTCTAGACACTAGGCCTTAAATTTTAAGATCAAGCTGGATAAGGTAGGGATTGAACCCACAACCTCAGGAGTCCCAATCCATCTTCTTACCCTCTGAGCCATGTAGACACACAGGGTAATTCCGGGTTTTTCCTATTTGACTCTCAATTCTAGACACTAGGCCTTAAATTTTAAGATCAAGCTGGATAAGGTAGGGATTGAACCCACAACCTCAGGAGTCCCAATCCGTCTTCTTACCCTCTGAGCCATGTAGACACACAGGGTAATTCCGGGTTTTTCCTATTTGACTCTCAATTCTAGACACTAGGCCTTAAATTTTAAGATCAAGCTGGATAAGGTAGGGATTGAACCCACAACCTCAGGAGTCCCAATCCATCTTCTTACCCTCTGAGCCATGTAGACACACATGGTAATTCCGAGTTTTTCCTATTTGACTCTCAATTCTAGACACTAGGCCTTAAATTTTAAACTCAAGCTGGATAAGGTAGGGATTGAACCCACGATCTCAGGAGTCCCAGTCCGTCTTCTTATCCTCTGAGCTATGTAGATACACAGGAGAATTCAGTTTTTTTCCTTTTTCACTCTTCTTTGAAGACACTAGACCTCAGGAGCTCCAGGCAGATGACTAAACCTTTGGTAGGCCATAGACGTGGCTCTGAGTCACATAACAAGCGAATATTCGGTGAAGGAAACTTAAACATTTGATTTAAACAAAACAGAGAAAATTCCAACATGAAGACTGTCTTTTTTCACGTTTATTTTGGGAAACTTATCAAATTAAAGGATGTTCTTTTGTCAAAACATGGCAAACAATTGCTATATTTCTGTTAAATAACTTTTAGCCTTAACATTTTTGTTTCTACTGATATTTCAATCACATTTCTTGCCAAACTCAAAGGACAAGTAAAATTAGTTTATTCTTCTAATTTTGATCAAAATTGTTCACAAATAAAATTTGAAACTACAAATTTTCAGAAATAAATCAATCTTTTATTTCAGAAGTAGCTTTTTATTGCACAGCTCTATGCTTGTTGCACAGCATAAAGCTACGAATCAGGTGAGATTTTAATTTCACAACTTAAATGTTGTATTACAGTTAATATTTTTATTTCATAACTTGATCGAGAGTTTCTAAATGTATCATCCTTTCATTGCTATCACATTAACTTGAAAAATGTCAGAGTCCCAAACATCCTTTCCTGTGATTGCTCAAGATTGAGAGTCAATTTATCCACTGTTTACTTTTCAAGGAAAACGCCACTCATGTTAGATCCTCAGAATTGCACATCAGCTGAATATTTTCTTTCAATCCGTCAAATATCTGAAAATATGTCTCATTTTGATCATTTTTGAATTTCAGTGAAGTTTGGACATTTGGGTATAACGTGATTTAACAGAAAATAGTGATTTGCTAAAGCTTTTCCACCTATATTAACATGAATCCCCATAAAGTAAAGATACGCAAGGTTCAAACCACTCAAGGCCAACTGTCCTGCATGTTTTGGATGTTTCCCTGCTCCAACACACCTGATTCAAATGATCAGCTCGTTATCAAGCTCTGCAATGGTTTACTAACGAGCTGATCATTTGGAACAGGTGTGTTGGAGCAGGGAAACATCCAAAACATGCAGGACAGTGGGCCTCGAGGGCTGGACTTTAGAACCAGTGGTTTAAACCATTAAACTCGATATTTATGTATATATTTATTTTGCAAATATTCATACATTTTGAATTTAATTCCTGCTACAAGGTCAAACAAAGCTACGACAGATATAGAAGTATGTTAGGATGAATGTGTATAACTGTTTGACTGTATGCATGAATGAATGTATGTGTGAATAAAGTATTTTCGGGTGAAGTAGCTTTACAGGTTAAATGTTGATTTAATTTTAGAAGCATTTTGCAATAAGTAGTTAATGAACATTATGATTGAAGTGATGCATTAATGCCTGTTTATCTCTTTTTTTTTAAAATCCAGAAATACAAAAATTCGCTCTTCTTCCATTCAGCTGTGATGTCGCTTGATTTATCACATATGACAGAAATATTAGTGCATTTGCCAACAGTGTGCCATTGAAATAGGAAAACCATCAGCCTGTACTTTGTATAGAAAAACCTTTTATTACTGATACACCATTCAAATAAAACTCTGAACAACCCATTCACACACTGTCTAAAAACAGACACTCCATTTTTGAAAAACAATGACAAACAGTGGCACAAAAATAGAAAGACAGAAAAAAGTAAGGCAATTCTTTACAAAAAACTGTGATCGATTCATAGATAAATATGACAGACAACTTAAAAAGGCACAAGGTATATATTTAATATACTGTCTAATAGAAAAAGACCATGCAGGCACATTAGGATGAAGGGGGTTGGTCTCAGTATATAATTGGCTTCCTGTCGTCTCGGTCTGTTCCAGGTTATTACTAAGATCATAGAGGATCCTGTGTGGCACTGTGGGAAGCTGGGGCCTCAGTGTTATAGAAGACAAAACATTGGCATGTGGCAGAAGCTGAGGTAAACTGCATTTATGTTTGAGATTGACAACATGGCTTTAAGAACTCTCCTGTGATGATTTCAAAGCAAAGAAATCCTGTAGACGAAACGTTCAGTCTTTGGTTAAAATAAAAAAAGGAAGAAAAAAAGGGAAACAAAGGTAGTACGAGGATCAGCCTGCAGAGGGGGAGACAAAGGCTGTGTCTGAAATGGACCCGTAACTCCTATATAGGTGACTACATGGGGGTTAGCGCCATTTTGAGGGGTGTCCGAAACCTGAGTGATCAATTCCAGTGCCCCATATAGGCGACTCAAAATTTCCCATAGAGCATTGCATTGGTGGTGGGCATCCCGTCATGCATTGCATCTTGCCATGTAGTGTCTGAAACCTCCGGTGATTGAGTTCACTACATAGTCAACTATATGGTGAAACCCTATATGGGGGTTAGGGGTTGAGTGATTCATTTCTGACACAGCCAAAGTCTGGAAAATCTCCACTTCTGGCCCCTTCAATGAGCAACTGGAGTTTCCAAATCCGACCACCAGGGGGCAGTAGAGGGCTGCCAAACTGTATTTAATCCCGTAAGAGCAGAAAATGACAAACACACAGCAAAGCGGGAGAGTAAAAAAAAAAAAAAAGAAGCCTTGCAAACTTGCTTGTCAAAAATCATCCAGAAAAGAGAAGATTGAATTTAGCAAATACTGGAAGATGAAGAGCTCGTTCAGAGTCCCAAAAAAAGAGGGGAAATCAGTCAGAGGATCCAATGTTGGCACCTTTTTATGAGGGTGATGTGTTCTCAAAGGAAGGCCAGCTTCTCAGAGCATGAAGGACTGAGTGTGTTTGAAGTCCTGGGACTGAGGGACAAACAAAAACATGAACATTAGTGTGTTTATCACAATTTTAGTACAGATGCAACAACTGAAACCAACCTCAGCTGTTTTAACTCATAGTTTTACTGTCTTTGGCCATTTCTGAGCCGCTGTTACACATAAACTCATCCCTGCTGTGTGATCAGTGAAGGTCAAAGTCACCTGAACAGCAACATGTACGTCATGTTTAAAGACAAATCCGATCAGTCCTGTAATACAGGCCTCATTTTTTTACACATATCTTGGAGTCATTTGGACTTATACGTACTTATAGCTTTGAAATTGGTCCAGTAGGTCATTGCAGCTGCAAGACTGGCTACAGCATAATCCCTTCTGGCTAAGTACGCCCACCTAATGTGCTTTTTTTCTGCCAGTGACAGGCTCAAATTGATATTAAAACCGTTTTAAAACATTACAGGAAGAATCCCTGGAAGGAAACGCCTATTTGCTGGAGGTAAGTACTTTCATTACAACCAGAGACCAGTAAATGACACTGTTATACAATTATTCCTGCAATATTTATGAGGGAATCCTGATTTGAAATCGTATTTCCTCCGATAAAACCAAACTTTTGTCCTGTTTTTATCATACTGGGATAGTATTTTACAGCAAATAGGACACTAGGCCTGCAGGATATTAAAAAAATATGAAAATGTGCGACAATATTGATAAAAACAAGTATGTAACTCAAAATAACATGCACCCAAAATGTAGCTGATGGATGTGTTTGCATCAAAACAACGCAGAAGCATCAGAAATAATTATTTTCCTTTAAAAAACAAACAAACAAAAAAAAAACGTTTGCAGTGTGTTTATTGCAAATGTTTTTTGTTTTGTTTTGTTTTTAACAACAAAACAGAGTGACAACAACAACAGAAACAACAACAAAAAGAAAAAATTTACAAAAATACTTCTGTGAGGGAGGAGAGGGGGAAAGAATTTATGTAATAGTGAATAAAAAAAAAATCTTAATTGGATTACATTGAAATATCTATATAATAATAACTATATATATACATACACATACAAACATACACGCACACATACATACATACACACATATACATGTATACATACATATACATATATATATATATATACACATACACACACACACATTATAATAATTATTATTATTATTATTATTATTATTATTTATTGCTTATGTTTATATTTAAATATCAGTAAATTTGGTGTTTAACTGTGTCGCCCTACCAGAAGCAAATACTGCGACAGTTTTAAAAGCATAATTGAAACAGCAATAATCTTGCATTACAGGATACACAAGTATCTTGTCTGCATGTCCTGGATCAGAGCTAATGTTTCAAATCACCAAAGCTGCACAACAACACAAACAAACTAGCAGATTGAGGCAGCTGTAGACCAGCAGATCCCTTGTTATGCAAGTTAAAATTACTCATTTTGCAAATGGAATCTGGTGGCTTTGAAGAGAGCGCCATTAGAAGCTGTTTCTCGTTGGATAAAAGGTTGTAACCCTTACAAAAAGTCTATTTCTGTGCAATCCTCTCTGTATTGTTGTCAGGAAGTTTTAATTCCTATCTGATCCTGTCAGTGGCAAAAACAAGCCCTTCAGTCGGCTCCATTTGATTCCCTTAAATCCATTATGTTGTCTCATAGCTGCCTGCTTAAGCAGCCTCCTGGAGCGAATCCAAAACTTTCTGTACTTACTAAACGTCAGGAAAGGTAGTGGGAAAAAAAAAAGGGAACTCTGGTTTCAAAATTTCCCCTTCCAGTCAGCACTTTGCTGGTGTTTACAGTCAGAGCCCCTCACGTGAGGTCAGGGGGAAGATCCAGAGAGGAAGAAAATGAAAAAAGTCACTTACTTCTTGAGGCGGAGGGATGTAGTTGACATTGGACCTGAAAGACAAAGACATAATAAGCACATCGGACAGTTTGACATCGTCACAGAAGAAAAGACACTCGGGGCGGACAGCTGTATCCTGAGTCATATCTTAGTCTGCATAAATAATGCACATCATACATGGCAAACATCCCATTGGGTAAAAGAAAGTCTGACTGTGACCCGGCAGTGACTGAGCATGAAGCTGGGTAGAGGACTGAGTAAGGGCAGCTGAACCAGACAGTCTTTTTCTGGATGTAAATACAAACAGTTTCCAGATTATTGAGTCCACTTTCCTACAACAAAAGTCCCGACTGTAGAGCTGTCACTTTTTATCTGGAATTCAAGAGTATTTATTTTGACTTAAGAGGAAACGTTCAGTGTCAGTGAATCAGGTTGTAGATCCAGCAGGGGGCTCATCGTAACCTGACCATCAAATGGCACTGTTGACCTCAGTGAATTTAAACATACATGTACATGCAAACCAACACAAGCTGGTGCAGTTACTGGTTCTTTACTGATGATGAGAGTAAAAAGCGGTGTTAGGATATATTGTAAATTTGGAGATGGTTTGACGAAGCTGCATAAAGAATTAACAATCGTGCTCATTGCAGTCATGTACTGATGAATAACAGGAAGAAGGATGAAAGCTCCAGGGAGGCTATAGATCAGCCTGTACAGAGAAAAAGAACAGTTTCCATAGTATGAAGATTTTAGCTTTGGCTTTTCATAATATCTGGTGTCATGCACAGAATGAAGATTCTGTGCTGTTTTTGAAGTAAGTTGTACTCAGACATATGAAAAAGTAAGTGTGCAGAGAGTGCTCTGCAGTTTGAACTTCCACGAAAGAAGGGTGATGGAACTTAGGGGGGCGTTAGGCTACGTTCACACTGCAGGTTATGATGCACAATTCAGAATTTTTGTTAAATCCGATCTTTTTGTGCGGTCGTTCACATTACAACAGCGAATGCGGCATCTAATGTGAACAGAATGCGTCTGTGAAGTGGCCCACATGCACACAAATAAACATGATAGATTTAAATCCTGAGGCAAGAAGTGTTTTTTTGGGTTTTTTTTATGATAATAGATTTTTTAGATTTTTTTTTTTTTTTTTTTTTTAGGATGGCCTTCTTGAGAAAATTTTATAAAAGCCATGAAAAAATAGTGGAAGGATACTCAGATACTCTCATTTGCCAAAGGGTTTCATTCTGCCCCCAGTTTTTAACTCATTGTGAACCAAACTAAAACCAATAAGGATTCTGAATATTGGATTTTTTCTGAGTTCCAATATCCCGATTCTTCCAAATAGATTTTGTCTGTATTATTGCCGATACAGAAAGCTGAACTTTTAAGCTTTCATCTGCAGTACCAGTTACAGACCAACCGATTACAGATTTTAGCGCATTAAAGAAAGAGGCTTTAACATGTTCTTTCAATCAATCAATTAATTTATAAAATGAAAGAGTAACATATCACAAAATTTAATCCTACCTCCCTAAAACAGTCTCTAAAACTTTTAAAGAATCTTGTTTAAATGTTTAAAAAAAGGACATTTGACAGCCTACAGTTGATCACGCTGTCTGACTCCGAACCCCTGCAGCTTTTTAGAAATAACTAAAGAAGTAATCAGTCTTTACGCTAATGCTGCTGTTCGCTTAAAGAGGCACAGCTTTAAAATCAGACATGTCACTTATTGTAGCCTCACATTTGCAATCTTTATGAAAATGCAAGCGAATAAGGACTGTTTTCCATTTCACAGGAGGTCATGCATGTTCAGCCCTTCGACTTCGCCCGGCTCTGTTTTACTAAGATGTCAAACTACGATTTCAAGTGCAGCCAACAGTGAAAAACCAGTGTTATTTTTTCAGAATGAGGAGGATTCAGAGTTCAGTTTCTTTAAATTGCCTCCATGTCTGTCCGCCTAACGGTCACACTCACGTGTCCTCAGTTCTGTGCAGGGTTTGGCTGCTGATGTGGGACGCACCATGACACTGGGAGATCCAAAATGACCTGTGGGGTCAGTGTGTCGGTTTTAACAAGATTCAACAAGAAGGGGGTCATTTCGATCTTACACTGCACACCATGCTTGTCTGGAGCTGGAGGTTATGAGTATGGAGTATTAAATCATTAATAAAGATGTGCTTAAAACAGACTTCGCTTCCTGTTATTTCAAAGGCTTGCGCTTGTGCATTTGTGGAGATAGTGGCCTGCAGTTTAAGAGCATGACTTAACATCTTGTGTTTTGATTTCCCATTACCCCACAGATGCATTTAAGCAGTCTCTGCTTGCATAAATTTGCTCTGCTGTGGCTACAACGGTAAAAACTGAAACAGACATTTCACAGGGCCGAAAAGCAGCCGGGGTACCAGGAGAGGGGCAGAAAGTGGAGCACAGAAAATCTGTATATATTCTGCTTATTTCTGAGTGGAAAATTGGAGTTTGAGCACCTGCAGAGCAAATTTAAGTGCAAGCAGGGAGCAGGGGTAAGGTTTTTAGGGTGAGAGTTAAAAACTTAAACTGAGGCCATGTGCCGGCAGAGAGATGGGAAAGTAACCCACATGCCCGCTGCTGTGATCTCAATTTTTTTTTTGATGAGTTTTGACCCCCGCCAGTAATCTGTGCTTTGCAAGTTTAAGCATCAAGATTCCTATCTCAGTTTCACCATCAATAAGGCTCCAAATCCTCCTGCACCTAACTAAATAATGGTCGATTCTTCAAGTCTTTGTATTTATGAGGAACTTAAATGGGGTTAGATCCCATCCTCTTCTGCAGACAGCTGTCTCCTCTGTAACAGACTGTGCTAAAACGTGATTGGCAGTAAACAAACACGGGTGCGAGTGCTTATAAACAGACTCTTCTGAACCGTTTTTGCACCTACTGCTTTGGAGGCATGGAGCTGATTGCATTAAAGTTGCAAAGCACATTTCACAGGTAGAAGTCTGAATATTCATGAGCAGGCGTCAGACTGAGTGCAAATCACCCAAACAGAACTGAAATGTAAAAGTTTCAGAGGAGGAAACAAAACAAAACAATCGCAGCTTCGTCAACTCCACGTTTAAGCACACCTTTATCATCAATTCAGTGTTTTATTCATTAGCGTAAAATGCTTTAAAACATGCAGCCAATCATGATGCAGCAGAGATAAACCAAACGTCAAAGCAGGTCAGGAGGTGAGCCAATCACATGCAGCAGGTCAAACACCCCGATTCACTGAGTCATGACATAACGACTCTCTACCTGCCTCTTCTCTAAGGCTAAAACTGCGAAAGAGTCCCTGAGCAACACCTCTGAATTTTGCACACTTCTGTAACTGGCTGTTTATTTGTTATACTGTTTACATATGGTTTAAAAAATTAGGTAAATTTATTTTGTAATTAAGTTTGGTGTTCCCCAAGGCTCCATTTTGAACCCCTTACATTTATTAGTTCATTATTTAATATGAAAAAGAGATAAATGTTGTTCTTGAGTTTAGTTTGATGTTCCCCAAGGCTCCAGTTCAAGCCTCCTTAAATCATAAATTGATCATGGATATAATAACAATAAGGTAAATTTTATTTTAAAGTTAAATTTGCTTATATTTATTCATTTTTAATTATTGTAAAACCATTTTTTATTTAAAATTCTAATGTTTAATTTTTTGTTTTTGAGCTAAGTAAGTTGTTCACATGGGTCGAGCTCAAGCCCCTACGATTTATTTACTCATCCCGTTGAATAAAAATAAGCTTATATTTGCCTTTGAGTGAAGTTTGGTGTTCCTCAAGGCTCCAGCTTAAGCCCCATACATTTGTTTTGACAATGTTTAAGCTCCTGTGAGGAGTTTTAAGCTGATTTTGAAACAGACTAAAACTGATACTCGTGTCTCTGTGCCTCTTAAATCGACTAATTCTCTGTACATATCTTTGATGTATAAAAACACGGGTTGGGGGGGTAGGACACTGACAACGTGCTTAACTGTCAAGTGATTTTGTAGGATAAAATTAGTTATATGATGAATTTATTTATAGATTTTGTGATTAAAATGACTAAGAATTTTGTCTCAGATATGCTGAAATACCAACTTGTAATGCACTGATTCAGCATTTGGATCGGATATCAGCTCCGATATTGACAAATTAACTGAATACTTCTTTTTGCTGTGTGCTAATGTGGAATTTGTTATTTGTTAATAAATAATCTGAAGTACATTTATATCTTTGTTAATTTGTTACCTTTTTTTAACAAGGCTAATGTCAAGCTTTATACCTTCACTCACAGGGCAAGGTATACAGTTCATTCATTCAACAGTTGTATTGGATAGATATCGGATATTGGCTGATACCCTCAGCCTAGGTATCGGTATCGGATTGGATCGGAAAAAAATGGATCAGCGCATCCCTTATACTCACTGAAGATGATGTGAAACTGTAGAGTTATAAGAGTTATTTAAAGACAGAAGTAAGGTCTTACTTTAGATTTCGAAATCCAACATTCAGAGACAAAAGACACAGATTTTCTCACTTCTTCACATCAAACATCAGCAGCATGAAACAGCAGAGTCAAAACCTTGATATGCGTCCCTTCACCATTAAGTTGCGCCTACTATTGGTGCATCAAATATCTTGTCACATTGTCTTTGAGTCTTTGTGAAGAAGCCTGCTCTATAAATAGGACATTGACACTGACAGCTCCAGTTAGCTCAGTGGGATAGGCATCAGACTTTAACCTAGACAAAGAGCTTTCGCATCGGCTTCAAAGAGAGCTCCACAGTGACTCTCCATCAAACTCTGTGCAGTAACAAGCCAGTAATCAAATAACAGAAAGTCAAGCGAATAAGGCCAGTCACACCAGGACATGCATTTATGTCTCGACGGTCAGTCAAGCATCCAAACGGCCTTACGCCCACTCTGGTGTGTTTGCAGGACAAGGCAAATTGTGTGTAAAGACACGCACTCACAGCCTCATTCTTTAATCTTTGCAAGATCTTACAAATCCATTTCAAATTACCCATCCAATCAGTTTAATTGCTCACAATTTTTCCTCCTGCCAATATTCCCCTCCTTGCTGATTAACAGTCGGTAATTATTCCATAATTACATTGCAAAGATTATTCTCCTTCCTTTAATGGTCTGTATTTTTAGATCATCTCTCCTGCTACACTTTGACATAATTCCAACAGATGTACATCTGCCAGGAAGAGGCAATCGATTTGAAAAAAAGGAAAAACAAGCCTTTCCCAGTGGATTCTACATCTGTTGGCGCCAATCACCCAATGAGTAGAAACACAGGCGCTGCTGTAGCTCAAAAACACACACATATAGGCACACACAGCCACAGCTGTCACTCCATACAGTCCTGACTCAGCAAACAGACACACAGTCTAAGTGCAACAACAACCCCCCTCCTCCTCCTCCTCCTCCCACAATCCTCAGTGTTTAGGTTATTAGCTTGTTTGTCCACATCAATGTTAATGCAATCACAGAGCTCTTACCTTCCTCTGTGTCCTGCTGATGGATGAGCCGGGATGACCGTGCGGGAGAAAACAGAGTCAATGTCAACTTTTTTGGAGGGAATCAAAGCTAATTGATGTACTGTTCATGCAAGCGGACAGAGTGGTGATTCAGTCCAAAATACAACGGAGGAAAACTTACGACTGAAGAAGCCGTTACGATATAAGAGGAATCCTCCGCAGCCGCAGATGATGAGCAGGAGGCAGATGACCACCACGGCGGCCACCACAGCTGAGACGTTGACATCCTCTGCAAGGGAGAAGACGGGGATAAAGAACTATTTATTGACTTTTTCTTTTCATAGGCAGATTTAAAATGAAATAAAAATGAGAAATGATTAAATTTGGTAAAAAGTAAAGCAGGAGTTGCTGGTCTACCATTGCCTTCTATTTCAGAGCACATAACATCTGCACTCACTGGGGATATCTAGCACTTGTAAACCTTTACAAATTTATGAAATTTCTCCTTCTTTTACATATTTATGAATTATTATCCCCACACAGAACTAAGGAGTTGCTTGTCTACCCTAGTCTCTTGGTAGATTTTTGTAGTAACAGTGTGATATATTAGTATTATGTTGAAATCATCAGCTCTAGAGCATAATCCCAACACACATCTTGTCACGTTTTGACACCACCTCAACTGACAAAATCAGTCATTTTTTCAGTAGTTGCTTGTCTACCCTAGTCTCTTGGTAGATTTCATAGTAACAGTGTGATATATTAGTATTATGTTGAAATCATCAGCTCTAGAGCATAATCCCAACACACATTTTGTCACATTACCAACTCAACTGACAAAACCAGTCATTTTTTCAATAGTTGCTTGTCTACCCTAGTCTCTTGGTAGATTTCGTAGTGACAGTGTGATATATTAGTCTTATGTTGAAATCATCAGCTCTAGAGTATAATCCCAACACATGTTTTGTCACATTTTGACATCAACTCAACTGACAAAATCAGTCATTTTTTCAGGAGTTGCTTGTCTATCAGTGTCTTCAATGTATCTAATGCCTAACCTATTAGTTTGTCATTTAAGAGTATTCTAGCATTTTCAAACCTCAGCATTATTTCTTCATTTCTGGATATAAATGACTAAAAGACTGATCTTTGTCAGAAACCATTATTGAATACATCTGACCAAATCAGTCATCTTTAAATTGTAAAATGCAGAAGTCTCTGGTCTTTCTCTGCTTTTAATGAGAAAAGTGCATGCAACATTTGCTGTCCATGAATGTAGCATTTAAAACCTCTGCATCATTTCTTTATTTCATACATCTTTTAATAGTTCTGAATATTTCAACATTTTCATTTTTTATGGAATAATCCCAACAGGCTCCGAGTTTTATCACCATTGAGCAAAACTGTCAACAGAGTTGTTGTAGACTTTTAAAAGTCAATAAAAACTTCTGCCATTTATCCTCTTTTCAATTCTGTAGCTTTATTTCCTTGAACTAGCATTTTCTCATCTTTTCCTTCTCTCTTCTATTTGCAGTTTGTAATGTGGTCCTGAATCTACTATTTTAATTTTTTTTATAACTTTTAATCCAAGAGTCACAAAAAGATTTCCAACCACCAACCTGAAATAAAGATGTTGCCCTTGCAGGACTAAGGAGTTACTAGTCTACCCTTGCCGCTTTGTCACTTTTGGTTAAGTGTTGCGTTAATAATTTACCAGATCCAAACAAACAACCAAAAACACACAGTTCTTGTTATAACAGAAGCAACAATTATCAAAGCAGCAGTAGACAAGCAACTCCTGTGATCTGCAGGGTGAAATATCCGTTTTTTTTTACAGTGACAACTATTTACTTTGAAGATAGCAAGGTTAGAGGCGGTCTAAAAAGGATCTAACGTGGAGAAACAAGTCTTCATCTGCAGGGATACTGTTTGAAATGTTGTCAGACTGTTTTAAAAACAGAGTGTGTCACTGCAGAAAACAAGATGTCAAGAAGATGTACTCTGATTGGCCCATCCGATGCCAAGGACTGCATTTCCAGCCAGCTGAAGCACTTCCAAACATTTTTGGACCTATGAGTCATTTGGACCCCAGATTATAACAGGGCCCTAGTTTAAAAAAAACGCCAGAATTCCCATATGAACCAAAGTATGTTCAATAATTTACTAACAAGCTTTAGAAACAACACAGCTCAATTTAAGCTCGCCTAAATCGTCCCATAAGTAGTCCTCTAGTCAAATTGTGAAGGTGTGTTGGATTTAAGAAGCAGGGTGAAACAAGTTTAGTGGGCTTTTCCTCTCCACTGCACTCCTGATTTTCTCCAGTGCTGAAAGGTGTGGGCGAAGAGGCAGGAAGGAGTGTAGGGATGCACACACACAGACACACATACACAAGTATACACACACCTATCGTCATGTGCTTCCCCTCGCACATCTTTGGCGGTCCCACTCCGTTGGAAGCCAGGCAGCTGTATCGACCGGTGTCCTCTTTGGCTACAGATTTGAACTCCTGCAGGAGAGGCAGAGAGGGAGGAGGAAAACCTTTATTAAGATAGCGAGAGGTGACGCATCTTTGGGCTAAAATGCTCAGAAGGAAAAAGCTTTTTCTACAACGCTTCACAGAATTAACCCCATCTCTGCAGACTCACCAGTATCCCTGTGTAGGAGTTGATTATATAGGTGGCATTTGTGTGTCTTGGCTGGCTGATTGGCTGGCTGTCCTTAAACCAAGAATAAGTGGCAGGTGGGATGCTCTGATGGTCCCTACAACGCAGCTGCACCACTGAGCCTGTCACAGCTCCACTGGGGATTTCACAGGATGGGGTGTGTGGGGGGACTGAAGGACGTTACCGGTTAAAAATTAGATAACAAAAAAATAAAACAACACCTGGAGAACAAACCAATATCAGCCATCTTCTCTGAATCTTACCCAGGACTTTGAGAGTGACGTTGGTCTCACCCAGGTTGACAGAGTCAAGAGGAGCACTGATCTCACATCGGTACTCCCCAGCGTCCTCCTGGGTCACCCTTTGTAGCGTCACAGTGGCCCCTTGAATGGTTGCCCGGCCTTCAAAAGGACCTGAGAGAGGAGACAGGGAACCACAGGGAACCATTCATGACATCAGCAATTGGTGAATCTCCTAAAAAGAGTACAATCAAGGTAAAACAGAAATGTTCTTTGTTGCCGGGGTAATTTTTTGTCCCTTTCTGACCTTTCTGGGTCAAATTTAGGGTCCAAAACACACAGCTGCATTTCCTGATTTGTCATTTTAACTAAAGAAAAAAGTTTTTTCGGCATGGCAACAGTGGAGGAGGCTTCTGGAATATTTTCCTGCTGTATCCAGGCTTGAAAATGAGTGTAATACTTCTGTCTTAATCCAATCCATCAATGTCTAGAGGACTTATATGATGTTATTTATGCAGAACAGAAGAGACGCTTTTGCTTTTGAGGCTTCAAAAAATTTCTTTTTATGTAAGTTATTGACACCAGAGAGTATCTGTGGCACCATTTGCACTCCTTATTTTAACAGAATAACAACACACGGCCTATTTCTTTTTGTTCTGTTTTATATTTACACAGTTAAAAAAAACAACTGCAAAGACAGATCCCTCTGGAAGTTATTGTCAGTTCTGAGAACATTGTCATTTTTATTCTGCTTGTTTCCACATAAAGCCAGTCTTCTCTGACTCCAGGGTGAATCTGCTGTGTGCATGTTGTAATCTATTATTTCTATCACTGCCAACTAAAAATACATTACATTAAAGATTTTATGACAATTTCAAAGAAGCAGCTTTAGCTTTGAAACAGCGATGCCATGAGTACTTTTTATCTGTTTTAGGAATCACCCATCAAGCACCCAAAACTGCAGTTCTTTTAATGGCCACTGGAGGCTTGCTCCCAAAGTGCATCAATTCTGAAAGACATTAATGTAAATTACCAACATTTACAACCCTGTAAAAAAATGGCTGTAACTAGGCTGATTGTTAAACCTCTTGTGTTTATGGATTGACTAAGAAGACTCCAGACTCTGAAAATCTAGTTAGCTCTATATCTAAGGCTGCTGCAGTATATCAACAATGATAACTGTCTTTTTAGAAAAGTGAAATACTGATATCGTCTGAAAGTAAGCATACAGTAATAGGATATAAAGGGGAATTTGGCTAAACAATTTGGTGTACACTTCAAATTATAAACTGTATTCTCATGGTGGCCATCCTCAAGGCTTCAGATGTTATTTTACAACCCAATGACCAGACTTACTCTGGTTTATTTCACCTTTCTGTGCAGTTCCCTCGACGCCCCCAAAACGGATATTCAGCTCGTGGTTGTGAGAGTCGATTTCATGACATTTTGTGACCTTCACAAGCCTGAAAGTCTTTTCCTAGAAATCCCTCGGCAACCTTTTAAACTTAAACCTTCAGTTGCCGGCCGAGGCTGCGTTCAGAGGCACTTTCAAACCTTGATGTTGCTTTAAAAAAGTTCAAGCTAAGGCAGTACACTGTTTATAAAAAGTGTCTTAAACACATTATGTTGTAGTTCTCTTCAGATTAACCAAGGTAATCCAAAGTAATGATACTGACTAAACTAGGCTGAAAGAAATCTGTAAAATCAGGGGAAAGTACCAATAAAGGAGGCGACTGAAGTTGAGGCGTTGCCTGTATCGCCGTGGCCCACTTTCCTGAGCACCTTTTGTTTCAGCCGTAATCCTGCTGTGATTTTCTCCATGAAAAAGTCTTTTCTACTCTGCGTCTCAGTTGCATCACACTGGGATGTTGTAGCTTCAGCCTGGATGCTGTTCAGGATGTGTTTTTCTCCTCCTACAGTACTTTCAAACCCCTTACAGCTTGTTCTGAAAGCTGATGAAATCAAACGCCCTGTTCGCCACCCCAGGGATAAACAGCAACAAGCCGCTCTCGCTCACCTTTGAAGTGTCCATCAAAGTAGACAAAGGAAACATCCTTCCCCTTCTTCTTCCACTCGATTCGCGGGTTCTGGTCCCGCTCTGTGTGGAACACGCAAGACAGCACCGCGTCTGGGAAGGAGAGGGAGATATTTACGGCGAGAGCCTTCAATCAGCGACATTTTTAACTGCTGCGTCTATTTTTAGCTTTATGGGTTATTCTGAGAAACGTGATGAAGCAGTAACTCTTCAGAGTGGAGGGGGTGGTGGAGATGATGATGATGAGCGGCTGTTTCTGGCTCACCTGAGGACTCGCGGACCTCCACCTTGTGTTTGTTGGTGGTCACTGTGACGGGAGAAGAGGGGGAACCTGGTGGAGGTGGTGGGGAAGAAAAAAAGAGAGGGGTGAGAGCAGTTCAGGAAGCAATATAGCTTGTCATCCATTAGGGGGCAAGGTGAATTGGGTAAAGTGCTCCACATTGCCCGCCAACTACAAGAGGAGAATATCTAATGGCTGCCTTTGGTCCTTGTTTCTCTACAGGCAGCAGCCAGGACTCATTTTACAGGACATCTGAGGTAAGAGAAGGATTACTCCTCCACGGTAATCCTGGCAGGTTAAGAAGCAGCCCGCCGTATGTTTATTTAAGCGCAGGTTACAACAAGGTCACCAGGCATCTCGCTGGTGGCTCTTCCAGATTAACCCTCGAAGGTTGGGACTAGGCATTAGAAAGAGGGAGACGCCGCCGCACCGTCTTTGTTTGTGTGTCACTGATACCCTTCAGCCAAACAGGAAGAGGAAGCAGGAGCTGCCTTTCCTGTGCGCTGATTGGTTTACGGGGAGGATTAGTGTCGGGCCATCCTGTTGTTAAATACAGGTTAAATGTGAGTGAAGGTTAGCTGGGAGAGGAACGTGCTGCTTCTTGGACTACATTTCAGATTGGAGCATGATTATTTAGATGTTTTAACATCCAATTCTAAACAATCCCAACATTTCAACTTCAAGTAAATCAGTGCAACTCATCCCCAACCACATTATCTACTCGTTTCCTTCAACATACTGAATGCACAATATCTTATAGTGTCCTTCTGGTCTTTATTTAGCTTCTTTTTCAAGGTAGCCAATTTAAAAAATAATGATTTAAATGAACTGATTTAGCAGGACTGGATAAGATGTTGCGCCTTCCTGAGCGCTTGATCAAAAAATGGGGAGAGATTATTTTTAGTGGTGTCAAACCGGCATACAACCACTCAACAAAGGAAATGTAAAACACGTGCAAACATGTGGATTTTGACCTGAAAGCAGACTCAAATGCAGGAGGTTGTAGATCTGACAACATTCTGCATATCGACTCTACAAGAAAAATATCATTTCACTTCCCCTTGCAAGTGCGCTACCAAAAAATAATCAAACTAGCGTCCTGTTTGTGTGAATGTTCGTTAAAGTTGTCTCAATTGACTTCATACATGAGGCACTTGTTGCAAAGCTCTTCTGCAGGCTAGTTCCAGCAGAAGAAGAGGACACACTGGGAGGGGAATCTGTGATTTGCCTTCCTTTGGATGATATCACCTTGGCTCCGGCCCATGCCCTCTCACACACTTTCACAAAGTCTAAATCTGCTCGCTTCACTCAGTTTGTAGCACGATATTTCCATACTACCTGTCTTTGTGGCTGAAAAAGACCCCGCTTCCTTCTGCATGGACACCCTGTTTGAAACATGCACACAACAGGAAGAGCTAACAGTCTTTGCTGGTGCATGAAAGCCTGAAACCATCTCCCAGAAGTCTGTGAGTTGGGAGAACGGATTTAAGGCTGAAGGCTTTGCTTTTTTGAAAATTACATAATAAATATAGAGCAGGCCTCTTGGGTACTTACTCTGAACATTAGGGGCTGTGAAAAACTTCTAAAACACTTCAAATTTGTTTAAGCGTCACTCAGATTTTCACCTCCGCTTATCCTTGAAACCAGAAGCTTCACACACTCGTCCCTCTGACACACAAACATTGACTTTTCCTGTCATTGTTTCTGCGAATGAGCCCACGTGAGATCCAGATCTCACAATGCCAACGCATGTAAACCTAAATTAGACAGCCGTCCCGTTTTCCTGTTTGTCAGTGAATTTCCTGTGCCGAGTCATTGTTGCTGGATCGCTGTGAGTCGAAGGAAGAATAGACGGCAAACTGAGACAAAAAAGCAGGAAGTGGGAGAAAAAAAAACACAGGAAGGCGGCCATGTTGGGTGGAGGTACAAAAAGAGTAAAAAGTTTCCATGCAGAGGTGAAGGTTTCCCTCTTTCCGATTTCCACGACAACGTGCTATTTTTAAATGAGCTCTTAAATAAACAACAGCCTATACAAAAATAATGTCATCTGCAAATTGCAGCAAAACGCACACTCAAGAGTTTAAAAGCTTTCCTGAAGTTGGCTCCGTTCAGTCCAGCCTCACTTGGTCAAACTTTTCAGCTAAGTGAATTAAAACTGCACGCCCTCCCTGCAGACGCTTTCCCCCACGCTTCGTCATGTGTTGACTTGCGGTGGCGTAACAGGATTATCATCGTAGCCTTGGCTCGCGCACCTTGACACCCTCCGAGGAGCATTGTGTCACTGGGGGGGAGAACAAGACAAGGGAGGGAGATACAATGAGATTAAAAAAAGGACAAGGAGGCACGACAAAGGAGAGATGAGCAGCTCTAAGAATAGAATACAAATGAAGCGGAGTCGAGAAGAGGGACGAGGAGGAGGAGGAGGAGGGGAAGGAGGGGAGCGGGTGGAGGTTGGTTGGTGGAGCGGTGGGGGGAACCAGAGACCCGCAGAAGCATGAATAAAAGAGAGAGCGGGATTGAAGGCGAGGGAGATCCTCTCAGACAGTGGCGCTGTGAATGGGAGAAGCTCTTGTCACATAGTGTGAGACCAGGCCTGCCGCCACCTTGAAGGGTGTCTCTTTGAGAGGAGGGAGATGTAGTGGGGTTGACAACACGCCTGCACTTCACTGCTGCCCTGAGTGACACACATGCACGCACACACTGCCATAAAACACCAAAGAGGCTTTGCAACGCGAGCTACAGCTACCCGAGTGTCGTGCTTCACTGCGAGCTCAGCTACTACTGGACTGTCATCTTCAATGGCCTCAATTAACCAGGAAGGCGTTCAGGCAGACAATGAACACATGGCTTGTTCAGATCGTTTCACAACTGCATGGTGGGTAATGTTAACACGGTGTTGCTCTCTAAATAAAAAGCCATGTTGTTCGTGAACTCGCCAAAAAAAAATGTCCCACATGTTCAAAAATAAATCTCTGCAAAAGAGCGTTGGAGTTTACCCACTCTGCTCAGGATGTCGCTTCTGTGGACGCTTACACGAAGCAAGAGTTTTTCTGGCTGTTCTACTCAGGAATATCAGCGGGTTAAAACATGTTTAAAAGGCTTTTAGCAGCGAGTTAAATATGCACAAGACTGAGGATGCAGAGATGTGGGCTGCACAGTAAATACAATCAGAGGGTACCGTCCGTCCATGTTCCTCCAGATTGCGTTTTTGTACTCCAACTCTCCCCAGACCCTCCTGGGAGATCCCCTGGTGAGACCAAATATTCCCATCAGCATCCTCTCTTGGGTCTCCTCCTGGTTTGACTCACCTAAAAAACCTCCAATGAAAACAGGCTTCAGGGTTGTTATCTGTAACACCTCAGCCTCCTCTCCTCAAGGCGAAGCAGCAGCAGCAGCAGCAGCTCTACTCCAAATATCTGAGCTCCTCATCCTGCTCATCGGTACATCTCCCAAATCTGATCAATTCATTATGTGGACCAGACTGTTAAGCTGATTGGCTGATCTGACTGCTGCTGGCAGGTGGGTTTGTAAAGTAAGATGACGAACATTTATAAATGAGTTAACGAAAGAGAGACGTGGGGATGTAGGACCAAAAAGTCCTGGATTTCTGGCTCTAAGATCAACATTAAAAAGCCAAGGGGTGAGATTTATTCAACTTTTATCGAGAAGGTGACGAACTGACTAAGCTGGCTGCGACTGCGTGTTTGTACAGTTATCAACAATGAGTCTTTGCTGAAACTTCTGAAATCCTCAACCATCATCTGAACATGACTGAGCCTCTGGGGGATTCAACCTCGCTTCAAACAAGCCAAGACCAAGACCATAGACTGTATAAACATGGATTTAAATCTAGTGAAGTCACCTATTCGTTTCTGGAGAGATGTTATGAAGTCCAATGATGGTTTTTCGCCATATTGGTATGGTGACCCAACTTTAACTTTCAGTCATCGAAGCAAGAGGCAAAGAGACGGAGCTGGATGGGCCTTCTATCTAGATCTAAATCTAGATGGCCAAAAAGGATATGTATTCCCATCACTAGTAGCATTTATGAGTATGTGGCTGTGACAGTAGCCAAGCATTCTTCACAGTTGGCTTGTCAACAACACAGAAATTCATTTTTGCAGTATAATGACAGTCCTAAGGTTCCACCATGAGGTTCAGTTCAGTTTCTGTCCATAATTGTTGGTACAGTTATCAACAATGAGTCTATGCTGAAACTTCTGAAATCCTCAACCATCATCTGAACATGACTGAGCCTCTGGGGGATTCAACCTTGCTTCAAACAAGCCAAGACCAAGACCATAGACTGTATAAACATGGATTTTAATCTAGTGAAGTCACCTATTGGTTTCTGGAGAGATGTTATGAAGTCCAATGATGGTTTTTCGCCATATTGGTATGGTGACCCAACTTTACCTTTCAGTCATCGAAGCAAGGGGCAACAAAGTGGAGCTGGATAGGCCTTCTATCTAGATCTAGATCTAGATAGAAGGCTAAAAAGGACATGTATTCCCATCACTAGCAGCATTTATGAGTACGTGGCTTCACAGTTGGCTTGTCAACAACACATTTTGCAGTACAATCACAGTCCTAAGGTCCCACCATGAGGTTCAATTCAGTTTCTGTCTGTATGGTAAACAATTATTTGTGTCTTTGCTGCCAAAAATTAGGAAAGAAATGAACCATTACTGGTGTACATATTAACTTGAGAAGACCAGGATGCGCCTGACTCAAGAGAACTCATTGCCAGTCTTTAGAGTTCTTGTTCGATGTTGGTATGGCTGGGCAATAAAACAATGATATAAATCAAAAATTAATTTCCCTTAATATCAATATAAAATATGGTCTATATGCTTTTCGATAGTCGGCATTCTGCCATTTTTTGGTAGACTATGCAGATAGTCAATGAAAAGGGGAGTTGCTTTGGAGTTGAGTGCTTCCCCCGGCAGTGATGCTGATGAAGGCTGAACAGAGGACGACATCCTCGACAACACTGGAATGAAAACTTTGGTGGTGTGGGGGTATTTTGTTTCTTTGAGGTCGGACATGAAGCAGAGTAATGTGCACTGCAAAGAGACACAAAGACCTCACAGATGCAGTGGATTATTGTCTTGCAAAAGACATGCTACCAATAAGCACTGTTAAATTTCATTTAAGAGTAACGGAAGATTTAAGATTGACAAGTGATTTTTTCACATTGTGTTGTATATAGATATCGACTGATATAAAAAAATATATATTGTGATAAACTTTTTCCCATATCACCCAGCCCTGGCTGTTGGTATTGTCGACCAATCTGGGCTGAGCTTGGCCCCTGTTAGCATCAGTCAAACCCGATTTAGACCACTATTCAGCCCTTAAAGATCCACTTAAACTGCTGTTGACCCGTTGATTAAGATAGCTGGCAAAATTTACAAACAACTCACTGAAAATCAGCTCAGCAGTTCAAAACGAGACGTACTATAATTACTCTCACCAACTGAGATGGCGTGATAGCGGCTTAACTTGACTGTGGAGGATCAATCATGAGAGGCACTACTTTCTGCAGACCTGGTCAGATGCTGGTAGAGTTAAGTGATTAGAGCTGAGAACCTGATACAGATAGCAGCACCTGAACTGACCTGAGAATTAGCTGCGTCACATATTAGTATAGCAGCTTCAGCCAAAAGGTTCGTCAGACTTGGACTAGTGAGGAGCCTAGTAGTAAAACTGTTGGCCTAATCATGTCATACGCTTTCACTTGACAAGATTTCTCCCCTAAACTGATCATTTGATCAAATTTTAATTAAAAATGGGATGAGAGTCAGGAAGTTGCTCAAATAGGCTCTTTCAAAATAAAGTTCTCCATGGGCTTTGAAGCAGCAGGTCTCTGATGTTCCTCCAACATCACGGCATCAGATATAGCCGCTGTAATTAAAATGCGTCTGCTATGGGGGCTTTTTTTGGCTCTGATGCAAAAAAAAAAACATCCAAACAAAGGCGTCAAACACAATCAAGCTCATGCACACACACACATACACATAATTTGTGTGTTGTGTGGCATTAACATCAACCAAACAGCGCGACAGCTCAAACTCACACAGGGACAGCCACCCTCTTGCTGGAGCAAAAAATAGAAAGATGGCACGCTCGCTCCTTGGCACGCAGCTTTCCCCCTCATTACGTGGTCCGCGCGGAGTGTTACGGAGACCGCGGTGGGTGTTGCCAGGGCTGTGGCGAGGTCAAAAGCACGGCGCAGTAATAATTAAGGCACTTATTCAAATTAACAGGGAACAAATGAGGGGAGGAAGGGGAGACGGGACCCACAGGACGTATCCTGTCTGGCTGCGTGATACAGATAAGGTGAACGTGGACGGCACACGTTTCAAGGCTGTGGGGGAGCAGAGAAAACAGGGAGTGTGTGTGTGTGTGTGTGTGTGTGTAAGAGTGAGTGTGTGTTTGTGTGTGCTCTCCATTGAACAAAGCCTCTCTGTATGACTGTGAGCAACAGCTGTCTCAGTCAGGCCGGTGTGAGTGTGCGCGCAGGAGTGTGTGGAAGGTAGAGATGGGGGGATGTCGCCCCATAGAGACCCACCCAAAACATTTCCTCCTGGATTTTTCCAACAATACCCTCCACGGGGATTCACCGCAGCAAAGGTAGATGTGATGAGTGATTCCTGTCAGATTGTGCGCACACATACACGCACACACACCTCTGTGAACCCGTGACCTGGCGGGCTGACAGGTGGCCAAATGTGGACAACACGGCGTAAAACGTGCGTCACTCACTCTCACTGTCTCATCACATCTATCTCAAGCTGTCACTCCTCCCTGGAGCGAGTAAACTGCCTTTTCTCTTTCCCCCTGCATGTCAAACAGGTTCCCAAAGTCTGACCTAGTAGTCGCTCTAACACCTTGTTCCCGGGATAAAACAGTATGAAATGTCTGGTGTAAATCCAACCACTGATCTCACGCCACCTCTCCTGCCAAAATGTGTGCCCACCCGCCACCAGCATGCCGCCCACACCCCGAGGTGGCGTCCAGCCAAGGGCAACTTTAGGGCCAAGTTGGAGGAACCAAGCCGGGGCTGCAGCGTCACCTTTGCCCAGCAAACAGAGGGGCTTCCACCAACACCGAGAAACAGTCAATAACATGCAAAAAGAAGTGATTTATAAGAGCTGAAATGACAACTACAAATCAAAAACAAAACTTTGATGACTTTTTGATTCAGTGCAGTTCATCTCTATATGCACACAGCTTTAAATAATTTCATTTTCCAGGACAAGCAGGGACCGCTTCTGTAAAACAAATCAATCGAAATAAAAAAGTAAGAAGATCAAACAAATACTCTAAAGCTGCTTGGCCTACTATTTCCAAAGCTTTATCTCACACAAACAGAGAACAGTTGGCCGTTCAGAGAGAGAATAGTTTCCATGCGACTTACATTGCATCAGTAAAATGACAATAGGAAGATACAGGGACGTCCCCTCCATGTTCGTCCACAACTCCGGCTTCTCTTCCCAGGACGGAGCGGGGAGGCAGATCCCGAGCCTCGGCTTTCTTCTCGCACTTGTTCGCAACTCTCCAATAATTCATCCAGCTTCCAGGGAATGAACTGTTCTCCAGTGGAGCGGGGGGGGAAGCGAGCGGACCGGACCGTCGCGGAGCGGAGCAGCGCGGCACGGCCACTGCTGGGGGGGAAGCGAGCGGGAGAGTAGGACGCGCCTCCGGGATGGACTACTGAGAGAGGCGCCGGTGTCCTGGAAAGAGGTCTGACCGGGATCAGGGAGCTCCGTTACTATGAAAGCCGCGATTTGAACGTGCTGTCTCCTCCTGGTGTGCGGTGTCGGCGCTGGCTGAGGTGGAGATGGAGGTGGAGGGAGGGCGGGGTGTTCTTTACAGACGAGCAGAGAGCGGCGGAGCGCCGAGAGCGCAGCGCCGTGTCCAAGACGCGCACTGCACTGCCAACTGTTCACATAACGGGAGGCAACTGGGTATGGCACTAAGGTGTGGCCCCCCCATCATACCTTTGCACGAGTGGGACCCTGCTTGACCCTATTATCTGTGATATTACTGAAAGCTCCGTGTCTGCAGGATCACTGTAAATCACGCGAGCAAGATGTAAATCCATACTCTTAAGAGCTTTAGAGTCAGGCATGAGGGGGAAAAACAATCAGAGGAGGAAGATTTTATTCGAATATCTCTGTCTGTTTTTTTAGAAAAAGTTCAAAGTATGACAGATAAGTCGAAATACTGGGAAAAGAGTGACTGTTCAGAATAAAAGTCACGTGTTTAAGGGAAAAACACAGAGCTGTATTGTTTTAATCAGAGGAGGTTTGTATAGTGGCCCTGAGAGTCAACTGTGCAAACATTTCACCAGAGTATTTTATGCAAGGAGGATACGACAGAGGATGGAGCTGGAGAGGGAAGAAAGTGGGGAGAGATATAATGTAATGAAGCTGCAGGTAGACACAAATAGCATTGGGGTTGGAACCTCTTGCACAAAAATATTGAATCAAATGCAAAAAAAAAAATTAGAATAAAATAAAAATATATAAATATATGACAACAACAACAACAACAACAACAACAAAAACAACAATAATAATAATAATAATAATAACAATAATAATAAACACTGCCTATTCCATTTGAGGTCAATTGGGGCCTATCCCAGATAGGGGTGTGCCGATATACAATTTAATCGTGATATGCGATATCAAATGGCCGCTATGATGAAATTGTAGGGTACTGTAATAATCGTTCCACAATTATAATTTAAAGATGAGTGGCAGTGTCACTCAGCAGAGGGGAGTGAAGCCGAGTACTTACCAACCTAACCCGCTTGTAGTCTTACCCACTGTGTCAAAGCCTTGGTAGCAAAATGTTCAAACAAACCACCACAAAAGTAGTCCCAAATCCAAAACAAACTCTCAAATTAAGTACATTAATGCCAGCCTAACAAAAACAGGAACATTAAAAGAGAAACTGAAAAAAATTTACAACAAAATGCGTGGCCACCCACAATGCAATGCGGCCACCCAAAGCACTGTTGGAGCGTGTCCACTCTGTGAACCGAAAACAGTTTGAAGAAGAAAAAAAAGTTGACGCACACGTTCCAACTTCCAACCAATGTAACTATGCAGCCAGACCAAGAACAGTCGGAGACTGAGAATGACGAAACGCCTCAGCTGTTTCCTCCGATTTAAAAGGTTTCGTCGGCAGTACGGACGTTTTATGTTTCACCATCCAGCATCGTTCGCCCAAATCAAAGTAAAAACAACATGACTGCAACAAGTTTGGTCTACTCTACTGCTTATTATTGACAACGTTAGAGACGTTTCTGCTAACTTTAGCTCCAAAAAGCTAATGCTCCCAACGTCGCGTTAGCTGCCTCTTGCTCATATTGTTTGTGCGTGTCATGCTGTGCACAGAGAAGTGATTTTGCAGTTTTTTGCCATTTTTGCCATAACGTTAAAACAATGCGCTAATATCGTGATAATATTGTGAATCGTGATATTTTGGGCCACCGATATCGTGATATCAAATTTTTCATATCGGCACATGCCTAATCCCAGATTTCACCCTGGACAGTTGCCACCTGGATTCACATTCACAAGTAAATTAGTCACCACTTCATACAAAGATGCTCAGTTACAGTAACACAAGTGCATGTAATTTGTTACTTGCCACGTGTGCCGGTAGAGCAAAACTCTTAACAAGGTAATTTCTTGAACTAATTATAAGCAGGTGTTTAAACCTGTGCATGACAATTTAAACTTTTCTGTAGCATTTAAGCTTTTAACTGTGTCTACAGTGGTTTGAGAAGACTCTTATTTTCAGCCTTTACCTTGCAGAAACATTTGGCTTGAGCTCACGTTCTCACTCTCTGCTGCACATTCACACCTGCGCTGGGAGGCGGTCCAACACGACTGCAGCTTTGTACCTCTGGCCAATGTTCTTCTCTCTGTCAAAACAAACAAATGAAGTTTGGTGTTCGTCAAATTGAAAATACATCATGTCTGCAGCTTATTAGACTGCAGAAACCCTCTAAAATGCATGAAAATAAAGATTTATGAGGTGTTTAATGATGCATCAGTGTATTCTGATATAAAATGCATAATAAGATATAGACAAAATGTGGTCCTACCTTCTTGAAAACATGGCAGAACATCTGGGAATAAAATGATAAATTGACAACATTTATACATGTCTATAGATTATATCATAATCCTTCTTATCTTATAACTTAAGTGCAGTAACATATGCAAAATCAGAGTGAAACTTTATGACTTCTGTTCATGAAACAGACTGCACCATCCAAGTACGAGCCGGCGTGTTTGAAATTGCATCAAGGTTTTCTAAGGTAAAGAGCTGAAGTTCAGACTCTGACAGGCAGAGATCTTCAAGGTAGAAGAGATATGACTATTTTGATTTAAAAAAGAAAAAAAAAAAAAAAAGCTGCCAAAAATAGTTTTTACCTTTGGATCAAGATGCTGCGCTGAAAGCAAAATCAGAGTGAGGAGCAGCCCAAAAAGAATTAAAGGCTTATGAGATGAAGGTCTGACACTCTCTCTGGGCCAAAATAAGATTGTGGATGTTTGCAGCGCCTGATGCCTCTCCAGATACCGCAGACACTGTGATTATTAACGCTGAAAATGAAGGAATCTTTGACTTTATTACAGGAATATATTTCATTTCCTATATGGCGCTTCTTTATCAGTTATTATGCAGTCTTACCTTAAAATCAAAGCCGTCAGCGTGCGTTTGAAGGTTTTTCTATTTAGTCTAATTTTAGAAAATGTTCAGTCAGGGTGGCGTGTGGTTTCATCCAGCTGTGAGGAGGGCGTCGTTTGTTGTTTTGTTTTTATTTCCTCCTGTGTTGTTTGTTGTTTCTGCCACTTTAGTTTCCCTTTTTTTAATGAGGACAGACAAAAGAAGGATTTATGACTGCTGTATGTTTGTCTTTGTTTTGTGTCATGATTACGTTTGCGCCCTGATTTAATCCTGCATCACGTACGGGACGAAATATGAACAATGCATCAACAAAATGAGCAAAATTAGTGACACATACAAACTACACTTCACCAGATAGTTGTGTTTGAGTTTGAGTTTCTTAAAACCAGCTAAGTCCCCTGGTAGATCTCAACTCTGAATGCTTTCCCAACAAAGAGACTGAGCTGTGGGTAAGACTCTTACTGAAGAACACCTTATAGAGCCACACTCCCAAAAAAACACTGAACTATTCCTTTAAGGTCTGTGTTTGAGCCCACAGTGAATAAACATTCCTTACAGGAGCTTTAAAGTTAAAGAAAGTTAAATTAAAGGTGGGGTAGGCAGGAATCCCTTGAAGAAGCATCTTTTTTTCTGGTGTACAAAAAAAGCTTTTAATATCAGTCAATAGCTATTAGTTATTGATGACATTTGGGAATATCACGATATTGCTGTGTTTTGTTATGTCTGTGTAGTCAACATTTTAAAATTTCAGAGCGCTCCGCTCTTTCTGACTGTAAACAAAGCCATTCTCCGCCTCCCCCATCCTGATTGGTTGTGAGGCAGACGCTGCTCCCCCGTGTCGTTCAGGAGCCCAAACAGAGGGAGGGGGGAGGAGGAGCTGAGGGGAAAACTAGTTGGGAGGGGTAGTGTTTACATTCAACCGGCACTTCCTCAGATCCTGCCTACCTCACCTTTAAGAGGCGTTTTCTGAATTCAAATAGGAAACTTGTTCTAAAAAAATTGTAAATTTGAGGAATGCAGTGGGTTAGCATGCCCGATGTATAGGGACCACGGTCGTGAGTTAGAGTCCTGTTCCGACCATGTGCAGCATGCATCTCCATCTCCCCACATCTCACTGAGGTGTGTTTGCTGTAGTCTGTTGGCATCTACAATAGCATCAATGCTTTTTACTTTCACGTTGACTGGGTTCCATTTGTAATTATCTGGAGTATTTATCTGCTTTTGTACGAATACTTCTGCAGTCTCTTTTTTTTACACCTTTAAGATCATGAATTGAAGCTGGGAATGATACTATTAACAACATTTACGCAGTTAATCAAGTTTGAGGTTGATGCTCAAAAAAAGAAGTAACTTTTGGCAAAAAAAAATCTGTAGGTCAGTTTCTTTTCTATTAAAAACTGATTAGAAGAAATAAAGTCAAAGTAATTGTTGCATTTCCTGGAGACACATCTGCTTTATTAACTAGAGTCGTACGGATCAATGATGCCTCAGCGAATTACCATTGACCTAGAAAGTCTTAAGACTGAGCGTTAGATATTTTGACATCCAGCCGCCGCCTTACAAACACTTCCACTTATTTAAATCAATTAAAGAACAAGAACACATTACACATTCATTTCTTGAGATGTATTACTCCAAAGTCTTTTAGCAGCTATTCAATTTTAATAATGTCTGAGCAGCAGGCGTTCCTAAACATCTCCAGCAGCAAGGAATTCAGGGCACCGACTCAAACATCTCACTTGGTGCTGGTCCGGTGGTGTGACTGCCTCGAAGTCTGAGGCATATGTCCCTGGGTGTGTCTCACACATTGTCAGAGTGTGTGTTGGTGTGGGGGGTGGATCACGGGTGTAGGATGCTTGAGTGGGAGCAACAGCTGCAACCGGGGCGAACTTTTCCAGCCGGAGGGTTTGTTCAGTCTGCAGCCGTCTCATGATGGAAGTGATACAGTTGGCTGTGATGAGATGCCTGAAGACGTTTGTTGTTATTGAGGGGGATTTAAAAATACCCCGTGGATTATCTTGACATAAAGTTCTTTTTTATGTTTCATGATTTTGTTTCTGTCACATCAGAGGGCTCAAGTATCATCAAATAGTGATCTTTAAAGTAGAAGCGGAAGGGAAATAAAGATTGGAGGTACTTCTTTCTAAAACAGCATCCTTCATGAAGAGTTTAGCTCTAAAAATGTTAGCTTGAAGCTTTTAAATGAATATCTGCATGCATGGAAGCGACACAAAAAAGTTGAAAAACTACACAAAATCTTGATTAATAACAGATTTTGATGGTTTGCAAATTGTTAAAAGCCCTTCATTCGATTGAAACTAGCGCAAAGGTAAGTTTTAAATGCTACAACTAAAAAGTTTTCACTGTAAATTTGCTGGCAACATGTTTTAAAAAAGGGACAAAAACACCAAAAAAAAGTTGTGCAATGTCTAAAAAACAGCTGGAGGAACATCTTACAAATGAGGTTAATTTACAGAACAGGACTGGGTATACCGAGGAGGAAGATTTGAAGTGTTACCCCCGCTGTGAAAAACCGCGTAAACATATTTAAAGTGAAAGTTTCAGAGTATTATGGAAAGCATGTCTCTGTAGTGCAGAGACATGCTGATGTTTCCCTGCTCCAACACACCTGATTCAAATCATCAGCTCGTTATCAAGCTCTGTAATGGTTTACTAACGAGCTAATCATTTGAATCAGGTGTGAGAACCACAGCTGATTCAAATCATCAGCTCGTTATCAGGTTAAAACTGTACTGTGTGTTTTTCGTGCAGCTCAGGTACGTTTCTCCACTCACTCCTCCTTCAGTCTGCTGCTCACCTGAGTGTTCCCACCAACTCTCAGGTAAGGAGGAGCTGAAGCAGAATACAGGGGAGCTGAGCTGCCACACTCTGAGCACACTGAGGTGAGGAGCCTGATTTGTTTTTTCCCTTCCTTATCTTCAACCCCACTGTGTTTTCCCCGGCTTGTTTTCCATCTCTGGGTTTTGTTATTTCAGTTTGAGCTGGAGGTTACTGCTGGTCTAGTTTCCAGTCTTTTGTTTTTGCAGGTTAGGTTTGACTTCCCCTTCTTATGCTCCAGTCGTTTTTGGTTCTCTTGTTTTTGTTTTCTTGTTTGGGGGTCTCAAGCTCAGGGTGGCGTCTCTTTCTCCTCTTTCTCGCTTTAGTTTCTGATCATTAGGAGGTTGTAACACCATCCAAAGAGGAAACAACAAGCAAGAGATGCTGGTGGGAAACTTGGAAACTGTCCTATGGTCTTATGGACGCTGCATCCTTTCCTTATTAGAAAGTGGATTTGTACTTTTGAGCTCTGTATGTGGATGACGTTGTCCGGGGCTTTGTCAGATAAGAAAAGGACAATCTCCAGCGGGAGAGTGAGGAGTCGGTGTCTAATGTGTGAAAACGCCGGGAATCCTGGGAAGAAAAAGTCAAAAGAAACCCGCCCCGTGGCCTCCGATCCTCAGGCCTGCTCACACTTTCTCACACTTCTCCGAACACACTCAGAGGATCGAGGGCCACCTGTTTGACGAGTGACAGACGCAACAGCTGCACCGCTGCCTGACCTTCAGCCAACACACACGCGAACTAACACACAGACACACTCTCCGCTTCTGTTGTTAAGAAAAACTGCTGACACAAGGGAGCATGTACTCGTTTCCATTTTCACTCTCACTCCTTCTCGCCCACGTTCAGATAAACACTTATTAACCCGATCACCCTCCACCCTCAGAGGAGAGATAATTCTCCTCTTATGAAACACAAAAATGTGTTTTGCTCTAAAAAAACGGTTTAAGATAAAACCACGCTCTTCAACCCGGTAAGAAAGAGATAAGTGGAAGTGTTTGTGGCATCTTTTTACACATTTATTGAACAAATATTACAGTCTGGTACATATTGAAGTGTGTATGAGTGTGTGAAAGGTTACACAGAGGATGTTACTGGCTGGTCAGAGGTGGAGCTGAGTCAGGAGAAGATGGTGGAGTTGAGTCAGGAAGAGATGGTGGATTCTCCGTTTCAACCGGCGGCACCTCAACCTGTGCAAAAAAACGAAAAACAAACGTTCGCAATCATTTGAGATATTTCTTCAAAGGTTGGAAGAAGAAAAAGCACATTTGTACGGAGAAGTTAGAGGGTTGTGGGGGCATCTGGTTGGAGCGTGGGAGGTCGTGTTTGGAGCGCCAGCTGGAGGCAGACAGGGGAGATGCTTCCCTGCCGCCTGCAGCCGGCTCACAAAATGCACGCCCACGCCTCGCTGCTCTTTTTCGACCCATTTCTGCAGAGTCTGTGCAACAGCGTCAACAGAAGGTGGAGAAAAAAACACAAATGTTTATCTTTAAATATAATCTACAACACCATCCGACACTGCAGACCAACTTTAAACCAGCTTTGGTCTCATTTTCACCCGTTTTCAGTCACTTGTTTGATAATATAAAACGTACTGTGAAGAGTAGAGTTTGAACAATACTAGAGTTATGCACTTTGTTACTATACCTGCAAAATTTGATACCATGGCAACAGAAAATGGTTTCACTAGAGAAAACTAAGACTCAAAATTGGACAATCCCTTTACATCATCCATAAAAACCCATATGAAGACTATGTTATGAGCACATCTCTTTGTATTTCTTATTTTTTGGAATTTTTAGAGGTCAGTCATCCTCTTGATCTTGAATCTATATAAATCTATATTGAATAATATTGATAATAATACATTTTATTTTAAAGCACCTTTTTAAACACTCAAGGTCACTTTATAAAGTAAGAACAGCGGCACAAAACAACAAGATAAGAGCAATAGAGTGAAAAAATAAAATCAAAATATATCTATAAATAAAATAAACACAAATTTGACAAGGTAAATTACAAGAAGTGTGCTAATCTAATCTATCTAATCCAAATAAATATATTCCTTATATGGAACCTAGGTTTAAGGTTGTACCCCTATGGGCACATTGTGGTGTAACACTGCCCTCTATAAATGGCATTTTTGCGCAAATTCTCTTCCCTTTTTGTTAGTGATCTCCGTGGGATAGGGGGCATGTTTGTTGAGGTCACTGACCGGAGGATTTTTGTGTTTTACACTAAAATAAAAATATAAATGGAGACCGCCTCCAGAGAAATCCATGTCTGAGTCTTTACTTCAAACATACACACACACAACGCTGACTCAGACACAACCGGTTACCCTTGGTCTAGACATCGCCGGTTACATTCAGAATGCTGGGCTCTGGATTAAAGGGACAGTGGAGCGTCTCAGACAGAGTCTGAAATTAGGGATCACGAAGCGTAAGGGTCCCTGTGGCACCATTGTTGATTATGTTTCCACTCAGGGCCTAAAATCAGAGTAAATCATACAAATGAAGCCAAAGACATCCAGGGATGGTATTGACCTGATGTGCATTTTAAACTTTACATTCATGGAGTCAAAATTCATCATTTCAATCATAAAACTAGACTGAGTTTACACCGTGAGGACTGAAATCTGCAGCAGCACGGAGTTTCTTTTTTTCTGGCTTCAGCCAACGGTTCGTCTGACTTAGGCTGCTCAGAAGTGCTAATTTAATCCCCTGACTTACAGATAACTGAGTCACACCATCGAAACCAAAAGCAGGATTTCAACAACAGTGACAGCTGGATCAAATACTCAGATCTGGAGCGGATAGTCAGAGAAAAGCCGAAGTTATTAAGTTCGCATTGGATCCACCTGTGGTTAAAAATCATCCGAGAGACGCAGATTTTCTATATGAAGCTGCTTTATTCAGCGTTTTAATTACTGCCTTTGTTTGTTTTGGAGAGGGAGGAGTCCTCTGAGGATACTCTCAGTCTACAGAGCACCATGCTGTTCTGTTCTGCATTGTTTTTTGTGTACAATGACGCAGCTGAAACACTCGACTGCATCGATTAAAGTGAGTTAATTCACGGTTTTTAAAGGGAGACTGTTGTGAAGTTTGGTTTGTGGAGAAGAAACACAAGAGGAGAAACTAAAGCGGCTTTTTGTTTGTTTTAAAAGACGAATCCATGAGGTCTTAAATGTTCTCAGAGTGGCTGTTGAGGAGTGATATGTGCATTAAACTTCTTGTTCCTTCACACACTAAAAGCCCTTCAGAGACGTCCTGGGCTTTGATTCAGTTTATAGCTCCTCTGTTGATTAGTTGCAGTGATGCGCCGTTAACACAGGACAATGAGGACACGACGCCTGCTCTCTATACGTGCTGCATCCACACACAAACATCAGTGCATCATTTATTATATAGAAAAGTGTCCTCTAAGATCATAAATGACGTCCTGCAGCTGCTCTGCATGCCAATTCTCAGCTTGTAAAACCTCCAAAAGACGTGATCCAGATTTTCTCCAATTTCAGAGCAGATCCAGCTCAGACGTCCAGACTTTTGTCGGTAATAAAGCCTCTTTTTTTTTAAAACCTCTGAATAACTGAATCTGTGGAAATAAATGTAGGCCACAGAGCACAGTATGTCATCAGCTGCCAAATCGAGTGTGCCTATTAATGAGTGCAACTTTTTTTTTTTCTTCATCATTATGCAATCAGCGATGCACAGAGAAAGCCAGAGAAGCTGCGGCAAAAACTAACTGGCTCCATCCAAAATTAACTCGCAGCCTAGTTTTCATTTGAAGAATTCATGCTTCTCTTTCAGCGCTGCAGTCAAACTTCTTACGCTCAGAGGGAAATGATTCAACTTTGCGAGTGTCATGATGCACAAACATCCTTCAATGAACCTGGAGAGATTTAAAAATACTTCTGCTTGGATCTTTGGCGTCTTTGATGTCAGCTCAGAAAACAGAAGTTTGTCCTTCGTGATGAGGATGAGATCTGCTTTCCTCGCGCTCGCTCTCCTCTCCCTGTTTAGCAGCGAAATATAAATGCAAAGCAATAAAAATAGACGCGTTAAATCTCATCCTCTGGCTACTCTGTGAAATCTGAAGTGATGCTGCTGCTGCTGCTGCAGCCGGGGAGCGAGCTGGCTCCAGTACCCGGCGTGTAGACCAGACCGCTGCCCCCAAAACGCAGAGAGCTCTCCTTCTCTGAGCTGGCCCCGAGCTGCAGCTTTGATGTCCCTGCTGTTGGACGACTGTGTGAGGTTGGAAAGCAGAGATACTTGTTGTTCTTACCAGTTTCTCTGCCCGCTGCCTCAGTTTCCTCCAGACTGTGTGGTGAGCCTGCAGAGAAGAAGACAACGTGACTAACAGGCACATGGAGACTCTGACAAATACTTTCACTGTCTGCTTTATTTTACAGGCGAGGCTCTGGTCTTTGAAGAACAAATAAATATCATATATTATCTGTCTCATGGCAACAACAGCTGAATACTCAGGGGAAAACACTGCAGACGACTAAAGAGGGATTCCTTTGATTTCTACATCACTGGGCTCTAAATACCAGCTGGTTCGAGCAGGTTTTGGTTTTACTTCAGCTTCATAAAATGAGCTGCAACTTCACTTACAAGGAAATCGCACCAGAGCGTCGACTAAAGTGTCTGTTTTTGCTTTTACTTGGCTTCTAAGAACAGAAATAGTTTCTTTGTTAAAGAATAAATTGCTTTCTAGACCAGAAACAGATGTTGCAGCAAAGCAGATGTGATCGGCCAGATTTCATGTCTGACACCAGGATGATCCATCCTGCAAAGCTGATGTATGAGTTCTTGATCAGAGTCAGACTGAACCAATCGGCATCATTTTAGAGGAAAGAGGCGGTCATTATAGGCTAGAACAAACATCTGCCTGATTACTCAGACTCTTATTTTGAAAGGTTCTGCCCTCCCCAGACACCATCTACAGGGTGAAACCATAGATTGTATTTAGAATGGACAGAGTCTGCAGTATAGGTCATAAATCCCGCCTCTGCCAGCAAAACTTATGGGACTGTGGACAGACTTTAGAAATTTATTACACAGAACATACATTTTTCTCCCACCTGCTTGTGATGTCAGAAGCTGTCCATTCTACATACAGTTTATGGGTGAAGCAGACAATCACACTCCATAAACACAAAAATTTTACACCTTCGAGCACAGGAGTTGCAGGTCTGCCTCCATAGTTTCAGGGGTGTAAATATGAGTAGGGCTGAGACGATGTGCTTTTCTCCCAATTCGTTTCTTCTACGTTTTTTTGGATGCCGATTCGACTTAAATTGCAATTCTAGGATGTTGTTGATTTTCTCGGTTTTTAATCTGCATTTTTAACACCAGTGAAAAAGTTGAATGATGATGATTGTCCACTGACTATTCCATATTTACCCGAAAAATACACATCACATGTAAGGCAATTTTTTAGATTTATTCCTAAATTTGAAAAAAAAAAAAAAATCAATTTTTGAACAAAAAAATGGTTTAAAAACTGCAATACAAAAAATCGCGATACTTATGTGAATAGATTTTTCTCCAACCCCTAAGTATTAGTAAGTCAATCATGTGCCATGTACTGGTATCAATAGCTGATCTGTATTCTATTGCATCAGTTTCATGCATCCAGGCAAATACACCTGACTTCCTGATTCAGAAGAGAGAATATTTTGGTTTAAAGAAGCTACCTGACAAGAAAAGAGGTGGAACTGCAAACATCAACTTGTGGTAAAAGTCTAGAGTATAAGTTACACCTGTAAATAAGACACAGGCTTTTCTTGGAGGGTCTCCTACAAGATTAAATGTTCCATTTTATTCAGCAATGTGCAGTTCTTATGCAGCTGTGTAACTTTTTCTATTATCATCTCTTATTCTCAACCTGAACGCTAACTGCACAGCCGATTCGCTCAGCCTGAAGTATTTTTAATATCTGTGAGATGTGATCTGCCTCTGACCGATTCACAGGGACTTATTAGACCCGATAAAAGACAGATTCACCAGACAGGTCCAGGTGAACCTCTTAATTCAAGACCTAAAATGCTTGTGATGGGTAAAACATACCAATGGGATATATAAAAATTACCTCTTCACCTTCTTGAAATAAAAAACTGACATCTCAATTTAAGATACTTTACATGAGCATTTGTTTTTTTATATCAATTACTGCTAATTCAAAGCATTCAGGTCTTGTTTTCGCCTTTAAACCTTAAATTAAGACATTTATTCGGACCTGTCGTGTGAAGAAACTAACACCTACTCAGCTTTGATCTTTTTAAATGAAACTCAGATGGATAACCTCTAACAGTGGTATGTACCTTTAAATGTAAGTTAAATAAATCAAAACAGTTACAGGTTCAGTATCTGAGCAAAGTCTCTCAGTGAGTCTAAGATAAATTTAGTTTTTTAGGGAGTCGGATACCATCAAATTTCAAATGCAACAAAAAGTTCAAAGGTGAAGTTAAATTCATTAAATTCAACTCAGTGTTGTCAATCAAGAAACCTCCCTACCTGCAGCTGAAGAGGCAGAGAGAGGCCCTGAGCTCTGCGGAGGAGGCCCAAGGGTCCCTGTCCCAGGTTGTGGATGGCCGTCACCTCGTACTGGAAGCACAGCCCTGTTCTGGCCACTAGAGGGCCCCCACTCAGCAGCACATGGTCTCCACATCTATAAGGTTTAAGATAACAGGTTTGGTGGGACATGATTAATGAGGATTTGAGTGACAGTGTGAGATTAAAAACTCACCTGTAGAGCATCACTGTGCCTCTAGGACTATTTTCTGCTTTCTCTTCAACCTCCTCCTGTTTGCACCTGAGAGACAGAAAAGAGCAATTACAATCATCAGCACACGAGAGGGGGCAATGCAAGGAGAGAAGCAAAGAAGTGAACATAACAAGAGATAAAAAAGGGGAAGAAAAGTGCGGTGGTGGTGGGTACGACTGAGTGAGGCAGAAGTGTGTCTACCTGCTGTGTGAAAAAACCTCCAGGGCTACAGGGGGTGTCACCTCCAAGGGCTCCCAGGCCAAGTCCTGATGGATCAGCTGCTGGGCTCCTCTGGTTAGTGATCGCAACGACTCCTGGAGAGAAAAACAGCAGAAAGACAGCTCTTTAGCAAACACAGAGGATCACATGTGGGAATAATATACAAGCATGAGTTCAAGTAAACCCAACCATAAAACGAACTACTAACTAATGACTTCAACTGACTACTCCTTGGGTTTCTACCTCATATGTACATGTAGTTCATCGTCACCATTTTTCTTTAATTTTTTGGAATTTGGTTCAAGTAAATAAACCTAAACAAACAACTTTTTACAGTCCCCTTTTTAAGAGATAACATAAGTTTTCTATCTGATAGTACAAAGATTCATTTTGGGTGAAATATGACTTTAAAAAGAAATATTAAATCAGCTGAAAGTCAGGGGTTTTGCTGAGCTTTAGTGCCTAAAATTCTCATCTTGCATCAGTAACAGAGAGAGTTACAGGTGACACAAACTTCGGCCAGAAAAGGATCAGTGAAAAGACAAAATATGGGAAAGACAGCTAAATATGAAGATACATGTGCATCCTCAAAGATTCACATTCACTAGATCATGAAAAAGGGCATCTATATGCAGCGTAAAATCATTTTATTTTGAAACCAGATACTGACAGGCAAGTGAGGGTCTGTGTCCTCTTACAACATTTATTAAGGGCCTGTGTCCACAACAAATATATTTTGCACTGGTAGCACAAACAACTTCAATCCTGCTGGGTTTCTAAGATGCAAATGTTATTCCGCAGCACTGAGTTTCTCTGCATCTTTTATACTTTCTTTAACTCAAAGGAATTCATGGATCAAATCTATTTTTTGTGTTTTTTCAGGAGTTAACAAAAAGAGAACGGCAGCGCCTTCTTGACTTTTCTCAAACTGCAAAAACTGAGGACATTTTTTTTGCACTCTGACCGTAAAAACACCTGGCTGCACTAGTTATGTGTTGAAAACAGGCACTGCCAGTACAAAAAAATACTGTAAGTGGACACAGGCCCTAATGTGTGCAGTGGCATATTTCACCACAAACTAAAACACAAACCTCAGAGGGCGTCCATGAGTCCAGCTGAGGATCCAGCACCACATCACAGCAGAAAGCTCCTGAAGTGACTGCAGATAAACACATACGAACTTTTAACTAAAGACCAACATAGAATTACTCTGAATAAGACTGCACAGAAAACATGATATGATACTGAAATTAAAACACAACCTGTTCAATTCTGCTTGATTTGAAACCAGACACTGCTGCGTGTAATTTGAGCTTTCCTGGCAAAGAAGTTGAGCACCTTCTCTGATTTATTGAGCAGACATAAACTCATAAAGCATCTGACAGCAGGTCGAGGTAAATCAAGACAAATAAAGAGACTCTTTCCTACCTGGTACTTCTGGAGTACTCAGCAGCTCCACGTTGAAATCGTCCTTGAACGCCGTCTCAAGAACTTGACCGAGCAAGGCGGCGCAGGATCGCCAATAAGCCTGACAGAGGGAACAAGAACACACAGTGACTCACCAAGCTGCTCTCGTGGTTTATTAATGCGTCTACTGCGAGTTACACTGAAGTCCTAAAAATGTTATTTCCAAAACTTCCTGAAATCCAGCAGAGTAAACGTAGACTGATTTTGAAAGAGTACCTGATTGACCAGCGTGGGGTCACTGTCTTTAAATGTGAGCAGCTTCAGAGAACAAGAGGCGGTGAGCGGCTGATGGAGCGGCCAAAGCTCCCCGTCCACCAGGGCCAGCACAGAGTTGGTCACATGATGCTCTGTCAGGTCTGAGGTGAACACAAAGAAGACTCAAGCTCTATATTTTATAAAACTTCAGGTAAATGACCACCAAAGATGAATAAAAGTTATCTTTCTGCATCCTCGTGTTCTGTTTCACTCACGACTGGCACAGCTGAGCGGGGTGGACATCCCTCTGTTCATGATCAGCAGAGTACCATCCAGCCCCGGGCCCTCCATGTTCACCTCGATCTTCTCAATGCGGGGGTACAGAGCTCTCTGCCGCGCCTGCTCTCTGGAGAAGACTGCATTTCGTTTGCTGCGGACTTCAGCGGCCGGTGGACGCACGGCTGCTGCAGCAGACGCAAATCCTGCAGAGGTAGAAACAGGAGGAGGGAAAAGATCAGCAACACAGCAAAAAAGGTCAACACAGAGGTTATTAGATTGCAAAAGCATTAGTTTTTTGCTGCGAATAAGGAGTAAACATCTGTCTGGTTATTCTATTTTTAATGAATGATTCAATCATTTCATTGTTTTACATTGGTTTTTATGATTTTTTTAAATTTGTTTACGACCGTTTTAACTCATGTTTTATCACAATGACTAGTGCTTTTATTTATCTTCTACTCCTCTTTTTATTCTTTTCTAGGGTTGCAAAATTCCGGGAATTTTCAAAGTTGGAAACTTTCCATGGGAATTAACGTGAATAAATCTGAAATTTACAAAATTGAAGGTTGGCTCTCAATGGGGAACTTCAATATAGGGAAAAAATATACTATAGCATAATCTTGGCTAAAACAACCAGATTTAATGCAAATACACTCCTCAATCACATGCACAGATGATTTCTTGAACCCTGGAGGCTACACTTTTGAGCCCAAAGCACAAGACATTTGATTCCACAGACTATATAAAGTCAAGTAAGTTTTTTATAATATTATGGGGTAAATATATTTGATCTATAATAGTATTAATATTTAACTTGCAAAAATTTAATAAAAATAGGTGCTAAATGTAAGCTGGTGACTATTTAAGGGGCTAGCTTATTATGGTGGTGGTAGCTACCTCAAATGTGACGCTGTTTCTTCTGACTCTGAAACCATACAATAATTTATACATCAACTGTCAAATATTTTGAAGACCGTTCCAGTTGTTTAGCCAACTATATTTCTGTTCATGCCGTTGCATTCATGTTTTTACAAGCTTTTTTCTTATTTTATTTTACAGAAAAATGCCCCGTTCGCCATCTGATGTGTGTAATGTTTTAATTGTATTATTTTGCATGGATGTCTGCTTATGACAAAACAAAAAAATTTGCATTTATTTATTATTTAGTCCTGAATAAAGATTCAGGACTTAATTGATAGAACGTTGTATTTCTGAACTACATGGTAAATGACTGTCTGTGGTGGCCAGCAGCTATATTTTTATTTTTATTTTATTTTATATATTTTTTTGTTGTGTTTTGTTTATTGCTACAGTTGCTTTTTAAAAAAAATCTTATTATTCTAAGTTTGGTCTTTGTAAATGATTTCTTGGGATAAAGGAGCAGATAAAATAAGATTATTCTTCTTTCTGCTCCCTTTCATTCTAGATAGGAGAACGTTTGTATTTAAATTAAATTGTGTCTTTTTATTTTTAAAGGAATGAAATAAAGAATAGATTAAATGAAATTAAAAGCCTCTCTGACAAGAGTAGAAAAGTAAGACTAGACTAATTGTCATTTTGCTCAGATTACTTCATATTCATAGATATTGTAATGGTACAAATTCGGAAAATACATGATCATAATTATCATAAAAGACAGGAGCTTCTTGTCCCTCAAAGGCCACCGTTACTGCATTAATAGGAACAGTGGGCAAGGGAGCGTTTCAGTCTACAACATCCCCTTTTCTACACACTCTTTTCTAATAACACATATTTGTCAAGGACAGTCTTTAAAACAGCCAACATTAGACAAACTAATATCTGTTATAAACTCGTGGTCCAAATAAAACTACATCATGTAATTCCACCTTAACAGCCCAGTTCACACACTAATGCTACTCACTGCGCTGGAGGACTCCACAAACGCTCCGGGTCGCCATTTTGATCACGATCACGACAACTATATAAAATTAACAAACTCAAAATAAATACAGCAGTAATGTCAAGTAAATGTCTGTCACTACTGCCTCTGGTTGAAGGACGCCATGCCTGCTCCGTTTGCAACGATTATTTAGGTCCGGAGAGGAACTGAAGTCGCTGACTGGAAAGTTCCGGGTTGCTGTACCTTTTTAGGACAGCAGATGGCGCTGTTGGCAGTGATTTAATTTTGTCTTATGAAAAAGAAATCATGCAGTGGTTAATTTTATGTATAGATTAATAATAATAATAATAATAATAATAATGATGTATAAAAATGGCCAGAGTCTTTAGTAAAAAATTACACAAAAGGATCTCAATGAGTTTTATGAGGTGTCAAAGGTTGATCCTGATCCAGACAAAATTCTGGATACTGTGATCCAGAACACACAAAAATAAGGGTGTCGTTGGAATTTTCAATGCTGAAAGATAACCAATGAAGATACAAGGAAGTGTACGCTTACAAATATTGCATAATAAATCATGCATTTATGTATCTAATATGAGCTTTGTTGTTTTAGGAACATTATGAACAGTGAACATACCAGTTTAAACACAAATAAAAGTTAATAAAAGACACGTAACAGTAAAAGTTTTGGTGTGAATCACAATATAAGGGGGGACATGAGCTGCTTGGCGGAGGTCTGCGCTCTCCGAGTGCTTTTCTAATTGGTTAATGGGTTGAGTCCCCAGGACCAATAGGGGATGAGTGATTGCACAGCTTCGGGGGCAAACACTCATGTTCGCTAGACATCTACTTGTGACTTGTAACACCATAACTTCTAAGAACAAGATACTAAATTGTAAATACAGGGTAAAAAATGTGTGCGCCTATATCTGCACGGTGTTTTGTGCAAAAAAGTGATCATGGAGTGCAGTTGCATACCACTTAGATATCTTCTCATGTCAAAGAAATAGATTGTTTCCTAATTGATAAAGGATGCTGCACAGATATTAATGTAGTGACTTGAAGAAAGGAGTAGACGTTTATAAGTAGTTACTGCTACATAAAAGCTTCTACATACGCAGTTATGATCTATTCTTACAAGACAACTTGTGCACAAGATAATTAACTTGTTCCCACTTTGTTGTTGTAATGTTATCTTCTGAGCACGATATAAAAAATAGATTTCTTTTCGGACTCTAGGGGCTCTGTGGGTATTCACACCACCTCTCTACAAGTTTATTTCTAGATTACCTCGGTCCTCGTCTTCTAAGTGTTGAAATACTTTACTCTCATGTTGAATGGATGGAGTCCAAAGTCAGTATCTTGGCTCTAAAGTCTCACGTGTCCCCAATTTCATCCCCTAATGGACTCTAATGGCTCTCAGAATTTGACAAATGCTCGTTGCATTCTTCGGGACCAGAACCGGCAGTGAGTGTTGGCACTGATGGCAGCGGCAGCGATGGGAGTGGCAGGACTTTGGGCCAGGAAGCTCAGCCGCAGAACCAAAACATCATAAATCATGTGGACGCGGGACGAGATGGAGCCAGATTAGAGCGAAATAACAAGGATGGAGAAAGGTGTTTTCAGAATGATCTGCAGAAAAGAGAGGTGAGGATTCAAGGATATGAGACAAACATACAAATACTTCAATTTTATGGAGTCATGCACACAAATTTAAGGTGGCAAACTTGTTGATTGTGACGTTTTACATGTTGTAAAGGATTAGCAATAAAAACTCAGGGACACGTTTGTGCATAAAGGTTTATTTTTGTTGAAAATAAGTGATTCTGACGTTGCACCACTAACATATCTGCTGTGATTTAAGATAAATGAACTACACACTGACACTGATGTTCACGTCATACAATGTAACAAGGCATTTGATCATCTGTAAAGTGTAAAGACGAGTGTCTGCACGTTTCTTAATGACTGATTGATCGGCTGATTGGTTGGTTGGTTGGTTGGTTGAGTCTGTCTCTTTGGGTGAGGTTGATTGTACTCCAGGTGACGGTTTGACTTCATGCACGCTGCGTCCACAGTTTGTCAACATTTGGGATTTTCTGGATGAATTTCCCCAAAGGTGCAGTTTCCTTTTTGAGACATTCGTACATCTTTTTCATTCATTCGTAGTTAGGCGGGCCTGCTGCGACATTAACTCTTGCTCTGACTTCTTCACAGTGGTGTTACCTGACATCCGTTCTGAGACTACGTGATTGGTCTTGCACTGTTTTAAAGTCCTAAAAGTGCAAAATGAAGAACAGAAGACCTAAAACAAGGACTGAGAAACTGTTCTGCCATCCCTGCTCGGATCTATGGCTGGTTTCCCAAATGCACTCTGCACTATGATCCTCCTTGTTGATGGCTTTTAAAGATGGGTTTGGCACCGTGCTGCCTTTGGGAAACCTCGACAATTTGCTCCTGTCAGTCAAAGACTTGGTGATGACACTGGGAGGCTGAGTGTTGCTTTTTTTTCCCCCAAGCTTCCTCGTCGGAAAGCAGGTCCAAACTGTCTCAAAAAAGAGTGGATTTTTCCTTTAACATGTTTAATCTATCTAACTAGGATTTGATCTCCTCCCACTCTTTCCAGAAAAACGCACCGGCTGCTACTGCACGCTGCAGGCGGGGCAGCACGCCTCCCTCCGGTCCGGCAGGGGGCAGAAGTCCATCTGCCGCACGATCTCAGCGAACAGCTCGTCCACCATCGTCTTGCTTTTAGCAGATGTCTCCATAAAAGGGCAGCCCCAGTCCTCAGCCAGAGCTTGGCCCTCGCTCGGGGACACTTCCCGCTCGTCCTCCAGGTCCACCTTGTTCCCCACCAGCACCACGGGCACCTGCTGGTACCTGGAAACAAAAGAGGAAGAAATGTCAGAGGGTTGCAGCCGATTCTGCTGCCCTCCTCTTCCCCCTGTTGTGTGTTTGTTTGATACTCCAGGAACTTCCTAAGGGAGGGAAATTAATTCAGCAACAGCATGTGTGTGCGTGCGTTGATGGCCTACATACTGTATCTATTAGCTGCTAAAACAATAAGAGTTTTGAGCAATGCACAATGGGACCAAAGAGGAGGGAGGGATGCTCAGCCGGGTGTCTGATACCAGTAGGCGGTCTGTTTAGAAAACCCTCCTTTTCCACGCTGTGATGCTCTATTTATCCCTGAATGCATTATATATATATATGTATGTGTGTGTTTATATAACACAGCGTCAGGTTTTTGTATAAAATCATTATCTCTCCACTCTGCTTTGTGTCTATCACGTCTCAACAGCTGAAAAGCTTTCTCCTTCAGCGTTCGGCTCATGATCCTCCAGTCCTGCTCCCTCTGAGCCATCAATACTTGGAAACCAGGCTGGGGAGAGTAATGGTATAGGTTATTGCATAATTGAATAAAGCTAATGTGCTGCTCTCACATGGGGGGACATGAGCACCAGCCTCAGAAACAACTATTTTCTACTTAATATATGTAGCTACAGCTCCTGTATGCCCCTTTATTTAGAGCCAGTATTTAGACACAACATCAATACAAGAAGACATAAACAGATTTTGTTCATTTACAATCTATAATGAATTGTAATGAAGACAATATATGAAATCTGAAATAAAGGCCTATTCAAACAACGGGACATTAAAAACTGGACTTACAAACCCACAGCGATAGACGGCTATTAGACGTCTAGTTCTTTTTAAGACTTAATTTCAACCGTCTACATTCTGTATATTTTTAGACGGAATTTAGACGTTGCACTTTAACCCATTATTCAATAACTATTTGTTTCAAAAAGCAACTGTGAGTTGCACAACTGATCTCCAAGTACTTAACCAAAATAATGATAGCCGTTGAGCAATATAGACTAAACAGACTTGGTCTAAATTTAAATGTCTAAAAATAGCTGAGCAGATAAGGAAATAATCTTTCACTTCAAGATGTCCGCCCAAAAATGTGTTTTTTCCTTTATAACTCAAAATGCCTTGATTTTAAGCGCCATACATATATTGAAGTTGAATATAAAGTTGGGTATTGCGGACATTTTGGTACCTAGTACATCTCTGTATCCATTACACTTCTTGAGATACAGCATATAGATACTTGTACTTGGACTGGATAAATGCTCTCACGAGGAAGCGGACAGCCGGATTTTAGGGCCGCCATCTTGGAATTTTGCGTGGCTAACGTTATTTTTTTTAAAGAGTGGGGTTTGAAGAGTATATGTACCAAATTTCATGCTTGTATAACAAAGTGAACGATTCGGGCTATATTATGCATTTTGTCTGCTCCACTAAAAAACCTTTCATTTTTAGACCTGTGGTAGCCTGATTTTAGACCAGTCGTCTAGGCTACATTTAGACGTCTTTTAGACCTCTTTTAGACCAAAAAATGCTCAGTGGGAATGTTGAGGACAAAGTCAGAAGACAAAGAGGAACCAGTTTGTCCACAAGGGGGTGCAAGAATTAAGACAAACTCAAAGTTACACACAGAAGCTTTACATTTGGCAATTTGTGTTCACAGATGGTGGTTTTAGATGTAATTTTTTAGCAAATATGGTGACTCCTCCTACAAAGTCGTGTTGTTATTTATTAAAGGGCCACTTGAGAGCATTAAGATCATGATAAAACCCACATATTCTTTGCAGTTTTACCCATAATGAACGTTTCTTTGATATCTTAGGCTCACGAAGGCTTTCCTTCTGAATGCTCTTTTTATACCCAGTCCTGTTCCATACCTGTAACTTTTTTAGTATTAGACATCTTTCTGATTTTTTTTATTTTTGAATGTGTAAATTCAAATGTTTAAGGAGAAGAGCAAACATCTCTAATTCAGAGGGCCAGGTCATTAAGGACCCTCTGTTGATGAAGGTAAATCCACTTTGAGGAACATGTGATGGAGGTACTGGCCTTTACTGCAGATGTGCTTCACATGACTCCTCGTGGAAATAAGCTAGTGGCTAAATCTGGTCCTAACGCTGCATTCATGTGCTCCTCTGATGGTCCCAGATTTCACTTTGAAGTCTGGTCTCAACATCAACATTTTACCAACAAGGACACATGTTGATTGAAAAGTTTTGACCTGTTAAAATTTAGTAAGTAAAAACTTTTAAATGAGTTTAAAATTACTTTATAATGTTAGACAAACATGTTCTTTTATTTCAACAAAAATACACTCACTGGGATCCTGTAGTAATTGTGGGGATATCAACTTTGGCTGCAGAAAAAAATGCTTTTAATTGATTTTACCCAATAAAAAATGAACTGCTGACTCACTGAAATGTCTGTAAGTGCTGCTTCACTGAATAAAAGACCATTTTAAAGTTATTTTGGCACGGCCAACCTCTGACAAACGCTGATTCGATTTGATTTATTTTGGATCCACCATTAGTTACAACAAGATATGCAGTAACTACTCTTCTTTTCTATTTTAAACAGACTTACAGACATTACACTTACATAACACTCATTCTAAGATAAAGAAAGAAAGTGAAGAGACAACAAAGAAACACAGAACTTATCTTAGGGATAACAAGAAAACTTAATCCATCAGAGAGAAGAGCTGAACTTAATTTCATTCATGGTACTCTGTATGTAAACAAATACACATTTAATTGTTTGTTAAAGCAACTTCTGTTAATGTCTGAAATTAAAAGTTCCTCTCACTCCATCATCTTTGAAATAGTTTTAACAAAGTAATTCAGTCAAAACAATAATTTATATTTGGCAGAATGGCTCAATTCTTAGAGGGGTTTGGATCTGGTCTGAGTTCCGGTATCAAAGTCTGAGGCGGGGAGAGCACACCTCTCTTCTCTACATCATGTATTTATGAAAAGCCTGAAGGCAGGTAGAGCAGCAGAGTGCCTGAAATATCATTATACTTGATTCAATCATGGAGAAGGCTCAATTTCTTCTCGTTACAACCGCCTCCTGTTGGCCATCAGGAGGACTGCGACGATTGAGACGTTTTTGTGTTTCCTTTTTTACTTGAGCCACTTTAATTTTTCATATGGTCAGTGGTTTAAAACCACTATAAGCATTGATACTCCGCTTGATGATGCAGATGTCTCCGAAGATTTCGTTCAGGTATCACATATTTCATTTCTCAGTAAGAAGCCCTTCATGTTTTCTCTGATTAAATCACTACACAATGTCAATTACAGAGCGTATGTATTCTCACAACAGGTAATGGCACAGACTGTGTAATGGCCTCCACCATCAGTCATCCCTAAGTGCATCCCGAGCTCGGCTTATTGATCTGCTGGTGCTATTGAGAAATGGGCTCTTATCTACAAATTGGTGGCCTGCTGCAGCGCTGCTCATGCTGGGAGAAGAGCTGAGGCGTGGAAAAGAGCTGGCCGACGTTTTAGTGAGCGCAAGAGGGCAGGGGAGTGTTTGAGGAAATGAATGCAGGTGGAGGACTCTTGAACACCTGTCAGACCTGCTGAAGAGATTTTTAAAGTTTCAGGAGTTGACAGGAGAGAAAAAAATGCTCCCTCGATCGCAAAATATGAGATAAAACATGAGTAATTCCTGCAATTTCCCCCTGATTTGATGGGAAATTTGCTGCCAAGAGGAGGAAACTCACTTGAAATGCCAAAGACTTCCCCCACAGCTTGACATTTCCCCCCAACAAACCCCGCACTGCTCAACACACACACACAAATACACACTCACAGCAGCTGACCTCAGCAGGACAAGCATCTTGCATTGGCCTGTGTGTGTTTGGAGAGTCTGGAGGGTGTGAAGTGTGAACAAGGAGAGCACCATGCAGACAAACACAATCTGACAGGCTTGCAGGAGAAACTCTATATATAACTACAAAGACAGGGGGAGAGCGAGCTTCTCCAGGCTGGGGTGTGATGATGGGTGGGGAGTTTGTGAGATCAGATCAAACTACAGACCCCCTCTTCTTCGCCAAATGAGGAGAAACTGAAACTGAACGACACAGCGGGAACTCAAGCCGTCCCGTGGCTTCATAACATGTACTGAAGGATTTGCCAGTCAAAGATTTGGGTTAATCACCGGAATATGTATCAGTTTTAGTCACCTGGGGCTTTTATTTTGAAGGCTCAAGTTCTATATATCAAAAATTCAACAAATGGCTAATGCAGCAGTAAAAATGATCACCTGAGTGATTGAATTTTAGTGTTTTTTAGCTCTTATTTTGGATTTACAGCATTAAGGTCCTTTCACACCGGGACCGTTTTTGTTGTGCGATTATGTCAGACATCAATATTTTTTTTCGAACCCGTATCCTGTCAATACAAGTGTTCACATCAGCGATGTTTTCCCCTCTTGTGATATTGCTGCATTTATTTTTTTGGATCACGGTCGATTTTTCCAAAGTTTCGCACACTGTGTGTCCACTTCTGACCAATCAGATTTTGTGTTGTTGTGATGTCAGATTAACCGGTATATCCAACATGGCTGACCGGCTGATTAATAATGATTGTTTACAATCAAGAAATAGTGACAGTATGACGTGATTTAGGTCATCTGACTGGCATGCACCATCCTTGAATGTGACTATTTTGCAGTCGTAAAGTTTAAACAATATGGGCTCTATTTTCGTGCCCGCCGACAGCGCAGCAGAGGGTGGTGGACCCCGGGCAGTGGTATTTTCATCTGGCGGAGCCTGGTGCACAGCCAGTTTGGTATTTTTGTGGACTGAGGCGCACCAAGGTCCGCCAAGCTGGGCGTGGTGGCGCGGTAGGGGGAGATCTTGACAGAATCCCACTCCACGCCCTCTCTACGACTTATGCCGCTTGGAGGAGCTGAGTTAGGGAGGGGGGATACTTATGCCGGGCTGCGCCACTCACAAAAACACTAAAATGTGCTTGGGCACGCCTTGTCTGCGCGGCGGACCTGACTTACGCCGAGCCTACGCCATGCCGCCGCCAAGGAACGAAAATAGAGCCCTATATCTTAAAGCCTTAGTGGGTGTGATGCTGCAGTTTTCCTGAAGACTAGAAGCTGAATCTCTGCTTGACCTTTCTGTAATGTTTTTATTTAATTTATGTCTGTGGTGGATTTGTTCCACCTCATGGCATCTTACTGGGTTCAAGTTCTTTTTACTTTCAACAAGGTTCTTTGAATAATACAGCCTCCTTTTCAGCTCGGTTGACTTCCCTGAAGTTGCTGCTCTAACTTCACAGTGATAATAATCTTTTAACATTTAAAATATAAATGGTGGACCTTTATTATACAGTATAATTCACTGCAGTGCTGCTGCTTGTAAAGCTGTTATTCCCACTATTCTAAGAAAGCCTTTCCTCGTGATCATAGCAGCTTTTATTCGGAGGTTGCCATTGTTTATCTTCTGCGACGAGTGTTTTTACTCCACATACTGTCTGAATTTAAAGCAGCAGAAATCCACAAACACTGCTATCTTGTTCCTCGTCCAGCATGAGCGCTGGCACGGTGCATTATGGGAATTATCAGCTCAGTTGGAAAGTGTTTGGATTGCTTGGCTGACACTACCAGCTGTATGAATATGCAGCTTTTTTTGTGTGCTGGAAAGTTGGTGAGAGAGAAGTGGCGTCGGATTTATGGAGCAGAAAACAGCTGGTGGTGGACAGCTTACGAAATGATACGCTGATAACGTGAAGGTCTGAACTGATTCCTAAAATCAGGTCCTCTGGGAAAGACGAGTCCGAGTGCTGAGCTCCACTTTTAAAAGCCATCATCAATACATCCATTTGTCGAAACGCCGCATCCTCATTAATGGATCTTGAGTAACTTTTGCTGATACACATTTGACCTTTCAGTCCACACAGCTGCCATCTGCCTCTGCGGGGTGTTATTCCAACTGTTGGAGAACACAAACCCTCCCACACAACAATAACAACAACAATCAGGGTTTATAACTCACACAGAAAGAAGAAGAAGAAGAAAAAAAAAAGTGGGCTCCACATTTTCCACTTTGCCTCCAGGTACAGCAGCCTTATTAAAGCTACCTGCTGTGCTAAATAGCTGCAGTGATCTCACTCCGGCATGTTCACGAGCCCCACAGCACCAACAAACACATGCTATATACAAAAGGAACAGTCATGCATCTCCAGCTGTGCAGCCACCTCTTTGCTCCATGCATCTGCTCTTAATTAGCACTTTTGAGCGGCTAACGTGTCAGACAGCCGGGCTAACTCATGTATCTGCTGAAAGGAGTGGACGTAAAGATCACAGATCATACAGCGCAGACAGGTTTGAACCCCCGACGGCTGATTCTGCAGGAGAACAAAGCTAACGCTAATGTTTCTGGGAGCACGAAGATACAAAACAACATCACCGCAAACATTCCTGTGAATGTTTGTGATAAACAGACAGACAGACAAAGTGGAGGCCTGCACGGCAGATGGAGACGAGTCTTTGGAGTGCTTTTTATGTTCAAACCCCGAGCTTCATTTCCATCTCTAATGTCTGAGGCAGCGCTTTGATAATATCTTTTTTTTTCTTTTTAATGCAGATGCAAAGACAGTATAGGCAGTATGGGAGCGACAAGGCGAGTCCTCATTAGTTTTTATGACTCCTGTTGTTCTGTGCAGTAAATAAACAGGAATGAAGTGAGACGTTTAACTTTATTCATCTGTTTGTTTATTTTTTTAGAGAGTGTTTTAATGAGTGTCAGGGTGAGGTACGGGGTGTAGACTTTCCAGTTGGAAAAAAAAAATTGTTTATATCGATATTCCCAAGAAAGACCGATAAAGAAAGAAGGTTTAGTTGGTTTTTAACAGCCGGAGTATCTGCACTTCTGTGAGGCGCAAAAAACTTCTCCAGAGCAGGGCCTTGTCCAGACTTTTTCGGCTGGGGTGGCCCAACCCCAGAATTGGCTTACTTGGGGGTGACTTTAAGAATATTGTGCACAAAACATACCTGAAAAGCATTTATTTGCTCTTTCTGTCGCTAATCATCAAATCTACTTATATTAAAGTATCGAACAGATGTGATATCCCCATATGGTGGTCAACGGATTACAGCTTTTCAACAGCCAATAATGATAATGAGGAGCGGGCTGGCTGATGATCGATGTATAATAATGATACTATACTGTTGTTTATCCTTTTGCATTTGACAGAATACAACAATTAAAGCCAAACTCACACAACAAGTCCAGGAAATGGCTAATTGTTAAGCAATAAAAGCCAAAAAGGAGACCTGAATTGCATATTTTGTGAAAAAAATTATATAAAATTTGCATATTTTTGCTTTGGCAATATCGGTAAGTCAAGTCTCATTTTTGTGTTCAAGACCTTGTTGGGAATTTCCGCTTATTTTCCAAACCAAAACTTGACAAGTATGCCCCGCACATGTCAGTGCCTTTGCTGGACCACCCAAGTCTAAAAAGCCCAGACACGCCCCTGTGGCAACATAAAAGCTATAAAACTCATTCAATTTTCTACTCATGCAAAGAGAGCAGGAACTCATTCATCAAATTATGGGGTAAATGTTGCTTGATAGTAGCTTTAAAAGCAACCTCTCCATCAAACCATCTGTAAATTTCATAAATTGAAATCTGGAAAAACAAACTGAAAAACATGATGAGGGTTTGTTTTTTAGAGTTTGGACAATAGCTGCAGATATTGGCACTTTTACAACATGCCCTTATAACTGAGAGCCACCATAAATGTTTGTTTTCTGATCATTAGCTACAACAAAAAGGAAAAATATTCAGTCTGGCAAACGACAACAAAGCAGCATTATTGTCAAGCTCAACTTCTGCTCAGTTTTTACTAATCTTTGCTCATCTGTGTCACAATCATAGACATGTTAGATATTAAACTAAATCAGTACAAAGATTTGTTTTAAGTATTTAAAAGTAGCAAGAAAGCTGCAACACATTTCTGATCATGACAAACAATAAAAGAGTGAAAACACTCATAAAAGCAGAGTGCAGCACTGACGACAACAATGAGTACTTTCCCGTCTCTTCTTAACTCACATTTTAAACCGAGCTGCCCGCTTTAACGAATCTCTCCTCCCTGATGGCGAACACTAAAAGCCTGAGGTCAGGAAGTTGCCTGCACCAAAGTGCCCTCTGGGATTCGTAGTTTTGGTCTCTGCAGTCTATTCCCACTCAGCAGCGCGTGATGCTCACCTCCTGCTATTAGACACAGCATCAGTGCAGCGTGAAAACACAGCTCCACACCGCTTTGAACCGTCTTCCTCCTCTCGGGCAAACAGAACCACAAAGCTTCACATGCCGGCCAGGAGATTATTAGATTGTGAAGAGGGTTACACCCAGATGTTGTTTTGAAAGATAGCGACAACACAAGCTTAATTTTGTTCGTGTGAGAGTGCCTCAGTCCACAGAGGGTCTGCTGAGGGGAAAGTATGTCAGAGACAGCGTGTTCGAGCTTAAACATGCATCAATTATGCACATATGGAACGAAAAGCACAAAACTGCATCATGGCAAAGCGTCTGGTACTGATAGCCTTAAATAGCCTCTCTGCTGGGACAAACAAATTAAAGGAATAGTTCATAGTTTTTCAAGAGGGGCTGGGATCAGCGCTTGTGCCAAGTCACTGTACAAACAAACTAAAACTCCTGAACCAAAAACATCTCACACAAATAAAATGTAGAAATCAACGGAAATTGGCTGTTTTAGGTGCATTTTTATGAGGCCAAAAAATGTCCTGCTGCCCCAGTTCACAGCAGAACACAGATCAGCGTCTGTGCCAGAGATACACTCTTAGGGCCTGTGTCCATTAGCAGCATTTTTTTGTGCTGACAGTTCCTACTCTCTGTCCAAAATAGAGCAGTTCACTTCAGGTCCTTTGGGTGCTCAGTGTCCAAAGCACAAAAAAGTATATTTTATTTATTTCTTTGATATAGGGGACAGCACACATTACTGACTGTGGGTAGGCAGATGTGCCAGACTGTAGCTTTGGGCTTATTTCCATCAACAGACCCCGACAGGTCTATTGATGGACAAACTGACCCCACTTGATCTATTATTGGTTTACTTTTCAGATCTGAGATGCTGCTTTTTTGTAAAATTCCATCAAATATTAGCAGGTGCAAAAGGGCTAAAAATTGCAGTTCTCTGAGTGCCCACTATAGATCGATGGGTCAGAGGTGGCTCACAGACTGTCGCTATTTGCAAAGAGGCTAAGAGACATGAAACCGTACGCATCCTTTATACAACATTATTTCCATTTTTGAAAATATACCAAACTGTTCCATGCTGTGAGAGTGTGTCAGCTGTGCTTGCTTACATCCAGGTAGTAGATGGAGCTACACTTCCAGCTTGTGGCTAGTGGCATGAGGCTGCACTACAGCTCTGACGCAACATATGGAAACAACAAACGCTTACAAATGCAAGTTAAATCTGATCTCATCGACAGGGGCTTGTCTAAAGGATGGGCAGGGGTGGCATGGGCCCTCCTTGCAATTTTATTGACAACTTTTGCATGCCACCCTACAACCTGAACTTTGATTGGATAACTATAATACATGCACAGTTTTTGGTGCTCAAATGTTGACAATATTCTAGTTAGTAGTTTAAAAAAATGTACTTTTAAGACATGTGTGGACACCAAAAACAGAAACCCTAAAACACTTAGGGCCTGATCGACTAAGATCCAAAATAGCGAGCGCTAAATTCCGAATTGATGGCGGGAGCAAAAGTGGTGCGGACTGCCCTCTTTAAACAGGGATTTTGCGTGCGCTATCAGCTGTCACCGTGGAGAGTTTGTAAGAGCAGAGTGTTGGAGTTGTACATGTCGTTTTGGGGAACTGCATGAAAGGCAAGGCAAGTTTATTTGTACAGCACCATTCATACACAAGGCAATTCAATGTGCTTTACAGATACAAGAAGATATACTAGAAATCAAAAAGGGATTATTTAAAATCGATAAGACAAACAGATGCATGTTTTCGTCTGTTTCGTGTTCGACCTTATTATTTATGAAAATCGTCATTTACCGGAAGAACAAAACAAATCACAAGCTTTTTGACAAGGTTCATGGTGTGTATCATGGCACTTCTGCCTCCTTCTCTCCACAATAACCATGCGTAATGGTGCTCCAGTTTGCATGTAGCTTTCAAACGTGCTAAATATAGCCGAAAATGGCGACCGCAATCGGTTTCCAGGTTTGATAAATCCCATTGCGGGTGCTAAATGATTTCATTTGCTTCTGCTTCTCCCAGAATTTTGCGCGCTCTGATGATCTGTGTACATTCTGCATATTCATGAAGGCAAACACCCTAAATCGATTGCGAGCGCTGTTTTGCCCATTTGACAGACGCAATCCTCGTTGCACCTCTGTGTTTTTGCACACGCAAACCTTTAGTAGATCAGGCCCTTAGTCTGATTCTTTCCTCTTTCACACTTAAAAGTGGAAATATTCGTTGAACCACTTCAGATTTTGCGCACCAAACAGACAAGTACACAAGCTAGCTTTTGTCTTTGTTCTGAAGTGTAAAGCTAATCTAAGCTAAGTAGCGACTAGCATCAATTAAATATTTACAGTTCAGGCATGAGAGTGGTATCAATCTTCTCCTCGAACTCTAAGTGTATTTCCCATAAAGTCTGACTATTACTCTGCTCTCAGTGTATTTCCTGCCTCCCTCTCTGCTTATAAATATACGTCAACACAATGAAACTGATATGTGGACTCTCGCAGCAAGAGGCCGACGGTTTCACAGCACCTGCACCCCACAGAGCTGTCCACATATAGGATTATTTCCCATGATTCCCCCACAGAGAGTCCTGCATAAGCATTCTGGTTTATATGACTCCCTAATGGAGGCCTGATGTCTTCTTGGCTTCCAACCCAACACAATCCCATTAAGTTCTGGTGAGTGGGCACATACTATATCTCAGTGTGGTGCTGCTGCTGCTGCTGCTGCTGGCTCAGCGAGAAGTTTGGGCGGAGGGAGGCTGATCTCCTGGAGGCAGCTAATGCAGACCAGGAGAGGGGTTTTCTGCTTGTTTTATGTAAAAATTTGACACCCAGTGGAGGGCGCCATGTGTTTGAATGATCAACGAAGCCTGTCCTGAGATAAACTGCCCTCTGAAGAGCGATTAAAGAGGCATAATCACTCTGGTTTATTGTAATATGCAGGAAAACTAACTCCAGGGGTAGAGAAATGAAGTCTTTTTTAAACAAAGGGTTCTGCTTGGTATTAACTTATAACTCAGCATTTATTGACCTCCTGCTCCATTCAACCAAATATGGTCAAAATCAGGAATGAAACGACCATCCGGAAAAACTTGAAGCTTGATTTTCCAACAGCTTCATCAACTTCTCAACCATAGTCTATTGTTTGCTGGAGACATTTGCTGCTCATGTCCTCATGCTGTATATAATCATGGACAGAACAAACGCGACTGCGAGTGATGCCAAAAGTTTTAGAGCTCCCCCTGCTGGGTGACCTATATAAAAGAAGACCTGACACAAGTAAAGGTTCTTTCACGCTGGGAGTAGTTTTTTTGTGCGATTATTTCAGACATCAATATTGACCTGAAGGACAACTTGTGGAGAGTCATATGACGATGGTTTGTGTGCTTTAACAGTTTGCTAAATGTCTTTGTTTTAACTTTCATCTGTGCTAAGTAACTTTAGCTCGTAAGCTAACTGTTCAGATACAACATACCATATGTATTTTCACTGTCTCAAACTCAGTTGTGTTGCTGTCACAGCACCATTAGATCTCAGTTGTTACCTTACGTTTACGGATTATAGTTTAATGTGCTTAACTGGTACTGGCCCTGACAGACACTAGTGTTTAATCAGAACTGAAAAACACTCAGTCTGCTGTTGTGTCAGTCTTCTCGCTTCCACCCGGGACACATCTTTTTTCCCCCCGGAAAGTCGCAAAATTGCATTGCGCTTGATACGTATAGTCACATCAATTTCGTAATTTCGCGTTGTATATTTGCGTCGTTCCTGGTGTGTAAGGACCTTAAAAGAGTCTGTGCATGTCTTGGCTGCACCAGCGCTACATGCTAGCACTTGTAGAGGTGATTTTTTGGCTTTGCATCTTGCCAATGAAGGAGATAAAGATGTACTCTCCATACTTACAAACAGAAATTGGTCCAAATTTCCTCAAAGTGCAAAATGTATGTCTATGCAACAGAAAAAAAGGAAATCTTCATGTTAGAGGAGCATAAAGCATGACTTTTTTGGCCTCTTTTCACTTACCAAGAAAGGAAAGTCCATGCCCAATAGTTTTTATCTTGATTATCCACCAAACATCTTCATGCATCCTCAAAACTCCTCAAACTATATCACCAGGTTTAGCGTGTGTAAGAGCGTTTTACTCAGTTGCAGATTCGGACATACAGTAAGAATCCCTGCTTCAGACCCATGGCAGTGTAAAATAACAGTATGAAATATTCATAGGCATACACTTGAGGACAGCTGTGGCTGCTGCAGTGGAGGCAGCTGGTTGGGTGGCGGCTGTCTAGAGGCAGCCGAGCTCGCTTTTTTACCCATCCTTTTATTTCTTCTTTCAAAGGAGTTCCCTCATGCGCTGGTCCCCGCCTCGTCTGAGCTACGGGAGCATTCAGTTCACTCCGGGGATGGAGGTGAAAGCTCTGCACCACGTTACACAGGTTGAATTATGGATCGTTATTACACAATATACTGTGAAGTAAAAATAGGTGCTACTGCCTTCTTTCCTTATGTTTACACATTCACCCTTTTAGCGCTACTTTACAGTCAGAAAGCTTCAAAATTGATTTGGTTGTGTACTTTCATTTTTAAAAGTTAGAAGTGTAGCATCTTAAGGTTTTTTTAAATTTTATGAGTGGGCTATTTTTACTTTGACCGAAGATTTGGCCCAGTCTTGGTCATCAAACAGAACAACTCTTAAATTTTAGTTTTAAGACTTTCTAGGCTGCCCTGAGAGTTAATGTGCTTTCTGTAAGTTTTACAAATTTTATTTTGGATGCAATAAAATTCGTCCAGCGCTGAAATTTATAGCTTTTGGCAGTTCTTTTAACCTTTGGAAAGACTCATGTAAGCAATCTTCCCCCTGCCTCTTATATTTTTGCAACACAGCTAAAATCATACACTTTTCTCCAGGCTGCACCTTTAAGAATTAAAGACATATGAAAGGGAGCTCATTTTTCTTTTACTGTCCATTTAGGTTTAAAACTTTACATAGTTAATGTCATTTAAAATCTACAAGACTCTACATGCACTGGTTACAACTTTACTGTATCATCTCGATGTCCAAAACATGGAGAATCAAAAGCTTTGTCTTTGGGTTTGTGTCCCTCTCAACCACAACGCCAATGAGTAACATATCAAATCTATGGGTGATATAAACACATTGGCTACTAAAATTTCCAAACCAAAACATAACTAAAGCATATGTCGCCAACATATTAGCCTCAAGTGTGATTTCTAAACCAAATACCCTTGAGCTACATTTTTTATTCATATCTCATGTGCTTTTGTTTCTGACGTGGCACCAAAACGTTTCAACATAATCTATTCAAGCCTTTATTTCTAACTCGCAGGCTGTGGTCATATCTGGATTCTATCAGTGTCATCAAACAAACTAGGTGAGGCTCAAAGCCAAACACACCAATATGTCAACTTTTGGAAGAAAGGATCTCAGTTTTTCTTTCAGCCGTGAGACAAGCTCAGTGGATGTGTTGAATAATGGACTGAAGCGATCAAAGCTGTCCGGAGTCGGTCGTGTGTGAGACATAGCGAGAGGTCAGTCCGTTGATATACGACAAAGTGAGCCACAGATGGGGGCCTCTTATGAAGAACATATGAGCCGGTTTGTGGCTTCTCACGGAAACGCTCAAACAGATTGAGACGCAGAGAAGGAGGAGGCAGAGAAATCCTGGTTCTTATTTTGAAATAAATCGTGTTTTTTTTAGGTGTAATATATGAATATTAGGGGCCTTAGGGAGGTTCCAGGGGGTACCCCAGTAGCTTCTACAATAGAGTATCAAAGACAAAGCTCAGGATAGATCTTCTAATGGATAATTAGCCCCATTCATGGTGAATAAAAGTTTAATTTCAAGTTTAACTGTACTATAAAATGGTTGGGAGAGCAAATCCTGTCAAAATAAATTCAATTTTTAATCTCTGTATCATCCAAAGAGGCCAAAAACACAACTAATGGCAACATTCCCACTGAATTACAAGAACATATGAGGTGGTTTATGGCTTCTCACTGAAGCGTTGGGAGAAATCAAGTCACAGAGGACTAGGAGGAGGAGGAGGAGGAGGAGGAGGAAGCAGAGGAATCTTGGGCCTAGTTTTGAAATCAACCACATTTTATGTTTTTGAAGTGTGATCTGAGAAATTGATGGGGCCCTAGGGACGTTCCAGGGGGTACCCCAGCAGCGTGAATGTAAGGGGTGGGAATTACAGCTTAACACGTGATGTCCTAATTCATTCCTTGTGGATTTTGAGGTTAAGTGATATGACATCTTATTGTGAATTGAAATACTGATTTTAGGCATCAGGCAAAAGATAACTGTGTAGCACATGTTTGATTAATAGCCTTAATTTTATGATTTAATTTGCGATAAATCAGTGGGGGGAAGTTTCCCTTTGACAAAGGATTCAACTTTTGGTGTCCATCTTACCCAAAGAGGCCAAAAAAACTCAATATTAACCTCTTTAGACAATAATGGAGGTTCATACAATAAAATGCACCATGACTCACCGTTTCACCCTGATGATCTGATCCCTCATGGGCTTGATGTCCTGAAAACTTTGCTGGTTGACCAGACTGTAGACCAGGATGAAGCCCTGGCCGTTCCTGATGTAAAGGTCCCTCATTGAGGCGAACTGCTCGGTCCCGGCTGTGTCCAGGATCTCCAGCACCGAAGGCGAGGAGTCCACCTCGATCTCCTTTCTGTAGAAATCTTCAATGGTCGGGTCGTACTTCTCTATAAATGTCCCAGTGACAAACTGGACCGTCAGGGCGGACTTCCCCACCCCGCCGCTGCCGAGCACCACCACCTTATACTCCCGCATAGCGCTCCTGTGGATGCATGCAGAGAAAAAAGTCTACAGCAGCGGATAAAAGAAACGCATCCCCGGGACTCACACTACACTACAGCCATGACACAGCCACAGCTAACGAGAAATGAGATGCTCCTGCAGCAAGAAAGGCGGGCGGACTGACAAGATGCTGGAGCATTTAGCCCTGAGATACAAAGCCACAGCCTCTACTGGAATATTCCCACGCTATCTTGCAGGGACACCATTCCAGAGGCATCCATAATGCAATAAGGCGTCGGTGTGGTAAAAATAAGATTGGCTATTATTAGAAACAACGAGACGGCACATCTTTTTTATGCGCCGACAAAACAGAAGGCTAGCACTACATTTCTCTGCACAGTGGGGTACAGTCGAGTTAAAGGCAAAGAGCCTGTTTATCCCTAAGAAGGCGACAGTGCTGGGAATCCACGCCTCTGGAGTCGGTGCATCCACTGGATGTTGCTGTTTCCTGAAAAGTATGGAGGGTGATTAGTGCCACAAAGAAAAGGGATGGGACCAACTATGACTGAGACAACCTTTAAATGAGAAAAATCTAATAAACCCTGGAGTTATTCTGTTATAACTGTGAATCCAAGTCTGGAGAAGTTAGATACATAGAAAAAGTGGTTGGTTAGCAAGCTGTACCCGTAAGGTCCTTTCACACCCGAGCGTCTTTTTCTTCTTCGTGCGATTATTTTAGACAACAGAATTTATTTTCGAACCCATATCCTGTCAATACAAGCGTTCACATCAGTGACGTTTTCCTGTCCTGCGATATTGCGGCATTTATTTATTTTTTTTGTATCACGGCTGAATTTTTTTAAAGTTTCGCATACCATGTGTCCACTTCTGACCAATCAGATTTCATGTTGTTGCAACGTCAGATTCACCGGTATATCCAACATGGCCGACCGGCTCATTGATTACGTGTTGGGGAACAGAGTACTTTTTGATAAAAAACACAAATATTACAAAGATAACGATCTGAAGGACAACTTGTGGAGAGTCATAGCGTCGGATTTCTCATATGACGATGGTTTGTGTGCTTTAACAGTTTGCTAAACGTCTTTGTTTTAACTTTCATCTGTGCAAAGTAACTTTAGCTCGTAAGCTAACCTGTTCAGATACAACATACCATATGTATTTTCACTGTCTCAAACTCAATCGCGTTGCTGTCACAGCACCATTAGGTCTAGGTTGTTACCTTACGTTTATGGATTATAGTTTAATGTGTTTATCTGGTACTGGCCCCGACTCAGTACATGCTAGAACTGAAAAACACTCAGTCTGCTGTTGAGTCAAAATTTGCCTCGTATTCGCATTGTATATTTGCGTCGTTCCCGGCGTGTAAGGACCTTTATTCCCAAACAGGCGAAATGAAGACTTAACTTCACGAAACAGTCAAAGATTAATCACAATGAGAAAAAAGGCAACAAGCAATTTACCACATAATTTAGCTATTTTTCGACAGACTCAGTTATTGTATACTGTCATTCAACTTTTCTAAGCACAGGGTTTAGGATGTAGCTTCTTGGTTTTCAAAGGAAAAATGCACAAGTAATAATATTAATAACTTTAATTGTATAGCACTTTTAAAAAACAGATGTTTACAAAATGGTTTGACATGTAGTTGTAGAGCACATGGAAAAAGACAAATAAAAACAAAAAGCTCAGTAGAAATGGAATTGAAGGCCATTTTCATGTCATAAGGAACCCAGACAACACAAGAACCATGCAACATAAAATGAGACCATGAGGACCAAAATAAAAACATAAAATAGTTGAGAAAAAAGAAAAATGCAGTTTAAAGGGAGGACGAAAGCAGAAACAGGATAGTAAATATTGAAGGCGATATCAACAATGATAATAAAATAATAACAGGTAATCCTGATAATAAAATAGAGCAACAGAAATGAGCAAGAGATAAAACAATAAAAGGCCTAAAAGGTTGATTAAGAAAAGAGTACAAGTAAAACAAAAGCTAAAAAGACAGTAAGGCCAAAATAAGATAGAGGTAAAAGAGAGAAAAGATAAAAGACTGCATCACGTAAAAAGAAGTCTGTAAAATTAAGTTTTAAATCTCCTCTGGCAGGTCACTCCAAAGTCGAGGAGCTCGGTCACCTTTACTTTTGAGCCTCGACTTTGGAACGACCAGGAGGCCTTCACCAGAGGATCTGAGGCTGCAAGTTGGCTCATTTGGTATTTAAAGCTCTGAAATGGAGCTTGGAGTGAGTCCTTTGAGCACTTTAAAAGTAATCAGTAAAATCTTAAAATCAATTCTAAAACTGACAGGAAGCCATGTGGTGTGATGCCGTCGACTAAAACCAGTTAAAAGCCGAGCAAGTAACCAAAACCTGCTTTTTTTCTGTTAGCCAGGAAAGACTCTAGAAGTCAATGAGAATAGGACTACACTTCTCCGAGTTTAAGGTCCAAATCTCTAGTTTAAGGTCAGCCACTGGCCCTATTTAGAGTAAAATAGTTGATAAAGCAGAGTCTGCTTTAGGGCGTAGGCGCTCTTTAAGGTTGCTGCCAAAGCGGTGTCTCATCTCAATAAAAATGTAACTGCTCTCTCATCCCTCAAAGTAACCGCTCTGTTGAAAACTGAGACCTTGAAACTACAAAACTGATGTATGACACCATCCACGCCTTACAATCACTCTACATGACACTCACCTTGCTGTGGTTGATATGGTCTCTCTTCAGTCCACATGGAACTGAATTTGTACACTTGGTATTTTACAACCATTAAAGCAGTGGTATTAATAACCCCTCATATGGAAGTTTTTTTTCCAAACTTCAAAAAATGCTCCACTGCAGTGACAGGAAATGACACTCACCAACAAATGAAGCAGTTTGTTTGTTTCACTCTGTGGCCTTATCATCGTTTCTGTCGTCGGTGGAGTAAACTCAACATGAGAAAGACTGAGGCTCATTTTTAATGACCGCGGTGTTAAACTCTCCGTGTATTTGTACGAGTAAAGCCTATGAGCATCAACAGCATTAAAAGCCTGCAGGGTACATTAGCCTGTAATCTGTTTATTTACATGCTGGCAGTGGTTCTAAAAGTGGACACACAGGGTCTCTGAGGGGCCTCTGAAGAAATACCAGGGGCCTGAGACGTTCAAGTCAGAGGATGTTTGGTCTAATTTGTGTACAGTGTGAGCTGTTTACAGAGAAATGATACAAACACATTCATAAGGCAGACTTTCACATGACACGAAGAAGAAGTCCAGGCAGAAGCCATCCATTTCATTTTCTTTATTTCTTTCTTTCAATAGATTTTACACTATCTTGCTGGAACCAAAGAAACATCTGACTATAGAAACATAAAATAGCACAAAATATATGCAAAAGAATACATTGAAAAATGATTACACTGAAACTATAAATCCAATGAGGGTCTTCTAGTCAATTTACTTTGTTGGTAGGGTACACTGCAAAAAATGATGGCACAGGCAGTCACATTTCCTAACCTGCAGTCTCCAGTGTAGCGCCATCTGCTGGCTAAAGCTGTGGATTATCCACACAGGTCCATTGTAAGGCAATGGGACAAAACTACAGACTCACTACAGATTCAGGAGAGGAGAGGAGAGAAAATGACTGATAGCTCGGTTTCAGCTGCCCTCTTTTGGCCTTCTGATGTGCATATTAAAACCTTAAAAAATTACTTTCAATATAAAGATATTTGAAATGAAACTGAGGAGGGCATTGAGATGAGAGGCCTTTTCAAGTCCCTTGAATAAAATCGGATAAAAGAGCTCTTAGAAACATAAAACCTTAAGCACGATGGACTCAAGATAAGGCAAAGTGTTTGGATAAGCTGAGTCTGTTCAGTTGACCAACTGCTCAGAAAGTGCTTACATTTTTTTAACCATCAGTCAATCATTGCTGACACATTTCCAAAAAAAAAAAAAAAAACATAACATTTTAAGAGGATGCCGTACACAAGGGCATTTTACGCCGCAAAAACTCAAATCCAAGCAAGTGTCTTTGTCTTATTTCAAGTTAAAATATCTTGTAAGACTTAATATACGCCACATATACCTGACAAATACAGAAATTAATCTTATTTTAGGATATTATGAGAAAAAATAAGAGCTGGGTTGCTTGCATGTGATTACTGTGGCCATACAATATCACATATATTTGGAAACTTACCGATATTACAATACAGTGAGTGTTAAATAACTCTAAGTTATATTCATTTATGTATCTTTATCCAATTTTATGGTTTAGTTACATCACCAGCTCTGTGATAAGAACTTCTTTGGAAAGGATATTGCCTCATAAACTAATTTTTAAAATCATGCTTTTATTTTGGTATATTTTTTGTGCGTTGTACAATGAGTAACTTGTAGAGGCTCCAACATTAATCTTTAAATGTCAGTTTCCAAAAGTGAGCTGCTAGCTAGTTTAATAGCAACTGCTGTTTCCTCAATGTCTGATCATTACTACAAAGTAACAGTATAAACGTATATGCAGATTTTTAGCGTGATAATGACATTGTCGAAAAAAATCTGCTGCTAGGGAAATAAAAAATACCTTTTAGTTTTGCTTTTTTGTTCATCCAAATGGCCCCTTTTTTATTCATTACGAGCAAATTCAGTCACGTTTGTTCCTTGTTTTATCTAAATAAAAGACTTTTAAATGGACTTGTCAGGTAACTTTGTTGTACATGAAGCGCAAAGGGAAAATTTTTGTTGCTAGAAAAAAGACACAAATTTGCCAAGTTTTGTTTTTTTGCAGCGTAGGTCATCAGATAAGGACATTTCTGTGTACAGACTTTTTTTCTTCAACATTCAGTAAGTTTAGTAAGAAAAGAAAATGTTCTCATGCAACATGTGGAGTCATTTATGGGGTCTTTTTGATTAGTTAATTCTTCTATCCAGGGGGGAAAATTCTGTAAAACAGATCACGTCTTAAAACAATATAAAAAGTGCAATCCTTAACTCTAGTGATACGTAGGAATAAAATGTCTCAATGTGGAACCTAAAGGTCCTTTGTCTGGGGAAGAGTCGTACATCTCATCTTCTTAATTCATAGATTATTTAGATCTTATATATATATATATATTTATATTTATATATAATCTATGTAACATTAATGACTTTAAATCTATTGAAGTGTTACAGTCACAGCACTACAGAGGCTGTTATTCGCTAATGAAAATATTGGGTCATTGTCGTAATCTCAGTGAGGAATAAGAAATGTTCTTTACAATCTACCTTGTGTACAGTGTTCTAGCAAAATGAAACAAACTTAACAATGTCATTTACAAAAATACCCAACTTTAGTAATTGCAACATTTGGCTGCCACAGCAACAACTTAATATTGTTATGAAATACTATCATACTAGAGTGAAAAGTACATCTTTTTTGAAATTTTCTTCTCTTTTTTTTTTTTGGTAAAATGTCATCTATACAATGAACATTTTTTTCCCAACAACACAAGCAACTCTATAACTATGCTCATTACTGCAACGCCATGATCTTTTTTATCCATGAGAAGGCAAGAGAGATCCAGTAGCTTTCCGTTAGTTGGCGGGTTGACTTTTAAGCCCCGCCTCCCGCCTAGAGACGTGTGCGACTTCTCATTCGCTGACCTGACAGGTTAGACCTTGAAATGACCAACCGTGCAGAATGTAGCACAGCTCAATAAATTACATTCATTTCAAAATAGAATAGTTAACAACATTGTTTTTGACTAAAATTTGACCAAGAGTAACGTAAGATAAATTACAACAAAATAGAACTTTACCACCGTCCACGAATATCAACATACAAATCATAACGTGTGTGAAGACGATCAGAGTGGATGAAACCGGAGTGAAAAAGTCTTATTTCGAAGGTGTGATTGTGGATTGTCGATGTTAATCAAGCACCATGAAAGTACATCACAACTGCTGTAAAGTAAGATTTTAGGATGGTGAGTGGAAACTAAACAGAGGGCTGGTCGAAAAATCATAAAATGTGGTGTCCTGGCTAAAAATGATTGTTCAGGTGGAGGTGGAGATGGTGGGAGGGGGTTCAAACATACTTTGATAATAGACACAACACAAATTTTTAAATAACTTTGAATACATTTCTAGAACCGTGAATATAAACTCTCAAAATAAGAGACACTTTACATACATTACACAGTTTTACAATACATTGTTTTTTCTCACTCACGTTCCTCATGTAAACTACTCAAAAAACCATAGTAAGAAACGATGGTACACCGTGAGAGTCACCAAACATTCTACAAAGCTATTTTTGATTTGTCGTTTCTTTAACTTCTTTTACGTTTGGATAAAGTCACTTGTGATGTTTTGAATGAAGAGTAACTGTTTCTGTGATGTCCCCCGAAAAAGTCCACGCAGCTCCCGACAACCAGCGTGTCGGGTCGGTGGCTTTTAAGCGGCTGTGTTGTTGTTGTTGTTGTTGATGAGCATTTTTTAGGCACTTCTACAGTTTTTCTAAAATGGAACAGGATTATCGGTGATAGTAGGGTTGGACAGGAGACAACCGACGGTCACAGATAGCCCTCCAGTCGAAGTTCAAGTCATCTTTTGCTTGACGAACGTCGTCAAATGCACCGTTTTTTTAAATTTTATTTTATTTTATTAAGTCTTAGCACTTAAATCCCTCACCCGGACCCAGACCCTCCCTGAAAACCCTCTTCTGGTGTCGTCACCACCTGCTGGACCTCGTTCTAGTCCCAGTCTGCCGGCAGACCATCAGTCTCCAGATACGGACACATGCACGCTCACACACAAGGCTTGGTATGACACATGCACGCTCACACACAAGGCTTGGTATGTCTGGAACAAAACCTCAAGCTTTGGGAAGCCCTTGGCACAGACTCGAGCCTTTAGGCTTTTTCAGTAAGGACTATCCGGGCACTTTCTCCCCCAGAACAAACTACATGCAAAAATGCGTGCACAATCTTCAGTAGAACAAATAAAGGGTTCATTCGAAGCAGCTTTCGCAATGGCAAAGGAGGAAAAAAATGTATCAGGGTGTTGAAATGTGGCCGTTTTTTTGATTCCGCCGACCTCTTCCGAGCTTTGGCAAAGTGTTTCCGGAGAGAGGAGGGGGAGGAAAAGCTTCGTCATGGCATCTTAACAGCATCAGGGGTGCAGATGAGGGTCACAGAGGTACCCTCCTCTCTCAGGGACGAGTCATATTAAAAAAACATGAGCCTGTCTGCCCAAAGGACATTCAACTTTTGAAGAGAGAGAGAAAAAAAAAAAGAAAAACACAAGACAAAACGATCCTGTGAGCGCCGAGTGTGGGTGTGCACGGGTTTTCTGTGACTCTTCCTGTTTTTTCACTTTCAGCACTATAGTTTCATACAGTGCAAATCAGGCTTCTTATTCTTAACCAAAGGGATGATCTTTGTGCAGCAGAATAAATATGAAAGAGAGGGGATTCACGGTACTTTGGGTTGTTAAAATGACCTCTATAGTGTGTTTTTCTATGTATGTTGTCCTATACATAAGAATATTTTTGACTTTTTCGTGTTAATAGTTTTTCTAGCAATACATACAGTATATATCTTTTTTTTTTTTCTGTGTGTGTGTGTGTGTGTGTGTGTGTGTATGTGTGTTACACCGGCACTGCAGTTCTTACGGTTAAATTGATGTGTTACACTCTTAGCATGCAGGTTGCTGGACCTCTATGGGAGAGGTAAGGTAGTATTTACACAGGGGCTGTTTTGGGTTTCCTAGTGCAGCTTCATGACACTCCGTTCCCTTCCTGATGTTTATTTCAGGATGATCTGCAGGAGAAAGAGACAAAAAAAGAAGAAACACAGAAAGAGATGAATGAGTTTGTCTTCAATAAAGAGAAAAGTGTAATATAGAGTTCCCAAAATAAACATCACCACCGCATGAACATTTAAGTTTTTAAAGATTAAGAATTGACAAAAACACTCAGTAGATTTACTGCAGGATACATTATGTCTCAACAAGATCTGGGTCAGATATTATTTGCATTTCTTTGCTTCTTTAAAGGATAATTCTGGTGTTTGTTTTTTTCAAACCTGGGCCATGTTTGTTTATTCTCTGTATTTTATAGATTTGAGGTCTAAATGACGAAATAAGAGTTGGACTGTTCCTGCTTTGCTGATCTGTAACTTTGTGTGAATCCGATACACTACGATACACTACGATACGATATGATACGATACGCTACGCTTCGATACGCTACAATATGCTACGATACAATATGATACGATACGATACAATACGCTACAATACAGTACAATACGCTACGACACGATACGATACAGTATGATACAATACGATACAATACGCTACAATACAGTATGATACGATATGCTACGATGCCATACAATACAATACGCTATGATACAATACGATACGATACAATATGAAATGCTACAATACGATATGATACGATACGATAGGATATGATACGATATGATACGATACCATGTGATATGATACGATACAATACGGCATGACTGATTCAATTCGATTCAATTCGATTCAAAACAATACGATAGGATATTATTTGATGCGATAAGATATGAAACAATACAATTCAATATGACATGATACGATCTGTTACAATACGTTGCAACAGAATATGGCACAATACAAAAGTTTCAGTAAAACAGCAAAATTTCATATACTGTGAAATGATACAATCTATTAAGGTATAACACACTACATGAAGATAAAATATGATACAAAATGACTAAGCCTTCTACACTACAATACAATAAAATGCAGTAAATTATGATACACTACCATACAATACTAAATAAATTAATACTATACAATACTTAAAACCATATGATACAACATAACACAGTACGCTAAGATACAATATGATACACCGGAACATAAAACAATACATAAGAGGAAGTTCAATATGACTCAACACAATATGAAGTGATAGGACATGACATAATAGGATAAACTACAATATGATCAAATATGATGCACTGCAATACAGTACAATATGATACATCGTGATACCACAATATATGATATGATAAAATACGACAGGATATAATTTTTTATGATACAAGAGGACACTCTAAGATGTAGTAAAATATAATAGGATATGGATGCAGTTAGCTATGCCCCAGTACAGTAGAGTAAGATACATTACGTGACGATACAATATGAATCAATTTGATACGATATTATACGATACTGCCCAATTCAATGTGATAAAATTTTTTATTTAATCCAAACCTTCTTGCTCCTTGAGGTGTAAAGATGTAAAAATATAGCTTACGTTTTAAACCGTGAATCACCTTTAACATAACTAAAAGGTCTGAAACTATGTCAATGACCGTAACCTCCATTATAGAGGAGGGAGGGCAGTATGCATTTAGACATTTCTCAGTTTGTATTGGTCAAGAGTCATATAGGTTGGTGTAACTCATATACACCACTTAGAGCCATCAAAGTGCACAACATTTACTCCATTTATAGGCTTTTTGTATCTGGGTAAACACAGAGGGTCTCCTTAAATATCAGCTAGGCAGTTTACTTTGCCCATAATCCTACTCAGACCTCTTTCATTTCTGCACCAGTTTCAAGAAAAGACTTTTACTTGGGTCAAAGTCGAGGCTGCATCCTGTTCCCACCGCAAACAAATTTTTTATACAACCAAAGCAAAAGCGGGCTTTCTGCAGGTCTGAGTCTGAGCTAGGATCCATCTGTTCAGATCTGGAGGGAATAACAAACAGCTACAACCCAGCTAAATCAGACTGAAAAAACGCAGGTGTGAGACTACAAAGGCAGAGCTTTTGGAGAGAGATCGAGAAGCTAGAGGGGACGCAGCCAAGAGGAGGCTTTTCACACAACATTTGTGAGAGTGAGGCCGATTGGAGCGAGAATAAACACTCCTTTCCTTCAGATGTAGTTTGATTACATGTTTGTTGCTTTGTTTTCGCATCCTGAGACCTTTAACACCCTCCAAGAATGGTGAGAAAACAAACTCTTTGACTCAGGAAAGTTGTGCCTTTATTCTGGCTTACCATTTTATGTAAAAGGGAGGAAGACAGAGTGGTGGGTTGGTGTTATTCTGCCTTTCAAAAATAAATTTAAATAAGGAAAGAACATGTAACACTATCGCAGTGATGTAGAGATATATTACCCCTGTGTATAGTTTTAGCGGAATAGTATCTAATAAGTAAACGTGCATAAGCAAGTATAATGTTGAAGTGTATTTATTTAAGCTTAGTACTAAGACAAACTAAGATAATCCTGTAATAACCACATAATAGGGAATTTTAACAGTTACAGCAGTAAAATATTCAGTAAGTGCAGCCCTATTATTGCACCAAACATCAAGACGTGGCTGTTTTGTTGCCTTTTCTTTCAGAAAATCAATATGCTGTATAATTAAGTCTTATTTACAGGTTTACGCCAGGATATTTGGTCCAAATTTTGCACTTTCTCAATTAAAGTTGCTTTTCTCCCTTAGTTTTTAGGTTGTTTTAATGTTTTCTGCAAAGTTATAAGTAGGGCCCGACTGATTTATTGGCGAGACGATTAAATATGTCAATTTTAGCCGGGTACAGACTAATCGGTAACTGGCCAAAACTCGCAGATTTTCGTCGATATTTTCAGAAATTAAATGCAGAGAATAAAATTCAGTTTCACTTCAAAAATGTTCCGCCATTTGAAAAGTTCCCCAACTTATCCTGTAGATGGCACAGCGACCTCATGACAATCTTCATCCACTAACTTCTCACAGTACAGCAGAGTGACGGATCTAAGGCAGGCAGTTCAGGGACACACGGAGGAGAGTGGTCCGCCTCAACGGTAAATAAACCAGTTTGTGAAGTATACAATAAGTCAACAAGTTATCTAGATATCTACAGTATGTATATATATTTTAGAAATTAATAAAAAATTGTAAAAAATCAGCTGATTAATCTGTGATCAGATTCTTTCCCTCTGAATAATTGGTATCGGCATCGGCCCCCAAAAATCCATATTGGTCAGGCCCTAGTTATAAGAGTAAAATGTTATTATTGTTAGCAAATAACATTTGACCCAGGTCTAACCACCTCTGTGTATTCTCTCTTTACAAGATAAAACGCGTCAAACACACCACAAAGAAAGAAAGAGAAGAAAAAGAAGTAGGGAGAGAGAAATTGCTTATGTGAAGGGGAGACAGGTAGAATAGCTTCAGGCTGCCATCATGTGGTCGCCCCCTGGCAGCGAGCCGACACAGAACGAAGCTGCTGCACGGTGTTTGTTAATCGAGAGCAGGCAGCCAGCAAAGGACAGAAGCCACTGGTCACACAGCACATCACAGGAGGTCACCACAGGTGGAGAGAGCGTGATGTGCATGGGCTGAGAGGAAGAGCCCGCTCTGCAGTGCAGTGCAGTATGGAAATATAACAGAGTGCCAGATGGGTGGGATCAGCCAGACAGGGTGGTAAACCCCACCCGTCTGGTAGCGCAGGTGGGTTAAAACAAACACTGAAGATTGTTTGCAGGTCTTAGAGTCGGTGCAGATAGATTCTAAGAAGACGGCAGAGAGAGTGAGTTACAGAGTCTTGCAGAGGGTTCAAACTGTTCTAGATTATCATCAGATTATGAGTCTAATTGAATTACATCTTTGTGACCTGGAGAGTTCATCTGAATGAAAGTGAGGAGAATAATTTCAAAGTCCGTCGACAGGGAGGTGAGAAGTTTCTCTCTAAACGCAGAGCTCCTGAATAGAATGATCTGTAATTCTATTTCACTCAGATCAGTTTCAGCCAGAGTGAGCACACAGAGCTGGAGTCTGTCATGTAACGCTTGATTAGGACAGCAGAGGGCGCCAAGATTTCACAGAACCGCAGCTGTGTTTGCACGGGGTTGATCTCAGGAACGATGCTGGTGAGAAATGGTCACTCTGCAACTATTTACGTGATGCATGAGCATTTTTAGAGATTTTGTTTAGTTTTGAGTTAATAAACACACTTATCCTTCAATGTTTAATCCTTTTAAGTCATGAAACAGCAGCTCGCATGCTTACTGATGTCACCATGAACATCCTGGACTTGGATTAAGGTTTAAAACACTTGGGCGAACATTACTTTTAATGATTACCGAGTTCTTCTAAGGCTTTTACAGTCATGTACCAAAGTTAAAACACAAGAATCATTTGAGTTTTAGCATAGCTGCCAGAAAAGGCAAGTCTAAACATACGACTGAAACCAGTTATCCCACTTTAAGATGGGAGATCTGATAGAGGCTGTATCCAGTATCACCCACTTTTCACTATACTGCACTTCATGGGAATTTGCCATTTTTAGTGCTGTCTGAACTCTTAGTGAGGATTATTTGACTCAATATAGTAAAGATTTGTTAAACTCTTTATGTGTTCTCTGTCTTTATTTATATACAACGTAAAACAATCTAAAAAAGATTAACCAGAGTCAGGAGAAACTGGAAATATCGGTGACATTTTTACAGAAATAAAATCATTTCTTAGAGGGTTTGACATTAACTTTTCCTCACGGTGACGTTTGGAGGCAGGTCTCAAACAGTCTGTTTGAGACAAATAGGTTGTGTTGGGTTTCAGTTTTGTATCTTTCATACATTTGTTTGTCTTTTTTGGAAGATATATGTGCAAAATCATGCTGAAAATCATTGAATCTCTAAAGCTCCTGTCATTAGGAAGGGAATAAGTTTGTGATCTCAGAAACAACTGTAACATGCAAATAATTCATTACCCAGCTTTTATTTTCTGGACGAGGCCTTGGTAACTTGTTTCTTTTGTTTTGAAAGGCTAAAGAAACAAATTTTGAGGGATTTATCCAGAGTTGGAACGAAAACTAAGCAAACCCCATTCCTTCTTAAGAAAAGATAAGCTTAAAGTAAATTTTAAACACTTTTTGTTTTTCCAAGAAAAACAACCCGATGATTTGATTTAATTTTATGTTCTGAAATGATTCTTCATTCTTCGAACTATCAAACCCATTATTATAAATTGCTTTGATCGGATAATAAGAGTGAAAAACATCCGTGTAATAACTAAGACGCTGATGCTGATGCAGCCAGCGTTATGATGAGGTCAGTGTCTGCAGCAGTTTGGGACCCAGACATTGTTGTTGAGGAAAAACAGTGACATCAACAGCATGTGCTTTTAAAATTAAAAACCATTATCTGGACGCTTGCGTTAAAAAAAAAAGAAAAGCAAAACGAGGTGTGAGTTGAATGCAGAACATCAGGTGATCGGACGTATTAACCGTGTCCTAGCCGGAGCGATCTTAAAGGAGGGAGGAGGAAGGACAGAAGGAGACAGACAGCGAGGGGCTGACGTCAGTGTTTCTCCGGCTCCTTGTCCCACATGCATCTTTAAAGAGCAGCTCTGCTTCCTGCTGCTACTGCTGCTGCATGCCAATTACAGGAAGAGACGGTGACTCACGGGAAGTGAGCGCACGGCTGGACTGTGAGGGGCAATAAAGCACAAGGTACCGGGGAAGCAGATCCTCATTTGATGAGAGACGGGCCACTCGGAGGAGATACTTTCAGAATGAAACTGTTTGGTTAGTTTCGACCATGACGTCTGGGTTTCATTTTCATTCCAGATGGGAAACAGTGACTGTTTTGTTGTTTGGTTTGTATTCCAATAGACTGATTTTGCCTTTCTCTCTTGAGTCAATATTGAAATGGATCTTTCAGCAAATAAAGGCAATAAAGGCGAAGTAAAACTAACACATTTTAAGAAGGATAATAGTTTAAAAAGCAGTGGAATTAGACCTTACAATTAAATGTTTTTTTATATTTTTCTGCCTCGCAAACACCTGTAGAAGATAGCAGATAATCTATACATGTGGGTCTTGACTGTCCTCCCACTTTGCACCCTTTGTTTTCAAGTTACACAACATATCGACCTGTGTAACACTTCTCATCTGCGTGTCCTCACAGCACCTCTGCTCTTAACCACTGGTAAATGATTGCCAGCTGCGTGAGGCCGACGTGCCAGCATTGTGCTGAAATTTCCAAGTTTAAAACGGGGCACATGTGCGTCACTCTGGCATTCAAAACGCCGGCCCTGCTTCCCTGGCTCCTGCTGACACGCAGCAACAGGAGAGCCGCCGATCAGAGGGGCCATTTTTAGACGGCGTCTGTGATCATTTATCCTGCGTCTGTCTCACCCTGACAAGCGTGGCCTGTAACTGTTTCCTCTCTTGATTTATTCTCCCTCTTATCTCATAACCAAGGGAAGGTAAAAAGGTGAAACTAGGAGGGGGGGAAAAAAAAATCCAACATGTCAGCTGTGAAGTGCTGCAGAAATAGCCTGCATGTATTTGCTTGAATGTGTGTGTTTGCATAGCACATAAGCAGTACAAATGATGCCCTCTGCTGCAGATGGAGAGGCTTTTTTGACAACAACAAGAAAAAGTGGAAAATAAAACTTAAAACAGAACATGCGGAACAAAACCAGGAAGTAGTGCAACACAACACAACTACTACTTTGCAAATGTGGGAGCTCTGAAGAAGTGCTTTCTGGGAGTCCTGGTGCACTGAGTTTTAAATAAATACAGCACAGTGCACCGGCTTAGGTAACCCCTCTGTAAAATACCCACTCACAGGCTTTAGAGCCGGAGAGAGAGCGCCAAGTACAGGCGGAGGGATAGGTTGGGAGGGGCTGGGCGTAGGCTAAGGCTCAGCTGCAGGTTATTGCAGCTCGCTATTAGATGGCAGCACTTATTCAGAGCTCCGGGGACTGATGAAAGAAAGCTTTAAAAGGAGCAAACCTGATTGGCTGGTGCTGTTGCTGCGTAGGGGACACTTGTGGCAGGAGTTGTTGCTGCAGAGACAGTAGCAGGCGTAGCACTGTACATCATTGGGACTTTGTTTTTGAGGGTGGGGAGAAGGGGAGAGGGGAGGAGGGGGAGGAGGGAAGTGGTAGCAATGGACAGGTAGGTGGAGCGTCATGGTAACCATGGCGTTTGTAGTGATGTGCGTGAGTGCGTGTGGTCGGCGGTGTCGTTTGTTGTCGTTGTTGTTGTTGATGGAGGTGGTGGTAGAAGTGGTGGCGGATGTTACAGAGAGCCAGCAAGCCATCGTTAGGGTTACACCGGCAGATGGCATGCAACCATTCACAATGCAAAGCAAAGGAGGACAGGAAGAAAGAAAGAAAAAAAGAGAGCATGGGAGAAAAAATAAGAAACAAAAAAACAAGAGGAGAGAAGCTGATTACAATCACAAATTAGGAAATTTATACGGAAAATCAGTTTGCTGTTTTTCTTTTTTTTTTTTTTTCCCAGAGAAGTTGAAGAGCACAAGACACCAATTACAATGACTCCAAAGACATTTTTGGCAACAGGGATGGGAATTTGTTTCTGCTAAACAAGCTGAACAGCAGGAAAAGGCAAAATAATGAGGCAGCTGTTCCAAAAACGTTTAACTCTAATAGTACATACTTTGGGGTCTAAACTACCAACAGATTTAGAAAAAAAAAGATGAGCTATAAAGGCTGCAACTTATCTTTTTTCTGGGAATTACATCAAAGCTTGTGTTTTTCCTGCAGAAAGATTCAAATCATTATTTTTAACGTCTAACCGCAGTGGAACAATGAGAAAGAGACCAACACTACTCACCTCAAAGCCGCCAAACTCCACTGACAAAACAGTGAACTTTAAAAACACAGGAGTTGCTGATCTACGACTGTCTCCTTTATGTTTTGTATAAGCTCAGACTAAACATGACACAGTGACAAAAACAAAAAATCATGGCAGTTGTACACCAACAACTAAACAAAGACATTACTCTTATTTAGAGAACGTGGGAGTTGCTGGTCTACCTCGACCTCTTGATTGGTTAGTTTCAACTACTGATTAGAGCTCAACGTTACAAAAGAAGCATCCAGAAACTCATGTGTTCTACACGTTTAGTTTACTGTTTTCTGTCAATGTGGCTAAGGTTAGAAACAAATTTACTGTATAATAAACAAGTTGCTGGTCTGCCTCTGTCTCTATCAGTTTTGTGTTTAGCTTTACGATTTCAGAGGCTTCACTAAAAGTAAACAAGGCAAAGCAAACACAACACAGTAACAAAAAGAAGCACGCTTTTCAAGGCAGAGGTAGACCAGCAACTCCCATGTTCTCTGAGTAAAATCTCTCCAATACAAAACTGTAATATTTAAGCAGAAGAAGCAGGAGTTACTGGTCTACCTCTGCCCTAATAGATAGTTTTATGGGGCTAACACGTGTTGTGATATTTCAAATTTCCTGTTTTTGTTGGTGATGTTTCATGTCCAGAAAATAATGACACATTACTCACCAAAACACTTAGGTTGCTGGTCTACCTCTCCCTCTACTAGTTTGTTCTTTTAATTGACTTATAAGTTTAAATGGTGAATTCTGACCAATTTATGATTTGTGTAGCCAACAGAAATTCAACAAACTAACCTCTCAAAGCAGAGGTAGACCAGCAACTCCCATGTCCTCCAAGTAAAATAACTTGGTTAAAAATTTTTATTTTACCTATGGAAACTTGCTGGTCTACCTCTGACTTAGTGGTTAGTTTAAGTTTAATGTGACTAGGCTTAACACCACAAAACACCAGAATCAAATATCACAAAACCAAGACAGCAGCAGACCAGCAACTCTTGCATCGTACAAGAAAACCCATGAGGTTGTTGTTCTTCCTCTGCCAAAGAAAGTTATTTACAAGTTGTTTCTGTTCCATTTTTCTGTTTGTTTTTTTGAATAAAATCAAATATATTACCAGAAAGGTCATTTTTAATAACAAGCCTGTGTGTTGCAGAATCTTTTAATGGCCACACTCAGATTTGTTTTTAAATATAATGATGCAGCAATTACAGCTCTTCTGATTAAAAACAACCCACCACAGTTCTTAAAAATCTTTTTGTAACCGTCGGTCATTTAGATCCCAAAATATGTAAAAACCTCTCTTTAAAAAATCATTACGCTTCATCTTTGCTTTTTGTTAACAGACCTGTGACCTGTGGTTGAGCAGATTTTCTAATTCCCATCCCCTGTGAGCAAAGAAAGAATCTTCAGCTTTGCCACTGAAAATAATTTCTCTGGGAAACTGATTTAAATTTCCTGATCAAAACACAGCACAGCAAACAGACAGTAGCTATCCTAGAGCTAAAGATCAGATCAATATGCAGTATTTTATCCACACTATCATTTTAATCGTAAACAAACAGTCACTGGCAAGAGGGTCAGCTGGGAAACAAGGACTGAGCCACAACTCTTTCAGGTGATACAAACCAGACATGAGATGAGAATCGTATTAAATCTCAGGCTAAAGACAGACAGTCTGATGACGCACATTTAAAAAAACTTTCATGACCTTTTGTCTCACCTGTAAGGGCTGCAGATATCGCCCCCTCAAACCCCTCCACCCATACGCTTTCTATACAAACAATGTGTGTGTGTGTGAGAGAGAGCAAAGGGAAGGTCAGGACCTACCAAGACTGCTAGCAGGAGTCATGCACAAGACTGACCCTGTTGTGTTCATGCAGAGAGAGAGAGAGAGAAAGAGAGAGAGGGTGAGGGAGGGAGGGAGACAGAGAGGGAGAGAAAGAGAGAGAGACAGAGAGAGAGAGAGAGGAGGAAATAAATGGGTTAATCGAGGGAGGAGAACAAGGTTAGACAAGACAAAAAAAAAAAAGCTCGGATGCTGCTGTTACAGTGTCAGCCAGTCATGAATGCCATTAACGAGCAGAGACTATTATTCCTGATAAAAGACGAGACATTAAACATGAGGCAAACTCGGGAGCACTGTCAGATAAGATGAGGTCAGGTTTAGCATGGTGCAAAGCTTGTTTGATGAGTTTAATGCAGGTTTAAACAGAGGCTTGCGGGGTGATAGGCGACCCTACTCTGTGTGTGCCTGAGTCTGGATAAAGATGATTTAATGAGCCACCAGTGCTCAGTCATAAAAACGATGCATTTTCTGATTGAATCTGAGTGACCTGATTATTTTTTTTTATATCCCTTGCCTTTCTTTTTTATATATTTTAAGTATCTACTGCCTCAAACTATTGGATGAAATTTATCTTAAATATTCGCAAGTAATTTTAGAGAATTCAAAATCAGAGAGAGAGAGAGGGACTGAATAAAAGTGAGCTGCAGCATCATGCGGTGTCAGTACAATGACGTGCACATGCTTTAATCCAGATCTGCACTAAATGACGAGCAGGATTTACTGTATTAGGAAATTCAAACACAGTGGAAAATTACTACAAAGCTCAAATATCTCGCTTTTTGGTTCCTGCTGTTAAAATCCACACAGGTGGTAAAAAACCCAAACACTGGAAGTTGTCAGATTGTAAAAAAAAGAAAAAATGATTTTCATGCACGACTTTAACCCCAGGCTCCTGCCCACACACAGAGAGGGAGGGAGAAGGAGGGCTGAGGGGCTTTCAGGCATCTCACACCACAGGGAGACAAAAAGAGCAGGTAGACAGAGGAGCGAGTGATGACTCAGCGTGGCTACAGGCGACAGTATTAGCTGCAGTTAACTTGTTTGGCGTGTAACCTGAGGGGGCTTCAGCTGCTGTTAGTTTCTATGAGAAACAGCGATTTGTTTGGAGGGTAAAAACTGTAGAGGATGAGTGAGGAGACCTGGATTAATCTGGAAAATTGGAACTAAATTGTCTTTTAAATGGGATTTGTTTTTCAATGTAATTGTCCGTTCAGGTGGACAAAATACAAAACAGAGCTAATGAGCCTTTGTGGTGGAGACCTCAGGGCTAGTTTTGGTCTTTAGAGAGCTTGGACGTTACCTGACAGGTGTGTCATATTTAAAAAGGTATTAAAACATGTTTATTCCTCTGATCAGAGACAGCAGCATTACATGTGTTTATACTGACAGGTGCTGGATGGAGGTTATAGAAAAATGATTAAAATATTAGCACAGACATCACAGCAGAGCTCATAACAGATTCTATTAAAAAGATGGACGACTTGACAATTTAAAAGTGAAACCAAAACATTTAAAGCTCCCCTTGGTAACTGGCTGCAGTATAGATCATAAACCCACAGCCTTTTTACAAGCAAAAATGTAGTAATTGTTATGTATTGCAGTTTCTCAGCTGACATTTACCCCTTCTCACCTGTTTCAGGTATTTAAAAATTTCAATATAAAACCGTCCAAGTAGCCTGTGATGGTTTTGCTGGCTTTTGTTTATCATAAAAAGGCATTAATGTGAATTTCAGTCTTGTAAATTACATTAAAAAATTCCCAATAGGAGCTTTAATTTAGGGATATGCAATGATTGGCACTATAACGCAATGATTGACAGCTCTATTGATGGGTGAAGCCCTGGAGCGCTGTATTTACAGAATTAGCACGGTACATAAGTTACTTGATGCTTAAAACAGGGTAAAACCTATGAATCATCACAAGCTAGCAGCTGGGTTGCCATGACAACAGACATAAACATAATCGCTAGCCATGCACTGCATAATTTTGCACCGAGTTTTCAAGAGGTTTTAAGTTGTGTAAGTAAGTGTGATGCAGATGTCTAATCCTGGGTTATCATTTCTCATAACTGTGAGTGTGTTTGCTTTTTTAGAGGTGTGACAGAAGGAGTGAAGTAAGTTGTGTCTCCTCCAGCCTGCTGTTTATTTAAGCTCAGAGGCTGAAATCTACTGTGTACATAAAAATATGTTTGCCTGTAGACACACCTGGTTCTTAAAATAAATAAAAACTGACACACTGATTGGTTTGATTCGTGTCACACCCAGAGCACACCTTTAAATAATCAGGGGATTAATTCAACCTCTTTGCTCCTTACGCCTCATTTCATGCCCAGATTATGCGCCGCCTGACTAGCAACACACAGTCAAACATGCCTTGATTCACTCTAGGCCTTTAGATGGGTTAGATAGGGCCCTCAAAGTTACTCAGTACTATGGCATCATTACTGCACAGGTTCTGGCTCCAACACATTCCAAGTACAGTATGTCATTGTTTGGCTTCAGTTTTGTAAAATGGGAGAAGGGGGAGGCACGCTGTCCATCTTTTTATACAGTCAGCAGGATGTTAGATTACATAGAAATAAACAGATGTCAGTGATGATGAGAGGTAATCTAATTTTAGCACAAGCGTCTCAAAAATGAAGGTTAGCCGAGCACATTCAGTGAGTGTGTGTCTGTGTGTGCATGCATGCTCCGCATACTTAAGCGTCGCTTCTATTTGCACCCGTGTATCGACCAGAAGCTCTTACCTGTGGGAAAGAAAGCAGGCTGCTGGAGCTGTGCGTTGGCCAGCGCCTGCTGGTAGTGCAAAACACTGGGGTTGAACAAGGAGCTGGCTCCGTTGCTCTTCTCAAGTGCTGGTCTCTTTGGTAGGGGCTGGAGGACGCCGTGGGGGAACGCCTGTCCACCCAAAACACACACAAGAGAAGCAGAGTAGATTTGAACTGTACAATCACACAGCAGTGATATTTGTAAATCTGTTATTTGTCTATGCACAGCACCAAAAGGCAAACATGAAAAGTTGCTGTAACTATCACAAAGACAATGAGAAACTACACCATAGCAAGGCATTCAAACACTTGTATTAATTAGTGTTAAAGTTTAACATTACGTTAAAATTCATTAACATACACAACAGTCTAGAGTTGCCACTGGTGATCATAAATGATACATATTTGTACTTTTAAGAGTCTTTCACAAAAACAAAAGAGCCAACTTAAATTTTTGTGAGTGGCTACAGTACAATTAAAGAAGCTACATGCAAAGCAAAAGGTGAAAGGTCAAAGTACCAGGTCTACAGTTGCCTCGAGGGGTCGCTTCATTGCTTTGGCAGTCGACTGAGTCTTTAATTAGCAGGCAGCGAGCACATGATGGCAGTGGGCCAATGGGATTCAAGCGTATTAACATACAGGTAACAGCAAGCAGAGGTGCGTCATGGGGGACAGCATTGCATTGTGGATAGGTGAGAAGGAAAAAAACAAAAACAAAAAATAATCTGAAAATGCAAGTATACCACATACAAAACAATAGGCATGCACATAAACAAAAAACTGTTTTGTTTACTTTTAAAGAAACATTGCTACTTTTTGAATTAGTACAAAAGCAAAAAAGCATCTATATTAACCTTTGGTTAAGAAAAGCAAGAATCTACGATATGATGTTGTTCAAATCTACTGGGAAAGTATTGAGTAATAACTGAAGTATTTCTGGACAGGGAAATCAACTTTGAACATCTACGTAAGAAGAAAATGCAGTTATGTAAAAACAGCTGATAACACAGAGCTGGATAAATGTCCTAAATATGCAACAGAAACTACTCTTCTTGTTTGGAAATGTGAGGTGGTTTAGGGCTCTGAGTAAAATTTAAAACACCCACAACAAGATCAAGATGAGAGCGATCAAAGCCCCTGAAATTAGCAGCAGCAAGACAGGTTTTAAAGCTCCTGTGAGGATTGTTCAGGTTGAGTCTGATTTGGCGCCCCCTCTGGACAGAGGTGGAAAGACTCTTTTCTGCCCTTGAGTAAGTTCTGAAAGAAATTCCTCCTGCTTTCTTTTAAATGTTGAACATAAAAGGCTTGTCCGACACCTACCCTGCTGCAAGGGTTCGCTTGTGTCTAAAGTAACCACAGTGACATAATCAATCTCCTCTTTTGTGGTTGTTTTTGCTTTTGGAGGTCATTTAGAAACATTAGTATCACTTTCAGTATTTCATCAGCAGCTTAAAATTCCTCACTGGAGCTTTAAACTAAAAAGCCAAACCAATACTGTCTATGGATTTTAGTCTATATATCTGTATTTCATAGGTAATTGATTATGTGCAGGAATTCTTCAGATGTGCATATTGATAGGTTGACATATGAGTATATTGTAAACTTCCTCTCCAAAAGAGGTCCACCCCTGGATCTACTAGCAAGAAGCTACAGAGTATGAAAGCAAGATACAGGGGCATAAGCTAATATTAAAGCTACATCGACATTTGACTTACACTGAGCCTGTGTAAATCTGGCAGGTTTTGCATGAATAAATGTTTGATTGTGATTGTTGTGAAGTGGTATACAGTAGGCGTGATATAAACGGTGGGAATTGAAAGGTAAAACTCTTGGTCCTTTAATTGAAAATGGAAACTCTGACTAAGAAGGATTTACTCAATGCAGTGTCACAGAGTCTTGGGTTAAAAAAAGGTCCAACTGTTCTACTAGGTGTGGCTAACATGAGTAGAGCTAGCACCACCAGCCTTAGCCCACATGCCTGTGCAGGTTACACAGTTGGAGTGACTATATGCCAGCCTATATACAACTTGATCTCCACTATCTAGATCGCTTCAAAACAGCACCGCACTTCGAGATACAACATCTGTGTTTGTTTACATCTGGGTCGTACAGCTTGATATCAATATGACTTAAAATATAGTGAGCTGGAGCTGAAGCCCTTTCTGGTGGCAGATTTCTGCACTCCAGCAGTGACACAACATATAACCAACATTTCCAGCCTTCTGTGAAAAACAAATAATTTGTTGATCTGACTAATAATTCTGGTGCTGATATTCGAGGATGATGATGTTTGGTCATGTAAACGACTGAACCTGGTCCGTGATAGAGGTAGCATTACTATATAGGTATTGCAATATTTGACCAATTGCAACAATATTGTACCTGCAAGGTCTGGTTTATAAATCCCTGCATTAATAAGTTGTTCCGTCCCTAATTAGCAAGTCCTCTGATATAAAAGGCAAATAAGAATGTAATAATGTTTTTTTTTTCAAAATATGGCGGGTTTTCCCTTTAGCAACAGTTGATTTGTTTGCTTATTTTGTTTAGTCGCAGGCTGTAAAAGGTGCATATATCAGTATATGTTTGCAGGACTTGCCCAAAACGATTACAGAACTGTTAAAATATAGTGCAAAATCCAGAGTTGTGCATCCTTTCTAACAAAACAGTCGAATCCTTCTCTGTAGTTCAGTGCCTATATTTGAGCGTTTGAGACTTGTTGGTGTGATCTTGACACAGTGCAGAGAGAGAGCAATACTTGAATCACAGAATGTGGAGCTCTGTTTATTTTTAAATTCCTCCTACAAATGTAAAAATATCCGTAAATCTGGTGTTTAAAAGTCTAATATCAGACTAGACCTGATGAGGTAGAGATAACCTGTGTGATTAATCAAAATTCTCTTTACATTCGGTGTCACTGCTGAAAAAAAACAAACAAAGATGACATGGATGTGATGAGCACAGCACTCAAAGGGTCCATGCACAAGCCTCTTGCTTCATGTATGTGGATTTTCTAGCAGTTTAAAACGACCTACATCCTGTTAATAAAAGCAAGAAGGCGTTGCTAATGCTCTGAGGTGTCGACATGGTTAGTTCAAATAAAAGATGGTCTTTCAAAGTGACACGGAAAGCAAAAGATGACTGCATTCGGAGGAGATCACAGCATGGCAGGCAAGACATAATGTGGCACAGTAAAACAGGATAATCTCTATTATGGGATCTTCTTACTGTAACTGTATCGGTTAATGTGTAACCTTACCTACGATACACTTAAGCCTATTTTCTCTAGATTTAAAAAGTGAATTATGAGTAATAATATCACCTATTTGCAGCAGTAGAGCAGCAGCAGTCCAGGTTTATGTGTCTCAATAAAAACGCTCTGGCTTTAAGCTAAAGGCTGAAAGAAAATTGGATTATAGCTGCTGACTAAACAAGTCATTGTCCTGAGGTTAACGCAGCTCACCTCCACTGTAGCTTGTAAGTGCTGATGGTAAATGAGGGGGTCGGGTCATAAAGTTGATAGACAGAGGTGTAAGAGGAACAGAAAAGTAAGAAGAATAGGATTGTGTGGAGGATGCACCGGGAAGATTAACTACAAGTTTGAAAGGGGCTTTGTGTACCCGAGGAGGAGGAGGTTATTGATCTGTGTGCACCCTAAGAGGTGTTAGCGCCGCAGTTTTGTGATTCTGTATCAGCTCTTCAAAAACACAGAATCTCCGTGTTTTTTAAGAAATACCATCGCATAAGGCCCTGATGCACAAAAACAGTGCTGTTACACATGAAGTTTCAAAATATCTGCTGTTCATTCAAATTATATGAGATGAAAATGTGATTTAATGGCTTAAAAACGTAGATTTGTATCTTACAGTGTACCTCAGTCCTGAGCTCTGATAAAGGTAGTCATTTCTGACCAGTCACTGCCTTTGTGGCATTTTTAACTCAAGAGAGATATTCAAGATAGTCTCACTGTTTGCTAAAATATAGTAATTTTATACATCATGTGATGCTATTTAAATTCTCTGTCTGCATAGATTCACTTTTCTTAATGCCAGAAGTCATAGCATCAGCACCGACTGCACAAAAAGCCGAGCCTGTGCGTTGAACAGCAGGCAGATCACACATTAGTTTACTGATTTTAAATGAAGTATAAAAAATTATGAGTAAACAGTCTTTCTGATCAGGTATAGGCTTGTTTCCTAAAACTACAGTAGTGATATATCACTTTTTCACAGTTGAATTATTTCTATATCATGATAGGGTTTATCTCTGTGGTATATCTAATTGGTTATCTGATTGGATTGAAGTTAAAAAAAATTCAGTGTTTGAAAAAAATATAAGAATTTTTTTTTTCTAGATAACCAGTTTGTGTTGTTCAAAACTTCTGTGTAAGATTGGTGTGACTTTAAAGCTCTTGTAAGGAGATTTTTGACATTCATGAAATCCACTGAAATTCCAAATTATGTCTTTTTATAGCATTCAAAAGCAAACCAGACCATCAGAGACAAGAATCATGACTTTTAAAGCCTTAATCTGGTGTGTAGAAGTCAGCCGACCAGCCCCCGTTTTTACAATTTTAACTTAAGTATTCACAATACTGTCAAGGGTGAGAGTTTTTGCCTGAATTCACTAATTTAAGAACGTAGAGGACAGGAGAGGAAAAGGCTGCTTTGTCCACAAGGGGTAACACAGTGTTCTGGATGTTTCCCTGCTCCAACACACCTGATTCAAATGATCAGCTCATTATCAAGCTCTGTAATGGCTTACTAACTAGCTGATCATTTGAATCAGGTGTGTTGGAGCAGGGAAACATCCAGAACATACAGGACAGTGGACCTCGAGGACTGGACTTGAGAACCACTGGGGTAACAGAACTGACACTAACTGAAAGTTTCTCACTGGAGCTTAAACAAAAAAGTTTAGGGTCACAGTAAAATGTAAAGTATGTCAAACAAAACAGCATTTTATAAAAATATCTAATCAAATGACTTTTTTTGGTGCTTCATCTTTTTAGTATAGGTATTGTTTTCAACAAACACAGATACAAAATGGGATTCATCATGTCTGCTGCATTAATTTCAATAGAAAACCACCTTGATGGTTCTGCAAGGCACACCTAAGGAGGAATTTTAAAGGAAAAGTCCACCTAAATGATCATCTCATTGTTATAACATTCAGGATTAGGTATAGTTGATTTAGCAAAATCAGTATCTTAGAGTCTGACAACTCGTTTTTTTTTCCTATGAACATAGTTTTGCAGCAGTGATATGGTAGAAGTAGACAGAATACTTCACAGATTAACACCGTTATTGAATAGAAAATGTCTTATTTCCAGTCAATGTTATGATCCCTCAGTTTGCATGGATTGTGGCGCCCCCTGTGGACAAAGTATGTAGTATGAGGTCCCATTTAGAGCACCAGACAGTAATTTTTACACCTACGTCAAAATTTTGGTTTGATTTTTCTCAAGTAACCTGGATGTAGCTAAAGAAGGATTCAACTTAAAAACAACTTGGAATCCACATTGTGCAGAAAACAGTACTGCACTTTAGTCATCTTTGATTTTACCTATTTTATACTTCACTCCTTTGATGTTTTCCTGCTTTCTAGCAGCTCGAACTAACCTGAGGTGGCTTTTATCATTCTTCCACAGTGTGTTCTTAATGAAGGAAGGACAGGGAGAGCAAGCAGCGATGGAGCCAGCCAATGAGAGAGAGGTCTGTGCAACGCGTAAAAGCATGCCCATGCCATGGAGGAGGGAAGAGTCAGTCAGCACACTGGCGCAGTACAAGGTGTGCGAGTGCAGCAGCCAAAAGACCATTGAAAAAAAAAAAAAAAAAGAAGCCACTCAGAGCCTGAGGAGGGAGGACGGGGCACAACCGGGACACACTGCCTAACTCGTCTTGCCTGCTTTTCTGTCTGTCTGTCTGTTTCTTCCTCATCCTGTTGGGGTAATTTTCCAGCTAAAGGCAGAGGAGGGTGCACACACAATCCGTGAGGCTACATCCTCATCCATCCCTGATTCAATTTGCACTGATCTGCAGAGAGCCGCACTTATCATTGAGAGCAGGGAGGGAGGAGAGGGGAGGAGGGGAGGAGAGGGGAGGGGGGGAGCCAGCACATTGTCTCTGTATGTACCAAGGGCATTGGAAAATAAAAGCAGACTGCGGTGAGATAATAACAGATTGTTCTTGCGGCGTTATACTGATGCGTTTAGGTCTCACTAAAGCCTGTTTATTGTATACAACGGCCTCACTTCGGGGTGACTATTGTTGGTGAATTGTACACTGGAGTGTGCTGGAATAAACCAGCAGAGGTGGGTGTGTTTGGTACAGTAATAAAGCAGCGCTCCACATTTTATGTTACTGTAGGTGTCATCATCAACAGCATGTGTTTTCATGTTGTTTCAACTGGATGATTTGTAGTCAAGTCAGGCGTGTTTAACTTTATGTTACAGAGGAGAACTTTAAATGTTGTGTCCAATCAGGAGCGAGTTTTAGTGTTCCTGTGCTCATGTGAATGAACTGAGTTTACTTTCTTTTCTACAGTCATAAAACCTACAATAATAACCTGTAATTCCTGGTTGTAAAAAGCCTCCCTGAGCTCGGATCTAAAAGTTCAAGGTATCCCGTCTACAGGTGCTATAAAACAGCCTTATTGTTCCATACAGACATTACAAGCTCTGGCTTTATAACTACTCTAAACAAGCAGGAACTTTATGAGACTTGATTGGTTAGTACAAGGATAAGTTTGTGTTTCTGTGGCTGTGCTCTCACCATGGCTGCAGCCGTGGCAGCGGCTTGCGCGGCCACAGCTGTCTGGTTGGCCTGGTGTTGCGCCGCCTTGATCTTGGCCTGCAGGTGGGCCGGCGGGTGGAAGTACTTGCACTTCTCGCGGGAGCAGCGGCTCTTGATGTAGTCCATGCAGACGGTGACCGTGTTGTCGCTGGTGTCGATCATGGGGCTGTCGCTCGGGTGGGCGAAGCGGCAGTCGGTCTCGCCGCGCGCACAGTTACCCCGCTGGAACTCGCGGCACACCTGGGAGCAGGAGAGTCGGAGCGGCGGAGAGACACACAAATGGACGCACACGCGCAGACAGACAGATGAGGCAGACGCACAGATGTCGACGTGCAAACAGAGAAAAAACAGGAGAAATACACACAAAGACAGAAAATATATAAGTACACAAACCTTTGATAGAATCAGTGGCGTCACCTCACCTAGCAGGGAACGTTTCAAATTGAACACATTGGCTGAATCACTTTTCTTTTTTTATCTACTGCTTTATTTACTCAGGCAGGCATTAAAATCCTCAAGATGATATTAGGTATTTGAAAGTTTTTCCCCTTCGTGTGTCTGACTTTTATAAAACTTGAGAGATCATATCTATTTACTGTAAATTCAATTATATAAAACGCACTTTCGACACCTTTTTTCTTCATCTAAATACACTTGAAACCAACAGACAGACAAAAGATGAACCGTCAAGTAGGCACAACCCTTTTGATGCCTCCTCTCCTTATGGGATCATAATCATGCATTCAAAGAAGTTACTAGACCTTGTAGGATGTTGGTTTGATTGAAAAATCTCATTCACTCAAGACAACATGTGACCTGTGAAGGTGGGTGGTACAAGCCTGGATCTCATTTACCGTGTGACTTTTATCCTTGATTTGACTGTATTCGTTGAAAGAGGGAGTTTCATGCTCAATTATAGGCTTTAAAAAGTCCCTTTGTAATACTTGTGTACCAAAAAATTAAAAAGTAAAAAACTCTGTATCTCAAATTAATCCTAATTTCAACTTCTGTCTGAAAAGCTTAATTTCTGCTACTGTCTCTTTAAGGCATCTGGAACCCTCCTCCACTGTTGCCATGCTGCAAAGCTGTCCCCACTGAAAAACCGCTGCTTCTCCTTCATTCAAAAAGACAAATAATTGAGATAAATTAATAAAGAAAATCACGAGTGGAGCTTGTTTAGTTCTTTAACAACTTTTTGCTTCAGACGTTTAGCTACCTGCCTGCTCTCCACTGTCCATCTCTCTCTTTCTGCATCTCCCTGGAAACTGACTCAACTTTGATGTATGAATGAAAACTTAGGATATTATAGGCTATTTACCAGCTTCTATATTAGATCAGACTGTTGCATAACCGGTTATAAAACTCCTAATAGTAGGTCTAAGTCTGAAGCTGCGCTCCTGGCTTTCTTCAAAATAGAAGAGTCAAATGATGATGGAGAACTTTCGTAAGAGATTCATCAGGAGACAAACAAACTACAAGGTATAAATAGAAGGTGGATAGGAATAAATGCGGCTTTGCTGGTGTAGGTGGACTGTTGAGAGGTTTTGTTTTGTTCCGCTGCACCAGACTCACACTGAGCCGTATTTAAATAAGACAATGAATTAAGTTTTGAACCTTAACACCATGAAACTAAACTGCAGTGTGTGCCAAAACCTAACGATTGAACAATTACTGAACCAGCCTGTATTTAAGCGTTAAGAGGCCTGAATGTAATCACAGTGGGGATCTGCTTTTGACTCGCACTCTGGGACGCACTCAGAGCGTTCTCACACATCTAAATGCAACATTAAAACGCACACTGAAGCACACACAAGCACACACATTCGGGCTGTGTGTGGGCTCCGTGTCTCTGAGGGATGCTGTTTCATTAGAGCCAACTTCATTCAGTTGCTAAGTGATAGCACTCCCGGAGAAAAACACATACAGGCACACACCTACGCATCACCTCCAGGTCTTAGGGAGATTATTGTTTATCTTTAAAACTGTGCTGAAAAAAAAACAGCTCCTCTTTATGCACTCTTTCACAATCACAAGCTTCTCTCATTCAGAGTCATGGCCAGGGGGAGATCGAGACGGCTAAATTTGTTGTAATTGTCTTTGTCTGGCAAGTACCAGTTTGTGTTGAGCATATTTCACATGAAATTACATGTAATCTACTTTTATTAAACTCATCCTTCTGATACCAGCCCTAGTCTAATTGCTCCTAACAGCATCTTATGCTCAAGGAAAATAGAGGTAAAGAAGGATCACTTTAAGTGTTATTTAGATTAAAAAAAAGGTTGTGCCTTCAGTTCTAAGCAAACAGACAACCAAATATTAAAGCAGAGAGAGGGGGAGGTGGAGCGTACAGCCTTATCTGATGAGGTTGAGCTCTAGTCCAAACAGGCCCCTCTCCTGGTTCTACTTTCCCTGTCCTCTTTCAGGCATCTCTCCATAGACTCTTTTATCTTTTATCTTATAGTTCGTGTTTTATTTGGCCGCCGTAAATATGACCACATTTCCCCTATTTTAGCCTGTCTTCACTGGCTTCCTGTGCGTTTTAGGATTGATTTTAAAAATTTTGCTATTAACTCATAAATCTTTAAACAGGCTTGCTCCTTTTTACCTCTCTGACCTTTTAATAACCTATACTTCATCTCGGACTCTCAGATCCTCTGACCAGTGCCTTCTGACTGTCCCTAGGTCAAGATTAAAGTTCAGGGGTTACCTTTGCACATTTCTGTTGTTCTAGTTCATCATCACTATTATTACTATTATAAATGTATTATTCAATTATCATGATTAATATTGTCTTTTATGTTTACTATCCTGTTTTCTGCTTTCAACCCCCCTTTTTATTGCATTTTCTTACCTATTTTATGTTTTTATTTTGGTCCTCATGGTCTCATTGTATGTCGGTTCCTTATGACACATGAAAATGGTCTTCAATTCCATTTTAACTGAGCTTTTTGTTTTTATTTGTCTTTTTCCATGTGCTCTATGACTATTTGTCAAAGCACTTTGTAAACTTCTGTTTTTAAAAGTGCTATAAAAATAAAGTTATTTTTATTTTTATTACTACTTGTCTCATTGAATGTGGGGAGGTAGGGCGTACAGTTTAACGTAGCCCAGCTCTTTCAGTAAAAGTCAGTGTTTTTAAATCTAGCTCCTGAAGTTTGATAACTTTGATAACAAAAAGACGTAACGTAGCTGCTGAAGTGCAACCTATTCTGACTGTATTTTCTTAAATATTGCAGCCGTTCCCTCTTATTGTACCCAAAATCTTCCTGCACCAGGTGTATTTGTCTATTTTCAAGTCAGAATATCTCACATGAGACTCTTTTACCTCACAAACCTTGTTTCAAGATATTGCAAGTCATAAAAAAGGCCTGGGTTGACTGTAATGGGTAAAAACAGGTCATGCAGTTCCTGTTAAATCCTTTAACTCAGGTTATACATCCTACTGAAAAGTTTCAATGTTTTACATCTAATTATTTCAGTTACATTTTTATTAGAGCTTAAAAATATTAAATGCGAGAATTTTATTTCAATCTGGGCAGCTTCATAAATGTCCCTGAAACCGACAAGAGCTGCAGCAACACAAAGAATATAATAGACAGTACTCATTCCCACCACACATCTATTGTTCTAGCTTGAATTATACTAACAGCTAATAATTAGCTCTTATTTTTTCATGTGTGAGAAAAGAGAGGACTGCGATCGGGTGCGTCACCTCCAGCTTGTCCGTGCGGAGCAGTTTCTGGTTGGAGGAGGAGCCAGCAGTCACAGAGACAGGCGGGCTGCCGGGAACAATGACGGGCGTGCTGGGCAGGATGTCTGTGGGCACCAGGCCCATGCTGTGGGACATGGGAGTCAGGTAAGGAGTGTAGCTCAAACCTGCGCTGGAGCCCAAACCCTGGCTGACTGGAAACGTCTGCTGCAGATGGAGACAGAAAAGAAAGAAGGAGGCCATTTTTTAAGATATTCTGTTTGAGTTTCTTTTCCATTTTAGCAACTTTTTCACATAATTAATGAAAATACTCGACAGGAATGAGGGAGGAACTTTAATAGAAAAGATGTAAAATGATGGATGAAGGGAGGGACTGTGGGAACTGGAGAGTGAAAGGCAAAAAGAGGATAGAGAAATGAAATAGGGGAGGGAAGTTGGAAGAAAGAGACGCTGGAGACAAATTAATGGAGGGTGCAGCTGTGCAGAGTGGTGGGTGAGAAAGATGAGAGGTGAGGCAGGGGAGAGAGTGTGACAGGTAAAAGAGAGAGAGCTGGGGGGCGAGAGAGGAATCATTTTCAGAGAAAATCTGAGACTGAAAGTAGAAACAGGAGAAGAGTTTGATTTTTTTTTTTAACCTCTGTATATCCCGGGGAAGATTTTTTGCTTAGCTTGCATGTTCTTTTGCAGCTACACCACACCTTATATCAATGCAGCTAAACACGTTCACACCTGGCAGCCGCCCAGTGCAACCACAGGGCTGTCTGTTGAGCAACTCTCAGAGAGAGGAGGCGGGGAAATGCGCGCATCGCTCGAGGGCATCTCAATAACAATTGTGGGAACAAATTCATGAGCTCATGACTCCGGAGTGAAAACATTAATCTGAAGAGAGGGAGAATCAAGCAAAAATGAAAAGGATCTTACATAAGTGTAATCTGACTGTTATCGTACATCCTAAGTTCGTAATGTCTTCTTTATTACAGAAGCCTGCTGACCCCATGGAGACGAAATCTGAGACCTTTAAGACAGAGTCATATCGTAGTATATTATGAAGTGAAAATATACTATCGTAGTAGTATATCATGGGGAATACAATCATATATTTAGGCTACAGCAAGCCCATTGTAAGAATAATGTTATCTGTTGACACGAACATACCAAAATAGACTAAGCATAGCTATTGTACTAGTTTTTTATCGTCTTGTCAACCCGTTTAGAGCAGTGGTTCTCAAGTCCAGTCCTCGAGGCCCACACACCTGATTCAAATGATCAGCTCGTTATCAAGCTCTGGAATGGCTTACTAACGAGCTGATCATTTGAATCAGGTGTGTTGGAGCAGGGAAACATCCGAAACATGCAGGGCAGTGGACCTCGAGGACTTGACTTGAACCACTGGTTTAGAATCACGCTAATATTCAGTTTTCATATAATCCAGCTGGTGGCGCTGATGAGGCATAATATAATCACGCATTTTGTCACAAACTGGTTCAAAATTATGTTATGAAATATCATGAAAAGTAAGATCACAAGAGCAGCTAGCTGTCTATGCTAAGCTGAGAAGTGTGGAGCATTGCCTGATGTTTTACTGTTGTCCGGGTTTACAAGAACCTTAAAAACTCGGAGTAGAGCGCAAGAAACTGAAATATCTGATCTTTTTTCCCCCAGCGTTGCTCTAATGACTAAATATTTTGTGTATGTTATTGTTAAATCCAGGGCTTGATTCAAGCAAGAGGTGAAATGCTTCATTAATTGCAGTTTTCATGGATTGAAATAAGTGATTAGCATGCCCATGCAAAGTATTAGTATTAGTATTTCCATGCAAAAATACCAAATTCATCAACATGCTAAAAGCCACAAGTAAGTGACATTTTTACCATCGGCTGTAATAATTGTAAGCTCTGTCAACTATCACTCTTCAGTTATCAAAACAACAATTTCAGCTCTGAATGAGATAAAATGATGACATATCTGTTCATAAAGTCTGTCAATATAACTTAATAACCATCACTATTCAATGATAGTCAGGGGTTTAATTAGTCTATGGTTCAACTTTTGCACACACAGACTTAACATTGAACTGGTGAGGACCTTAACTCTTCATCCAGCACATCATATATGTTGATAGAATTAGGCATAGTCAAGATGAGAGTGCACAGCTCAGATCTGCGCAGCAGAGAGCTGAGATCCAGACAGCGTATTCAGTCACAAAAGCAGTAACAGATGTGCAATTTTAAGTGTAATCCATTGTTAGTGAATTACACTTTGGGTAAGGGTGGTCATATATTAACATTAGGACCATAATCATGTTGTTCAAACATTTTTCTAAGTAAGTTCAAACTTCATTCTTCTTATTGTGACTTTTAACTTATTGAATTATGACTCTGTTGATGCCCTTTTTCATAATCACAGCCTGTTATATTTTAATGTGGCCCTAACACTCAGTTAAAATACATAAATTATATAGTCCATTTTTCAGTATTGCCACACAAGTGGGAACAAATAAAATACAAAGTTTTGTTTCTTTGAGAGTAAACAACAATTGTTGTCATGTCATTTCCTTTATTTTGGAGAGGGCTTTGTGCTCGGATTAAATCAGAAAATAATAAAAGGTAGGCCTGTCTATAATGGTCTTCAAGGCTAATAGCTGCTGCCAACACCCTCACAGTTAAAAAATATATGTCTGTATGAAGGGTTGATATTTTGCAACAGCCCTTTAAGTAGTGTAATTACATGCAATCAGGATGTTTTGCAAGTAAAACACATCTCAACCTTGTACGTCAGGACGGGAACAAAAGAAAGGTTGTCACAGTGCAGCACAACAACAGAGCTGGCTCTGATTTTTATGATGAGTCACACTGCACTGCCACTCAACTCCCACTAACCACAGGTTGCATGGTGGTGCCGGGGATCATAAACTGCATCTGTTGAGCCAACATGGCAGCCGCCGTCTTCTGCTGGATCAGGTTGTTTCTCCCGTTGATCTCCAGCTGGGTCTTGAGGTGAGCAGGCGGGTGGAGGTATTTGCAGTTCTCTCGCGTGCAGCGGCCCTGAGCGGAGACAGAGAGAGAGAGAGGGAGAGGGAGAAACAAACAAACAGGGTCATTAGCAGTCTGAAAAACTTCAAGTCTCTGATCAACAGAATGAAGTGAAAAGCATCCATCATCTCATAATCAACCCGAGTGTGAACAGGTTGTGTCTGCCCAAGGACGTGGTGAATATGTGGGCACTGAATTTCGAAACAGACTCCAAAACATCAAGTGCTCGGAGGCAGCATACATATTCATACTTGGAGAGTGTGAAACATGGGAAACGTTTGTTATGTTTGTGCTTTTGCAGCAGGGGGGGAGGCAGGTAGCTCTCAAATTTGGGTAGAAACATTAATCAAAACCACACAGCGACCATTTCCTCTGACACCAAACTCATTATAAGGATGTTGTAAAGATGTAGTGCTGTGTCTTAGTCTGCTTAATATCAGCATCTGTTTGGATCCTAACTCTGGTGTATGATTTATTATTGTCTGCACATAGCTCAGTCTTTTATTCATGAGCTGCTACAAACCAGCTGCCCTGATGCGGGGTTAAATGAACATTTGCTTAAATTAGTTGATGTCTAACTAAAAAATGTCTCTTTGAATCTGCACAGTTCTCTGTCTTTCAGTTATTACCTCATTAAACCTCTGCTAACTGGGCCTGGGTACCAAGAACTGATTCCAACTTGGGTCTAGTTTGTAATTTTGTGCATTTGATTCGGCATTTGTATTTTGGTTTTGCTTTTCAGTTTCCAACAGCAACATAAAACTTTCAGGATGAAATCCCCTAGACTTTTACGGTCCACTGAAGTTGAACGTACTGTTGTACCATTACGGCATTTGAGATGAAGCGCATCAACAAAAGAGCGATTGAATTTTTGGCTAAAGAAAACAACTTAATCCAACTACAGGGGCTGCAGTCTTCGAAGGACCCGGACTTTTGACGGATCCAGACCTTGATGAACACACTCAACTTTTGAAGGACACAACCTAAGAATGAGATGGAGGACGGTTCAAAAGTTGTAGCGGCTGGAGCGGCGGCAAAAGTAGACGAAGTTAATGTAGGAGGGGGTGAGCAGCTTGTGAAGAAGTTATCGTCCATTTATCGTTATCGAGGTGAACTGCTCAATATATTGTGATATTGATTTGAGACTATCGCCCAGCCCTTCTAATGAGGGACCCAACCTTTGAAGAACCCACTCATACCATAATATTGAGGTAAAAAAAGTCATGTCCACAAATGAATTAAATCAATTCTTGTTGGATCCAAGTTTAAAGAGAACCCACCACATTTGGTTCCTACAAAGAGTGCCTATGCAAGCTTCGTGATTTTCCTTGTCTACCGATTAAAAAAACTGTGTGGAAAAAAAACTAAAACCTGTGACAAGTTCAACGCCTTGAAAAACTGACCCTGATTATTTGTATCAGACTGTCGACATGTTTCATTTGGCCTCTACAATTGGACATTAAAAAAATAAGCTGTAACAAGGTTTCTTTGGCTTTTGGAGTCAGCCTCAAGTGGACACTTGAAGAACTGCAGTTTTTTTTTCTTTTCCAAAACCAAAGATTGCAGCTTGCTAACCACCTAAATTACAGCAGAATTAAAATGAGCTTCCAACCAATGTCAATGTCAGAGGAAAAAAAGGCTGCAGTGTTAGTATGGTCCATTGTCATGCAAGACGATAAGCCTCCTGACTACTTGTTCTGCTGCACCCTGGACACTCTGACCCAGACAATTTTCAATGCAGACATGAAATGGTTATTGCAGGGTTAACTCTAAGTAACCAAATCTCCGCAGCTTTTTGACGGACAGGTCATCCAGCATTCTCGGTGGAAATGCAAATGCATGGTAGGCAGGGTCGGGCTTACAAAGACCCTGAGGATGAAGGCAATTACACTGTCAACCCAGAGGCTAATGGCAAACACAATAATCCAATATGGATCCTCAGTGCAGTGCTTAGTGTGAAGAGGAGTGGGTGGAAAGGAGGAGAGAGGTCAGGAGGGAGCAACGTAGTGAAGGACAGAGGAGAGGAGTGGGAGAGGAGAGCAGGAATGGAAAGTAAAGGCGAGGAGAGGAGGGATGGAAAAGATGTGGGCAGAGTGGAGTCATGTGAATTAGTACAGAGGGGAAAGGGGAGATAACAGGAGGATATGACATGGCCACCATGACACGGCACGTCTGGGTGGATGTGGAGATAAATTAGAATCAGTCTGGCAAGAGGAGGTCCAGCCCCCTTTGAACCATAACAGGAAACAGTCACAACACAGAGGCTCGATATGGTACTCAATTATTCCCCTAATTTCCTCTCAATAACAAACATGATGGCACCAGTCACCAATTATGACTTAGGTTAATTAATCCAGATCTCTATGTGAACACAGTTTTAACAAAATCTGTACAAAAATCAGGATCTGCAGCACACCAAACTCCTATTCGATGCAGGTTAATCAGAGTTCTCAAGAATCCCTGGCTTTCTAAGTACTGAGCTCGAAATGTTCAGCATTTGCTGGTCAGCATTCAAGTTGTGTTGTTGTTGTTTAAAGTGCATTAAGTAACTGGATTAAGGATTTCATTGAGCCAAAGTAATCAACAACAAGCTCACAGCTTCAGAGGTTCTGCTAATGAGCTTCTCAGAAAACAGGTTTTTAAACTTCAAGTGGCACAATTAGTGTTTTTACCCTTACTAATAAGTGACTTTGTTTCGGGGAGAAGAAACCACAGCACATCATCTTTCCTGGTAGATGTACCTCCTAAACTATAAACATTGAAGAGACGATTTAAAGATTTTCCAATGCAGCTATTTGATAGGAGTGGGAGAAAAAATCGATACAGCATAGCATTGTAGCAAGATGTGCTACATGAAAATAAAATACTGTGTAAATAATACAAACATAAAGGAAAGACAAATGCTAAATTAGATAAAAATTACAATTTATTGTATCACAATGCTAACTGTGTAGCAAAATGTTACAAATCCCAACAATATCGTATCATGGCCCAAGCATCATGATAATATCGTATCGTGGCTCAAGTATCATGATAATATCATATCGTGGCCCAAACATCGGGATAATATGTATCATGGCCCAAATATCGTGATAATATCATATCGTATCGTGGCCCAAGTATCGTGATAATATCATATCATGGCTCAAGCATCGTGATAATATCGTATCGTGGCCCAAACATCGTGATAATATCGAATCGCATCGTGGCCCAAGCATCGTGATAATATCGTATCGTGGCTCGAGTATCACGATAATATCATATCGTTGCCCAAGCATCGGGATAATATTGTATCATGGCCCAAATATCGTGATAATATCATATCGTATCGTGGCCCAAGTATCGTGATAATATCATATCATGGCTCAAGCATCGTGATAATATCGTATCGTGGCCCAAGTATTGTGATAATATCGTATTGTGGCCCAAGCATCGTGATAATATCGTATCGTGGCTCAAGTATCACGATAATATCATATTGTTGCCCAAGCGTTGTGATAATATTGTATCATGGCCCAAATATCGTGATAATATATCGTATCGTGGCACAAGTATCGTGATAATATCATATCATGGCTCAAGCATCGTGATAATATCGTATCGTGGCCCAAGTATTGTGATAATATCGTATTGTGGCCCAAGCATCATGATAATATTGTATCGTATCGTGGCCCAAGTATTGTGAACTCTAAACTGACAAAATCTGAGTCAACTCAAGGTTGTCTCCACAGAAAGTTTAAACTGCAAACACAAAAGTAATGGAGTTAACACCCTACCCCAACCCCTGCATTAAGGAAAGAGACATGCATCCTTAATTTTATGCAAACTTTCATCAATCACAGGACCAGACATGGAGAGATTAAGAGAAATCCAATGGTGACAATCAGGATATTGATTTGAGGGACTGCCAATGATTTACAATAAGTCAGAGTTGGGATTACTTCGAGCTGAAGAATTTATAAGTAACATACTGTAGACTGCGCTTAAAACATAGATATTAAGTTGGTGATGACGATCATTGGTTTTTGAAAATCTGACTCAAACTCTCACCTTTTAATTTAGCATTCCCGTTAAGGTGACTAAGAAATTAGTCAGAATATCCCTGTTATGATCTCAAAGTTATTTCCTGGAAAGTCCCAACAGGTAGAAGAGTCATTACTTTGATTGACGACTGCTTTCAACCAGGATGTGTTCGCTGGTTGGCTTTGGCGGTTTTGCAGCTAAATCAAAGCTCTTGAAGATGAAAATAAAGAAAAAGAAATCAATAGCATAATGAATTATTCTTATTCTTTTCTTATTCTTAGTGAAGCAAAGAAGTGGAGCACATCCCATGAGTCGTGATGCAAATGAACAAAAGCGAAGTATGGATTATTTCTGTTTACACAAAGGCTTGAAAGCCCAGAGTGACGCTCATCATGCTACAAGGATTTCAAGTGGATACTCGACCAGTTCACGTTCATATTAGCCACAGCGGGGGTTTCTCTTCCTTTGTTTGAGAAGCAGGTAAATAACCAATAATCTTCAAGTCTCATCAAAGGAAAAACTAATAAAATGCAGCTTTGCTTTTCTTCCTGACTGATATTACAGACCCTGTGAAGCATCAAAAAGCTCCTGATGTTACTGCTACTCCTTTTATTTCCACAGATTTTAAAGATGCTACAAAGGATATTACCTCGACACATTTTAGGGGCTTCTTTATAATTTTTCTCTACGTATTAATAATGTTAGAAAACAGAGCTGGCATTCAGAGAGACCTCAAAAAGCTCCATTATGATGAGAGTCACACATTTGATAGGACTGACCTCCACACCCTGGTGTTAGAGCTGCAGCATCATCTTTCTTTTGCACAGAATCACACCTGCCCACACATATGCATACGAAATTACACGACCAAAACAACAAGCATCGCCCACACACACCTGCACAGGCGCTGCTGCACACAAACACACACACACACACAAAGCTCTTCTGAGACCTATCCAGGCCAGAGGAACGATGTTAGTGCTGAACCAAAACCCTCAGAGGTGTCAGAACTAATAAAAGCTGAACTGTATGCACAGATACAAGGGGAAGGTGTGTGTCGTCGTGTATCTGCATACACAAGAGAAAATGCGTAGGCAGGTGTAGCAGCGCCAGCATGTGGGCGGGTGTCTGAGAGGGCGCTGGTGCTGAAGCTGAGCTCTGGACCAGACCCCAAAACTGAATCTGCAGGGAAGCGCAGCGTCGGACCTGCACCCCGCAGAGATCACAGACACCGGCTGACACAAACAAAGACACACACACACACACACATTTGCTCAGACCCTCACCTTTCGCTTCACAGCTTACAGCGAAGCCATTACCTCCACTTCTGCTCCATATTCAGTTCATCTACAGCCTGTGAGTGGCACATGCTTTCTTCTGCAGCTCCTCATTTTTCCTGATTTAAAGTGATGAGCTAAACGGAGCTAAAACTACGTGGAAGAGCGTTTCATAATGCACGGACGCTGTCGTACTAAGTGCAGGCCTTGGACTCGTAAAAAAAATCTCCTTTCATCCTGTCAAACTTTCTTTGAGGGTGTTTTTCCTCTGATGTATTCATGATCCATCACTTCATTGTGTATAAATCACTTTGATTCCTCTTGGCTCGTCCTTTTTGTCTAGTTTGGAGGTTGAAGAAAGAAACAAAGTACCTTGTGTCTGGCCGGTTAGGTAACCAAAAAAACTGAAGGCATTCATTTTTATAGACACTCATTCTTTGCGGTGGATTTACTTTTCTTCATAAATAGATAAATAAATAAACAGCTTGTTTACACTGTACAAAACTGGACCATCTCTTGTGGGGTGGGACAAAAATTACAACACAGGGTTCCAGTCTCGGATGAATTATACTGTGTAAAGCAATATGCAGTACTCCTCTTCCTGTCTCAGTTTACACTGATGTAGTTTATAGATTTCACGTCCTATTAGGAACCTGAGAGTATTTCAATAAAAGTCAGATACATCTGCTACAAAAAATGAATCATTTTTGGTTTGTTACAGACTGAGATCTTGAAAATAAGCCTGTTTATATAGTCCCTTAGAGTCTCAGTTACACAGTTAAAAATTGTATCTTGAGAAGCATATTGAAAAGAGAACAAAATGTGCCCCAACAGGCACAGTCTGCAAAATAAACAGCATCAATTTTTGATTAATTTTTGGATCTGTTAATCTGCTGCTGGTGAGTCCCAGTTTCATGGTAGATAATAAATTTAATAGCAGTGGTGTGTTCAGATTAAAGTAGAGAAAAATACACCCCCGCTGACAATGTCTGCAAAGTAAACAGCATCAATTTGTGGTTTACGAAACGCCAGACCAGAGATGTTGATCTGTTGCTGGTGAGTCTCAGTTTTGCTGTGAAAAGTAAGATACTTCTTTTGATCAAGAATAGAGATAAAAAAAAATTGCCCCTCTAGATAATGTCTGCAAAATCAATATAATCACTTTTTGGTTAATTTCTGTATTTACAGTCTAGCACCTGTTCATATAAATCTGGTGAGTCTCAGTTTCACTGTAAGTAGCAACTTGAGAAGCAGCAGTCTATCAAAAGTGGAGTTAATTTTACCCCTGCAAAAAAATGCCATTATTTTTTGTTGTATTTTATCCATCAGAGTTGCATCTGCGTATCTGTTCCTTTTGAGTCTCGGTTTCACTGTAAATAATGAGTAACTTGAACAACAAATATGCGTTCAGATCAAAAGTACAGCCAAAGTTAAACATCTGGAAATGTCTTCAAAATACAAGACTTCACAAGCCAGGTGCCCATTCATCTGCTCTGGAGAGTCTTAGTTTCACTGTAGATAGATGCACTCTGGATCACTTGAGCAGCATCAGCTAAAGAAAAGAGAAACTGATTTTCACTAATGTATTTGCAACTAATGGGTCTTCTCTTTGCTGAAATAATATCACTGTGCAGATTGATAGAAAAAGTTTAGCTGCGTCAGGACTGTTTTTCCTGGATACATACATAAACGCCTGCCCACTCAGACTACAAATGTACTAGGATCCGAAACCAGAACACTGCTTATACTGAAGTTTAGTCCTACATGAACAGATTCTACAGAGAAACCAGAGGTATGAGCTGTGGAAGTCCAGGGCTGTATTTTGAGCTAACGCTCTCTTTACAAAGACATAAACAGATCTACAGATGTCATCCAGGAACAATATGGATGAAAACTCCCACCCCCACTGACACATTATGATGCATCCACCAAACTCAAGGAGGTGTTAATTTATGGCTACTGTGCACAGCAGTTAAAAAGCTCTCCCCCACATCACTTCTCTTTGATTAGCTCAAAGTACAGGCGGAAATCCGACACCTGCTTTATGGCTGGAGTTATTCTTACTTTCATAAAACATGGTCGGCCCATAATGTAAGAGCTGCACTGCACATAGCAATTACAGCAGATTTCTGAGTGTGCAATTCATCTTAATGATCATCGTCCAGGGCTGCAGTTTTCCACAATCGGGGATTCAGAGCACATAAGATGAGGTAATGTTATCTAAAGGCAGCACTGCATCACATCTAAAAAAGAGCATGGTCTGTGCAGTGAGGTGGTCCACCGACGCCAGGATGACGCGGCAACACAGCAGCATGTGTCAGATGACAATAGCATCATCTGGCTGCAAACCTGTATGTTTGTGAGAGAGCGCGGCAGATGCACACAAACACACAGACACCCACACAGGGACACACTTACACACACAACCCCCCACACACACAGAGACACACGCACAGTGTGCCTTCTGTCTAAGCCACCCACTCACAGGAGAGCAGAAATCCATTCACTGCCTCCGAGCTCTATGAAAAGGATCTTTGAAACGACCACCTCTGTGATTCACGCGCCAGCCGCCGGTGTGTAGCCATAGCTACACGGTGAAATTATACCTTTCAGCGGGGTCGCTCACATGGCAGCCTCTTATTGTAGGTGCAGTGTTGCCCCTGTGTCTATGAAATGCTCAGATCCATGCTTTGGGAAACACTAATAACTGCTTTGATTCTGATTGGATAATTATCACCTTCATGGCAGTGAAAACTCATGATGACAGAGAGATCAAAGATAAATTATCGGGTGTTTTCACTTGACATAGATCCTCCGTTCAAGATTCATCACTGCTGGCACATTTTTCAAACTCCAAGTACGGTCATAAAGATTAATTTACAAGTTTTCTATAAGCGGTGCAGTAAAAAAGAGATTCATATAGAGCTCATCCAAGGGGAAAGGGATAAATGCAGCTAATTGCATAAACAGATTAGGATTACACCAACTTCACCCAATGAGGCTTCTTTAATTCTATTAACTTCTTCTAATTAGGGCTCATTAATTTCTTCTGGAAATCAGCTGTAGTGGAAAGTGTTTCTTTTATCTATAACACAAGCAAAAGTGATGCAAATTTTCCTCTTTAAAACTATTCCTTTATTCCTCAATTGCTGCAGAACATAAAATGTTTCTGCAGCTTGTTTTTTTTTTTAATCTATAAAACATGCAGCATCGATAGCAAGCTTTCCCTTCTACATCCCGGACAACACGTGCAGTCTTTCAGCTATGCTGCAGGTACATAAACATAACGCTATCATGCATCTGAAGAGAAACTAGAAAAGCACTCGGAGAGCGCAGACCTCCGCCAAGCAGCTCATGTCCCCCCTTATATTGTGATTCACACCAAAACTTTTACTGTTACATGTCTTTTATTAACGTTTATTTGTGTTTAAACTGGTATGTTCACTGTTCATGATTCGGATACGAAACTAGGACCTTCTGGTTGTGAGGAGACAGTGCTAACCACTACAACCACTACACCACTGTGCTGCCCATTGGTTATCTTTCAGCATTGAAAACGACACCCTTATTTTTGTGTGTTCTGGATCACAGTATCCAGAATTTTGTCCGGATCACCACCAAATTTTAATGGGATCCTCCTGGGGCTGAGATGCACCTCTGGTGAAAATTTCAGGTCAATCTGTCTGTTACTTTCTCCGTAAAGTTGCTAACAGTCAAACAAACAAACAAACCAATGCTACCGAAAACATAACCTCCTTGGCGGAGGTAATAACTGTAATTTATTCAGAGAATTCCTGCAATCCTTTACAACCGTGCAGGGACTTCTACTGAAGAGTCATGTCTGTTTTGCAGTGCTAAATCACAGTCACTATTGGTTTGGGGCCCCTTAGGAAGATTTCCTCAGATTCTCTAATTTGTTTACTGGTTATTTACTGTGGTTGTGAAATCACAAGTTGTTAGGAGTTTCATGATTTCAAAACCACTGGAATCCAAACTTTTCTGCAGAACAGCTGGATCCATACTTCACTTTGTCACAGCACAAATGCAATCGCTGCTAGAAAAGAGTTGATATTTCCTAACAAACAAATAAGAATTGATTAAGAAACCAATAAATATTCTTTAAGATTTTTTTCTTCTGAAAGCACCCCAGACTGCTTACTTTTGTTTTTATGCTCAGCAACTTGAAGTAGAAGTCTTCGTTTTTTTGGCACAGCACTGGTCACGATCCAAAATCAGACACAAGCACAAAATGTTCTGCAGACAGACCTTCAGCAAAGGCTGGGCAAACTTTAGACTTTGCAAAAACAAAGACATGGAAAACACAGAACACCCAAATCATTCAAACATACTGACAGATTGCTAAGTTTCGAGAGCCCACACAAAACTATGGTGCTGACAGACGAATAATGGCTCAAACACAGACAGAAGCAAAGATAAGCAAAGAGAAACAAAAAAATCAATCCTCTGACTGTATATGTTTGAGTCCGCCTTAGACCTGCTTCCTTGGTATATTAAGTCAGCCAATAATAAAGTTTTCACTGTCTGGATGTTTTCCCACGACTGGCAGATGACATTTTAAGAATGAATATGTTTAATAATCAGCCACAGTCACAGAGGGATTATGAGTTTTTCAGGTGAGACAGCTGTATCCTGAGGGAGCTGTTACAGCTGTAATATCATCCACAGAAGAAGAACTCTTGTATCTGTTTGTCTGAGCCGTGTTGTGGGTCTTGTTTTAGGGGGGTTAAATGTGCCATTTTCATCATGATAAAATCCTGAAAACAGCAGTTAAATTTCCTCCTTTACAACTACCTCGACACAGGAGTTGCTGATTTAACTGAGTATTGCTGCAGAGGTAGGTTGTTTTGTTAGGGTACAGTCCTTTTCACAACTGAACACAGTTGTTACATCGCTCCAATTAAAATCAAAAAAGTATCCACTGACAGAAACCATTTGCAGAAAACAAGAGTTGCTGTTCTACCCAGCCTCTTAAAGGAAGTGCTTCAGGGGCAGATGTATGTGTTAGGGTGAATTCTGAAAAAGCTGCTTCATTTTTCCTTTATAAATCACCCAGAACATTGGAGTTACTGCTCTACCTATACAATGAAGATGGTCTTTTTTTGTTAAGGTATAATCCTTTTTTACAGCTGAACATAGTTGTTACAGTGTCTCTTTTCAACAACACAAAGTCAACTGACAAAGACTGTTATTCAACCATGGAGGAGTTGCTGTTTTACCCATGTCATAAAAAATGCAACAAAAATACTGTAGATCTTTATATTTGGGTAAGATCCTGAAAAGCTACAATTTTGCTCCCCCAAGAACCCCTGAACACCCAGAATTCATTGACAAAAAAACTGTTTTGTAACCTTGCAGACCGTAGGAGTTGCTGTTTGGCCCTCACCATAAATTACTGGTACAGAAACAGATCATTTTGTTGAGGTAAGATCATCCGTTGCAGCTTAAAAACAGGTGTTACACTGCATCCTTTAAAGAATACAGACTCTGTTTATAAAGACTTTGATTTCACCTTTCAAAAAATAGGAGTTGCTGTTCTACCCACTTCACAAAGAATTGCGACAGAGCCAGATGCTCATGTTGATAGGATACCACACAGCTCTGCAACACTGTTCCCTCTAAAACCACCAAACACCTAGATAGAAACTGTGGTGTTGCCTTGAAGAAAATGGGAGTTGCTGTTCTACCTTTTCTTAATTTATTCAATAAGTAGACAGACACTTTTTCAGGATCTTTCTGTTTTTGAGGGTAGACACAAACAGCACTTTATGCTATCTCAAACCAACTACCCATTCAAGGTAAAAGTGATAGACCAGCAATTCCCACAGGTGCTACGTAACAATGGCTGTATTGTAAACAGAGTCTGGTTTCTTTTAAGAAAGCAACGTAAGAGCCTTTTCCAGTTCAAAAACGATCTCCAAAAAAAAACAACAACAATTTTTTAGCTGTCTTCTGAGGCAATCTTTTGGACCAATTTTAGAAATTGGTCAAGGAGTAATTTAAGCCTAAAAAAGAGCCCAGAACTCCCCTGTTAGCCTCCAAAGTCCTATAAAGGAAATCTCAAAGCACTCTTACTGCAGATCCTTTTGTAAATACTTCAGCAATTACAGCGAGACAGTGAAGACATTCAAACAAGAGCCATTAAGGCAGCTCCTTTTCAACATGGCTCTTAGCTTGAGCAGCATAATTAGCCACACAGAATATAACACATTAACAGGAAACACTGGCACAAATGGTCCATGTATAACTGGCATCCCTGCCTGGGATTTGACACTGGCATCTTCAGTGGTGGCAGAAATCCTTTCCCCGACCCCCCACCTCCTTCATCAGGCCGTCTGAATGGTCAGAGCGATGACTGTTGTGTGTCTGTGGGTGGCACAGACACAGAGGACCAGTCTTCCACCCCCTCGGCAGAATAGCGCTTCAGTTGTGGGCCCCTCCGTTCACCACTGTAACATTTGCATTTTGTCCTCAATGGGCGCTCTATCCTCAGGCCTGCTGGAGACAGAGAGCTGCTGCCTATAGACTGCAACCGGCAGAGGAGCCGTAAATGTCCTCGTAAAGGCGACTGGAAACCCTGTTACCTCACACCCCTGTGGCTGCATCCACCATTAATAGGGAGCCCTGCGCCTTGAGCGCCTTGAGATAAGACATTGCTTTCCTTTTCCCTCATCCACACTTCAAACTGAGAGACAATATTGATGAATCATGGAGATCTGGAATGGGGTGTGCATGCCTCTCTGCATTAAGCCCGGCTTTACATGTCAGAGTCCTCATGAAGTCTCTTTGATGCAAGCACGGCGCTCAGAGACGTGATCGATGAGGCTGTGAATGGCAGTATCGGCAGAAAACAATCAAGGAATTACAATCAGGGTGGGAGATCACGGATTAGGAGTTACGGGGTCAGCAGGAAACAGATTGTATTGTGACAGCTGGGTGCATCATAGAGGCTTCGGAGACAGCGGCACAATGATTTCTGATCCGTGCCTCTGTGTTTTGCTGTCGTTTACAGCAATTTGGTCTGCCCTCGGTGTTGCAGCGAGCGTTAAATTGTAGTCTGAGTGAAAATTTGCAACGAGAACAAACCCATTTGGAAAGGATGCGGGAAAGTTGCGAGATTGGCTCACGTCTGTCGGAGAGATTTCAACGGCCAATCAAAGCGTGGAAAAGTCAGCAAGACCGGTGAGTTCGCGAACGGACTCAAAACGGAAACATTAAAGCTCCTGTAAAGGATTTTAAACTGGTTTTGAAATTACCAGTGATGCAACAAACTCATTAGCAGCTACACTGACTGTTGATGTGTTATCTTTAACTGCTCTGGAGACGCTGTGAGAAGAGAAGAGTAATCCAAGATGATTGACGGTGTGCTGACAGTAAAGCTTTTTCCGCACTTATCTGCAAAAAAAAAAAACTGCACCTTAGCCAAGAGAGAAACACCCACTTCTGCAGCCAGTCAGGTTGTATTAATAAGGAATTGGCTGGTACACTAAATTTTTGGCCGCTTAACTCTGTAGAAAAACTGTAACAAAGTCTCTCCCCGCCTTTTATCCGTTTGTCCTTCTCAGCGGGAAAGGAGGAGGGCCGCAGTGAGAAACTGACACTAATTTTCCTGACATGAAGCCTGTGATATGTGTAATCCCCTTAGAGCATAGCTGAAGAACCTGTTGTATCTCGCTGACCAGCTCAGGCTGAGGGGGTGCAGAGGGGCTCGTTTTTCCTCCTCTTTCTACATTTTCTCAAAATCGCTTCCTCCTCAAGTGTCTCATCCTCTCTGTTTGTCGGAATTCGCAGCCTGACGTTGATGCTTTGTCATTTCGAATTGCCGAGAAAATACGCACACAGCTCGTGCTCATCCTTTGGCTGGGTGTTTTGTTTACAGATTTCGTGGCTATAAATACACAAATAAAATCACTTCTTGGCTTGCAAATCGCAACTGGAACTGATCCGGGAATGACTGCTTCCAGGAAGTTATGCCTCATCTCCACATTTTCCCGACAAAACACAAAAAGTTGTTTTTTCTCTTCACGCGCATTTCAGACGTTTTCACCTGAACCAAAAATTTGCTGCACAATTTGACTTTCTTCGAATCAATGAATGAATCAGCCAACTAATTCTTTATAATGTTTGCTTTTCCTTTGCCTAAAAGTGTCTTTTTTAGCGGCTCTAACTGCTGGTTTTGGATCAGCTTTTAACCATTTACAAGAAATCCTCCTCTGTGAAAGCCCCTGGCTATAAGACACCTAGAGTGGTCACGAGGCTGCAAAGAGAGGAGCAGTGATCCCACTATCACAGAGAGAGTGGAGGCTGTGGATGCACATGGACAGGGCGTCCCTTCATCCTCACACAGAGAAAGCTTCCTCTGACGGATCCTGTGTTTGTTTTTTGGTGCTCTAATGGATCCGTTTGGACTAATGGATCGTTTGAAGCACTAAGGCTGCAGGACATGAGGAAACACCAAAAATCCATTATGAAATGAAAGCCAGAGGCTTTTTTTGTGCGGTATTAGAGAGCAAAAATCAGTGGTAAACATTTAGTAAGACAAAGAGATTCAAACAGGGTTCCTTCACACCTTTAGAAAAGGTATTCTTTAAGTCTATACCAAATGGTAACTAACTAACTAACTAACTAACACTGTAAAATGTCGATAAGACTAGGGCTGTCCCGATATTATATTGATATCGGATATCGGTCCGATTATCAGCCTAAAAACAAATATTAGATTATATCGGCCTGCATCTAAAATCTCCTAAATAACCACTCCGATACAAGCAGTCCATTCCAGACTTTACACCGGCACTTATAGCTAGCAGCGTCCGGATCTAGCATGCATAGCCCACTTGATCACAACAACAGTGTGTATTAAGGTATTGCAAAGTAGCAAGGAGTAAGAGTGATGTCGACTGCGTGGTAGTATTTTCGTGAAAGTCCGAAAAAGACACTGCTGAGTGCAAAACTTGTCATGCACAAATTTGTGCCAATATCTGATCAGTATCGGTTTAAACTCTGTATTTTATTGTAAATGGAGCAAAGCCAAGATGTAAAATGTTAAAAATGACAATCTCCATTCCCTCGGGTAGCATTGGATGAAAAACTGACTGGACTCTGTAGTGGAAATCACTGCACTGGTTCAAAATCACTTTAAAAAACTAGTGTCTGTGAACACATTTTGTTGGTGCATTAATAAAAGCAATTTAAGACCGAGCCATGCAAAGAGGAAACAAGATATAACATGATCCTGAACAACTGGCAGCAAACTGCTGAGCAGCTGAAATCCTACGTCAGGCAAGAATGATCAAATAAAAGGTGTCATGAAAATGTAATCTGACTAGTCCAAGAAAACTACACCTTATATAAGACACAGTAAAATAGATGTAACAACAAGTATTTTGTTGGTGAAAAGATTTTTTTTTTTAAATCTTTGAGTTAAAAATAAGTTTTTGTGGTAAGATTTTTTCTTTTTTTTCCGTTCCTTGTCTTTATCTGTTTTTATGTGTTTAGTTTAATTTGTATTTGTTTCTCCTTGATGTTCAACTGTTTTTTTTATTTATTTATTTAAAAAAAAATTCTTATGTGGAGTTTGTGCCCTGTTATTATGATTTAATTCAATTAACAAATAACTAAATACAGAGGTTCTCAAGTCCTCAAGGCCCACTGTCCTGCATGTTTTGGCTGTTTCCCTGCTCCAACACACCTGATTCAAATGATCAGCTCGTTATCAAGCTCTGGAATGGCTTACTAACGAGCTGATCATTTGAATCAGGTGTGTTGGAGCAGGGAGACATCTAAAACATGCAGGACAGTGGGCCTCAAGGAATGGACTTGAGAACCACTGACTTAATAAATCAATAAAAACGATTTTTCGAGGCATCCTATAGCCTTCCATTTAAATTATACTTTATAGGAATCCAAAGGACACCTGTGGAAAGCTAAAAATGGGGAGCACTCTGGCTCCAAAGTCATTTTCTCTCTGATTATGTTGTGATCAGGTACATTTATTCTGGCTATTACACCACAGGATAATTAGCGCTAATGTGAGTGAATGCAAACAAGCCTATTCCCTTGCCGCAAAGGACAGAGACCAGGTAATTTAGAAACAATAGTCCGCTTTCTTTTCTTTTTTTTCACGTCCGACACACACACATACCCACAGCGTAAGTCTGTTGTCTCAGCAGTAATTAAGTGCCTTTGTTTCACCAGCTGTAATCCCACAGATGGAGGAGTGGTACTGCTGCTGACACGCCGGAGATTATCCGAGGAGGAGAGCTCAGAAGAGATGCACACGGGGGAGAGTGGGATGAGGCTGCTCCTATAGTAAACAATCCCACCTCCTTATGAGATACAGTCATAAAGCTAGTCTCTCAGGATCATGCGTCCACACCCAAGTATACGGGCGACTCGTGGCATTGGTTTGTCTCTTGAAACCACACTACTGCATTTTTAAATCAAAGTAGGGATGGTTGTACGGATCTGACTCAGCAGCTTGTTAGCATGCGCAAAGTTTCAGCTCACTATTAAGTCTCTCAAAAGGAACCAAGCAACAAGCGAAGGTGACGTTGACGAAAATATTCCGTCAACGTCATCATCAACGAAAACAACACTGCAGAAATTATGTTTAGCGTTTGACGAAATGCTGATGAATTTTGCAACTCTGTTCGTCATCCACCAATAACGTTTGTCTAGTCTCGTCTCGTCAACGTAAACGCACGTTCGTCTCGTCACATTTTAGTCTTCTAAGACTTGTGTTTAGCTCGGAAAAAAGGGGTTTCGTCAATGAAAACAACACTGTAATCTCTCCAAACCTGATGAATGTGAATCTGCTCACCTCAGCGTTTTCACAAGTTTCAACATCTTGGAGTGTTTGTTTTGGACAGGAGGGACCACCATGGCTTATTTAGGCTCCCCTACAGAAGCTAAAAAGTTATTTTAAGGATTGGTGCGGAAGATTGCAGCCTCATCTGCTACTTTTTGGGCATGTATCGTGTTGTTACACTTTAACAGGGGAGAGCCTTGAAGTAAATCCGTGGTTTTCTTCATCTGAAGGGAAAGAAAGACTGAAAGGAGAAACTGTACAGATGAAATTAAAGATTTATTCTTCTTTGCAAGATCCTCAATAAGGGAGCTATGACAACGGTAGAACAGTCTCGAGAGCCAACCTTAGATAACCACAAACATTGTTTTCTTCGTGCACCTGTGTTCGCTGTAGGGTATGTACACCTTTAAGAGCCGTGATCTGCACATAGAGGTTATGAAACAAGTTTTTTTTTTTATCTGAAGGGACTCAACAAAGGAGCTGTTATATAGCGGCGCAGAGGAAATAAAGGCACAGGCAGTTTAAAAGTAGGAGCCGCAAATGAAGATTATCAGGAAGGTGATGGTCGGCTGCAGTGTGAGGCACCTGCAGAGTCCAGGCTCCCTGCTGCTAATCCAGCAGGAGGCTTGAGTTAATCTGATCATCTGTGACCTGCTGAGACATGAAACCCACCCTCCAGATCTCCTCTAATCTGCACACAGACACACACATGCATAAACGCGAGCATGTAGCTGACAGGTACACACATTAAAAACACACCCTGCTTTCCCGCATGTACACACTTCTGCAAATACACACCCTCCAGAGAGGCTCAGCTATGACAATAGCACCTCTCAGTCTGATGAGAGGTGAGTCACAGCGAAAAGACCATGGCTTTAGCCTGCTGTCAAATCCCTGTGCGGGGAAGACGGATCTCCACCACTTTGCATTAAAATGACAGCCATCCTATAGACAACCACAGCTTGATTTCAGAGAAATAGGTTACGTGTTGATGCCCTAGTTTGAGAGAAACTGTGTCACAGTCTCCAGAGAAAACAGCAGCAAGCCAGTCAGACAGATTTTAACTCCCTAATTTTACTTTTGTTAACAGATACCTCGATTTCAATCACTCCCCCGGCGATCAAAGCCGCCTCTACTCTGCGCCGCTCTAAAAATAACACTTCACATGCTAACGAAGAAATTAAACAAACAATGAGAGAAAATAAAGAAGTCTACATCTTCCTTCCCGGCTGACACAATCGACCGCGTGTCAGAGCGTGTTGAGGAGTTGTGTAAATCCATAAAACAGATAAAGGCGGATAATGAGATGGAAGGGAGAGAACAGATCTATTCATCAAAGCCTCTTTCTAACACACTCAGCAGATAGGGGCAGAAACGTTGTGTGGCTGCTTACTCTCCAGTTTGGAGATTAAAGTGCTGGATGCTGACAAAAAAAAAGTTGAGAGGTATGTGCTTGAGATTTAAACTACAGAGGAACACGCTCACATTCAAGTCAGAAATCTTATCGTGTTTTTGAACATCGTCACCAGGACAAAAACGCCTCACAGTTATTTCTGTCCCTGAGATGGCGAGACCAATCATTCTGACTGTTTCTCTGACGAATAATATCAACGATACAATGACTAACACATCACTCAGATTGACGTCAATGCATGATTAGCATAATTAGCTGTTTTTCACAGCCTGAGCCCTGCTGGCAGGGAATAAACAAAGATATTAAGATTGCATTTACTGATAAACATGTTGATATCTGTGCAACAACAAATAGACAAACAACATACTGACAAATATTTCCTGGTGAATTTAGGACTTTTTGAGGGTTTTTTTAAGTTTTAAAGATGATTATTTCACTAGCGTAACGTAAAAATGTAAAATGACAGTAAAAAAAGATTTACAGGCTTTAAAAAAAAAACTTCCTTCAAACTTTTTTCATTTACAAAAAAATGCTCGACAGTCTAGCTGGATAGTAAGGGTGGGAGAAAAAATCAATACAGCATAGTATTGCGATATTTTGTCAAGTGATGTATCGTATCGTCTCATTTACCAAGTATCGATTTTTTTTAAATTGTTAATATAAAGTCAAATCTAAGATAATGGGAAAATAAGAACAACTGTTTGTCCAGTGACGTTGGCAGAGGTGACATCACAGAGCAGGAGAAAGTGCAACAAATACAGCAGTAGGGCTGGGTGATAAACCGAAATTTAACCGATACTGAAATTAACGACAATAACCAATGTCATTTTGCCCATGTTGGTATATTCAGTGTTGAAAAAATAAATAAATAAAAGTCGGTTTTGGATGTGTGTAGGTAGGCTATGGTTTCATGTCCTAAGACGCTGTCCTACGTCAGAGACATGACTATACAAAGAGGGAAAGACAGGTGAGGAGATGGAGGATGGTTCAAAAGTCGTAGACAAAGAAGTAGACGAAGCTAATGTGGGAGAGGGTGAGCAGCTTGTGGAGTAGTTATCGTCCATTTATCATCATTGAGGTGAACTGCTCAATATATCGTGATATTGATTTGAGGCCATATCGCCCAGCCCTATATAACAGCAGTGTTGTTTTCGTTGACGATTACATTGACATTTTAGTCTTATGTTTAGCTAATCAACGTCACGTCTTCATCATGGAAAAAAATTAGATGGACCTGACATGTAAGGTTTGCAAGATGTGCTACATGACAATAAAATACAGCGTAATTAAGACAAACGTAAAGGACAGCAAAATGCTAAATTAGCTAAACAGTTGAAAAAAAGGTATAAATGGCAATAATATCGTATTGTGGCCCAAGTATCGTGATAATATTGTATCGTGGGACTATTGGTGATTCCCACCCCTACTGGATAATATTAAACCTCAATGAATGTGTCAGCAAAGCCACAAACAAGCATCTGCATCTTTCTCATGGTGCTTCCTCCAAAAGCAACAAAACACGCAGTAACCAAACTACACTGAACAAGAGGCGATCCTCTCTGGGTGCTCCTCACTCTCTGAAAAATGTCCTCAGACAGATCTGTGTTCAATCTTCAGCCAAAGGGGACTGAGGTACAGCATCCTCTGGAACATCATGTTGTTTGTTGGTTGTGGTGATGAGGTCTCAGAGGATGCTGTTCCCCCGGGCTCAGAGGATTCTATCCCCACCGTGAGATGAAGAAAACAGCGTCCACGAGGGAAACTTGAGGAAAGTGTGCGTGAGAGAGGGGCTGAATGAGACTTCTGTTTGGTTTAAGTAATATGCGCTCTTGGGTAAAAAGAGAAGGGATCAATAAACCGGGATAAGGTGACTCAACCGCCTGAGAGCTGCACATCGAGTTTTATCTGAAAATTGTTGGATGCAGGTAAACATATTGATCGCTCTATTCGCCCATGTCATCACCTTGCTCTTTTTCTGGGTAAAAATAGAGTTGGTGAGGAGCTGAGTGGAGTTACAGAGTAGTTCTTAAAGGCAACATCTGGTTATTTATCTACCATGAAAAGAGAGAAACCGCTTCCACTCGTACTGTGTGTTCCTGAGCCGTGTGGTCATTAAACCTGTGTTGTTGTAATGCTCTGCCACAGAAAATATACTGCCAATCCCCCCTGTTGGTGTCACTTCTATTCCTTCTCGTCCCCCGCCTTCATTCCCTCACCCACCATGGGTTCAGCGTACTCTGTGACGGTGTGCGCTGCCAATTAGTGTCCTCCACCTGTCGCTGTGGGTCACTGGTGCAGGCATCTGCTGGGTGTGAAATTGGCCGTCTCACTTTCGTCCATGAACTTTGCATGGTCAACCCCCCTCCGTCTACCCAACACACACACATGTACACAAACACACGCATACGCAAAGGCAGAGGTATGCTGTCGCGACCTAAAGCTGACCTTTATGGTATGGCCACCCTGTGTGGTACAGCCCAGAGGGAAGGGTGTGATACAAGTAATACCCCGGCTCTGAGTGGGTATTAAAAACGATCTCCGCAGGAATAGTACGCATTACCGAGCATGTTTGGAGGTTCCGAAGTATGTCCAAAAGTTCAGACAGCTTACTCTTTCGAACGTCACAACTGACCCTAATCTGAGGCCTGCCTACACGTACGCATATTTTCAGAGACGTGGTTATTTCTCTGCATTTTTAACCTCATGTCCTGGAAACACTTCTGAAAGTGTGGATAAAGGATTGCCCAGTGTCGCAGGTTCATTTTTTTTCCCATTTTCGCATCCATCTGATGCCCTCCTTAATGTGCTGTGACAGGTTTCTAAATGAGAAAATACCTACACCTTGGATCCTGATCGAATATCTGCAGATCCAAATGTCTTGGCACAACTTTCTCTCAGTTTTGTTTTTCAGGAGCGGATGATTTCAGAGTTTTCTTTCGTCAGTGAGTTAAAAACTGCACAATCATCCTTACGGTTCAATGACTCGGTATTTTACACTGCGACTTTTTGCAATGGATGCAAAAATAAATGGACTCAGTGTGCAAGGTTTTTGTGCATGACTTTTCTATTGGATCAATGACCTGAAAAACACGGACTCAGCATCCAAAGACCTTTTCTCTGTTCTGGTTGTGTCTCTTGTGGACAGTAAAAACATCCAAGAAAAAAACATGCAGAGGTTATTAAAATAAGTATTTTTAATTAGTGAAAATGCAGAAACAGCAATGGCATAGAGGTGATTTCCTGAGGGCTAACTAGAGAGTTGTTGCAGATGCATGATCTGATCACCCAAGAGGCATGTTAGAACCAGGATTTAAAGACTGCTGAGACTCTAACTGCACTCTGCTGCAGTTTTGTTTGGCTTTGACGACTTTTAGTTGTTTCTTTCTCTTTGTTTCAACCTCCCAGGCACTCTCTGAGGTGTTGATGTTAAGTGGTCATATTGGCACAAGTGACAAAGTGACTTTAATTTTGCTAGTTTTGCGCAGCACCGTCTCTGTTTAACAACCCTGTTAACAAATCCAAAAATTTTCCCTATTATTTGTGCAAAATGTTCAGTGTAAACTTTCACACCATGTTCCTGTTCGCTAGCATCCATGCTAGTCAATCAGCACTGCGCTCTAGATAACAAATATGCTGGCACACGTGACAAAGTGACTTTAATTTTGCTAGTTTTGCACAGCACCGTCTCTGTTTAACAACCCTGTAAACAAATCCAAAAATTTTCTCTATTTTTTAGTGCAAAATGTTCAGTGTAAGCTTGCTCGCCTTGTTCCTCTTAGCGAGCATCCATGCTGGTCACTCTGCACTGCGCTCTAGATAAAAAACATGCTGTGCACACGTAACAAAGTGACTTAGATTTTGCAAGTTTTGCACAGCACTGTCTCTGTTTAACAACCAATGAACCAAATCCAAAAATTTTCCCTATTTTTTGTGCAAAATGTTCAGTGTAAGCTTGCTCACCTTGTTCCTCTTAGCGAGCATCCATTCTGGTCACTCTGCACTGTGTTATTTGGCATAACCCAACAGACTCCAAACAGCTATGGACACATGCATACTCTTTTATTCTACTTCCACAATGCAGCTTTTTTTGCAGTCATATAATAATACAATATCATAATTAATTAAATGTCTTATATGAGATATGTTAAGTACTGTTGGCTAACGTTTAGGGAGGCACTGGCTGCATGTAGAAATCACAACAAATTGGTCCTGTTTGAAGAATTAAAATTAAAATAAGTCCTAGATTTTGAAGAAAAGATACAGTTTTATTGTTGTGGGGATTTCATCCAAGCTTATCGGAACAATCTATGCATCTTTGACGCACCATGATGGCTGCAGAAGAACCATCTGAATAAACGAGGGTGTATTGACAGGAAAGTATTTGCAACAATCCCTCCACTCTCTAGCTATACAGCTGTAAGTCGTCTATTCACTAACTGAAAAGTCATTTTCACCAACACTTTCATCCTAGCGAGCTCCATCAAATTACACCAATTTGGAGCCTCTGCCTCCGCTGTAGCCTATTAAGCCGCATGTTTCTCAGGAGTTGGATCAGCGTTGAATAAATTGTCGGCTGTAACCTCGTGGCACTGACTACTGCAGTTGGATTGTTTCTGATTTATCAGCCATTTTGAACCACAAAGAGGCTCACTTTTATTGTTTCATCACTCTGATTCAATGCTTATCCCCTATCTAATGAGGTAGGCGATTAGAGAGTAAGCCCGCAGGAGGAAAACACCAGCGTTTTAAGAAGTGGCGTCAAGAAGGCAGACTTCATTCGGTTCATCAGTACCTGCAGCGCGGCAGAGAGCACAGGGAGCCCTTTAACAGAAATTACAGCAGACTCCTCTGTGCTGTACAGTCCATCACTCACTGCCACTCGCAAGGTCTGAATAGGAAATGAGTCAGAACAAGAACACTTCTAGGAAAAGGGAATGGGTTCACACAGGGCACACTCTTTTGTTACTTTAACAGGCTTTTATGAAGGTACGCCCGTGCCAATCACTCTCAGCGCAGATTTTATTTCTCACTTTATTGACGTAGAGGAGCTTTGATGCAAGACCTGAGATGTCGAGTAGCACGAATTAACTCTTAACAGCGAATGCAGCAACGTTTCTCATGCTGTTTACAAGAGAAAGGCATGTTAGGTCGCCTGTTTTTTTTTTTTTCAATTCGCCAAAATGGTCCATCTGATTTTACATGACAAGTGCAGCCCTTCACCAGAGCACATGGCACTGACTGTTGAGTACTCTGCAACTCTAAACCTGTGGTTAAATGCACGCTACACAGATACTGTCACAGATAACGAGCCCATGAAGCAGGGTTTCAGTTACATGAGGCAGCTTTAAGGTGAGGGTCTTCTACTTATCAGCTACACCTTAGGCTCCTGCTGCCAAACACCCAAAAAGATACACTCATGAGGGCAAATGTAATAAGGTTAACACAGAAAATCAATAACCTGATTATCTCAATTACATGTAGTGAAATCTGAGCATAGTGCTAGTTCAGGCAGACTATAAAGTGAAGTTCACCTTATGGTACATGAGCTGATTTTAACCCCAGCCAATATTAGCTGACAGCTCAGATTACATTCTACGCACCTCACCCTCTAATTGGTAAACACAGGAAAGGCTACGTTCTTCCTGCCTCCTTTACATGCTGTGTCTGCATTGGCTTTTCATATGTGCATCTGAATGAATGGATAAAATCTATTATGATATTTAGGGCAGTAAAAAATGCTTGGCTTGTGGTTTGTTAGTCTATTTGCCATAATTGTGTATAGTCAGGCGCGTCAAAATTCGCCTCCAAATATTTCGTAGTTTCGCGTCATATATTTGCGTTGTTCCTGGTGTGTAAGGACCTTAAGTCTGGTAAACATATACAGTTTTTACATTTCGTCAAATATTTTAAGGCTGTACTTCTATGTAAGGAAAATTTCTGTCGTTTATCTTGCAGGTTCTTGAATTATCTAACAGATATGGCCAAAAAAAGACATCATGATGTCACTTTATCCCTGTGTTGAGGTCCAAATATAAATGCTTCCATGTCTGCACTCACACGTCTTCACATGGGATTGGTATGTCATGCTAGACCTGCTTCACTACAGCCTGTTTGACACAGGCCGACAGTCATTTAGACAAAAAAAGCAGAGAGAAGCCATTCTGGTGCAGGGCCCCTAAAGATTGCACTTCTGTTGCCTCATTAGATGGAGCCAATTAAGAAGATCTCTGTCTCATTATAAAGGCAGACCCCTGGGAGACAGCTGGGCCTGTCTGTCTTGCTGTTTGTAGCTCTCTAGGTGTGTGTGTGTTTATGTGCATGTGTGCGAGAGCTGGGGGTGGCTGGGTGGGAATTGTGTCACATTTGAGTCTTTGTACGTTTGTGCGTTTAATAATCAGAGGAGAATTAAAAGAAGCCCGAGGGAGCAGTCAACACGTTTTCTGAGCAACGATTAATTTCTGTGTTTAATATGGGCCACTGCAAACACCATATGCTTCGGTATGGGAACATACTGCGGCTAGCGGCAGGTTTCTCTGGCTCTTCCAGGAAAATAAACACTGTAGTTATTGATTTTCCAAGCATGATATATATTTTTTAAAGAAATCATGACCAGAAAATGCTTCTCTCTCAGTATAGGAATTAGATTAGGACAACCTGAGTCTGCCTCTGATGGGTGATGATGAAAGTACATATCAATAATTAATGAGAGCAATACTAAAGGTCGAGCTCACAGCCAGCCTCCTGCCTTACTTGCCATAGATCTGCCTTCAGCTTTGCTGCAGAGGTGCTCACAGAAGCATCGACTACTGCAGCAGTCAGGGAGTTTGAGTCCAGCTGGCTTTGAAAATCACAAAATGTGAGGATGGCATTGATTCTGCAGTGCTGCCTTAAGTTGCAGGGATTTTTTTTCTCGCAGAGAGAAAAGAAAAATTGCAGAGAATCTCGTACTTCATCAGCAGCACTGTGGGCAGCACAGAGAGGGAGAGAGAAAGAGGGATGGAAAAAGAGGATGACTCAGAGGTAGTGGGTGGATTGAGACCAGGTGAGACACTGAGTACAGCAGATGGGCAGATATTCAGTGCTCAGTGTCTCCATCATGATGCAGGCGGCACATCGGGTGACAAACACCTACTATTGAAGCTGACATGAGCGACAGCAGCAACGAGCGTTTTCTGTTAGCATGGAGAAAGCATGGTTTGAGTTCGGCGAGTTTACGCTCATAAGTAGAAATCCAGTCATGATAAAGTAGGAACTAAAAAACAAAAAACTGCTTTACTCACTGAGAGCTTACATAGCCCAGAACTGTGACAGCAAGATTAGAACAGCAGCTCTGTAGCTGGACGTATGCTACATTCCAGTTACCTCGGAAGTCGGATGTCGGAGCTGGGAATGACGTTACACCCCAGTTGACGGCATTGCAGTGTACAAGTTGGAAAACCAAGATGGACGCCTACTGTTGGCCATTGTTAGCTGTTGTTAACAATTGACAGCTGTCTTTATTCGTTGTCAGTTGTTGTTAGCGGTTGTTAGCTATCCCAGTTGTAAACAATGAATAACACAGTATTTCACTCTTACAAACACCATAGCACCGTGTTTACAGTTAGACGTTGGGCAGTACAACAAATACCACTTATTTAATTTTACAAAAACAAAAAAGAAGTGCGAATAGATAATACACTGTTACTCTTTAGTGCTGATGCACTGCGCTGCCATCTTGGATTATGACAATTATGATGTCGTCAAGTCGGGGTTGGTGAGGATCGTCCGATGGCTTGTTAATTCTCATGCACGCTCATAATGACTACAGCCTCCCTCCAGCCCTCCCTCATCATGCTTATGCTGTCCTTTGGCTTTTCAGACGCAGATACATTCACAAACACTCCTGCCTCCTCCTTCTCCTCTCCCTGCTCCCCTCACTCCACTTGTAGGGCAGATGCCAATATAATGCCAATCATTGCAAAACTCCATTAATCGCCCCAATTAATGAGTCTATCTCAAGTCTCGGATATCGTTATAAGCAATCCAGAGTTTGGCTAAACAGAACTCAAAGGCTCTGACATAGCAAGACAGGAAACATGTCCACTTTGACAAAACTTTGACTTTAACACGGCTACTTTCTCTTCAAGAAATGTTTATTCAATGTTTGTAGGATATCAGATATACTTAAATTGATACAGTAGATGGATGTTTGAGAGTTTGATCACAGATGCACACATTTAGGACAAGTGAAAACATAAAAACCTCTTCAGGAAATTTTCAGCAAATTTGAAGTGAATCATGAGGCTCCGTGATGGTGAACACTGATTAAAATTCTTTCACCAACATAAAATGAAAGCTTCAGAGGTTTTTCTCATAAGTGAGCCTTTCTTCATGCAGCACTGACTTCTCAGCTGAACCTGTGTCATGAGACTTTACCAGCGTGCTGATGTGAATCCCCTCCCTCTTATCTCTCCTATCTATGGAGCTTTCTCAGATCAGCAGGACCGGGGCTGTGGGTTATAGGGGGTGAAATCACATGGATCAAATGAAATTTGGCATGGTTTGTACTAAGAGGACTGCGGGTGCGTGTGCATGAGCCCGCGTGTGAGGAGGCCAGTTAAAGGAACGGTAGCAGAGGGGGTCTCCTGGGGTTCATCAAAGCCCCGCCGCGTCCACTGCAGCCCCCCGTGTTAAGCTCAAGTCAGTGCCTCATTGTGTCTGTGTGAATGACCCCGAGGGAACACCGGCTCCTGCTGCGCTGCATGCATTCCCCTCCACATGTTTGCTCTGCCCGGGGTGTGGCCCAGTTTGAGAGGATTACACGGAGGAATGCAGCCAAGCCCATCTTTTAAAACAAGAGAGGGGAGAGAGGGGGCGTGGACGTAAAGTTCATGTTCACTGGAGCTTCCTGAAGATCCAAAAACATGCAAATGCAATGAGCCTAAGGGAGGGAGTTACAGTAAAGGCAGCCAAAGGAATATCTGAAATGAAGTGTCTGTGTCTGGCTTCTGTCTGGGCTGGTTGTTATGGGGCAACACATTAACTTAAGGCCACTTTTAACAGTCTTTAATGATTGCTAATGTTGCTCTGCTTCCCTGCCTGTCGAAACCTGTCAATGACACTGAACTGTATATTTTTCACCTTAGTTTCATCACTACCTCCACCCTTGAATCTACTGGCTGTTTTGATACTGAAAAAGAAATATGATCAAACTAACCCGGGCCCGTTTTGAACACTGGCTCTCGATGGTGGTGTCTCCTCCTACCAATCAGATCAAAACTAATTCGTTTAGTAATACACAAACACAACTCACCCACTCTCCTCCAGCAGCTGCTTGTTTGTGGAGGAGCCCTGATGAATCGATCACCGAGTGCAGCTGATCATTTTCTTAAAGTAATCATCATCATAATAATCATTTTGCACTGCAGACACAGTAGTTCTTCTGCCTTAGTGTCTCGGTCTGATTGCATTTCAATGGAGTAATAATCAAAATTTTTCCTCCTTGAGCTGCGAAACTCCACTGCACCCGGTGATTGACTCGTCAGGGCTTCCCCCACAAACAAGCAGCTGCTGGAGGAGAGTGGGTGAGTTGTGTTTGGTCTCTTTGCTAAAGAAATTAGGCAAAACTAAAAAGATGTTTGATGGCTAGTACTATAGGTGCTGTTTTGAGCATTATTTGTGGTTATAGAGTGGCTTTTTGGTTGAGGTTTGCACGTGGAGACGTAGACCTCTGTGTATTGCTACGGTGCGGTCATCTGTGAAGTTGGTATAACTAGAGAAGCAAGCAGTCTGCAACATTCATCTCTCCAGGGAGTGTCTAACTAAGTGGTACAGTGTGTTTGACACTAACTTAATTTTATGTCGGAATATCTCTTTAAGACCAAGAAACCTGCAAAAATATAGAGGTGCATGCTGGCATAAAGTACACAAATTACCCTTTAATTCCTTCAAAAACCACTCAAGCCTTTTTAAGCAGAGTCTGATCAAGCCGTTCTTACCAAGTAAGAAAAACCAGGGCGCCTCAGCCTCAGGGGAGACTGCAGCAAGCCTGTGACACAAATTAGAGAACACCCCCAACACCTGAAAGTAGCTTCTATTGTTTCACCTGCTTCACCACTTTCCCTTTTTGAAAATGCAACTGGAAGAAACATGAGAGCGTCAGGATGCGGCAGACTTTCAGCTTAGACCTTTCAGGGTATTGATGACCAGCCAGGCGTAGAGGTCACCCGGTAAAAACCTGACAGGTATGAGGAACATGAGGGGGAGGGAATCTTATAAGCTGTGCATATGCTGGACAAACCTTGACTTACATGTCTAAAATCTGTAGAGTGTTAAATGAGATCTCTGCAGACCAGAAAAAGCAGGTTTTTCACTGACATCTTATTGAGCTGCTTCTTGTGTGCTCGCCTTAAATCCTGCCTACATGTGTTGTATCTTATTTGTGCACTGACAGGCAGTCAAAAACACAAAATAAAACTTGTGCTCTTGACAAGAACAGTATTTCACCGCAGAGGAGAGAAATAAAACCCTTTATAGAGAGAAAACAGAGACATACGCATCAACAAAAGGCTACTGTCAGAGCCAGAGCCAACGTGACATCATCACATGACCGCTGTGATTGCATTTGCTCCATTAACGTAGGTATTCTTGCCCATTTCCAACAGCCGCCCCCTCCTCCGCTCATCCCAGCCATCACCGCTCTGCCATGGTTTCCATGGTCACAGAGCAACAAGTATCAAAGCGCTTCAAGGAAATGGCTTCAACCAGGATGAATCATTTGTGACGCTACGGGAGACTCAGCGCTGCCTTTATTGATTATTTATCACAAACTGGAGTGAATGATGGCGAAGTTGTAAGGGGGAGGGTTCAATCTGTCTCAATGGAAACAATTTCAGCTTTCTCTCCTGTCTGATTGATTTTACTTTGCGGCGAAAAATGGGCCACCAGCAGGACTAATGATGAAGTATTACCCATAAGGCATTTGTTTTAGCAGGCAGTAGTAGCCGACAGAGGATGAGCACAGGGTCAGAAATTACATCAGCTGATCGTAACGCAAGTGACGACTCAGCTGATAACCTTCAACACATTCAACTGGCAAATGTCAAAACAGGCTTTCTGTTTAACCTGCCTCCTCCCGTCTGCTTTTTTTACACGGTGTCTGATTTTATCTGTCATCTACAGTGTCACAGACAACTGCTCTGTTCTGAACCCTCTTTGCTGCTGCTCTCCCTACATTGGCTTTTCATTTTCAAAACAGGCTTTCTGTTTAACCTGCTTTAACCTGCCTCCTCCCGTCTGCTATTTTTTACGCTGTGTCTGATTTAAACTGTCATCTACATGGTTACAGGCACCTGCTCTGTTCTGAACTCTGAGGGTCTTTGCTGCTGCTCTCCCTGCTTTGGCTTTTCATGTTCAAAACAAGCTTTCCGTTTAACCTGCTTTAACCTGCCTCCTCCCGTCTGCTCTTTTTTAACACGGTGTCTGATTTTATCTGTCATCTACATTGTCACAGACAACTGCTCTGTTCTGAACCCTCTTTGCTGCTGCTCTCCCTGCTTTGGCTTTTCATCTTTGCGCATAAAAATGAGGGGAAAACGCACCCCATATAGGAGGGAGGGTAGCCCAGGTTTGGTGGCACTTTTCTCCACCAGCTCTCTCCCCAAAGTTCCCTGCTTCATTTATTGTCATATCTAGTAAAAGAGGAGCTGGAAACCTCAGAACAAATCTTTTAACAAATGTTCCCAGGTCACCCAAGTCTGGAGTGTGCTTGAAAATACTAGTGCTCACACTGAAACTGAAGATTGTGTCTGCGCTGGATGAAAAAGAAGAGAGATTAACTTTCTGAGAGGCTCCACAGCCACGTTTCCCTTTTGTTAAGGTCACCACTGTCACCATATCTCAGCGGGGAAGAATGATACCCAATAGCACTCATGTATCTTCCTACCAGACGAGCAAAGTTATATCATGCCTATCTACCAAATGTGAATAAAGTGTCAGCTGAACAAGGATGAAGCAGCATGTCCTATTTTCAGAGATGACAAATGTAGCATAGAGAGTCGATTTCCAAAGCCTACTACACTGTAGAGCAAGAGGACAGAAAAATAATCCCCCAGACATTACTGTAAAGAACTGCTGAGAGCAGCGTAGTGGAGTCAGGATGCTGCTGCTGCATGGTTTATGTTTGAGGAGCAAACCAAGCAAGAATGACTCCTCTTCAACGCCCTGTACATGCAAAGCACGTAGCCAACAGAAAAATGCAACATCAGGTCTTTTGGGTCTGTGAGAGCTGAACCTTTACGGGTGCTCCATAAAGATTCTCCATCAAATACGCCATCAAACTTCAAGCTACTTCAACATTCAAGAGTGGGGGTATGCATCACTTGCGTCTGCTGTCTAAGCCCTCTCAAGATCTAGTTCTCAAAGCATATTGCATTATGATATTTGGGTGTAAACAAAGCCATGAAGCTCTGGAGATCTATGAAGGTAGCTCTAGTTTTGCGTCTTGATTCAGGCCCCGTTTATGAGAACCAAGTGGTTTCTATAAACTGAGACATTAACCATCGTTTGCACCCTCTGTTTAGACGCAAACGGAGAATTCGCCCCTGAAAACGATGCTTTTTAACAACTCCGGCCAGAATGGCGATTTTGGAAAACTCCATCTGCACATTTGCGTGTAAACTGAGAAAAACTAAGATTTGGGTAGCCAATGGCAGATTGTGCGGAAACTGGGTTAAATGCAACGTTGTTTACAATCTACAGTCTATGTTTACAATCTTTGGTGATCATGGATGCATACAGATTAGCAGTTGCATTTATGCTAGAGCAAATCCTACAAATACTGTACTACGTGGAGGAGTAGAGATGAGATGTGGGACTCTGATTGGCTAGCTTGGGCTTGAGCTTCTAACTACACTGCCATCTACAGGTTTGGCATGCTCTTGACGGCATATATACATGGGTTAGTGTAAACGAAAATTTCTCTGAAAACGTAGTTTTTGATTTTTTTTGTAAATGGAGAGGGTGAAATGTCCGTTTGTAAACGTAGTCTCAATCTGTTAGCATCTCCATTCTTTGCTGCACAGAGCTGCGCTGAACACTCTCTCGCTCATCCTTCTGACCCTCAAATCTGTCCATATTTACACACAGCTGTGGCAGACACACGGTGCAATTTGGTGTTTGTGTTAAATTAGTGTTTGCAGACCTAAACTACAGGCTAGATTCAAGGTGTAAAGCCAGTTATTAAGCTATTCAAGCACATACCCAGTATGTTATATAAAACTGAGAAGAATAGCGGAGAGAACAAAGCCTAATACTCAGTAAAATTACACGAGGCTCTTTTCTGTCCCTCTAACCAAGAGGAATGAGGGCAACCTTTCTGACTAGTCTCGCTGCATTGTGTTTCAAACTAATGACGGCTTTTAAAAACTGTGAGTTTGTGGGCTGAAGAGACACCTATCATTATCTAAAAGTACATCTTTTAAATGCCATGCAACCCAAACATACGGAAAATCATAGAAAGAGGAAAACTGACTGTACAGTTTTTGTAAGAGATGCACAGAAGTGTCTGAGGTGCGGAGAAAGAAATCTTTCACTCTGAAAATAAGCTGCCAAATTTGATATCTGGCTTCTGCCGAGTTTGACAGGAAGTAGCTCTATTGTCATCACCGGAGTGTGTCTACCTACTCAGTCAGAAAACAACAACCGTTACACTCAAATTCTCCACAGAGCTGGCATGTTTGCCTGACAAGTGCAACAACAGACTCACACCTCCTACTCCACTCCTCTCCTGAGCAGTACCTCTCACATGTTTATGAAAAGGACCCTTCTGATCAGCAGCCAGGTTACGGCTGGCAGCACACAACCCTGGCAGTGATAACCCTATCAGATGAGAAGACCCAGCAAGACGATACGGGCGTAATGGGGTGGGAATCAGCCTGCCGTGGAGCCAAGCACATTTCCTAATGCAAAATAAAGCGTTCATTCTCTCAGCTGTCACGAGGAGTCTTTGGGAGAGAGGGGGCGAGATGGAGTTAAAAGTACAGAGGATCCTGTATTCGAGATCTGTCGATGGGAAGTGTGGTGAGCAGGAGCAGAGCGGGTACAGAGGGAAAGAGTCTGCAAAACAAGACTGAACTCTGCAGACATTTTGAAATATTTCTGCAATGGGTAAAAAGTAGAAAAACACCAGATTATGGTTTTACAACTTTCCAAATAATCAATTAGAAATCAATGACTCTTCCAAATAAAACAGAGAAAATTAACTTGATACGTTCACATTAGTCCAGCGTAGGTGTTTTTCCTTTTCGATGCCAGATAATGTTTTCATGTTTCCCGAGTGTTTAATCTTGCATATGGCATGTCTTTGTTCCCTGTCTTTTACCTTAAAACTCCTGATTATTCCTTGCGGCTAATTTATCCCCATGAGGACGGTAAATATGATTTTTTTAGCTTCCCAACTCTTTGATAGGAGTTGTGACACAAACATACAAGGGGATTTTAAAGAAAAGGCCTTTCTTTTGGATGAAAACAGATGGATTTTCCACTTTACATTGACAATACTGAATTAATTTACCTGTAGTGTTGTTTAATATCATTGTCAGTGTCATGTTTGCCACGTCATGAATTTTGGAACAGTTAAAACGTGCGTTTTGGTCTTTGTGCACATATGATAGAGTTTTACTTTCTGCAACACAAAGAGCTATAGCGGAGTAACTTTTTGTGTTGTAAGTTCAAGACGAGTAAAAATGCAGCTGAATGATGAATGTAAATACTGCAAATCCCTGGTTATTGCCATTATGCCCAGTTCTGCTAAATCTCAGCTTTTCTTTGATAACAGAGACAACAGAGACACCACAGCCTACCGAAGCGGTTCCTTCAGTTTCATACAACACTTACGCAATAAAGACATCCACTAATGTCTCATACCTGGTTCTTGTGATTCATATCATATCAAATCTGTCAAACACTGATTGGATTTTTTCCCTCATGCTCTGGCAACGTGCGCTCTGCAGGTTTCACTGACAACTTACGGCACCAGGAAAGTGTTTCCAACAAGGATTGATTGACATTCAAGCAGATTAGATCTAATCATCTCAATCCAGCACCTTGATTCTGAGCTGAGACTCCGCTGTTTAATATGTGACGCTAACAGCAGCTGCGATGATGTCATGGTAAGCTTTAGTCAAGAAGCAATCTTCATAAAACATTAAACTTAACAGCAATTTTTAAGTCATAGAGTTCCCCTGAAAATTTTCCCAAAAATTAACCTGAAGATTTCCAAAAATGTACCTAAATTTTTGAATTTTTGTTTTTTATTTGTTTTTACTTCCATGTGCTGGTGTTCTGTGCTTTAGGACTGTTTGTCAAAGCATTCTGTGAATTTCTGTTTTTAAAAAGTGCTACAAAAATGAATTATTCTTTTTTTTTCCAAGAATGTACCAAAAATTTATCAAAAATGTATCTAAAAATATACTTAAAATTTTCCAAAAATATACCTAAATTTTTCCAAAAATGTGCCTAAAATTTTCCCAAAATGTACTTACATTTTAAAAGAATGTACCTAAATTTTTCTAAAAGTATAGCTAAAATTTTCCATAAATATACCTGAATTTTTCCAAAAATGTATCTAAAAATAAACTTAAAATTTTCCAAAAATATACCTAAATTTTTTGAAAAGTGTACCTAAAATTTTCCCAAAATGTACTTAAATTTCTCAAAAAATGTACCTAAATTTTTCCAAAAGTGTACCTAAAATTTTCAAAAATTATACCAAAGTTTTTCCAAAATTGTACCTAAATTTTTCCAAAAGTGTACCTAAAGTTTTCAAAATTTACCTTAAATTTTCCAAAAATGTATGTAAAATTTTCCAAAAATGTACCTGAATTTTCCCAGAGTGCATACTTGAAAAGGGCTTATTCGTGAGGACTCCTCATAAGGATGCTCAATCGGAGCCCTCGGGTTACAGGGGAAGTAAGTCCCCGCAGGTTTGCAGCTGCGCAGGTTTACTTTTCTTCTGTGTTTTAAGGTAAAGTTAATCAGATGATGCATGGATTGCCAGTAGTCTGCCTCCAGCTACTATTCGTAGAGGTAACATCATGAGAAGAGTCTAAATGAGAGGTGGCAGTTGTGTGAGGCTGAGCGCTCCGGTCATTTAGTTTCCTCAGTCAGGGATGACTGGCTGCCGCGCTCAGGGTACAGAAAATCATGTCATGTGCAGAGAGGGTCCGTGTCAGGCTTTTCCCTCGCATGCTGCGACAACAAATCGATCCCGATTGGAGTCAGCTGTTTGCCCATTAAACCATAACAGCATAACAGCTCGCAAAAACCTGGCAGCTGAGGAGGAATGTCACTCATTGAGATATTTCAGCCAGCTTTACCATGAGCTCTGTCTCAGCCAAGAAAACAGCTGATACGGACGGCTTGTAAAGGCAGCTTGTTTTTACACTGTCAAATAAATAATCCACCATGAACAACTTGTAATGAAGAGGGCTCTTACACTCTGAAAAACGATGGAGATGGATTGCGAGTGGGAAAAATGTGGAAAGCCAGCCTTACATTTCAGGAGCACAATCCAACAAAGACCCTGGAAACCTCAATTTTTACTGAATATATTTGATTTTTCAAGGAGAAGGAAAGGCACCAAAGTTATGTCAGGAAGTGCTCTCTGCATCCTGCGCATCTATCCTTCCTGTCTCTTTCGTCCTTTTGAACAACCTAAAAAAAAAAGTTTCATATGCACTCTCCACACGCTGCACTGCTGTGTGTCTGAAATGCAGCTCACTCCTTAAAAAACAGACCTCATAGTTCCAGTGTTCTGCTCTAGTTTCTTCTGCTATTTATCATTGTCAAAGCTGCTGGTTTTTTTGGGTTATTTTCCTCCCAGCTTGAAAACACGGGGCTGCTTTTAGATGCACTAATCTTATTTGCCGCATGTGGGGGCCTGTGTGAGGCGACCTTGTTATAATTGGGGAGACTTTCAGAGTCTTTAGTGCTGAGCTAATTCACCACGATTAAAAACGGCAAACTGAGCCATTAAGAGTGTATCTCAGATAACAAATATAAGAAAGGCGTCAGAGGGGTCAGGAAATTAACTGCGGGCTTTTATTTAAAGAATAAATACTTCAACATGGATTTAAAGGGGAAGTCTGCTATAAAGAATAAATACGCCAACATTGATTTAAAGGGGAAGTCTGCTATTTTTAAACTGGGCTCTATTTTTACAGGTCTTGGTGTGTACCAATAAAAGGCCCCAGGCTGCAGGAAAATGCGCCTGACCGATGTATGCAAAAAGTGCTGCTTTTTACCACTGATGGGGTCAGGTTGTTCATCAATGTCACTTAAAGGGAAATAGTGTGCTGGTCTTCAAAGGAGGTGTGGTCAAACCCGGTATGTTGCTATTTTAAAGGCACCGCAAGGGACTGCACTTGAGACCTGGTCTAAAGTCCACAACAAAACACTCTCCTGTGATCTTGGTGAGATGGTACGATGGCCAAAAAGTACAAGATATAGATTCCTCTGCTTTCTTTACTTTCTTAGTACTGGAGATGCCACTTTTTTCCAGATAGTTGGATCGCAGAGGAATTCCTTCAGTGGATTTTTTTTCTGTGTTTTTAGAGTCACAGTAGAAACACTGAAGTTAAATAAATGAACCAGCTCTAGATGCTCTATATGGTAATAAAACTAGCAACACACCTGTCTGCAGTCACACCTGGCTCTTTGAGGGAATGAGAGCTGATGCACTGATTAGTTTGAAACATGATACATCCAAAACACACCCAAGGGACTTAATCCAATCTCTTGGTACCTTACACCTCAGCACTTAGATCCTGCAGCACTTAAGGGAGAAATGGTCGGACACACTCCGATCCAGTTTGCAGACTGGGCATTTTAAATCCACAGACTTTGATCTTGCATTTGGATTAAATGATGAGACTCAGCTCAAGACTATTTAACCCACAACACCTGATAGCAGATCTGATTAGCTCAAACGATACTCATTTGGGGGTATTTAAAATGTGGAACTAGATTTTGATGAGCCCCCTCAACCTGTAAGTTCTTTTGGTCACTGCTGCAGGCGTCCTGCTGTTGTGGACCTGCTTTCCAGCTGCTTTAACTACAGACATCAGTCCCTCCATTTCTAGCTCTTAAGGTCCTTCGTGCGATTATTTCGGACGTCAATATTTTTTTTCGAACCCCGTATCCTGTCAATACAAGCGTTCACATCAGCAACGTTTTCCCGTTCTGGGATATTGCGGCATTTATTTTTGCATATCACGGTCGATTTTTCTTAAGTTTTGCATACTGTGTGTCCACTTCTGACTAATCAGATTGCGTATTGTTGCGACGTCTGATTCTTTTCGCATTGTATATTTGAGTCGTTCCCGGTGTGTAAGGACCTTTACGCTAATGTCAATTGTAAACTTTTTCTACTCTTTTTGCTTCACTTGTTTGAATTCAAACCATAAATATCATAAATATTATCACTGCTTTGACAAAACTGTAGACCTGTTGACTTAAACTAACATCAGTCAATTATAATTATCATGCTGGATCTTTGAAAGTACTACCACAACATAAATACACTTCAGACAGAGCAAGTTTTGTTATATTTGTTAAAATGGTTTTTAAAAAAACTACCATATGTGGACTTTAAGGTCTCCAATCCTTCCCCGAGTGTTGTCAAGCACTTTGAATAATGATCTGAGCCTGTCAGTGGTAAAAAAGACTGACAGCTGGATCTTTATTTTCACAATGGATGACAGGTAAGCATCTCTTTGGGAGAAGCAGCAGAGAAAATCACAGCCCTTCAAAACAAAAATGGAGAACAAGTCGGAAAAAATACACGCTAAAAATGGCACAGTCATGGAAGTAAAAAAAAAAAAAAGTTAATGTTATAAATTAATAATGCAGTACTGGTGCGATGATTGGGGTTTGTTGGAGGAGGGTTGGTGCACTCAAGTGTCCTCAGTCTTTGTTTCAGGTGCAGAGGACTTGAATGTAGTGCACTTAACCCAAAGATACTCTTGTAGCTCTATAGCCCTTCTTATGACAAGCTACTGAAAACAACAAAGCCTTTCTGAGATCGCAAGCAGTTTTGAAATCAACCAAATGCAGTCAGAATATTCTACCCTTGTCTTAAGCTCCAGAAGACGGAGGAGGAAGAGGAAGATCTTGACTTTGAACCTGCTGCCGCCACCCTCTCTTCAGATCTGTGAGAACCAAACATTACAGCGCGCTCTGACTGTTTATGATGTTTGTTGGTTTGTGTGTGACAGCTGACATGCACCCAGGAATAGAAGCCCTGGAATGACTTTAGGCGATCAGATGTTCGCTCACAAGTACGGATGATGGACAAGGCGCGGTAACACTAGACGAACTTACCGTATAAAAAAACCTAACGCGCGCACACACCTGTGGTGACAGTGAACATGACAACAGACCTCTGTGGCCTTTAGCTTCATAGGTCAGACTGCTCTGTAAGTGCAGCACAGCATGGAGGCCTGACACACAAACTCATTTAAGTGGTAAACTTACACCATGCAGATATCTAAGTGCTCATATTTTCCTTAAAACCAGTGTAGATGTTTGCAAGAGTTTTATGTTTTTCCATCAGTTTAGTTTTTCTTTCTGTTGAAAAAGAGCATGATAAAGATAAAGGAAGGAGAAAAAACGCACAGTTCCTAAAAGTACACAAACCTCACCTTTAACGAGTCAAAGCAGGCGATCACCCTCCCGTTGTCCACCTGGCAACTCTTGGGTGGGTGAGCGAATTTGCATTCCTCATCACTGCGCGAACACGTCCCTCTCTGAAACTGCCGGCACACTTCCAGGGTCAGCCATTTCGTGTCCCGTATCGAAGCGATGTTTAGAGCCATGACGGCAGCTGGGGGTGGAGTGGAGCCACTTGGTTTAAGGAGGAAGGCTATCCTCTGAAGGGAGGCCTTTTTTAGAGTGTCCCAGTTAAAAAAAATAAAAACACACAACGACTAAAACTGCGGGGACATGTAGAGGCGAATGATCTGCGTCAGGTCAGTGGATGAGGTTTGTCCTTGTGGGCAGGAAACTGGAGGTAATGGACCAACAAAGTGTCTGTGACTGGAGCATGGGAGTTTGTCAGTCTGAACTGCTAATTGTTTATCAATCAGTAAATCTCAGGTTCAAACCTCTGATGAAGCAGAGGGGTCATACCTGTCCCCAAAATGTCCGATATTTGAGTGATGAAATCTGTGCAACGTCCGGTGTTTTGGGAGCAATGGCACAGTTGAGGACAACAAAGTTTGTAGTTTTCTTTAAGTCTTCAGTACCTGCTCTAAATGAGCTTTGGCACCTTCGCCAGCAGCACAGCAGCTCCTCCCTTTCTCTTTCCCACTGAGCGCATGTGTCTGCGGCTGAGCTGTGTCCTGTCACGACTGCAGAGGAAAAAGACTGAAGCTCTGAAGAAGAGCCCCGGGATCTTCAAGTAGGGGATGCGGTCTCACAAGGCACTTTCTGACTGCGATCTGAAACAGAGAAGAGAGAGAGAGAGAGAAACAAAGAGAGTGAGGTTATTTTTGTAGTGAGAAGTGGCTCGCTGAAAGTGACTGCATACGATTTATCCAACAACCTTCAAATGCAGTTAAAGGTGTTTGTGTATGAGTGTCATCTCTAAGTGACGCTGATAGGACTCCGAAAAAGATCAAAATTCATCCACTGTTCAGTCACTTTTTCCCTTCTCTAAAAAACTGCCGTGAAAGTTGCGATCATTTGAGGTTTTTTAAATTAAAATCACAGGAACAAGGGCGATGGCAAATCAGCTACAACAGTCTTTTGTGAGTTTGTAGCCTTAAGATTTATGCGTGATATTTTCCACACAGAGTGCTCTGCATCTCTGAGTGATATCTGAAACACAAGACAGCCTCACAGAGAGACAGACAGGCACGCAGGGCAAACAAACTTGGTTGCATTCTATCTTACCATTAAAAGAAAACATAAATATGAGCACCAAGTTGAATTACTATTTTTATTTGTGAGCTTTTTTTTTTTTACTTTTTCACACACACTTGCACACACACACACACACATTTCTTCATTCTCCACTTATATCGCTTTAAAGAGTATATCCGCGACCCATTCAGCCTCTGTTATTGTTCTGGATGCAACAGCCTCTCTCATAGTGACTTTCAGCTGTTCTCCTCGCATGTTTTGCAGTTGAAAAGTGTCTGTCAAGAGACGACTTTCGCATGTATTGCGCCACAATATTGCAGAAGAGTTTACCTCGGCTTTCATGCAACACATGTGGAAATTGACTTGCGTAAACTTTGGCAGGGATATTTGTTGATAAATGTGAGCGTCTAGAATCCAATGTCTTCATCTTCTCAACGTAAACAAGGAAGTGAATATAATGATGTACCTCACGTAGAGGCGTGGGTGAAAGAGGGCTAAGTTTATAGTGAGATAAATACTGTGCTGTGTATTTTCAACACTTTTTTTGTCTTGATTTTCAAACCTTGACCTTAAATATAACTGGCAATCTTTTTTTTGACCCTGAACCCCAAGAACCATAAGAGATTTTAACCACAAAAAAATCACCTGGAGAAACATGTCCTGATGAGAAAGGTTAATTACATGGTTAGTAACATGACCGGGTTATAAGAAGGAAATTTAGAAAGACGGAGTCTCTCAAAAGGAAAGATGTAAACACTCTGTGAGAGACTGTACAAAACAAATAATCCTGCATGTATTCCAACCCAATAACTCTGTAGTAGAAGAGTCCCACTGCTAAACTGGCCTGCCTGGCACGAACTAAGAGCTTTCCTCGAACCACACCAAGGACATTAGAGACTTTAACATATCAAATACACAATTTTATGTTACTTCTGTTGCTTTTACACCCAAAAATAATGAGGTGAAGGTGAGTTTTTTTGCTAAAAAACAGGTTTCATCCTTTCGAGAGACCTAGTGGTCACTTTGCAGAAAGAGAAGTTGCCTCATTCAGACTGTCATGGAGTCTCCTGCAGCATACTCAACTTTGTCCCCCAAAAACCACACAAATCTAGTTCACCACAAAAATTTTAGGGATTCCCTCGTGTGCATGCTGCCCCTCAGGGTGCAGGACTGATGACCCAGAGAAGAAGCAACTGTGAGGTTATCCAGAAGCCACTTTAGTTTAATTCCTGTATCTCCGCTGTGTGCCAAGTGTGCAAGGAGACTACAAGCCCACTAGCGCTCTGACATATTGGACACAAAGAGGTGAAAGGCAAATGCCTCTGCGCTATGAGGAGATAGAAAAAAAAGCCCCAGGGTCCAACTCGCCCTGTAGAGCCATGCACGACGGGATGCTGCAGCCAATAGAAAACCGCGCAGCACAGCATTATTCCAGGCAGCCGTCCAGCAGCCACAGAGGGGCCGAGACAGATGCATATGCCAGTGCCAGGCGCGATTTTGACGCTTTCCAGTGTGTCCCGCTGTATCCACTGCTCTCCCACCATCCAAATTAGACAGCGGCTCACTGACAGCAGTTTGAAGATTCTTATTCATGAGGGGAATGTGTAGGAGCTGCCTGTCTTGTCCTGTAAAGGCATTGGTGCTTGTGTTTGTTGTCCAAGGAGGGAGGAGGGAGGGACAATCGCTGGATCAACAATCTGAGGTAGTGACCTTTAGCTTGCAGTGTTTGAAATCCATTACTAAGCTACTGCGCAGGGAGCTCTTTTCTTGGTACATCTGGAAATGTTTTTCTGCTACCAGGGGGGGCGGAGAAGGGGGCCGAGGACACCAGACTGAAGGGGGAGAGCAGTTATAAAAACCTGCAGCCCTGGTTAAAAGATTCCCACTTTACTGGTGCAAACATATAAACTCATCCGTGAAAAACAGACCAGAACAGAACAAAATTTAAAGCCGCTCTAAAAGACGTAGGACCAGCTCAGATTGGTGTTTACAGAGGCAAGTTGAGACCTGTACTCAAACCATGTGTGCTACTGTAAATGGAGGAGAAAAAAACTTCACAAATTCCCACATGAGTACAGGTGTGCAGTCCTGCAGGTGTTGTCAGATTTGTGTCTTCTTGGTGTGTAGGTTAAACATCGCCTCTCCAAAGGGTGCCTTTAATAATCTGTTTTTACAAATAACAGGTTTTAACAAGAGAAAGTGGCGACTGACCAAAAGAATGAGAGCAGACTTCAGGAGTGTCCTCTGAAGGATGTCTGGGCTCTGCTTTTACCCGGCATCTAAAGATGGAGGTGAGTGTATTCGGGGATGAGACAGGATGCTTCCTGTAGGCTTACTTTTAGAGGATTTTTCAAGTTTGTCCTACAGGGAGGAAACCCCACAGTAGACCCACACCCACAGGAGAGATTATATATAACTTCTGGCCAGGGTATGTCTGGAACAGTGGTTGTCAAGTCCAGTCCTCGAGGCCCACTGTCCTGCACACCTGATTCAAATGATGAGCTCGTTATCAAGCTCTGGAATGGCTTACTAACGAGCTGATCATTTGAATCAGGTGTGTTGGAGCACACCTGATTCTCTCCCCACCTTCTGCTTATATGATTCCTCCTTCAGTAACACTGTGTAAAACCAGATTTAGATTACTGGAAGGCATAAAACTAAGTGTTTGTTTGTTTCTGGTAATAAATGCATGCAGTTCAGTCTCGTACAACACGGTTTGAAAAGCTTCTTACCCTTGACATAAGCCACCGACACTAAACAGTTCAAAGCCAACAAATCCTGTCCATTGTCTGACTGATCATATTGTTCCACTTTAGTGCTGATCATGTGAAATGAGATGAGAAGCTTCCTCGTCCGATCGTTCTGACGCCTATGCTCCTCTCTCTGAGGCAGGATTTAATTTCACACCATCTCTCAGGGGAAAGAGCCTATCGCAGCAGAAGGGAAAGTCAGGTAGGAATCATGTCAGATTTGACCTTAAACAATTAAACCCGTCTTATTTTTAGATGCAATGAGACTTCCGCGATCGAGCTAACCTACTTTGTCAGAACATGTGACAAGGACAAAGACGCCTTTTCTCCGTGAGAAGATTTGATGCTGAATACTAAAGAAAAACAGGCGTGAATAATTCTAATTATATGGAAAAAGTTGGAGATTTCAAAACTGGAAACTTTTGCAAAAGCAAGAAGACAGACTGTGTAGATGCAAGGATGAAAAGTCTATGTGGTTGCACTTGGTGTAATTGGTGAACTTTTGCCCTTTGAAATCTTTATTAGTATCAGCCAGGCTGAGGAATGGGCTCTATGCACAGCTCCGCTACTTCCTGAACTCAAAGACCCACTCCGTTGAAAATCATGTTTTTCTTGTTTTTACGTGTTTATTCGACATTTTTCTGATGCTACAGGGCATATCATGAGAAAACTAAGTGTGAAATGGCATTTCTGAGTATCTCTGCATTAAAATCGCTGTGAATCTCTGGCAGACTCAAACAGCAGGGTCAGACACAGTGAGATTTCCTACGTAGCAAACTCAAGCTCCACCCCCAGAGCCCTGCTATGCAAACCAGGCTCCGGGAAATAGAGAGGATGATATCGAAACAAGTGTGTGATGAAGCGGATTGCAATGCTCGTAAGAAAGCTAATTATGATATTAGCTTTCATTATGCGGCTAAAGACATTAGTGTCCGACAGCTGAATAGCTCCTATGTTACCTGTTTCTTCTACTACACCGGCAATATTAGACTACAAGTTAAGGTCCGATTAGAGTGGGACTTCAATGTAGCTCCTTTATTTCCTGTCTTACATTACTGTACAAACTGATTAATCCAGGTGTGACTGATTATTGTGACTAATTAGACACACCTGTGATGGAAAAATCTATAAAAAAAAAAGTTATCATGCTTTAGATGATTCTATATGATTTTAAATGATTAATATGTGATTTAATTCTTTTAGATTGATTACAATGTGATTTAATCCTTTCAAATGGATTTCAGTATGATTTAAATCATTGAAGAATGATCTTAAACTTTTAACCTTTTAGCTCTGCAGACGGGGATATGAAAGTGTTGAACTCTGTACCATGTGTTGTGTAAAGATGTGAAAACACCCATGTTCCTTAAAAATAATGCCATGCATATGCAAAGAATTACCAAAATAATCATGTTCCTCTTTTGTAAAGGTCAACCGAAAGTATTGCAAAAGTGACCGTTGCAGATGACTATGCATAATCACGAAATAAAAGAGTGCTGTTGGAGAGGAACTGGCAGAGAGGGACTGATCGAGCAATCGAGAAGTTCTCTTCAGCCTTTCTCTCCTTGTGCAAGTAAAACGTACTTGGTCTCTTCTGTGTTCCTGAATCCTCTGAGTTTTTTAAATATGTCCACTTGAACCTGACAACCTGGATTAATCAGTTTGTCTAATGTTGTAAGACAGGAAATAAAGGAGCTGCCTTAAGTTCAGGAGGTTGTGGATCGGTGCATACAGCCCATACTTTAAGACTAAACCAAAAAAAAGACCCAGATGCAAACTCACAGGCTGGCCGAATCAAAGTGCGTTTAATCAAAAAATAAAACAGGAAACACAAGACAAGAAACCAAAAACAACTTAACTCAGCAGGAGATGTGGCAAATACACAGTTTTATACATGTCCTTTTAATTAATGGCTGCTGATATGTGCTAAATCTGCGCCCTTTTTTCTCTTTGTAGAAACAAACATTCGCAGGATAAGTGTAACTTTTTCCAAGAATTCATAAGAATCTGTTAAAGCTGGATTAATAATTTACAGACCAAATACTTTGCAGACAATTAGAAGTGATCTCAGCTGTAAAATATTCATAAGAAACAGCCTGGAGACTTTTTTTAAGAACAAAGATGTACTGAAAGCTCAGGGATATAACCATTTATAGCTGCAGCACATTTCATGGGCTTCGCCAAAAGTAGCTTTTAAGAGATGGATGTGTGAAACTGATGCCGCCAAAGTATGTTAGCTAACGCTAGCTTCTATTTAGCAGAGCGGCTGAGCTGTCTGTCACTCTCGAAACACACCAGAGCCCCTGCTGGGAAGCAAACTGTCATCTCAAGGAGAAAGCTGTCACCTCTGTCGCTTAACAACATCCCATCTTAAGAAACATGAAGTCTGAAACATACAGAGTGGGAGACTGCTTAGCGAAAATGACTCCAGCTGAGGTTTGATGCATCCATGGACCATGTGCCTCTGGCTAACTTAGCTTCTGCTATTTCATCTCCCCCAGACTACAAGCAGCCTGGCAAAGTCTGAGTTCGGCAGTAACACTTTGAGCAAAATGCCGCTGATACACAGAGAGGTAGAGACAGATGGTGAGAAGGTAGGAGGGGACGGTAAAACCCCTGATGATCTGACCTCAGAGACAGGCTCTCGTACACACCTTTGAGACTGAACCAGGGTCTGTTTTTGCAGTCTTCAAGCCTCCAAGAAATACAATTAGAGCTTGAAATGGAAAAGCCTTGACTCAAGGACTACAGCTTCTTCAACTTTGACATACATTTTGCATTAATTTAAGCCATTATTTGTTGTTTTTGTTGTTTAATTGTGTGTTGAAGTAATCCCGGCTTGTTCATGAAGTCACACGAGAATTCAGTGAGCTCAAGATGAGATTTGCTCAAATTAGGACATCACCTGGCAGTGAATCTCCTTTAAAGGGCAAATTTGTCATTTCATAAGAAACACAACTTTGTTGCTTGGCAACAGCGAAGGAGGCTTCCAGAATGCTTAAGTGGGGCCTTAAAGGGACAGTAGCTTAAATGAAGCGCCTCAGACAGAGGTTATAATGAGGGTTTTCAAACACAAAAAAGCAATATCCCGCCTCTTTAAAGATACTGAAGGGTGGGAAAAATCTGGAAAATAAAGGTCCTTACACACCGGGGCTGACACGAATATAGAACGTGAAATCATGAAATATTCTGAGGTGAATTTTGACACGTCTGACTATACATATCAAGCCTGATGCGATTTTGCGACTTTCCTGGGGGAAAAAGACGCATTCTTCGCCTCTGATTGGCTAGAAAAGCTGGAAACGTCATCACACGCTCCAGCCAAACGGTCAGCACTTTTAGCCATTTAGAGGCGAAGGAGGGCGGGACCTTCCCTGAACAACAAGCATCCTGGGTGGAAGCGAGGAGACAAAAATGGAGTGTACTTCAACTTGGAGTGATAGCGAATTGGTACTTCTTTTGCGTTCTCAAAAGAAAAAAAAAGGTAGCACATGGGTGCATCCAATATTACAAAAAAGAAGAGAACTTGGTGAGTTTCACTGCTTGAAGTTCTGCTGAAACAATTAGCTCCAAGTTTGAAGAGGGAGAGGACTAGACACTAGTGTTGAGATGGCTTTCTGTCACAGAAAGCACAGAAACAGACTGGTCTGAAAAAATCTGAATCTGACTTTACAGAAATAATTATTTTAAGTTTCCAAAAAAATATTTTGTGCACAGCTTTAATGTTTTCTGCAACACTGGACCACAGTTTAGACAATCCTAAAAAGCCGAATCTCCACGTCACAGAGTTTGTTTTAGTTCCTGAAAGGAGCCCCCATGTCCTCTCTCTCTGTCCTCAGTACAAACACTGGGCGGACTGGGTGACCTGATAAAGAGGGGCAGAGATGTGAAGAAAAGCACCACAGTACTAGACTTTATGGATTACTGACGCTTACCAGGGCCAGCTGGCGGGGGCATTATCTTGGTCAGTCTGCTTAATTGAATGAGAGTCAGCAGGACGGGGGGCGTCTCGAGTGAAAGTCATTGGCTTGACCTCTGAATACCACGTATGTAACCCATTAGTCTGGTATCTGTGCGCTGCAGTTTATCTTAGCTGCTTGTATTGGCTCAGCAGAGATGATAAGCTACCTGCTTTTCATTGGTCGTAAGCCTTGTGACAGCGTTTACCGTCGCTTCAGCCAGGTGTTGCTGCTAAAATAAAGTAGAAACACAAATGAGTGATAGAGAAAAGCACACGAGCCGGGCACCTGAGTGGCTGCATTTACATTTATTACCATTTTATGCCTGCAAACTGCTCTCCTGTGGTGATTTGCATGGCCAAGAGGAACAAGTGGTCAATGTTTTTCAAGGCAGTGGAGAGAGTGCCTCATTGTTGAGGGGAAATAGGAAAATGTGCAGTTTCCAGTGAGTAATGGAAAAGGAGTGAGGCTTGTAGTGCAGGTTTTATCAAAATGTCCTCTATCCCTGAGAGGCCAGCTTGTTGGCTTGCAAAATGTTCCTCTGCATCTTCCAGAGAGGATCAGGCAGAGGCTACACGCTGCAGCCTAATAAGGATTTAATACTATGGGCGCTACAATGCTTATGAAATTGTCTTTGACATAAGCTACAGCTCCTCCACTTCAATACCATCATTAGCGATAAGGACGGGTGAGTAAGCTCAGCAGAGTCTGTACCAGAACTGAGCTAGGCAACACAAGAAGTGTTTCACAGAGTCAGCAGATAGGTGTGCCCCATATCATAATAGCCTTAGCTAAACCACAGTGACCCCGATGGCCCCGCTCATGATATAGGACCAGGCTTTTCTCTCCTGATCGGTGGCTTATTTTGTAACATGGAACAGATGATGAACCTTTTTCATCATCTGCTATAAGTACGTCAAGACACGGTATTATTATCTGGGTGTGATATCAACCCCTGACTAAAGGGCTGTACCAGAGTGTTAAGAAGCTTTGACTCTATGTTGCTTTTGCTTTTCACACACCAAACTCTGTTATTATTATAAAAAAGGTATCACTTTTCCTCTTAAAAATGTATTTATTGGAGTCAAACAAAAGCCAACCACAGTTTTAGAGTAAGGATAGTAAATACAGCACATTATTTGACCTGGTTAAGTAATCTAACACCCAGTAAAATGAAAACAAGATGAGCTATAGTCAGCAGTAACTCAACTCGCAGCCCCCAAAAATGAGAAAAAGATGGATTTAAAATATGAAACTGTAATATTCAGTGATTTTCTTGGTAGAGAGATATTCATAGGAAGCTCTATCATGCAAACAAAAACCAATGACGAGAATACAACCAAAACACAAGTTGAGTATTGATGCAAAAATGTAACAGCAGCTCAGCTCACAGTCCCTCAAGTCCTGTTCCCACTATATGTTATCTTAAAAACACAAACATTAATATGAAACTGCATTTTTGGATCTTTACTAGTTGTGTTCACCTGGTATTTCTGTCATGTCACAGACTTGACAGAAATACCAGGTAGCTTGGCTTGCAGCCCTAGATACCAGCCTTAAATCGTCATAGTAACTGTGATTCAAGACATGAAACTGCATTATTTAGTATTTCTCTCCTGACTATTTGCTTTTCAGAGAGGTTGGCAGAGAATTCTACTTTCAGGAAAAACTGAGTGAACAGAATTTTTGAGCCAATCAATAATACTGCATCAGGGAAGACACCAGTGACAGCTCAGCTCACAGCCCCTCCTGAAGTCCAACCAAAGACCAAAGAAGATACACTGATTTTCACATTAAACTGCATCATCATGACCTTTTCTGCTTTACTGCATAAAGTCTTTTGGCTTTAGAAAATAAGAGAGTTTTGTTCACAGGAGAAAATAAGAGAAGATAGAGTAGGCAGCAGCTTGGCTCGCGGCCTCTGTGTTCGCCTACAAACAACAGAGAAAGTGATATTCAACATAGATTATTCAGTGTTTTATTCGGTGTTACTTAGAAGGAATTGTTTGCATATAATTCTGCTTCTGGGACAACCGTTACGCAAATAAAAACAGAAAGAAAAACCTCACCTATAAAAAGAGCATAAAGGAAGATTATGAAGACAGCTCAGCACACAGCCCCCATTACAATCGGGTTTCACCAAAAAAAACATGGAAGACAGATTTGACAGCTTTATCAACTAAAAAAAGAAAGTGAATGTTTTGAGAGGGAAAATAATGCTGCTGATTTTGGATCTTCTGGTCTGATTATTCAAATCATTGACTTTTAGAGGACTGCTCTTGTAAAATGTCTTGTTAACTGAATAAGCGGTCTTCTCTGCTCCCTGCTTAGCAACAGCACTCAGGCAAGTCGTCATCTAATTACAGTTTAGTTGGCAGCCAGAGGTGAGAGGTGCTGTTCAGATAAACATGCTGATTAAAAGGATACCCTGGTTTCCTTAATCTGAAAGTCTGATGCGAGGTGCGCGGAAGGACTGTACCTACAGCGGCTGTTGTATTCATTACCCTGACACGGCGTTTATCCTCGGATCAAGGACTGAAAACTTCATTAGATTAAAGCTCTCGAACACTGAAGTCAAACGCAAACCCGTCTATTGAATGGAAAATCTTAAGCTTCAAATTACAACACTTGGAAACATAAGAGCTGAATGATTCAGCAAACCTTGTGTCACGCAGCGATCAGACTCTCCTCTTTCATGCAGAAGATGTCTGAAAAACCTACGAACCACTTAATCCTTTTAATACCAACTCGAGGTGCAATTTGCATGAGAGCTGATTCAGAGAAAGGGGATTTCTGTCAGACAGGGTCCTGCGGTAAGGACTTGTCTGAGACTTATCCCATTATTTGCTGAACAGGAAGGGCTGAACTGATGTTCCACTTTTGGAAAACACCCACTTCCCCTTGATCCGCGGCCAGACGTATGACACCACCCTGGCCTTTTCCGTGCAGGCAGTGATGTCCAGGACTTGACCAAGCGTCTAAGCTAAATCTGGATGGACGGCGGAAAACGAAGGACACGTCAACCATGCCCTCGTCTCACCGGAGAGGTTAATTATGAAGTGGGTCTGATTGGAAGTGTGAAAATCCAGCTTGAACAAAGAGTGTCACAACATCGGACCCTGTTTTCGCCCCCGTTATCTGAAAAATTCACACTTCAACAGGAGTTAAAAACTTTGTAGGGAGCACAAAGAGAAAGCAGGGACATGACAGATGCCACACCACATGACAAGTTTTTCTCCAGGGAGTGAAAAATATGGAGCCTATGTGGCAAAAAAGACGAAAAAGCATCTGACATTTGCACTAAGGAAGCCGCTGTGATGATCGTGCCTCTCCCTTAGGAAGTCCATTACATTGCTGGAAACTGCGGTAAGGCTGCAACCTCCCAACGCTTCTGTGCATTTATCCCACTCTCTCTCCCTCTGTTTCAGCCTTTTTTCTCTGGCTGATAAAACATTCCCTCTCCTCCCTCCCCACCCAAACTGGTATGCAGCACACTGCAGCAAAACTCCAGAACAAAATCTGTGGAAAAAACAGACAATATGACGATTCTTCCCCACCTCGTTTCACTCGTGTCCTGCTGTCTTCTTCGCTGTCCCAATCATAGAAACCACCCGGCGCTTCTGTGACACTGAGCTCTACAGCGTGGCTCTCCCTTCAGCCTCAGCAACTGGAGTTAATGACCATGTGAGCTGTTGTCATTCCTCGCGAGCTGCCGACTGCTGCAGCCGGAGGTCCATGCCTAGACAGGGATTTTCTCTCGATGTGTCTCTCTCTCTCTCTCTCTCTCTTCCAGCAAGCGGGTGAGCGAGGCAGGCCGGTAGGCAGGCAGGCAGGAAGCAGAAGAGTGTCTACTCCAACTATCTGGCTCTAACACTTCCAGCCAACCCCCCCCTACACACACCCCGAAAGCCAGCCCCTTCCTGCCCACCAGCCTGTGGCAAAGTCCCTCCCCTTCAACAGCTTCAGCCAATAAAAGGAGGGATCCTCAGAATCACAGCATCACTATTGGAGCAGAGTCATCTAAATGATGCAAGCAAAATCTGTGCTCACAGTAACACCTTCTGAATGCTGATTTTCTGGAGGTATTTCCCCAATTTCACACCCTGTTAAACTATCTATCATGGTCTTTTACTATCCCACCTCCAGCAATGCCTTTCTAATTCAAATCAGGATCACATGAATCATTCTGGAATAGAATTAAAGCTCTTAGATGTACAGTCAAGCCTGTTTCATGCATCGGTTTCAATCTCCATCCCTCGTAGTATTCATAATATCACACTGATGCTGATGCTATAATACATATTTGTTATCCAACTGTGTAAAAAACACCACAGTAATTATCAACAGTATACGGAACAACCTGATCACACACATACCATCTCAAATCAATCCTCCTGCCTGTTGACACTGTGGCAAAAACATCAGTTACTGTCTCCGGCTAGTCTTGAGCACCAGGAAAATGATAACATTTAGCAGCATAGGTGTGACAACAGCCTGGGAAGCTGCTTGGATTATTTTTAAGCTGTTTAGATAAATCATCTTTAAATTCACTTTTTGAGACTAGTTGTTTATGTCTTTGATTAGGTAGCATAACAAATTAACTGTAATGTATAGCAATTAGGCAAAATAGAGTGCCTTTAAGGTGAGACAGGACCCCCGCTCACCTTGTCACGATTCTGATTCGCACAACCACCCACCATCACATTATATGGTCTTCTTATTCTGAGCTGTTATATAGTTACAGACCTCAGAGTTTCCATTTACCACCAGTCACTTCAGATTAACTGTTTCCACCCAAACTGAAGCACCACCACTGCCAAAATTTCACACGCTCATTAATAGCAATGCGCCACTAATGATTTCCACTCGCACTATGTGAGCACAAGAACACACAATGCTATTTTCAGCTTGTTTTGAGTCATTAACAAGCACATTAAATCCTGTTCGACCCTCGTCCATCAAGGTGAAAAGGTAACAATCAAGCTTATACACGGTCTATAAAGCGAGTAGCATGAATAGCATCAGTAGCACTAATATCAATGCGCCACTAATGATTTCCACTCGCACTATGTAAGCACAAGAACACACATTATTTTCAGCTTGTTTTGAGTCATTAACAAGCGCATTAAATCCTGTCAGACCCTCTTCCATCAACGTGAAAAGGTAACGTTCAAACTTATACACAGTCCATATAGCGAGTAGCATAGGTAACATAATGTAACGTGAACGTAACAGCGTAGCTCAATGAGAACCGCTTCTGAAAAATAATTCTAGAGGAAACACTGCAACAGCCTTTGGTTCTGGCTTTATTTGTGCTTATAAACAGTATGTATTATTGTAGATATACCTTTGCTCATCTTGTCAAGGTTCTAATTTAGTTTGCTAGTTTGTCGTAAACATGGCGGTTTAACCATTGCAGCATGGACCCATAGCAAAATGACTTTTTTCAAAGTCATCAGAAATGAAACAATTATGATATTCCATTCAGTCTAATATAATGAACAAACCTCTACATAATGTATTCAATTTCTTTGGAAAAATGTTAAATTCTACACAATGTACCTTTTTTTGTACGTTATTTTATTGGTGTGTTAAGTCCATTTAATCTAATCTAATGTAATCTTATAGTGTATCCGGAAGCTTTCCATTCCTCGTCTATCATGATATTTTGCCTGATTTTTGATTTGCTCAGAGAGACAAAAAAGGACAAACGATAATATTTCATGCATGTAAGGGCTTCACTGTTTTTCTCTGACAACAGAGCAGCACCAGTGAGCAATAATGAAAGAGTTGCTGCAGTTGCATAAAGAAGATCAGTCCTGCCCTTGTCCATCATCACATTTACCATCATCCCTCCAGAGAGCGAGCACACGGCACCTACTCCCACCATCCACCCCCTCCAACCTTTAAACTCATCCACCTCAACATCCTGGCACTCCTCCCCCTCCCCCTCCCCCTCCCTCACCTGTATGTCCCCCATGTTTCACAGCTATCCTTTAAGCTCCATTTCAATCTCATTCTTTAGTTTACTGGACTGGAAAATTGCTCAGTAGTGAACATTTCAGATATTGTTATTGCATCAGAATTTGGTCGGATAAAAAAAAAAAAGTCTGGGTCTGTCTCTCCTCCCCCCACCCGTCCTCCTCTTCCCTCCCGTCCCCTCCTCTCCCCTCCGCCCAGCTGATGACATGCTGCTTGGCATCACATGAGCCGTGAAACCGGAGCGTCACAGAACTGATGAGTCAGAGATCCAGCTTCATGACTTTTCGATCCAGATTCAATAGAACAGCTGTAGCGTCTGTCTCCCCCTGTGTCTGTCTCTCTCTGCCTCATACAAAAGGCTGTGAATGACGCTGCAGCCTGGGTGTTTCGTTGACATCAATGAGGCTAAACATGCATTACAGCTCCATTATAAACAGATCTATTTACTGTCTGATTATGTTTTAATGGCTCTGTGTTTTCTGAGGCTCAACAGGCAGCAGAGTTGTCAATCGGTTTGGCAAGATGGGAATTTAGAGAATTTCCCTCTTGAGCATTAAATCTCAGCAAATGACATGAGCAGTAGTGCCATTTCAGGCACTGGGGCGTAAAGTACAAGAAGTCTGGGCTGTTTTATAACAGATTAACATCTGGCAATTACCTTTTAAACAACTCACAAACTTTTAGAAGGGGCCTGACACGTATCAAACGTGTTTCATATTGAGATAGAGCTCAATGTAGCCCCCTAAATAAGGAGAGTACATAATGCCTCTCAGCTGATATTGTCTTGTGTGAAAGTGCTTTTTCAGGAGTGTGTCCAAAGGGTGGCCAAGGGTGATATGGGCCACCCCAAAGTTTTCTTAAAGCTCCTGTAAGAAACTTGAGGTTTGTGTCAGTTTTGGCGCCCCCTATGGACAAAGCACTCTAAAGGTCCTTACACACCGGGAGCGTTTTTGTTGTGTGATTATTTCAGACGTCAACATTTTTTTTCGAACCTGTATCCTGTCAATACAAACGTTCACATCAGCAACATTTTCCCGTTCTGCGATATTGCCACATTTATTTTTTCGGATCATGGTCAATTTTTCTAAAGTTTCGCATACTGTGTGTCCACTTCTGACCAATCAGATTTCATGTTGTTGCGACGTCAGATTTACCGGTATATCGAACATGGCCGACCAGCTAATTGTTAACGTGTCGGAGAACAGAGTGCTTTTTGATAAAAGACACAAACATTACAAAGATAATGACATGAAGGACAACTTGTGGAGAGTCATAGCGTCGGATTTCTCATATGACGATGGTTTGTGTGCTTTAACAGTTTGCTAAACGTCTTTGTTTTAACTTTCATCTGTGCTAAGTAACTTTAGCTCGTAAACTAACCACTCACTTCCACCCGGGACGCATCTTTTTTCTCCCCAGAAAGTCGCAAAATCACATCGGGCTTGATGCGTATAGTCAAATTTCTCTTTTAAGTTGGTACTTAAAATGGGTGGGGGCAGGGGGTGGTTACACTGAATAAATCTGTAAATAATAAAGACCATTGTGATTTTTTTTATCAGTTAACACTTTCACAGGCATGATAAGAAAACAGCAACTATAAAAGGTTACCACTTTGACCACAGGGGGCGCCAAAGTCAACACAGACAGAGACGTCCTCACAGGAGCTTTAATACCACTGGAGATGGTAGAAAGTGAAATCATTTGGTAATAATTGAAAAACCGCATTAGTTGCTCCATCAATGTGTCTAATTTTTGCATCCCTGGTGCTCACAAACTGAATGCTACTCCTGAATAAGTCAGTGCCTACGTTGGACACACTTCTGGCTTTCCTTCCAGCAAAAGTGCCCCAAAACAGAGATTTTTTTAATATTATCAGCCAATTAAAATGCAAAAATGGGTACAAGCAATTAGAAACCTATTTATTTTAAGCAGAAACATAAGAAACCTGTGATTCTGAATGCATTTTTTGGGGTGGACAAGCTGGGAAGACATAAGAGAAGCCGTGAAAGGCTTACTTTCAATCTTTCCAAGTTGCATATCTAACCTTTAAAAGGCAAATATCAGAAACAATCACAGCATTTTACTTCTGACCATTCATGGGAACGCTAAGACAGACTCTTAAGAATATGCCACGCTCTCTGACAAAATCTGGTTAAAACAGTCCTTGAACATGACATTATGCTGTGATTTATGAGCATTATATCAGCAGTCCAGCACTTAGTGACATATTTGGTCATAATATTTTCACCTCTCGTGGGTGTTATTTACAGAGCATGAAGCACTGCGCTCCATTCTGTCCCCCTCTGTAAACTCTTACCGCTCCGACTCTGTTTTTCTTGCAGAATCACGTCAGCTCATACGAAAGCTTTCTCAAAGTGGAACACCTGATAATCTTTGTAATATCCTGCAGTATGTTTTGCGCCATTGTTTTCAAATTGTGTGTGCATTTTTGAGATGACAGAGCGGAGTATCCGAAGTTTCCCCCTCGGGCTATTCATGCAGCCAGGTTTTTTTTTAAATCAGATGGATTTTAATACTCCTGCATCCTGAGCCCAGCCTCAGGCATCAGGGCACCTGTAATGAAATAACACAGACAAGCGCTCTGCCATTACATAAGCATGGAGAGGGAGGAGGAGGGATATCAGCTTTTGTCAGAAGCACAAGTGTCACCTTACACCCTCAGTGCATGTAGGCACACTCTGCTACACCGTGTAGACAGATGCAGCAGATCTGAGGAGCGAGAACGCTTCCTTGACGGTGACAACTGTTTATTACCGCTGCAGGATGAAACATGACCGCTACGTCCAGGAGAAAACAACTCTGTGTGTTATGAATCATCCAGAAGAAAGGCACTCGCACAAATCACAGCTGATAGAATAAGCTTATCAATGTCTCATCTGGCTCAATAACCACATTAGTGAGCAACTGTCAATAACTGTTTAACAAGCCATTCTTGTAGCTAATTTCCACCGGCAGGCCTCAGATAGGCCGCCTCCTAAATAGATTTGTCCGACAGGAAAACAAACAAAAGCCTGGCAGACAAACAAGCCGAGCCACTTCCTTCCCACATGGCAGCCCCCTCCCCTCTTATTATCCCTGTCCTGTTTGACCCCAAACGGCTTTGCTGGCTGACACACACTGACCGGCTCCAGCGGCCCAGAGAGGCTTCATTTCCACAAACAGACACTGAAACAATGGTTAATTACAGCAGAAAAAGAATGAGGGGTTAAAAATCTGTGTGTGAAAACACTCCCCCAGCAGAGGATCCAGTATTCACTGTTACTGCCACTGGACGGTTGATCACGACAGAGAAAACAGGACTCAGAAATAGGCCAGCGAAGACAGATCAATGAAAAGGCAGCTGTCTTTTTCTATTATTAGCCGTAATCAAATATCAAGCGGTGCAGAGATGTGCTTCCTTCCGCTTCAGACTCATTCTGGTCAGTCCGTCACATGAGGATTGAGGATAAACAAGTGTCCTAATGGATGTGGAGGAAAAGCAAATGGTCAACCAGTTAGTTCTGGAGTGAGCTCAAGGCTGTGCAACAGATAAAAATCAACCACTCAAACTCTCACTAGTTTGGGATTTAGTGCTGTTTTTTCTTTCTGCACTTAATCTAATGCTAAATCAGGATGGGTGCCATTTTAATTTGATCAATTTAGATTCTGGTTCCAGTTCTGCTCATTGAATTAGGGAGTAAAAATAATGAGAATTTCAAGAACAAGAACTACACTGCCTTTACTGATGGGACATTTAGGCTCTATCACAGTGGTTCTCAAGTCAAGTCCTCGAGGCCTCCAACACACCTGATTCAAATGATCAGCTCGTTATCAAGCTCTGTAATGGCTCCATAACGAGCTGATCATTTGAATCAGGTGTGTTGGATCAGGGAAACATCCATAACATGCAGGACAGTGGGCCTCGAGGACTTGACTTGAGAACCACTGATCTAAAACTAAAGAATATTAAACTATCAGCCTTTGTCCTTCATTTAGAACAAATTAACATCACTTTTCTAAAAAAGGTTGGATCAACACAAAAAAATATGAAATATTTCTAGAAGTGATTGGTTTATAGATGTAACCAAACACCAGAATAAGCTCAACTGCACCCAAGTCAAACTCTTGATTGTTTGCTGTGGTCCAATATCACCAATAACTCACACCATGGGTTGTGAATCCCCATTACGAATGGGCGGATGTCAGTTTTGATGGCTTTTACCAACATCAGTTATCAGTAGCTCATAGGGCCAATAAATGACATTCAGAGCCAATTTGAATTTCATTAAAATAGGAGAGTTTCTGTCAAAATTTGACCCGAATTCCACAGACTGTATCATAACTAGATGTAATATTGCTGACATTACTCATTTCTTTGTGAAGCAGAGTTTTGAAAGCAGCAGGCAGTGGTCACCATATTGGAAATGGTGACTTAACCCTGCTCAAACACACCTGATTCAAATGATCAGCTCGTTATCAAGCTCTGTAATGGCTTACTAACGAGCTGATCATTTGAATCAGGTGTGTTGGAGCAGGGAAACATCCATAACATGCAGGACAGTGGGCCTCGAGGACTGGACTTGAGAACCACTGACTTAACCTATCAATCTTTCAAAGGGGGGGCCTTTAGCCTCCTAACAAATGGCTACAGTGCGCCCACCAGTCAGTCAAGTCAACAGCAGTGTTACAAAAAATTCCCTCCCTGTTCCTTTGATGTCATGGGAGCCTTGATAAATTCAGACCAAAACTGATTTTGAACCAGGCTGTAAATGTGTTCATCTTCACACTAAAAACAGCTTTTTTTTTTTTACTTAGAGTGTAAGTGGTTTCTGATACTTCTGCAGACAACCTCAAGTGAATACTCAGGGAACTGCAGTTTTTAGCACTACAGCTTCAGCTTTACTTCTCAAGACCGCTGTACAAAAAGTTCTCACTAAGGATTATTCCGGAAAGATTTCTGTGGCTGATAGAAACTGAAAAGTGGCATCCAAAATTCATGTACCACATCAAATCCTCAAATCGTCGGAACCCGTTCCAAGTTGAAGCTGGTTCATGCTTTATGCTAAATTGACCTTTTATAGTGCTGTTAAAACTGAAAAGGTCATTTCCCTAACAATCACAGCGTGCTCAGCAGTGTGATTTTTGCTGCTATGGCTTTAATAAGAGATAATCCATACGAGCCACAGTCCTCTTTACATTGTTAGTCTGATGGCTCATTTGAATTGAATGCCCCCTGCTCGTCTGCATCCTGTTTCCAATGGTACATTATGTCCTGAGATGTCACTTTGCATTTTTATAAGCACCAATTACAGAGCATGACCTAGCAGCTGGACTGATCACTACTTATTAACCTTACTCAGGTGTCTTGCTCAGCCAGCCTGCAGCAGATTAAAATGCGCCTCCTTTTACGTCTCATTAGAGCTGCTTTATTTTTCCTTGTTCACTGCAATTAACTCTAACAATGCATTGATGAAAGTGCAATTACACTTATTGTGTCGTTTGCGTTTGCATTTGCATTTGCATTTGGAAGTAATAGCATTGAGTAGTGGGACTGTGGAGAATGGCTGCATACTTTGGCAACATCTGTATTGCATATATGTCATAAATAATGTATGAGTTATTATCAGACCTCTCTCTGAGTGATTTTATTATGGTCATAAGCCACTTCTCTGGTGGCAAACATCATGTCACTGAAAGCATTTGACAGAGCTGTGCAGGACAGACACAAAAGACGTCATGCTTGCTGATTAAATGGATGTTTTTATGCGGCTACTTTCACTAGTTTTAATAAAACGTCTGGCTATAAACAGCCAAACACATCCCACATAGAGCTTTTATTATAGGAGCATCTCCATAACATGTTTCACCCCCTCTACTGTCCAAACAGGCTGCACTACAGCCACCAAACACCGTATCAACAGTGTAGAGACCAACCAGAGCTCCAGCATGCTATCAGCTAAGCTAACTACCTGCAGCTTACCTGATGACGAACCTGTCACATCCAGCTGCACTTCAGACGCCGCCGCCGCCTCTCCACAGCGCTATTTCGGTGAGACCAGGACCCAGTGTTCGGAGCAGGACGTTGAAAACGGTCCGCGAATGACACTTGGCGCTATTTCTTCAGTAGCAGCAAACTTTTTCCGCTGTCGGAGAGTGTTCTAGTGAAAGGCAGGAGTCAGCTACACGCTAGCCCGCTAACTACTTTTAAGGCTAGGGTAGGAAGCAACAAGCGATTTTGACAGTTCGATGAAATGTTGCATGTGCTCTCAGTAGGGGAGTTGTCCTGATGGTTGAAGATTAATAACGATGTACTACCGATTATTATAGTTGTGTTACACTCAGATTTTACAAATACGTGTATTCCATAGCAATATAATAGTGAATATTTTTTAATTTTAAATCGGGAGTTACTTTTATACGATAAACAACACGACTCCCACCCTACAGCAAAGGTGGTACAGTCCAGAAGAACCAAGGGTAAAGGGAGGGGGGTGCTTGTTACCTAGGAAACAACAGTGAATCTCCCTCAGGGACGAGATGTGGCAACTGATTTATGAACCGCTGGCTGACTGTCTGTCAAAGAACACACCATTAGACCATAAATTAGCTTTAGATTTAAAAAAAAAAAATCTCATTTAATATATATCATTTAAGATTTTAAAGTTTCATTAATTTTATTTGACTAAAATACAGCTTTTAACTGCCTTGTTTTGCATTGTATTTCTTGACATTTTGTACGGTGGCCCTAACGATGAACTACACAGACATTTCATGACCAGAAACTTTAAATACATGTTAAAAACAGAAGGAATTTTTGCTTTGCATGAAAGATTAGTGAAATCTTTGTACCTATAATAAATAAGATTTGCATTTAAAACATTATTTTTGCTTTTATGAAAAAGTATATTTAATGAAATAGCTATTTCATACATTATTGGGGGGGTATTTTTTTATTTTGGGAGTGTTTCAGCATATTCAGGGACATTATTTACATTCTGTAAAATATCTAAACTGTTTCCTGACAGATCCTTCCATTAAGTGGAATTTTTTAATTTTTTAATTTATTTATTTTATTTTATTTATTTATTTATTTATTTTTTGGTGTAAGTAATATTTTTGCACATCTTTTGACCCCCTAGCCCCTATATTGGTGACTATACAGGGGTTAGCACCATTTTGAGGGGTGTCCAAAACCTGAGTAATCAATTCCAGTGCCCCATATAGGTGACTCAAAATTTCCCATAAAGCATTGCAAAATGTAGTGACCATCCGATGGTCACTCACTGGTGGTGAGCATCCCGTCATACATTGCGTCTTGCCATGCAGTGTCCGAAACCTCCGGTAATTGAGTTCACTACATAGTCAGCTATACAGTGAAACCCCATATGATAAAGAAGACTCTTAATTTGTTTTTCCAGACTAAATCTTCCATCATCACTACTTGATGCTTTGCAAAGTAGCTTGCACATCCCAAGCATTTTGCAGCCTAATTGCACACAGCTGGCTGGATTTAGCCGTCTGTGACACACAGAGGCCCGTTGTCAGCAAGAAGCACAACGAGTCAACAAGGAGCAAGTCACAAATATCCCCGGAATGAGCAGAGAGGCACAAATTTAGCCCCACTGACTGCTGCCCACTCCATGTGCTGTCTATTGAGCACATGAACAATGAACATAGCCATCACAGACCTCTCTGTCAGGGCCAAGGCCACAGTGCTACAGCTAATGAAGGCATCACAGTCTGACAGGACACGGGCCTTCAGCAATGTCAGGGATGAAGGTGTTATTAAGCATCGATTGTTTGTCGGTAAGTGTAGAATATATCTCGGAGAATGCGTTCCAGATATTTATGGGCTTCATTTAAAATCTATCATGCTGAAATCCAAAGCTGGGGTTGGAATTGTGATGGTTGCAGCCTTGTTTCACTCCAAGCATCATCTATCATGTGACATTTGACACATAACAATGGGCACAACCCACAGGAAACCATCGCACATTATCTCAGGAGGTGCTATGAGAGGCTACAAGAACCAGATTCATCTGTATTATTTTTAACTATCTATGTTGCATATTGGTAACATATAACACTTGAACATCTGCACCACTATGTGGAAAAACAACATTTCAAAAACATAAGTGATTAAGAAAAACTGCTCACATAGGTCAAGTTCTCTGAGGATTAATATATTGATCTCAATGCAGAGGAGGCATTTGTAAAAACGCTGCTGCAGGCATACTTCTCTAAAAGTCTCTGCATGCCCACACACTTGCAAACAAACATACACAAGCACGCACTTTTACAGGAAGCCCGCAGCTATAAAGATACACAACAGTACGGTTTACAGGCTGTAAAAGCATCAACCTGACTAAAACATTTCCTGGGCTTGAAATGAAAGCTGCAGGTTGATTTAGAGTGGCAGGTTGTTTTTTTGTTTTTTCTGTTTACAACAAGAGCATTTTTGTCAAAGGATCTGATTTTAAACAGGAAAGAAAGTGGATTTATGGCAGAATATATGTACATACTGTATATGAGGAATACATCTCTGTTCTGACATTGCTTTCAGTGTACATATACAGAAATAGACCAACATACTGCTAGCAATCTCATGTGATATAGGGAATTAAATGATGTGTAAACCACCAAACTCTATTTCATGAACAGTTTACATGCAGACTTGCAACTTTTCCTGAATAGTGTTGTATTTACAAGACTTTTGCATGAACTCCCGAGCATAAAATTAGTTTCAAACATGCACTAATGAGCGAAGAAAGGCAAAACCGAAGCATTTTTTTGTGCGTGGTTGTGTAGTGTGCTCATTAATGGGCTTTAACTCTACATTTGTTGCAGTTGCAGTCTGCAGAGTGGACCTCTGGATCAACTGAGGGGGTGGGAGGCAGTAAAAAAGCAACCGCAGCATCCACAGAACAACCTCACAAACACAGAATGAAGAGATCACTGTAGGAAACAGTTTGCCCCCGCAGACTGAAGACTGTAAACACACTCTAAAACAGGCAAAAACATGAACACACACACACACACACACACACACACACACACACACACATAGGAGGCTAAATCTGTGGCCTCTACACACCTACACACAATGTGCTAAAGCCCCCATGTGAAGGACGGTATTGATCTTCTTCGCCAAATGAGAACACACCTGATTATGAAAGCTTTTAACCCAAATGCTTATTGCAGCGCAGGTTTAATGGAAAGAGCTTATGTCTGCCACAAAGCTCAGAAGAGAAGGAGAAAGTGTGTACGTGCGTACTTTCATCGCCATTGGGTCAATTTGATTGATTGTAGAGAGCCCACCTGGACGTTTCACTCCCCATATGACTTTGATGGGCATTTTAGTAATCACACGGCCTAAGTAATGATGGATAGAAGATGCTCCTGCTGTCATTAAACAAACTGATCCCCCTGAATGTGTGCACGCTGCAGCAGGAGTGCTTATTCAACACGCTGAGAGGATCCATTTTGAGGCCGACTCATCCGTCCGCAGAGAAAAGACGAGTTTATGCAGCTCCATAAATCATCTGCTGCAGCTGTTTGTTCTTATTGCTTCATCCATTCCTTCAGGATCCAGCTCAGCATACAGGGAGATACTTTGTGATCATCTAGACTGAATAATATGGAGTCAAATTTAAAGAACTGAAACTTCTAACTCACTTACTTACTGAGGTGCAATGCAGTTTAGGATTTAGAAATTTTAAGAAGTAGATTTGAATTTTATGCAGTTTATTTGCCATCCAGAACACTGCAAAAGGGCATCCTTGTACACAGAGATAAGCTTAAAACAGTCAAACAGTCCAACCCAGTATCAGGGAAATACTTGGATCGTGTGCCTTGATTTATGTCTTTCCTTTTAGAACCACCATTTCTGTTTTGGCAATTTTTATTCACTCATAACATCAGCTTTTTGCTAAGTGAGCAGATTGTAGCTTTAGCTACTAAAAGCAGCTTTGTCAGCCCTTTATTTAAATTGATTGAATGGGGAATAGCTCATATTTAAAAACTTCAACCCTGGCAGATAGATCTATAAAATATACTGATGATAAATGCCCCATTGAAGGGGAGTTTATCACCAAAACGCAAGGCCTGATTCACAAAGGACTTCAAAACCTGTGCAAACAACACATACAGTGATTGGTTTACATTAAACACATGCACCATAAACTACAGTGTGGTGTTTATATACTTCCAAATGAGCCATTAAAGTGGGGCAAAATCAACCTCTTTCCATGCAAATAAACACTGGTGCAAAAGGCGTCAGACAGCTACACACAGTCAGGGTAAAATCTGAACCATCTGCTAGGAGTTAGGAACTGCACTCCTGTATTCACAAATGAAGCAATGCTTGAACTTTTAAGCGATCATAACAAATCCACCTTGAGATGACTGAAAAATAATATATCTGTACATTAAGACACAACACAACAGTTCTGTACTCTGAAGGTCTTAGCTGCTGCTCCCCTACATTTGCTTTTCATGTACGTATGCTCACTGATCAGACGATAGGAAGGTAGGTGTGCTCCCTCCACTTTAGGCTTTGGGCTGCCCTTCCACTTGAAAAGGCAGGAAACTCTCAGAACAGATTCAAACTGCCAAAAATAGCCGTTGCGTGAAAATATGAAACGCTCTTCGACTGTTATTTTGATAATCAGGGGTTAGATCAGTGCGGGGTTTGATGCAGCCTCAGCCTACACATCAGCATAGTATTTCTTGTGGGGAGACAGTCTGAATATCATAGATTAAATATACTGAAGCTTCGCACAGCCATTAAAGAGGAGTAGACCAACACTCCACAGGTCCATCAACAACCTGATCAACTCTATGCTAAGGAGATGTGTTGCACTGCATGAGGCGAATGGTGGTCAAATGGACGCCCCCAATACGGTAGAACTACACCTTTCAGAGTGGCCTTTTAGTGTGGCCAGTCTAATCAGCATCTTGATATGCCACACCTGGGCAAGAATCATGCTGTCTAATCAGCATCTTAATTAGCCACACCTGTGAAGTGGATGGATTATCTGAGTAAAGGACAAGTGTTCACTAACACAGATTTAGACAAATTTGTCAACAATATTTGAGTGAAAAAGTCTTAGATCTTTGAGTTCAGCTCATGAAAAATAGAAGAAAAAAAAGTGTTACGTTTATATTTTTGTTCAGTATGTATTTTTAATTGAAACAGTTGTTCTTGCTGGCTTGTTCAAGATTAGGTGTTTTTATCAAAATGGGTGAATTTATAACACACTTTTTATGATAAACTCCACGATAAACTGGGAAGAAGTGTTCCCTCTACTCTATCTGTTGGAGGATAGATTTGAGCTCTGTCAGGATGAGAGTGCACAGTGCAGTTATGCACATCTGAGTGTGGAAATGTTGACAGCTTATTGCCACAATCAGATGCAAAACAGGAGCTTGAATTCATGCTTGGTCGATTGGACCTTGAGATGGAGGACTTAGTGGGGCAAGTGTACCAACAAACGCACTAGTGATGTGTATTTGTTAGTGAGGCTACAATCCATTTATACATGCATTAGTCAGTATCTCAAAAATACATGATCCGGTCTGTAAAATCAAACTTTTGTTGAGTTAATCTTTTGTTTCGAGTGTTTCCCTGTTCTTCAGAATAAGTGAACTTGAAGCTTTTTGTCACTTTTAAGCTCAAGGGATGACTTTCAGCATTTATTTGCAATAAATCTGTGTTATGTTTTGAATATTTGATAGATGCGAGATGCACTGCAGAGTAAATCTAATAATGAACAGTGGCATTTCAGAAGAGAAAACAGACTGGCTGTAATTGTGAGAGATGAAAATCTTTGAAATGTCAGGAGAAAATGGCAGATTACCATGACAACACGGCTATTGTCTTGTCAAGGTCTCAGTTAGTGGAGTTCAGACTCTGACTGTTGCTCTCCGTCAGGAATAATTGCAATAAATCGTCTGTTTTCTACAAGCCATTATTCACCACTAAAATCCAATTGACTTGTTCCCTGAAATTGCACGACTTAAAAATCAATGTGGCACCAACAGTCCATCAGAAAGTGCTTCCAAATACAGTAAAAGAATGTGTATTATTCATGAGATCCAGGTTCATGCAAGGCCGCCGGCTCGGCCCAGACTCCTTAATGGCTGCACCGCCCTTCATCACGGCCGAACCCGCCCTGTGATCCCGACTTGACGGCCACTCAGCCCAGAGGATCGAGACTCCTTTGAAATATTCAATAATGCATTAAGGATCAGAGAGAAGTTGGCTAATTATGCTCTCTCTCACACACAAACACACACACACACACACACACACACACACACACACACACACACACACTCTCGCTCTCTCTCACATACACACACACACACACACACACATAAACACAGGGAGAAGTTAGAGGTAGTAATTAAGTATTTTGCACACTGACAAGCTGTAATGATGTTGGGATTTCTGTGAATGAAAAATGAATGAGTGTTTTTGGGATGGTAGGTTTATGTTGTCATGTGTGTATATGTGTGTGTGTGTGTGTATGTGTGTACGTGTTCCTCAGTTTAAGAGACAATAATAACCTTTCTGAAGGCGACCCATCAGCTGAAATATTAATGCTGCTGCTGCAAGGCTGCAGGCTGCTGCAGCAGGTTACAAGGACACGTCCGATGCTTCATAGAGGAGCAGCTCCTCCATTAGCAGAGAGGGACTGACCTTTGAGAGTGTGTATGGACTATGACCATGCCTGACCCACTCTCTATATGAAATGTATCAGTCTTAATACACTTTTATGCACAACAAATTCAGATCTATGATGATTATTCAACAACTTATCCTCACAGCAAAACTCAACAACAGCTTATTCTTCTTTTTTTAGGCCGACAGCTCCTTGTTTGAGGCGACAAATGAAACAAAGAGGCGTCACAGATGCCACTGTACTCAATTGTAGTTTGTTGGATTTTACTGCATGTGCCTTATAAAACCCTTTAGTTCATTGTGTAACTTATCTTATCAGAAAGTTTTCCTTTCAAAGCCCTGGTCTTTATTCTGCTCTTCACAAAAAGATTCATAAATCTGCTCAAATCAGATACAAAACTTGAGAAAGTTTTTCCAGCAAAGAAAGGAGAAAAAGGAGGGGAACAAAAGGGCTTTTCATATTTTAATACTGAAAGATCTACCTGCTTGTATCATACTGTTTCCAAAAAGCCTGCAACAAATCGCATACCTCTGAAAGTGCAAGAAAAAGATTCGTAAAATACTCCGCTTATCAAGTAGCGCTTTTGAAAAAGATCTCTAAAAGAGCATCACAAAGTCTGGCCTTGAAAGGAGACCCTAAAAGATGCAAAAAAGATGACAGCAGCATGAAACCCTCAAAAACATACCAAAAAAAAAAAAAATCCACACTCACACCTCTCTTACTTCCACAGCTTCACATCCTCCCTGCTCTGTTTTCTCCTACTCTCCATCCGGCTCCACCGATCAAACAAGCCTTCAAACGCTCATTCTGCCGCCTAAATAAATCCTGCTCACCGTATTTTTCTCTGTAATTATTGATTTCTAAGTGGCCTTGCAAGCATCATCAGCCAGAGACTCCTTCAAGTACAGCAATTATTATATTACTGTAACCATGGTGATTTATTTGCAGTGGAAATGTATTTATGGAGGCGAGTGGGTGGAGGATCACTGTGAGTGTGTGTTGCTACAGTAGTAGTGCTGGAGGCTAGTACCTTGCCACAGAGACTTGGATTCACACACTGTGACCCCTGGGCTATAGGCACATCACTGAGTATAAACCAGGAAATATACTGTAAAAATCTGGCATATACAGCCTTCCCACGCAGGTTATATAACAATGTGTAAAAATACAATCACTGAATCTAGATTTTTTATCAAGAGGCAAAGGTGAAGTATTTTTTATGGCAATGGAAACATCCTGTTTATTTCTGTCCAGATAAAGACGAATATTCAGGTGTTTAAAACTGCTCAGACTAAATTATTCTGCTATTTCAAAGTGTGAAATACTGATAATCAATAGTACAATGCAACCATGCATTGTACTGCCTCAACTCATATAGCTGTTTAATAGGTCTATCTAGTGGTCAGTGCTGGTACTGCATTCAAAAAAAGTTGAATCTGAAAAGGAACGAATTACATTTAGAGATCAACTCGTTTTAAATTTACGATCGTAAAACCGCCACGCATTTGTGAGAGACTGCGGGAGTAAACAGTTCAGTAATTTCAGAATAATGTTGCTTTGTAGAATGAGTGGATTTCATCATCTACAGTTCATAAAATCATTAAGAGATTGAGAGAATCTGGAGAAGCTTGACTGTAAAGGACAAGGACCAAAACCAGTACTGGACGTCCAATCCATCGTTGAAAGGACAACTGGACTTGTTTGAGGTTCTTGAAGACGTTTGGCCTCTCTTCCAGTTGCAGCATAGGGGGAGAGTGAGGTAAGTTGAGCCAAAGGGTAAGTTGAGCCACCCCCCTGTTGTTTGGAAATGGTAAAAGAAATTGATCATATGACCAAATATTTAGGAGATGGGCATCAATTCATGGAGTCTGTGAAGGTTTTGTTTTTTTCAAATAATGGATTGAAATTATTCGCAAAGGATTTTCTAACAATTTATTTATCAACATTTTATAGCATCCCGGCCTTGTAATTCTGCCAGCAGAGGGCGCTGTCACCCTGTTAACAACCCCAGTTCATAAGTAAGTTTTAAAAAAATAATCGTAATAATTTTCTCACTATTCCTGCCATCTCATTATTCGTTACCTTTAGTCTTTGTCCTTGCCAATACTATCATTGTCACTATTATGGCATTAAGTGATTGGTGGTTCTGTGAAGTGATCTTGTTGTTGTGGAGTTCTAAAGCCTGTAAACACTCATAAAATCAGAGGGATGAATCAGGACTTAAGGAGACAGGAGCCTCTAAAAAGTAAATGAAGTCAGGGATTCAGATGTACATACAGTTTATATTTATATATCTTTACATCATTTCTATAAGCTTTAAAACATTTGCATCAAAAATACACCCAACAGTTGATAGTTCTGGTATGTCTATCTATCCCAGTCTTTTTTCTTTAATTCAGATTGTGCAAAACCGACATCAGTTCAGAACTCCTTTATTTGTTCACCTATCCATCAGTCTGGAGTGGTTTTCCTCAGTTCATCACTTTCACCTCGTCACCTCCATGATTAGGTATATAAAACACACAGCAGGATAATACGAAATCTCCAGCGTATCACTGCTTGAGTTTCGCCTGCAAACAAGTTTAATAAAGAGCACACTGAATTTTATCTCCCGGTTACATCACACAAACACTGACCTGTGATCAGTCTCCTATAAAAACATGGTTCAAAAGCAGTCTCAGTGGGGTCTAAAATTTAAACTTCATGGAGGGATAATTCAGATTCCCCTATCCTAAAATATCAAATCTGTAGAACGTGAGTGAAAATATTTTGGGAGTGGTTTTTTCCTGTCTCTCCATTTGTCTTTTTTTTTTGTCTTTTTTTGGTTCAGCTTGTCGCCGAGTCTTTGGATCTGTCGGTGCAGAGCTTCTTGCTGCTGTGGCTCTCCTGCTCGTCCGCTCTGCTGTGCTTCCCAATGTGACCGTCTGAAACAGAAAGTAACACAATTGTTTAAACACATTGGAATTTTGTTTTTCAAATTTTCATTGTTGAGTGGGAGGGTTGAACATGTTTTACAGAGAGAAAGCTGTGCAGCTGCAGGGAGGTGAAGATACATTCAAACTCAAGTCTTTCTAAGCTTCAAGAAGACCATTTAAGAGCAAAAACACATCTTTGTTTTTGTCTTTGCTTAATTTTGAGGCATGAATTAAACTGGAACTTACTGGCGAGGTGAGGAGAGGATACAGAACCGATAGACGGACTCCTCTGCCACTGTGGAGACAGAAAGATTTCAGTTTCTCCTCTTTAGTGAAGCATAAAAGTTTATTTGCATTTACAGCTGAAGATGAGAGGTGAAAACATAACCTCCTTGGCGGAGGTAATAAAGATGGAGTAAGGACACAGTGATAGATTTGACGTCCATTTTTGTACTCACTATGAACTTGCTGACGTTCTTCATGCTGCTGAACCTCAGGTAAGAGATGTCTCCTTTGTCTTTGTCTCTGTCCTGGTCGGTTGTGTAGATGTGTGTGATGCCGGCTCCTTGGATCAGAGGCACACACTCGTCACACGGATACTTAGTCACGAACAACATGGTGGGCTCGTCAGGTCTGATCTCTCGAGTCCTGAATGTCAAGGAGGAACATTTTAGCCGAACAGATTCAGAATCAGTGGAGGGTCACATCAGTTATGAAAGTCCTGACCTGAATGTGAGGGCGTTCTGCTCGGCGTGGATGATGTATCTGTATTTGCGCCTCTGTCTGTCTTCCTGTTTGTTGTCCATCTGTGGGTACTCTGCGTAGTGAGAGCCAGCTGGGTAAGCGTTATACCCGCAGCCTACCAGGTGGAGACACCCTGTCCCGTCACTCCCAGCCTGCAAAAGAAGTATTACCAATCTGCAGTATTTCTCTGACATGATTTATATTGAAATGTTGCCACAAACAAAAGTTAGGTTTGAGGGTTTACAAGTGTATGTTTGTGAGCATCAGACAGTGTCAACCTCCATTTGTCTGCAGCTGGTATCATAAATTTTGTCCTTTTTTAATAACCCAAACTGTAGAGTGGAATAATGAGATTTTGCACCTGAGATAAAACTTCCAAACTGATGCAAAGAGATGAAAAATATGCTCACCAGCTGTCGTTTGGCCCAGATCACAGTTCCCACTCCAACTTTAGGATCCTCTGAGTTAAAACAAAAATACAGTTTCACAGGTAAGAAACAGGTGAAAATGGAAAATGCCATTGTTGCTGTGAGCCTTGATGAACCAAATGAGCAGGATCATATACAGTTATGTTCATAATAATAGCAGTGTGTTTAAAAAGGTGAGTAAACCTCAAAATTCTTCAAATAAATTGGATGTTAATGAACACAAAAACATTGGGGATACTGTGCATTCTATTTCAAAGCAAGAAAATTGGAAAAAGTAGTTGAATTTGATCATATTTTACAGAAAGTCAAGAAACATAATGTTAAAAAAAATAGCAGTGTTGACATCTTTACAGTACTGTATAAACTAAGAAATGCTTGAAGATTCAACCTTCCTGAGAATCATAAACTAATATTTAGTTGCATTACAACGGTTTCTACCACCTCCCTTTCACAGTTCATTATAAACATACTGTAGATATTAGTTTGTTTAATCCCTCTGTAGTGCCATTAAGCTTGCTTCTAGAGACAGTATCATTAATCAGACCTGTCCGAAAGGCCAGCAGCCTGGCTTGGATGATACAGTGCCGAGCTACTTCCTGTGACAGTCCCTCCTGGTGATGAACCATTAAAGATTTTGCTCGTGAAGGCCCAGAGGTTGAATTCTCCTCCCTGAATCACAGAAAAAAAAGAACAAATCAAGCAAAAGAAGATTTTTTGTTACAAAACGGTGAAACCCTGTGAGAGTTTCTGACCTGTAGAACCCGTAGTGTTGCGTTGGTACCCCAGCAGCAACAGCAGCGAGGACCTCCACCAGCTCCCTCATGTTGTGTCTCAGGCTGGAGAAGTACGGCTCTACGCAGAAATTCTCCAAACCCATGTGGGTCAGAATCTCCTGGTGCTGATGAGACGTTTCCACCAGGAAGCTTCTGGAGAAATCTTTGAGGTGTTTTAACCGCTCCCTAAAAATTCAAAGAAAAATCTCCTTCTGACACTTTTTCATACAAATTTTAAGTGATTTTTCGTCTTTTTTGAAGTCGCAGATTCCCTGTACCTGTTGTAAAGGTTGTGTGTGTTCAGCCCCGGTTCATCGTCTCTCACTCTCTCCATGAAGTCACACTCTCTGGACGTCTCACTGATGAACTGAGCCAAGCCGGGCGCCAGCGGCTGCAGCAGCACGCAGATGTGAGGACGGCTGTTTGACTTGAGCTTCTCTATTGCTACTGCATCCAGCGCAGCATCCTCCGAGATACAGCCAGGTGAATTGTGGGAATTGGAGTTTGATTGGTGGCTTGATGCAGACTTTAACATGCTGATTTCAGGGTCACCAGGCCAGAAGGAGATCTGACTGACACCGGCTGGAGACACCAAAACACAAATTTAATCTTAACATTACCACTCTTTCATTTTTCATTTTGAATAAAGAGGAAAAGAGGAACAATACAGACAAAGTTCTTCCTTTTTCCCTCACCATTTATGATCATCTTGAGACAGGTCGCGCAGGGTCTCCTGGAGAAATATAACTGACAGTCAGCGAGGCGGGAGCCATGTTGGAGGATGGCTGCCTGTCCTGCATGCAGCTCCGGTCCTGAACAGTGAAGTCCTACCACCTTACTGTCCCGTACCACCACAAGACCCAGCCTGTGGACCTGAAACACACACAGATACACACAAAGACACACAAAACTGTTTGAAAACTCTTCTAGTCAAACACTAACAAGAGACTTCAGAACTTCAGCCAAAACTCACAAATTATAAAATTGGCCTGTAGTTATACAAATATTTGGAGTTTCCTCCTTTTAATACAGGAAGAAAAGTAGATTTCCATGTCCTAGATCATCATGACCAGTCATCAGTATGAATTTCACTTTAATTTGTAATGTCAAAAAACTCTTTATAGTAATTCTAAACACTTTGCACACTAACCTGTTTGTGATCATCCTCCTCTTCAGGGTCCTCCTGCGGAAACAACTCCATCCACAAGCTCAACAAGGTAAACAGGTTTACCTTTGATAACCTGGGGCCATGACCTGCATGAAAGAAAAGAAAAAAGAGCACATTATTATCTGCAACCTGGGAGTTATTTTGGACCCTGGTCTAAGCTTTTGATCACCAAGGTTAGGCCCTTCCTCAGCAGGAAGGATCTTGAAATGGTCATCCATGCTTTTATCAGTGCTAGGTTAGATTATTGTAATTCCTGATACATTGGAATCAAGCAATCTTCTCTCTCTTGCCGCCAACTGGTACAATATGCTGCAGCACGCTTTTTGACCAACGCCCCCCATCACAGTCACATCACTCCCGTTCTTCTCTCCTTGCATCGGCTCCCGCTTAAATTCAGGATCATTTTTAAACTTTTAATGTCTGTTTTCAAAGCTATCCATGGTCTTGCTCCAGCATATCTGGCTGACTGCATAACACTTACACAACACTGTAGAGCCCTCAGGTCCTCAGAACAACCCCAGTTGGAGATTCCTTTCTCAAAAAAATTCAGCGTTAACCTAGGGTGTCATAACTTTCATTTCTTATAAAATGATTAAATAAATTTACACACACATCTGAAGGAGAGTCAAAGCACTTTTTTGAGGATAATTATTTGCAGTTGCAGAAACAAGTTTAACTTAACTGGAAGATCCTCCTTGTAATGTTAGCACACCTGTGTGGTGACATTGTGCACCCATTGCAAAATGTTGCTGCTTGTCAGTTCAGCTATAATAACAACCTTTATATGCATTACACATTTCAGCCCTAGCTCTGGATCTAAAAGAGATGATGTGCCTCATTGATGAAAATTAAACCTCCCGTTTGATTATAACTGTGGAGACTCCTCACATGTTATTTAAGGCTGACTCAGTTTCTTTAAAAAGAAGAAACTATTACTACCACGAATATCCCCCATCATTGTGGCAACACTGGAGCTGAATGCTTAGAAATAAACTCCTTGCGCAGAGACATTTAATCCGCCCAGATGATCAGTTTTGTCTCCTAGCAATATGAGACATTTTCACTAACATATGCTACCTCTAAATAAAAGATTAACAGTTTACATTGACTTAATTTGACTGACTTTTACAGGATGTTAATAGGTCTAACCCTCTTAAACTCTGATTATAAGCACAGCTGCCATAAACAGTGAACACGTAGCTGCATTATAAGGCAGTAAAGCTGCATAATCTTGCATAAACATCAGCTGATTTATGGCATTAGAGAATGGAAACCGATGCAACTGCATCATAACATCAACTCCCCCTGTCTCACCTTGGACTCTGCTGTCCGTCTGGGTGCTGCTGTCAACCGTATTCTGACCCGGTCTGGTTTGAACCGGATCGGCTCGGTAAAGTTTCTCACCCCTGTCCATTCAGTAAGGCGAGGGATCGCTTGATATTTCGCTCCGGACCTTTAAAAAAACAGACAAACACTATAAAGATGACAGGAGTTCAACCAGGATCAGCGTTAACCCGGTATCAGCGTCAAGAAGATGAATAAAACAAGCTACTTCCGGTCTGTCCTTTCAAAGTAAAGTTCTAACGGTCGAAGAGAGGCTAAATTCCCTCCAAAAAGGATAACCAAAAAAAAAAAAAATAAATAAAACAACTTTAAACCTTTGTTTTTGAAGTTGTGCATATTAAATGCTAAAAAACGAAAATATTCATACATGTCGCACCTTTCAGGAGAAGTCTTTTCACCTGTGTGTTTTCTGTACGTCAAAAATTACCAATGTTTGTAGTGTGGTAGTGTATCTTTGAGATAGAGCACCTTAAGCTATATTTTATTTCCATTTAATTTTTTTAACAAGTGTTTTGTCTTCTTGTCTCTATACCCACTATCTTTAATAAAAATAAGTTTGACGCTTGTGTTTCCGTCTGGGCTAACAATCGGTTACTTGACAAACGTTTGAGAAGGCCTCTTCCGCAGTCGAAGCTGACGTAACCAGGTAGGCGGGGCTTCTGCTGCAACGTTTGTCAAGTACCGTTTCATAACACAAGATGGCGGCAGACTGCTGATACCATGCACTGTACTATCAGATTTGATCAGAACATAAAGGATAAGCTTATTAATTGGGCAAAAACAAATATAAACACTTCTCATTTTTAATATGCAAAAAAATTCAGTTATTTTTCATGTAAAAAAAGAACAGTATGTGGTGAGATAAATCACAAAAAGAAGCAGTTTGAAGTTATTTATTTCTTCACAGAAGTAATCCAAAACTAAGTACAAAAAAACAAAATAAAATATAACAGTTATGTAACAGAAAGAGCCATAAAATCAAGATATTATACTGCTTGTAATTATAACCTCCTGGTAAAAACCTCAAGCTTAAGTCGAAACAAATAAGCTGCATTTTAAATACTATTCTGCAGTTAAAAAAGCATAACAAGCAAACTAAAAATATATATTTTCCATCTTTACAAAGAAAGCAACACAATCCTTTAAATCCTCAGTTTGCTTTGTACATAAAACAAGAGGAAAACTGCACACATTAACAGCTGCTTTCAAACCTGAATGAGACAGAGCTGTCATAACAAACCAAATGAAAACGGTTGTTTCAAGCCTCTGAGTGCAACAAGAAGTAGAGACCTTGCGTGTGAAAAAACAAACTCGTGTCCAAACTGTCAGCTGAGTCTGCCAACCAAACCTTATCTCTATCTAACATGAAGAAAAAGCAAAACTCTGGGCCTGCAGGCAGTCTGTAGTCATTTTCAATCTACAGGGAGGAGTAAATAATGCAGCATCTTACACAACTTCAAAGTTTTCATACTGCTTAAGCTTGTTTTAGCTGTATATACAGGAAAAAAGCAGAGAATGTGAAAAATAAATGAAACAGTTTGCAGCATTTTGCAAAAAAAAAAAAAAAAGGAAAATTAGTCACCTTGAATCAGTGTTAAAGATTCCAGTGTAATAAGGAATATCTGGAGTATAAAGGCTCATTTACATGTAGAAACACACCTCTCATTTTAGATACATGCTGTCATTTGAACGAAAGCAAAACAATCTGCTAATAAAGTAACAGTCACCCAAATGTTGTCTTACTTTTGTAAAGTTTCTAGTGCATTTCGTTTCACTCTGTTTCCAGCGTTTTCTCCCACAGCAGCTCAAAGAATCTGACCTGTTGTTGTTTTAATGAGCAGAAAAAAAGGTAGAAATGTGTTGTTTTTGTTTTGTTTTAAAGTGCCAAAGAACAAATTATATCAGATAGCATGAACATTCTCAGAGTAAAAAGATGTAAAAAAAAAATGCATCCAATAGTGGTTTTATATCTCTGCAGTGTGCGACAACCAGCAAACAAAGGTGACCCTGAACAGGATCTGAGCTTCAAGAGCACATTTAAGAAAAGCTCTGGACCTATTTGTAAGAGCTCGTCATATCAGGATGAATGGGAATGGAAAGTTTGGGAATCTCACCAGCAGGCTGTCTCAGTATACAGCTTGAATAAATTCTTCAAAACCAGAGTATTTGACCTGAAAGTTCTGGTTTCTGCCACCGAGAAGTGTCTGGAAACAATTTCTGAAAGGGGTTCCTACAAAAACAGATTTGTTTATAAAAGAATTAAGCTTGTTTGGGCAAGATCAGCTGCTTTTAAGTCACCAGACTCCACTGACAAAAACCTGCAATTTAACCTCATGAAACAAAGGAGCTGCTGTCTTTACATGTCAGATTGGAGTGAAACATTCTCCAAAATTAAATTAAGAAAATTCGGTTTTTATGGAGACAAACAGTGCAAAAATAAATGTCACAGTATGAGGAGAATAAAGCCCCAATGTTATGAAAATGAGGTAAGAAAGCAAGGAGACGAAAGTTGTCATATTACAGATCTGAAACTGGGACTTTTGGTAAATGAAAAAATAAGGTCAGGATATTAAGAGATCAAAATTTAAATGTTACAAGGATGAATTTAAGATGCAATAACAAGAAAAAATGCATAAACCGAAATCTTCATAATGGAAAACAGAACTAGAAATTAAAGGTACAGTGAGTAATGAGCAGAAATGGCAGAACAGACTTGGTAGTGATGGAATACTGTACCTATTGTGCATCACAGGAGTTTTTTTGTCCTCGAAGGCCACTGTTACTTATATTTACTTCTTAATTCTGTCATTGGTTTTAGTCAACAAATCATTGTACTTCTACCTTCATGGTGTTATTTCAACTGTACTGTATTGTATTTGTGTCTCTATTAAAATGTGGAAACAAAGAGCTGACACATGTTGTATTTGACGTAAAATCTGCGGTTTTGTCAGTGGGGTTTGGTAGCTTTGGGGTTACTGATGTGGCAGCTGTGTTTGCAGTAAAAATGGAGATTGTACTTCAACAAAAAGTGTTAATTTCCAGACATTTCCCACAACATGAGCCTGCCAGTGGTTACAAATATCTACAAATTTTGGTGATGATATTGCACCTAAAAGCTGAAGCACCTAACTGGAGACATTCGAGAAGTTTTGATCTCTTTTATCTCCTACCGGGGCCCTGGTTTAAAATCTCCCATTCAATAGAAAATATAAACAGAGTCCAGAGCTTCTTTTTGCCTTTAACTATTATCCTCTTAAGCATTTTGTCTGATGAGTTTTCTTTTCCAGGAGACGTTAAAGCGCTGAAAAAACTCAAAAATTCAAGTATAGGAAGAGCACATTAAGAGTTGCACTGCAGTGTGACTGAAAAAGGCGCCGGAGTTGCGACGGCTGCTTCCACAGGTGGGAACCAAAGTGCTTTTTTGTTTTTTGTTTTTTTCTGCATTTCAGTGCAAACAGAGACTCTCTCTGAGGAATGTGATCAGATCAGCTACATGTGGAGCAGCGACACACCCGGAGCGATACTGCGTCCACCTTTTAGAGTGCAGTTTGTAAAAAAAACAAAAAACGAAGTGCAGGTACCACTCAGTTCTTGAAGGCTCCACAGCGGCTCGCTCGGCTGATGAACTCTTTCAGCATCCCGCCGTCTACCTGCCAGAAAGCTCCAGTTTGGGTGACCTGAGTCAGGTGGTTGACGCAGAACCTGAAACAGAACACCTCCAGGTCCTAGAAAGAAAAAAAGACAAGACAGTCCTGTATGGAAAGCCTCTGCAAATATATCTAGGGATGGGAATCAAATGACAAGTTTAGGAGTTTATTGATATCGATGCCATTATCGATTCTGCTTATCGATTCAATTCTTTAACGATTCCCTTATCAATGCCTTTCTTAGATTAAAAAAAAGTAGACTAGTAGACTAGTGAGAGTCTAAAATAATCAAACAAAAATGTTATTTGTACAGCATTTTTTTACAGAGGTTTTTTTTTTTTTTTTTGGTCGGGATGCATTCTACGGCAGGGGTGCATTCTACAACACAACACCAGAGGAGAGCATTGAATACATGTGACTCCTTATATTTGATGCCGTGCCCCGTTGACAAATGTTGAAGCATGTTGCTGGTGTTTCCACCTTTGCATGTCATCACTGCTCGACAAATGTTGCCCTGTTGTCATCTTTCTTAGTAAAATTAAGCCACGCTTTAGCTCGTTACTGCCTCCTTTTCATATCATTCGCCATGTTATTTCCTCTGTCTCTGTTCCCGTTTGCGTAAGATGGCGAGACTGTTTTTCAGGGCACCCGGAAGAAAGGAATCGTTAGGATAAAACGTAAATAATGTTGAGGGATTGAACCATTTGGAACCGGTTCTCAACAAGAACCAGTTCTCGATTCCCATCCCTGAATATATCCTTAATGAATCAGATCCATGTAAATATATCAGATCCTCAACACTTACCTCAGCGTCATATCGAATGGCGGCAGATAGCAGCGTGAAGGCGTTTTCCACCGTGATCCCTCTCTTGATGATCTGCTGACACAGACGCTTCAGGCGGTTTTCACAGTAAGAGGTGGCTAAATCCAGCAGGCCTGCAGCCGTACACGCACACACACACACAAAGATGCAGCATAATCACACCATGATACACATCTTCACTGGTTAAAGAGATCAAACATCTGTCTGTATGCTGACCGATGGCATCCTCAGGTGGAAGGTCGACAGTATCTGTGTAGAGAAACTGCAGGAAGGATCTGTAGACCGGGTAAGAGAACTGTCCGATCTCGATCACGTCCTGCTGATCTTCTGTCCACTGGGAGCGAAACATGGAGCGGAAATGCTCACACCTACACAAAACATCAAAAACAACATATTTTTACACATATGGTACATGAAAAGAGATGCGGATTTCCTTTTCCAAAGGTACTTAGCACCTGCCCACAGCGCCAAAACTACCAAATAGTTTTACGACCATGATATTGTGCTTGATTTGACCTGAAGTCCGTTCAGCCAGCTTCAATAACACCTCAGCAGAGTGTATAAAAACACAAACCTGATCTTCAGCACTGCTTTGTGTACGTGAATGCATTTTCCATCAACACTGAATTTAAGATCGGCTGTTTCTGGACTGTCAAACTCTTTCCTCAGAGCCTCCGCCACGGTCAGAAAATCATCATGCTCTGGAAAAAAAAAAAAGAAAGGACAAAGAAACCTTTGTCATTCTTGGTTCTTAAAGGAAGTAAACTTAAAACAGAGTGACCGGAAACAATGGGGACACACCCATAGACGTGAGCCTCCACATGACGGAGGGAGTGGCGAAACAGGCAAAGACATCGTCAGTGCTTGCGAAGTATGTGAGGTGCGGCGTGACGATGGACTGACCGCGACACTGACCCCACATGTACACCTGGGAGAATAAAAATAAAATAACAAATAAAATAAAAATTAATTGATAGATCAGGATTATAAGTATGTATTAACACCATCAAAACTTAAGAAAACTGGACAGTAGTGAAGGTGAATGAGACCAAATGCATAAATACCTGCCCACTTTGGGTTTTGGCTGCTGAGGTATGTGTTGAATGGCATGCTGCGATTTCTACAACCCTGTTCAACAAGAGCTTAATGAATAAATAAGTCAGCCTTCATCTCCAAATATGAAAAGAATCACATGAAAAAGTCGGAGTGTTTTAGTCTTTTGTACACCGACACATACAGAGAAGTCGAGGTGCAGGAGAAGAAACAAGGACAGGAAACAGGAAGTTTACATCTTGACAGGAAGGGAAGAAACTCTCTTGCTCTGAGCTTAACTCTCCTACCTCTCTTTGTCTTGCATGACCTGAACCGGGCTGAGCTGGTTGCTCTTGTTGCCGGTTCCCAGTTGGCCGTAGGTGTTGGCTCCCCAGGCGTAGAGCAGCCCTTCGTCTGTTAGTGCCAGGCAGTGACCGTAGCCGCACACGATCTGGGAAACAGGGAAAACTTGAGTCACGACTGAGTCATGTCAAACCAGGGCTGCTGCACGCTTCGCAAAGTCACTCTTTTAGACCCTAAACAGCAACTGACACAAGTATGTCATGTTTAATTAATATAAATCCTCACCTAAAAGTTTTTTTTTGTATATCTTGCTTATGCAAATCAGGGAGTGCGGCCCTCATGATTGAAGCTGTTACTGAGCTTAAAGCCTGAGAGATTGCTGTGGATGTTATTATACTAATATAATACAGTTAATTATCATTTTAATGAACTGTATTAACAAATGACTGCTTGATTTTAATACCTTAAGCCAGTGGTTCTCAAGTCCAGTCCTCAAGGCCCACTGTCCTGCATGTTTTGGATGTTTCCCTGCTCCAACACACCTGATTCAAATGATCAGCTCGTTAGTAAGCCATTCCAGAGCTTGCTAACGAGCTGATCATTTGAATCAGGTGTGTTGGGGCAGGGAAACATCAAAAACATGCAGGACAGTGGACCTCGAGGACTGGACTTGAGAACCACTGCCTTAAGATATTTTAATTTAAAGTTTTTTTTGGTTATGAAACAGACTAAAATGGACACTGATGCATTTTAACGATGCAAAAAGGAAAATAAACCATCAAGACAAGACTGACCATTCTTATACTGTAAATCTGAATGCCTGTGACAACTGTGAAGAGGGTAGAGAAACTGCCTTTTCACACAGCAAAACTTCACAGTGTATTCATCCATTTGATGCCACCATTTTTATCAATTAAAATGGGTTTCTTTGCAACAGGTTGTTTCCTGACCTGTGAAATACAAAGCTCTTGCAGCGCAGTGAGGCGGCAGGGCTGCAGCTGGTTCCCGTTGTTACCGATACCCAGCTGTCCGTTTCCGTTGTAGCCCCAGCCGTAAACCTGGATAACAACAAACAGTAGTCCTGTCAGTGTGGGAGCTTTAAGGCGGTGTGACTGAAACAATCAGGACGTTGAGCATCCTCACCTCTCCGTTGTCGATCAGAGCCATGGAGGACGTCTGCCCGCAGGTGATGCTGATCGCGGTCTTGCCCTGCAAGGAGCCGGTCACTCGGCGAGGGTACGGTTGGTTGGCTGAGTTTCCTGAGCCGACCTGACCACAGTTGTTGTAACCCCATGCATAGACCTGGGAGAATGAGAAGGGAAGGACACAATACGGGTCAAAATCAACCAAGGTAGAGGTTTTTTTTTTTTAAATGTGTGGATGGATTAAACTGGTATTTAGCCCTGCTGGACTTATCACACTTTCTTAGAGTGTTTGACAACAAAAGCATCTTTGAATCCTGGAGGTAAAAACCACAAAAACACCCCCAAATCCTTCACTTTTAGATCATTTTCTATCTCCAAAGCACCATTTTCTGGTGACACAAGTTGGGAAAAGCCAGACAGGTAGAAACCTTTCACACAGCACCCCTTTTTACTGCAAGTCACTCGCTCACTCACACACACAAACACACACTCACGGCCTAATTAGCTTTAGTGCATCTGGTTTAAGAGTAAGCTGCTTAACCTGAAGCTGGTGGAGCAGGAGCACTGAGGCTTTCACTATGAAACACAAGCAAACTAGAGCAGCGCTTCTGCTTAGAATTAGTAGTGATTAATTACTGTTATCTAATTATTTGGCCGATTGTACAGTATTTCTTCAGAATATGTCACCTATTTTTTATTTCATTTGGAATCGCATGAGGAGTAATCTCATTCAAAACAAAATCAAGTATCAGGTTTTGATCAGTAAAACGAATTCAAACACGTGTACCCAGAGAGTCAGAGTTAACCCCTACCTCTCCATCGTGAGTGAGAGCCATTGAGGATGTGAGCCACACGACACTTGGACTACTTTCTTGCTCTGAAGGTTAGAGGTGACGAGCAGAGGGGTCAAGCCCTGGTTGGCGTTCCCGTTCCCCAGCTGGCTGTAACCATTATGACCCCAGGCGAACAGCTGTCCATCTACACAGATCAACACACAGATTAGAGGAGCACCTTATTTCAAACATTATCTCTCTATGAGGACCTTTTCTGTGGCTGCAAGGTAAAGAAATCCCCCACATCTCAAGTTAGTTATCTGCTCTTAATTACCGGAGAGACAGGTGAATTTATTCTTGACAGGTGAGCACATGACCCCAGACTTGATTATTCTTTTAACTACTAACATACAGCATGTCATGACCTACCCTCTGTGGCTAACAGGACATGTGGTCCACTACCGTAGCTCAAGCTGACCACCTTCTTCCCTCGTAGAAAGTCTAGTTTCTTTGGCACGATGGTGCTCAGGCTGTCTCCTGTGCCGAGGCAGCTGCTGCTGTTACAGCCGAAAACAAACACCTGGAAACAATAACGCACATGTGATAAACAGATATGAAAGTTAGGGAGTTGTAGTTGTCAGTGGGTGTGCAAAAAATTTAAATAAGGTACAAGTAAATAAGATAAATTTGAGTGTCTGTGAGGAGTTTTTGACTTACTGACCTGTGACCACAAACAAAACAATCAACAACAAGATTGACAGCTCCTTTTTTGTCATTTTTAGTACCTGTGTGACCTGCTGATGTCCCATAAACCCCCCTCACCTCATTGGAATGCGTTATGTAGATGGCTTCATTAGCGTAGATTCCAAACACACAGGCCTGTCTGATTGTGGACAGCTCCTCATTGCTCAGCAGGGAGAACAGGGGCCACTTACTGACGTCCACCATAGCGCCCACAAGACTCGAACCTCTTTGTACGGGAGGGGGAAGAGGAGTCAGGGCTGATAGGGGCGAGGAGGAAGGGACAGGAGGGGGATGACGAGGTGAAGGGAGGATGTGAGGAGGAGATGCTGGAGGAGGTGAGGAGCAAGGAGCTGAATCATCCCTGCTGACACTACAGAGATGACAAAATAGGACATAAATGGGAGAAAAGAGGATAAACAGAGGGCTTATGACATTGTATTTAAAATATATGAACCTTTTTATTCTGCTCAAGCTCTAACTGAAATGAAGCATGCAGTCAAAGCAGCAGTTTGCGATTGAAATACAGCAAAACTGAATTGCATCAGGGTTATCACTATGGTTATTATCATGCACAAAACCGAACAAAATAATGGAAAATTCAGTGTTAAAAACTGTTTCTTAACCGGAAATGAAAGTAAAATGCAAGGGTTTCCAAAATATACATATCACCTGAAGCAAGCAGAAAATGCCTTAAGTTTATTTTCATTTTCTATTTCATTTCTTTTTTTGGTCTCAACCCTCACAAGTATTTCATTATAAATAAAGTAAAACTAAGTATTTTATTTTCTATGGATAAAATTAAACCAAAGAAACCAGAATTAAAACTAAAAGAAAAAGGGAAAGTAGGGAAAAAGCGAGAACCAAAAGTCAACAGACTATTCCAACCTTGCTCAATACAATAACTGACTGTTTAAAGGTTTTTCCCTTACATATGGGTTTTAAATCGCCTTTACAGCATATATCGTTCATATCTTGACAGAAAACTACCTTAAAATTAATTCGGCATACTTGCTAACTCGTTGTAACCCATTAGTTTACTGTAATTCGCCAAGAAATTGACATGATATCACAGTTTTTCCGAGGATAGCAGATGCTGAGAAACGCTGTTTTTTTAGTTCGGTGTGGCGTCCCTCTCTATCAGCGCCAGCCAAAACTACACAAGTACTATCGTCAGTGAGTCATAAATACGTAACTTTACTTGGGGGCTTCCTTAAAAGCCTCTTGTAAGATAACATATAATATTTGACCCACTTTTTTAGAAACAAAAGCAAGCTAACTGCAGCACGGGGTAAATATGGAGAAGCTAGCAGCTTTGTTAAGCGGTTTCCTGCGCTCGTCATACCTAGAGCATCGCTCCATGACAACAAGCCAACTGAGAAAAGACAGACAAACAAGAATATTTCATCACAATAACAGGACATTAGGACAATATCTTTGTTAAATCAACAAAAAATAGGAAGTTACCTGCTGAAATCGCTTTACCGGCGTTGTCAACAGTAACGGTAAGTCTTCCTCTTCGTCTGCTTGTGTCACAGTAGAGCAGATGGGGTATGGAGACAATGTCGCGCCCCCCACCGGTTAAACAACCGCAAAATACAGCAAACAGGAGCCAGAGTGGAGTTCAAAAAGAACTAAAATATGGATAAATCGCCTTTAACTTTTGAATGTAACAGATCTAATATTGTTAAAAGATAAAAACATAAAGGATAAATAATCAATATAGTATGCAATTCTCTTTTAGACCCTAAATGGGGTGTAAACATCATATGTTTTCACTCTCCTCTGTAACACACATACAGTGGATATAAAAGTCTACACACCCTTGTTCAAATGCTAAGTTTTTGTCATATAAAAAAGTTACATTAAGATAAATAAATTCACAATTTTTTCTGTGACCAATAACCTGTACAACACAACTGAAAAACAAACAGAAATCTTTCAGGGAGGTGAAGTAAAAAAAACAACTGAGATCATGCGGTTGCATTAGTGTGCACACCCTTTAATAACTGGGGATATGGCTGTGTTCAGATTGAACCAGTAACATTCAAATAACTTCACCGGAATAAGATTGAGACTCTGGAATGGCCCAGCTGAAGCCCAGACCTGAATCCCATCGAACATTTGTGGGGTGATCTGAGGAGGGCTGTGCATAGGAGATGCCCTTGCAATCTGTCAGATTTGGAGTGGTTTTGCAAAGAAGAGTGGACAAATATTTCCACATCAAGATGTGCCACACTGTTAGACTCCTACCCAAAAAGACTGAGTGCTGTAATAAAAGCCAAAGGTGCTGCAACATTAGTTTAAGGGTGTGCATATTTATGCAACCAGGTTATTTTAACTTCTCTATTTTTTTCCCCCTTAAAGGTTTCAGTTTGTTTTTCAATTGCGTTGTACAAAAAGTTGTGAAAATATTTATCTTAATGTCATTTTCTTACATCACGAAAACCTGGTGTGTAGACTTTTTATATCCACTGTACATCATACGTTTTCACCTTCCTTTGTACTACACATGTTTTCACACTTGTAAAACCATTAAGTATACTGTATACTTCATGTATGTGGGGGGAAATAAATGATGTGAGACAAAGAAATGCAGGATATGCATTAAGATTTTGCATTTTTAAAATTATTTTTGTTTAATGGTAGATTGAAATGTTTTTTGTTTTGTTTTTGCAGCTGACCTCCTCCACAGGGCCACCAGAATACAGTCGTTTTCAATTATGTATCAGTGTCTCTGTTACCACTAAGCAACACAAAAATCAGACCATTTAAGTGAAAGTCGGCTGTTATAAAGAGGTTTGAAATCATATATTTGCTCCGTGAAAAATAACCACACACACGCACACACAGAGCATGCATTTCCATCCGTTTATTTGTGGTGATTGTGGTACAATTATAGCATCAATGTGGAAAATACAGTGGCTGCTGCTTTTATTCTTTGTAATCTGGGATGAAAATGTCAAGCTCTGCTGTGGCTTCTTTGTTTCAGCTGGAAAAAAAAGGCAAAATTAACAAAAGACATTTGGCTGGTTGCTTAAATTTTACAGTTAAAACATAATACTGTTGCAAAGTTCGTGTTTGATAAGCTTGTATTATTTTGGCTGAACATGGACCATCAGTTTGTTTTCTTATTTGTTTGATGGAAAAAAAAGGCAGGATGGTCATTTGCAGGATTGTGGCTGCCTTTAATTCTCTCTTCAGATGAGCTTTATTTCAATGAAAGCCTCAGATTTGGGCTTGAATTTGCTTTGAGATAGTTTTAAATAATATATAAACCAGAAATCTGTTTCTAAACTTTTAAGGATGCTAAAATCGAGTTATTAAAAACAAATAAAATTAGATTGGGAAATAAATTCTGAATTTTACTGAATTTTTCATTTTCAGAAAATGGAAACATGACAGTTTTTCAGTATGAGTCAAATGTAAAACCAACACCACTATATTAAAAGCACTTTAATGTCATTAATTTTGCACATTTTATGCTGCTTTAAAGTGGAATTCAAGTACTTTTTTTAACCATCGCTCTGTTTTTATACCTATTTTTAGGACTAAATGACCAAGAAGTTTCACAAGTACCCCTTTTGATTGCTTTAGATGGAATCTTTGAAGGCAAATGCACCAGATCACATGAACAAAGATTATTGATTTTGTTATTTAAGAGCTCAGACTGTTATACTTTAGTGGCTGACAATGTTACAAAGAGGATTTCTGCAGATTTAAACCCCTTTTTCTTAATGCTTTTTTAGGGCAAGAGAACAGAGATAATCACTCTCTTTAAATGCACCAGACTCCATTGACAAAGTAGTCACTTTATACTGCAGGAGACAGGAGTTGCTGGTCAACCACTGCGTGCTTTTAAAGTATAACAAAAACACTGCGCTGAATGTGAACAAACTTTTTGATGCGTCAACGTAACACAAGACTGTAAACTGCAAATCAATCATGCAGAAGCAGAGCAGCAACTCCTGTTTTATTCAAAATAAAATGACTATTTTTATCAATGGAGTTTGGCTACACCCAACAGAGCATCTTCCTGCAATGCGGTATTTGTGGATTTTTAATCAGGTGCATTTGCTTCCAAGGATTACGCTGCAGTCATCACAGTTGGTCTTTTCGCTGCTGAGAGAAGCAACCAAAACTTTTCCACTTTTTAGTCATTTAGGCTCCAAAATAATCTCAAAATAGAGCTCTGGTTTAAAAATGCAAGAATCCCCCTTTCAACTTTAGGTGGATTTTTCACAGTTTCACCATCAAATCCTGCTACAGTCAAAGTTCCTACATGAGTCTGTTGCTTGTAATTCTGCGACTTTCGCAACAAACCTCAAAGCGAAACTGTGATTCGTGTCTGTACACAACAGCAACCAATCAGCTGCAAAAAAGTTCAACATGTTTCCAACAGCGTAACTCAAATATAGTGAGTTAAGAGGTTCACTGCTTAATCAAAAACAAATATGTTCTATCCAGAGCATATTTTCATCAAGAGAATAATTAAGCTCCCCCTAGAAAAGATACTGAAAATATAAAAGAAAGATAAGAGAAGGGAAAACACACCAAACGAACGAACAAAAAGGCACCTCTGAGTCTCCTCCTCCTCGCTCTCTAATGTCAGAGTCAAACACGTGTTACAGTACAGAAAGAAAAGGAGTGAAACAAAAACACAAACAGCCGTCTGTACAAGAGTCTCCTGTTCATGTTCTCACTCACAAATGGCACTCACTTCAGGTGTACAAACCAGAAACTGTACATGACAAGAGATGAATCTAAATACTTAAAAAAAAATCACCATCAAGCAGAGTGAAAACAGTGATCAGCTTAACAAAAAAAAAATCATTCTTTTTATCATACAAAGAAAGTGTTATCGGCCACCCTCACGATTGAAGCCTCCTGCACCAACAGCAGCCCTAATTCACCGTCGCAAAGGCCCTTCATTTGAAAGAAAACACTTCACACATTTCAGGTTTTATTGTGGAGATTTTGGTCAGCAGTGACTCAAACCAGGTCTCAAAAAAACAAAAAAAAAAAACACTCGCCATCTTCGCCTCTCAAAAGCTTTGAATCTGAATTTTGGCACCGGTGGATTGTTATAAAGCTGGAAACGGATTTTAAAGTTTAGGCTGAAACTTTTGAGTAAATTTGTCCTCCTGTTAGCTGCAGAATCAGTTTTATGAAAGTCAAATCAGCTTTTTTTAAAATGTTGTTTTGTAGTGTTTTCTCATCTCTAGGGAAATGCAAATAATCAGAAATAAGCAAATCAAGCATTCAAACTATTATATTTCTACATGAATCAGTGTTGTTACCACGTCTGTTTAAGATAACTTCATTTTCAGTCGGCATTTAAAAACGAAATACTGACTGATGAGAATTTTATATTGAAGAACCAACATAGCTCTCTTAAAAACATCAGTTTTCACTGTTAAATCAAAATATTTGGGCAATAATGTCACATTTGTTGAAGAAAAAGTTGTGAGATAATAATTTTGTATATTATTTAACACATTTATAACTTTTGTGAGAAAATCAAAGTGTGACATTACAGAATTTTACATGAAAAAGTTGCAGAATTATAAAATTGTGACAAAAATGAAGCTGTGATTTCAGGCCACAGTTTGGCTCTGACTTATTTGGAGGGGAACATCAGACAGGTAACACCCCAAAACCAGGATCCAGGAGAATCTTGTGGTCTAAGATGTTTCTTACCAACTCTTTAGAGTCCTTAAACACCAGACAGTGTGGTTCTACTGCTCTTAGGCCGAGTGTTCATCGAGTTTGAAACTAAAGTCGGAAAAGCTGCAGTTCCTCAAGTGTCCACTTGAGGCTGCAAAAGCCCAGACTTAGATCATAATTATAAGCCAATGATATATGCAGATATTTTGCATCTTTAGAAGTGATCAAATTAGTCCAGCAACTTCTAGGCTGATATTCAATCATACTCAACTCAACAATAAAGAAATCCACATTAACCAAGTTACCTATTTTGCTTCCCTAGAGAGAGAAAACTTGCTCTGTTATTAGATATTATGCAAGAGGGGTTTTGGTGCCACCTCACCAACTTTCAGCTTTTAGCAACTAATGAGAGTGTTTTTACTCTGCGCATGTTTGCACTATTTTTTTGCCTGATAAATTACACAATCACAGAGTGCAAAAATATCCTCTTTTTGTTTTGCAGAAACAGAAAGTAAGCCGTGTGCAACACGTTCAGATCACCTGCGATCGGTGACCGTGACTCTTTACAAAAATGGTCAGGTCTGTTTTGTCGGACAGCCTGTGGACCATTTTTTTTCATCTGAAGCTTTTTGAAAACGCTGGTTCTCCAAACAGAGGAAATCAGCTGCCTCCAACAGCAGAGTTGTGGCACTACGTGCTACAGATGAAAAAAAAAAAAAAGCAATAATCATGAGAAAATTTACAAAAGAAACAATCAGTGATTGAGAACTATTTGCACAAATGAACAAAGAGAAAAAGACAAATAACGTCTTAAAGATTTAAATAGAATAACCGTTATTGTTAAGGTGTTTGTTTTCTACTGGATGTCTTCCTATTGGTAAAAAGTTGGGGTGGAGGGATACTTCTCTAGGAGGCTGGTTTCTTCAGATCCCTGATCTGTTTGATTAAGTAGGTCTTCTCATCGTTGAACTGCTCGTCGTCCGTGCGATCCTTCTGGAAGCTGCTCAGGAAATCGATTAGTTTGGTCTGGTTCTTGAGCAGGATGTCGATGATGGGCTGCGTTTTGTTGGGGTTTGCTACGAAAACCTGAAACAAGGAGCAAAAACAAGACATCAGACACTTACACTCACAACAGACACAAGAAGATTTCACCTCAAAATAAGGTATACAGTTCATTTACTCAACAGTAGTATTGTATCGGTATCGGTATCGATATCGATATCGATATCGATATCGATACCGATACCGATACCGATACGCTCAGTCCAGGTATCGGTATCGGATTGGATTGAAAAAAAAAAATGGATTGGTACATCTCTACTGAAATTAAAACCTACAGGTAGATCCTTCGTTTGGCAGATTATTCTCATCCATTTTTATGCCATTGTGAGTAAATGTTTTTTTTTCTAACTTGTTCAGGATTTCACCACACTTAAGTGAACCTACAGTTTCTGTCTCCTGCTCCTCTGGTGTCTGCATGTGAGTGAGACAGCGGCTAGTGTGTCGCAACGATTACCCAGATTTTTATTCACTGTCTTAGCATGTCTCAGTGAGTTTTGAGTGTCACCTTGAAGACGTGGAAAGCCTCAAACTGGATGTTCGGACTCTTGTCTCTGAGCAGGTTCATCATCAGCTTCAGGTTCTCAGGTTTGCTGATGTAGCGCGTCATCACCGTGAAGTTGTGTCGGTCCAATAACAACTCGCCCAGGAGCTGGAGGAGAGAAGAGAAAAAAAACAAGATGCTGTTTCTCCTACAGATTCAAACTGGCTCCCTCTGCTGGAGTATAAGAGGAAACAAATAATTCTTCCTTTTTAAAATCAACGTCATGAGTTTGACAGTTTTAAAAACAACATTCCTAGGTGATACTAATTCACAGTTAACACAACAGAGCGTTTCCAGTCAGTCCAGTTTATCAAAGTCAAACCTTTAGCGACTGCCTCTTGGTGACGTAGTTCTCAGAGTGCAGCAGCTTCTCATAGTCTGCAAACACCTGCAATTACACAAGAAACACACGCATGGATGCAAATTAATAACAGTCTGAGTCTTAAAGAAACTGACAACTTATATGCAGATGTTTTTACAGATGCACGCCAAACATCTAGGAGTCTGAGCCGTGTTAATATTGGAGTTGTGCACCGAAATCTTGACCCATATTTGACATTATTTCATCCTGTCAACACAATCTAGTTCAGAGCAAGAGTGCAGATGTTATAATAAAGTCTTTAAAAGTGTTTTTTAAACTTTTTTTTTTCTGTGTCAAAGTTTTCAGAACATTGCATATCAGGAAATCGAAGTCAAATCAAACAAAATCAAGTAATTTTATTTAGTTTCTGTTTAAAATTTTCAGCAGCTTATCACAAACTGGCTTAAATTCCCTTCAAGCAGCCAAAGTGGGCGTTGAGTCACGTCACGGTGACAACCCGACATCTGTTGTCATTCAGCGTGGGGGTAAAAAGGCAGTTTTGTGAGTGATTTCTTCAGCTTGAGACCCCCGTAGTCCTGCCTATGAAAGGGACCCCTCTGCTGGCATAGACCAGATCTGTTGTGACACCAGCAGCTCTTTCCACTTTTCCTGGAACTTTAAGAGTGTCGTCAAAACTCGAGTTCTTATCCGCCTGTTTTCTTGTGTATTGAAACGTCTCTCACAGAGCGGCGAGTGTGTGTGTGTGTGTGTGTGCGTGTGTGTTCGATGACACAAGCCTTTTTTTGGCGACGTGACTGGGCCATTGAGCAGCGCAGTGACTGACACCTGATCCGGTTGTGTATGTGAGTGTGTTTGCTCCCTGGAGTCCTCCTGGTCGGTCAGTGTTTACGTTCATGACCTGAGATCGCTCTAAGTGGTCGGTGCTGATGTGGGAAGTAAAGCCCGTCTTATTCAGATCGTGTTTTAAAACGTAAGAATCACTCACAGCGTCATAGTTTTGTTCGAGGTACTCAGCCACCAGGACTTTGTGTCTTGTCAGGAGATCCTGGAAATACAGACAGAAACATTTGTGTTGTTTTCAAGGCAGCTGGTTTTGATATTTAAGAAAAACGCTCGTGTCCTGGAGCGAATCCAGGTACCTTAAAGGTGGCGAAGGCGTCGGAGGCGATGTCGAAGGTGGACATCTCCACGTAGCCGAAGAAACTGTTGAAGTGTTCCGAGTGGAGGACGATCTTTGCGAGCGGCTCGTGGCGGATACACTCCCTCAGCATGATCCCGCAATTCAACGCTACCTGAGGCGTCTCGTACCTTCACACACACACACACACACGCAGAAACCATCAACAAACGGCCTCTCATCAGCCTTTTAATACATGTAAAGTGCGTGTGTGTGAGTCTCACCCTTTGAGCAGAATAAAGAGGACCTCTTGGTGGGAACAGAAATACTCGACAGTCGGACTCCTCGTGCCGATCTGCCTCCTGAGGATGTTGTTGAATATCTGACACACATCCTTCTTTCCCTGAAAAAAATTAACAAATAAGCGCTCAATAAGAGCAGCTGTGAGTCCTTATCACGTCTTTCAAATTGTTAATAAATAACAAAATAAAGTTGGAGATTGTTTAGGAATTACGGTAATCTAATCTAAAGGAGATGAGCGCATGAATCACTTCTCACTTCTTACCTCAAAGTCTATGACCTGCAGGTTTTCTACCAGTGAGATAAGCAAACCGCTGTTGTAAAGCTCCTGGGCCAGCTGGGCCACCGTCTCAGTGTGAGGCTCCTTATCGTTACTGCCGTACAGGATCTCCTTCATGGACACCAAACACTTGGACACCTCTTCAGACGCCTGCGGGACACGGGAGAGGAGGCGGAGTTTGTTAAAGACGCACATAATGGAGAAACAGGAATGAAAACACAGACCTACACCAAATCAAAAAAGAGTGATAGAAGAACCCAATTTTAGCCTGAGTTCAACTTTTGTTAGTTTCATGTGTGAGAGAGCGTGATCCGTCCTGACAGGAGAGTGTCAGGAGATGACAGGGCCAGGCTGTTCCTCGCTCTGAATTCACAGACTCCTGTCACCCCTCGGGGCCCCTGGACGCACAGGCATTCACACACACACACTTACACACATAGAAACACACTGTCCTCTACCTTATCTGTCTTCTTGTCCTGTTTGACCAGGACGGCCAGGTTCTCCTTCAGGGTCCTGACGATGTCCGCCGGACTCTTGTGGGATTTACCAAACAGCGGCATGATGGACACACACACTCGCCTTGGGACCTGAACATATTTTAGACACACACAGAGAAAGAAAACATCAATGAGGAAATCAGTGCAATAGCTGCAGTAGGGTTAGGTGATGAAAATACATCAGGATGAGTCAAGGTAACATTTATGTTAATAGTTGCAGCATCTACTTCGTTTAAGATTTGATTTCTTAGAGTTTGCATCTGGAAGCTGCTTATTTTAGTTTTCCTTAAATGTATTACTGGGTCTGTTATAAAGAAGAAGGAAGAAGAGATTTCTAAACCACACACCCTGTACAGTAGAAATTACAGCCTTAAAACTGAGTGAATGTCATGGTGGCAGCTCAGCTCGCAGTCCCCCTGACTTTCTCATCACCAATTTCTCCAACGAGTCACATCTAAACTACGACACATTAGGGTGAGGCGATATGGCCTCAAATCAATATCATGATATACTGAGAAGTTCATCTCAATAACGATAAATGGACGATAACTACTCCACAAGCTGCTCACCCCCTTCCACATTAACTTCATCTACTTCAGCCGCCGCTCCAGTCGCTACAACTTTTTGAACTGTCCTTCATCTCCTCTTTGTTGCGGACTGGATGGGGTGGAGTCACATCTCCGATGTGGGACGGCGTCTTAAAGGGACATGAGACCATAGCCTACCTACACACATCCAAAACCAACTATTTTTTTGACACAGAATATACCGATATGGGCAAAATGATGTCGGTTATTGTCGTAAATTCTGGTATCTGTAAATTTTCGGTTTATCGCCCAGCCCTACGACAAATACTTTTGGTGTTTATGCTGTTTTTTTATTTTTTAAAGTACTTTCAAAAGCTTATCTACGCCATGATTAATACCCCTTAGAAGAAAATTTGACATTTTTTTCCTCAAAATGAAGACAAACCAACTATTTTTTCTGTCTGAATATAGTCAGATCATTTTTATCTGTAGTATCCCAGAGTTACTTTTAAAATATACAACATTTACTCAGAAAACAAGGCAGAAATTTTGGAAAAGCAGTGTGCCACCATGTTTTCTATCCAACTAGCAGTTCTCTCACACACACACACCTGATAATGATCTTGCTGTGTGTCATCACCTGGCAACCCCACTCCAAAAACAGCTTCAGTGGAAAGTTTGGGGTAAAACGGGATTACAGGCATGACTGATTTTCTGCTCCTAACACACAACAAGTGCTGACTTTTTATAACAGCCTCTTATGCAACACATATATCACAGGTATATTACATAAATCAAGGTGTGAGCGCAGCTTAACAAGGTTCGTCCATCATGCGAAGAACACTTTTACTTTAAAGTGACTTATTCTCTGAATTTTCCCAAAGAAGTTGTCAAATATAGAATCCAGAAAGTTCATCCTGAGCCACCGTCAACAATTCCTGAAAGGCACGAGTTTTCAGACACATCAAGTTGGTATGACAAGTCATTAAAAGAGTGACATAACCGTGTGTGTGAGTGTGTAGAGCGTGTGTGTGAGGATTCCTCCAGCACCTTAGAGACACATTCCTTGTCATTTCAAGTCAACGTGAGCGACAGTGTAGCCTCGTTTACACCTGACTCTCCACATAAAAGCAGATGTGGTTTATTTTTACATGAAGTAGAGTATTTCTTTAAAAAGTATAGGCTCTTCCATTACTTGCATTTTAAGCTCATTCTCTTCCTCTGCTTTACTCACACACACCTCCTCCTCCTCTCACCGCCAGCCTGATACCTTTTTCATGCATCAGTTTGATCAAGTTAGTTTGACCCTGATCGTTTTTTTGTGTCAGAATGTTACAAACTGTTTTGGTATCAACAATTACAAGGTACCAGCATATATGACGGTTACTTAAAGCTCCTATTAGGAGTTTTTTTGTGTTAATATAATAGACTAGAATTCATAATATTGACTTCTAAAGGTAAATAAGACTATCAGAGACAGAATCAACACTTTTCATTTTGTAATTTTTAATTCTTGAAACTGTTCTGAGGGGGTAGGTGTCAGCCAAGTAGCATATAAAATACTCACAATAAATATTTTTGACTGTCAAAAGTCATCAGGATGAGATTTTTAGTCAAAAGACGCTATTTAAAAATTTAGAGGACGAGAAATACAAAGATTGTTTTGTCCACAGGGGGGCGCCAAAAATGACACAAACCAAAAGTTCCTCACAGGAGCTTTAAGTGTTTTGTTGCAGCCACCTTAATATCTAATCTCGCTAAAGAAGGACCGAAAGCAACTGATGTCTTAAAATGTTGGTACAATGCAACAAGTAAATGCATTTCCAACATTTCAAAAAGTAAACATTTGAAAAAGTAAAGATATTGCTGCAGATTGAGCTTGATTGCAGCTCTAAACTGTAAGAAAAGACAAGAAAAAATGTCAAACAAATTTGAAGAGGCTTTGTTTCAGTCCAGGACCGGCTGTTTAGAGTTTAAAGGATCCTGCAGGAAGCGGAGGCCTGCACAATCTAGGCCGGGTCATGAACGGGGAAGAGAACTTGTGACCACTAATCCTCATCTGGGAATGCTAATGGGCATTACACTCCAACCCTTCATTCCTCTCCATCAAACACTGCTATCACTCCTCCCTCACACTCCACCTTTGAGTTTCTTCTTTCAACTTTAGCCTCAATTTCTACATCCCAAACACTCAGCCTCTGCCCCAGGAGGGAAATACTTCACCAAAGACCTTCACTTTTACATTTTTGCATGCTGAGTAGCTCCCTGAAAGCTCGGATAAGAAGGTTATTAACTTCTTATCAAAGAGGAGGCTGAGGCGACAGCTGTTCAGAACGGCTTCTGCAGAGGTACTCACCGTTTAAGAAGTAAAACAGAGATTATTCTTTTCGTTACGGGTGCCATCTCAATTTAAAGAAGCTGGTTTTCACTGCATTGATGCATATTTTTGCACTGAATAGGCCATGCATTAAACTTTGAGCAAAGATTTGATAAAATTAGGACCTTCACTTCCTTATTTCTCTAGCTTTTCACAAAGTGTCCCATACTGTGTTGTTTAGAGCATCATATCGTGACAAATATCATCATGTATTGTAGCGTATCCCCCAGGGGAGCTACACAATCTTCATATGCCCATAGGCTGTATCAAGTGTCAATCATAAAACACATGAACCCCCTAATAACTTTTAAAAATGGAGCTGAACAGAAAAAAAGAGACTTGAGCACAAACCAGTCTTACGGTAACTACATGTCAACATCGCAAGCAGGGGGGAGAAAAATGTATATTCTGTGTAATAAATTTCTAAAGTTTGTCCACAGCTCCATAGAGATTACTGGAGGAGGCGGGATTTATGACCTAGACTGCAACCAGTCACCAGAGGGTGCTGTTCTCAAGGTGGCGTCCATTCTATGTACAGACTATGGTCATAGGTGGCCGAATGTATCTTGTCATAACTTGTATAGTGTCTAATGGAGTCGTGCCACATCATACTGTGTCATCTCAGTGCATTGTAACATGACTTACCACACTGCATGATATTCAGCTACACCACAAGCCTGAATGAGTTTTAATTCACAGCAATTATTAAACAACTAATGGACAGCCTGCCCCCAAAATCAATCTTCAAGAATCCTTATCTACCTTTTGCAAAATTTGTTTCAAAGTTTTTATCTCTCCACAGGAAACAACTGTGACTTAATGCTGATAAACTAACAAAAGCCACAATAAAGCAATCAGGAAGATGGACGAAAACAAAAGAGCTCCATTTCTGAGGCGTAAAGGGCAGCAATTTCCCAGGAGGACACTCAAAGCGGAAACTACAAGCTGTGAAACAGATTTATTACATCAATTTTGCTTTGTTAGAAAAATCCAATTTTGTGAAATAAAACACAACATGCAGCTCAAATATCACCAACGAGAGTTTTCTCCACGCTGACCCTGTTGCTAAACGACTTCAGCAGATTTAGTGCATTAAGAAAATAACGGGCCAATAAGGTCGAAGTTCAAACACCCAAATCCTAAAAGTAGCTTTCAATTGAGGGTCAACTTTCTATCTATCTAATACAATCAGTTTAAAGCTCAAGAAGTCCGGTAAAAACCATCTGGAGTCTCCTCTCCCTCGTCTGTGGTCTGACTTTGTTGCTGCAGCTGTGACTAAATATTTCTGATTATTAAAGATTACTTAACGGGTCCATTTTAATCATCTAATAACACTTCCTGAGGTCCTGGAAACCTTAAGCTGGAGGTGACTGAGAAGCCTTCATTTCCACTCGTAGCCTACTTAAGACTGAGTAAATGTTATGTAATGGAATTAATCTGGTGCCCACTGGGCTCGAACACACACACAGCGAGCTGCTCTGTTTAAGATTAATCCAGCAGAGACAGAGGCTCCACATCCACCCCGGTATTCATCTTTTCTCTGCTGTAATCATGAGACAGAAAACCAGAGTTAAATAAAGACAGACGAGGATAAAAGTAGAGGACACGCTGACATGACGAGGGACTCACTTTTCATCTAGTTTAGAAGATTTACTTCATCCTCAGTGACATGTCATATTAGGATTTTGTGTTGTTCCCTACAGACACTGATGCACAGATAAATCCTGCGAAAGGTACCAGGATTATTACAGTGAGATAAACCTACGCCTCTATTTATGACAAAGACCCGAGAATCTCAGAGGTCATCTGTCTTTTTTTTGTGTAGGGGTGTCCCAATACAACTTTTTACTTCCGATACGATACCGATATTGTAGCCTTCAGTATCGGCCGACACGGATATTGATCCGATACTGGCACAAAATTGTGCATGACAAGTTTTGCACTCAGCCGCAATGTCTTTTTCAGACTAAAAGGTCCTTACACACCAGGAGCGTTTTTTTCGTGCGATTATTTCGGACATCAATATTTTTTGTCGAACCCGTATCCTGTCAATACAAGCCTGTTGCCCCATTACACCCTATATGTTGAATAAAATGAGTCTTTGCAGCCCCTTCCCTCAAATATGAGTGCAGATCAATAAGGAATAAAGTTTGGGAGCAAAAGGATGTTAAGGCAACTTTTAGATTCATAGTCGACCGCTGTATCTTCAACATGTTGTTCTAATTGAGAGAGGACAGCAGGGAGAGGAGCGCGAGGAGGTAAGGGACAAGAATGTAAGCAGTAAAAACCTTCACATTTTAACAAAATACTTAACTAAAAGTGAAATCTGGCGTTTAATTTAATGAGTATTAACACCAAAATTAAGCCAAAGCTCGTGAAGTGAGGTGAAGAAGTGGTCCCTTTAGTAGTTTATGACATATGGCTTCAAATCTGCTCCACTCCTGAACAAGTCTTGATGAAGGTGCTTTGCTCATATTTATACACAGTCAATGTGTTGCCCCCTTTTAACCTTCTCTTATTGTATTAGAGCTGAACATAAACAGGTCGGTCATATGACCCCAGCACATACATGTGGCCGTGCATACATTGTATGCAGGAGTGATGACATATTCCAGCCATAAGCAGCATTTCTGTGGGATTATCTGAGAGTGTGGTGACCTTTGCTGTGACACGAATCAGCTTAATGTAAAGGCAAACATATTAGAGACAATAACACACACAAGCTTTTCTGTCTCAGACATGTACAGAGCAGATCCAGAGCTTTATTTGTTGTTTTTTCTGAGCTCCATATTTTAAAAGTTTCTTGAAATTTGCTGGATCAAAGTTATCTTTCAATGCACTTTACTGTACGCATAAGCATATACCGCCTTATTTGTCTTAAAAGTCCTCTTCTTGACAAAATAAGCCTCTAGCCTAATTTATTATTTATCAATCTAAAATGTGCCAGCACAGTGAGCTCATCAGATTGCGTAAATGCCTTTTGCAGAGTCAGTTTACTGTAACCTACACCAGAATAAAAATGTGCAAAGTCGTGAGCAGCTTTGATGACTAAAATCAAAGTCATTTCAGCATCGCCTGATAGTAACCTGTCACACCTACATGCCATTCTTGCCGCAGTAGTAGGGATTATAAGTCAGGTATTTCATGGCTCGTGCTGAAAACAGGTTTCGCATCAGCCTGCTGAGCCACTTTGAGGAAAACTGGTTCCACAGTCCACAAACTTAAACTTTACACAGAGATTAAAAGGCTTTACTCTGCATCCGACAACTTTTTATCACTCATATAGATTACCTAACCTTACCGAAACCGATTATCTGAATATCTACACTTAAGCTTTTGTTTGGAATGTTTGAAGATCTTTTTCAATGAGCAATAAAAGGTTTCAGAGAGCCTGAAGAAGGACTCTGAAGACAGAGAGGTGTCTGCCTCTAATTAAACAGCATTTCTTCTGACTGTCTGGAATGCAGAGGTTGCCATTCATGATGCACAGTAACACATGCAACTGGAATTTAAGAATTCAGGGCGAGCGGGAAGAGATTTAACCCTCTGATGGTCACTCAGACACCCTGCATGAAAGACTGTTTATAATCTATCAAAGAAAGTGACTGAAATTGAATCAATAGAGAGTGAATACAAATGGCAAAAGTATCATAACAAAGAAGTTATTGCAGAAGTGCGAAAAAAATGCAGTTCCTTAATTGTCCACTCGAGGCTGGTCCCAAAAGTGAGCCAATCGCCATTAGAGCCCATATTAAAAGGTCTGTTTTTACAACTGAGTTTCACAGGTTTACAGCCTTGTTTACAGCCATTCTTACTGATGAAATGAGTGCGGCGAATGTCCACAGTCGGATACTCAAAATCTTGACCGATTTGAGTATGTCATCAGGGTACTTTTGCTTACTTAATTTTCGCATACTATCCATACTTTTTTCCATTTTGCATTGAGTATACTCAAAATTTTAAGTATTTATTACTGGAAGTATGTGATTTGGGACACACCACAAGATTCAATCAGCCCGCCTCAGTACACCTTCTTTGGTTTCAAACTAAATCAAGAGCATGTCTGAGTCAGCATTTCCAATGTGGTGACCACCATCACTTCAGAAACCAGCGAGACACATCACTGAAGCTACGCCCATGTTTTATGCACACTTATTAAGACTTCAAGTATCATAAATTATGTCTGTGCTCTGTCATTCAGGAGCACAGGCAGCCACAGACAAATAAAGATTGAAGTATTTGAACTACATCACAATACCAAACTGCAAAGGTCCACTCTTACAAGGAGGTTTTCCTCTCTGAGACAACCCTTCAAGGAAAAAGAGCCAACATCAACATGTCAAGTTAAGTCGTCAGATAAATATCAATGTAAGAAATTCCTTCACTTTGTTAAGGGTGGGAGAAACCAAACAGGACAAAGACGTCTGCATTGTAGATCACTGTTTAAGATGTTCGGACTGACAATACATACAAAAATATGTATCCATTGACTTCTGCATTTCCATCAGATTTTATGACAAATTCTGTTGACAACATTGAATTAAAATGGAAAAAAAATTCTGACACCAACATGGCTGCAGATATATTGAATTGCAGGTATTGGGTGAAAAATGTTGCACAGGTATGATGATTTAAAATATCTGCCCTAAGTTCAGCCTGTCAGGCATAAGCCCTCAACTCCAGCATTTGAGCCACAGAGCTTGTTACGTTGAGCTGTAACATAGCCTAAAAGCCAAAAGGACTTTTATACTGAAAGACTGGCTGTCAGTTTGAAATGTCATACTGAACATGGACTTGGCAGTGCAAAAATAAAAATGGTATACAGCCCCAGAATCCTAGAAGATAAAAGTGGAAGCACAAATAAATATCAACATAAAAACTTTACTGTATGGGACATCAGAGACTCTGTATAATGATGTTTTTTTTTTCCACAAATGAGTACTGAAATACACTTGAGTACAGAAATGGACTGCTCCCACCTGTCATACATTAAACCAGCTTATCACTGGACACTGCAGTAGGCTATACAGCAAAAGTCTGGACTGATAGACAAGTACAGAATCTGTTATCAAATTATTGCTGCAAGAAAGCTGAAAAAGTTCTGTGCTGATAATCAAAGAGTTAATATCCTGAACGAGTGACAGACAGGCCTGTTTTACAAAGATATAAGAGTCTACTGTATCTGAGCCTGGTCCGTCTGAACGTCAAGGTAAACAAAGAGAGCCATGCACACACAGGAAGTTAAGTGGTTTTTGCTGCAAAATAAAACCTGCGCAGCTTTACAACATTTTAAACGATAAGTAACTACATTGTTAATTATTTAATGAGAATAATGGAAATGAGTGGAGACTGGTGCAGTCCTGTTTAAGTATGATGTACCTTAAAATAAGGATGCAAATATGATGACTAACAGATCATAATAAACCGCCAGCATAATAGGGCCCGACCGATATGGATTTTTGGGGGCCGATGCCGATACCAATTATCAGGGGGGGAATCCGATTACTGATTAATCGGACGATTTTTCAATTTTTCTATGAAGTTATAAAAAATATATATATATATATACTGTAGATATGTACAGTATACTATATACTGTAGATATACTGTAGGCCGACAGGAAGACCGACTGATCACACTCAGACCAGAAAAGCGTTTTAAGACTGCCATGAGGTCCCTGCACCATCTACAGGATAAGTCGGGGAACTTTTCAAATGGCGGAACATTTTCGAAGTGAAACCGAATCTTGGGTCGTGTTCACACCTAAAGGTCCGTTTCCTGATTCGAATCCAAGTCAAGACAATACATTTGTTTTGATTGTTTAACTGGTCCAGTTTGTGTTCACAAAGGACAAACTCAATCACTCCACAAAACGGAACTGGGAGTCACGCAACTGCGAATATCGTTCAGTTATTGGTCATTTGTTTATGCAGAAATACAAACCCCGCTCTGCTGTCTTCGCCTGTCATGAAGCATCGTAGGCTGATTTTGCTTTTGCCACTCATCTGGACCGCGTATCAAATGACGCTCCAGGGTTCAGTTAAATCGGACTAAATAAGGGTGGTGTGAACGGGCCCTTATTCTCCGTATTTTATTTCTGAAAATATTAGCGAAAATCGGCGAGTTTTGGCCGATTACCGATTAGTCTCTAACAGGCTAAAATTTGCCGATTTAATCAGTTGGGCCATTCTTTCTAATGATGACTATTTGTCATTATTCTCACTTAATTTTCACTTATTCTCCGCTTATTTTTTCTCTCCAAGGTTTCAAACCAGACTTCAACCGCAATCTTGGCATAAAAGTAGCGACAACCTGGTTTTATTTTGAAACACTCGCACGGAAGCTGTCCCGTTTTCACCACAGCTGACTTGGCACTACTCGTCTAAAGTAACATAGCAAGGAGGAAAAATATCAAAAACCCCAAACCATTGAGTATTTTCGTGTTGCTGGGGTGTGAAGATCACGTGTACTCAAATGTTCACGTTAATAACACTTCATGACGCAGACAGTCCTAAAATAACACATAAGGCCGCATAAACAGTCCCAGACAGTGTGATTTAAACAGGCTACACCCCTCTCGCCTCCAGGCTAAACTCCCTTTTTGTTTGACAGATTTCCAAAGCTAATCACTGGAGTCTGAAACAACTGCATTACTGAAACCACACACCAAAAATGATTCCCACGCACCCTAAATTAAGTTAGAAACACTGTCAAGGGCAGTATTTGTCCAGCATTAAGATAACTCCTAGCTCCTGCTCTCCCGACAGTGTGGGCTAAAACGGTACCTCAGTGAGAAGGTGTTTGGTTGGGGATCTTTAAACGTCTTCAACGCTTCAGTCCCGGTTCACAGCGCAGCCGAGCCTCCTGGATTAGGTTTTGTGGTCACGCCAGGGTTGTTCGTTAGCAGGAAAGTTGGCTGAAAATGTGTGTAATACAATTCAAATGAGAGCTTAAGAAGGCAGAGCTGAATTCCATCTGGTCGCTTTCCAGTTTTCTGTCGAGCTGGCGTAGACACAAATTTGACAACTTCCGGTGGGACTTTCACAATAAAAATATTAAGCGCCCTTGTGCGTGTTGTTTAACGGTCGAAAAAAGGTTGGTTGCGACTAAAATTCAGTGTGAAAAACAAATTATTTTCCAAAAAACGTTCATTATTCCTCAAAGTCACCTCCAATCACCCCCCTCTCGGACTAAATTGAGCTGTCACACAGACAAAATAGCGTCACAATACAAACTGCGTCACTTCCGGTAGCTGCTGTTATTCTTGCTAGTTTTACGCATCTGTATCTTTCCAGCAACGGCTGAGTCACGTCCACATTATTTTATAGCTCATCTTTCAAGCCACCTTGGCATGAATGTGAACGTATACAAATAGGATTAAAACACAAATGTCACATTTAAATTGCATTTAGTTGGATAAGAATTTCAATTCGATACACGTCTGTACTTCTATACACCATGAAGAGTACTCTGGAAAGGGTATAATTGAACGAAGGAGGATGATATACATATTGGAACGAGCCCCATGCCGAATCATGACAGCCTGAATTGAGCAAAGCCCATAGGACATCTCTTACCACGTAGTTATTGTTACTTTCGCATTAAGAAAATGATATATTTGTGCAGACGTCGTTTTGTTTTTATTTTGATAAAAAAATCATTGAACTTATCATAAATTAAATGTACTTTTTAAAAAATGAAAACGCACCATTTAAGATTGAATTAAAGATTAAACTTGAAATTAATATTTAAAAAGTTTGAAAAATTCACCGTATTGATAAGAGTATTTTAATCGTTTCCCCTCTCTTTTGTTCAGTCTAACCTTCCATTGTCTTAGATTTAAAAATGTAAATCTAAAACACAGCTCGATGCCAGTACTTTAAAACAGTACTGTAACTGTTGTCAGTATGGCAGGTTGAGGCGTTTTTGGTGCAAAATGTCAACAAAGAAAGTAAATAAGGCAAAGGACTGACCTTTCAGCATTGTATATAAAGTTTCAAAAACTATAATTTAAAAAAGCAATGCAAAGCATTGTTGCCATTCATGATGCACAGTAACACATGCAACTGGAATTTAAGAATTCAGGGCGAGCGGGGAAGAGATTAAACCCTCGAATAGTCACTCAGACACCCTGCATAGAAGACTGTTTATAATCTATCACAGAAAGTGTTGAATTTTAATCAATAGAGAGTAAATAAAAATGGTAAAAGTATCATAACAAAGAAGTTATTGCAGAAGTGCAAAAAAACGGCAGTTCCTTAATTGTCCACTTGAGGCTGGTCCCAAAAGTGAGCCAATCCCCATCAGAGCCCATATTAAAAGGTCTATTTTTACAGCCTTGTTCAGAAGCAGTTTTGATATCTGTTGTTTACTTCTTTGCTCACACACACAGTGAGATGTTTCAAGTTTTATATATTTATATCACTTCAAAGTTTTATTCATAATTAGGGTTAATCAGCAACTTGATGATTTGACCAACAGGTGGGCAGGTTGTAGCCAGCTACTAAGATTCAATCAGCCCACCTCAGTGAACCTTCTTTGGTTTCTAACGAAACTGAAATGATGTCTGAGTCAGCATTTCCAATGTGGTGACCACCATCACTTCAGGAACCAGTGGAGGGATAATGTGCCAAAAATGAACATTTGCACTTTTTAAAAATGTAATATCCATCTAAATTCACTTTTAGGTTGTAACTGTGTGATTGTAATGAACTCTAATCTTATTTTTTCCATTGTGCTGTTAATATTCTGTATTTTTTTCTCCACTCTGTCAGTCAAATCTCACAGTTTCACATTTTCATAAACTTTTTACATTGTAAAAAAAACATAAATCATAAAAATGCAAACTCTTTAAAGGAAACATTTCAGACTTTATTAAAGCTGCTTTAATTTTACATACAATTCAGAATTACATATGTACAAATATACACCAATATCTCATTATAATATACTGTATTTATATCGACACCATACTCAGTAGATACGATAGGAAAATAAAGACAGTGGTTGCTGCAATGTGCTGCATAAAAAGAAACTAAAAAATATAACAACCTTCCCCCCCCTCCAGCGTCAAAAGTACAAATAATTTGATAAGCTTTATCATGTGATCATCATAAACAACTGACCAGTTTAGTGCCCGCGTCAGCTTTGATAAGAGGGCAAAAAAATAAACTCTCACAAAATGCAACAGTGCCAGGTAAAAAATACAATTCTCTTTTCCTCAGGGTGAGGACTCCAGAGTTTTAAAAGTGGATCTATGAAGTACATGCTGATGAACAGAGAGACAAGAAGACTCACAAAAAAAACAAAAAACATATCCTCTTCACAATATACATGCGCTGGAGAAAAACTAAGTGAGGTATAAGAGGACACATCTGTACAAGTCTAACATACATTTCTCAGTCTTACAGAACTCACAGCACATAATACCAGCCACAGTTTGACACCGACAGACCAGGACGGTAGCTTTTTCCTTTTTCAAGAGTCCTTTGTTTCACAGGGACATGTGTTACATCTTTAATAATGGTTCTAAACCGCCCTAAATGAAGCTCTATAGGTCACAAAGCAAGAGTCGAATATTGGCTTGTGAAGCAAGTGGACAAATGTAACCCATGATGAGGAATAAATCAGGTGGGGCTGGTTTTCGTGTTTAATTACAAACATTCAACATTTAAAATAAAGAAGGGATGAGATTGTTTTACAGTGCATCTTCTGGATCAGTAGAAACTTTGCAGTATAAAAAACACATTTACTCTTGAAAAACATATAAGAAAAATGTGTCATTCAGTGTTCAGAATAGCAAATGTGTGTGTTCAGAAGTGTGTCACAGCAGCTGGTTGTGTCATTAACCTGTACAAACATCCTCAACTCCACAGCAGGGTCATCTCCAAACCCCCTGCTGTGAAAATCACACTCAAAAGTCAGACTTTTCTTATTACTTTTTGCACCTTTCTCCAGTCGTGACGATTACTCAGCTACATTGTGGTGTCAAGTAAACACATATTGCTCTCAGACTGGTGGTGCAGATGTGTCATGGAGGTCTGACAGGCCCGGTTAGGTCTGCTCAGAGAGACATGGAGATGCTGTCACATGCCTGAGCGGGGCTGGGAGCGCAGGGGGACAAAGACGGCTTTTGTTGCTGCAGTGCAGAGCAAAGAAAGGTGAGAGACGTGGCCTTGAATTGAACATGCAGAGGTTTGGGTTAGTGAGCATTTGTTTTAAGGGGTTTGTTACCTTCAAGGAGCCGCGATGAATGTTATCATAAAACTTGTCCAGCCAGGAAATTCCCGAGGATTGTAGTTTCTATTATCTATGAACATACAGCTTGGACTAATTGTCTAAATATCTCTAGACAGGACCTTGTTGGAGAAACAAGCCTGACTGATATGGGGAACGGTTTTTGAAGCCACACAATTCACTTACAGCAGCTGATTTTGTTGCTCCTATAAAACTAACAAAACTAGTTTTTTTCCCAATGTATTAGAGAAATTAGACATGTTTATTACCTGGATGTATTAAACACTAAATTACTTCTCATATGCAAAAGTGGCACCATGAATAATCTGCTCACAAGTGTTATATCAACAAGACTAGCAACATATTTCACCTTTGCCTGTTGACACTGTGGCAAAAACATTTGTTAATAGTAAGCTAATATATTCAGTTGACCTTTAATAGGCGAATTCCCATGGTTGCCACCTTCTTGTGATGCCAAACTAAAGACAGGGAGCTCCTATATTATTATATACTATTGCAGTGCTTCATGTCATGAGTCAAATACATCTCAATAATATGGCTAATTGTGGTCATTTCATAAACAAGAAAGAGATTGGATCAAGTTAAAAAGTATACTGACTTTGTTTGTTGATATGGCAACCACCAATCATTGAGCTGTAGGCCACTGGTACACATGGTCGCTCTGTGGAGGACTTGTCCTTACAATGATCATTTTATTTGAGCAAACATTCTCATTTCCCATCATATCTGAGACTGTCAAATGTGTGTTTTCATGTAAAATACGAGCTGATCTCTCTCGTAATTACATCTATCTTAAGTATGTGTGGCCGTTCACCAATCAGAAAGCTGAGAAATGACCACAATTAGAGATAAAATTGAGGCTTCCAACTTGGAGATACGCAATAGTACTAGTAAATCATACAAGTTAAAAATAAATTTGCAGAAGTAGTTAAACTTTATGCGGGTATTTTTGTTTGCTTTTCTGAGTCATAAAGAGGCCTCGAGATAAATTCCACCCTCTTTTTAACAAGCAATAAACTCCTCACAGGCTCTGAAGTGACATAACCTTGTCAGGTAACTTCTACAGTTCATACAAATGCAAGAATTCTGCCACACAAAGACACTTAAGGGAACACGTGCAGGTATGCCGCCACACCTGCCTGCCCACCCAACTTCTTGGCCTTCTGGAGAGGTGAATCCATAACAAAAGGAGGTTGAGAAGTTGCTCCAAGCTGCCGTACTGCGTGCAGGTGATTCGTAGGAGTTGTCAGGGAAGTCAAAGACCACCAAGGAGGTTGATAGAGCAGGTTATAACCATAAAACCAGAGCAAAAGGAGCTCTAGATAGGGGGCTACAGCATCATAACTACTCTGACACCACTTGAAGAGTTTTCTTGTTGCAGCCAGCTGCCTCTTTTCACAGTGCATGATGGATGTGAGCCCATATTTCAGGGAATTCTTGGACTATCTAACCACATGAAGTTGAAGGGTTTTAATATTTTTCTGAGCTGCTGCCACCTTTAGAGCAGACCTTCTTTGAATCTTCAATGCTACATATCAGAGGGGTTATTCGAGTGAAGACGCGAAAGGACAGGAGGAAACAAATCAGACCCAGTAAAATGTCACATCGTCCGTGGAGTTAGGTGAACATCTGATCAAAGATTTTGCAGCTGCCATCTGAAGCCATTTACTGAAGCAGTTTCAAAGCTCTTTGTACTTTAAAGTAAATCTGAACGTAAAATTTGTATAAAAAGGGGAACAGGTTTAAAAAAGTAGAGTAATACAGCAGAGGGAAATGAGCGAGGATTAGACAAACTGGGTCAAAGTTGATCTTGTTCTTCCATCAGGGTCAAGTTGTAGCTTTTGTAAATCCAGTTGGAGAATGTTTTTTTTTCAGTGAATGGACGGATGGAGGCTCAGGGTTTGATGTCGGAGTAGCTGGTGTAAGTCTCACTGCAGCTGGAAGAAGTGCTGAGGTTTCCAGAGACGCTGCCATCTGCAGGACAAACACGCAAACAGCAACAGAGTTAAGCGTGTCCACTCTGGACACAAGACCCGCAGAAGTGTTTACAGCCAAAGACAAACAAAAAAAACAGATGCATACATCTGGTCCAGATAAACTAGGTTATTAAAAATGTAATCTTTAACTCTAGGGGTGAAGCACTTTTCTCAGGATCTTAAAGAGTAAAATAAATACCTGAGCTGCTGAGCGACTGGGATGACTTGGACTCTGAGATGAGGCTGAGGAGGTTTGCTGCTGCCACCCAGCCATCCTTACTGGTGCGCAGATTCTTCACAAACCTGCAGCAGATAAAACAAACACACACTTGAACCAACTCTCTCTTTATGAAGCACATATATGTATTTTCAGATCTTAATGTTCAAACAACTAAAAACAATCTCTCAAGTCTGTAGAAAAATGAATGTTAAAGATGATTACCACTGTCCCTCCTCTCCTTCTCTGATCAGCTGCACCATGTCTCCGCTTTTGACGGACAGCTCCTGAGGTCCCGCCTTCTCACAGTCTGCCACCACTGTGTACTTCCCTGGAGCCTGGAGGGTCAAAGGTCCCCAGAGTCAGTGTCACTGATAGGAGGAAAGAGTCAGGGGGGAAATACTTTGACTTCAGACTCACCAGCTTTTTTCCTATGTCGTCCTCGGGGTCAGAGTTCATGGGGTCCTCGCCGCTGGAGTAACCATCGTTCTCTTCTGAGGCGTCCACTGAGAGAGACGCCTTATTCCAGCCTGAGAGGCGAGAAAAGGAGAAGATTCAAAGATAAATATTTCACTTTTAAAAAACAGGAGATTCATAAAAGTGAATCTGTATCACTCTTTCCTCATGTGGCATTAAAACTTTTTTATGATGTAAAATTAGGCAAGAAAAGATGCATTTATCAATATCAAAGGACTGAGATGATATTTTAGGTGCTAGTATGCGTGTGGAGCTTAATCCCACATGGAAAGAAAGATGCAGTAACACATGAAATCTTGCAGGGAGAGTACAAAAAACCACAACATGTTTTTCTTTAAAGCAGATTATTGGCGAATCAACGCATGTAAACCACAGACTGTATTTAAGAAATGGTTGGAGAAGTGGACTTAGCATAAGTGCTTCTTACTTCCTTTCTGAACATTTTCCTAATGAGTTTACAGTGTCAACATTTAGCTTAAAGTCTTTTTCAAAATAATAGGATTCAAATTTTGTGAGGGATAGTCTCATTTAGAGAAAACAGAACGTAAAGTAGGGGATGCAAAAGAGTTTTAGAGTATATTTTATGAGGAAAAAGCGGCAATTCACTTATACTAGCTCTAGTATTGTCCCCCTACAGCTCCATAACTTTCCTCAAATTTGGTCAGAAGATGCAAGTGGCTAAAATCTAAAAGTCCAGGCTTCAAAAAAGTAGTCCACAGACTGACTGGTGTCTACATCCAGATCTTATCAACAGTCTGTGGTTTAAAAACACATTTTTACACATAGAAGTCAAACCAAAACAATCCAAAATCCCAGGAAAAAAACAATGCAGAGATTAGACAGATCCCGGTAAAACACACCCAGATCTGAATCAACATGATCTGTTTAGATTACCACTCAGGAAAAAAAAAAGTTTCCACTCTGTGTGTTCATAATTCTCCACACCAAACAGCAACAATCAGGGGAAGAGAGAGAGTGACTGATTTAAGGAAAATACCTCCAGAAAAACAACATGCCTTAACACCAAGAATGGAGGCTGACTTTAAACTACAGGTTACCTCTATAAAAAATTCACTCATGACCACCACAAACCACAGCAAACATGGCTCCTCCTCAGAGCGGCTCTGTACCTCGCCGCTTGTTCTGTAACAGACTAGAGGTACTCATCCATTTCACTTTGCTCAGATTAGCATGAAGGGCCAGCTCTGGGTGGGGAGAAACAGCCAGCAAAACAGTCAGACAGGAGTTCAGCCGGGTCAGGTAGTCAGATTATAGAGGTTTCCCTAACCCTGTTCTCACTCTGTGTCATTTTACATTCAGGAACATGATGTTTATTTCTCTTCTGCTGAGAGTTAAAGGAGAAGATTTAGCTCTCTGGGTTTCATCAAGGGAGCTTCTGGACAAGCTTTCTCAAAACCTGTCCTTAAAAATAAACAAGATCAACAATAAACTTCAGGAACGATGGCGATGGTAATCATAGACATAATATACGTAGACGCCTCAAAGCCTGACGCTGCCAATTGGCGCTCTCGTATCAGTGCGGCGGCCATCTTGGATGGGTCAGGAATACCCAACCATATCGATAACTCTCCGAATCTCTGCCCGATTTTCACACTGTTTGGTTTGTTATAACGGCAGGGATGTAGCAATAATACAGGACAATGTCACACATTAAAAATAAAACAAACTATTTTACAATCCTATTTGTGAAATCTAATCCTACATGATCTGGTTTCAATACTGCGTCGGGTTTTTCAACCATAGAGTGCAAAAAAACGTGCATAGTTGCTCGTTCTCCATTGAGCCTGGAGTGGGGAGACCCATCCAATATGGCGGCGACACTGGATTACGCTCCTGCACGTAATGAGGCGTCTACATGTATAATGTTTATGATGGTAATGACCTGTGAAAAATGTAGTTAGCACACATGTTGGTTGTTGAAAAGTGAAGAGTATCTTTCACAGAGTATCTGTATGAAAGGAAAATGACCTGAAAAGCATTTTGTCAGTCTGATTCTGATTAAAACTGATGCAGATTCTCCTGGATCTGCTCTAGACTCTACAAATTCAACACCAAGAAAATAAAGCTAGATTAAAGATGTTTTCTGTTAAGATAGTCTGTGAAAGCCAACTGTCATGGTGAATGTGAAGTGATGGCATATCCACTTTTCTCCCTTTATGTCAGACAGACATGAAATGACACGGGACTGAGGTTCACTTGGGTGGTGATGCATGGAAAACATGATGGACAGCCTCCATGATAAGACGGCCCATATAACAAGGTGACAGTGTACCTTTGAACCCAAACGGGGTGGGGTCACTCTTTACCAAGTGGCGTTTGGAGCCGTGCTCGGGGCTCAGGGCGGAGCCTGGTCGACCACGGGGAGAGAAAGTAGTAAAGAGAAAGAAAGAAGAGAAGTGAGGAAGAAAGGGCAAGAAAAGCAGAACTTTAAAGTGTTGGAATCAGTCAGAGAAGATACAAAACCCAACTCCATTAAAGTTGGGAAATTGTGATAAACGTAAATAAAAACAGAATACAATGATTTGCAAATCCTTCTCAACCTATATTCAATTGAATACACTACAAAGACAAGATATTTAATGTTCAAACTCTTGAATTTTTGTGGTTCTGTTCTGTTCCGTGGTCTGACGAGTCCACATTTCAAATTGTTTTTGGAAATAGTGGACGTTGTGTCCTCCGGGCCAAAGAGGAAAAGAACCAACCGGACTGTTATTGACGCAAATTTCAAAAGCCAGCATCTGTGATGATATGGGGGTGCATTAGTACCCAAGGCATGGGTAACTAACACATCTGTGAAGGCAACATTAATGCTGAAAGGTACATACAGGTTTTGGAGCAACATATGCTGCCATCCAAGCAACGTCTTTTTCATGGACGCCCCTGTTTATTTTAGCAAGACAATGCCGAGCCACATTCTGCACGTGTTACAACAGCGTGGCTTCGTAGTAAAAGAGTGCGGGTACTCGACTGGCCTGTCTGCAGTCCAGACCTGTCTCCCATTGAAAATGTGTGAAGTATAAAATACGACAACGGAGACCCCGGACTGTTGAACAACTGAAGCTGTACATCCAGCAAGAATGGGAAAGAATTCCACCTTCAAAGCTTCAACAATTAGTCTCCTCAGTTCACAAACGTTTATTGAGTGTTGTTAAAAATAAAGTTTATGAGTTTGAACGTTAAATATCTTGTCTTAGTAGTGCATTCAATTGAATATAGGTTGAAAAGGACTTTCAAATCATTGCATTCTGTTTTTATTTACATTTATCACAATTTCCCAACTTCAATGGAATTGGGTTTTTGTAGATATTTCTAAATAACTCAAAAAATTGACCTGATCTAACTCTATTTAGAATTATTACTTCAATGGAAAAGTGGTCAGTAAATATTTGAGGTTTATCTGCTAAATATAAGTGCAATGCCAGACTTCCACCACTAAAGGGCAGACTGTCTGAAGCAGACAATTATCCACTGGGTTAGGTTCTAAAACAGACTCTCCAATTCTTCAAAAAGAAAGTGTCCTGAGAATTGACTCAAACTTTGTTGGACCTCCTTCGTGTTACCTTTAGGACTCTTGAGATTGCTGAAGCCCTGCAAAGTAAAACGCTTTTTAGCCACTGAGGACCTGTCAGTGGTCGGACTGGTCACTGGTTCATCTGGAAACGATGGTTTGAAATGCGTACAGAGAGAGCGCGATAACAAGGAGAGACAGAGGAGCGGTGGAGATGAAGGTGATGAAGAAAAGAGGACATTTTTGAGCATTTTCAGCCAGAGTTTCCCGATCGATTTTCTGCACGTCCTGATTCAAACACCCACCTTTGTATTTGGGTGAAGAGTTGACCTCAGATATTGTGCTCGGCTCCACCTTCTTCTCCTCCTGCTTCTTCTGGTTTTTCTGACCGTTGCTACGAAATGGACTAAAACAGAGAAGAAGAAGAAAACATTTCAATAAATAAAGATTTCTCACATCTTGGTGCAAAATACTCACAACCCCGATTACCAACCTGAGGGAGATGGTGGTGTTGTTGCTGGTTTGACTCGGGGAAACAGGGTCTGAGCTCTTCTGCTGGCTTGCCTCTTAAAAATGCACAAGAAAAATAAAGACATTTAGCCACAGGTAAGCCATGAGAAGACGATGCAGAGTTTGTGAATCAGTTTTACCTCTGCAGGCTTGCAGCTGCTGGGTCAGAACTTTGCGGATCTCGTTCACCCATGATGTTTTGATTTCTGGATTCGGGGCCTAAGAAATGGTTCAAAAACAAAGTCATGCAGCTGTCATGTATGATCTCTTCCAGCTGCGGTTTGAGAGAGCATGCAGGATGCCAGACGTTACCTGCACGATAAAAACTTCATCCCTCGAATTGCACCAAATCTCAAATTTCTTGTTGTCTCCTTTGGCGTTCTCCGTGATGCCCACAGCACTCATCTGAGAAAAGGATAAATATTTTCACGGTTATCTTCATGTACCTGCCTTTAAAAGGAGTTATATAAGAATCAAAGAGGAGTAATTTCAGTATGAGCTTACACTGAGCGAGTGTTTGAAGCTGTAGGACGGAGCTTTCTCGTAGCCCTCTCCGTTCTCCTCCCTCCTCTTGCAGAAGAGCAGGGCCTTCTCGTGCAGGAACAGGTGCCTCTGCATGGGCTTGAAGCGGGCCAGGTCCTTGACTTTAGCGTGACCTTTTTTATGCTCCGTCCACACGCTGAACGAGCCTTGCATCAGGAGGCGACCCAGCTCTGACAGGTTGCCCTGCGAGAGTGGAAAGACAGATGAGTGTTTGTGGTCTTTGCTGAGAAACCAATCTGCGCATTCACTCCGCTGACCTCGTATCCTGTGATGGCGATGAGGTGCATGGAGTCGTTGACTGCTTTAAGGATCCCGAGGATGGAGGTGAGTGCTTCCTGCAGGTCGTCACACCCATCACAGCCCTTACTGTACTTCAACAGCTCCTGCAGTAACACACAACAACAAGCAGAGCATGATTGTGGGTGTAAAATAAACACAAAGACTCGCAGAGTAAATTTTTTAATGAGCTTGTCTGACCTTCAGCAGAAGCTGGTACTTGGTGATTCTCTGGACGGGTTTGAGGAGGTAGGAGTCCAAACCAAGTTTATGTTCCAGCTTCTTCTGGCACTCCTGAGTCACAAACACACAAATAGATGGAAGAAGTTAAAGGTTAATAATCTTTGAAGATTATTTAAGGGGGAAAAAAAGTGACATTAGGAAGTGAAAGTAGAACCTGGAAGAAGGCACAGTCGGAGCATTGTCTCCACAGGCTCTCAGAGCGAGGTTTGTTCTGACAGTACGCCTCGTAGATCTGCAGGTCCTTCATCTGCAGACACAACAAAACACGTTACAAGCTGGTTTCAAAGAAAAGTCTGTTGAGGTTTGTTTTGTTGCAAAAAAAAGCTAAATTCAACACTAATATTAATCAACTCTTTGGGAGAATTAGGTCCAGACTGGAGTGAGGAGAGGGGCAGATGAAGTCAGGACTCACCCTCTCTAAAAAGCAGCGACCCACAAGCTCGGGGCAGTCAGTGTACGCCTCCAGTTCCTTTAGGAAGGTTCTGCAGAAAACAACAACAACAACACACAAACAATATTCAATCATTTCTTTTTTTTTTAAACTTAAACTTTTTGGCTTTTATGGTTGATTCTGTAATTGTAAGATACACAATGTCAAATATTTCTGTGTATATTTTGTAGTTTTGATACTGGACACCAGGTGGAGCTGGGCTCAGTGAGAGGTGTGAAGGAAGTAAACAAAGTTTTCCTGTCTCTCTTTTTTTGACTGTATAATAAAGGCAAAAAGTAAAGTTCGATACTTATCTATACTTATCTTCTTTGTTTTTATGTATGATTAGATTTCCTTTATTCATCCCTCAGTGGGGAAATTAAGTCATTAACAGCGGTACACACAACATACACATTAATAACGGGTACAAAAAACAAATAAGAACTACGGTAAAAAAAAAGGAAAGAGCAGTGCAGTTGAAGAACAGTATTAAAGACAAGCATGAGAAAAATATAAAAGAGAAAGAAAGATCAGTGCCAACAAAATAACAGGTATGGATGTGATGATGATACTGATATTGCACATGATTAATAAATAATTAGGGTTGTAGTTTTGCACTTTTATTGTTGTTGGGGGTGTCGGTCTGCTAGGAGAGGGCCTGGTTATAGAGTCTGATAGCAGCGGGGAGGAAAGACCTGCGATGCCGCTCTGTGATGCATCGCGGGTGACAAAGCTGGTCACTGAAGGAGCTTTCTAGAGCTCTTACAGATTCATGTAGAGGACGGGAGACATCGTCCAGGACTCCACAGATAAATAGAGCTGCCCATAGTTGTGAAAAAATATAAGAATTCTGATTAAATAAATCCTGCCTTCATCACGAGTGTGTGAGAAAAGTACCTTTTATGAAACTGGTAGATTTCAGACATGTTTCCAAACAGCACGTCCTTCTTGCTGAGCAGCGTGTTGGGGATGAGGTGAGCCATGGTGGGGTTATCCATCTCTGCTGCATAACCCTGGAGTGGAAAATTTTATACATTAGATCAAAAAGATGTGCAACACTTGAAATTTCTCTGTTGTTCAAGACCATGTGACCAAGTTTAGACACTTGAAATTGAGGGATATACTTAAGATGATGTGACGAACGCTCACCTCCAGCACACACAACAGCTCCTCCACGTACGCTCTCTCCGTCTCCAGCAGCTCGTTCATCACATGGCTGAAGAAAAAAATCATAATTTATAAATAATTACAGTTAATTAAGTAACTGTAACATCAAATCCAGATAAGAAAAGAAAAATGTAGGCGCTGAAAAGTCCTATATTTTGTTCGTATCTATAAGGTTGATCTTTGCCGCCTTACCGTCTGAGTACTGCCAGGTTTTCCTCTTCCTCTGAGAGAGACGCATGTCTGGTGCCGCCATTGTGTACAGGAGACTCCGCCTGCAAACAGAATCCATCTTTAAGCATCTGGATACCAAAAAAAGAAGAAAAACCAGAGGAGTTTATTTCTACCTTTTTGCAGATGACGTTATCTGCAGAGTACCTCCTCTCCTTCCTCTGTTGATCTGAAATAAATGGAGAAAAGACGATGATTAGCACCCTGACTATTCATGAAACTGCTCTGTTATATTAAATCTGCTCATTCATTAATCCAGGCGTACTGGGAGAGGAGAGAGGAGACTTGACTTCAGGTCTGGGTGCTACCGGCTGCACCGGTCTGGTTTGTTTGGCGGCGAGTTTCTTCAGACTGACACGTCTCTTCTCGAACATCTCCTGGACCGAGGTTTGCTTCTGGAAAACTCGCTCCACAAAGTCCTGATGGAGAAAAAATGGACAAAAAGGAAGTTAAAACAGGGATCTACAATTCTTAATTTAAAGAAGCAGAAATCGTGTTTGTAAAATTTTAAACAAGCCTTTTTTGTATCGTGAGATAATCAGCCTCTGGATACTGACCCTGAGCTGAATGGTCAACACCCCCTCAAACTGGCAGCAGATGGCGCTGCGGTCTGCGAGCGTGTGCAGAGAAGCTGTGTCCAAATATCTCTCCAGCTCCTGCAGAGCAGCTTCAGCTCCATCCTGAGACTGACAGCGATCCACCGGCTGGCTCGCCAAGAGGAAGATTCCCTCCTCACACCACCGAGAAGCCTAGGAGAAGAACAAAATTAAAGAAAATCGAGGTTAAATGTCGGTCAAATAAGGCGAAGTTTCCTTCTTTCTCTCCCTCGTTGGGGTTGTACCTTCTCCAGAGAGTGGTGGAGCTCCATGGCTCTGAGGAGGAGGTTCTTCTTGCTCCTCAGCGTGGAGCTGATCTCGTCGCACACTACTCTCAGCTCGCTGCACTTTGGCCTGATGGAGTCCTCGGCGTAGTGGGAGTTTTCTATCAGCCGGTCGCCTTCACTGGCCAAGGACAGAGCGTGGTCCAAAATGTCCTGTGGCAACATGGAGGAGATGTTTGTACTTTATGTCATGAAATACATGAAAAGAGGGCAAGAGTCTGACCTCCTTCCTGTTTTTACCTTTTATTTCCCACACTTATTAGTGAATAAAACCTTTCTGTTTCATAGGAACCTTATTTTCTCTCTGTCACATCCTTTCTCTAAGAGTGGGGGGTGGTAAAGGGTGCGACATTGATTATATAATCAACCATATGGATTCAAGGACACATAACAAGTGAAACTGATGAGTCTGTGTTTAGTATGTGAGCGTGTTGAACTTACACAAGCTTTGCTCTCGTGGCCGCTGAGCTCTCGGAGGACATGCTCGGCGTGGGCGGGGTTAACGCTAACCTCGGAAAAGCCGGACAACCTTTCTGATGTCGCATCAAGCTGGCTGCGCACCTGGAGATACAAATTTTGAACTGTGAGGTTTCAATGCGGTATAAATAGAAAGCTCATGTTGACATTTGCCCATTAAGGCAAACTGCAACCTGCCTGAACTAGCACCCTTCTCATAAATCAGATCTACTCACTTCACGGAAGTGCTGCTCAAAATGGCGCAGTTGTAAACACTGCTCCAGCTTGGTGCGGTGACGCTCCCAGAAGTCGTCAAACGCCGTTTCTGTTTCGTCCAGCTGACCCATGAGTCTAATAGGAATAAAAAAAAAAAAGGGAGGAGAAAAATAATGATTTACTTTTCAATAATCAATTTAAGATCCATTCAGTTCATGCACATATTCACATGAACCTCCCTCTACCTCTGTACAGTAGCCAAGTTCTCCAGTTCATCGTAGGTCATGCTGTAATCCGGGTCTGTCTGCAGAGGTTCGTTTATGCACTCCAACAGGCGTCCTCCTTGAGACAACGCCACCTGTAGGTCCTCCTGGAAATTGAACAAACCCCAATACAGAATTCATACTTACTTTTCATCAAATATCTATGAAGGAAAACATTCAATAATAGCTCTAACAGCAATCTGACCTTCATTGTGTCCTTTTTCAGCGAGTGTGTTTGCAGCAGGCTGGTGGTGGCTTCAGCATCATTTGGTAATTCTGTCTCTGCGAGCTCAGTGCCAAACGCCTGCAGGGTCTGAGCCGTGGTCTTCACCATGAGGGCAAAGGCTTCGATGGCCTGTAGAGGTCAATTCAGGTACATTTACATATAAAAAAAAACTATGGCAAAGATGGTTAACTTGCAGAAACGCTTGCACACAATGCACTGGAGTCAAGTTTTTCATATTTCAAAATTTACAAAAAAGCAGAAAAAGGAGTGTGCGTACGGTGCGATGTGAGATCCAGCTCTCATGGCAGTATTCCTGCGTGCCTCCCAGCTCTGTGGTCAGTTGTCCAGGGTCGATATAAGCATGGAGCTCAGTCACCGAACTCAGCATCACCACCTGGAGAAAAGATAAACACAATGAAATGACAAGTCTACAAAACCATTTTAGTGAACTTTCAAAATTTCTTGCATCTTCACAAATATAAACCGACCTTAAATAAAGCGATAGTGATAATAATAATAATTCAGACCTTCATTTTGAACTCATCCTTGTTGAACTTGAACAAGAAGTCTGACAGAGTCCGCTGGAACAAAGTATTGGGACGCAACACCAGAACCAAGTGTAAGTTCCCTGGAAATGAACCCTGAGAGAAAGACAAGGACAAAAAGGGGTGAACAATGTTAGAACTTATTTATTTGTCTGTACCACATAAGACACTGTCGGCATTTTTTCCATTGAAGAAAGGAGTCAGAGAGCGCAAAACAACGATGGTGCCTAAATGGTGCTGTTACTGCCACAGATGAATGATTTTGATGTTACTTGATTGTGATTAATCAAATTATTTGTTCCGGTTTACATGTGGCTGTGTAAAAAAGCCTTACTTTGGCCGTGTACAACAAATGTCGCCCATAAATCTTGTTTCGTAGCGTCTGTGTGTGACTGTGAGAAGATGTTGACTGTACGGTGACCAGCTGCTGATTGGTCAATCGGCCGAGTCCGCAGGACCAATCAGGGATGCGCGATGGCACAGCTCTGGGTACAGACACTAGCTTTTGCTGAATTCTTTGTCAGGAAATCTGCGATGCCATTCGCGCGGTGAGGCGAGTAAGTCGTATGTCTTTTTTTGTGGAATTGTAAGGGATAGGAAATTCCCCACATCACCGTCATTTTGTTTTAACTGCTTTTTGTTTTAACTTTAGAGCTAATTTTACAGAGTGACATTTTTCCACTCTAGTTTTAAGTCGCCTTGGCTGTATACTACATGTGTTTACCCGTTTACATCATTTAGTTGGTGTCTGCGTACGTATTAGAGGATGTTGACTGTACGGGGACCAGCTGCTGATTGGTTAGTGGGCCGCGTCGCCGGACCAATCAGGGATGCGCGATGGCACAGCTTCAGGGACGGACACTCACGTTCGCTAGTTTCTGTGTCAGGAAACCTCTCTGTGTGACTGTACGGGGACCAGCTGCTGATTGGTTAATAGGCCGCGTCGCCGGACCAATCAGGGATGTGCGATGGCACAGTTTGGGGACAGACTCGCGTTTGCTGGATGCTTTGTCAGGAAATCTATTTTGGCATTCACGTGGTAAGGCGATGAAATTGTATATCTGTTTTTTCGTAGAATTATTAGGGATAGGGATTCCCCCCATCACAGTAGTATCGTTTTAACTGCTGTTTTGAGCTAATTTCTCAGAGTGGCAATTTTCCACTCCAGTTTAAAGTCACATTTTGGTGTGTAGGTTTCCGTGAGCTGCACTCCACATCGCCCTGTTCCTAGCCTCTGTTTATTTCTATAACTTGTTTTTCTTTCTGCTGCGGCTTGTTGCTGCACAGGTTAGTCATTGTTTTACCCATCAAAATAAAAAATGCCATTTGATATTGTCCTTCCCTCTGCAGAGCTATAAAGACTTGCTCAACATCCATCCCACTGCTGCAACCCTGAACCGACCATGACCAGAGTTTTTCCCGGATTTAATATCCACTAAATTGACACATTTCTTCACAGTGGCTCCCTTGTTGTGTCTGCCTCTTTACAGCCGTGGCTGCAAGGTAAATTAGCCCATGACTGTTGGGAGTAAACACAGTTTTTGTCTCCATACCTACACACACACACACACACACACTGACAGGTTAAAGCGTAGGATTGCCTGTTACACAGACACCAGCCCAGGAGGCCACTCAGCTGAAAGGCTTTATTGGTTACTGCTTCCTCTAAAACCCAGAGTGGATTGCTCCACCCTGTTAGGCATCATAAATCGATGCAGGCTGACATGAACACACACAGACACAAGGGCGCACACACATTCAAGGACCAGAGGCATGCTCAGAGATGTGTGACAAGCTCATGAAATCTTTAGTGTTGCTATAAATAAAGTCTGTAAGACTGAAAAACGTTAAAAATATCCAGCTTTTCTTTGGAATATCTACCAATTAAATGAAAAACTAAATATTTGTCTGCTAAATTTACAATTTATAAAATGTTTATATCAATTATGTCTGTTGAGATGTGCTTACAATGCACCATATCCACACGGAAACCATTCTCTCCTGGTGCTTGGCTAGGGCATGGAGTCATCTTTTCCAGATCTTTTCAAGGGGGAAAGTCTAGTGAGCTAGAGTGTAATACAACCAATAATAATAAAAACTACCTCCAAATTAATCAGCAATTGGAAGACAATGATCTGTGAAAGTCCAGAGCTGTATTTCAAAATCAAAGTGGATTTTTGAGGCGAATCAGCAACCATTAGACAAGAGCAGTTTAGCATTTAACCGACACAAGATAACACCCAAAACAGGTTTTTATTAAAAATTTAACAACATTGATCAAAAATGTGTTGATATTGAGGTTAATATTTCCAGTGGTCTCATGTGATACAGTCCAATCGTGGTGTTGCTTAGAAAAAAGGTTGAATTTTCTCAAAGCGAGCCCTGACGCCAATCCCACCACCAATTTCAACGAGAACTCCAACACCAACCCCGGTTAAACACCAAGTGCAAACACGAACAAAATCAGCAACTTTATTACCATGCAAACCAAATGGCTCACAATAACACCAACCTGAAAAAAACGCCAATCCAATCAAAACCCTTCACCAACATCAACCTCAACCCTCAACCTTAACACCCCCCACTCATACCGATCTTAACTGCAACACCAATCCTGGCAACAACGCCAACCCCAAAGCCAGCTTCAATGCCAAACCCCAACCCCCAGTGCAGACATCATCTCTTATACATATCTCAAAATGCCAATCCAACACCATCACTACCAAATCTTGCACCAACACTGACTTACAACCAAATTTAAGAGATTTTTAAACAGCATTAAAAGGTGTAACAGCAGCTCCCTGTCTCCCCTCTGACATTTACCTTAGATAACGTCTGTTGGCTGTTTAAATATGTAAAATGTTTATTTCATTTAAAATGAGAGAAAACATCTGTATCATTATTTTCATCACAGGGCCAAAAATAAAAAAATATCACAACACCCCTTTAAAAAAAAAAACCAGGATACAGCAGAGAATGATTGAATCAGTCCAAACTCAGTACATGGCTTTAATTCAATCTACAAGGAGACCTGCACACACACACACACACATACATCATGGTCATGAAATGCCTGCACTGCGTCGCCATGGAAACCAGTCTCCTCGGAAAAAAATGCATGGAGAGAGAGAGCATAACGTCATGCTGGTGAGAGGAATGATACACAGAGAGAGAGAGAGAGAGAGAGGAATTAAAGATGGCAAACGGAAACAGGTATTTTCTTAAGGTGTTGTCAGGTCACTTTGCAGGTCTACTCATGTCCTTCAGTTGTGTATTTGTGGCGCTTATACACACACACACACACACACATTTATGCACATTCTCCTGATGGAAAAGAGCCAAAAATGTAGCTTTTCCGGCATTTTTTCCTGACAGAAAAACCTGAAATAAAACTCTTGGTATGTATAAAATCAAACAAAAGCTGCATTTAAACCGTAGAATAATTAAAAATACATCAGGCTGAGCAATGTATCCGTGATTAGAGCCCATTAAATTCAATAAACCCTGAGAGGTCCTGGTTTAATTTGTACCTCCACATTAACATGACAATACACAATCTGCTCAGTGCATCCCCCTGACAGATGACATGCTAATGCGCATACACACCCCTGGACACACACTTACACGTGCACACACACACACTTCGGAGAGATAAAAAGACCCACATAAATAAATGATAAGGATTATAATGTGGTTTTCTGTTGACCAGAGTGATTTATATTCTTACAGGGAGGAGAAACCGCTCCATCGTGTCCTTTAATGTCGTCCACGTGGGTCCCCTGGGAGTTTGATATTAAAACACCACCTTCAAAAACGCCTCTGAATATAGATCTGCTTCTGCTTTTGGAAATAAAAGGTGTCCCATTTATGACAAAGATACTCACAAGTGAAGTGTTTGTGCTGTTTAGCAGTTATTTTGCAAAGCTGCCTGTGTGTTTACCCTGCAGCGATGTCGCTGTATGCATGAACGGCTGCATATTTATCACCTTCAATCATAAAAACAGGCGGCAACAGAGGTGGAGGAGTCTCAGCGTTACAGCAAGTGGTTTCACCCTGCCTTCACTAAAATTGTCTGTTCAATACAGTGAAACTTGACAAAGATTTTAGACTACATATTGGAGATTAAGTGGAAGAGAAATAATAGACCTTTTTCACAGTACCCGGAAGTTAGCATTCTGCTCACTTCCGGTGTTAGCGTGTGGTTGAGCCACTTAGCATCGCCCATAGACGGCCATTCATTTTTCATGAAATTGGTTACTGAAATTGGTTAAAGGTAATGTAAAATTTTGTGCTTTGTGCTGTTTTACTAACTCCTGTTCTTCATAATACTGTCCAGATTTTGTACTTTACTTTTCGGGAATTATGTTTAATAGGTCTGGAAATTTTCAGTTACGACCTATTAAACATAATGGATGAGCAATTACAATTACTCTCATATTTAGCTTATATCCACCATACAAGGGAACCCCAAAACTGCCCGACGCGCGCTGCACAAATCTCCCAGATTTCATAACCTTTAAATGTTTTGTTTTGTTTGATTTCAAGAGATTCTTGACTAAATCATTGAATTAAATATTGATAGGAATAGAACAAGTTTTTACTTGCTATTTTGGTTAAATTCATTGTTATATTAATTGGTTAATAAATAATCGTTAGAATAATCAATAAATTAGTCGATAGATTAATCAATAGGAAAATAATCGTTAGGTGCAGCCCTAAAAGAGAGGAAAAAATCTCAGGACAAAAGGAACCAGACTGAAAATAGATAAATGGCTGTGATATTCAGGCTCTCAGGTAGCACTGCCTTAAAAACATACATGACTCTGTGATGGGAATCTCTGCATGGGCTCCAAATTTCTTCCAGAAACCACCGTCTGTGACAACAGCTAAACACCAAAAATGGAGGTTAAAACTGAAGCACCTAGGAAGGAAAACATGATCTAGGATCATGATGGGAAACTGTCTGGTGAATCCAGATTAGAACTTTTTGGAATTCATCATGCTATGCCATGTTTATGCTAAAGAAAAGAGTGACCATCTGGTTTGTTATAAACACAGCTCAAATCCAGCATCCCTGATGGTCTGGGGATCATCAGAGTCCATGTCATGGGTGTCTTCCACATCTGTGAAGGCTCCATTAATGCTGAACAATATCTACAGGTTTAGGAGCAACATCTGCTGCCATCCAGACAAAGACTTTTTCATATTTCAGCAACGACAAACGACATTCTGCAGGGATTACAACAGCATGGCTCTGTAGTAAAAGAGTCCTGCTGATAAACTGGCCTGTCTTAAGTCCCAACTTGACACTTATTGAAACTGTCAGGCAGGAATCACTTTCAAATCTCCTGAAACTGGTCATTTACAGAGTGATGCAACACAATGGCAAACATGCCCCTTTCCCAGTTTTGTGAAACACGTTGCTGGTATCAAATTCAAAATGAGCTTAACTTCGACTCATTTTGTGGTATTTAACATTGAGCTGCTTAAAAAGCCTGTTATTATTTTCATGCAGCACGTTTTTGTAAGGACAGTCAACAAGAGGTCAAGTCTCCTCTCATTTTTATGCCTGTTTATATTTCATTACAGTACATGTGACTGAATGTGCCGGTCAGCACCATCTGTGTATAGAGAGTGTGAGAGCTTCGGTACACGTGCTGCACTCTAATCTCTTCTTTACATGACAATACTGCCCACTCCCCTTTTTTTTCCCGTGGAATCAGCTAATGGCAGAAGGCGACCTTGAACGGCCTTGATGTGGCGAGCATCTCAGGGGGAGACGAACGACCTTCAGTCTCCAGTAAACCTGCGTACGATTGGCCAGTGTACAAAAAAAGGACATGAACCATAAAACATAAACCTGGAGGGAGTGAAGGAGAGACGCTGCTCCCAACATTTGCTCCTCACGCCTTCAGGTGAAGTTTTAATGCTTTCAACGCGGACTCTGAATTCATGCTCTCTGCTCCTCAGACATGAAACCAGTGAATCATTCATGCTCTAGTTTATGTTGAAGTTTTGATATGATAAAAAATAAGCCTCAGACTTTCCTGAAACATCTGTTTTTAGTCTCAGGTGGACAGTTTCTTGCAGCTTGCTCTTTCGCCTTGCTTACCATGCCAAAAATAAAACTCAGAAAGGGTAAAAAATAATTATGATACAGCTACAGTCGGGCATAATGAGTCTGATACCTTTTCATACTCAGTGGAAACCCCATCGAGTGGAGAGGAAGGTGGGAGTGTCACAGCATGGTAGCAGGAGCTTCTCAGCAGGACATGCCATCCCCCCTTTCACCCTTTTTTTATCCTTTACCTCTTTTTCTGCTCGGCTTTTGTATTTCTTTGTTCCCTGGAATCAGTCTCTGTTTTTTATTCTTCTACCGCACTTTGAAAGGTCAGAGTAAAAACAATAGTCGTTCATTTTCAGCTTTCCTTCTTTGTTAAAATGTCTGTCTCCCTTTTCCAATTGTTTTACTCCATTCATACTGTTTAAAAACTATATCACAGAGTCAGAGATGTTTTCAGTACTTTCATTTTCTATTAATAGCAATATATTAATATTAATTAGCAAACAGGTCAAATATCATGCTTGTTACATTTTTCTCAATTCCTCCTCCTCTCCTCTATAAAATTATGGAACGAGCTCTGCAGGGGACCCCTAAGCATTAAATTACTAATTGAAAATAAACTTTTTAGAAAAATTAACATTGATAACAAACAACGTATGTGAGAGAAACGAAAATTTATTTTTAAACGTCTGTAAATCTGTAATTCAAAGTGTAGCAACTACGCTGACCTGATTTTTAGTCACCATCTGAGTGCGGGAGTGAGGCGTTTTTGACATGCTTCTAGTACAATCCAACGTCCAATCCAAGGATGTTGTTGAGTTATCTTTTTGCCATTTATTGATTAATTGGAAAACAAACAAAAAAAGACAGATACGTCCAATTTACTGTGATGGTGATGTGCGTGATGAGGGTGAGAGTGGTGTCAGAGATTAGCGGTAAAAACCATGTGCTCTTCCCGTTCCCCAGATCACTACTTCACCTGTGTCCCTTTGTAGCATTTACCTGCCAGTTCACCTGAAACGCCCCTTGTGGTGATTGTGGGAGTAACAAAACAAAACCCCAAAAATAATAGAGATAAAATGGCTCATACACAGAGTTTGACAATCCAAGAAGTGCAAAACTTTTTTGAAAGTTTGACCCATGCTTGATGGGTTAAAATATAGGCAATGGTCTTAAAAGGCCTCACATTTATTTTAACATATTTATACCTGTCAAATTGTCAAATTCAAACAAACCACTCAGAGACCATGCTGTCGTAACCTTGGCTACAAAGCTTCAACAGTTGCCACTTCCTGTTTATGGATAGATTTTGGGTAATATGTGTAGTGGAAACTAGCATACTGTATGTTCTCCTGGAGCACTCACCATTTTTGTTTTGGTGTTTTTCTACCTCTACTTCATGTGCATCAGGCTGCATCAACATTCAGGCAGCCAATCAGGCAGCTTCTCATTATCATAGCATCATGGCCCTGTCCAATCAGATCACTGCATGGATCACAAAATTAGCAACTGAGAGGCTGCAGATCCTCCAAAGACGCTGTGTTTTTGATGATTTTTGCAAATTAATGCAAAAACCTTGTCAACTAGGATATGCTGAGGTAAGATACCGTTATGTGGAAGACCTGTACTGTAGCCAGTCACTAGGGGCAGTCTTATATTGTCCATAATATAAGATATTATAATATTGTCCATGAATTTTACAATTAAAAAAAGTTACTGACTTATGTTAGAAATGACCACAATAGTCCATTTTTCAGCTACAGGAAAGTTAAAAACAATCAAAATTAATAGACTAAATATGTCAGAATAACTTTGAAAAGGAGTGATTTGGATGAAAATACACAAAAGATGCTGGTATGAGACATTAATCGACACCTTGAAGCCGATCAGACCCCCTACATAATACTATCTACCTTCAGCTGACTGAGTTTCTCTTTCACTTTTGGAATATTGGATGGAAAAAGCATCTCTCTCGAAACTGAAATGTATATCAAAGGCAGCAGACAAGAAACCAAACCTACTCTTTTTCCATTTTTCCTATTTCTGTCATATTTAGGCCTCAGAGAGCAGTGATCACACACTTTGAGATTCTGTCTGATGTAAACTCCCACTCTGCTCTGCCTCTCTTCTATTTTATATTTCCTTCCATTGCCTTTTTAATTCCCCCTCTCTCTCCACCTTCACTTTGTGCTTCTTCTTCTTCTTCAGTTGAACATCTAAGTGTGGAGTAAAAATCGAACACTATTGAAGAAGTAGGCTAGTAGGGTAATGGCACACAGATACAAAACACAATTACAGAATTAGACTCGCTCTCGTTTGGATTTCCTCTCCCCAACATGACGGCATCTCGGCGCACACGGGCTGTGAGACTCTGCCACCCACTCCTGCATGAGACGGTATTTATAACTCCCCTCTCGCCTTGCTTCAAGACACAGTCACCTAATTCTTGGTCCCACACTCAGCTGACGACTATAAACCCTGACAAAACCAGAGCACATGAGCATAATATACAGGTTCAACGAGTTAGAAAACGCCAAACGCAAAAACAGTCATTACTCCAAGTGGTGACAATCCAAATTATATATTCACACACAGCTGACAGCAGCAGCTACACCCACAGAACTGTGTTTAACACATGTAGAGTAATCCTCACACACCAAAACAGGTATTGTGTGGTTGTTGGAGAAAGAGAAATACAAAAACAGGACAAAAAAAAAAGCATCTTGGTAGCTTAATCGCCCTTTTTTTTTGCACTTTCAGATTTTTTTATGTGGTTGTGTGCTACTTTTTCTCTGCAGGACTTAGACTAGAATCATATAGAAATTTATACAATTTTTTTACCATCACATTTCTACTTATATTGCAATAATTCATAAAAATTAAAAAGCAAATTCTGATGTTTGTAAACCTTCAACACGCTCTGAGATCAAAATGAGGTAAGAAACGTTCTGCAAATGCTCCTGTTGTTTGCATCTTTTGTTCGACTGTATTCCTGCAGCATAATCCTTCCCTGCAATTACACCCTTGCAAAGTTTAGCCACTAAATGTTCTTGTTTTTGTCCGTGACAAGCTCAGATTTTCATCTCAAGTGTCTGTCAAAAAGGATCCCTGCAGAAAAAGATGCTTATTTTGAAACAGCAACAGCCATTGTATCCCTCTTTTAAAACCCACCAGACTTCACAGGATAAAAGTAAATTTAACCTTCCAGAGGAAAAAACATCTGGTACCAGCTGTTGGGTATTTTTGAGTTGTTATTTGATATGTACATATTGTGCTTGAGCTGAACTGACCATTTGAAATGCCAAAGTTGCAAGAAAACACAAACAAACTGACTGATTAAGGCGACAGTGAACTTTTAAGCACAGAGTTTGAGTAGAGTAAAATGGCTGTTTTTGTCAATGGTGTTTAGTCGCTTTAAAATGAGCCTCACAATCGCTGATGAAAACATCTATTTCTGTAGGGACTCTTCCTGTATGGTTACCCACACACGCATATGTATATAATTACATCAGGTCTTACAGCGATTCGGAGCAGGGTAGCCCTGACGGCAGCCCATCGGTCCAGTCGTCTGTCGATGACCAGGATGAAACCCTCTCCTGAGGCTGCAACGCTGCAGAAGAGAAACACAGTGTTATCATGGGGGTAACTGATTTTCTGTGAAGTAAAGTGAACTTCATGGAGTATTTTCATAAGTATGCTTTGCTCCAGCATCACCCGAGGGCCCCTGAATGAACTCCAGGGTGTCTGAGGATCTAAAAGGATAAGTAGATACAGTGTTGGAGGGTCCTGTTTTTTCTTATAAGCTGTTCGATGGCACTTAAAAAACATCTGACACAGCTACAAAGATAACTTCAGGACTGCAAGGATGTGAGCAACATTTACTTATATTTCAAATTAACATGAGTTATGGAAACCCATCATGCCAATTCATTTGCAAACATATCATATGGCCCCTGATGTCCCCAAAATATGAGGAAAGATGGATATAGATGGAAATCAAGAAATCACCAAGGATATCAAGTTGGCATCAAGCGGGGTCATAAAGAAAAAGCAAAGATTAAGGTGTACGCTCTACCTTCCCTTATGTCACAGCTTTAATGGAAAGTGAGGAAAGAAAATAGGAACAGTATGTATGTAAAAAAAAATGCTAGAAAGAGGACTGAGCAGACAGAACCAGGGCGAGATAACTGGTTGAGTCAAGGCTCACTCCCATTAGGTTAGACTGTACGCTCTACCTCCCCCTACTTTTCCATTTTGTGTTACAGAAAAGGAGAAAAGAAAAATAATACAGACACAAAATGTTAGACGGATGATGGAAAAAAAAATAGCCAGGGTGGAAAGCCTGCTTGTTCAGACTGGTCCCCACCAGATCTGTAAGCTATACCTCCCCCTACTCTTCTATCTTTATAAAGTCTCTATCACATTTTTTAAGGTGCTTTAATATCAACTACTGTAAAAATAAACTAGTTCCATATAGCTTACTCTTGCGAAATTCAACTGTAGTTAGCTGTGTCTTGGTAGGATGACACAAGATACTTCACTTAATACTTTTCAGCCATGTTCTTCACCTCTTTTCACCAAGCAGCTCATGTCCCCCCTTATATTGTGATTCACACCAAAACTTTCACTGTTACGTGTCTTTTATTAACTTTTATTCGTGTTTTAACTGGTATGTTCACTGTTCATAATGTTCCTAAAACAAGAAACGCCCTGACCCGGATTCAAACCCAGGACCTTCCTGCTGTGAGGCAACAGTGCTAACCACTACACCACTGTACCGCCCATCTACACCACTGTGCCGCCCATTGGTTATCTTTCAGCATTGAAAATTCCAACGACACCCTTATTTTTGTGTGTTCTTGATCACAGTATCCAGAATTTTGTCTGGATCAGGATCAACCTTTGACACCTCATAAAACTCATTGAGATCCTTTTGTGTAATTTTTTACTAAAGACTCTGGACATTTTTATAGAGTAAAATGCAAAAATTCCAAAATTTGCCCTATCTCACAATGATAAAGAATCCTTCAAAAAATTCCTGGATCCAGATGGCGATCCGGATCACCACCAAAATGTAATGGGATCCTCCTGGGGCTGAGACGCACCTCTGGTGAAAATTTCAGGTCAATCTGTCTGTTACTTTCTCCGTAAAGTTACAAACAAACAAACAAACAAACAAACCAACGCTACCGAAAACATAACCTCCTTGGCGGCGGTAATAAACAAAACTTGCCCCAATGTCTTCCCTCCTGCATAGATAACCATTACACCCGCTTAGATTTTTGTTATTAAACTATCAAATGAAGCACATATAACCCTTAAATAAGATGCATGTAGACCCCTTATGTTTGGTATCATCTGCCCAGGACTACCTGTGCAGTGTTAGATGTGGTTCAGTGTGTAAGAAATGCATTAAAAACAATCATTTTCAGACCAATAGAAGACCCTTACCGGTCACTTAGATTAGCACAAATCAATGGAAATGTCATAATTTCAGTTTAGTGGGTCAAATTCCCTTTGTAGGTAAAAGTGATTAAAATAAGAAAAAAAAAGACTTTCACATTGGTAAAGATTTTGTGTTTATGTCATCATTTGTCATCAGTGATGATTAGAGAGACCCTTGTGATTACCATGGCAACCTTGGCTCTGCATTAATGTGTGTGGTGTGTGAATATTTTGCCATCCATTCCACAGGCAGGACCATATGTAGCAGCCTCATTAAGCTAATGTTTGTGTGTCAGCAGTATGTGTGTGTGTGTGTGTGTGAATGCAGTAATTGCAGCAAGTGTCCTGCAGAACAAACTGACACCCAAAGACGCAGGCAAAAAAGACAAAAACACACACTGAAACAACCCGAGCCGGCATGCAAATGGAGCAAAATGCAGGGAATTTCCATCAAAACACATAAATATTTAAGATAAGTCACACTACCCAGTGAACGCTGCGACTGCAAATCCTCAATCCATCCTTTACCGGACAAAATATTCAACCACACAAATGGAGCCGGTTGATTTTGAGCAAGTCCAGGACAAAAAAACAACAAAAATCCTTAAAATCCTGCTGCTATCTTCCAGAAAAGATCAATTCCACCTTAAATATTCCTTATTCTGCTGTTGTCAGTGTCCATTTCCTGCATCATAATCATCTGTTTGCGGCTTGCAGACAAGAGAGGTGACCGATCTCATCCTTAAAGAGCATCTCCCTCCTCCTCCTCTCCTCCTTTCCTCCCTCCTCTCCTGCTGCACCACCTGCTTCTCCGCCCTCAGCCAATCAGGGGCAAGCCCTGCATCTTGCTGTTCCCAGGCAGCCAGTCAGAGCTCAGAGAGTAGCGGATAGGCAGCTGGGTGCATGTAGCCGGTGGTAGGGGGGGAAAGGGAGGGGACTCTATACAGAAGAGGGGGGAGTATGAAAGGTGATGAGCCAAAGGAAAAAAAAAAAAAGGAAAAAGGCAGCCATGACACACACATACAAGAACATATTAAGAAATACAGACGCATCTTCATCCTCTCTCCTCCCCTTAATTATCTGTGTGTGCAGGAAGGGGAGGTGAGAGGGAGGAGAAATCAAGAGGAGGAGGGGAGAGAACAAAAAAGATGTGTAGAGAGAGAGAGATAATCTGAATTTAAATAACAAAACAAACTGTGTTATTTTAATCCAGAGCTATAGCCAAAGCCACTCCTTCAAGGTAACGGTTGTTGAGGTAGTTTATTTTGAAAATGCTTGCAGTCTGGTCCAAAAGATGTGTACATTTAGATCAAGATGGTAATATTTAAAAAGGAGAGCCTTTAGGTATTATATTTTAATTTTTATTTCATTTTGACCATTTATGTCAATCTCTAACCCTTTATTCTTCTCAAATTCTGTTTTTGTAAGCCTCTTTTTGCAGAGCTTCAGAGTTTTGCTGGCATCTGCTGGCTCCATGCAATACTGCACTTCCATAAAACATCATACTCCTGTTTGTCCTTACAATTTTAATCATTTATACATCATTTAGCATATTTTATTCCTTCTTCAATATATTTTTTATGTGGCATTTTGCTGGGTTTTGGTGTTATGCTTCCATCTGGTGACTGTATGCAGTACTGCACACATTACTTTCACACTGTTTTTGTTTGAGAACAGAAAAGGAGGGACGTTTTTGTGTGTTGGTTAGAGTGTGTGCGTTTGTGATGCCAACCTGGGGACACTAGTGAGGTAGCCGAGGACGCTCTGGACCTCTTCCTCCTCCAGCTCGCTGAAAGCTGGGAATTCTGGGAAGACCATGACGGGGCTGCCGTTTATCCCGCGGCCACCTGGAGACACAAAGAGATTAAAGGGACAAAAAAGTTAAGGTAAAATTGTTGGTTGGTGGTTTTTATCTTACATTTCTATATTTTTATATGAAAGCAGACAATACACATAAAATCCTTTACATAAATTTCTTAGATTCTTAGAACTAAAGGCTAAAAAGATTATTAAATATTGTCACAAAAGGATTTACATACAGCAGATATCATCCTTCTTTCCTTTTAAACTTTTAAAATGTCTTAATTTAAAACATATGTAACTCAAAAGGAAGATTTGTGTAATATAAACTTAATCAAATTTGTCTCTTTTTTCCAATTAATACACAAAATATAATCAATAATTTATATTTAGACTGAAATTCATAATGTTGTCTTTTCAGGGCATACAAAATCAAACAAGACCATCAACGACAAGGTTGACTATTTGTACATTTTATTTTTAATGCCTAAAACTGGTGTGAGAAGGTAAAGGTGTCAACCAAAGATTGAAGAAACAGCCCTATTTTTGCAATTTTCACACAAAATATTCACAATAAATGACAAAGGGAGAGATTTTTTTTTGTGCTCAAGCATGTTTTAAACAAGATCAGCAAAGTGATATGTCCATAGGGGGCGCCAAAATCAACACAGACTTAAAAATTTTCATAGGAGCCTTTAATTTTAAGCGCAACACATTATAAGAAAATTGCTGTGACGGTGTTAATATGATACACTCAAATATATTTGATGAGATCCATCCCTCAGTATGCCTTCAGCCATGAAAAAGGATCAAAAGGGCCTCACACACACACACAAATGTGGCCTTGTCTTTCTTCGGTGGGTCAAATTGCGGAGCGAATCGTCACAGTGGTGAATTATTTACACACTCAGCAGGCGCTATCATCGTTGCAACCTAACACAAGGCTCCAGGAGTGTGTTGTAGCACAGCGCAGCCTGTGTGGCCTCATCTTTTCACCTGGGTTTACATAATAATGATCAAGACTCCAGACTGAAATATCTTAGAGTTCTTGTGAGTTTGTGTTTTGGAGGACTATGTGGTATAAAAAGCAGCAGATAAACAAACTTCTTTGTGGTTGGGATTATAGTGAAAACATTTACGGTTTAAAAAAAGTCAATAAGAGAAGGTTGTTAAATTTAAGTGTTAAATAGAGTCATGCCATTAGGATGTGTGTTTGTCTGACTAAACAATCACCCTCATTAGTTGGGACCAGAATTACCAGTCAGTTAAACAAATATTTTTTATCTCTGTAGGCCTAAAATAAAGGTCATATGCTGTGTTTCAGCTGCAGCCATTACTAGCCAAGTAACTGGCACGGGCATGAAGATATAAACCTGCAAATAGGGCCTAAAGATGGTGGTGCTAGCTCTACTAGCTTTAGCCACATTTGACAGATTTTGTGACTTCTTTTGAAGGCTCTGTCACTCTTTCTTTATACAACTCGAGGAAACATTGAGCTATATTTGGACCTGCCAACTACTTGTTTATGGATCGACCCACATGCCCAGTGTGAGTGTACATCAGGGGAGAGAAATCAGACCCACCTGGCAGGATTGCAAACTGTTTCTGGAGCTCTGAGCCAATCTCTGCAGCAAACAGAGGAGTGTCCTCCCTGTGCACGATGTCATCTGAGGAAACAAAACAATCAGAATTATCAGATTTTCATGCCTCCATACACAGAAATCACATCATTACTCCTTATTATCACCCTGCAAAGCTGGTGACTGTGATAAACTCTCAAAGCCAAACGGTCTACACTGAACTAAATAAAAATGTTAATTTGTTGTTTATTTAGCTTTCAGAGCGGTCGGGTAACCGTCACAGAGCTCAGACGGGATCAGACTACCAGAGAGACAAGACAAAGATGAAGCAGAAGAACCAGGCTGTGAGGGGCGTTGAGGCTGACTCAGAGCCAAGAATCAAGTGTGACCCATTTTTGGTTTTTACAAGCAACAGCTGACCTTTTTATTACAAATACATGTAATCCTACCAGGGTCATATCACATAAATTTGATCAAGTCGGAGTATAAACGGCTTATATTCGTATTTTTGGGGTCAAAATGATAAGTTTTAGGATGACTTCAGTCAGAGGAGCAGGACAGGCCATAACAGCTGCAATGTTATTATTCAAGGGCAAATGCTCCCATCAAAACATCTGCAAAGGTCTTGTTTATGCCACCAACATGCTGAAGATTAATTTTTTAACAGTTAATAAAAATATTGCAGACATGTCATTTTGGAAACAGATTTTTTTGTTTTCTTAACTTCATTGCAGGCAGCAATGCAATGCGGCAGTAGCTCAGGAGGTAGAGCGGTCGTCCAATAACCGTAAGGTTGGCGGTTCGATTCCCCCCTAATCCAAGTCTGTCCGTTGTGTCCTTGGGCAAGACACTTAACCCACCTTGCTCCCAGTGTGTGTCCTCCACTGGTGTATGATTGTGAGTGTTGTGTGGTGGTGGTCGGAGAGGCCATAGGTGCAGAATGGCAGCCACGTTTCCACCACCACCAAAGTGTGACTGTGTGAGCGAATGAATGATGTATCCAATGTAAAGCGCTTTGAGGGTCTCTGATAAAGCGCTATATGAAATCTGATGCATTATTATTATTGAGCAAAACAGCATTTTTTTACCCTGCAAATCATGGCAGTCTCCGCTTTTTCCTTCCTAAACAGAGAATTATTTTTATTTATAAGTAATTTACAGACCCAAAACAATCTTGTGAGGCTGCAAAACTTTTGCAACATCCCAAAATAATAATCTATCGAGCAGAAGAAGTAAGTCTGCAGCGCCCTTTTTCTCACAAGGTAAAAACACCGCTTTTTTAAATGGGGTTTGGTGGCATTAAAGAGAATGATGTGACAGCTATTCCTATTTCATAAAAGAGCATTTTACTTTTTAAGATTAATCTCTGTGATGATTTTAGCAACTTATATAAACAATCTAAGCCTAACAGCTGCAAAATGAAGGACTTTAAGTAAATGTGCATTTGCCCAAAAAGGTAATACATCCACTGTGACCTGTTTTATTGCTGTCCGCTGAAGTAAGCTACAAGAACAGTAAAGTTATGTATCTTGAATATACCGTGTAATGAAACTAATGAATACTATATGTAAGGAAGGCAAGGAGAAAGTGAGGGAACCAAACTAACAGGATGAAGTAAACAGCATTTGGATTTCCTCTCATCTCTGTCAATCTGGATTACAATAATCGCATTTCGCCTTCCCAGACATGTAGAGACAGAGAGAAAACATTCTCCCTCTCCTCATTTCATCTCCATGTGTGACCCATGTATGCCAAACACAAGGCAGTAACAGATCATTGTAATGACCATGTGTGCATGTGTGAATCGCTGCGTTTTTATGTCACTTATTGAGTGTCGCTGTGTGTGTTTGTGCATATAGAGAGAGTTTGGCGCTGAGGCCGGTGTGAGGGGAGCATGACGAGGTTTCAGAGCAGTATGGCTGAGCTGGAACTGGTTTAGAAGAATTAATTACCGTCGAAGTGCAAAGCAAGCAAACTGTTCATGTTTTAGAGAGAAGCCAGGGACCAAAATCCTCCTGACGAGAGCAGCTTGACTGGCTGACTGAGAGGCTCCAAGTTTGGGGGGAGATTAGAGATTGCAATCCTGATTTATTTCTATTAAATCCAACTTATTATTAGATGCTATACCCTACATGAAATAAAATGAGCAAAGACTTGTAACTGAAGATGGGTGTGCTCTGCCCACTCCAGATTTTGGAAATCCACATCAGCATGAGGAAGGTCCAAGAACAGAACCTGGGGGGCTTTTCTGTTGCTTTTCCTGCCTTTGCTTTTTATATACTGTATGTAGATGTAACAGAAAATTGGTGATTCACCTCTCAAGGCAAGGAGCTCCCAAAACAGAGCTTGAGGTCTTTGCTGATGCTCTCTCTGCCTTGGCTTTTTAAGTTTGTACATGGAGCAGAAGGTGGGTGTGTTCTGCATTTGTGGGCTTTGGCATTTCAGACACATAAAAAGTGCAAGGATCTCCCAAAATAGATCTTGAGGTCTTTGCTGATGCTCTCTCTGCCTTGGCTTCTCATAAATGCAGATACATGAAGCAGAAGGTGGGTGGGGATATTCTGTCTGTCTTAGGCTTTCGCATTTCAGACACATAAAAAGGGCAAGGAGCTCCCAAAACAGAGCTTGCTGATGCTCTCTCTGCATTGGCTTTTTAAGTATGTACATCGAGCAGAAGGTGGGTGTGTTCTGCCTGCCTCAGACTTTGGCATTTCAGACACCCACACAGGATATACCTGAAGAGAGCCTTGGAGTCTTTGCTGATGCTCTCTCTGCATTGGCTTTTTAAGTATGTACATCGAGCAGAAGGTGGGTGTGTTCTGCCTGCCTCAGGCTTTGGCATTTCAGACACAAAAAAAAGGCAAGGAGCTCCCAAAACAGAGCTTGGGGTCTTTGCTGATACTCTCTCTGCCTTGGCTTTTTAAGTATGTACAGAAAGTAAAACGTGGCTGCTCTTGGCGTACAGTTCAAGTCTCATTAACATCTACAAACATATTTTACTTATAGTTAAATCTTGTGGAAGAATGGGCGTCGCTATGCATGAAAGTTCATTAGCTAATAAAAACAGTTTTATAATTTTGTAAACAACAGTAACAGTATGCAATTGTGTGCAAAACTGGTCATGTCACAGTAGCATAACCACATTAAAATACACAGATGCCATTGCAGAGGATCATACAACAAGCATTCTTCATCATATTTTATAAGACAGATCTTCACACAGACACACTATATGCTGGTTATGTCCTTCATTGGTCATACAGAGCTGTAACCTTTGAAGACAACGAACGTCTCCATACGATGAAACCTGACAGATTAAGAGCTCATATCCTCTCTAATGCTTTACAGTGTGTATTAAGCATACCATCGGCTAGACAGTGACTCAAAGCACATGCTGCAGGTCTCTGTATATGTGTGTATGTGTGTGTGTGTGTGTGTGTGTGTGTGTGTGTGTGTGTGTGTTCAGGCAGCTGTTTACAGGATGTTATGGGTCTGAGTAGGATCATTAAGGAACACTAACTACATGTAGCTGTGGTCAGACAGGAATCTTTAGTGAGTCTGCAGCAGCGGTACACAAACATTTACAGAGTAATAAAGCCAGTGAGGCAGCGGACAGATATTAGAGGATTATAAAGAGATGACAGAGCAGTGACTCAGGAGCTGTACAGCTTCTCTACACGGACACTAACATGGGAATACCTACACTTCCTAAACGTACAGCCTGGGCCTCACTTTTCCGACATATTTAGGACGTAAAATGACTCATAAACACTTTTGAAATCACTCCTCAAAGGAAGTTTAATGATGGTAAAAAAAAGGCACAAAGAAGGGAAGGAAAAGCCCTGAGAGAGTATGTGGAACAGTTTAGCAGGATACTCCTCGCAGAGATGGTTTTCTTGGCACTAATGCAAGTCCACTTTAATAGACTTAAACTGAGCCCAGAGCTCAGAGCCAGCCTGTAATTTACCCAAAAACAGCAACTGCACTATAATCAGCTTCTACTACAGCAGGCAGTGATGGGAGTGGAGGATGTGTGTGTTTTAGCGTGTTATCCGGGCAGCTGTTGGTTCAGTGTGTCAGGCAGTAAGCCCGGCTAAACCCAAGTCTGGAACACAGCCAGACATGTGCAACACACTCGGACTCTACTGTACCGAGTGTGTGTGTGTGTGTGAGAGAGAGAGAGAGAGAGAGAGAGAGAGAAAGAGTGTGTGACTGAGATATTTGATTATGATCCAAAATAAATATCAAAATAAGATGACTGTGATGACCAGATTTTAAGGTACATTTCCTACAAATTGAACAGCTTTCTAAAATCCCCATTTAAACAAATTGTAGCACCAACCTGGAGATTTTTAAAGTGGCTTTGGCAGCATCTGTGCATGTTAGCGCGACAAAAAATGATATTTTTTTCCAGGAAGACAGGAAAAAAAAACAGAGTTTGAGTTTCATTTGTTCCACACTGTGTTATGACAGTCATTCAGGTGGAGGAGCAGTTTGGCACAAACACACACTGGGGTTCTTACTGATAAAAAGAAATTTTGTGATTAAACAACTCTATTTAAGTCGAAAAGCAGCTAATTTTGTATCCTGAATTAAAGCTGTTTTTATGGAGAGGGGTTGTATGAAGCACTTGCAAAAATAAGTGTATTTGCCACAGGGGGTCCCTGGTTAGCTGAGAGAACTGGCAGGAGAAGTGTTGATGAAAGTTAGACCAAAACTGTAAAATACAATGCGGTGCAATAGGTGTATGCAGTATGATCTAGAAGTTTTTCAGCATTTCTCTTAGCCGTCAGACCCCTTAGCAAAATGAGTTAACTGCTCATAGACTGTATAAAAATGCTTACTCAACCCAACTATCGAACTACCAGGCAAGACACACAGAGGTGGAGTTCAGGTGGGCCTTAACCCTCCTTGCTAACAGCTACTAGCTGCCCACCTGTCAGTCAAGCTAGCTGTGCTTCGATTTCACTCTCTGTGCAGAGTTTGCCGGAGAAAAACAAGCAATTTTATTCAAAAATCATTTTTTGTGCAAGACCAGAAACATGTTTGTTTTCACTTCAAACATTGGCCTTTTAGAATGTGTGTGTATGTGGCTACTGGTGCTTCTGCAGACAGCCTCTAGTGGGCACTTGGGGAACTGCAATTTTGAGCATTTCTGCATCAGCCTATGTTCCTTGATTGTGAAGCATATTTATTTTAGGAAACAGTTTAATTTGGATCAAGAAATCTCAAACAAAACTTAATGAAGTGACAGAAATCTGAAGGAGTCACATGATTTGATTTATCACCACTTCATAACAGAAGCAGCAACAGTTTTAAATAACTCGGTGTAATGCTTACATCAGTGTTACAGGTTTCTGCAAAATATCTGTCATGGTTTTTATTTAAAATGTGTTAATCCCTGTAAGAATGAAGAAAATAAAGCGAGGTTAAAATACGCCCTGTCTCCTTCTAGAGGTGAAACGCTCGAACATATCAGACATTCAGGCGTCGAGCTGCTTTTCACTGAAACTCTAAAACTGCTTGCTTTGTCTTCAGTCCAATGAGTGAATGAAATCAAACTACAGCGGCTCGGCTGCAAGTGAACCCCTTTACCCACCACACACACACACACAAATACATGGACACACACACACAGTTGCACTGGAAGTGGGGCAATGCAAGCTAAACACAAATAGTGATTATGGGGGGCCCAGAAAGAATGTCCCTCCGCCTTTTTGTACCCTTCCCCCAAACCCCTTTAACATTTCATTCATCCTTTTTTAAGGGGCTTAGCTAGGGGGCAAGCGGACACATAACCATCACCCTAACCCTAAAGATCTATACCATTAAAAGTAATATTTCACGACTATTCTACACAGTTTCTTTATGTTTAAACTCAACAGATTAATTTGCTTTAAGGTAAAGTTTCCCTTAATTATGTCCTCTTTCATTAAAAAAAAATCATTGTTTAAAAAAAAGGCTTTTTATTTTGCAGGATTTAATTATGTGATGAACTCTGCCACTAATAAAAACAGACTAAATCACTCCAGCTCCAACTTTCCCACTCTCAAGTGCCCCCGGCTGAATGCAGGAGAATAAGCCCTGGATTTAGAGAGGTGAAAAGATAGTGAAGAGGAGGAGGAGGAGGGGATGAGGCAGTCGGAAAAAAAGCAGTGTAGAGGTGCTCTTGTCTCAGTAGGATGAAATGGAGGACATGGTTTCTTTGCACATGCCTACATATTTAATGTGTTGGCCTGCTGCTATGTGATACAGGGAGTGTGTTTTCACTGATGTTGGAGGTCAAGAGCGGTACCTCACTTTATAACTGTACAGAAAACTGCCTTAAATACTGTATACTACAACAGTGGTTCTGAAGTCCAGTCCTCGAGGCCCACTGTCCTGCATGTTCTGGATGTTTCCCTGCTCCAACACACCTGATTCAAATGATCAGCTCGTTAGTAAGCCAGTACAGAGCTTGATAACGAGCTGATGATTTGAATCAGGTGTGGACTGGACTTGAGAACCACTGTACTACAACATGGACACAGCAGTACACCTGAACACACACATTTGAGCATCTCAAAGTCATAAAAAGTCTTCACTGGCACGAATAAATAACTCTTTTTTTCTCTGTTTCACCATTTTCATTTCATCAGCAGCGCTCGCTCTTTTCACTGTTTCTCTATGAAACTCGACCACTGCTGCTCTCACTTTTGTTCAGACCAGCTTTGGATTAAAGTCATGACTTTAGATCCGTCTTTGATACTTTTTGATAGCGAAAATGATCCAAAAATTTGAACAACCTTATTCATTTCTAAGTAATTTGATGAGTGTCACAGGCATTTTACGCCATGTACAAACAAAGAAATAACATTAAATCCCCAAATTTTGAGCTCAACTTATAAGACAGTGTGCTAGAGTCAAAAAGCTGCTTTTGTTTTGACTTCATATGAAGTAAAGTCGCAGAATATTACCTGGAATACCTGCAGAACAGTCTTTTGTAGCAACATGTAGGCTGATTAACTCATCCCTCTCAGCCAACTCTTCACACCCAGACAGTTCAGACTAAGAGTCTGGATTCAATTAACCCTAACACCTCTTACAGTGTAATTTGTAAAAACTCAATTTCGTTAAACAACACACACTTTCAGTCTGACCTCGGAGGTGACCGAGCAGCAGAGAACCAATTACCTCTCCGAAGTTTCCAGTCCATCACACACACTCAAAGCTATCACCGTCACACACACCTTCTTCTCTGTTCAGTCATGTTCCCACAGGTTTCTCTGCTAAACACACTCGCCGTCAGATCAAAGATGTCCGCCAGCTGTTCTCCGCTGGTTAATGTCTGTCGGAGTTGACAGCAGGTCAAAGGTCAAAGCCACAGGAAGCTGCAGAGCTGTCTGATGTGAGCGCAAACACACACACGACCCTGACTGTGGACTATGCAAACAAAAACATGGCAGGAGAACAAACACAGGGAAAGAGACACGTGATACAGCAGGTGAGAGAGTGGAAAAGGCTGATGACAGAATGCTTCTCTTTATTGGTTATTATGAAGAGATGAAACACCAATCAGCAGGCTTGAGGATATGCAGGAAAAAATCTGTACGGAGAGCAAAACAGTGATAACATCCAGTCCCTCACAACGACAATTTCCCTCTTAAAACAGCATAAAAGTGCAGCAAACAATCTGTTCTGGATAAAATATCCATTTAAAGGGATATTCCAGCCTAAAATTAAGTTAGGGTCAAACACACCCTAACACAGAGTTAGACACCCCCGTCGAGAGATTAATGTTGCCGACCGCTTGCTTCTCTAGTTATACCAACTTTAGTAACAACCGCACGATAGCAATACAGAGAGCCACGCGCTCAAACAAAACGCCACTCTATAGCCACAAATAATGCTCAGAACAGCACCTAACTTCATCAACAGTACATGTAGGGTCCCAGCCATAGTACTAGCCACCAAACATCCTTTTAGCTTTGCCGGATTTCTTAAGTAAAGAGACCAAACACAACTCACCTACTCTCTTCCAGCAGACGTTTGTTTGTATGAAGATCTCTGGGCGAGTCCATTGACTGCAGCGGGGGGCTGCAGCTCAAGGAAGAACATTTCTGATCATTTCTTTATCATTTCCTTGAAGTATTAATCACCATATTGATCATTTTTGCACGGCAGACGCGGTAGTTCTTCTGCCTTAGCGTCTCTGTCTGATTGCATTTCCATGAAGTAATAACCATAAATTTTCTTCCTTGAGCTGCGTCACCCCGGTGTGTTTGACCCTAAATTAATTTTACGCCAGAATATCCCTTTAAAGTTTGGTAATGTGACCCTAAAGCCTCTCAGCATTAAGATTTCCCTCCTTCCCAGGATGCATCAGAAGTGATTAATCTCCCAGCCCAAAACAAACATTTGAAAAGTTTTCAAATTCACAGCCATTAATTTCAAGAAGATACTAGGGTGACCATACGTCCTCTTTTACCCGGACATGTCCTCTTTTTGGGGGTCCAGGCTGTCGGGGTTTGTCCGAGGAAGTTTATAAAATTCTTTGAATGTCTGCGGTTTTGTACGTAAGTTTGGAGTTTGTGTCATGTGGACTTACTGAGTTAGAAACACATAAAAGACACTTGATCCGACCTGAAAACTCTTAAAATTGACTTAGTGTGACTCCGTGACTCCGTGACTCCGCCCCCGCGTAGTCGTGTCTTCTTTTTGGGAAGTCAGAATATGGTCACCCTAAAATTACCCTATGCAATCAGCCTTTGCCTGTTCAAAATGAAGTCTACAGACATCTTGATGAAGCGTAATGATCCCAGTTATCACCAAATTAGTGATACTCAAAATGCTCACACTTTTTCCTGATAACAAGACCTGCCGAGACGACTTTGATATTGGTGACGACAGAGACATAAGTGCAGACCTCAGGCGTCATTGGGACCTCCAACTCTCCATCTGCCCCTTTGGTATGTAACACATGGACAAGACTGACTAAGAACGTAGACTTGGAGGCTCTGGGTTGGAGAAATGATGTGTGTGTGTGAGTCTGTGTGTGTGGATGTGTGGTGAGAGTGTATCTTTGTGGGGGTTGAGAGTTGCTGTGTTGGTATCAAATGCCAACAGAGGCCTGGTCCGTGTTGTTGTGTGTGTGTGTATACATGCGGAGAAGCAAGGATTTACCATGCGCCCTGCAGCTGTGTGTGTGTGTGTTTGTACGAGTGTGTCTGTCTGTCTGTATGCGCACTTGTGTGAGGGAATCTGAGCTCTATTATCAGGCATTACAGTCAGGGTTTACTGAAGTCCCATCTGTCACACACAAACACAGGACCGGGGCTGGAGCGCACACACACACATACACCATGCCCAACAACAACTGGGTCACACGGCCAACAGTGGAGTGGAATGTGTGTGTAAATGTGTATGTGTGTGTCGTTCCCACACCAAGCCCAAAGCTTAAATTGGTGTGGATCAGGAGACAGCAGACAGACAAACATTAATATCACTGATTGAATGTGGATTCATCCTTATTGTTTGGGTTTTTAAGCTTTACAGTTGCAATCGGAGGAAAACCGGTGGATTCAATTGAACATTCAAAAATAAAAAACAAGATTCGGCATCTTTGTTCCTCTGGAAAAAGGTTGATCATTTGGTCTCTACAGGTCACTAAAGCAAGCCACAGCAAAACCTGTTTACTTTCTTATTTACAATGAAACTGAGACTCAAAAAAAAACTGATAAATGGGAACTACTCTGGATGAAGTGATGAACCATAAAATGATTGCATTTACCTTGCAGACATTCCTTAAGGTGTACAATCAACTCAGATTTTTTCAATATATCACTATTCCTCAAGTCATTTATTGTTTACAGTAAAGCTGAGACCTACCAGAGAGTGTTGAAAGGTCGCTCCTCTAGGAGATGTAATATGCCAAGAAATGACAGCATTTATATTGCAGACACACCTGAAGGAGTACTGTATATGTTGCTTCACTTTTGATCCCAGCACATGATCGTCTCTCGAATTGCCATTTACAGTAAAACTGAGACTCACCAGAAACATCAGACTAATGCCAAATGGCTGGCAGAGAGTAAAGGTCTTTACACACCAGGAGCATTTTTTTTGTGCGATTATTTTGGACGTCGATAGTTTTTTTCGACCCCGTATCCTGTCAATACAAGCGTTTACATCTGCGATGTTTTCCCGTCCTGCCATCTTGCGGCATTTATTTTTTCGTATCACGGTCGATTTTTCTAAATTTTCGCATACTGTGTGTCTACTTCTGACCAATCAGATCTGGTGTTGTTGCGACGTCAGATTCACCGCCAACATGGCCGACCAGCTGATTGTTTAAGTGTCAGAAAACAGAGTGCTTTTTGATAAAAAAGACAAATATTACAAAGATAACAACCTGAAGGACAACTTGTGGAGAGTCATAGCGTCGGATTTCTAATATGACGATGGTTTGTGTGCTTTAACAGTTTGCTAAACGTCCAAATGCTACATTTAATCAGGCATGTATTTTCTAGATTTGGCTCTTTAGTTGTGATGCTGAACTGTATCAGGCAGTGCAAGCTGCATCCAGCCTGTACGTCTTCGTAAGACTAAGATGCTGAAAGTGACGTACTCTACGATGCTCAAGAATCAGAGCAATGACTTCAGGCCTGACCCTGTCACTGGCACTGAGCCCTGATCTACTGAATAGATGGTGGCATCATCATAGCAGGGTAACAACACACTACTGTCCCCCTGTCTGCGGTCTGCACTGCCGTCACAACACACACACAGACACGCGAATGCTCAGGCCGGGTTCCCAGAGTACATGGGCTTCAAGCGAGTAGAGACAAAGTAATACACAGATTTTACACAGTGGTCTTCCTGCACTGAGCCATCACCTGCTCAAGTCTTCCACAGACCTGCAGCCTCATGAAAATATATGGAAATTTACTCTGAACGTGGTTGATGTACCTGCGGTTTCACTCACTAAACTACAAAGCATGTCCTTGCAATCCTGTGGCTTCAATCCTTCGACCTCCTCCCTTCCTCTCCGTCCACCATTAGAGTAAAAACAGACTGTAAAAGCTCAGCTGAGAGTAACAGCATGCCTGTTTTTAGCTGCCTCTGGCTATGACTACCTCTCATTACACCGCGCAGAACAAAGGAGAACAAAAATGACTGTGAAAGACAGACAGGGAGGAGGGAGAAAATGACAGACAGAGGAGAAGGAAAGAGGAGGGCTGTGTTTTTACTTGCCCTGAAAGAAACGTGCAGTTGAAGGAAAAACCTGACCCTACTCTTTTGCACAATGTCATCATGCAAAGAAAGCAACTCTTATCTTCTTTAATACCCTTTAAAGGTCACTGGATCACTTCAGGGAGTTTACAGGATAATAGATAGAAAGAATCTGCCACATCTACCTCAGACTCAATATTTGGTAACTTAAAACTTGCTTCTCCTCAGTCTATGCTATTACCTGGGAATTTTAGGGTGACTAAAGTGAGTGAAAGAACTGGAAAATCTTTTTTTACTTCTTTCACAGCAGTCCAGTTCAGACAGGTTTAGTTTGTAATCAAGTTACTTGCTTTTCCAACAACAAAAGTTGGGAAAAGGTGCCAAAATAACCAAATGGTACCATCCTGTTTCTGTTGGTGTAACAAGAGTACCTTTCTTGTTTCAAACCGCAGAGCTAGATGCAATTCTGTTGACAGATAGAAAAAAGGGGGAAGAGGGATCATACCTCTTTTAACCTGGTGTTTTTGGATCAGAATAACGTTTTTATCTCCTTCTTTACCACCTTTTTCTTTATACATCATATTTTCCTTTTCTGTGCTGAAGCAGCAGGCTTTAAGGTGGCAATCACTGCCCCTCTGTTCTACCTTTGACTGTTTTAGAACGACATAAAAGCAGAATAAAGGTGCAACATTCTCACTTTAAGTAGGCTGAGTAAAAAGTGGAGATAAAGTTATGACAAATTATCCTGACATGTCTTCTCGAGTGCCTCCCCTTCAGCTCAATCAAAGCGACTCATATCTTCTGGAAAACCCCCTGTCATTGAATCTCCTCTATTTGTGCGCTGCATAAGTGAAATGTCACATGAAAGAAAAATCAGATTAACTTGCAGTTTTGATGTAACTAGAGATCTGATTCTCTCTAATCAGAACTTATTTTCATAGTTAAGATCCAGAAGAGGAGGATCACTTTCTCCGGAGGATTATTGACCTTTCGATCATGACCTACTTCTTCGCACAGATGCAAACCGTGTCTGTTTTTTGGGATCAGGTTTCTATGCTGGGGGGGTCTGAGGACACCTTCAAGAAGAGTCCAACCCTGTCTACACTTTATTAAACTTCTTAAATATTAGAATTATGCTTGTCAGTGTCATCTAGACTACATTTAGACAAGTGTGGCTACATGAGGAATATGTTCCTCCTTCCCTGTAAAAGCCAATTAGTTTGATTTGTCGTGTTTTGCTCTTGCTATCATCCCATCCTCCCACAGGGATGATTAAAGATTCATCCGATCCACTTCATCTAATTCAGCTGCATTGACTTATTGATCCCGCCCTCTTGTTTAGGACGGAGACTATTGACTCGAAGGTACAATTACACATCAACAGCAGCTGCTAAATCTGTGCAAACAGGTGATTTAAAGGCCGGATAAAAACTTCCAAATCCAAGATTATTATGAGAGCTTAGCCAAGACTTTTCAGCCTCTAATCTTGATCTGGCATAAAAAGCAAAACAAGGAGCGGCTGGCACTTTCACCATCCATCTGCTTGGGGGAAGACAGAGGATCACTTTTCTGCACATTGCAAACACACCTGAGAGAACCTGCAGAGGGCAAAGAAAACACAGCCAGATCGCCATCGACGCCGTTTGCGATTAGTACAGAGAAAGAGTCCACCACACTACACATGCACGTGAACACACACACACACACACACACACACACAGACACGCAGCAGAAAGTAGGACCGAGGGGGAGGAGATGTTGACGTTCAAACTCTCAAAAGGGTTTTGTCCCAACTGACGAGAGAGGAAACGCTGGGTTAATGGGAGCAGCGTGATTAACATGCTGTCAGTGTACAGTGCAACGAGTGCGCACAAACCTCACGTTAGCATCACTTGGACACACACTCAGGACCTCAGGACAAAAATCTCAGCCCTGGATTGAGTTACATAAGCGTTTGATGGACGGTAACACCTCCAGCAGGAAAAGCGTCTCAGGGCAATGAGAGGAAATCAAAGTAACCTTCATTCAGGGACGTGTAAACTGCTTTCATTACGCACAAGTAATGGCTTCATTATGTTTGTGCATGTGCAATTATGAGTGTTATTTCAAGAGTTCTGCCTGACAGTGCAATACCCCCCTTCAATATGCCTTTGGGAACAAGAGGCCAAAATGCAATAATTTTACAGTGATTCATGGTTCCCTGAGGATGACCCACAACAGAAAACAAAAGCTCCTGAGAGATGGAGACAAAAACTCATAAGATAATCATTTGTGACTCTTATTTTGACATTTCGAACACAATAATTTCTTCTTTGTTATTCCTCCACCTTAATGTCGACCAGATACTTGTGTGTTATTACTACACACCCTATTTTTAACCCTGAATCAATTTCTTTTCAAGACTGGAAATGTCACATGAACAAATTATCCTGCAGTTGTGCTGTCAGTTCCCATCATATCAGTACTAATTCATATCAAAGCAAAGTTTTGTGGTGCTTTTAGCCAAGTCAAGGGACATGATGCAGCATCTAGGTGGATTTTTCTATTTTCAATTCCAAACATTTTAAATCCTGTGTAAATATACAGAGAGATTAAAATGTAGCTGACAGGAAAAAATAGAAGGTCACTGTTAAGTCAAGTGTATTGTAGGTTCAAGTCCAATTCCAAGCAACTGAGACCGAGTCAAGAGTGAAAACCAAAGTGGGACTTCATGGCTGTGACCCCAATTTCCAAAAAGTGGTGGGAAATATCTGCAAAATTTTGCCTGGGGCGGCATCAATACATTTTTTAATTCCATTCATAACATTTTGTCTTGCCATTTTGTTCTGTTCTGTTCTGCATCAACAAGCCAATTTCTAGAGCATATGTACAACTTTGACAGCCTTTCTTTGGAACTACTTCAGGCAGAAAGTGGATTTTTACCCACTACAAGTTTCATTCTGATCCATACTTGCATCCTACAGAACTTAACAGAGACTGCAACCTGTACAAGTAGAAAACAACGCAACAATTTTGTCCAAATGGAGGGAAAACTGGTCTCACATAAAGCCTTTTGTCTCTATTTGAACACCTGGACAACCTGGCTGCAGTTTGCTTTTGCACACAAACAAACATAAGGAAGCACCTGCACATTTCCCATCATCCTATTGGTCTCTGTGCAGCTAACACACACATTTTCCAACAGCTTTCCTCTCTTTCTTTCTCTTCCCACACACACAGACACGCACACACACACACACACACACTGTACCTGTCAACATCTTCAGCTGCAGCCACAGCCGGGTGATATCGTGGCAGAGTTGAGACACTCGGTTCAGAGCCATCATGTAACCAGTACATGTATTCTCCCCTGACACACATCTAAACACACACACTCACACACACTTTTAAACTACACTCACACACAGACACACACGCTGTCAGAGCACATCGTGGTGGAAGTTCACTCTCTCCATTATGCGCTGAGCGAGGAGTCCCACCGCTGACTGAGCTGTCACTGCGCGGAGCAGCTCACACACACTCAAACAGAGGATAGAAACACACACACACATACACACACCTCCCCCTTCCATCTGTGCCAGCCAGAGAGGCGGGGCTTCAGATGCTCCGCCTCTGGTTTCACATGTCACTGTTTTACACTGACAGGGAGGATGGGAGCCTCTTAAAACAACTTACATCCAGGTGATAGATGCTGAAATTTCCCACAAGCATTTAAACGCACCACGCTGCATTGTGCTGTATTAAAAGCTAAGAGAACTTAATGTAAACATGATTCAAATACAAGAGAAGGAGAAGATGCCTCCTACTCTGTTTCCATCAGCTTTTCTCACACTCTTAAAGACACACTCACACATACACACACTCTTACACACACTCTCACACAATGGCAGGGAGGACAGCAGGGGGACCTAGTGTGCCACACACAGACACAGTGAGAAAGTTGGATGGTGCACATGTGAAAAGACCCTCAGGAGTTCGATTCATAAAAAGCTGTCCTGCTGTCATTCTGGTTTGCTAACATGTTGCTCTTTTTTCCCTCCGCAAGAAATGCAGAAACTCCACAAACTGAAGCCAAGAAAGAAGAGAGAACCACAAAAAAAACTGAAACAAACTGAAGGAAAATTAAAACTTAACAAATAAAACTGTTTTAAATCCATGAGGCTCATTTCTGATTCTATAAAACACACAGAAGTTGAACCTCCTCCCTATCCTACGATCACATTTGTCAAAACAATCAAACAGCATCCCTAGTAATTACTGTACTGTATGTTTGCAGCTGCACACAACACTGATCGAGTCAGCAGACACAGGTTAATTCAGTCCATGATGATTCAACGCCGTCATTATATTAAGGTCACGATACATACATTTAATCCCTCCTTGTCTGTCTGTCTTTGTCTTGCTTTTGGTAAATTGAATCTGTTTTATTCAATGGTATGCTGCAAATAAAATCATAAAACTAAAAGAAAGGAAAGATGCAGCTGTTGCATAAACTTGTTTTGGTTACTTACATGGAAAAATAAGGAAACAAGCTTAAATAAATAATCTAATTTATCAGCATAGATGGAAAGATTTGGGGGTTTCTATTTATAATATCTGAACAAACATGATTTAATTAGGATTTATCTAGGCCGTCATATTATTTGTTTATAAATTGCAGTTAATCCTTTAATTTGAATAAACACAAGTCTAAAATACATGTACTTGCATCTAAGACAACTTTTAAACTCAACATTAACAACTTAACTAATTTGTATCCTTAGCTCATAGGTGGTAGCTTAAACTCAAAGTATCTTATTACAACTTTAATTAAGTTTGATGCAAAGAGCTGACTAATTTTGTCATGTCAGCTGAGCTGTCTATCTACTACAGTGAGGTGTGTCATCCGTTGTGGTTGCAGCAAGAAGAAGATGCTGCTGTGGCTAAATGGAGGACGTGCCAAAAAGGTCAAAAACCCCTGCTATAAATAAATACAGCACTCATTTTGGATTTTCATCACATCAGGATTAACACTGTAACCCCTAAAGCCCTAAATTTTTGCACTGAATGTGCTGTCTTGTCTTTGTTTTGCGTTCTCATTTTTCCCATAAACACATCGGCATTGATCAATCTGACCGCTTTACAATGTTCAAGAAACAAAGATGGAAGGGTTGTTTTTATCTCCTCCTGAGGACAAATATACAGTGGCCCTAAAGGTTAATGGCTCAATCAAATTTGAAATGAATGTCAGAGAAATAAAAAATTAAACGTTTGACTTTGTAAATCTGCACCACAACAGTTATATCTCGGCAAACTATGGACCTGTTCAGAGGAAACGACTTGAGTGAAAACTAGCTTCTTTTCGGGGTTTGTATTCCTGAGGTAAGCCAGACTGGAGTTTCTGTGTAACTCACTGTTAACTGTGAAACTGAGACCCAGAAGAAACAGACTAATGGGGGATCCCCCTGAAGTGCAATAAACCAAGAAATTACAACTCATTTTGGAAACAAATCAAGAGGGGGTGAATTTGGTGTCATTTTTGACCTGAATACACTTAAATCTAAAAATACTTACAATTTACAATAAAGCTGAGACACATCAGAGGCAGGTGGATATTTAAAGAACTGCAAAATGATCGCCTTTTGTAAAGATATCCTTGAGGAGTTAATTTTGCTAAGTATTTACAGAGAAACTGAGACTGAAATATCACTCCTTTTTCAACTACAAACATGTGATTGCTCATTTCAGCACATGCAAAAGGAGTCATGACATGTTGGCTATCATTCCCAGAAGCACCTAACTATTGGATATATTATGTATAGTGGCACAGTGCAGTTGATAACAGTTTGTACGTTCATCTGCCTCTTTAGTTATGGTTTAACAGAAACAGAGAAGACATTTGAAATGATTTAAAGCTGTTTTTTTTCCAGACCTGAATGAACACAGCTGACCTGCACAGAGAGGATAATCTGCGATCACATGTATGTGCACATGCATGAGCAGACAAACCCCTCACTCAGGCTGTGGTCCCATCCTTATCAAGCCATCTGCACAGTCTAAACATCTTTAAAAAATCTAATTACAGAGTCAGTCTGTTTACCTGCACATTGGTTTTACTCATAAAGATAATAACGTGCACCCAGGTGAATTAACAGCTACCTACAGAGAGGATTTTCTGATAAAATGGGGCACAGTGTTAATCCTTTCTGTCTCTAAGAAGAAAAAGAGAATTTATTTCATCACTCGGCACCAAACACTATCCAAAATATCGACTATAATAAAGGAATGTAATTTGGATTGAGATTAAGCATGAGGAGATTAGATATGATGTATGTGTGCGATTAAAGATTGGATTGAGGCTAAATTAAAGACGACTCTCTCAGTCTAGTCTGAGGAAAGATTATAAACAGACAAAGGGATTCAACTGAATTGAATATAACAGAAAAGGTCAGCTACAGGTCTACTCTGGTGTATTTATGTCTTTGCACGTGCTCAGTTCATGTCAGATTAAGATGCACATACAGATAAAAGCATGTTAGCGGTAGGACAGGAAACAGCAGAAGGTTCATTATGGTTCATTTCCTGACTCTGCTCATTTTCCTTCAAACAACTCTGGTGGTCCACTCACAGTTCTAACATGAAGTTAAAAATGGATTATAATATATATACACACACGTGTTGAAATCCAACCCCTCCAGATGTGTCTGCAAAACAGTAGCCAACATTTATTGGTTCATTACATCTCCAAGAGTAGCAGCTGTTAATCTGTACTGGTGAGTCTCAGTTTCACTTTAAAGAGCAAGCGACACAACAGATTGACTTTGGCTGACTTCTGTGGTACAAACATGAAACAATAAACCATGATTCAGATCTTTATAGAGTAAAAAAAAAATCAAGTTTTTTCAGGTCTGTCCTCAAGAGAGAAAAAACAAAAAACAAAACCTTGGTTTGTTAGTTAAATGGAGGTTGTTTCGATCACTCTTGATGCACCATGAAATCGGTAAATTAAAAAGCTGATTGGCTTTTGTCACTCAAGTTAAACTGAATTGAGTTGAAATTATTATCTTATCTTGATTTATATGCAGCAGCTCAAATCAAGTTAATTTAAGGACTACAGGATGGGAAATAACACAAACTCTAATGTTCGAATCATCCTTGGATTTCTTTAGATGGGATGCAGAGCAGACTGTGGAGTGTGCATACGGATGTGAAGGAGACCTGTTTGTATTTGTGTATGGATGAAGGAGGGATGTGTCTCAGACTACAGCTAGAATAACCCCCAGCTGGATTATTTATTTGAGATCTGTCCCACTCGTCTCTGTCTGCGGAGGCGAAAACACTATCAACTCCTTCCCCTCAGAGATGAAACACTATTGGCCGACCGGAGCATAAACAGGAAGAGAACAATTGAGAAGTGACTCAGAGGCCAAAACAAGGAGAAGTGTGAACAAACGGACAGCTTAAAACAAGGCTGACAGTCTTTCCACAGTAAACTATTACTGTTATGTTGTTGAATATAAATACACAACAGCTGCAAACGTATGGCCTAAAATAATAAACTGCAAACACAGAAAGATATCAGCTGTGAAAGGATGACGAAGAAAAATAGTCTTATATCTTATTATATCACTCTTGCCTAATGTGATATTCTGATGTAAATAGTCCTCATTTGGACTGAACTTGGTTAAGAGTAACGTCATTATTTTTTATTTTAAACCTCCAATTCCAAATATGTTGACACTTGAATGCCATAAAAAAACTATTCATAATCCACCTAAATGTTCCTGTGCTTTTTTATATTCGGATGTTTCTTTTTATAACCACCGTATGTTACAAAAAAAAGTAAATTTTGTCAAATGTCTGTTTCAAGGTACCATTTATAAACCGTTTAATGGTACCTTATAGTTTCAAAACACCACAAAACCAAAGACAATCTATCACTTTGAGACTTCATCCAGTTCAGTTTGGTTTGGGTTAGCTAAGGAAATGTTGCTCTTAATCAATAGCCTCTAAGTTTTAACAAACATTCTCTGCACTAATATACAATCTATCATACAGGGGTTATTCAAGGTATTGGGTAATTATGATGCTCTTACAGCCCTATACTTACGCTGTCAACATGCGATGGTGTTTATATCATTATACAAGACTCAAACCTCAACTAGGTTTCAATGGACAGAGTGCCAAAACTTTATTGACAGTCGATCATGAAACCCAAATATGTAGTACAACAAAATGTGCCCAGCCAGGATGCTTTGATGACATAACATACCCACAAAAAACAGCTGATAAATGTGTGTGTCTAAGGCGCAGACCATAATTAGGGCTCAAATCCGGCACAGCCCTTTGGTACAGGTGGTTGAAGGATAATTACATTTCTGCGCAGAGCCAAGACTGGACAGGATTATTGATTGGGAAACAAAGTCACAGGATGTTAGAGTTTAAACTTTTTTCTTGGTCAGTTTAAGGACGATAAACTTAAAAGGGGATGATGGTGTGAGAGGTTTAGAGTCAGCAGTATTACAAACTCAGCTGATGATCAGGAAATAAGTCACGAGATTTCAAGCTAAAAATTAGGTGTGATAATGTGGGGACATGATGGGGAACAGGTCATGAGAATCATAAGAACAAAAGAGGAAGTTTTGCAAATGTTGAAAAACAACAACTGGCATGATTGATCATTATTCAGGGAAACAAAAGTGGAAGTTACAAAGATGGTGCGATTGCAAAAAAAACACAACCCCTCAAAAATGATGACTGCTGACACACATGACTTCAAGTTTACAGCAAAAATCCCCTTGGAAACTTGTATTTGATTCAGATTATGAACCAAAGTGTATTCTACATAAGAATCAAATATAATCCTGCTAGTTTAACAGTGATTTTCGTTCAATTAAACATTAAAAAATGAGGAGGAAAATCAGATCCAACGGCAGAATCACTGCCCCTGTCTTCATGACACAGCCCTTCTAGAATAGCTCTTTCTAAAAATACACACGTCATCTCCAAAAAAAGACCAAAGCCTGCAGGAGAGGCCCAGAATAGACCTGAAGCGTCTTTGACAGGCGCAGAGATCTGAAATACTGTGGATTCTGACACATGGGAGTGTGCCTGATCAATGCAAATAATCTTTTATTAATGCAGACACACCTCCTACAAGCACACATGGCTGCTGGGTAATTATGCCACCTTTTATTGAACCACCCTGAGTAAACAAGGATGTAGCAGGTCACTATAGCAGTACTCACTGCATGTACTTTGGCTCCGCTGGAGAAAGTGTGTTTTCTTCTGCCTTAAATCTACATCTCTCTGAATATCTACCTGGAAGAGAAGTGACTTTGATGGCTCGAGGTTTCTGTTTGACATGCAGCCCCTCAGTTTGTGATACAGCCATATTTTTACAGCGTCAGCCTGCAGTTGGAGGCATAAGGTTTATGTCCAGTCAGGAGCAGGGGTGGGAATCTTACAGTGACTCCTGGTAAACCAAACCAACAATAACCGCACCCTTAAGCACATTTTATAAATAGAAAGTGAAAATAATGGATAAAATTTGTCGGAAAGCATCATTGCACCATTCTACAGAAACATAATCTATAAATTTTGACAATTTTGTTAACTTTTCATTCATAATACTTGTTTTTAAATGTGAGAACAACCTTCCATCAAGTATATTCTGTCAGCTAGTATCAGAAAGATGAAGAAAATTGTAGTTTATGGTCTGTATCTATTGTTTTTTTTACAACTATTTTTGTACTTTTAATTCAATCTCTGTTTTTTATGTTTGTTTTTTTTTGTATTCATTGCACTGAAAATTGAGAAAAAAGATCAGAAGAAGGGAACAGCTGTGCGACAAACAAATTAGGAAAATGGAGGATCATACTTCTCATGCATCACACAACCTTTTTGTCCTCAAAGGCCACCATTACTTTGAGCAGGAGAGGATTTCAATCCAGAAATTAACCACAAGATATTAAATATTCCCATGTCTAAACAATCTTCGACACTTTTTCTGACGTCGACAAAGTTTGCTGCACCCTAAACACCACAGTGACATCAATATGAAAATGTTATGAGAGAGATTTTATAACGTTTGTGTTTTTCAAGAAGCAAGTGACCGCTATGCTGCAAAAGAGCATACGCTATCTATAATAACCATGGTGACTCGAAAGCACATGAATATCCATGAGAATCACTCCTTTGTTACTCCATTCTGTCCGGTATCCTGATTCCAGCTGTAATGAATGCTTCTTTTATAAAAGAGGAGTATTTCTGACATCAGAGAGAGTCTGATAAAGCAGAGGAACAGGAACTAATGCTTTTTCTCAGTACAGTTAAAGAGTTACTGCTGAAGATGACGCAAAGAGTTATGCTGGAGTTTTCATAAGAGTTATAAAGCAAAAGTAGGCATGGAGATGGAGCTATAATCGTTGTAAAATATGGGACACTGTTGCCTTTACTCTTGTTTTTCCTCACTTTAAAGCTTGTGGGAGAAAAATAGTGTCTGACTCTGCAGCTGCTTCTTTCATGACTCAGCTGAAAAAGGTTTTTTCGTGGATGCAATCGAAGCGATCCTAAAAGACACAAAAACGTTGCAAAGGATGTTTTGCCATTTTCATGCTTGGTTATGTTTTACTTTACATCTCAAGTCACCTATCTGCACCTAAAAAACCCTGATCTGAATGAACAGCTTAATTGGATTTGTAGTTACGTAATACAAATATATGGTGTAAGCAAACAGTTAGATCCCATTTGGACAGGAATTCAAGCTTACACCTTCACTATCATGATTCAGCTTTTTAAAAATAACACCTGAATGACATTTTTAAACAAAAGAGGCTGGAAAAGAAAACTGAGCTGCAACTTTCTAAAATTCCACTGCAACCTTAAATAAACGAATATGAATAAAAATGTACAGTATTCAACTGAAATAAAAAATATAGCAATGCAGAGATCTCTGCGTTGGTCCATGCACTTCAGTTGATTCATTTTTAAACAGATATTTAGGCAAAAATTGGAAGAAAAGGTTGAGTTATAGACACAAATATTCAGTTTCAAGTCCAGACTGTGCTGGTTTTCATGCCTAAGGAAACAGTCATGGTTGTAATCTAATGTCGGTCTTAAAATGCACCACATACATCCGTACGAACTTCACAAACACACACACACATCCGTGTTGAACTCACTCTGCAGCTGCTGGCAGCACTGGCTGTATCTGTAGTAGCTCTCCATCTCCTCCAGCGAGATGCACACAACACTCCCTCGCTCATATTCCTCTGATTCTGTGGGTTCCTTCATCCCGTCCCCTCTCTCTCTTTCTCTGATCTCCTCTACCTCTCTCACCAGCTTCTTACTCTTCACAGGTAGAGGAGAGAAAAAGTATCCTCCGCCTCATCCTCATCTCCTCATCTCTTCATGTGTGTTCTAAACCCTCCCTGTTTGTCTCGCTACCACACATGATTGCACACACACACCTGTCAAAGTTTCTTAAGTAATCACACCACTCCTCTTTCACTCTCCTGCTCCTCCCTAAGTCTGTGAAAGTCCAACATACGACTGGGAATAAACTGTTTATTCCTAATGAAGGTTTACTCTCACCTCAACTGAAAAATAATCCACATTCAAGGTTGAGGGGTTAAGATAAAACTGCATCAAGTCTGCATTGAGTCAAACAGGCAGAAATCCTTTGAGCTGAAAAATGAGAGCAAGTACTTTAGAGCTAAAAAAACTGTAGTTTCTCTTCCAGCCACTAGAGGCAAGATAAATAAGTTTTAATCTGTTTTTTTTTTTTTCCCAGTCGTAGTGCTTAAAGAATAAGGCATTCACAAACCCATATCTGTCCATTAAAAGCTGCGTTTCATCAAGAACGCAGGAAATTTTACAGCACCCTTTGCTTCCATCAGCTGAAAGTCTTTATCGGTACGCTCATATGCCAACAACGCTAAAACCCCCACCAAATGGTTTTTCTGACGAGAAGAACTTTGTGCTTCATTGACCTGCCAACTTGCCTGACCTGATCCCTACAGAGAATCTCTGGGATACTATGATCTATTAATACAGACCAGCTGATAGCTGCTATCACAGCAAGCTGGGCTTCAACGACACCTCAGCAGAGCTACAGGCTAATCCCCTCCATAGGCCGCCATATTCATGCAAGAGCTTAACAATTCTGTGTTTTGAAGCCTTTTTTGATTAATTTAATTTAAGATACTTTTTCTGATTTTTACCAGCTATAAGCCAAAATCATTTAATTTAAACAAAAATGTACCTTACTTGTAATGAATATAGAATAAAGGAAAGTTTTACTTTTTGAATTACCTTTATTCAGGCTACTTTCTTGAGCTGCACTTGTATCTTTAGGAAAACCGGGGTATCCTACTATTTTAAAATATACCTCAAAATAAAGCATGAATGCACAAAAACAAACACATAAAGAATCAAAAATGTATTCTATGCATTACAAAACTAAAATTTCACACTAAACTAGATATTAGATTCCTGTTTCTGCCTTAAATAAGTAATATTCCCCCAAAATTATGATTTCTTTAACACTCAAATTCAGTAATTTAGGCCATGAATGGACTAATGTAGAAAAGTGTGGCTTGCATTTATAGAAAACTGAATTGTGGGAGTTATACCTTTAAGAATGAGCTTCATTTTTAAATAGCCATTAAAAGGTATTTATATGTATCCTACACTGGGGGTGAATTAATGTTTAAAGGCAACTTTGGAACGCAAGAAAAACCTGAAATAAACATTTTTACTAAATTTGCAATGCGCTTACATGAATCTATGAGTGAATAACCTCATAGTGACAATATCTAGAAGGAAGATCTAGAAAATAATCAAAGTGTAGAGTAAGCAGGATGCCCAATACTGAGGTTCCTCTATCAGTATCTAAATGATGAGGGGGAATCCCCCTAAGCTGACAGGAAATCCGGTCCTGTCATGCTGTAGCTCTGATTTAAAGAACAGACCAGAGTGCTGTTTTAATAAGGACGTCCAGTTACCATAATATCGCCTCATCATGTACGTTTTAACACTAACCTCTTCTCCAGGTCGGCACACGGCTCCTGCTGTTAGTGCGTCGGGTTAACACACTGATAGAAACAGAGGGGTTGTAAAGAAGTCGAGTCAGCACCTCCTGGCCGTCTTGAATTAACTCCAAAAGAGACATCGCTAAAACAAAGTCGGACTCATACTCTGTTTACGAGCGTGTTCAGGCTGCCTATTTTCCTGTTTGCTCTAGTGAATGTGTGATTGTTTATCTGGTTCTCATGTCTGCTCTGTGTTTATCACAGGAAGGGAGGGGTGGGGGTTAGGCCATGACACAAAACCCCCTACAGCTAATTAGACTCATTTTTAAACTGTTTCTGTGCTGGTTTGTGTCAAATGTGAGACTTCTGTGGCCTTTTAACCGGGTACTAAAGTCAACTTAAGTGTACAGTTGCCTTTTATGGCAACAATCAGCAAAGGGGGAGAGAAACAGAAAGTCTACTGTACTGCAGTACCTTCAATGACAACAAGAGGCAGGATCCAAAAGTGAGTTAACTCCCATAGAGACCCATGTTAAAATTTATACATAAGATTTTAAGATGTTTACAGCTTTTATCAAAAACACTTTGTCCTCCGTTTGTTCTTTTATCATGAAAACTGCACAGGGATTGAATTTTTGACTCAGTTTTAGAACACAATGATTGATCGTATTCTATATTATTATTGACAAACTGCTTTAAAGACACTAATGTGTGTACATACAAATACATAGCCTCAGTTTGGATGGTTGCATTCGTCATTAGAAGTTTGATCCTCTTCTGATTCATGTTTGGTGTTAATAGGAGACTAGGTGAATTATTTTAAAAACCGGAGTTGTGTTATTTTGTATTTTTGTTGTTATAAATGCCACTGATGATTATTGTCAAAAAATCAGTCACACGGAAAAGAGGGAAGAGAAAAACCACTGTGTGTACACAGGTAGCTGCAGGGTGTGTGTGTTCGATGACAGAAATAGAGTAAGTTAAGCAAATAAAAGCCGTTTGTGAACACAGTGAAATCATTTAGAGAACAACACACATTTAATATTTATTCTAACCTAATAAAAGAGATAACATATGATATAATTCAACATAAATATAGGAATGTAGGTTGAAATGTTCAACAAGCCCGCCGCCCAAGGCTCAGTGTTATTCTGTGGGGAAAACACTGTTGTTTGATTTCAGCCTGAATCAGGTACTTTTCCCAAAACTGATGAAGTTGTTTGATTGTTTAACCCTGAATAAACTCTGATTTTTACTGTATTAAATAAAAGAGAAGAAGTTAACGTCAGGAAAAGCCAAACGGAGGCAGGTAGGAGTCACAGCTTCACATTTCAACCATCAAGGTATCTTTGCCTTAAATTTGGAATTTTTTCAAAATATTCTCACTCTTTTTTATTTAAGTCTTAAGTTATCTGAAAACTACTTTTGGGCCTCAGCAAACATGAAGAATTTAGTGTTTGTGTTAGAATAAAAGACAGTAAAACTGGAGGTAAAGATGAAGGGCTTCATCCTAATAACAGGCATGGGAATCATCATTATTTTCAAATATACCCTGATGTACTCTGTCGTCTGTGTTGTTGACCGTTTAAAAAATTCTGGACATGCCACAGATTTCTGTTTATTTTCCCAGTAAACCGGGTGCCTATCACCCTCCTAAACACACAGAAGCTCAAACAAAAGCAGCTTCTGACTAGAACATCATTGAATTGATTAAACCTTATTTAGGAAAATTCTGGCTTGAAGCTCAAACTGAAATTAAACTGGTGCCGTCTATAAAAGATCTCTGCCTTCCTGGGACGATCAAATTGTCTTTATTTTATTTAATTCATCATCACATAATCAAATGGGCATTCCCAGATTCTGAAACTTCAAAAAGGCGGTCACGCACTTTCCATTTTGGGTTATTAGATTTTTTATCCATTAAGAAGAAAAGCTAGAGTCCGAAAGATCGAAACCAATGTCAAAAGACCCTGAAAAAGCTTCAAATCTCATCACAGACAAGAAAGTTAATCTTCTACCTTACTACCTAGAACAAATAAAAGGGATAAAGACATTTTCCAAGTTGGGAAGGGTAAAGGAAAAACCTGATTTTAGTCGAGTGTCTTTGTTGACCAAAGCAGGACTGCATAAACCTAGTTTACAGGCAACATTATTTGGGAACATTATTGTTGACTGATTCTCAATGTAGCTAGAAAAGGGGGCATCAGAGTCATGATGAGTCACTTCCAATTTAAAGTCTTGAGCAAGAGAAAGTTTTCAGGGTTGCAAAACCTTATTTTAGTCAGATAGGACATAATCTGAGAACTATGAGGGGTGCTGAACTTCAGCAGAGGCATACTGAGTATCATTTGTGCAGCAGTGAAAGTCTACACCATGCCTAAGCAAGATTTGGCCTCGAGCATGTAAACAAAAGGGGACCTAAGATAGACCCCTGAGGGGAAACATGTTGTAGGGGAACAGGGTTCCTTCAGTTCTACCGTTACTCTACTGTTATTTAATCGTGTGAAATTCTTGATTCTATTTACCCAAAACCCCATAACAACAACAACAACAGGGATTTATTCACACTCATTAAATCAATTCAATCAGTAAAAAAGGAGTCTTTCACCTCTGCCTGTTGACACTATGGGAAAAACATTAGTGTCTGTCTCAGGAGAATAGTGATGAGCTCAGATATGAGAGCAGTCTGAGGAGCTATTGGACCACAACCATCTCTGACAGGAAAAAGTGGAGCAACACCTCATCCTGATCGCTTTAAAATACTGTAAAATATCATAACCCAGACTGAATGATGTGTCTGAATAGCCAAGGGACTGAATAAGCACGATGAGAGAGAAACTAGAGATTACTTATATAATTAAGTCAAAACTCCTCAGTGAAGTGAAGATGTGATGCATGGTACCTTTCAATCAATAGTTCATATGCCTTTTATATTACCCAGGCAGACAGACATGCTTTACGAAAAACAGAAGGTGTTGATTTTTGTACTTACTGTGTTTTTCAAAGAGTTAAGAATTTCTAAGTTGCTTAAATGTGTTTGATACTGATGTAAAATCTTGGGTGATCACTTGATAATCGCAATATCAATATCAATCAGAATAATGGTGATTTGTATATTGCCATAATTGAGCAATCCTACTAACAGTAGTGATGAGGGCAATGACCATGTCAACTCACCCACTTAATGATCTTCTGTTCAATATTCAACATACTTTTGGTCAAATGTTTTAAATCTTTTCTAATGAAATGTAACAACGAACTGACATAAAATCTGCTGGATATGCAAAGACGTTATAGGAGAACAGGGTTCCTTCCATTCTACCGTTACTCTGTTATTCAGTTGTGTGAAATACTTCATTGCATTCAGCCAAAACCAATCTGTAGCTGAAGTGAGTATGCAAGGTTAAAGAGGACCCAGCTAAGTTTTACCTGAACACAATCCTGATAGAAGACACATGTTACCAAGATGCAAACCACAGTTTCCTATGTGAGGCTAAGCTAACCCGGGCAGGGATCCTTACCACTGACTGTCGACAGCACCTCCACAGATTGCTCCAGGTCCTCAGGTACCGACTGCTGCCCTCCCATCCTCAGCGCTGACCTCTCTTCTCTTCACATGAACTCCTAAAAGAGCAAAAAGTCCAGATATTTTACTAAAGTAAAGCCTAGAGGAGCAGATCTTAAGAGAGAATAGTCCCTGAGCTGCAGATTCAGGTGAAAGACCTCGACAAGAACAGAAACAGGCTGATGCTCTGTCCATTTAATTTGGTCAGCAGAGTGCAGAGAGAGAGAGAGAGAGAGAGGAGGAGGAAGACACACACACACATGCGCAAGCACACACACATTACAGAACTAAAGGCACTTTGGCAATTGCGTAACACATAACACCATTTATGTGTCTGTGGACAAAACACACACGCCTGTACTGAGTGGTGTTAACAACATTACAGAAGCTAATTTTATCCTTTTTTTATCCACTTTGCATCAGCTTTTCTTCTTGTTTGGACATGAGCGGTCGGCTTGGGTCATGATTAAAATATAAAAGTGTAACACTCTGCTGGTGCACCTTTTTGTGCAGATTTAATACTTAAAATATGTTTGTTTGTGGCGACTGAAAAATTGAGTAAAATTCAAAAGGTCCAAAAAGTGTCACATGCCAGGGTTAGGGAACAAGTGCAGAAGAACTAAATGAAGAGCAACAAAAAACTTACATTAAAATGTCCAACTGAAAAATCCAAAAGACAAAATCCAACAAAAGGCAAGTAATTAACTACTGCAAAATAAGCAAGGACATAATGAAAACTGATCTAAAGAATAAAACATGACAGGCAGGAAACAGGGTCAAACACAATCTGCAAACTCACAAGACTGAACTACAGGGGGACAGGAACACTAGGGAAATGCATTCATATAAAACCAGGAGAAAACTCAATAGAAAGAACATATCATGACAAAAAGTTGATTTTCAACTACATATAGGGAGCTTATTAGGCAAAGTGATAAAATCCAAACCAAAACCTCAGGGCAGCGTCCAAGAACCAACAAGGACAGAAGGGAAGACAGGGACTATATACACACTGGGTAACGAGCAGCAGGTGAGGCTAACGAGACACAGGTGAAACTCATGGGTGATTAACGAAGGAGGGCAAACTAGGGAAGTAAAACCAGACTAGAAACACAAGTGATCAACTACTACAAAATAAAACAGGAAACACTAAAAACTGATCTAAGGAATAAAACACAGAGAACAGGAGGGAAACAGGGTCAAACACAAACTGAAAACTCACAAGACTGAACAGAAAGGGAACAGAAACACTTGGGAAAATACACAGAAAATACACTCAAATAAAACCAGGAGAAAACTAAATAAACAGAACATATCATGACAAAAAGTTTATTTTAAACTAAATATAGGGAGCTTATCAGGCTAATAAGTGATCAAATCCAAACCAAGACTTTGGGGCAGAGTCCACTTTTTCTCGCAGTTTTAAAGTAAAATGCATCATTATAAAATCTGGCCTTGTAAAAAAAAAAAATCACACACACACCTGATGACTCCTAACTGAACAATCAAAGTAAATTTATCCAATTCCCCCTCCAATTACCAGTTAGCCTGACAGTGGCTCCTTTCATTGCTCTGACAATAGAGCAGCATGCTTTTGGTCATATGAACAGAGATCTTGTGACGTGTGGGGATATGCCAAGCTAAATAAAGACTCAGGACGAGTTCAACACGAAGCACAATGTGACACTTTCACAGCCTAAGTTTTAGACAAGGCTGCGGGGATGTCCAGAGCACATGGAGATAAAACAGCAGGTTTTCAGAGCTGTCTGTGTTTTCATTCAGTTTCAGTTTGCGAATGGTGTTTGCGAAATTTGTGTGCCTCACGAACTGAACATCACGCGCAAATATGAATCTGCATGACTTTGTTTTCTTTTGCCCAGATCTGTGAATCAGATTCAGGTTTTATGCCTGGTGGGTTTACTTAAAATGTATCATTGGGTCATGGTGCCAAATGGTTCAATACAAAAAGAGCAGAATTTATCAAACAGCCATGATCCTACTGCCAAGTATGGTGGCCCTAGAAGTCCAGTACAAGAACATTTTATGACAAAAAAAAAGAGGCAAAAAACAGAATGCCAAAAGCATATTCAAACTATTTAAAAAACATTTTACATATATCCTCACATATTTTAAATGTTCTGCATTTTCTTTTTCATTTAGCGAAATATTTTTGTGTTATGGATTATTACATCATGTCATGTATTTTCAAATAGTGTTGTATCGTTTGCTAAAGATTTGTTCAAAAGAACCAAATCTTTTAAGTGAGCGTACTGAACCTAATCACTTCCACGACTGATTTGTTCATTTCTCACTTCAGTTGAGCTGAAGTAAGAAACAGCATTGCCAGTCGAGCAGCCGGCGAACGAGGGACCGCATGCACCGATACATGAATCACCCATTGAACTACACTCTCTGGAATCATTTTTGTCAGACAAAACTTTTTTTTTTTTTTTAAACTGCTAAATTGCCACCACAACAACTTGCATACAATAGGACACAAGTAGTGCATAAAATCTGCAGCATCCTATCATTGCAGCAGTTTGCAAGGGAAGAGTGCATGTCCAGTGTGAATCCCTCTAAAGGTTCAGTGAACAAATCACTCACTGAGCCCAATTTACCAAGCAAACCTGATAAATAGCATACCATAGGACAGTACACTCAAAACATCATGACTTATAAACAAGTTCATTTTTACAAACCTGTTTGTCAAAGCAACACAGCCAAATACATAAAACAAGTGCTACATGATTCGATGATTTGGTGAACGAATCTTTTGAATGAATCTTTTTAGTGAACTGATTCTAATGATTAAGTACATCTGAAAGAACTGCCGTGCCCATCACTATAATAAAATCATACAACATGGAAGTTTTTACATTTTGTGTATTGTTGAAATGTTTTGTAAACTGTTGTTTGTGCTCTTTGAAAAGGTCTTGTTTTCTGTTAGTAATGGGCTCTATGCACAACTTAATGCAGCTCCTTTACTTCCTGTTTTACATTATTAGACAAACTGATTAATCCAGGTGTGACTAATCATTGTGACAACTCCGACACACCTGGATTAATCAGTTTGTCCAATAATATAAGACAGGAAATAAAGGAGCAGCCTTAAGTTCAGGAAGTAGTGGATCGGTGCATGGAGCCCAGTGACCATTAGGGCCACTGTATCGGAAAAGAGTTAAAAACTAGCTTAACCACAGACTTGTGCAGCATGCCAGTTTCCTGCTTTGGTGGCTTATTAAGTTAAATATTATTATTGGTGTCACATCAAAAGATTTCACTTATAAAAAAAAAAGCCAGTTTAATTGAATTTGACATCTGAAGAAAGTCAAATTTAATTCAATTTATCCCAATAAAGAACACAGCTGCGTGGAAACAAAAGACAGACCTTTAACACTATTCGAATTAATTATATAATTGGCGGTGAAACGACTCAAACAACAGTCTGTTATAATTTTCTGATGCCCTAAAACCACTTGTATTAAATCTAATTATCTTTTATTAATTATAAATTATTAAAAATACCCACCATAGCGATGTTTTTCATATCGGCCCTACAGAAGCCCTACATTTACAGCCACAATTCAGCTGTCCAAATAGTCATTTTCTCCCCACACACATAAAAATGTCACACCACTTTTGTGCCGAATTATCAGTCTGGCCGTTTTCTTTAAAGAAGAAAGAGTATTATTGATCTCTTACAACTTACCTTCAGCACTAACATTAATTTGCAAATCTAACAATGGGGTTTGGTGCGCCAGCGTCTTCAAAAGAAGGGAACCCTTCAGTAACAAACTTTAGGAAACTTATCGACAGAGCTGCGCTGCCTCCATGTGTCCTAATCTGAAATTACATTGAAAATACGACGACTGGTGGCTACAGCCTGTAGCCACCAGTCGGCGTTACTGTGAGAGCGTGTGGCGACAAGAGGGTGTAAATTAATTTGTTTATGAAGAAAAATCTCGATTTAAGTTTTTATATGACCGTGATTGCAAAAATATGCCTTGTTATGGTTATGTAACATCACGATCACTGCTCCCCTTAAAAAGAGTTTTAAAAAAAGCCTTAAAAAAAAAAGGAGGATAAAAGTCACTTAAATGAAAGTTAATACTGCTGGGTGTGACCTCTGGCGCCCCCTGTGGACAAAACGGTCTTTGTTTATCTTAACTTCTACATGCTTTAGTCATATCTTCATATTAAAAATCTCATCTTTCTGAAGTGTGACCATCATTTTAAGGTGGAGTAGGCAGAAATCCATTAAAGATGCATCTTTTTTATCATAATGATATCATAATATCAGTCAATAGTTATGAGTTATTGATGAGTTGGGATGCTTGGACATATTGAAATGGCAGATTTTCTTTGAGGAAATAAAGACTTAATCATGAAGCACAGTTGTTTCACGGCTATTTGCGCGCAAGGGCTAACTTTGAGTCGCTTTGCGCGGGTTGTCGAGGCTGACACCACAATCAAGGTTTTAATTTCTTGTATGACTGCCTATTATTTATTTTTATTTATTCATTTAGTCAAAGTGACAGTCTTTGTGGATGTGCTTGTGTTTATCAGCTGTCTAACGTGGCTAACAGACTCGCAGTGAGTGAGTCCAAGTATTACAAAGTTGACCCAGCAATTTTACATTAGTTGAAGAGACAGAAATGCTCTTTCAATTCAACATAAGTTGCACATGATTTCCAAGCTGTTTGGTTTGTTAAAAACATCTAAAATGGAAACATGAGGCAGAAATTTATACTGGAAATAAACATACATATATGTTGTTGTTATATGTTATTATAGTTATCCCTCTAATAGAAATATTACTAATATAACATACATGGAATGATTAAATGTTTTATATATAATCTATTTAATATAACTGCATTGTGTATGTGGGCCTATAGCTATTGCTCTACCTCGCTGCTTTGTGTTTATTTATGAAAATCTATGTTTAAAATTATTCTTGAGTATGTAGGAACATAACATAACTAATGGGTTCAAACCTTATTCAGGATAATTTTTAAGTCCAGGAGCAAAAGTACTAAGATAAAAGCACGCAGAGCTCATCCCCAAGTGTGGGTGGTCTCCGGTGGCGCAGTGTGGTAGACATCTAACACCCTAATGTGAGCTATGTGTTCTGGTTGAAGACCGGCTCCTGGTTCGAAACCCGCTCAGCCCAGGGGTGTGGGGTTACCCCCCCGGTGTTTC